ACTCCGTGAGTGGCCCGGCGATTTTCGAGTAGTCCTTGATGAATCGCCTGTAGAAGTTGGCAAACCCGAGGAATGATTGTACTTCCTTGACATTCGTGGGCCCCGTCCACTCGATGATTGCTTTGATCTTTTTGGGATCCATAGCCAATCCTGCGGTGGTGACCACATAGCCTAGAAAGACAACCTCGTCCACGTGGAAGTTGCACTTCTCTGGTTTGAGTAACAGGCAGGCGTCCTCCAGCCTCTGGAGAATGGCTGTGACGTCCTTCACATGTTGCTCCTCTGATTTGGAGTAGACCAGTATGTCGTCCAAATAGCATATGCACGTTACGTCTAAGTAAGGCCGCAAAACATTGTTGATCAGACGCTGAAATGTGGCTGGTGCGTTAGTCAAGCCGAAGGGCATGACCGTGTACTCGTAGTGACCGAAACGGGTGCGAAATGCTGTTTTCTCTTCTTCACCCTCAGCCATCCTAACGAGGTTGTATGCTCCTCTTAGGTCAAGCTGAGTGAAGATCTTGGCTCCAACGAGTCTGTCCCGCAGCTCCTTGGCCAATGGTAGTGCATAACGATCCTTCTTTGTGGCATCGTTCAATCGACGGTAGTCGATGCACATTCGTCGTCCACCGTCTTTCTTCTCTGCGAATAAGACGTTACTCCCCCATGGAGATTTGGACTCTCGGATGAATCCCTTCGCTAGGTTTTCATCGATGTATTGCTTGATCGTCATCAAGTCTGTCGCCGAATATTCCCTAAGTGGTTGGAATATCGGTTTGGTACCTGGTTCTAACTCGATCCGATGATCGTAGTCCTGGTGTTTCGGCAAGGCCTCGATGCCTCGTTCCTCCTTGAACAGTGCCGTAAACTTCTTGTATGCTGATGGTATATCCTTCATCAGTGGACCCTTGTCTTGGTGTCCGAGCTCTTCCTTGGAGGTGGCGCTAACCTCTCGAATGCTCACTGCTTCTGTTCCCGGTGGATAACAGCAGTCTTGGCAACGACTAAACTCAAGTTTTCCTGTCTGCCAATCGACAACAGGATTATGCTTTTCCATCCATGGCAACCCCAGGATGATGTCGTGCCTTCCAATCCTGACGACGTCGAATTGGATTATTTCGGAGTGTCCGGCGATGCCCATATGGACTGGAGCGGTCTGGACCTCGATCAGTCCATCGGAGGCGACCTTGCCATCCGCCAGTACCAGGTGGTATCCCTTATCCTTTACTTCGGTTGACAGGTAGTGCTCGAGCACAACAGTAGGAGACATGAAGTTCCCTTGTGCCCCAGAGTCTACCATCGCCTGAAGCTTGACTCCCTTGATTTTAACCTCCAACGTGAGGTGTTTATCTCCAATGGCGGCAAGTTGCCGCACACAGAAATATTCCCAATGCACGCTATGGTCGAGGACACTTTCCCATACCCTTCGATTGCCATAGCTTAGGCTGACCTTGTATACGAGCCCTATTCCGAGTTCGGTGTATGTTACTGGGTTGTACATCTCGTAATAGTACCGGCCGTTATCATTGACGTGGACCCATGTCCTATTATGTCGGTTCTCAGCCATGATTTCCCATTCCTCGCCCACCTCTGGTGGCGCGCTGGTGTTAAGAATGACGGTATTCTGGAGTGGCAAGTGCTGCATAAAGGTCGTCGGTCCTTCCCAGCTGCCGGCCATTCTCCATCCGATACGCTTATAGTCCCGGTAGACTACTTCGTACCTTGCCCCCCACGGTGGACCCCCCAAGCCGACAAGGCCTGGTTCCTGATAAGTAACCCCGGTGGCTACATTGGTCCAGTGGCGAGTGTTACAGCTAACCTGATACAGGCTCTCTTCTCTTTGGGTAACTTCCCAAGTTTCACCCACTCCTGGTCCTGAGAGTTCAGGTTGAGGTGGCCCTGGTTCTGGAGTCCACTCTGGCTCCTGGGCTTCTTCCTCGCTGTCACTTGGCATTAACTCTGTGTCATCGTCTGGCCCAGAGCTGTCGTTGTCTCGATACACATAGTCCTCAGGGGGCGTGCTGACGACGGTTTGCTCGAGCTGATCCACGACGCTCGCGGAATCTCGCTCGCTGTCGTCAGAATCGCCCAACTGGGTGTGGATGTGATTCTCCTCGAGCTCGTCTGTAGTCATGTGTCGATACGTCGCGGCGAGTTGTCGTGTTGGTTCATTGTAAGAGCCACGTCCCATTGCGTTGGCATGTTTCTTGTCTGTCCACGACTTCTTTTGTCGATGAGAGCTGGCCATGTGACCAGGGAGGCCACACTCGAAGCACAGCTTCTTTTCTCGTCGCTCGCTCATGACTTTCTTAGATAGCCCGCCGTTGCGCGGCTTTCCTTGATGACTTGGCTTCCGGAACGTCGCATCGAGTTCCATTTCCCGAGGGTAGAATGGTTTCTTGTTATTGCCCCCTCTTCCTTGGTGCATGTGCGTTCCGGAGCGGTATTGGCCTTTCTTCTCGAGTGCCCTCTCGTAGTTTCGGTTGTCAATCTTGACAGCCATTTCGATGAGTTCTTGCAAGTCGGTAGGCGCGTCCGATCTTGCTATCTCATCTTTCACTCCGTCTTTCAACCCTTTGTAGTACTGTGCCCGAAGGGCGTCGTCATTCCAGCTGGTCTGATTCGCGAATTGCTGGAAGGCGGCAGTATACGTGGTCGCTGACCCGACCTGCTTTAGGTTCTGGATGTAGTCCGAGAGGAAGGTCTCGATCCAGTTGAAGGCAGATCCCCGGAGGAAGGACGAAGCCCAAAGGACTTTGTCAGTCTCCGTGGCGAACTGGTGACCGTTGAAGCCCGTATAGAGCTTAACCTGCGTGAGGTATGCTCTGAGCTTGGATCGGTCTCCGTTGTAGAGATCCGGGGCGGCGATCTTGGGTATGTTCTTTGGGTCGAAGACCTTGGCGGGAGCCGAGTGGTCGTTCGACGATCCTTTGACGGAGGACATGTTGTCTTCGTGAGTCGGTACCTCTGACGAGAAGGTGCTCAAAGTGTAACGGTCCGGTATTTACTCGCTGTAAATACAGAAGGCTGCAGTTGATCTCTGATGATCGAGAGGTAGGTGTATCACGTAGACGGGAAGACAGTTACTAAGTATCAGAATACTATTTGAAGTTGAGCACGAAGCTCCTATCTAATGGCAGACGTGCCAGTCTTATATAGAACCTTCGTTCTCCTTGGATCCCACAGGTCCCTTGGGATCCTTCACGACATAGTCGTACTGGATCCCTTGGGATCCCCTGGGATCCGTCACGTGACCCGACCGCGGAAGGCCGCTGCCAGATCACCGTGACCTGCAATACTACTATAATGTAATGCTATGTGATACATGTTCCTTAGACCTTATTGGTTCCTGTGAGCTTTACTCCTAGGAGCCGTCCGACTCCCAGGAGTACGCCTGCTCTGAGGATATTTCCTCCTGGGACCCAGCGGGCTCCCAGGAGCGTCCGTAACAATAAACTCTTTAACGTGTATAAGTTTCCTTAGAGTTCGAGAGAGACTAAGTTCGTTAGTCCTATTAAGCTTAGCCTCTAGAGGTATAAATATCTTTAGGTTCTTAAGATAGTAATCACAGTTAATTAGATATATACTAGACTTCTTCTAAGCCTTCTTAATATTATTCTAGCTAAACGTTTAGTCGCGAATTACCTTTAAATCTTATAGAAATAAGCAGATAGTATATTTAAGATTAAGTTAAGTAAGAGTGTTCTTAATTACTAGGTCGTAATAATACTTATAAGGCTAGAAAATCCCGATATTAAGAGGTTATATATAATATATTAAATACAGAATTAACAGAAATAATAGTATATTATTCGCATTAGCTAAGTTAATAAATTCCGAAGTCTTATAGCTTTTATAGTTATCTATAAGTATAAGTTTCTATAGCTTATCTAGTCTATAGTTAGAATTACGAATATAGTACTTCAAATATAGTATAGCGATCTTATTATCTATAAATCCGCTTTTACTTTCCTTAATATATATCTTTTTTAGAAGCTCCGGAATAAACTACTTTTATAGGAGATATTTACTTTAAATAAGAATTATAAGAGGAATCAGTCTTCGCCTAGTTATATTAATTATCTCGATAATTATAACAGATCGTTAGTTTTTAAGGCTAATAAAGTAATACTATACTTAAATATCAGTTAAGAAGCTATCCGAATAAATATAGAGATCTCTATACCTCTTTGATTTACTTTAGAACTAATACTTTAGAGCCTCTAAGGCAGCTAATACGAAAGCTAGTCTTATTAAAATTAATAATATCTTTTAGTTTAACTCTTATTCTTTTATAGATACGCTAGAAAGACTTAAACTATCGTTTAACTATCTTTTAGTCTTATACTAATATTTATACTTAAGCTAGAGGCTTTATAGTAATCTTATAAAGACTACTCTTTTTCTACTACCTTATAAACTAACTCTAGGAAGGATCGATCGCCGCCTTATTATATTACTATTAAATAGTACAGATAACTTAATAAATTAACTACGCAGAAAACTAGAGCTAATTAGCAATTAATTATAGTATAAACATGTATAACGCGGTTTCGTAGTAAGCTTAAAGTATCTTATTCTATCTGCTACGCTATTTCCTAGTACTCTGCCGGCGTAAAGAGCTATTTAAGGTTATTAAGCTAATATTAAAGATTTTCACTACTATACTTTAATACTCTTAAAGGTCCTCTTAAAGCTATTCTTTTACTTTCTGAAGACGTATTTTTAAGTCGTTAATTACGTTAATAGAGCTATTTTAAGGCTCTATAGCTTTAGCGCGCTTTAGAGAGCGAGGAGGCCGGGGCTCTTAAATCGGATAAATTCGCTTATGACTTATTATAAAAAGTAAGGAAAAGTGTATCTAGTAATAATATAGAAAAGTTAAAGATTTAGTAGAAAGCGTATATAAAATCACGAAAATCTGTATTCGCTTCCGATCTGTATTTACTTATTCTAACTAAGAGCGAGAGCGATTTTAGGAAGCTCACCGGCTAGTCAGCTGACGATTAGAGATCAAGAATTATAATATGACTTGGAACTGCCAAGATTTCGTCTGGAAAGCGCTCGAAGCAATTGCCTCGGAGGGACTGATAGACGTGGAAGACAGCATCTACATTGACGGAAGAGAAACCGTGTGGAGTAGAATGGAGGGCTTGGTTTGAGGGCTTTGATTGAGCAAAAGCCGACAGATTTCATAAGAAAGGCGATGGAGACATTTTACATGATGGAGGACAAATTGTGTACAGGCAGTCGAACGACAGACTTGGTTTAAGCAAGGTTGACGGACAGAATCAGAGAGAAGCAGGTTAGATCGGGGAACTTTAATATGCATCACTTGGTTCTCATGTCGAACTATGAATCTTCGCTGTGTGATGTTCTGGATCTTGTTTCTTGAATTTCGACTCAATTAAGAGAAAAACCTGGCCTAGACCATATATTTGCTGATGTTGCCTTCTCTACCTATCACGAGTTGTTGATTGTGTATTCCCAAAGCCGACTGACAAGCCATTGCACAGGATGTCTTGCTGGAGAGATGCACGCTGGCAAATAAGCACACCAATCCTCTTTCGAGTGCATGTGAAACGTGAAGAGTAGCCTGGTTGACTCAAAATAGTCTGGGTAGAAGCCGCTATCTTCCCAGTCGATAATACCAGAGACCAAATAGTTATTTTCACTATCAGTCTTGACCATGATATTTGCAGGCCGAAGGTCGCCATGGGTAAAGACACAGTCTTCGGTTGGGCAAGGGAGAAAGCTTCGAAGGAAATTGATCCACGGCGTGCTCGCTCCGTGGGATACTGAGAATCGGAATTCTTCAAATTGTGCTGTCGTAGTGATAATTTCTGCGCTATGATGAGAAAATCGATGGTCTTCCTTCACCCCCTCGCCACCGACACCACCCAAGCGTTGGCCATCTCCTTTCAGCCGCCTCAATTTGCAGTTAATCCCATCCAACTGCTGTTGAATCGAGACTTTATTATCATGAGTGAGGCTACACCAAGCTTGCTCCAGCGTTATAGACGGAATGTAAGTCATAAACATGACCTGGACGCTGCCGAACATGATGAGACCATGGGGCTTCGGAGCTGGGATATCAGGTGCGTGCTCAGCGAGATACTGCAACGAGGTGTATTCAGTGTAGTCGCTGTTGCCACGAATGATTTTGGCAACCAGATCATTACCACATTTGAGTACCACACCTCTTGTTTGGCCCTCCCACAATTTCTCGGAGTCCGAGATCATTCGCTTCAGAACCATCACAAGACATTGTTTAGGGTCTTGGAAAGGCCCCTCAGGTTCCAGATACTTGGCAAGAAATAGACTCGTAGTATCGGACAAAGTGTGCACAATTGTTGCTGTGCTAGCACGTTCAACGAGATTAACACAGAAATCTGCTCGTCGTGCTGGGGGCCTAACGCATGATTTGTGCTTCCGCGGCGCTGTGGTTGTTGAAATACCATGGAGCTGGTCTTTGTAGTCTGATGGAATAACAGAAAGCAGGTTCACTTCGGGATTATGTTTGAGGGCAGTTTGAAGCTTTTCGACAACCTCTTGATTGAATCTAGCACTGCGTGTGAATCTCCTTGCCGCCGTATCGAGATCAAATGAGTCTCGGGAGCTGGAACTTGTTGGAATAGATCAGCTTAGGTAAATACCAAAGTAAATTTGTATCAGAAACGGCTCAGACATACCTTGTTTGGTCGTCCATGTTTAAGTTTGGGTAGGCAGTCTTACCTAGCTGCAACCTCGATCTGAAAGAAGGAGGAAGGGGAACGACCGAAGGGACGTTGAGGCTACCGCGGCCGCCTCCCGCTGCCGCCTCAGGCAGCATCACGGCTGCCTGTTGACGCTTGGCACTCAGCCTAAACCGCTTTGATTGGCTATGTAGAATGCTAGCAGTTCTTGACTTCTATTCTGACTGCTGACTTTTGACAAGTACTGCTGGTGCTCAGTGGGCGAAGGACATGCAGATGCGCGATTTACAAATGGATAAGAGACAATTAGATGGATACTCGTTGGCTAGCTTCACACATCTTTTACAGGTACCAGTGCAGAAGTTTGAAACCGTTACGAGGTGCGTCAGCCTCAACCCCGAGCTCGAACCTACTAACTGCCACTTGTGCCTGTTCATTCCAACCTTCGAGGTAATACGGACATCAGTGCGCCAAGCTCTCCAGAAAAACAACAAGTCGCTTCTTGATGACGACGCCAACAACTTTGCTGCTGCCCTCCTCGACAATAATCAAGTGTCTCAAGCCAAGCTTCCCAAAGAGCTCCATGGCGTATTCCATCGGAGCCTTTGCGCAGATAGTCATAGGAGTTCGATCGATGAAGATAGCTACAGTTCCTTCCAATAAGTCTACCGGATCGTTGTCCACCAAAACTCCGGGCTCGTTGATAGCGAACTCCAATTCTCCTTGCGCGAGATACCCATGTAACATGCTGTTCGAATCCACGAGAACCAGTCCAGCATCCATAAGCCCACGAGCTTTTAGCTGGGACAGCTTAGTAGCAAGGGTTGCTTTCGAGACCTTGTATTCGGGGCCGACATCCAACGTGATTTCTCTCATGGTCTGTGATGGTGGAATGAGCTCTTCCACGAGCAACCCTTTATCTCGTACAATGCTCAGTGCATGCTCTGGGTCCAGAAAAGGGTGACCGAGAACTGTCTGCGCGAGATCATAGACGCTTTCACTGCTCAACGCATCTGCAATCCATTTTGCTACCATGATGGCGATCATAAACGGTGGGATATAATCCACCTCACCAGTGAGTTCGAACATGATTACCGCCAAAGACACGGTCATTCTGGAAACTCCGGCAAGGAAAGCTGCTGCTCCAACCATAGCGAACATTCCTGGCGAGCTGGTAGGAACGGTTTGACCAATCAGACGTCCGAACAGAGCTCCTGCATCTAAAGCTGGAATGATGATGCCTGAGGGCACTTTACAGCCAAATGTTACGATCGTTAGCACCAGCTTCACAGCTGTTCCATACACTAGCCAGCCGTAGTAGCTACTCTTATCATCCAGTGCCTCTTGCTCACAGACCCATGAACTGTCTTGGCGTCGGCAATCTACAAGGAGGTTCTTAATGATGACATCTCCGGCTTCCCGAGTGAGAGGATTGGGGAATTGCAGGAGAGCGGTGACAATGACTACCAGAGAAAGTTCAAATACCGGATGATTCTTGATGATAGAGTACTTACGAGATGTTTTCGACCAGAGGAAGTTTGCTTGGCAGAATACCCCGCCGAACAAACCTCCAGATATGCCGAGAACGATGAAGACGAGGTAGTGGACTGGGTCATAATTGATGCCGTAATTGGTTTCGAAAAGAACTAGCTTTCCTGTTCCGGTGGGATTGAGAGCTTTGAGAACAATCGCGGCGAATAGGGAACAGACGAAAGCTCGCCAAAGAACCTTTCGTGGGAAGTATGTGCTAATTTCCTGTTGAAGGTGGTCAGTACTGATAACAGAGAGAAACAGATGAAGTACTTCATAGGAGAACAGAACCCCGCCAATTGGAGCACCGAATGCAACACTGAGCCCAGAGGAGCAAGCCACGCTCAACATCTCTCTCATTTTCCTTCCGTTTTGCTGATATTTGGGAAAATGGCTAGCAACCAAGTAGCCTACACAAGTTGAGATATGAACGAATGGACCTTCCTTTCCCAAGCACAGGCCTGTAGAGACTGCGAACGTAGCCCCTACAGCTTTGACAAATAGTACTTTGAAATTCAGGAAGTGAGGAATCACGAAGCCCGACTAGCAACGTACAATTAGTTTATTTCCGGCATGATGTTGGCAGAGTATTTGGTGACAGAAAATTTTGGTATCATGGCCAAGTGACGATCTGCTCTATAGTGAAGAACACTTACTAAAATTGTCTTGATCTCAGGGATGCCACTTCCGGCAGCCATACTGGCGATTCGTGAGTCAGCATTGACTTCCCCTCAAGAAATATAGGTATGAAAGTCGGACTGAGATTTATCTTTCCCAGATACTGATCATTGAGCGTGACTAGGCAGGGTTCCCAAGGAAGAGAAGAAGGCACGACGTACTACATTGATTTCCCCCGAGGTTGGGACCCCGATTGTAATTCTTCATCAACTTGCCGTACCGCTGGCAAATTCGCCTTGGTAGTCATTGTCACTCCACCAGCAATGAGTCCGAAAAATAGAGCAAATCCAACATATATCCCAAATCCCAACCAGTAGTCTTCAGTCCACATCTTCCACTCTGCACAATACCCATCCACCTCTTCTCCTAATTCCAGCGGAGATGGTACGGAACAACATGCTTCACGGCTCTGGAAGACATTCGACGAGCAATAGCCGACTTTGTAATCCGAAATCGTGGATTCTGCAACGTCGACACAGAAGGCAACCAATGCAGTGAAGATCCCTATCATGGATGCAGCTACCCATCCTTGACAGGAATCCCAAGCCGCAAAGAATCTACCTTTGACACTTGTTCGAGATCTTGTAGCTCGATGTCGAAATGAATCTTTGATCTAGTTCGGATCTCATTCAGTGGCAAGAACCATATAACTTCGGGGAAATACTTACCAGGTCATGCAACCAGTCGATAGTAGTATAGTCATTGTACGGCAATCGCTCCCCAATCGCAGTTCCTGCAAGCTCTTGTTCTTCCTTAGAAAGATCAACGAAACGAAGGTTGTTACTTCTTCACGAGATTGTGTACCGTGCTTTGGATCTCTCAATTCCGCAACCCTTGGGTCTAACAGATGTGAATACTCAGTGGCTTCTTCATCGTGAGACATGATTTTAGTAGCCCGCTGGCGTCGAGGTGAGAAGAAGAAGACATGATGAGGACGAAAAAGAGGTATTAGCTTTTCAACCTCCACGTCATATCTCTGGCTTGCACTGGGAGGGCTTTCTCCGAGGACCATTTAGGATTCAGACTTCTGGAGGGCAGAGATAAGAAGAGCGTGGAAGAGGGTTGCAGGCGAGAAGCCGACCTTATCTTCGTTCCTGCAGATTCGAAACCGACTGGCTGACTAATCACATCTCGCTTATGGACCAGTGTGTTATTTACCTGTAGCACTTTTATCACCTCCGGGTCCTTTTTCTTTTGCTTTCCGTTGAGATCGTCCAGTATAACAGCAGCGGCTCAACGCGATTCTTATGGTGCCACGCTAAATCCTTGTTCCAAATCCTTTATGAGATACATGTATATTTTGAGCATGTTTAGCATTCTCGTACGTCCCTACGGGGGTTCTTTTTACAGGCCTTTTGGACGGATTTTCTGTCTGCGTTTTTGTCAATTGTCTGCATTTTTCTTAGCTGGGTTATCTGATTCTGATTGATTTTTGAAGATTTGGAGTAAGAATACAGACATTGCCCGTAATTTGAGGGAAAGGCCCATTCAGTTCAAATGAAAGACAACTGTCTAGAATTTCTAGGCATAACATACTATTTCTAGTGAAACGCGTAAAGAGGGTCAAATTAGAGATCATGGATCGGCTTGTTTCCGTTCAGTGACCCAGTTCTTGGACAATATTTAACACCATGAAGACATCATACTGATAGCAAGACGTATTTCCAGATGTCTGACATTTAAATCTTGAAAGAGCCATATTAACTGGCTGTATGAGTGCATGTCTAGGGGCTTATAAACAGATCTGAGATTCTCTTGCCCTTTATCAGAATAGATTCGGTGAAGATAAATATCGAAAGAACAGCATATTCCAGTTCAAAACGACAGTATAAGCGACAGAAACTCCCCTCAAGTTCTCCAATATGAGCAAGATTATTTAGATGCCAGCTTCTCAAGCTCTGCACAGATAGCCTGCGTAACCTCCTTCGTGTTTGCCTTCCCTCCTAGATCAGCAGTCAAAATCCCCGCGCCGCAAACATTCTCCACAGCTTTCAAAAGCCTCAGTCTCGCTTCAGACTCTCCCAACCAACCCATCATCTCCGCAGCACTCCAAATTGTAGCAACCGGATTAGCGACTCCTTTACCAGTGATATCAAAAGCACTTCCGTGGACAGGCTCGAAGAGACTAGGGTTCTTCCTCGTGGGGTCCAAATTGCTGGAAGGTGCTACACCAAGACTACCAGCCAGTGCAGCAGCCATATCACTCAGAATATCCATGTGTAAATTCGTGCCGACGACGACATCCAGTGACTTTGGTTGGTTCACCATCCTCACAGTCATGGCGTCGACAAGCATTTTGTCCCAATTGACATCGGGATAATCCTTCGAGACAGCGAGCGCGACTTCATCCCAAAGCACCATGCCGTTCCGCAAGCTGTTGGACTTGGTGACGACTGTGAGGAGTTTCCGGGGTCTGGATCGAGCTGTCTCAAAGGCAAATCTCATGATGCGCTCCACGCCAACGCGGGTGAAAACTGCGACTTCAGTAGCAACTTCCCATAACTGGCCACGATGTGATCGCCCACCATGACCTGAGTACTCGCCCTCGGCGTTTTCTCGCACGAGGACCCAGTCGATGTCCTCTGCGCTACAGTCTCGCAAGCGAGCTGAGGTCCCGGGGAAGACTCTCACTGGTCTCACATTTGCGTAGAGCTGCAGTGGTCCACGGATAGCGAGCAATAGGCCCCATAGGGAGATATGATCTGGAACATCTATGTTCTCATTAGCATCGAGATATCCATATACTGAAGTAGGAGTAGAGAATTACCGGGCGCTCCAACCGAGCCGAAAAGAGCTGCATCATATGTCTTCAGGCGCTCTAAGACATCGTCGTCAACGTATTTTCCGGTTTTCTTATAATATGCTGTTCCCCATGGGATGTGCTCGAAGTCGATTGTGAAAGTCTTCATTGTTTCTGAGAGCTTTTTGACTACCTCAATGGCCGCACTCACAACTTCTGGCCCGATGCCATCTGCTGGAATGCTCGCGATTTTATATTTGTGACTTGGCCGTGCTGCGACCTGGGCTGAGGAGCCGTTGAGTTGGTCTGCTGTCAACATGTTGATGGATGTGGTGTAGATGAAAATGAGAAGTGAGGCGAGGAACTCAGTCTGTTTGTCAAATTTACGTTCACGATCAATTGAATGTTCAGTAAGATATATAACCAGAAGCCCTTGCAGTTAGCTTGAGCTACGAAAGTCTCCTGCCGGGAAACGAAAGTCCGGTGAAATCAAGTCTATTGGTGGGATATCTCAACAGCCTTGCTTGTCACGAGCTAGACTGCTGAATGTGTGATTTTCAGCTTGGATTGTATTCGGGTAATCCTCTGTCTGTGAATTGCTTACGAATCACAAGCTAGAGCAGTGCAAGCCAGACTGAATAGATGACAGCAGGGTTGAGGGGATGCCATTTTTGGGGTTTCTTTCTGGTTTTTACTGGAGAGGAGAGTATGTGGCTCAATAACTAGTGCTTCGAAAACCTGTTCTGTTTATCTTGGTGTGCTCAGGCCATTCATGATACATGTTTTAGCTTCAAGATGGATGGTAGCGTAAGGAACATCGGCTATCTCAATACATCATGCGGAAGGCATCTGAACCTGGAATGATGGTGGTATCCTTAGAAAACATACCATCGATTCATTTCAATAGTACAAATGACTCATCATAGAAGCCAGTTTCTGTGGACGATTTTCCTCCTCGCTTCCTCCACCATTGTTTTGTTGATTCGATGACATCTGTCCCTGTCCCTGCGATATGGTGTTTGCATCCCAGGAACGATCACTCACGTTATGATGTGCAGTGTCATAACCTCCGTAAGACATGGGCTCTATTCGACTGGTATCTTGGCCAGCCATTTGTGGATCACGGAGTTGCTCTGTTGATGTTCGAGAGTGGAGACCATCAATCGGCACCAAATTCATGTTAGTATCCTCAGCCACCCCGCTTTCAGATCTGTAAGACATCTGCCCAGGAGTGGTCGCTTGGGGCATTTCTTTATCTTTCATATCTAGAATGTCTTGATGTTCCTCTATCTGGTCTGGTCTCGTCAGCAACGCACACTGGCTAACACTGACTATGCTCCCACTTACCCGTTATCCCGTTCTCAGCTCTCAGAGCGACCCACCAATTCTGGACATCCTCAGGCGTACTCAAAGGCAGTCGTTTCCATTTTTCCATCTTCAAAACTTTCCTCTCGTTTCCTTGGCCATGTTGGCGCCTCTGGAATGCCTCTGGAACGGAATATGATACAGTGCTGGAAAACCCGTGTGCTTGACTATTACCTCTAAGCTCACATATGGCATTACACAGAGCGATCTCGGTCTCGATCAATCGGGCTTCAAGTGCACCGACATAGCCTCCTGGGATACCCCTATGATTCACTGTAAGCGTCAAAGTTCTCGGTTAAGACAGGGTATTGTTTGATGTTTACCTTCTGTTGCTCTCGGCATAGATGCACGAAACTGGTGGCACAGATGCTACACATTGGCCACATACAGGTCAAAGGAGACATCAGCAGCTTATTGACTGCGACGGATGGAGTAGAAAATCATACAGTTTGCGGTCACACTATTCGAGGAGAAGTTACATCCAGACATTCATCTAGTACGGATCATGTGACTACTTACCTTGCACTTTCTCTTCTTGCACGACTCACATGATCCTTGATTCAGTGTCGGTGACATGTCGCTGAATGATTTCCCGAATACAAAAGGCTGCGTAGCAAGGGATGAACTCCCAGTGCTACTGTGCAATTAGATATAGGGAAGTGCGGGGAGTAACAGGATAACTTTTCCCGCTAAGTCTACCCCTACGGGATTTTTCATGCAGATAACGTCTGTAAATTGTCTATATTTTATCTGTATTCCTAGTAGTAGTAAAATGTAGTAAAATATAGATAAAATTCAGATAATATCTACTATAATTTTATTAAAAAAATGCAGATAAATTAGCGTATATTAAGGTATAAGAGTTTAGGTACCTCGGACTTTTCATATTTTAATATAAAGTTAAATATAGACCTTTTACTACTTACCTCCGGAACACTTAGAAGGGAGACCTACCTTAGGAGGGGAGGGAGGGAGACTTACCTTAGGAGGGGAGGGAGGGAGACTTACCTTAGGAGGGGAGGGAGGGAGACCTACCTTAGGAGGGAGAGAGACCTACCTTAGGAGGGGAGAGAGGGAGACCTACCTTAGGAGAGGAGGGAGGGAGACCTACTTTAGGAAGGAGGGAGACCTACCTTAGGAGGGAGGGAGACTTACCTTAGAGGGAGACTTACTTTTAAAGGAAAGAGTAGGAAAAGGGAAAGGAAGGAAAGGGGAGGGGGAGGGAATAAGAGAGGGGATATTTAACTTTATTAGTTAGAAAACTCTTAAAATACAGATAATAGCTATATTTCCCTTAAATTATAGATAATATCTATATTTTTACTCTAAATTTTTAAAAATTAATTAAAATTAGAGTTTCTAGCTAAGAAAAATATAGATAATTAACTAAAATACAGATAGAAAATCCGTCTAAAATACCTGTTTACAGATAATATCTGTAGGAAGTGCAGATAGTGTCTGTAAAAAAACCCCTGTAGGGTACCGGGAAACGTTTCTCCGGTAGGATCCAGATGCATAAGAAGGGTATGCTATTTACATGACACTTCTTCCTTATGAAAGAATTGGACTGCATAACATTCCATCAGTCGATTAAATTTCAGATCCATTAAGTCATTGTTAGATCCAGTCTAAATAAATCTCACTAAGCCCCTTTCCTTAGCAGACACTTATCTTAGCGACTTGCCTACAGAAATGGGTTCCATCGCCAGACCCCGGATCCTCTTCTTCAACCCAGTCCGCCATGCTCTGGAAAATTTCAAGAAATTGTCCTCTGTCGCACAAACAGAAGTGATCGCCAGTACAAGCCGGACAGACTTCTTCGAGGAATGTAAAGGCAAATACAAAAATATCGTTGCCATCTACAGCACTTCATCAAGTTATGCCGTGACCGGCAAGTTTGACAAGGAGCTCATTCAAAGTCTTCCACCATCTCTGAAACTCATTTGCCACAACGGTGCCGGTAAGTCAACCCCCATGTTACAAAAAGGAGAATCACAATTGAACAGCTTCCAGGCTATGACCAAATCGACATCAGTGCTTGCACTGAACGTGGTATCAAAGTCACCAATGCTCCAGGCCCAGTGACAGATGCAACAGCCGATCTGGCAGTCTTCCTGCTCCTCGGTGCTCTCCGCAATCTCAATCCTGCAATCGAGTCTCTCCGTGCAGGCAACTGGAAGAAAGGTCTTGACTTCGGGCACGATCCTCAGGGCAAGACGCTCGGTATCATTGGTATGGGTAGAATTGGTCAAGCAGTCAAGCGCAGATGCGACCCTTTCGGTCTCAAGACCATCTACCACAATCGCAGTCCGCTTTCTGAGTCAGAGGCAGCGGGAGCAAAGTATGTGTCTTTCGACGAGCTGCTTGCAACGAGTGACATCATCTCTGTTCATGTACCTCTAAATGCTCACACGAGACATTTGGTTGGAGCCAAGGAGATTGCGAAGATGAAAGACGGTGTCGTGATTGTGAATACGGCACGTGGTGCTGTCATTGATGAAGCTGCGATGGCTGAGGCGCTGGACTCGGGCAAGATTGCTTCATTAGGTTTGGATGTGTTCGAGGAGGAGCCAGTGATCAACGAGAAGTTGATGAAGAACCCTCGCGCGATCTTGATCCCTCATTTGGGAACTCACACGACTGAGACATTGGCCAAGATGGAGTCTTTGGCTATGGAGAACGCGAGACGAGGATGCTTTGGCGAGCCGTTATTGACGGTGGTCACGGAACAACTCGAGACTTAGAAGCAAATAGATCTATCTAAAAGTATTGGTAGATCTTGAACTTGGCCTCGAGCTCACAATCTCATCCACATGATCCCTAGCAATTGACTCTCTTACCAAATCAAAGTGTCATTTAACTTACCAGGCATTGGTTATACACTTCCATGAGAGCTTCAACATCTTTGCACAATCACCAACACTGGCTGGCTTATGCGCAGAGCAAAATGGTTCGAGCAAATAAGCGAGAACGTGGGAGAAAGTCAACAAACCAGGCGTGCCTCAGCCTGCAAGCGTCGCGTGGGCTTCTACATTGGGATATGTGGAGGCACCATGGATGATGAGTGTCAGCACAGGAGATGTAAACTTTATTGTCACGGCACTTGTCCCCAGCCGATGGATATTCTCCGCCCCTGATACGGTACTCAGATTTGCCGCCCGTCGTATTCTCATCCAATCGACTCAGGGCGCCATTGTCTTCACCCAGCCTTGCCAATTGCCAAGCTGACAACTCCTGGTGCCAGAAAGCAGAAAGAACAAACGATAAACCAAAGTAGACTGACAATCATGAGCGGAAATGATCTTCCAAAAGTGTACTTAATTATCAGTGTTTTCCAATCCGGCACTTGCTGCTAGGTTCCCCCACGTGGCGCTTGGTCCTCGGTAGCTCCCATTCCCAATCTGTCATGCCGGTCGTTCTCTGCGCCAACCAGAATGGGCTCCCTGGACCCAGGCGCATGGGTGGCTCAACTTCTGGCGGACGTGTCGATCATGTGAAGGCGACGGATAAAACGACAATGCTGTGAACATCGTTGGTGATTTTCCGGGCCAATCCCGTGGGAGGGAGCGTCCTGTTTACAAAATTGTATTTCATGATGAGACAACACCATGGTTCAACAGCTCCGGAGGAACTACCAGATGTAGCATGAACTGCATGGAAGAAGCGCAAGGGGCTGAGCTCTTTACTCCTTACGTTCATTCATATTCTGCTGTTCAGGCTTCGTGATTCGAGGAGCAGGAATTCTGGATCTGGAATCTAAGACGTGTCTGGAATGACGTCCTTGGGACCCAGGAATCTGTTGTGAGTACGCGCGAGGTACCTCATTGGGCTGTTCGTAATTGATAGGGTGAATCGCTTTCTGAAAAGTATGGGGTTTCCTGTCGCCCAGTGTCAGAAGTCGATGATCGTCGGGTGGCTGAATCGGCTACCCCGACCAGGTCTCTGGGCGCTGAAGGTTCATCAGTCCAGGTGTACCGACCAATAATCCTATGTTATTGTGCGATCATGACGATAATCTCAGCAAGAATTCGATTCTCCTTGCATTTAACTTAACTGCAGCGCGATCCTTAGTGTCGATTCTCATCTCATCTTCATATGCAGAAGCGGGTTGGGGGCCCGATCGATACTCCCTAAAAATAGATGGTGATGGGATTCGTGGCAGGGTACTTTGATACTTCCTGAGGGTCGAGGGAAGAGGGACCAGGAGGCGCATTCAATCGGCACTGCAAAGCTAAGATAGAGTAGATTAGAGTATGGAGTTCGTTCTCCACGGAGATGAAGTAATCTCCTACAGGTCGAAAGCTACCAATTACTGGGCGATGCGAGACTGCAGTACTGGGGAAGAAAGCTTACTGAAGTACTACTATGGCTTACGAATGGTAAGCCCCAAGCTGTATTTCTCGCTTGCGGTTCAACCCCTCCTGCAGAAACAACAACACACATGTTCAAGCCAAACTCTAAATCATTAAACTGCTGCCTTGTCCTGCGGCCTTCGCTCATGGTTGCGCAGCACGCGTATCAGTATCTCCAGAGTCGTTGTTTGCAAGTTCGGAATCCGGAAGAGCAGTCATGAGCGGTCGGCGACTTGCAACGTTACTGCTGCTGCCAAACGACTTAGTGTTGACACCGTCTCCAGTGCTAGCAGCATATAGTTTAGAAGGCTGAAAGCACCTTGAGGGGTAGGCTCGCCTGGCTCGGTAGGGACAGTCCGTCGCAAACGAACAAGATAGCCTGTGATAGCAAGCTTTTCTTGGCTGATGTGATGTCTGTGGATTGAGACAGGTGAAACAGAGGTTGAGATTGTGTTCCTTGTTTATGGGCTGCACATGCGTCATTGAAGCTTTGGAATTGTGCAAGATAGAGAGATAAGCGAAGCCTCTTCAAAAGCCACAAAGTTTGCGGTTATCTTTCGTTCTAAATGTAATCAAAAATGAAGAGTAGAGCAGTTAGTGTGCACCTTCTATGCAATCACAACTCCAGCCAGCGCACCACGTCTAAATTGTCCCACAAACGCCAATCGCTATGTTTTTGCCCCAGGTCTAGAACTTCCCCACCCCTCACTACCACTCCGGTAACAAAGGAGCACCTCTTTGCCGTCGCCAGAAATTGGCTCGCTGTAACCAGTTTGGCCCAAGGAGCCAGCCCCAACGCTCTAATAGAGGTTGGGAAAGCTCCCAGGACATCTCATTGTTAGGGTCGTCGCCCCAGGTGATTACTTGCCCAACTTCGTCTCGTTCTCCACCGATGATGCCAAGTTCGGAGACGAAGGCCCTCGCTACGTCGGAAGTGACTGTCATGAGACGCTCTCGCAATGTTGGAGATGCTATCATGTCGATTCCGTAGTAATGAGGGGTCTCGAGCTGTGCTTTGCTAGGCTTAAGAGCGCTAGGTAACACTTCGCTCATGGATCGTAGAACGGCGAGATGTCGCTGCGGATCGGAGGTGATCGAGGGATCGCTGTACAGTGGGCGAAAGGTTTCAAGTATCTCTGATCGAGCTTTCGTGCGGTCGTACGGCGCCATCACCATAGAAGAACTTCATTCAATATTAGCATTGTTTCGGGGAAGTAAGAAGGAAAACAACCTGGCGTACGACAATGGACCGCTTACTCTTCTTTGCACCTGGGATGCTTGTGCCTCGGGCTGGGAGATATTCATAGACTGAAAAGCGGATCCCATTGAAGATCTAGATCGAGAATCTCGGACGAACCCTGATGACTCAGGTGAGCTTTGTGAATTATGACGGAGTCCGGATTGATGTACCATAGAATATGGCTGAGATGACAACGCAGAAGGATCGGCATAAGCATTTATCGATGATGGGAGCATCGACGATGACATGGACAGAGCCGCCATTGGCATCATGTCCGCACCGAGCGTTGCAGGTGGACTGCCAGTGCCGGAAATCGACGTACCGGAAATCGACGGCGACAGCGAGTATTGTCGTGTGTCGCTTGAGAGAGAGGGGACAGCCATTGATGAAGACATGAGATGGCTGGACGAAGACGATGAACCATACATCTGTGCTCGAAGAGCCTCATTCTCCCGTCTCAACTCTTCGTTTTGGTATCGGAGGCGCTCGATCTCTTCTGATTGTTCAGAGCTCTGCTCTTTTTGTGCTTGTTCCAGATTCTTGAGGTGTTCCTTTCTCCTCCGGCCTACACGCTGGTCAGATTCATTCAGGGGAAAATGTACGAGGCACTTTACGGAATTCTCGTTGGGCAAGGCGATTGTACTGTAGAAAAGTATCAATCAGCAAGATATATAGTAGAACTTCATGGGAAATTGTACCTCGCGCTTGCGCTCTTCTTTATCGGCGTTTGGATCCATGTCGCTCTTGAGAGTGTACTGTCTAGAGTGTCGAGTGGCTGTTGTTGTCGTTGCTGTTAGAGTCATTTTGAAGAGGAACTTTTGAAGAATATATATGAAAGTTGAAAACTATCGGAGGATTTTATGGATTCATCCTTCGACGGGTCTGAGTGAGATCATATAACCCTGCCTCCTCCTGCAGCTACGTCTCAATCGGCGCAACGAATTACTCGTTGGGGGGCAGAGGGCGAGCACCCCGGCTTAGTCCCGCTGGTTAGCTCTCAGCCTTGACAAACTAACATAATCCCGGTACTCCAGGGAACTTGAGAGCTCGTAGACACTAGAGAGATAGTTAGGGCTGGCGGGAGCTTGGAGCCTGATCATCGCTTCTCCATGTTTGGTGGAGAGGCCTTTTGTTTCCCGCGAGAGACATATGGATTATGGAGGGACCAGTCCCTACCGCTAGGGAGTATCAATCCGCTTATTTTGCTGACATTTCACCATTTCACCACGGACATTCTCCGAAGAGACTTTTGGACTTCCGGTCAAGACAACAACTCGACCTGAAGACTACCGGACCTAATCATTTCGAACTACATTTGCCAGGCGCAGCCCTCTGTGCTGCCCCGGCGTGCACGGAGCATATCTTTGCAAGGTTAGCCATCAGTTGATCCCAAGCAAAAGGCTTCAGACCGGCGAGAAAAGGCCGTTCGGATATCAAAGGGCACGGTAATGGACGGTACTCATTCTCCGTATACTACTCTGAGCTACGCTCTGAAGGCACGGCCATCCTGGGGGCAGGGGAAGACGTCCTCAGTGACGATGCATACATGGCAAATCGTACAACGGGAGACTGGGGTCTTGTCTTCCCCGTACTTCCGAAATAGAGTCAGAAGCTAGAATGATGTACCTAGAGCGGGAGAGGCGTAGCTTGTGTGAGGCGTACTCCTCACTCGTGGGGTGCAGTCAGCAAAAAGATCGCCGTGACGACCAGCTAGGCAACATTATTAGTAATGATGATATCTGGAAGACAGGCGGTGTACGAGGGTGGCAACGCAAGGCTACAGCTTGAAGCTGTGATGAATGGTAGCATCATTTTTGTGTCGTCTCCTATAACTTTCTGGAACGTCAAAAATTCGACGATGAACGCTGTGCCTTCGGGTCCCCCACCATGTGGCTTCGGCATGGCGCAAAGGAAGGCCTGTAATTAGTCGGCTCCCACCTCCAAACGGGCGTGAACAGCCCCAGCTCCTCCTGATGGACCCCAAACTTCCTTCCATAATCCATAGCATATGCAGGAACTCTTTGATTGTACCTGAAGGCGGCGTTGGCAGCGTGGTAACCCTGCCGCACAACCGAGCCAGATAGCCACCGAAGCGAAGGACTCGTGAAGCATTGCCATCTTGCATGAAGCCAGAATATCTTCAATGCTGACGCAGCATACGGGAGAGCGGGGCTTAGAGCCTCTTTCAGCCTTGTGTGACGACGCTGTGGGATCTCCAGAAGGTGTCAAGAAGCAGGAGTGCCCGACAGGAAGAAAGACGATTAATTTGCTCGAGAGAGCAGTGGACCAGACGAGCCATGCTATGATCGACAGGTGTCTCCCAAAGAAATATCCAAAGCGCTGGGATTTTCTGCCGCAGGGGATCTGATAATGGATCCTAGGGATCTCCAGACGGGTGGTACCCGTGCTTTCTGCAAGGCTAAGAGGGTATCATTGGAAAAGACAAGGTGAGTTTACGAGCGATTGCAGGGCCTTTTCTTGTCAGTGGGACCAAAGTTCATGGGTTCCAGATTAACCAAAACTCGGAACTGAATCGTGCCTTTAAAGTCTCGAGATCAACCTCAGCTAAATTTTCTTTGGATCTCGTGCCTTACTAGGGCATATCTTGAGTGAAACAATTGGTACTCGGTACTCAGTACTCAAGCTATATTATTAATAATACCGCAATGACGCCGCGAGAACCGTGAGTACCGTGAGAGCCGTGGATAAAGAGAGAAGCTGGAGCCGAAGTAACGGCTCGATCCATGTGTGTTAGCATGTTCCATGAAACTTCTTTGGATGAGCGAACGAGATATCAAACTCTAATTGGTGTGTTCATGATAAAGCAGGCCCCGTATACTAGCACCAATAGCAGAGCGACACCAGCTTGGAAGCCTTTCCTAATTCGCTGACGGCCGGGTAATGCCCATCTTGCCCTATTTCATCGCTAGAACTCCCACCCCAACGGTGCAAGCTTTGCTCCAAACAGACATCCGGACTCCTTAACTCCAGGTCCATGCCAGAAGAAGTCCTGGCTCTGATGGGCTGGGGTTAAGGAATTAGAGGAGCTAGGTCAATTGAAATCTCCCTCGCATCTTGGTCCGCTCCGAACTCCGGTTTATTGCTTGGGTGGCAGGCCGAATTCAAGCTCTGAGCCCGAGAGTCCGTAGGAAGAGACGAGGAATGGGAGGCGAACAATGGCATCATGGATCATTTTTCGGTGATGATGCTATTCAAAGACAGTTCAAAGGGATCTTCAGTAACGATGTGTGGCCATGCAGAAGTCGTGCCTCTCGATCCAGAAGGCAGTGTAGCCTCGAGACTGTGGCTTAGGCGAGACGTGATCCCATAGAGCGGTTGATCAATGGACTACCCGATTTGGCTGCCTGAACAACAGATATGTAAGCAACACGAGAAAGGAACGACAACGCAATTAAGCAGTATGCTTGGTATCATGCATTCAATTTCTTGGACATTCCGTGTTGTATTCGAAACGTTTTTGTCATCGCATTCGGCTAAATGTGGCATCCTTTCTTGGAAATTGGGTAGCAGTAGATACTTCTCGAGGATGCTTGGTATGGCACAGTAACCACGCCCCGAAGGCCTCTTCTTCTCCACAATCTTCCTTCTAAACTGCTGCGGAGACCTCTGCAGGGTAGCTGTTTGTAGCGTGCATTCCAAATATACATATCAATTCTCGGCGCCATTCGGTGGGAATTGGTACCTTGTATTAGGCTCTAGAGCAATGGATACTTACTTCCTAGCATCGCTTCAAGTGTCATTGCCGTATCAAGGCAGGTAGACTTGGAGACAAGCTCTACGAATGACGAGCTTTTCTAGTCATGTCAACGTTACCGCATCCCCACATGGTGAACTTGAAGCACGATGGGCTAAGGGTCCCACGAACTTCCCCTCGATTTAGTTCTGATACTGGCTCCAACGCTTAGAGCTACAGTCTACTATCACATCTCCAACTGCCGCTGTCTAAAATCAATAGTTGAAGCTCTCTTAGGTCAAGGCGTTTGCCGGAGCTTTCACTTGAAGCCTCATAGCCTCCATCCAGGTCGATCGACCCCCAGTGCCCGATGATGAGGGTTCATGGATAGGAAATGTATCTTCATTTCTGGGATACTCCCTATAAACTGTCTCTATGATCATGAGCGTCATGCTAGCAATTGTCGTTGAAGACTAAGGACCACCAAACGCCGTTTTTGCATACCATTGGATCTCTGCCAACTGAGCTTCTAGGCGTTGAAGCCGAAAAGGTCTATAGCGTAGAAGAAAAAAACATACTTCTCGCATCTGATATGCGAAACCAAACTGGTATGTACTGTACTCCGCCAAAAATACAACATTCTTTCATTCGTCATCTTGTCCCCTACTCCTCCGCCCATCGCTTCTCACGAACCGTCATCTCCTTTCCAGATGATTGGCGAGTGCCGTCGCTCTCCTCCCGCCAGCCCCAGTACTCACCTAGTCTGATTTCAGCATAAGATGCATAGTCAAAGTCAATCTGAGAGATGACAGCTTGGATCAGTGCCCAGATTCCCCAGTAGAAGCCTGGAATTCCTCGGAAGATGTCCACCTCCGCATTAAGACGGGCAATCTCGGCGTACAGTTCATCCTCGGACTTATCTTCATCTAGGTGCTCATAATAGCTGCGGATATATTCACGTATGAAGTCTTTACGCTGCGACTTGGTAGGAAGCAGGTCGTGCTCACAGTCGAATCCACCCCACTCAGCAAAGTGGTTCGCGATGTCGAAAGCTGCTGGTGAAGGGGTAGCGTATTCGTAGTCAATGAAGCTGACTGTGTTTGGCGCGTTTGGGGCTGTCGTTGCACTCTGTGGTTGTATGATCACATTACCACTTAGCAGGTCACAGTGAGCAAACACTTGCTGCTGGATGTTAGTATTGCTTCTATACTCACATCGAAAGACAAGGTCACTCACGCTATTCTCTCCCAGACCCGGTCGGTTGCTGAATTCTGCAACCAAACGAGTCAACTCCTTCTGAAGACTTGCTTGCCGGGTCTTCTCGGCATCTGTGCTCGTTGGAAGAGCATAAATCCATTTCTGCATCACAGTCCACACGTTGGGAGCAGGCTTTCCTGGTGCAACATTGTCAATCGCTACTTGTAAGGCTGGATCCTTCTTGCTTGGTGTTGGTGCTGCCATATCAAACTTCTCACTGCCATCTATTTCCTCCGACAGTGGCTTTCGCGGCGTGGAAATACAGGGTACAACTGCATGCCATTCTGCCAAACGCTTCGCAACCGCTCGCCAGATCTCCTCCCTCCTCAAATCTGCTGGAGATGTGACCGATCCACGAATGAAACGGTAGAGCATCCCATTGTGGAATCGAGCTAGCAGTTCTGGTGCGAGGTTGTGTTGCATGAGGAGTTCATGGTTTTGTGTTTCTCTCTCTCGGTCGATGATCAGATCTGTACCCTGTCCATACGCTCTCAACAAGACTGCCTCGGCATCTATTTCCTCGTCCGACATGCCATCTTTCTTGTTCACAATCTTTAATAATGTGTTTGTAATGCCATCTGTGAATCTGACGAACTCAACTTTGCTATCTTCCCATTCTGGCCGGAGGGTGAGGATGAGGCGGAGAGCGGATGTTTGTGATTCGGCGGGATTATATGTGAGAGGTATGAACCGGACCTTGCTTGTGCCACTCCTAGAAGTGGAAGCTGGATTGGTCGTAACTGTTGACATGGTGGCACGTTGCGTTCGACGTTGCGGAAGTGTCGGTGTGGGCTATTTATCTGCCTCTTGTTAGCAAACCCCAGAATAGAGAGGTTGAGGACTTACAAGTAGAATCTTCTTCCCAGGCCGAAGGGCTTGTGTGCTTCTGAAAGATGTTGCTCCTTTAATAAGAGTTGAGCTGTGTTGACTCTCAGGGCTTCGGCGACGTCATAAACCTTCGAATCCTGGGAAGTTATTCACAACTCTGGAATTGGGCTTTCAACAGGTGGGACCGTGGTCGCAGAGTGATGCAGAGCAGTGGGAGACTCTAGATAGGTCTGAATTCAGTGTCGTTGCGGGTGAGTGGGGCTTTGGTGAATGGAGTTGCGTGGGCTTTGAGACGAGGAATGGCAGAAATTATTGCCACGGCGGGCCTGCAGGCTGCAGGTCGAACCCTTGTTCAGGAAAATGATCTCGTGGTCAACGTTGCTCCGCAGGACCCTGGAAACACAACAGCCACTGGCAGATGGATTGCTGCAGGACGACTGGAAGGTGTGCGATGAGGAGAAGTGAAGTCTGCAATTGTTTTGTTTGCTATGCCGAAAGAGGTCTCGTGCCCCATTTCCCCCTTCGTGGGCCGAGTCCTTCCACATGTGATTCTAGCTCCAGGGGCTATCGCTGGGACTATCCTTTGTAATTCGCGATTCAAAAGGCTTGTCTCAGCCTTAAATCACACAAAACATTGTGATCCGAGGTCTGAACTCCCATTTCAACTTCATTTGTACAGCGTGCCTGGTTAAGGAGAATTTACTTCCGTTTGGTCTTAAGTGCTATCTCTCAATGAACGAAGTGTGAAGGGTTTATTATTCCAGTCACGATTGGAGCTTCTTCCAACCCAGTTGATGGATTCATGCCTGCAAGAATGCTTCGCATCGCAAGTCCAGAAGTTTCGATTTATGAAATGATCACACCACTTGTTGCAGTCGTTTAAACATTATAGTCATTCAGTCTGGTATAAATCTACTAGAAGACACGCATCCAGGGCTAACACGTAGAATCTCTTTCACACACGCTAATATAAACTCATCGCTCGCCATTCATGTCCTCTCAAATCCATATACACATCACAACCAACAGAACGCTCAAACCAAGCCAGCTTCGAGCTGCCAATGCACCCGCTGCATTCGTATCCTTGAAAGGAGAGCTGTTCGTCGAATCTGGATTTGGGGCATTCCGAGTTGTGCTCAGAGTCGTTGCACTTGAGCTTGTCATTGCAGCAGCTACACTCGTGGTTGTGGTGCTTTCAGCAGACACTGTTGTTTCCGATGAGGACGAGGAGTTTGAGCCTTCATCCGAAGCCGAAGATGTCTGTGAAGCACTGGCAGTTTCCGTGAAGGTAGATTCTTGCGTCGTTGTGCTTCCCCTCGAGTCGGTAGTCGTGTAAGTGCTGATTGCACCAGGCTGGGTTGTCGTACTTGTGTAAGTCGAGCCCTGGCTATCTGTGGAAACGATGACCACAGGGATAACTCCAGTGAAACCTCCGTTCGCTTGACTGGCAGAAGATATGGAAGTGAGAGTTGACGTTGGTCCAGTAACAGTGGTCGTACTTCCCACCGTGATGGGATAAATTTGGTACCAAGTCCTCCCAGACTGAGTCGTAGTGACCGTCACTGTTGAGACAGAGACTACTGGTGCAAAGACCGTTGTGGTAACCCCGGCTCCCCCATCCGCTGAGCTGCCACCCATCGTTACAGTTGTGGTGACCTGCGTAGCCAAGCTGCTGGCAGCATTCTCAGCATTTCTAATAGCAGACGCCGGAATTGGAGAGCCAGCAATCATACATGCGAATTGCAAAGGTGTGAGAAGAAGATTCGTGTCGAGATTGTTGTCACAATTGCCATGCATACAGGTAACAACATCTGGTAGGAAGTTCCCTGCTGAAGCTCGACAAATGCATCCAATGTTGGTAATATCGCAATTGGTATCGGGAGACTGGTCTATACAATCCTGTATACATTGAGGAAGGTCAGCTACGAATTGACCTCGGGCGAAAGGAATCGGCAAAATATGGACAGCGAGGAAGGCTGCAATGAAGCTGAATGACAGCATTTCGAGTTCGCTTGCGGGGTAGTCCGATTCGTAACGTAGAGTTCCAGATAATTTCCGACAGTAGGTGCTCCAATGACAAGTATCCCAAATTCAACGCTCCTTATTATCGTTGGATCATAGTATGAGGGGTTCGTCCGAAGGGTACTGTAACTGATGATGAGGAAGTGAGACGGACAAGATCTCAATTAATACGACAACTTCGAGCTTATCTGCAATAGCCTCTCAGCCCATGTCGTGGCGAATTTCGAGGTCGTCCCATGAGAGTCGAGAGGGCGGTATCTGTTTCCTTGTTTTCCATGCATATTGTGGCAGCCCGGGCGATGATCTGCAAGACCCTGCAACATCGGTGTGACCGCATTGGACCACGGGGGAGATGTGGCTGAAGCTAAAAGTGCACCGCCACATAATTGTGTTGGCCAAGACGGGAGTTCTGCCTCTTCCCAAGTGGTTGGTGATTGGAAGAGCCCTGCCATCGAGTCTTCTTCATCGTCTTTTTCTCTGGTCGATGTATGATAAGTTCTGGCAGAATTGTTCCCGCCGAGATCAAGCCTTGCGGATAATATGGAAAAAAGGTGCTGAAGATGTCCAAGAAATCTTGTCACGGAGGCCATTTGAAATACTGATCAGTATGTAGTGTCCATGAGAATACAAAAGACAGGGCATGCAAGCTTTTAAATTAAGAATACAATTCGAACAAAAACAATAAACTTCTCTCTCCTATCTCCCTGTGCACTTCGGTGTGTACTTCATAAGAACCGCTATTCGCGGACTTCCGATGAACATGGGCTCCTGAGCGATTGCCACAAATCCACACTTCGCATACAACGCTTTGGCTGGCGGATTATCATCATCGACGACCATACTTGCAACAAAAGTCATCCCCGACTTCGCTGCTTCCTCCGACCCGTATTCGAGAGACTTCTCAAGCAGTGCTTTAGCAATGCCTTGTCCCCGAGCCTCGGGAAGAGTGAACATGCCATTGATACGCAAGTGATATTCAGAAAGTGGTCCCTCTTCATCACTTCTGGTTGTTTCCCAGGGATTTGCGGAAGGAGATGATCTAGCCAATATATCAGAGCCTGTGTGTTTTACACAAAGAGGAAAACCGAATGAAGCAAGGTCGAAGAGAACTTCTCATCATGAGACCTCCCAATACTTGTGTAGGACGTTCAAAACAGAAGTGACAGAAACATACTCCTCTGCAGTACATGGAAGAGGGCCGATGGTAGTCAATGTACAAACTATACGATCAGACTGTATGGCAATGAACGTAGTTGCCTTTGGATTTCCCAGCCTATCATACCAAACATCGTCGGTGAACGCGATTTCTCTTGCATACGTTGAACCAAAACATTGTGGAGCCGTCTTTAACGAATGTAACCTGAACGCCTTGTACTCGTTCACATGCTTCCGAATACTGGCATCATCATGGGGTATCTGGATGATCTTGAAGGCCATGTTGACTGAAGGGTGACACAAGACTCTCGTGGGGTCGCACCTGTTCACATGAAGTAGCACAGCGAGACAATACCAGTGATGAAGAAACACAAGATCATGGGACGATAAGAGAAGAACAGTGAGGGACAGAATGGAGTGGGACTGTGGTTGTATCTGGGGCCATCTGCTGAAGCGCTTGTGACTCAAAGAGTCGCGGGTCTGAGAGACCCGGATCAGTGACCGAGCTCCTCCCTGTAAAACTGTAAATAGTCTAGAATTTGCCGAGCTCTCAGTGGTCACAGCTCCACCCCCGATGTCTCACAGGCCTCAGCCGCGCAGCCTTGCTGCATACCTAGGCGCCTCCAGAAGGACAGGAGTGAATACTGCGACAACTCCTCCAAACATTATGCTGCTTCTTCCTTCACTCTTCTCGCGCAGCTCCTGCGATCGCATAGCCATCTACAACCATCGGCATGGAGAAAAACGGTCATTTCGCAGACTTCGATGAGGAGGCTACCTTCAGAGACAGCTTGCATCGGGCAGTCCTCGATTCGACGCGCAACTTCGTGGTGCAGTTTGGAGAGGCGAGTGCTGAAATTGCTTTTGATTTCCAGGCAGATGGTATTGAGGCTCTATTGAACAGCTCGAGACCTGCAGAACGGCCTGTGAGGTGGATGTACGTATTTCTTATGTTCATAACAGCCAAAATACTAATGTCCGGTTACAGTAACATTTGGGCGCCTCACCGACAAAGTGACATTCTGAAACTGCTCGGGGCTTACTACAAGTTCTCTCCGAGGCTCCTCGCAATTGTCGGCTCAGATCCTCCAGAATCGAAACACCAGCAAGACAAACCCGTTGGCAAGTTCAAGGCCAAGCTATACAGGAAGGATGATATTGAGATTGCAACTACGGGAATGAGCCTTGATCTGCCTAGATCTCCACGAAAGTCTGCGCTCCATGATATTAGTCACTATGCTCTTGCGAGACAGATGGTAAACTATCAGTCCCATGATGTCGGGGCACAATGTGAGAATCGTGTATGCCATCTATTAGGAGTCAATTTTAATGAGATACAGTTCTATGCGTCGGAGCAAACTGGATCCACGAGTTGAAGCCTCTCTCCAACGATAATGACGCAGAAAAGGTTTCCGAGGGAAGACAGAAGCGTTTATATTCCTGGCTTGTTATATGTGATGACCGTATGAAACTCTATGTACATTTTCTGGGCACATCTAACCGCTTGTAGATACCGTCATATCACTTCACGAGCATCCAGGAGAAATCGAAGACAAGGATGACCTGTCAGCCATTCGTGCGAATACGTTAAGTGTTTTAAGCCAGCTCTCAAAGCTTGGTACTGCAGATCCCATCTCACTGCAAACAGTTCGGCAAGCTTTGAAGCTGGATCCTGCACAAGGCAACCCAGGACGTGAAGGAGCAAGTCTTCTATTCTACTATTTGTTTGACGACTGGCGAGCAGTTTATTTGACGGTTGCTACGTATCATAGACGATTAGACGAGCTGGTATGTACGTCCAAATCTAGCCAAAGAGAGTTTCACTGACGCCTAGCAGCAAGATGCAATTCTCGGCGAGGTCGTATGTACTTCCAAGAGCCACCATTTGCATCCAAACCACTGACTGTATCAGAATCGAAAGGCTAACTCCTCACCAAACCTCCAAATCATTCCACGACTCCATATTCTTGGACGCCGGATCAGACAAAACCAGCACTTGTATGAAGGGTACAAGAACCTAATCAAACGAATTCTCGAGCCCAAAACCACAATGGCCCACGAGATTCTTCCGTCTCGAACTCCAACAGGCTTCAGCACCGCCCCCGGAAGTCGCGGTGTTTCGCTAGCTCTATCTGCTACCCAACGCTTTGAGAGGCTCAGCGACAGACTGGAATTACTCATCTTGAGCGAAACAAAAGAATTCCTCGCCGAGAAAGATGCCCTGGTTTCCACGGTACATCCTTCCTCCGTCTTTCATAACCAAGCATCACTAACAGCCACCAAGTACTTCAACATCAATGCCCAAAAAGACACCGAAGCCACCGCCCGGCTGACTCGATCCGCAACCTTGCTAGCCAAACTCTCCGTCCTCTTCCTCCCAGTCAGCTTAATGACCAGCTACTTCTCCGTCCAAATAAAAGACCTAGAAGGCGTCTACACGACGCAGGATTACTGGTACTCGTTTGCTGTTCTGATGAGCATCTCCTTCCTGTTTTTGTTCTTCTTCAGCAGGCTGCTGATGTATGTTACTGAGACACTGGATGCGTGGGTCAAGAAGGTCTCGCATTCGGGAGTAAAATATGTGACGAAGAAATTGAGGAAGAGGGATGAAGAGAAGTCGTAGCTACTGGAATGGGGCGTTAGCTTGTGCTTGCGAATGCGGTATTTGCATTAGGTGGTATGGCGTTGGTTGGATGGACATGAAGCAGGTTGGAATACCACAGTGTTTGAAGATTTGATTTGCACATATGAAATTCAATCTACTTATATTTGAACACTTTCTTATATCTATTGAGCTGGCAAAACGCAGTCAAGATCACCTTCACAATATTCAATCTGCACGTAACTTGCGTAGAATCCAATAGCTCCACACTCAAGCAGCTTATCTAACTTGAATCTCAAGATTTACATGGTCTAAACATGATACCCAATCTTCTTATAAATGCCGGCAATCTTATATTCAAAGTTAGCTTGCATCTAGTACTCACTGGTACCTATCAATGGACAATCTAAATCCTCTTGAAGATGCCACTGCCATAATCTTAGCATAAATAACACTATCCTAGCTTCTCAACTATCGTATTCAGTCCAGTCTGCCAAACCTAGATAGATTGTAAACTAAGACATATCTAAGTCTTATTCACTTTTCCTAAATTATTTAAGCTGACTTGTAACAATCTTTGATTTTATTTTCTCGCTAATCAGGGGTAACTGCTTATTTTGAGAATAGTTGTGTCTGTTGGTTCCTCCTTCGTTTGTGAGAAATAACATAGCGAAATACCTAGTACAGATAGCCCAAACGGTATGTCTTTCAGAAATTCTTTCATACTTCAGAAACTTATGGATTTTGCAAACTTCATGCGGATGAAAAGCAAGAGGAGTATATAAAGTCAGGCCTTTCTATTCACAAATGTGCATCTACCTATCTGTATGTCTGTCTGCCTGTTTGCACGCAACTCAGAGCCATCTACAGCAAACCTCCATATGACTCATCGCACTTCCGTGTCTGAAATCCTCGCTAGAGTCATCATTGCCACCTTTCGTCAACCATTTATGCCACGAATCATTAATCGTTCTTCAGAAAACTCTCGCATCATATGTAAACAAAGAGCAAAAGAAAACAACGCATTCATAATCCCACAGCAACACGAGATGGCAACTCAAAACATTGAAATGTGATCCTACCATATGAATCCACCCTTAGTTTGGAAAGAAAGAATTGCGACGCAGAAGGGCGAACCATTCCTCGTCGGTCTCTCCCTCCGCGTCGAGATCTGGGTCGTCAGCCATTCTATGCGGGTTGGCAGCAAGAACTGGGAAATTGGTATATGCTGATCCATCACCTGGGATATCAACAGGGTCGAAAGCTGGTTCGTTCTTGACCTTCTTAGACGGACCTCGCTTTCTGGCAGGAGTCTTCGTAGCAGTTGTTGACATGACTGCAGAAGATCCTGTATTGCCGCCACCCATCATATCGTCCCCGTCCTCGGTGTCTTGCGTGGTAGACTTCCGCTTGACCGGGGCTCTCTTTGTAGCTGATGTAGCACGACCCTACATAAAAGAATGTTATTTTTGTCCACAATGCCTACTTTAGGTAAACACTTACTCCTCGAGCAGCGCCGCCACGTCCACGACCACGACCGGTTCCTCTCACTGGCGTACCTTCTGGGGTGTTGTTCTCAGTTCCCAGAATTGAGCCGACAGGTTGTTGACTGGTACCCAGAAAGTTAAGTGGCGAGACGTTCATCGAAGCGCTGGCCTTTCGAAGTTGGATCAAGGCTTTAGTGGATGAATTCCCAGCAGCAATAGCGGCGTTGAACTGTTCGAGGTTGGCTGGAGTACGCTGAAGGATCAACTTGGCTCCGAAGGATGAGTCTCGGCTCCAAACAAGCTGACCCGGGAGATCCAGAACCTTTTCGAGGCGAGTAGTGTGGAGGGTGAGTTCGAAAGCCCAAGATTGAAGATCATTCGCGTAATTCTTCAGGCACTCGACTGCAAAAGTTGGGGTGTGCACATAGTCCTGCATGTGTGGCACATTTGGCATTGGTCTCAAATTGAACGATTGCTGGATTGGTGAAGCTGGCGCCTGAGGGTAGTTTTGTCGGTAGCTGGCATGGAAGATATCATCATTAATAGCCAAGTTTCCATTTTGATCAAAATAGTTTCCTCGTTGGCCAGCCGGGCTAGACAAATTCGGATTCGATCCTAGGTTATGAACGTCAGGTGTACCATTTTTTGCATTGGTAAAATTGCGAAATCCGATTCCGTCTTGAGCGAAGGCTCTGTGGGGGTAGGCAGCATTACCATTTAATGGTTGTCCATAGCTACTAGCCGAAGAGTCTTTTGCAGGATCATTGGCGTAGCCGGTGGAGCGATAGGGTCCAGGCAGACTGCGTTGATCATTGACGACATTCGCAGGTCTGAAGTACTGGCCATGATTGCTGGAGGCAACGAAATTTTTAATAGGTGTAGGAAGCATACCAGATGCTCTTGATATTACTGGTGATGGGTACTCTTGGTATTCAGATGTAGACGAGCCTCCGTATTGTGAAGCAGCATCGCCATCCGCAAGACGACCATATTCGTTTCTACTAGAATTGCCAGTTATTCTGGAAGCAGGAGCTGGAGAAGAATAAGTAGGTTTCGTGTTGAATTCCTCTTGATTGCTGTTGTTGGCACTTCCATTGGATTGTGAGGGATGCTGGAGATTAATGGCAATGTTGTTATGGTTACCTGCCGGAGCGAGAACTGGAGGCAATGAGGAAACTCTCTGTTGAAGCTCCAGCTTAACCGGGCTATGAGGGCTTCTATCCAGCTGGAGAACATGCTGATTATTGAAATCACTGTTGTTGTCGTTATTGCCCAGCTGTGTGTTGCTGTTTATAGGCTCTCTACTCGACACGGTTCCAGCAGAAGTCGAACGACGGTCGGCCCAGCTGAATCTGTTGCCAACAGCGGACGAAAAGCTACTTGAGACTTCTGTGGTAGGGTATGTATTGGCATAAGGGTTTGGAGGTGCTAAGGAGCCGCTGCCATTTCGTTGGCTGTCGTTGTTGTTGTCAGATATGGCATTGTTGGTATCAGCACAAAGATATGCTCCGCCGTTGTAGGTCAAACCTTCCACTACTTTCAAGCCAGTTTGTGCCGGAGCAAGAGATCGAGGACGACGTGACTTACTAGGATGAGCTGGTCCTGAGCTTGCTGTTGAGATGTCGGCGGATCCTTCTCTGACTTCAATTTGAGCAATCGCTACAGAGGTACCGGCTTCTGCTTGGCTATATGCTTGATGCTGTTGCTCTTCGAGTACTGGACAGCTTGCGAGGGAGTGTAGCTTCTTGCAATGGCTACAAAGATCTTCGGTGTTGGACGACATCGTTCTTCCTTTGCCAGAGGAGATTAAAATGAGGACTTAGGATGAACAGAGAGTGTTAGGAAGAATAAGGAGTACTTAAAGATATCTGTTATTGTGGTGTATGGGAGGAGGGGATGTGACGGTGTGTTGAGTTGAAGTTGGGAGGAGAAGGAGGAGAGTATGTTTGGAGATTTACAGAAAGGTGAGTGCGCCATAGGCGAGGGTAAGGTTGAGGCCTGATCGCGAGTGAATACGAAGGAACCTTACCTGGAGTTTCCAATCACGGAAGAGGAGGTAGTATTGGAGATTGCACCGTGACGATGAGGAGGAAGTACCAGGCGGGTCCTGCTGAGGACTTGGAGACCAGTCGTGAGGTTACGATGGGACAAGTGCGCCGAAAGCGGACAGAGAAGAGGCGGAGGAGATTTTGTTCGGGACTTGAAGAGAGGAGGAAGAGTGAAGAGTGCAGAGTAGGCTTCAAAATAGGAGGGGAGTGACTCTCAAACTCCAGACACGTAAACGCGTCTGGAAGTATTAAGGTATGCTAGATGCAATTGAGATTAACGTGACCACAGGAGTAAAGACCCTTGTTGTGCGACGTAAAGGAGAGTAGGTATGGTTGCTCAATGATATAAAGGAGGGCGGCGTTGACAGTGGTGATGGAGGGGCGGTTCAGCGTTGGGGCGGAAGTGCTACCGAGGACTTGAGAGATGAGAGCCTCACAACCCCAGACAACGATACAGCCAGGCCTAACAATTGTTTGTTTTGACATAAAGATACATACAGCAATGTAGATGTTGTCCAGTAATCAAATTCAGACTGAATGTATGGTCTTCGAAGTGTCCCAGCACCCGAATAGCCGAGTGAGGGCCAAGTGACCATCTACATTTGTCCCATCAGTGTATTTAAACACTGCCAGTTGGATTAAAGACATCCAACATCTTCATAGGCTGAAAGTTCTCAAATCATTTCAGTGCTTGAAAGGATATTCTTCGAATGACTCCAGCAAGTTTAGATGTCCAAGAAAAGTCCCTCAGCAACAAGCATATTTTCCGACTCCTTTCAATACCATGGGCGACAACTTTGAAGTTGAGCTGAATGCTCTTTGAAAGCTTGGAATGATCCTGAGCCAGATGTTTCTAATTCGTTGCTTGAAGATCCAAACAACACAAACCCGAGCCGTCAACGCTAGTTGAGGAACCTGAGAAATCTAACGAATATCGGGCTTAGAGGAAACAAAAAGCAACAAGAGTAACCTATCTAAGCTCTAAATAGTGATAATCTAGTATTGGAATTATATGTTTACAAAGGAGATTAATAAGTGAAAGATATTTGATCCAGAAACCCTTGTTTCAATGTCGACCTTGATCTCAAGGAACTTTGCGCCTCAAGACAAGCCTAAATACCTTGCGACAAGCATCTAAAGATCATTTAGACCAACGAAAACTCGTGACTATGTTCAAAAACTGCACACTTCGGTTGATGCTCCGTCTCCAGCTTTGTTGCTCAAGACTTATTCGGCAAAAGGGTCGCTTCGAATTAACCGAAACGCCTCAACCAAAACAAACAAGAAAGTGACTTTTTGGTCCACCTTAGGCATTCACCTAAGAGTTTCGAAAGATGTTTACAATTGCTGAAGATAACGTATATGACAGGAGGAGAAATTGGATTAAGCATAAAGCGAGCATATACAACAACCAAAGACAAACAGCCTCTGAAGTGGTGATCTCTCAAGCCTTTGCCGTAGTACCAAAAGGTGGCAGAATCAGAACTACCCGTTGAGAGGGCTATTTCATTGTGCAACGCTCTTCTAGAGGATATTTCAAGTTCTTCGCATGTCTGTTCTGTGCAGTTTAAGAGAGAACCAGATCTCTCGAGAGCTCTTGGGAGCTCAAATGCTCGGATCATTCCATGCAAAGCCACGGGAATATGCATTACATTGCATAGGCTTTATAACTCAGGCCTCAACGCACCTGCCCATAGCGTCTTTACAAGTTATAGACGAGAAAATGAACGATGGAAGTCAAGAGAAAGTATTCGCAATGCAGAGTCTGCCAGGCTTGCATTTAATACTTCTAATGCTCACAAGGGAGGTTCCTACTCCATACAATAAGAACAAAAGGTATCATACCATGTCATACTACGCCACGCCCATGCTTTCCCATACGCCGATAATGCATTCGGTACATCCAACCCGAACTCCGAAGAATGCCGCCTATAATCACAACTCTCCATCGTGGATGAAATCTGGAATCTCGTCGCCAAGATTGAACTCTGAGTCCCCATCGAATGACTTTAGGTCTTCTTCTTCCAAGGTTCCAACGAACGCACGTCTAACGAACCGTAGCCAGACTTTATTCTTCTCGTGTTGACGGTGATGCTTTTTCTTCTTATGTTTCTTGTGCTTCTTTCCCTCCGCTTCCATCTCATGATCCTCGTCGTCATTATTGTCATCATCATAGTTGTCATCAGCCTCATCATCGAGGATCTCATCGTCCTCATCGCTCTCGTCTAATTCCTGCTCGTCAAAGGATTCATCGATGCTGTCGCCTTTCCGGGGCTTGTACTGGCCTATCCTATGAGCAAGCTTGATATAGCTTCGCACTGTCAAGTCTGTCAATTTGTATATTGGATCGGTGAAAGTGTCGTATTCGACTTGAAATCGGAAAGGCTTAGGATGCGGAATCTTGTCTTTTGGATGCTTCCCCTTGTGCTTTCCCTCGTGCCATTTGTCAGCATCTGCTCCCTCATCGCCGATGTGGGTATCATGATTGATATAGGTCAGATTGGCAAAGTACTGAGTGTAACCCAGTAGTGTCAAAGATTGAGGAGAGTAAGCGGGTCCAGGTGGCGAGCTCTTCGCAGGCGGAGATGGAACGATGAGATCCGGATTCTTTGGCTTCTTCGGCTTCTTGTGCTTCTTCTTCTTTTTGGCGATAGATTCTTCGTCATTGCCATCCTCATCGTCTACAAATTCGTCCTCTGCATCCTCAATTTTTGGATCGATCACCTCCTCAAGCCAGTCCATCTCTTGTTGCTGATCCGAGGCTTGAGCGCTGGCCCAAGTCGCTGAGAGGTCTAGTCCACTAATGTTGTACTCCATGACCCGCAGCGTCGGAAAGAAATTGGGAACAATGCTCGGGCTGACATGAGTGACCTGGAAACGTTCTCCCCACGGCCCTCCAATCTTCTTCAGAGCCCGGTCTTTCTTGCTTGGCTTGTCTTTCTTACCTTTCTTATCCTTATGCTTCTTCTTGAGATCGTCAATGGTTTCATCATCACTGAATATAACATTTGGATTTGGTAACCCTGACCAATCTGCGCGAAGTTCTTCGAGATAGTCATTTGCAGACTCGATTGAAAGCTCCTCGTCCATCAATGTACGAATGGACGCGCTGTCAGATGCATCTCCACCAGCCACAACCAAATCGATATGCTTCTTGTCCTGCAACATGAAATGGTCAATGTTCATATGCCCGTAGAGCCCTCCGACAATGACATCCCGGTATTGGTCCAGCCAAAGTGTGTATTTCTGCCAGCACGTCTCGTCCCAGAGCTGCTTACTGTCCGTCCTCGCGGGCGGGACATGGCCGATCAGAATTGCCTTCATACCACGATCTCGTATGAACTGAAGCTGGATTCGAAGCCATTCGAAGTGTTCGTAACCCGGCTCGGATCGGAGGGCGCAACCATCAACAGCAGCATTGTGGTCGAAGAAGTAGAGCGTGTTGAGACTGAACACAGCCAATTTCCTCGGGATAACCTCAACGAAGTACCATCCTCCTCTCTCAAAGCCATGCCTCTGCTCCTCCGGGATGAACTTGCTCCAGATATCGGTATATGCCTTCAGCCACTTATTCGGCCCCGAAAGCAGGATGTTATGAGGAAGGATATCATTGTTTCCAAATGTAGAGACGATCGGAATGGCGAGATCCTTCTTGGGATTGCCGTCGGTACTGAAGACTTCCAAGAACTTTTCTGCAACCCATCTGTTCGTATCGAGAACTTCGTTCGCGTTTCGAGGAATCTTTTCGTCGCTGTCGTGCCGTGCAGAGTCGCCGGTCCATATAACGAAATCGATGCTATCTTTGAGGTTTTCGTCGATCCATTTGAATGTCGCGTTTATCAGGGCGTATGGCGTATCGCAATCTGAGGTTTCTGCACCATATGTGCCCGCCAGGCCCCTGCCTCTGTGACACGCATCGTCCTCCTCCGTCGACGAATGGATTTTGTAGTGAGGGTCGGGGTGCAGGTCTGCAAGCTGGTCAGCCAGGTACAAAGATAAGATCCAATTCAGCCGCCCACCTGTGACATGCAGGAACCTTCCATGCAATCGTCGTGAGGCTTGTACCTGTTCCTGTTTCTGTGCCTGTGGATGCTCATCCAATGGCACCTGCAGGACGGGTTGGGCATCGCCGATGGGTGTGCCATGGGAAAATTTAAGCAGATAGGCTGCTAATAGTATTGCGGTTGAACGCATAGCGAAACAATCTTGGGGAAAAGATAGAATAAAATACTTAGGTGCTATTGACCATTCTTGACTGAGCGTCTAGAGGCTTCGGCCTCTGGCTCTGTTGATATGCGCTTTTGAGGACCTTGAGAGTGCGGTGCGGTGACGTTCGTGGCTTCTTCTTACTGGGATTAACTTTTGAGAACGGGGAGTCCGAAGTCAAAGCTTTCTCTTCAAGAAACCAGCGTTTTGGAGGCTCACAACAATATAAGTATTCCAAAATCAAGATGTCGTCGGTCATCGCCCTCTTGATGTACTCATGAACATCACCTTCAGCCCTCAAGGTGTCTCACGCAACTGTTTGGAGGAAGTCATTTCATCCAATCAGGCATCCACGTGTGAAGCTTCGAGTCAGATGTACGCTGACACTGTGGGGGTTTGGCTGTTTCCGCGAAAATCATCCCCCAGCTTGCTTGGGAATGTACTCACGCGACCGCGTTTTGCGCTGCCTTCTTCATCTTTGTCAATATTTGATGGTATTGTGTTGCACCGGATGCATCGTGATGCATGTATGAAGGGTTGTGTTGATTGCTCAGTTAAGACCACACCCCCCACCAGAGGAGTCAGCGGGAAAGTACCTACGCAGGTATACGAAGGCAACACTCATCACTTGGCTCACGGGAGGGACCTCCGAAGTTGTGGCGTCATCTATACCTTTGCTATCCCTATTTACTGACAACAGCTGGAGGCTTGCAGTCCTACGCTGCTCTAGATATTCTTCGGCAACAGTTCTCACTCAACAACGGACCAAGGCAACCAACAACTTCGCCCCCACTGGCCATAACGCTCCTGTCTTCGATAGACCACCAAAACCATATGTCCTGAAACTTCCATGAGAAATGTAATTACTTCAACTCTTTACTTCGACTAACTTTCAAAGTCTTCGGAATTTGGTTCATGATAGGGTCTCCTTTGGCGTGGGGGTCTGTTGATATTCCGGAGCGGTTCGCTTGCGGGGTGCTCGGCGTGGTGGGGTTCTCTTCTCTTCTCGAGTACGCCCAAATATACTTTCAATGGGAGCCAGTTAATCATCGATCCAGACATTTTAAAAATTCAATATGGCATATTGAAATATCAACCCTTCACTTCTCTCCAGTTTCGAAAACCTTGTGACTATTTCCGTAGGTAAGTTTCTACTCCTAAAATGTAGACTTGTAGACTTTCAATTTACGGCATCAGCTGCACTCTAGAGTTCTCAGTCCGGTCTGTACAGCAGAAATGATTCCACTGCCAATAGTATAAATCAGTCAGCTATTCACGGATCGCTAAGACTTGAAAATTGAAAATGGTATCTAAAGAATTTGGGTTAACTGTTACTCAGATTTTGAGGGAATGTCAGAGTAAGTACTAGTTTTCTCACTCCGAGTCACTCAGTCCGCACTATGAGTAAGCAAAAATTTCACCACAAAAGATTTGTAGCCTATCTGTAATCAAATAAGCTGAAGCATGCCTCATATCAAAGGCAACTTGGCTGAGTGGTTATAGCGACAGACTAGAACATCTCTCTTCGGAGAACCATATTCTGGGTTATCTGTTTCCTTCGGGAGCGTAGGTTCAAATCCTGCAGTTGTCGATTTCTTTTTGCTTTTTTATCTAGGCACTGTGGGCTATTTCATTTTGTTTTGGCACTGCCCATTCTTCTCTTTTTGCTCGGTTATCTATGTGGCCCTCCCCAATTTTCTTCGACCCTCCTCCAGTCGCCTATGGGTCCCTTATCTGCCCGCTCACCACGACCCTTTTGAAGTAGTACATCAATCCAGGAACATTGCTTCAAGAAATAGATATTGTCTTCTGAAATATGCATGTAATGAATATTTATTTAGGCCTTGGAAAATTCTGACGACAATGTACCGAAAAGATACCAGACAAATTCACCAAGGATGGGCCCGTTCATCTGGTTGCCTGCATGCAACCAATTAGGCGAGGCTGCAGAGCATTCAGTGGCAGCGCATAGTATCACCACCACTCTCGGGGGTATATCCTAACATCCACATGAGAACATGGTAGCGAGAAGGTACTTCTATGTTTGAAATGGCTCCCGCTCAAATTTCTCACTCTCTGCTGCTGTGATGATAGCACTGAGAGCAGCCAGTGTTTACTCGCTTATTGCCTGGGTTGGATGGCAATTGGTGTATTTGCTGAGCGCGATGTCCTCACTACATGAGCGGCTACATATTTTCATTTGGACACGGCGCCGGGAATTCTTCCAATTCCAGAAATTATAGAATTATACACGAAAGTTGAATTGCGTGTCCTGTGCCACCTGGTATCCAATGATGTTGTTGCGGTTCACGACTCCCCAGTCTCCGTGATATCTAGGCAAGTGATGTCCGTAATCAACACCATCTGACGATGGATCAGAGTCCAGGTACAATTATACACAACTGTATTGCGAACGCGTTCATGTCCCTGTATCTGTTGAAGATCTCAGTCTGCTCCTCATATATTTGGGCTCTTGAAGGTTGGTCTACTGCCGTCCGGACTGAACGAACACAACGAGTATTTAATATGGTTCCTTAGGGGCGAGAACTCCATTATCATATATAACAGTCATATGAAAATAACCTGTTCTGATATTGAGCGAGTTACAGATCTACAAGATCCAACATAAATGATAAGCATACATGCCTAGCAGAAGGACACCGAAACATGGAAGCTAGCCCCTGTATTGGTTGAGCCCCAGTTTTCCGTATCTGTTTTCTTGAAAGAAGTTGGTATAATCTCCTGCAATGAATCTTACTTCTCCTTACAATACCCAATCCAGCCTCAACGCTAAGCACGGGAGGGAGACAAACGAATGAGGGCTGGCATGAGCTAGCTAGGGATCATTCAAGGTAACACCCAGGGGTGGATCAAACGGGGAAAAGCTTGATACTTCCATTTACGACGGGTGCATGGTCGATAGGTTTGGGAACACATCAACAAGCTTGTGATGATGAGTAGAGCCCACTATTCCTGAATTACCATAGGAAGACTTGATTCCAGCACACCGCCAACCTCTTCTTAAAAAGAGGCATCCCATAAATCTCACTTCGAATCCATTGGCTGACAAGTAGAGTGGATCCAGGAGTTCGGTTAGGGTAAGACGAGCAAAACAAAGACCCACCACTCTCTTTCCTTGATAAAAAGAAATAAACTCGACTCTAAAAAGTGATATGATAACCCCAATCCCAAGTAGAATCAGGCCATGTTTATTTTTATCGTGGCATGTGAAGAGTGAGAGAGCATAACAGCGCCAAGATGCTAGTCCCGGCAAACCTGCCCCGCTGAGCTGCCTCGGCACCTTCCATGACGCAGCCAACGACATGTCAAATGCGGGGGAAATTTGGGGTAGGACCGACCATTTACTCAACCCTATCTCATGAAGATCGCCCAGGATATGTGAACTTTGAAGACAGAGGCTTCATATATGTTGACCAGCACCTCCGAGCTCAGCACATGCTCTTGACTAGAAAACCCCATCCATACTTCAAAGTTTGGAACATACACACTGTTTCAAGATGTCGTCAATTCTAGATCAACGTCCTGATATTGTAAGTATCCCTTATCAGTTACCTGTTGTGTCCCGGCTTGTCGGAAAAGTGTTCTGATATTCTGGCTTCTTGAAGATATATGGGAACTCGATACGCAAAGACAATGGATATGATGCGAGCAGCTACACATATTACCCTGTAGCTATCATTGGAGCTGGAGAGTCGGGGATTGCTATGGGCTGTAGACTAAAGGAAGTTCTCGGGCATGATCAATTCCGGATCTTCGATCGACAGTCAGGTATTGGAGGAACATGGTGGATCAACAGATACCCAGGAGTCGCTTGTGATGTGTAAGTATCCTAGCCTTTCCGGTTCAGGAGAGAAATTGCTGACCTGGATTTGACTGCAGACCAGCAATATTTTACTCGTTCTCTTTTTGTCCCAATCCAAAATGGACTGCCTTCTACCCAGAAGGCCGAGAAATCGTCACTTACCTACAAGGCGTCTGCGACAAGTATCAGATCGTGGACAAGATCCAACTCAATACCGATGTCAGAGAGTGCGTATGGCTGGAAAACGAACAGATTTGGGAGGTGACATTGCAACATTTATTGACGGGAGTCGGCGATCTTTCAGAACACGATCGGGCGAAGAAGATTCGTGAAGAAGGTAGACAATCAGTCTACGTTTCGGAAGAGAAGATTCGGTGCAAAGTGCTGGTGAGCAGCGTGGGAGGCCTTGTGGAACCAAAAGTCTGGCCAGAAAGCATTCCTGGAAACGACAAGTTTCAGGGCGAGATTTTCCATTCCGCTAGATGGAGATATGATGTGGACTTCAAGGATAAAGATGTCATTGTTATTGGCACGGGGTGTAGTGCTGCCCAATTTGTCCCTCGCTTGACAAAGGAGTATGGCGCCAAATCAGTGACCCAACTCATGCGTTCCCCTCCCTGGGTAGTTCCACGACAGATTCCTCCTGGAGGGAACGAATGGTGGGAGAAGTGGTCTCCATGGATCAACACCCACGTTCGAGGATTTGGAAAAGCAGTTCGGTTCCTGATTGCAGCTGGAGCTGAATACGACTGGAGGCTCTTCGGATCCGAAAAATACCACGAAAAGGAACGTAAGAAAGTGGAGACTCAGCTTCTTGCTCACCTGCATAACTCGGTGCCCAAGAAATACCATGAGATCCTTACTCCAAATTATGGAGTTGGATGTAAACGTCGCATATTCGATACGACTTGGTTTGCTGGGTTGAACGATCCTTTCATTGAGTTGACAACGCTCCCACTCACAAGTCTTGGCGAAAAGACTGTAACATTGGGCCCTGGCCGCACGTATCCAGCCATGAGCGATACGACAAGCAATGCGCCTTCTCATGAAGTAACACTACCCGCCGATATCATCGTCCTCGCCAATGGATTCGAGACGACAAAGTGGCTTCATCCACTGGATATCACAGGTCGAGGTGGAAAGAAGCTGCACGACGTGTTCGATGAACGTGGTGGAGCTCAGATGTATATGGGAACGGCCATGGATGGATTCCCCAACTTCTTCACAATATTCGGACCAAACACGGCGACTGGCCACTCATCTGTCATCTTAGCTTCTGAGAATATGGTGAACATGAGTTTGAAATTCATCGGGCCCATCTTGAAAGGAGATGTTGCAACTGCAGAAATCAAGAAAGATGCAGAGCTTGAGTAGGCACGAGATACGCAAAGTGCTTTGAAGAAGAGAGTTTGGAATACTGGGGGCTGTGGTAGCTGGTACAAAGACGAAAAAGGCTGGAACTCTACCGTGTACCCGTAAGTCAACGCTCCCTTTGTTCTCTATCTTCGGGCTGACACAATTCCAGGTATACTCAGATTTGGTTTACCTACAGGTGTATGTTCCCTACTTGGAGTGACTGGGACATTAAGTATACCCGGAAAGGATTCTTCAAGAAATCAGCTTTTACGCTTCTCAAAACTCTAGCTTTGATAGCATTGATTCTTGGAATCATAAAGCAGAGGCAGGATGGGCTGGTACCAAAGAGTATGGCTTATCTAAGAGGAGTTGCGAGAACAGTCTTGTTTAGTGGCGCTAGTACTTTGCAGGTGGTTGCAAACAAGGTCTAAGAATTTTGGTTTTGCGTAGCTGGAAGAGAAGATAGAGCAGAATAAAACGCTACTCAATGTCTCGTTTTTATATGTAAGGATTAAGAAAGCGAATGGCCCAGGGAAGAGAGAAGAAAATTCGCACGAGCTATCATAATAAACACCGGATCAATGATTCGCCGAAAGCCGGATCCTGTCGAGTGCTTGAACAGCGGGGTGCTGAAGGAAGGACGATCCTTTCGCAACTCTGATAACACTTGCGCCTTCTTCTATGACCCTGCTTCAGTCGCCGACTACCTCACCGTCCATAGAAGAGAAGATCCTCTGCGAACAACCAAAGGCAGCAGCTCGCAGTCCATCCAACTCTGTCCCCCACAAAACCAGATTATTTCGAAGGAGCCTCCACAGCCCCGTCAAAACAAACACCTTGTACCCCTCCTCGACCTTCTGCGCCCAGATACACTACCTGTCACCCACCTGTCGACTGAATCTGCCAGCGATAGTTGGGCCAAAGTAATTCAAGCTCTACAACGGACAGCCGATCTGCCATACTTCAAGGCAGAAACTCTTCCCACCGCCCTCATTAGGATACTTGCGCCAGTATCTGCAGAAAGAAATATATCATAAGCTAGAAGATTCTGCCTTCTATCCATCGAGGTGTCGAAAAGGTCCAATACATACATTACCCTTGCCCGGCTGCCCTTAGACAGATTCATCCTAGTTCGAAGTAAACACTTTGGAAAGGCAAGGCAGTGACGAGAAGAGCAATCAAACGACGGCGCCCCCAGTGTCCACCAAAACCATATCAACATGTCTTCCTCATCGGGTACACCGGAGTCATGGATCTCATCATTTTGTTCCTTACTCGGCCATGAGTACTTTGCGGAGATATCGGAGGACTTCATTGAGGATGACTTTAACTTGACGGGTCTTCAGACACAAGTGGCTATGTACAAGGAGGCGCTGGAAGTATGTTTGCGCCGCCAATACCTAGTGCCGAGGACTGGGCTAATAAAGAATACAGATGATCCTAGATGTCGAGCCTGAGGAGGATGAAGACGACGAGGAAGACGAGGAGGAAGAGGAAGGAGACGATTCGGTTGAAGGAGAGGAGCGCTTAAACCGTAGAGCTGCCGCAGATCGAAGACACCACCGCATGGCCTCCGATCTTTCGATCATCGAGTCTTCTGCCGAAATGCTTTACGGTCTTATCCACCAACGTTTTATCTGCTCTCGCGCTGGTATCCAACAAATGTCTGAAAAGTACGAACTCACACATTTTGGTGTGTGCCCTCGGACTTACTGTGGAGGAACTCGCACATTACCAGTTGGATTATCAGATGTACCGGGAGAAGATACCGTCAAGTTGTTCTGTCCTTCCTGCCTGGATGTTTATGTTCCGCCGAATTCTCGATTCCAGACTGTTGACGGGGCTTTCTTCGGTCGAACATTTGGGGCTCTTTTCCTCATGACTTTCCCTGACTACGATATCACCAAGAAGGGTGTCGAGGCTATTGCGGGTTCCCACAGCAACCGAACACTACAAGCGGCTTCGGATGGAGAAGAGAAGGAAAAGATCAATGGCATGAACGCTGCCAACCTTGCGCCTGGTCTTGGGAAAGGCAACATGTATGAGCCCAAGATCTACGGATTCAGAGTCTCAGAACGTGCACGCAGTGGGCCAAGAATGGCTTGGCTGAGAGATCGCCCCGAAGACATCAGAGAACTAGACGAGGCTGCCATTTATAATGCTGAGCATCCCGAAGAAAGCGAAGAGGAGTCCATGAGTGGTGCACCAACTCGCCTTAGACAACAATCTCGAAAAACCCGTCGTGGAAACGGTGGCGGTAGTCCCATGTCAGTGGAGGCGAACGGCGCTGCCTTTGACTGAGAGACTTCTACCGTTTGTGGCTTCCGATACTCATTGCAGGCGTCCTCAGGCACTTGTTTCACGTTCATACTGGTTAATTAGACGGAAGGGTGTGTTTAATTTGACGATATTGACAGCGAATTGCATATGGGTGGACACGCGAGTGGTACATATCTCGGTCACTCGCGACTTCTGAGATAGCAAAAAACGCGTTATGCCACCTCAGGTTGTAGTGATACCAAGTCGAGCAATAAAACGAACCATTTATTCTTCTTCCAAACTACACATCCACACATACTAGCCCCTTGCACTGCAGATACATGTATCTTCACCAACCCTGTCTTTCCCCTCTCTCCTTCCCACCCCTCAAGTCCTGCTGTTCCTAAACATACTCAAATCCAAAACCACCGGCGTCCCCAACCACGTCGCCCTCTGCGTATGATCCCTATACTCATCCAGCATCTTGCCCTCCCCATCCACTGTATTAGGGTGCACCAGCGCACTCAGCGGGCCACGGTTTATCACCAACCAGGGGATGAAAGCTCCGAACTGGGCGGGGGTGAAGACGTTTACTTCGAACATGGCGACGGGATGGGGACCGATGGGGCGGTCCCAGAAGGTGTAGATGCGGAGTTCAGGGACTGTGGGGAATTAGTTTTGGCATCTATGGTGTGTTTTTAGGTAAGGTGGGTGGGCACAATTAGAGGGTATGGGAAGGGAGGGATGGGAAGTTACATTCGAGGCGGATTCGTGTCCAGAGTTCTTTGGCGAATTGGAGTTGCTGGGGGTTCGCTTGGAAATAGTAAATGTGGACGTCACTGTTTGCATATCAGTACAATTCATTACATTAAAATGCTATAGCGTAATCCCATTTTAAATTGCTCGACTGGAAATAAGTGGAATGATTACATACAACCCGCCTCGTCTGCCATTATCGAGAGGCTCGGTGAAGCGTTCGTAGCTCTTGCTTAGGACGCCTGTTTGGGGATTCTTGAAGCCTTGGAACGAGAATTAGTAAATTTCCCATCATTGAGAGGTCAAAGAGAAAATTGTAGTCTGGATTCTGTATATTTTGTTGCAGGAAATTACACTCACTCTTCCCATCCTCAGCCCTCTCATCAGGTAACTGCGGGGCATTTTCCCAGCCCGCCAGAGGAGAGGGGTAGGTATACAATGCCGGATCTGCCATTTTCAAGGGAAACCTCAGATATGAAATAAGCTCAAGCTTTCTTCACGGTAGTGAGAGGATATGTAGGTAGAGTTCCCTTGGCACGGTTTTATATCAGGGGAGTACGAGTACATGTGATGCTGTTTCCGAAGACGAGGCTGAGGTGATGATAGATCAGAGCGGGGCATGGTGCCCTTACTGCCCTGAGCGCGGGGTCCGTTCCGCCCATTTTAGGGCTGGATTACCTGAGCAGATTCGTCAGGTGTTTGTCATGGTTGAGAAATCGATTTTGAAGTTTTTCTCTGCGTTGGAGGGCGTGCTGTGGGGTCTGCTGGTTACCACTACAGCCGATGCGAGACGGGGATGGGAGATGTGAAAGTTTGTTCCGAGTTCTGGGGATGGGAATGAGTAAGCATGTAGGTGAAATGGTGTGCTGCAGAATGATGTCCCGAGGATTGGGATGTTGGGTCGTTCGCAAGCGTTGCAACCTTAGCCGCTTGGTCGCACGGCTAAAGAGGTATCGTCTGGGCGTTGTGGATGATGAAGAGAAGGGCTTGATTCGACTGTCTTTAGCTTCTGGCTGTAAGTATGGCCTGATACTAGGTAGGTAGTATTTTCCCAAGTCATGTGTCGAGGTTCACTTAGAGGCTCTAATAGCCATATTGATGCAAAATATGGTTCTGATTTCTCGCTACGCGTGGAAGCACATGCTAAGGATACACTTCTCAACTTTAAACATCTAGACACCCTGGCAGCAAACATATTATGTCAGCTTGGGACTAGTACCTGGTAAATTCTAATCTTGAAGGGATAGGGTCCGCATAAGAATATATGTGGATTTGATTGGCGACCGGATCCGATTTCCAGGTAAGACTCCCCAAGTCAGGGCTGATGGGCAAGAACTCGATGATCAACGAGTTGATTTCTCCACCGGGTTTGTACTGCGCCATATTCAGGATGCTGAAATCAAAGACAAGTGTGAAAGTTCCACGGTCTCTTGTCTCTTTGGTTCTGCTTTACTTAGTGCTTCGCTTTCGCAGTGTTATTATCTTCACCATCTGGTTCTGTCAGATTTCGCTATTGGCATTTGGTAGTGCGTAGCCAGCTTACTCCTTTTTGTTGCTGCTACAGTGGAGAGATGACACAGGACAGGAATACCTTTAGCAAATCTCCGATGAAATCGGGCATTATATGCTTCCGACTGACAATTAAGTCCGAACGCGTACAACTTCTCCGAGCTGTTAGGAGATGAAGTATCGGCTGCCGCAACTTTGTCCACTTTTGCTGATAACTAGAAGGAGTAGTGGCCATTTGACCAAAGGATCACCTACACCAGTTCAACTACTCTGAAACAAACTTGCTTATTTGTCAGTTTCTACGGAGGGCACCGGAAAGAGGGTTGGCCACAAAGCAACGACACTACGGGATTTTGCCTCAGTAGGTCTCCAATAAATCCGCTGAAGCCAATTGGCTTAATGTGCTGCATGTAGGAAGGAAGCATCACTTCGAGCCATTTCTCAGAGTTGTGCTGTGCAAGCAGGTCGGGAGAATAACGTCCTTCTCCCAAGAAAATGTAATGCTGAGTTTGATTAAGGTCTGGGTCCGGCCCCCAAATCCCACCTTCCCATCAAATAACGCCTTGAGGCTTCTGATTGCATCCACGCGACGGCGCTTGGGACTTGGTATGCATCTTCAGAATCATGGCCTGCATGGGATGGGAGGGCGCTGTTGTGCCACGTCGACTTGGGCGGTCCCCTTTCCCAAGAGCTGGGAATATTGCGTTCAGGCGTATCCAATTACCGCCTCCCAGTCATTTTGGCGTCTTACCATCTCTGATAAGATCAGAAGCAGTAAGTCAAATGAACTTCCAGTCTTTCCAATCTCATCAAACTCTGCTGTTGACCATCGATCAATGGAATTGTCTATTTATGTATCAGATATCGGGAAATTTGTAAGGTACTTTGTAATATCTTACTGGGCTGGGCATGCATACAACCGTCAGGGCTCACCAATTTTTGGGTCGCCGCGGGAAGTAAAGAAGGAGGCGCAGAAGAATGGAAGCTTTTCTCTAGGTAGAGTTGACGAGAGACTTGCGACTTCCGGAGCAATCAACTGGGCTGTCTCGCAAAGGGTATCGGCCGAATCACAACAGAGACGGTCTGGAAGAATACACAAAGCATGAAGACGTCAGCCTTATGAATAAGGACCCATGCCCGTGAGGCTAGGGAACGACTAGCAATATCGTCTAATCCCTCCTTTGAGGGCTGTCAGTCGTTGACTTTGACGAGCAGGATTGCTTACCTGGGTCCTGGATCCAGGATCCTATTGCAGCAGGAACGAGAAGAAGCATCTAATCAAATGACTCGAGCTTGACTACTGCAGCAAGACGCCGTCGTTCCAAAGTATGCACGTCTCATAGCTGGCGTTATGACAAGTTGTCTCTATTCGTGGTTGGTACGCAGCCCTGTAGCCCTACGGCACCGCCGTGTGCTCGCTTCGGCAAGGTGTGATTAGGGGGAACAACACCCAGAGACTGGAGATGTTTCCCCCACTATCACTATGTCGTCTAATAATTTGATGGGCCCAGGTCGTCCAAGTGCTGACCAGATCTCAAGCATGGCTTTCGATCTCAATGAGTAATACTCTAATGTGCGGCCGACCTTCCGGATTCATGGCACTCCATATAAATTGCGCAAGTTATAGGGGCAAAAGCCACAAAAGATTGGAAATGTCTCCTTGAAGTACGCAAGGGATCGTACTTGTAGCCAATCAGCCGCAGAGTCTCGGCTTCAACTTAAGACATGGGGGAAAGTCGTGGTCGTGGATGTGGATGTGGCAGAGCCCGCAAGCACGGAAGAACTTACGAAGAATCTCTCCGTAAGCCATCCAATGGTTTGCCCGCAACACCGTGTTCCTAGGATGCGTCGGGTCGTTCCATCACAAACACCAACCGAGGCCTGACTGAAATCCACCACGGCCGCATGCATCCTCTCGTCATCCAGTGACATCCATATCCATTATCATAATCAGCCGTGACATGACATGACTGACAGCCTGGTGATCGGCGTGAAGTCGAGACCGCAGTCAGAACTGAGATTTGGGTTCTTGGGACGCTGTACTGTACGTCCACTGCAGGTCTGTCTGTGTGATGAGGTGAACCACAGCACTGGTATTTTGAGAGCACACTGCACACTGCACACTGCACACTGCACACTGCACACTGCACACTGCACACTGCACACTGCACAGTGCTGGGGAGTTGAGCCTGAGGGGGGAGAGGATGAGCACAACCTGGAGGACGACTGGACTTGAGGTAGAGAGAGGCTCAGAGCAGGGCTTGGTCCCTAGTAGCCGAACATCCCTCCCTCCCTCCCCTCCTCTGCTGATATTTGGCCAAGCCAAGCCAATATTTCCCTCGCTCTGACCTTCTTGTCACATCATATCATATCATATCATATCATATCATATCATATCATTTACCATTAGCAAGTCCTCGAATACTCGTCATGACTGCCCTCTGAATGTTGTAAAGGACTATCTGTATCCAATCCATCGAAGATGTTCCGCGAGCGCCATGTGTCTCCAGATGTGTTACATCCGGCAGTTCTAAGCCACCAGGCTCTCCAACTCGTGGATCTCTCCTTTCCCCTCCCACACCTCATCGAATGATCCAACCCCGTTACCAAGACGTGCCCCGGCTCACCGTTCCCAAATCCCACGATTCGCTGGCGCGGAGGTACAGGGCATGACCGGTGCTGATTCGTTCTTTCGGGGCACCCAAGGACGTCGAACTTCGGCGGGACCGACACAGACCACAGCCCACAGCCTAGCGAGAGCCCTAAATCTCTAAGTGACAGCACTAGGACCCCCAAACCCCAAACATAGATGGTACTTATCAACTCTTCTCCTCCAGAACCTCACGCATCATGTCCAACACTCGTTATGCACCTCTTGAATGTCCCATATCCAACTCCAGATTAATTTTTGGCCCTACTTCCTAACGCCGCTGATTACACATATGCACTCGCCGATCCCTGATCTGATCCATGTTGCAGCTTCGACGATCCCGAGAGCTGCTTATGGGCACTGCTGCAGTACCTACTGAACATTATTTCTAGTCATGGCCAACCACTCTGTGCAACATCCTTCGAAGATGGACTCGCAACACACTGTTCAGTATCCTCCGGTAATACAAGCATACCCGACCGAGCTGTATCGACGGTCATCTTCTTCGGATGAGAGCCGGCTTGTGAAAAAGCCGCGTGCAAGTAAGCCCAAGGTCAAGTCTGGATGCGTGACTTGTAAGGTGGGTGGCCAATTCAAGATGCACTGCTCAAAGACGATGCTGATGATCCACGCAGGCTCGGAGAGTTAAGTGCGATGAGACAAAACCCCATTGTCTCCGATGCCAGAAGTTTGGAAGAATTTGTGACGGCTATACTCCTGAGCCAGCACAGTCCCGTGGATTGAGTCAACTTCAACCGCGAATTCCGTCTAGCAGTCTGTACGGCCCAAGCGTAGCTATCCATGCCACAGAAGAAGAGCATAGATACTTCCAGGTGTTTACTGAACGTACAGCCCACGAATTGTCAGGCTTCTACGACCCAACCTTCTGGACGAAGCTTGTCCTTCAGGAAAGTCACAGTGTAGCAGCCATCCGACACTCAGTCATCGCTCTAGGTGCCCTCAACAAGAGCTTGGAGTCTGCCCCAGGACCCAATCTGAAAGTCAATGTTATTCAGAGTATCGACAAAAGACATCATGAGCAAGCTGTCCTTGCACATCTCAAAGCTATCCAGTCACTCAATAGCTATATATCCTCGTCTGGTTCACCACAGCTGAGAAATGCTCTCATTGCATGCTTACTATTCGTCTGCTTCGAGACATTCCAAGGTTGCTATGCATCCAGTGTTCAGCAAATCTATGGAGGACTGAAAATCCTCCGAAGCTATTACATGGGCAAGCCGGGTTCGCGGCCGTGGATCCCTCGGAGAGGCGCCGTTGACTCATTGAGGTTCAAGTCCGGCCATGTAGCTAAAGTCTCCAATAGTCTTCAGACACGAGAAGGTTGCGATAATGTTTCGAAGGATAGAGCCATTGCTCAACACGTCGAGGATTACCTAGAAAACGAGAATTATTCTCGAACGGACCTGACAGACGAGAATTCCAACCTCATAGCAGCGTATCCCCGTGGAGATCTGGCCAAGTCACTTGTACATGATCCGGAATTCTTAATTCGCCACATGGGCGGAACAGAGTTCCAGCAAACCCCAGTGCAGAAAGACCAACAGAAAAGGAGTTCACATGCCCCATTGATGCCATCTCCAATGGAGCGACAGTTCAGTGAGGGCAGATCATCGGCAGGAAACCCATCACCAGAAGCCTTGACTTACTGTGGCATGAAACAGCTTTCCAGTTCTAATCCGACGACACCAACGACATACACCCCTCCTTCAACAGCTCCTCCGACCCCATCGACACTCATCCCCGTGCCATCACAGAACTCAACTGCCGCACCAGCCCCAATCACAAGCCGGAAACGTCCTCTCGCTTCTCGAAGTCCAACTCCTGTGCCTCTTCTCCAAAACGACCTCACCATCGAAGAAGTTCTCATACAATCGTTCGTCCGCCTCGACGGATCTGGTCTCTTCTTCGGAATGGTACCTGGAATCCCCCCTTTAGTCTGGGACACGCATCAAATCTGGCACCTCCCCATCCCCGCTGCCCCCTTCACCCACTTCCCCACTGCGCAACGATGCTGGGACTTTCTCATGGACCGCACCCTCCAGTTCTACCGCCGCACTCTGTTCAATAGACGCTACGCCCCCTCGACAAGTGATCCCCCGGCCCTAATAACAAAACAATACAACATGCACACCAAGCAACTCTCTCTGTTCGATAAAGCCTTCGCACCTCTCCTCAAAACAGCCATCCTCCCAGACGGTACCGTCACCAATGCCGCCGCTCTCATACTCTCTCTCAACCTAAAATGTACCGCCATAATGCTCGCCACCGTACAAAACGAATCAGAAATGCTCTACGACGATTACATCGAGGATTTTGCATATATAGTACGCACATGCAAGAAAATCGTTGCGGAGCAAGACTCCCTCCACCTGCCGCGCAACACACGCTTCAGCTTCGACACCGGAATCGTACCACCTTTGCACGTCACAGCTAGTAAATGCCGCAACCCTGTCATCCGTCGTGAGGCCATCGCGCTCTTGTTCTCAAGTCCCAGACAAGAAGGCATGTGGGATGGTGTGCTCAGCGCGCGAATTGGGAGGTGGCTGGCTGGGTGCGAGGAAGATGGCTTACCTGAGCCGCCGCTACCGTCACCATCTACTTCGACAAGTCCCGAATCTTCGACTTCGAGCGAGATGAGGAGTTATCCAAGCCCGCCACGTATTGTCGAAGATAAGCGCTCTGTTGGTGGCTGGGAGGCCGGACGGCGGATATCGGAGGTAGTGAATGAGATGCATGGTTCTAGCGATGAGTATGGTGCTGAGGCATACGGGCCGGGTGCGAAGCGGCATGCTCATTCTGGGTTTTTCAGCATCGGGGAGCAGAATGGGAATGGCAGTCTGAATGGCAAGGCAAATGGAAAAGCAAAGGCTGTGCCGAGCCGGAAGAAGAGCAGGACCACAAATGGGAATGCGAATGGGAATGGGAATATTAATGGGAGTGGGAGTGGATGGTACGTCCCCGAACAAAATAGAGTGCAGTTGATGGTTGTGGATTTCCATTTGCCAGAGAGGTATATCAAGGTTAAGTGCCAGAGAGCACTGCCAGGGAGAGACGGGAAGAGGGAGGAGAGGGAAACGGTCATTGCTTGGTAGAGAGCAGTGAAGAGAAAGACGGGGAAGAGATGAATAGCGCAAAGTCAGGAGACTGAATCAATCGAGGCTCAGAAAAGGGTGAAATGAAAGCGCATGGGAAGGGATTTTCATACAGCTGCCCAGCTTCCTGGGCTGGGTTGTCAGCAAAAAGGGGCGCAGGCGGAGGACATGTGTACGATATGGTGTGGGAGACAGGCGCATTTTGGTGCATGATATAAGTAAGATTGACTATATCCGGACTCGGAGTTTTTGGATGGGTTACTCAATTGCGCTTTCGCTAGCTGTATATTTGGAAGGGAAGACAGAGAATTGAATTGCTCCCTTACGGCGAGAGGGACACAATTGCTTGCGCCCTGGGCTTTACATACTATACCTCGCTGCATAATAGCTGGCAAGCGCTTTGGTATACAATTTTGAAGATGTATTCAATCATTTGAGCAATGTGAACAATATCTGAAAGAAAATCTAGTCTGGTGGATCCATGCGTGTCAATCGCTGTTGTCGCGTGCCCATTTCCAACGATTTTCTCTGCACTTTGAAACCAAGTCACAAAAACGAACTTGCTTCGAAAACAGTTATCATTGATCCCAACGACTTTTGCAACGTAACATCGCAGTCGGACTTTTTGATTTTTTTCAATCACACTACTATCTAAACTATGAACAAAACTTTCATGTGACCGGCAAGAGCAAGAGAGAAAGGGTATCTTTGATTCAGAAACTGCCCGCCCATTTCCCATTTCCCTTTTACTGGTCGCTGTACCAGAATTAAACGAATTAGAAGCCCATTTTATGTCCACCCATCCATTTATTCCTCCCATAATAGCCCAGCCCAACCTGTATATGCAATGCAATTAGTGAGACGACATGCCAGTCAAGTCTCATAGTTTGGCTAGGTATTGGCAAATAGCAAATTCCCAACATGCACACACATTTAGTTACTCCCAAGTCGTCAACGCCGGTAAATGCTTGCATCCATGAATATCAAGTTCAAAGAAAAATATTGCGATCCTTCTAGGTCACTCCGGAAGTGGTGCCTCAGGTGCTTCAGCTGCCGTAAGGACTGAAGGAGGAACACTGGTTTTATGTATCTCGCACCCAATACACTGGCAATCGTCACCGCAGGGACAGCCCGCATCATCACCGATACACGGTATAGGAGGTTGTCGATGGATCGTGCAACCTAGACACTCGCAATCGTCGCCGCAAGGACAGCTTTGCGTGTCACCTCCACAGCCGTCGCCAGAGAATGGATAGCTGACGAAGAAGAAGTCCGCGGCGGAGTAGTTCTGCTCTTCGCCGTTGGCCGACGTAGTGCTTGAGGGTGTATGTGCTGTAGGCGACGCAACTGTGTCCGCTACAGGCTGTGTAGTTGGCACGCCGTTTCCGTTGACACTTCCATTTCCGTTTATGGCTCCATTGCTGTTGGTTGGGTGGTGGCCGTTTGTGTACGGCTCATTGTTGACGTGTTCCATGGAGAGGTTATAGGCTGAGCGGACGTAGTCTTGGGTAGCGTCGTTGTATGGGTGGGCGGCGCAACCGACACATTGGCATCCATCTCCACAACCGCATGTATGCACGGTATCAAGCCCAGGGCCAAGAGGTGTATCGAATGGTAACTGACCTGGTGGGAAGGGAACTTGAGTATAGTTATTTGTTTGCAAGCTTTGTCGCCATGCGGTTGGGTGGAGTGGATTCTGGAAGGAGCCGTAGGTGGCGGGGTAAGTGAAGACAGTCGGTTGGAAATGTATACCGTTATGGGGTAGCATTTGATGCGCCATCTGTGGTGTTGCTTGTGTTGACACTGGTTCGAGTTTTGGCTTGACTTTAGAGGAACAGCAACTTGAAACCTTTGGAGCAAGTTCTCGAGGTTCTGATACTGAACTTGTACTCGATGTGTGACTATGGCCGTTGGTCTTGTTACCGTTCTGTTTGGGAGCACAACATGATCCTCCATTGGTCACCGCGACTTCTGCGATAGGTTCCGTAGCTTCCATATATGAGCCTCCATTCGTGAATTTGCCAGAGTCTCGACTATTAAAAGGTACAGGCGTGGCTAAAGGACTCTCCATGAAATGATCGAGTCCATTATGTACCCCGCCATTCATGTAACCATTAGTCCCGTTGTAAATGCCCTGCGGATGAGGCTGTATTGGAATGGCATAATGATGTTGTGGATATGGCGGCGCAAACCCAATCATTTGTGGAGCTGGAGCGGGAACAGCATAACCATTGGAGTAGGTCACCGGGATGCCTTGTGGTCCATGTATGTTTATTTGAGTCGGATCCATCCTTTCAAGGCCTGCCGTGGAAGACGGTTTCCTACTAGGCGGCGGTCTGCCAGCTTTCTTGTCGATTTTAAATACAATCTTGGATGGTGAAGTGGGATCAGCGGCACAGTGGCATGCTTGCTTTCGTGGAATGGCAGCAGTTACACTGCTACAACCACACGCTTGATCCTGGGGATGTGGGCAAGCGCTTAATGGTCGTCCTGGTTTCCTCACTGGTACCATCAATCTCTCGTTCGCATGGGTACATTTCGTGGATCGATGGCCTCGGATACATGGCTCACTACAGAAATAGGATCAGCATGTGCTCACAAGAACGACGACAACAAGAGCCTATACGCAAGACAACACAGGTCGTCGGCGACATCAATGAGGCTCCCGGCGCAAACAAAAGAGCTCAGCCGTGCCAAGCATCCACAATGAGGGGGGCAAGCACATACCAGGCCATCTTCATTCCATTGATTAACGGCATCTCGACTGGTGGGCGATCGCCGCAGAATAGGTTTTCGTAATCGGTAGGTCGGTACCAGTAGATAAGGCAAGGTAAGGCAAGCTGCACAAGTTGACGAAGTCGAAATAGGCTCGAGGTTCTCGGAAGATGCTGTCAATACCCTCGGGTCGCCGCAGCCTGCATGAACTGGCACTGGGGACCGGCGCAATGAGGCTGTATGAATCCAGGCAAGCGAGTGTTCCAGAAGTCCTGTTCTTTCCTGACCTGGTACCAGCGTCTGGCGCGTCTGCGGGTGATCTAGATCCTAAATCTTCTTGATCAGCGAGGTGGAAGGGACTCGTATGCGATAATCGTTGAATCAGTGTTGGAAACGGCGGCCATAGGACGGACGATGTTGGAGGGACGAGGGAGGACAAAGAGGGGATTTGCGCTGATTAATTGGAAGGGGGGAGGGAGTCGGCAGCGGATTTCAAAGAGGTAGGTAGGTAGGTAGGTTTCTTATTTGCAGATGGGGACCTGGTTGGGTGTATTGTAGTGGGATAGATCCGAGCTCATGGGACTGGTCGTTGAGTTGAGTCGGGATCGGACAGCGAGTGTCAATTCGTCTGTCTGTTGACTAACTTCGTAAGGATGGTGTGAAACTCGGCGGTGGACACATAAAATTCACAAGACCCCGCCGGTCTTTTGGTTTCTTGTGTCCGAGGTGGGCGATGGAGTCCAGCGTCTGGTGGGGGAGGGGAGGGGAGGGGAGGGCTTGGTGGACGTGGGAGAGGGAGAGTTAGGAGAGTTGGGATCATGGTAAGCATTTGATGTGATGGCTGATGGCCGTGAAGGTAGGTAGACAAACGCAAGGTCAGAGGCAGTCCAACTTGAGCAAGTTCTTCGGGGTGTGATTGGCGAGAAAACGCCACACCCGCAGGCCTAGCGAGTCAAGAAGGGACCCTGCCCTGCCCTGCCCTGCCCTGCGATGCAGCCCGGGAGAAGGCTACGGCATGGCTGAGGATGTCTGCGAAGGAAAGGTTGCTAAGGTCGGAATCCTGATTGCATATCAGATGCTCGACTCGTCTCGTGGTCTGTAGACGGACGATCTGTAATTGGGATCATCTGATCTAAGACATATCAATTGCTATACCTAGATCTGACCTTGATATCCGACAAAGAAGCAAATCTCGTCTTTGAAACAAGTAAGGCTGGGAAGAAGAACGGGCATCGTTTGTAACGTAGCTCGCCCCCTAGGTCCGAGGCACGGGCGGAACATCAGCAAACATTGATAGGCTGGTCCTTACAGGGCTGCCGTGCCTTAGCCTTATCTAATCGGGGGGTCGGCGGGGTTGGTTGGAGGGGTCAAAACACTTGTGTTCGCGATCCAGATGACAATAGGCTATGAGCAGTTGATACTCGAAGGAGAAGAGAAGAGAAGAGGAAAGATCTCATGAGAGCATGTTCGTCGTGCCCTTGTACTGTGACTTAATTGCCCACGCACTTGCGGGAAGCAATACTTGTATACCTACACAGGGGTCTCGGAAACCCGCAGGGAAGGTTGAGCTAGTCCACCTGTCCACCTCCCACCAAATGCTCGCTTAGAAAAAACATCAAAACTTCTTTCCTTCTTCGGACTTCGGAGTATTTTGAGGCGACAGCAATCAAACAGACATTGAATATACTACCACGGTAAACAGAATGTTTATGGTTCAATACAATTTGCACGTATGTACAGACTCTAATTTGGCTATCCACAAAAGCCAGGTATCATCACATGTAAGCTCCAAAATCCCACCCCTCAAGGTGCAGCAGACTCCTAAGGCCCAAACCCTTCTATCTCCATGTGTCGGTCCTGACAGACGAAACGAAACAACGAGTTGGACTCAATGAAGCTAACATGACTCCAGCCAGCCTTGAGAGCCTGAAACATCTTGCGGGTACCTTGTCCTCCACCTACCCACGTGATTCACCCGCAACCATCAGCTCGCCTATTCATCAACACATCAACAGTCTAAGCTTCTCATTCAAGGCTCTCACAATGACATCTCCTTCCCAAGACGACATTCTCTCCGACGACGGCGGCGGTCTCGACCTCTTCACCGAACCCGCCGACTACTACCCTCCCTCACCCACCCCCACAACAGAAACCCACACTCTCCTCTCGGGCCGCACCCTTACCGTCAACCTCGTCGGGCACAACCCTCTCTGGGGTCACCACCTCTGGAACGCCGGCCGTCTAATCTCCACCTATCTCGAGAAGAACCCTTCTCTGGTGAAAGACAAGACGGTACTGGAGCTTGGCGCGGGAGCGGGATTGCCGAGTTTGGTGTGTGCGGTGCTGGGGGCGAGGAAGGTCGTTGTGAGTGATTATCCGGATCCGGATCTGGTGGGGAATTTGTGGGGGAATGTGGATGCGTTTTATAGTGGGGAGAAGGGCGTAGAGGACGGGAAGAGAGAGGAGAGGAAGTTGGTTGCGGAGGGGTATTGTTGGGGGGCCGATGTAGCCCCGTTACTTGCTCATCTTCCTAAAAGCGAGAAAGGGGATGAGGCGAAGGGTTTTGAGGTGTTGATCTTGGCGGACCTATTGTTCAACCACTCGGAACATGGGAAGTTAGTCTCGACGATTGAGAAGACGCTGCTTAAAAGCGAGGATGCTAAAGCACTAGTTTTCTTTACGCCATATAGACCGTGGTTATATGAGAAGGATATGGCGTTCTTTGATCTGGTGAGGGAGAAGGGCTTTGTGGTGGAGAAGGTGTTAGAGGAGAAGATGGAGAAGGTTATGTTTGTGGAAGATAGGGGAGATGAGGAGTTGAGGAGGACGGTGTTTGGGTATGTAGTTAGGTGGAAGTTCCTATTGGGAAGCTGATTTAGGATAGGAGCTCGATTGGGTAGATTGTGATGTACTCTGATGAGAAGAAATCACAATATGTATTACCTGCATGAGTTCAATTGTCTCTCCTTTGTATAATAAAATATCCAGATATCATGCTTTGAACTCGCTCCCTTGTAATTGCGTGTCAGTGGTACAGTTAATGGAGCAATTAGTCAGCACCCGATATCCTCTTCAAAGCTCTCAATAGCGGAGCCTTCACGTTGTTCAAGTCCGGAACGTTCTGGAGACAATATTGAAAATGCAGCCTCAAACCAAGCAATAAATTGAGTCAATACTCACATTCTCTTCCTGCAGTCTACAGAGCAATGCACATTCTGGTCCAATTCTGCACGGGTTTGTGGTACAACAGCAAGCTGCAAGGCACCGAAGCGCACGAGCATCCCGCCACAAAGAGAACCTACAGGTTTCAACTTCTCCCCCAAGAGCTGACGACTCTCAACTTAGACATCCAGAGGCCATAGCAATTCCACCCGAACGCCTCAAAGCTTGATTCTTACCCCTCGCAGCAAAGCCGTCGCACTGCCAGCATGCAATCCTCCCGTAACATTCTGTATTCGCAGCGCCACAAAAGCTTGGCCAGCGCACAGCTCTCCTGGCCAGAAGCAGTCTCACCAGCACCAACTTTTACCAATGCTTTCTCTGTGAAGCTGAACCTTCCTGGGCGATAATTTAGTTCCTGAGCTCGTTGTCGTGGCCGAAAGCCCTGCGGCGTAAAGAAATTAAGAGGCGTTGCAAGTTCACTTCTCGATGGTCAGCCGTGGCGTCTTTGGTGAGATTGCACGGCTAGCTATGACAGATTGGAGTCGACGCCTCACGAGAATTTTCTCCTGGGGACACGAGGACCGCGACAAGGTCTTTCCGTGTCAAAGCAGCTTCGAGGGGAAAGTCGATTAAGTCGTCAAGTTTGCGTTCCTTGAGCGTGTAACACTTTGGCTGCAAGAACCCGAGACTCGCTAGGTGGCTGCCATGCAGGTTATCAAGTCTGTTGCTTTGGGCTAGATTTTTAAGCCTCTCGGAATTTCTTTCGTGATATATAATTCTGGCTTGCATTTCTACTTGGCTTCATTTATCGATGGTCTGTATGCGGCTCATCGCCAATTTATAGTCATGTCGTGGAGTGCTGCATAGCTCCAAGCTGGATTATTCAGGGGCTGGACGTCCCTCCGAATTGGCGAATCGGGAAGCTGCTTCTGAATATAGATCTTGGAAGCATCTTCGTGCAGCCAGAAGCCTTGGTTCCTTACCTGATCTGGCACTCAGATCGATCTATCTGTGCCTTCCCTTCCTTATCGTTACAATGAGGCTTGCTGCAGCACCTGCAGTAGTCATCATTTCCTCTGCCACCGGGGAACGGCATGGCATATCAAGATTGAGCTAACCTCTTCCTCGGCACCTCCCTCCAAGTTTCCTGGGTGAACGCCTTTCATTGTTCTTTGCCATCTCAATTATCGTGGATTTTCGTTGACTTCCATCTCCATCTTGCATGTTCAGAGCGCGTACTTCGATGTCAAGGATTTATCAAGCAGGTATCCGCTGTTACTCGACATGATCAACAACGGTCTTCCCTTCGTCTTTACTTTCTTTGTTTGTTGTTCAAAACTCGACTCGATACGATTATTAGTGACCTAATCACAGCTTCATCGCTCGTCCGCGTGCGTTATGAAGTTAGCCATACCATCAAACATCTAGTTGTATCTCCAGTGATTCAGTGTGGCAAAGCTCACCCGTCCTGGAACCACACTCGTTTTATAACTTGATACTCAGCATCTCCCACAGTCATTACCTGGTGCAGGCTACTCACACTCATTATGCGCTTCTCAATACTAATCGCCGCGTTGGCGATGGCACGGCACTCATTCGGGGTTGCATCTTATGATGAATACCGTGATGCCGATGCCTCGCAATCCGGCTACCTGTAAGACGAAGCTCCAATTGGATCAAGTGGTAGCTAACACTGAAAGACCTAATCATAATATGGATCCGAGTATCGTCGATTCTTCAGCTTTTGGGCAAATCTGGAAAGTTGCATTCAATCCGAAGGAACAGGTTCGTCTCATCTCCTAAGCACTTGTCAACTCGCACTGTCAGACACAACTTGCCTTTCCAAAACCGCCGAGGTGGCCTTGTATGTTTGCTATCGTTTCTCCGTTATTGGCTAACACGAGACATGTCACTGTTAAGTTCTATGCAAAGCCTTTGACATACACACCACTTGCAGGAGGTCCTCAACTTCTGTTTATGGCATCGAGTCAAAACTGGATCCGCACATTGAACGCCAAAACAGGAGCTTTGGTCAACTCTCGTCAAGTCAACACCCCCTTCTTGCAGTCAGATATTGGGTGTGCAGGTAATACCTCCAGATACGTTTTCATGCCCGATTGGAGTCTCACAATTAACAGATATTCCTAATACCATTGGAATCACTGGTACACCTGTGATCGACCCCGCTACAGATATTGTCTACTTCTTCGCGAAAACATATATCCCTGACCTCCGCGTTCCTGGAAACACTGGAACACCAAATGGAGTCTACTACTTCCACGCTGTCAACATCAACACGCTTGCCGATGTCTATCCACCTGTACTTATTGATGGCTCTGTGGCAGACAACGATCCAAGAAAATATTTCCATGGCGGCGTCATCTTACAGAGACCTTCCCTCACTCAAATAGGATCAGTTGTCTACGGTGCCTTTGGTGGCCACTGTGATCTTTTCAACTACACAGGAATAGTCCTTGGTGTCGATATCAAAAAGGCCAAAATCGTCACGCAATTTGCAGTTGAAAGTGGTCCGCTCACTGCTCAAACCAACAATCTGCTCCAAGGTGGAGGTGGTGGAGAGGCTGGGATATGGATGAGTGGGATGTCCCCAGCAACCGATGGCCAAAGACTCTTTGTCGTCTCTGGCAATGGTGTCGGCCATGAGAACTTCGGTGCCCCTGCTTCAGGCTCAAGTGGATGTCGAACTCTGGGAGAGTCGGCTATCGATCTAGCAGTTGATTCTTCGACGGGAAGATTAGCGTTGGCTGATTACTTCCAGCCATACGACTACATCAATATGGATGGAAATGATCAGGACTTTGGCGCCGGTGGACTTGTTCTCCTCGACCCGTCAACATTCTCTGGAGGCAGTATCGACAAAATAGCTGTGACTGCTGGAAAAAACGGGAAAATCTATATCCTCAATAGTAACAACCTTGGAGGATACAAGCTTGGAGCTGGCCAGACAGACGGTATTATCCAGACTATTCCCACAGGTAAATCTGTATTTGGTGCTGCCGGCTCTTATCCTCTCGAAGGCGGATATATCTACGTGACACCAGTTGGATACCCCACATACGTCTACCAACTTGGGTTTACTTCTGGAGGTGTACCGCAATTCTCAAAAGTTGCGGAGACCAATGAGATATCTGCTGGGCGAGTTGGGGTTGGTGTTCCAACAATTACGTGTCTTGATGGCCAACCTGGAACTGCAATCCTCTGGATGACTGATCCCGACGCGGGCATAAGAGCTTGGTATGCTGTCCCAGAGAATGGAGTCATGAAAAACATTCCATTGCCCCAGATTGGAGGAGCAAACAAATTTCAGCGGCCTGCTTTTGGCGACGGTCGTGTCTACACAACAGATGCTAATGGCGTTCTTTATTGTCTCGGTTCTCCCGTCAATTTACCGCTGAACTGTACCTCGCCGGTAGACTTTGGTCAAGTCGCCCTCGGGGCTAAGGCGACTCGAGTTGTCAATTGTACTGCAACTGCTGCCATCACTTCTCTCAATGGTCTCGATATCGAAAACGACTACTTCCGTGCAAGTAACGCAAGTCTACCAAAGGGTCCCCTTGCCGTTGGGGCGAAATTCTCCATTCCCGTCACTTGGGATCTCACCAATGTCCAAGTCACCAGCAACGACAATGCATCATACAGTAATGTTGTTCCTGGAATTAAGAGCACTCCACTCACTCTCTTCACGACGAATGCAGTTCCTGGTTACGCAACCGTCTTCCCAATCTCGCTGATAGGAACGCAAGTATCCACAAAGCCATTCCTTGCTGTCACTCCATCTACCGTCGATTTTGGTGGCATAATCGTGTTGGACCCCAACAGCATTGAGCCAAACTCAGGTGTTGTTACCATCGCCAATAAAGGACTGAGCCCGCTCACTATCCTTGGGTACGCTTACACGAATGAGAAGCTACAAAATTCGCCAAAGTATGTGAACAGTACAGTCAAGAATGGCAAGTGGGATATGGGACCAGGTATGTTTGTCTTACATCAGCACTCCAAACAACCTACAAGGCAGTATTGATGTCTAAATTTTATTAGGGTTTTCTGCTGTCACTCTTCCTGCAATTGGAAGCAAGATTGCAGCAAATAAGGCCATCTCTATTGATGCTGCATTCTTTCCTACAGCAGGGACTGGGGTCTACAACACTTATTGGCAAATTTGGTAAGCATGGTCGTTATCAAGCATAGCTCTTGCTGCGATAAACGTAAGGATACTTTACTGACTCGTTGAAGGTCGGACGGTGGGTCAGTAAGCGTTACTCTCGAGGGATCAGCATCTACGGCACCAGTTGCGAACTTTTCGATCAGTAATGGTCATGGGGGATGGTTACCTCAGACCAATCTACTCATGGATTTCGGCAAAGTTGCCCCTGGAAGCTCATCATCACGCGAAATCCGTCTTTGCAATAATGGAGGATCATCTCTGCAAATCTCCAAGAGCAAGCCTCCATATGGCGTGTTCCACATTAGCGATCCTACGATGCTCCATGAATCTCAACTGATCGCCACAGGAGCCTGTGCATATGGCGAGGTTCTGTTTGTCGCCAACACGGAAGAGTACAACCAACCGGACCTCACTCTCAATAACAGCTGGACTCTCAATGCTAATGATCTTACTTGGGGCGTACATGTCATTGAAATCACCGGCACGGTTATCTCTAACAAAGTTGGGCCGCTCAATTCTACTGGGGCCACCGTGTATCAGTATCTTGGCTGCTTCAAAGAGAGCACTAGTGGACCACGACTGTTTCCAAATGAGCCTCTTGGCCCAAGCGATAGCAACAGCAATGGAATTTGTCAAACTGCGTGTTTTACAGCAGGCAAGTATGCTTTCGCAGGTACAGAATTTGGGACAGAATGCTGGTAAGACTGACCGGACGAAAGGCTTTGGGTATGCTTGTTAACTCACTTAGGTGCGGCAATACTCCACCTCCTTTGGCAAGTTTGGATCCCACCGATACACTATGCAATTTTGGCTGTCCAGGTGATTCCAATGATCGATGTGGAGCGACTGGCTATGTCTCTGTCTTCTACGATCCCACGAAATATGTCAAAGGAACAGACCCAAGTCTATATGGCCCGCAAGTCCCGAAGCAAGTTGGAAACTACGACTACTTGGGGTGTTACAGCGAGGCAACTAATGGCCGTGCATTGAGTGACAAGACGCCTGCTGAGCCTGCAGGTGGATTTACTCTAGGAAGCTGCATGACAGCGTGTCAAGGATATACTTACTGGGGAATGGAATATGCGAACCAGGTAGGTTAGGGATTCTCCATTCATCTGACTTGCACTGATATGAATCAAGTGCTATTGCGGAAATATACTCGGTGCTGGTTCGGTTAATCAAACCAGCTCGAACCCCTCAATAAATGGTTGTAACATGGTCTGCAAAGGCGATTCGCTTCAGTGGTGTGGAGGGGGAGGTCGTCTTAACCTGTACATGCTAGACGGTAAAAAACCTGTGCCAACCAGCACCGTTAAGTCCAGCATTACGACAAAATCAGTATCTACAGGTGTCTCAACAAGCTCGAAGCGTATTTCTAGCTCTTTAATAGCTACTGCAACGTCTGCGCCAACGCCGACCGGACCACTTACTGTCACGAATATTCCGGGATGGTCCTACCTCGGCTGCTATAGCGAAGCCACTACCGGACGTGCTTTGAACAGTCTCCTCCTCCCTATATCTGGTCCTAATACTGATGTTGAGACCTGTGGTGCAGCATGTGTAGGTTACAACTTCTTTGGAGTCGAATATGGACAAGAATGTGAGTCTTCTATTTCATCTTCTGCTTGCATGAACTGAATTTTAGCTCTAGGCTACTGTGGAAATGTGATTCGCAGCGGCAGCATCGCCCAAGAAAGTGCCGACCCAAAGGTCAACGGATGCTCAATAGTGTGTGCCGCCAATCCTCTTGAATACTGTGGCGGTGGAGGACGTCTAAATATCTACCAAGCTGCCCCAATTAGCAGCTCCGCGACTTCAGTCATATCAACCCGGCTTAGCTCGTCAACGGTATCCACGAAGTCATCGAGCAATTCGCGATCATCTTCAACAAGTTCGAAGACTAGTTTTACACTGCCGACCATCACTTCAAGGTCATCCACAAAGACTTCTTCCAGCAGCCTGCGTCTCTCCACGCCCAGCACTAGGCAAACCTCAAGTTCGAAGGTGCCCTCCAGCTCAGTGAAGCCCAGTTCGAGTAGTTCCAAGCTGTCTACGTCAATCACAAGCTCCTCCTCCAGTAGGTCATCATCTCTCAGCAGCTCCCTTTCTCGACGCTCCAGTTCGACCAGCTCGAAGGTTTCTACGGTCTCGGTCAAGACAAGTTCAGTTTCGTCCAAGTCATCTACGACAACTGTCAAGTCCTCCTCATCCAAGGTCACAACATTGACTCAAATATCTGCTACGAGGTCTTTATCAACGTCGAAGCTATCTACATCTTCCGTGACGAAAAATAGTTTGAGATCTGGTACAACGACTAAATCTTCCACAGCTAGTGTCAAGTCAACAACGGCATCAAGGAGCAGCACCACAACGTCGAAGCTCAGTTGTAAGTACAGATTAATAAAGATGTTCTTGTCTAGACGACGTAACTGATATTGTGCCACCAGCTTCTACAACTCTTCGCTCGACGACCACTGGTAACTTTCGCATTTCCTCACAATTGACTATGAACCAAGACTGATAGAAACTTAGCCTTCTCATCTTCCCGAACCTCGTCCAAAACTAGCTCATCCACGAAAGTCGCAACATCAACAGGTCCTCCTCCACTATGGACCGGAACACCGACCCCCGGACAAATGAGCGGCTCTTGGAAATATATGGGCTGTGCCAACGAAGTCGAAGGTCGCACTTTATCAGGAGCAGCCTATGCATCCGGTGACTCCATGACGGTTGAATCTTGTCAAGCATTCTGTGCAGCCAACAATTTCGCACTTGCAGGGATCGAGTATTCGTCAGAGTGCTACTGCCATAACCAGCTCACCACTCCCGCGACACTTGGCTATACTGACTGCACTATGCCCTGTGATGGGAATCCTCTTGAAGTCTGCGGGGGTCCCAGCAGACTTAGTGTGTTCAACAACACTGCCTACGTCTATCCTTCCCATCCTAAAAGCGTCGGGCAATACACATATCAAGGCTGTTACCAAGAAGCGCCTGCTGGTCGTCTACTTGAGGCGGTGATGTACACTGATGGGGCGAACATGTCAGTTGAATCATGCGTTGCTTTCTGCCAGTCGAACATGCCAGATGGAACTTATGCGGGCATTGAATACGGTACGTTCCCTATGATACTCCCTCAACCTCCCCTCATAAATTCACTTGCTGACCCAGGAAAAATAGCTAGCGAATGCTACTGCGCATCAACAATGCCAACTACAGCTGTGCAGGCAGCAAGCACGAGTTGTAGTATGTTATGTAGTGGAAATAATAAAGAATATTGTGGCGCGGGAGGCTTTTTGGATGTATATAAATACCAGCCGATACTGCTCAAGGATAGGAGATACGAGGAAAAGCATCTGCAGGCATTCTGAGTGGTCAGTATGAAAGAATTGCTTTTAGTGTAATTTAGAATAGATCAATAGACTAGTGGCTTATAATGCTGGGAAGCTTTACCTAACCCTTCACTCATTCAAATGTTCACGCGGATCGAACTTCGGGAATGAAATAATGCGAGGATCGTCAACTCCTACGACATTCACTCATTAAAAATGAGTGAGGACAAGGGAGAACGACGTTGATACAGGATTTCTATATTGTGATGCCTAGAAACCTCTTAGAAAAACAATCTGTTTGCTATCCAAACACCAAAATCAAAAACCCGTCACCTACACGATGAACTCCGACCTCTATCAGTATACCAGCCATGACCACACTCTCTATCTGTACAGTTTGACCCTCTAAAACTTATCAAGCCAATAATTAACCACATCACATCACTCCTTTTTTCCTCTACAAATCATGTCTCGCCCTCTTGCTCGCCTTTCTAATCCTCTCCCCATAAAAGTACAACACAAACGGAATCGGAATAAACGCAATCGACAAAAACCCCAAGAGGGAACTCGCCCACGCAACACCCAACTTCTTATACATTGCCCCAGCAAATAATGGGAATCCTGCTCCAAAACTCGACCGGAAGAAATCATTGCCTGCCAATACGGACGCAGCATACTCAGGGTATGCGTCGCCTAGATAGTTGAGCACTGAGTTGAAGAGTAAGAAAGCGCCGATGGTGAAGAATGACGAGCCGATGATGGGAACAATCCAGTGTACGGACTGCCTCGCCGTCCATCCGAACATGAACATACAGATTGGGATGCAGAAAGCGCCTACGAAGGCGGGTGGGAGTCGCTTCTCGGGCTTGAGTTCGCCGTTTTCGTTGAATTGAGGTTCTTGGATGTAGTACAGGTATGCGAAGAAAGGGCCGACGACTACAAATCCACCGACGAGGATACCGACGAAGGAAAGACCTTCGAGTCCGAGGTTGAAGCCGTATATTCCTGTGAAGACGATGACGAATGACTCGAACCAGATGTAGAGAAGTCCGTAGATGAGTGCGATGTAGAGGTTGAGCAGGAAGAGAATTGGTTCAGTGAATGTCAGTGAGAATGGTCGAATGAGCGTCATCATCACAATATCGTTGACTGTCATTTGCTCGCCTGCAATCTCTGGCTCGCATTTCAGATCCGATCGGCCTGTGAGCTTGCGAAGACGACGACTGCGTCTATACAGAATATTCGCGGAACTCGTCTCTGGTAGACAGATGATCAATACGATGAGTGCGAATCCTGAGAGCCAGAGGAGTTCCCAGATAGGCCACTGCCACCCTTTATGCTGGGCTGCGAACCCTCCAACTAGTGGTCCCAGAACTGGTCCGCAAATCGCGGCGAGTCCCCAGACAGCAATGGCATATGCTCGCTTCTGGGGTCGATACATATCCGCCAGGGACGCACCGCCCGTGGCTAGGACAGGCGAACCAAAGAACCCAGTCAGGAACCGGAAAGCCAGCAGCATCCCGAAGTTCTTGGCATAGATGACGCCAAATTGGAAGAACACGAAGACGACTAACGTGCCGATGTAGATTGGGTTCCGACCGATTTGAGGGATCTCAGACATGGGGGCCCAGATCATGGGGCCGAGACCGTACCCAGCGACGAAGAGGGTCAAGCCAAGGGTTGCGGCGACGGTGCTGACGCCGAAGACTTGGGTGATTTCTTGCGTGCCGGCCGAGTAGATGGCGGAGCCGATGTAGACGGAGAAGGTGAGGAGGCAGATCATGCCTGTGACGAAGAATTTCTTGGGGGTGGACCAGTTGAGGGGGTTCTAGGGCGGCGTGTGAGTATGTGTTGAAATGTTTTGGGGACATACGAGATGAGGGGCTGGAAAGTGGGTAGACGTACCTCTGGATCGTGTTCTCCATACCATGTGATAACTGAGACGTCTCTCCCTTTCTCGGGATCAACCAGGACACCACTGACTTCGTTTCTCTGCTGTCCATTATCCATACTTCCCAGTCTTGTTTCCGAACTGTTTCTCGGACGGCCATTTTGTCCCATTACTGCTTGCTCTTGACCTGCTCCATTCCGATCTCCAGTCTCTTCGTCCTTCTGCCATATTCCCCGCTCAGGGCTTTCCGAATTGTCTCCAGCTGTGTCCTTGTTCTCCTTCTCCTCTTCGCCTGTATGGCCATGATGCGCCATCCGTCCGCTCTTCTCGGTATCGATGTATTGTTTCCACAAAGATGGATCTCGCTCTTCTTCAAACGTCATGATCTTTCCTTTGCTTATGAGGCGCAAGAAATGTCCGGAGACGGTGTCGCGGACGAGGTCCTTCATTCTGATGGCTGTGATGTGTCGACAATAGGACAAGAACAAGAATTTGTGGATGAAAATAGAATAAAATGTTGTACAGTTTCGCGGAAGGACATATGCAGGTAAGGAGACGAAGAAAGAGATATATATGCAACAGACCTACTCCTTAAGCTCATATTCCAGATCGATCGATCGACATTCTACCGGCCTCGCGGTACCCTGCGGACATCCAAACAACATGATATCACAATCTGAGCCTAGCCAAACCCCAGAAGAGCCGCCCATCAGAACCCCTAGCGCAACCAGTCTCCTCAAGTCAAGACAGCATCTCTTACCGCCACAAGATACCTACCGCAGAGTACCTAGCTTCGGACTTCGGACCCCCAAGAGTACGTGCTCACAGTACAGCGACACAATAGCGATCACCAGCAAGCTTTCCCCAAGCCGGCAACGATTAAAGTATAAGCTTATGATATCATGCCTCACCCGAAAAAAGCTAAGATAGGGCGGGAAGTGGCTTGCATCGAAATCGTTTTCGACGTGCGTTACTGATACTCCTGAACTGATAGCGAACCGTTGCCGTCGCTTAGCTGTTTTTGTTTTGGTAGCGGCGGCTTGGCTTCGGGTAATGACGTTGATGACTTTTTCCGCTTCTCCCCTTTTTGCAGAAGCCCGTCCCAACGTCCAGGTGCCGAACTAGTACTCTACATCAGCTTGGGTACTGTAGAGATCAAAGAGCCTCTTGTCGATCATGGATTTTGGGAGGATGACTAATGGCGGAAGGAAGGTAAGGTTTCGGAATATGGAGAATGAACTTTTCCGTTCCTGTGTTTGTCCACCGACGCTGAGAAATAAACGTGACTGTTATGAAGTGGAAAACTCCCTAGCTACTGATGAACTGGTAGACTCATTGTGCAAATACCGCTTAGAAATCCAGACTGTTGATTGTCGAGACTTTCCACAGATCTCGAAGTTTTCCTTCAAGGGCCAAAAGAAAATGACATAGATTGAATAATGCTTGAAACTTCGCGTCAAGGAAAGCATCTCAAGCTGTAGAATGCTTCCACATAGGAAGAAAATCCCGAGAGCTTAAGATATGACTGATGTGCAGCTGCGATCGGAAATATCTCGAAATGTCAAGATTGCCACCATGACGGCTGATTGAAAACGCCTCTGCATTAAAACTAAACAATCGTTGATACCCCCTTCATGGTACGTCTGTGTACAAAACGCTGTGCCATTTCTCTCAGAAAGACGTACAGACACCAACCAACAAGTGACAGCCCGAGCCCAACCAAAATCCCAACGCCGTCGCAGTGCATGTTTACCATTCCAATTCCGAATCCGAATCCGAATCCCACGCGCCAGAAAATGCTTTGTCTGTCCCTATCAGACCCCGTCTCCTTGGCCCAAGAGGATACATCATCTCAACCCATGCCTCTCATCCTTCTCTTCCACCTTCTCCTTCTCCTTCACAGCCTCTTTCACCGTCTCCTTGGGCTCCTCAATCGGCCTCAACTTAACCTCCAACATCCTCTTCCCTCCCAATTCCTTGACCTTATCGACCAATTTCCTACTCGAATCCAACTCCGCCACATCATCACCTCCTCCTATTGAGAATCCATTGATAAGGACATTGGGTACCGTGTTCCTGCCTGTCAGATCTGCGAGTTTGGCTTGTAGTTGCGCGCCGAGTGGGTGCTGGTCGAGTTCCACGACGTAGGGTTTCGGGTCGATGAGGTATTTCTCGAGGAGGATCCCCTTTGCTCTTTTCGAGTGAGGGCAGTACGACTTGGAAAATATGATTACTGGGTTGGTGTTAGCGCATCCGAATAGTTGCAATGGCAATAAAATAAGGAAATACCTACTAGGCGCTTTCTTCAGAATACTGTTCAACTCCGCCTTAACCTTCTCCGCCTCCCGACTCTCCTCGTCGTCCTCCTCCTTAACAGGAACTTGTGCTTCACTTCCGCTCCCCCCAGTATTAAACTTCTTCCTGCCCGCAACACTCTTCTCCGCTCCCTCGGCCGCACTCCCAATACCCACGATCTTGCTCGGAGGGTCCGGCTTTGGCGCCTTCAAATTCGCATTATCCTTCGCAATCTGCGCCGCCTCCTTCAGCCTCGCTTTCGATGCCTCCTTATCGTCCTCACCGCTACCTGCGCCAACAATCTTACCTTTCCCAGCTGTCGAGGCTCCGCCACCTACTGGTGTCCTCTCTAGGGCGTTCTTGGTTTTGTAGAAGAAATCGCCTGTTTGCGAGGATTCGAGGTCGTATTTTGAGGAGGAGGAGGATGAGGAGGTGTAGAAGAGGAGGGTTATGATGGCCATTACGACGAGGAGTCCGAAGACTTTGATGCGGCGCATGGATGGCATGGTGGAGGAGGAGCGCCGCGAGAAGATGGGCGTGGTGTTGATTGCTGTATGGGATTGTTGTCAGCGTGTGAAGTGAAGGAAATGTAGTTGAAATCAGAAAGGTAGAAAGACAGTAGCTCGATCGCAATCTCAAAAACCAAATCGGAGCGCAAGTCTCTTGTCGTATAAAAGGTGTAGCTTGTGCCGCTCTTGGAGCGTGCAAAAACGGGAGTGGCAGCAAACCCCTCAAATCCTAGCGCTAGCCATGTAAAGGCACGACATTACGCTGGAGCGATCGATCCACGGATTGACAGCGGGGTGAGATGGAAACTCTAAAGAGGGCACATTTCCTGTACTCACGGCTTTGATGATATCGGGACATCTGTATTGATGCGCTCAAGCTGCAGCACTATATCCTGTGCAAGAATGTGGATGTGAGATAGGTCGGTATCGTAGATCGTTGAGGGAAAAGGCGCCAAGGTCAGCTCCAAAGCAGGAACCAGTGTGAGCGTGTTGAGCGAGAGAGTGGCCGTGTCGTGTCGTGAAATAAAGTATTCCTTTCGGAAAGAACCGAGGCACAGAAACAGGGTTGAGTGTCACTCAATGCCCGTGCGAAGGGGTCGATCAGTCCCGTCACTCGTACGAAAAGTATATTCCGCTTGGTGGACGTGTGTTTCGAAATGGAGCTGGAGGAGTTTGAAAAGGGAGTAAGAGAGAAGAGAGGGATGGAAAGGCAAAGCTATGAAAATGCGGAGAAGCTGCACATTTACACTACCTACCTACACTACTACTGGCATAGGCTTTGAAATAAGGCCACGCGCATGCCTCGACCCGCGTGCATCCAGCTGGGCGCGTTCTCGCATCCGCTCTCCTCCACTTTCCCGTCCCAAGGAAGCTAAAGCCATGGGAACCTGGTAAATCGATAGTGGATTGCTGCCCTGCGGGTCTCCAGGGGATGATTATTGATCAGTGCCAAATAATACCCCTGAATGAAAATAGTTAAGGTGGAGAAACAACGGCTATTTTACCCGTGTAGTGATTCGGCTTCGATCATGCAAGGTTGCTTGTCTTGTTACTTGATATCGGTTGGGTGCGTTCCTGATGAGACAGATCGATCCTCGAACGGCCTTGGCCTGCTAAAAAGCTTCTTCCAAGGATTGATACCCGATAAGCCGGAATGGCGTTTCATGAGGAACAGACGTGAAAACAGCCAGAGTCATTTTGGAGGCAGTCAACGTGATACATCAATTGAAAGCTCGCAAGGGGATGCCATGCCTGCGAATGGGAGTGGAAGCGGCTGGATGCATGAACTGGTGGATGGATGAAAGGATGAATGAGGTTTTCGCCAATTTCTGGGAATTGCTTCATGGATGGTTGGAATGTACCAGCACGGAACTTGTCTTTAGATATAGTACATACTCTATGTTCTGGTATGAACAGACACAAAGTAGTGTAAGTGCTGACCAACTCCATGTTCTTATGTAAAGCAAATTTATTATGTATTAGTATCATAAGCAATGCTGTCCATCGCATGTACGGGTCTCAGCCGTCGGTATTGGACCTTGTTACAGTACAGCTCCACGGGCTTTGCCTGCCCTCCTGCCCCGTCAACGCCAAAGCTCGAAGCATTCGCCGCCCATCCATCGTACATACAGCTCGTCGTACACTCCATGTCCTTATCTGAAACCGCCGACGCTTGCTCGCTCCCTCAGCGTTCTTCTTCCGCTCTCACTCTTTCCAGTTGCTGAGTTACCAGTAACCTTCATCCAATCATCCCATTCTCGAGCGATTTCCATGAGGACACCTCCCATCACTGCAGCTGAGGCCATGAGACCATGACCTTCCCCCTCTAGTACACGAACTTCACACTTCTTCATCGTTTTGCCGAGCCATCGGACATTTTCAACAGGAACTCTGGTATCTTTACTACCGTGGTGAATGACAACGGCACGAGTAATATCAACATATCTGAAGCCGATAGTGTGGCGTCGTTCCAAGCAAACCAAAAGGTCAACAGCAGGATTGGCCCCGGAGGTAGCTAGGTCCCAAATTGCATGCGTAAGTCTCGTGTCGTAAGTCATTTGTCGTTCCTTATCAGCTAGTGTATTTGCTGCGGCAGCAATAATTGCAGCTTCATTGTTTGGATCCCCAGTATCCTTTGCTGCTCGTTCGAGAGCTCCAGGTTCGGATGGATCTGGATAAATCGTGGAATTTCGACCATGATTCTCCTTGTCTAAACCTGGAGTGACAGTGCTCCTCCCAGACGGCGCAGGTGTGTCACGACCAGTAGACTTACGCTTACGGCCCTTTGATTTTGGTAGACTGCTTGTTATCGAACTGCTGGTTGCACTCATGAAGCTCGAATTTGCTGCCTTGAGAATAGGAGTTGGTAGGGCGCGGAGTATGCGTTGGGAGGTTGGTAATGAGTTTGCCGGTGGCGAGGCAACTTGAGCTCCAAAAACATTCATCTGAGAAGGGGGAATCCATGGTGCAAGGAGATGAATGCGGCCACGGATGTGTTGTGGCATACGAAGAGCGGTAGCGAGCGCATATATGGCACCAGCTGAGTGGGCCAAGATGGAGAATTTGGTAATCTTCAATGTTTGACAGATTGCGTACACATCATCTACAATATATTAGTGCTTGAAATAGGAGAAGAATCAAGGAAGCTTACCAGGCCAGCTTAGAGGAGTTGCAGTTCCATCGTTATATGGTTCGCTGTCTCCCACACCAGGTCGATCCGGGGTAATCAACCGCAATTTAAGAGTCAGAGCAAGCTCATCGTAAAATGCAGTGATATATCTGGTCAAGCCCATACCGACGCAGCAAAACACGGCGAATCCTTCGGAATCACCAACTTCCGAGAATGATATGGTTCTACCAGTCTGAGGATGTCTGATTTTCTGTGATAGACGTGGAGAGCATAGATACGCCTCTACGGCATCGTCAATCGAATCTGCACTGTTTGGCCGATCATCCACATGAATCTGTGGCTTAGTGGGTTCTGGAGAGCCAACTCTCGAGAGCTGATTACTGTTCCTGTCTGATCTCGGACTGAGAGGGGCAGATAAACGCTTCAGTCGGGAACCGCTTCGCTTGACTTGGACTTGTTCCTGCGGCTCAGGGGTAGCTTTGCCAGATCGTCTCTTCTGGCTTGATGATCGGTGGCGCTCTGGACTTGGACGAGTTTTGCGTTGTGCCACAGCTGGAGAAGGAGCCCCTTCTTCAGCATCCTCCACTACGCTCAACCGATCTTTGGAACCCTCCGACTGGTGCTTAGTCTTCGAAGGTCGCGGCATTTCTAAGTTATCTAGCGGTTCCATCATCTTGGAGGTTCCTTCTGAAGAATTTGTGTCTCGACTTCTTCGTTCTCGTCGGCGATCCTGCTGTTCCTCGTCTAGCTCTTGGATAGTGTCATTATCGTCTTCAGGAGTTTTCTGTTTACCGTTCTGTCGGCTTGACCTTTGCGATGCTCGCTTCTTCGTAGCCGAAGCGGGTTTCCTCAGAGAAGAGTCTCGAGCAGGTATGAATCTCCCTGATCCGATCCCACCTCCGGCTTGGAGCGATGGACTTGCCTCAAGTTCTAAACTTGTTTTGCCTCTGGTTGGTGAATGTTCTGGTTCTTCCCCTATCGCATTCTCTGCCATGAATGAGTCCGAGTCAAATTGTGGAATAGGTAGACGGTCCAATCCAAGACCTTTTCCGCTGCTCGTGGTGAAGCTGCCGCTTCTCTTCTTATCTTGCTCCCTTTCTCGCAGGCGCTCTTTGGAACTCATGTACATTAAACCTCTCTGGTTGCGGCCTTGTTTCTTGCCCCAGCTATCACTCGATGACTTCCTTCGGAGTTCACTCGATGACTTCCTTCGGAGTTCGTGAGTTGGTGCTTGCCCGGGTTCGACGGATAGATTGCCGATGCTACTTGTCTCATCTTTTGACCCAATTGATCCTTTGGAGGAAGGCCGTGAGCTGCCTCTCAGGAAGGATTTGAGAGGACTTGATTCTCCAGGTGATTTAGGCGCAGTAAGAGGCGAGAAGCCCGACGGTGGTTTGGCGGTCCTTATGACGGGAGTCGGAGCCGCGAGCTCGTCCAGATTCGCCTCAGACTCCTGAGCGATTAGCTCTGCCAGTGAAGGTTGCTCGTATGCCCCGTAATCTATGCCAAAGCTTCCACCTGATGATCGCGCTCCATTATTCTGCCCAAGATGACCGAAAGTGTGGTGTGTAGCACTCGTTGAAGCTGGGGAGGTGGGCGACGGGTTCGACAGGCCGTCAAACAATTGATTCGCCGGCGATGAAATGATCGAAAGGGATGTAATTAAGGACGAGATAACTTCTGGAGAGGCAGGCTGTATATGCACCCGTTGGGAATTGGCAGAAGGACCTTGGAGTGATTTACGTCGGGCATGCTGCCGCGTCCGACTTGGAATTGGTGGAGGGGTGGAGAAACCGTCCATGGTGACTCCAGACTATTAGCTGCTTGGGCGGAAAGGAATCTGAGCGCCAAATCGAATATTCCCGAGGATCAGAGGAGATTTCTGCGTGTAAACCGGGAGGTCTAGCAACTTGGTGGATGCATTGACACTTTTCCAAACGACAGACAAGAACCAGATGTTTCAGACGACTCGACGTGTTGGGTGAACGTTTGACTATAGCTTTGCGCCGAATGCCATTGGAGGAAGAGAATGCAGGTGTCAGGCTGGGGCAAGGCGAGAGAGACAGTGCGAAAGTCTTCGGGGCTTTCTTTCGAGGTCGCGGTGGTGGTGGTTTGCCGGTAGAAAGTTCTCAGGAGACGAGAAGCCAGCAAGAGCAAGGGGGGAGGGTCAATCAGCGCTATTGGAGTAGGTACTGGGGCACAGACTCGCTATATGCAGGTGACCTGCAGCAAGCCAACCCAACGTACGGTAACGTGTCTCAGGATGCCAGCAGAAAAACGGTCGAAGTGAACGTTTGCGCAAAAACAAAGAAGATCGCAAGTCCGAATGGCAGAGAGGCACGAGGTTGTCGAATCGAAAAGTACGGTTGTGTCTTCTGGCTTGGAAGAAGATGCAGTCTACCGATTAGTTCAGCGGGGCCGTCGGGAGCCAAAACCAAGGAGGGATCCAGAAGAAGTAAAGCCGCGGGGCTGGGTCAGGCACTGTTATGATATATAATATGATAGAAGTTTGGGTGAGCCGGATGGGAAACTGAAGCTGTGATTATGTTGCTTTGGGTGAGAAATTCTGAAGGAGGGATGAACTACGAGCAGCACAGCAGCGGAAGGAAAAGAAGAGAAGAAAGGCAGAGTTGCGCCAACAAAAAGTAAGTATCGGAGAAAAAGTATACGTTTCTTTTTCTACCAACTCCGTACAAAGTCGGGAGGTGAGGCCGCTGGGTGGGTGAGAAAGCCAGTCAGCTGCCTGTACCCTGATCCAAGCAGTACAGTACAGACATCTAATCCCGGGGAATTTTGATCTTACCTCCTATTCGATTGGTGTTCCCCTGTTCGGTACATGCGGAGAGAAGGGACGTGCCGGGGAGGGAATTGTTGGGTTCAAGGGTCTTTCATTTCTTTTCACTTCGATATTCTAGGATCACTTGCGAAAAAAGTTTGTGGACCTGAACTTACTCGGAATTCGAGTATTTTGCAGTGAAAAGCAGAGTTGTATTGTTGCAGTTGGCTTAGAAACGCGAACGAAATAGTGGCGTTGACTGGAGAAAGCACTGCGGTCTGTACAAAAGCACTTGACTCATGCAGTGCGGTTCGATCCCACCCTACACGCAGCTCCGATGCATAATTCCTAATTTTATAGGCAAGGAGAGACATAAATTACGCGAGTCCTGCGCTGGATCATTATTTTGCCGCGCCGGTCAGCCACTTCAAGAAATCCTGCTTGGGAGCTGATCGGCAATGACATCGTCATACCTAGGGTCCTGATGAACCATGTCTTGCGACAGCCTCGTAGGTTTGCGACGAGAATTGCTCTACAGGATTTCATTCCTCCTCTCTTACAATATAATTCCCGTATATTTCATCTCCACATTGTCAAAAGTCTCATTTCCTACATTGACTTCCCTTCACTGTACTTGCTGGCAATCTATATCCACTGCATTACGCTCTTCAACAGTCTCAAGTGAGCAACCAAAACAACAAACGCCATCATGGGCGCCATGCTCTCTCTCCCCCTCGTGGGCTACCTCCTCATGCCCTCCCTGACCTCCTACAGCACTTCAATCAATATACTGTTCTTCTATATGGTGCGTGATCTCGCATATTGAAATGCCAATACCAAACCCAACACCTATCTTCGTCCAGCCTTGCCAGTGCTAACCAATGCGCAGACATGGAGTACACTTGTTCTCAGTCAGCCTCCCCTGAAAGTCGAGATTGTAGGCACACTCGCAGTCCGCGCTCTATTCTTCCTATTCCCATCGCTTCTGTTCCTTCTCTTCGACTCTATTATCCCGAGTTTGGCCGTCGGGATGAAGACTCAGGGTTCTGCTGCGCTGCCGACAAGGACAGGCGGAGTGCGGGTAAAGAAGAGAGGGACCGGAACTCCCTCTGTGCTGCAAGTGATTGGAATGAGTTTTTTCAATATTCTCCTGGGGGTTGCGATACAATCCGGGGTAGAATTACTGTTCACGGAAGTGCTGCATATACGAAGTGCGTTAAAAGTTAGCACGACACTACCAATGCCGTGGTCTATTTTCAAGGATGTTGTGAGAGGACTACTTCTCCGCGAGGTATGTACAGTTTTGGCTTTGTATTTTCTGGTAAACCGCATCTTCGCGATTTGGAAGTGCCTTCGTCCTCACGAAGCCCAAGCTTCGAATTAAACTTTGCGTCAAATGCCTATAGTCACTGCAACGTTGAGGAGATTATGATAGCGCTATGTGAAGCTAACATGTATCAGGTCCTACAATATTACATCCACCGATTCGTCCTCCATCCCAACTCGCAAACTTCCATCAGCAAACTCCACAAAACCTACTTCCACTCCATAACATCCCCATACTCCTTTACAGCACACTACGACCATCCGCTCTCTTACATCCTCTTCCGCTTCGTCCCCACTTACCTTCCCTCCATCGTCTTCCGCACCCACCTCCTCACCTACCTCCTACTACTCTCCATCATAACCCTCGAGGAAACACTCACACTTTCCGGCTACGCCACCGTCCCAGGTATAATGCTAGGCGGAATCGCTCGACGCCAGGATCTCCATAGTGAGGGTCATGGACGAGGAAATTTCGCGCCTTGGGGGTTACTGGACTGGGTGCATGGAACGAGTATTGGTGGCGATGTGATGGAGGATATTGGGGACGAGGCAGAGAAACATCAGGTGAAGGAAAGGACTGGCAGGGTGTGGGGAAATGCGAAGGAGAGTGGGAAGGAAGGTATCAAGGCTTGGAATGGAAGGAAGAAAAATCCGAAGAAAGAATGATGCGGGGATGTCTTTTTTTTTCAACAGAAAAACAGATAATTGGTACGTTCTTGATCTGGGTACTGGGAGTTGGCTGCTGTTTTCTGGCGTGGACTTTATACCCTTCTGATTAGTTTTGTTTGCACGGGATCTGGTTCAATTAATGGAGGAAAACAAGCAGACATGTTTAGGTAATACTAGGTTTCCAAGACACGACTTTGAGCTATCAAAGTCAATAACTTTCGATTGAGTGAAACCAAGTCGAGAATACAGTAGTGTTCGATTAAAGCCAGACCAACAGCTACCAACCAACAAATTACAGAGAAGCATGTTTGTATGTGTACGAACGAACCGCAGAGTAAACAAACCAAGCATTCGGTTAACCTTGCCCCAGGACACAGATCCAACTCAACAGATATTAACCCACATCCCAGTGGCCAAATCCAGCTCAAGGATAGAGCAAATAAGCCTGGATATTAATTTGTGTGCATGTTTGTGGAGAACAACAAACTTCCAGATCACTGTCCAGGTAGACAAGCTGACGTGACGCAATGGCACGGAGACACATCGGTATCTCGCAAACCTCACGAAGAGGACCACATCATCAGCAAGTCATAACTCCGTCATCAAAAGCAGTGCCGAATCCGTACTCCGCACATGCAAACACAGATTCAACCAATCGTAACATCTCAAAATTAACTTACGTCCACCAATCTTAAAATTCGCTGGAGGTGCGTCAACACTCCGTACTCAACGGAGGTAACATTCGGGACCGAGAAAGGTTACTCGAAAAAGCCGTGCGAAGACATCAATGCGCTGAAGGTATAAATAAATCCTGAATACAGATCGCCCAAGCTGACCTGCCTAAAAATGCAGAAGGCAATTTCGAATACCCAGATACCGGAGTTCAAAGATCCAACCAGATATCGGGGATTATTCATCCCAAAGGTTGAAGAGCACTTAGCAAAATCCCGTAGGTATCCATCGCAGCTGCATCTTGCGTAAAGGTTCCACCTCGTGGTTCACTAAGAAAATCGGAGATCGGGGTCTGACAGGGTTAGGCAGGCACAGGTTGAATTCCTTAGGGCGGAAGGGACCAATCACCAGCTGCAAACGTCCCACAAGCTTTCTGGCTCTAGGCTCGTCAGCCAATCAGAACGCTTGCAATTGCTTGCTGCTGACCAACATTTGGAGGTCTAGGTATTGCCCTGGACGGCGAAACAAAGACTGAGGTGGATTGTATTGGATTAGAGTTCCGCCGTAGCTCCTTTACTCAGGAGAGGAGGACTACATAGTGCTGGCCACGGCCACTGAGAGGAAGTCTGCCAATACGAATATTACACATTTCGATAGATTGAGTTCTGGAGGTCAGCAAAGTCAAGAGAGCAGCATCCCATATTCGCCTTCTGATATCACAGCAGACGACGACGCCTCCGCCTTTCCACAAGCTAGAAACCCAATATCTCGCAGAACAGTCACTGGCAGGAAACGACCACAGGCGACACCGTCACCCGTTGAAGCCATGTCTCTCGTTGGCTTGAAGAATCTCTTCTTTCACCAGACTGTAACGCCAATTCCAGTCCGGTCAAAGACCAATTATGGCACTGCTTCTCACAACTGGAACAATGCTACCCGGCAGCCATTACTTGACCAGGACAACTCCCTAGAGACAGACTCTCTGCAACGATCACTGTCTAGAGACTCGGACACCGATGTTGAATCGCAACAGGATTCCAGAACGGAGAAGGTCAACCGTGGGAAAGGGTTCAGGATCGATGCTAGAGTTATCTCGGATGCTACTATTGGCTTGTCCGATGGGTTGACAGTTCCTTTTGCATTGACTGCTGGACTCTCCGCGTTGGGAAATACAAAAGTCGTTATCTATGGAGGATTCGCAGAGTTGATTGCTGGAGCGATTTCGATGGGACTGGGAGGATACCTTGGAGCGAAGAGCGAAGCGTAAGTTCCTCCCCTTCCAAAATATTGAGCACCTGCTAACAAATACAGTGCTTCATACCATGCACAAAGAGAAGAAACCCAACAGCTAGTTAATACCAACCCACAAGCCGTCGTTCGCGACATTGCGGAAGTCTTCGAGCCTTTCGAGCTACCCAAAACCACAGTCCAGGACCTCACAGAACATCTGGCAGACTCGCCGCACTTGGTAGACTTCGTCATGAAATTCCAGCACTGTGAGGAACCACCAGCCTCTTCCCGCGCTCTTACTTCCGCCCTCACGATTGCTCTCGCATATTTCCTTGGTGGGCTCCTCCCTCTCATCCCATACTTCTTCGTTGGTGCCAACGAGGTCTATGAAGGTCTGTATATCTCGATTGGCGTCATGGTGGTCGCTTTATACGTGTTCGGATACGTCAAGACTTGCGTGGTAGTCGGATGGGACGGCGGGAAGAATATTCGGTCGGGGTGCTGGGGTGGATTGCAGATGGTCATTGTGGGTGGAGCTGCGGCGGGATCTGCAATGGGGTTGGTGCACCTCTTCAGTCATGATGAGGGCGGTGTTACTAAATCGTAGGCTGGGAGGGCTTGCTGATGAGGGTACGATGTGATGATATGATTTGAGGCGTTTGCAAAAGGAACTGGAAAATGGGGAGTGCATTGCAGGCGTCAGGCATGCTCTCGAAAATCTCGATTGAGCTTTGTTTTACAGAATAATGGAAGGGATTAGAGTGTAGAAAATATCAGATTTGAAAGGAGAGACTTCACTCAACAGTCCCTTGTAAGTTTAGTCCTTTTATCCAAAATCTTGTGGTCCTACAACAAAGGAGGACATGGTCAGGAATGAAATGCACATACAGAAGAGATGCTAAAAAAAAAGAAAAAAGACAAAGAAAGGACGATTGCTGAACCTGAATCTGAGCGATGAGATGAATGTCAAAAGGATACTGCCGTTCAGTCAATGAATAAAGCAAGGGGAGACAGAGAAGGGTCTGGTACCTGACTGAGGGAGGCTTTAAGTTGGCCAATAGGATAGTCCCTCGCTTGCCAGCCTTGGACCAGCACCAGCGTACGGGAAACACGCACGAGGAGGGCCATCTGTACATACCTTAGGTACCTCCTTACAGGAGAAAGCAGGTTCCGACCTACCGCGGGAGGTGCACTTTCCTGAAATAACGACCTCTCGACTGCCAAAAATTTTATAACAGTGATATGATTATTATTCTAGGAAAGTGCCCCTCTCACGGTGGGTCGGAACCTGCCTTTTCCTCTAGGTACTGCCAGAGATAGCTGGTTGTCCCATCAGCATCACCAAGACAATCGCTCTTCCTTTCATCTCTGAAACGCGAATCTTTCTCCCACTATAACATCCCGAGGTCGTCACAACATTCTCATCACCCAGCAATCCTATTTTCCGCTCTAGGAAAGCTTTCGTAACTGATCGCTCATCCGGCACTACCATTATTAACCTGATCCCAAATCTTAGACACATCTGACCGGACAATTCCCTACTCAAAAGTCTAACTTGACTCTTCAAGAGTGTATGTACGTGTTTTTCTCTACCTACGGTCTACAATTTATACTTGGTTCCTTGAGAACATCGTGTTCTCAATGCAATTCAGCTGTTCCCTTGCTTGGACGAGGCTGGCTTCCATACTCCAAAGTTCTTTATCATCATTGCTGGCAACTTGCTAAATCCGCAAAGCATCGCCCTCAGTCAAGCTATCTTGGCGCGTAGTATCCGTCTAGACCATGGATATCTACAATCTTATCTCTGGTCCACCTCAAGGACGCGACCTGTTGTGCAGATTGCCTCCTGAGCTCAAGCAACGAGTCCTCGACTTCGTTGAGTTCGAGGATCACCTCAATATCCGACGTTTGTCTCGCGTCTGGTCCATTGCTGCTCTCGACCGTACATGGCAGCATGGTCTAGTGCTTCGCCCAAACAGGAACCACGTCACGAAGCTCATCGAGGTCTCTCGTCGCCCTTGGTTAAGAGAAAAGATTGACAGGATTACTTTCTCGGTGGACGATATAGACTACGCTACTGTACGACATGTAAGGCACACTCAGCTCCATATTTCCCCATTAAACCTTGAAGATCAATCAACTACGTCTCACCAGACTCTATCCATTTTGTGATGACCTTCTGTCAGCTTGCTAACTGCTGCATCGCCAGTGGATGAGAACATCTGGTTATACGGCTTATGCCAATCTTGCCATTGTCCGCTTGATCGAATTAGAACTTCGTCGAGTACTCTCTCGTCATTCTCCTTCGACAGAGACATTTCAACAGCTTCCTGTCAACCTGGGCATGGATACCGATGACTATTGTAACGGAGAACTCCTTGCACGAACCCTAATTGTCATGCCGAATGTCAAGACTATCTATATTAAGTTTGGGGAATATCCCTTCACGACTTTCTGTCTTGCATCGTCGTGGGATAGGATGCCGAAAATAGACGGTTACGTGGACCCGAGAAGCACCAATTCAAGAGCAGACTCTGGCTGTCAAGTCATACAGTTCCATTCTCATGGGAGCGAATGCAGCAGCATTGCCGTTCACCACGCTTCGCATGGATCGTATGCCGGTGCTATGTTTTGTGCCTCCTGAGCAAAAGCATGTTGACTCACCTCTCAATCATTTGGCGACCATGAGAAACTCGGTTCAGCATGTCCAGGATCTGGAAGTGCAATTTAGCTGCTGCCATCAGGATTATACCGACATCAAGAATCTTACCATTCCTCACAACTTAGCATTATTCCTTGGCTCGATGCCCTTACGGAGCTTGACCCTGGGATGGGGATCTTCTTTTAATCGTCGAGGAAATCTTATTGATTCGTCTATTCTCCTCCACCTGTCGTCGCCATTCTATGATCTGACCTTCCCACACCTCACAATCCTCCGAATTTCTCACATGGCACAAGCCACGTTTATGACACCAACCCTTCATGAATTCTTATCCAGGCACTCGTCAACGCTAAGGAGGCTACAAATCAAGGGTGATCTGGCACCATATCGATACAGTGACTATCACCCAAGTGAGTCTCGCTGTGTCTGGAAACAAACTCTTTTAAAAATGAGAGATACCTTGAAGCTTGAAAAGTTCCAGCTATTGTTACCCAGAGACGACAATTATCCAATCTATACGACGCATATCCCAATGAGCGCCATCTTCCCCATTAACGAAGACGATTGGAATAAACTTAAAGTTAACGACAAGTTGAATGCGAAGCAGCTGGAAAGGTTCGTACTCGGGGCTGAAGACGAGCCGTGGGTTCCGTCAAGGGGCCACAAACATGAAATGTGCCCCTTGAAAAAAGCGTGGAAAGGTGGGGATTTGGCTCCAGAACAATGGGGCTGGAATCGAGCGGTCGATAGTCGTAATTGGATGAACGACTGGAATAGATACGACGGGGAGGAACCTGATCATGAGGTATAAGCTTTGGCATGTAGGGAAGTCAGGGCTGGAGGCAAAATACTCACGGCGTCACATGCCTGTAATTTGGTTTCTTCGTTTTGATATGGGGTGTTGATTGGGATGTATATGTCCCAGTCTTTTGAGTGGATTTGAGAAATCAAATTAACCAAGCTTTCTTCGTGACATGATTTCTGTGCTGGACGTACATTGCAGATACAGCAAACATAGAAAAGATTAAAGCTGGCACCGCAACCATACACCTCTCTTTATTGCAATAAGTCCTCAGCAAGGATATTGTAAATGGTAGATCGAAGATCTAACGCCCCCTTCGTACATATACAGTTGAGTAGCTCTCACCGAAACCACCAATTAACACTTCCCGTGATCCCCTCCCCAACACTCCTAAAACTATGCCACCACCCCTTGGGTATAAACAGCGCATCCCCGGGCCTAACAACAGTTTCAAACCCCGCATCTCTCCTCCTTTCCTCCCTTCCCACCATCCCAACATCCTCCCCCCAAACAGCCTCAAACAAAACCTCCCTCTCCGGCCCCTCCATCATCTCACTTCCTCTCATCTGCCCCCTCCCACCCCCTCCACCTCTCCCAATCTTCTCCTGCACCCCCCAAAATACACCCTGTCCAACCCGCGGCTTGAACATCCTAACTCGTTTCCGCCCAGCTAGTTGGATGAAGAGATTCGGGTTCGGGTCTTTGTGGAGGGGTGTGTAGGTTGGTGGGATGCCGAGCCAGAGGTTGGAGTCGTAGATGTCGCCTTTGCCGGCGTGGGTTATAAGGGAGGGGGTGGGAAGGTCGGTTTGGAGGGTCGGAGGAAGGGAGAGGAGTTGGGCTTGGGCGATGTAGAGCTGTGGTGGTGCTTGGGAGAGTGTAAGGGATTTGCTGGCCAGAAGGAAGAGGGAGAGTGGCGCGGAGAAGTGGTGGAACGTACTGCCGGGGGAGGAGTGCTGTGTGTAGTGCTTCGGGAGGTTATCGAGTTCGCTGGTGTTGTTTGCCGCTCCTGGATCGGCATGTTTGGGTGTGATGAGCTCGTGGGGGAGAATTGTTGAGCCGAATGGGGCAAGGTATTCTTGCGATAGGACTGCAAATCCATCTTCTTCCTCATTCGCAGGGTCTGAGCCGGCAGGTCTCCTTTTGAACCATTTCTCTGCTGCTGGTATTGTACATTGCGATCCTTTCACGCCCTTCACATTGCTATCTCCAGCGGTTATCAGGAGGGGTTTCTCAGGAACGAATGCGCGAGAGCGGAATTCTTCGATGGGTAATGAGTCTAGGGGTCCGGTAATGGTAGGAACTGGTCGGAAGGCATGCTGCAAGCTGTAGAGGCGCCGGGTGGGGAGTGTGGTGATCTTGAATGGTGCTCGCAGTGAGAGCATGGCGTTGTAGAAGCTCCAGACCCAAGTGTTGGAGCGCGTGGAGTTGAGCTGCAGGGGAAGCTTGGATCGGCTGGTGGGGTTCGGGTGGCGCCGCTGCTAGGCCTAGATCGATGATGTGCTGTCGCCCCTGTACGTTCCATTCGTGTTTGTTCTTGATGAGAGGTGTATGTGGCGTTATGATTTTTTTATGATTTTCAAAAGAAAAACAGTTTTATAATTGCGTGATTTACATCTGTGTCTTCATAAGTTTGCGAAGAGGCAAGGTTGAGATAGTTCTTCTCCACATCCATTTACAATGTTGATCTCCTCGCTTATTACCCTTTTTGCGTCGAAGAGAGCAGTAAATAAAACAATTATCGGACACATAATACAACATATAAGAAATTCCCTGCCGGTTCTCTTACGTCGGAATGACTTCTTTCTCTCGATTTGATGTTTCTTCCCGATGCTCTTCCCTTGACTCAATGATTGTGTTCTGCTTTGTGCTAGCTCTCTGTCTTTTGTGACCAAATTCTGGAATAGCGGCATTGAGGCTTTATCATGAGTAACCTCTATAGATCTCCTCACTCCAATCCCTTTCAGCCTTTCAGGTCACATATATTCTGGTTTCCACCGTCGGATTGACTTGAATCAGAAAATTCGTATTGTAGAGCTTGGCAGTGGCTCTAGGGTCTCCTCTTTCAGCACATTCTCCCGGATACACAATGACGAATTGTGAATCATAGAGCGTGTTTCACAGGATTCAAACATCCCAAAACCTGATAGTGAGAAAGACCACATTCTCTTAGGTATATCTTGTTGCATATTTTAGGGCTCAATCTAAGTTGCGACACTGCAGGGATAGTGTGTAGATCATGCAGTCTAGGAACTAAAGTAGAATCTCAAGGGAAGAAAGTTGGAATTGCAGATAGACATGACATGCTTATTGCATCAGCCGTAATACCATGAGTCAAGCAAAAGAGTCGTAGGTAATTTCTTCAACGAAGCTGGTCACGGGCGGACCTCCCAAGAAGCACCTTGATGGCCGAGTCAACCCCTCCACAAGGCTCTGCAGCCTCGTACCTTCCTACCCGTTCACAACAATCAAAGAAAGGTGGATCTTGACCACCTCGATGGCTGTTTCCCATTCAGATACCTTGTTGGCTGAACAGTTTCCAATAAAGCTGACTCGAAGCCTTCTCTTCTTCCTCCAACATGTTCACTGCTGTGCTTACTACCCACAACACAACTCAAAACACCATCGCTTTGCTCCGATATCTTTTAAGGCTATTTACCTCTTTTGGATAGCTTCTACAGATTACGTGCCCATTCCAGTCTATCAACAATTTCGCCTGGTGCTGTCTCTATTCAAACTGCTCCGACTCCATATACGCAGCAGTGATGCGCTCAAACCTACTCCGGAGCAATGGAGGAATTGTGTTGATACCAGAAATATGCCTTCAAGTTGCAGGAGAAGTAATCAACTCAGATCCGAAGTCTGCTGGATCTCTCTTGCGCGTCTCCAAAGCAGGTCTTCCAGTCGGAAAGCATGTCATTGAATCGGCTGACGACTAGCAGGACTTCAATTCTCTCCTTTCAGATTATGAACGATCAATTTCCAAGAGCATAAGAGACACCAATGTAGACGAGTTTGCCCACACGAATGCAGATCAAGCCACAATTTTATCGTCTCGCATGCCACCAGGGGAGATTGTGGTTTCTATACTTTCATACCCTTGGGTCAACGAGATGCACTGTCGGCAGCAGACAATCGAATTCCTGATTGAGCACGAAATCACCGATATGATGGATGTTACTAGTAGCTCTGGATGGCCTACGCTGGATGTTCCCAAAGAAGAGCTTTCGAAACGCCTAGCCATCTTCAAAAGAAGGGCTTTTCTTCTCCTTTACAGGTTAGCAGATTGTACTGTGAGTAATTCCAGCACATAGCTGCAATGTTGACTCACCATTCCATAGATCGGACTTACCGGAACTCCTGCCATTCGAGCTCGACAATCCGAATTGCTTGAGAGCCTTTCTTCGGATGACTTGGCGAGCCTAGGCGTGATTGTTGAAGTCATGGGACATGGATTTTTCACAATGACCAAGAATGCTCTTCATGCTTCAGGTCTCCTCAATAACGTAGTAAGCATATTTGGAAAGACCAGCCTTAATATTGTCAATACCAACATACTATGTGACTGAGGCGTCTGGAACAGATTTTTCAGTGTGTTGGAACTGATTGTCATGATATAGGCTGTTCCTCCTTCTAGTGCATCCCCTCTGTACACACCCGACACAACACCCATCGAAGACTTATGGAACGACCACTGGATTCGAGAATGCATGTGTGTATTTGAAGATCTGGTTCAAAAGTATGGACCGGCCTTTGCCTACGCATATATTGAGGGTTCCAATGATCAATTGAAACGTCCAGACTTATGGGCTCGATTGAAAATGCAGCACGGGTTGGACAATATGAATGCGTATGAGATGGGATACACAATGTCTTATGCAAGCCTACAAAGCGTTGTATGGAAAGTTTTCTGCAAAAAGATCGATTGCTCTCTGCAGGATAGTTGGACTGTTGCTCGAGAGCGAGCGGAGGCTCAAATGGAGTTGTACAAAGTCTGACGTATAGATGCGGCATAGATGAGAAGGCGCAAGGAGCCATAGCGATGGAGTAGAGCCGGCCGCCTTTTAGTTCTGCAAAGCCAGGGTAGTAATGAAACGAAAAGATATTGAATAATCAGAGAATGTACCGAGCTTGTCATGTCCATTCATCTTGATTGTGTCGCGGTATTGAGGGGCTTGAATTAATTCAATGAACATTGCCATGATACACCCCTTCTAAGTCCGTATTGCTTAATGGCGAAGCCTCTATGAACAGAGTAAGATCATTGATAGTTTTCTGCATGGTACGCATGACTTCGCTTGAAGATTTAGATACTTCGAGCAAGAAGTCAATTAATCCTGCGGAAAGGCGCACGTCTAACTTGTTGGTCGCCCGAGTAGAAGGTGTTGCCAGATATGAACCCTTCGGCGAAGTTACAAGAGCACAGCCAGTCTTTACGACAATGGCAAGATCACACAGCAAGCCACTGCACCTATGTAACCATTCCATCCCTTGTGGAGGTGCAGCGAGTATTGCTTGAGCTTTTGCAAAATAGATTGAGAAAGTGTGATCAAGAACTTGCAGAAGGAAGCAGGGTACTCAATGATACCGAGAATATTGGGATTTTGTGATAAAGACTGCGATGAGATTCACATAAGACGTTGACACGACCCTACCAGTTTGCTATCGAAGCAGAATCTCTGAACTCTAAAGTGCCACGAATGTCCAATGCCGTCTCAAACAATGACCTCATCCGTCGTTGATGATACTGATCATTATGGAAAGCTCCACTGCAGACCCCATAGATCACAAGACGCTTCAACTTCAAGATTTGCATCCCCTTGACCCCTGTCGCGATCCTCGAGTCATAATCCTCCTGGGTAAGTACGCCGCCCAGATACCGTGGGCTGAATGAGTAATACCGTAGGTCCAGAACCAGCGTCTTGAGCCTTGGAAGTCTCTGCCAGTCGACTTTGAGTGGCCAGTCCCAATCGGGTCGGTACTTCATTGAATCGTCTACAAGGCTTGCCGTGAAAACGAGATGTTGGATGAGGTGGCGGTAGCTATCAACATCTCCGAACAATCGATTCTTGCCATGAATCTTGAAAGTCTTTGATCCTAGGCCCACACAGTCTGGTCGGTCAACGAAATTGAGGAGGCGGGTTGCGAGAAAATCTCGATGCTCCTGGCCGATTATATCCACTTTTTGCAGGTCTGACCTGGTGGCTCTCACAGGAAATTGATAGCTAAATGGAAGATTACTGTATTGGAATTTTATATAGCGATTGTCGAATACGAACCTGTGGTGTTCGAAAAACAGCTTGTGGCCCTCGTCGTAGAAGAACGTACTAAGAGATGTGAGCCGAGGACAGGGTACAATGGCCTCCCTGAGATCTCGAAGGTCCATGTGAGATCCGTTAGGGCAACCCCATGAGTCCAGACAGGAGCCGAATATGTGGTCCAAACAGGGTCGCTGGGGAACGATCATCCCCTGCACCACTATGCTGTGTAGTTCGCTAGGAAGCTGCGCAAGAAGCCGAAGTACTCGTGATCCTCGTGGGTTTACATGTGGACTCGGACATTGTGGGCAGTCGTGGGTAATAGCGGGATTCCGCTGCATCGCTTGATTTGTAGTAGTACTTGAGGATATTCCTGACATTGCAAATACAGTATTCGCTAAAGATTAGGCTTGAATAAAGAATATGTGAACGCTTGATAGATAGAATAGTAGAAAGAACGTGGATAAAGATACGTCAAAGTTTGACTGTAACATAAGAATCTATGAAGCATTATTCACAGGCCTTGGTTTAGCCATCCCCGAGGCCATTCAAGACCTGAAGGCAAGAGCCACTGAGTCAAACTACAGCAGAAAATATTCAGAAAGAACATTCTTCAATGTGTGACCTGCACAGTCATTGAGCACAATGCACAAATAGTTGAAGGTACAAAGTTTTGGCCAGTGGCTGATCCCATAATTGTGAAAGAAGCTGTCTGTTAAAGCGAGAGAACGTTGAGCTGACTTTGAGTTCACGATATCTATTTGTACTAGCGCCAAAACACGTGCCATCCTGAACCACTAGCGTTGTTCAGATTCACGGTTCTGGACGCGACAATTTTGAGCATCACTAGACAGGGTGCAATCGGCACGACTTCTTTTACGCATCATTCAGCTTGCGCAAGGCTCTCCTTGGATCGCGCGCCCTCACGGTATTCTCAGAATTACTTTTCGAGCATTGCGCCTTGAACTGTGATCCGACGCGCATTCAACCTCCCTTCTCATCAGCACTTGATATCTTGGACTGGGCATGTTCTAAACATCCCACATCAACATGGCATCCGAGAATCCTCAAAATCCGCCCCAATCGTTCATCTCCAGCTATGCTCCGCGATTGCGCACCTACAACAACGGCCTTCTCACCCCGGTGATCCAACCTGTGACAGCTCTTGCAGCACCCTCAGCAAGGACAACCAAAAGAGGCACGACTGCAATCAACTATGCGGAGGATGGATACGACGATTATGATGACGATGACGATGATAGTAGAAGAAGACCTACAGGATTGAGGAGTATAAGGAGAGAAGATCTGGCTCAAGCAAAGCAAGATCTCAGCGAGAAGGTGGGAATTAAAGCAACAGCACCTGTTGAAGTTCAAGGAATATGGAGAGACTGGATGGGAAAGACGAGGAACGCGAAGTCAGATCTCCAGAATTATGCTCAAGCGTCACTGCCGTTGACTTTGATCCCAATCCGAATCGACCTCGACATACCAGCCTTTATTCCGCCTGCACCTCTCCCAGCTCCCATCGGCGTCCCATACGGAAAGATTGATACTTCCCTCCCAATATACAGACAGCAAGAAACGACAGTACCATACCGCCTCAAGGATACATTTTTATGGAATCTGCACGAGACTTTGATTACGACAGATCAATTTGCTCAGTGTATGGTCCAGGATCTCGATCTTCCAAATCGGGGGGCCATGGCAGCTGAAATTGGCAAACAAATCCGTACGCAGCTTGAGGAATATGCTGGTGTTGCCCTTCATCCTCTTTTCTATTCATCACAAAGCGAAACCAGTACCGGAGTCGTGACGACCATGAAGCCAGTCCTCGTTTCGCGAGGTGCGTCGGGGACACCTGCAAGTGGAATTGCTACACCTGTGCAAAACGGCGATGGTCAACTAAATGGTGTCTCTACCCCAACAATACCTACCGAAACCAAGGTCCTTGAAAACGGTATCACAGCTACGGCGACTGCGATCGGATCTGGATCTGACGACTTCAATCCAGACGATACCTACCGATGCATCATAAACTTGAATGTCAACCTCGAAAACTGGCTGTATACGGACAAGTTTGAATGGTCTCTTCTACACCCTCCTGGAACGGCTGAGATTTTCGCAAAGCAGACCTGTGCTGATATTGGACTTCCTGCCGAGTGGGTACCGGTAATAGCCCATGCGATCTATGAAGCTGCTCTGCGCGTCAAGAAGGACGCATGTGAGAGCGGTGGACTTGTGGGTGGAATTGCTGGTGAGATACCCAACGATGCAGCGCACGGAGCCGAGGCTGGATGGAGATATGACCACGAGACTCTCGCAGAAGAATGGGAACCAAAGATTGAGGAGCTAACGAAGGAGGAAATTGAGAAGCGTGAAGGAGATAGAGAGAGGCAAATTAGGAGAGTACGACGTGAGACCGCAAGATTTTCGTCAACTGCCATGTTGGTTGGAGGCACACCCCAAACCGAAAACAGGGGGTACTTCGACGCAGATGCAGGAGAGGAACGTATGGGCAGAGGCGAGCGAAGCAAGAAGAAGCGCAGATTCAGGAGTTTGAGTCCGCTTGGGAGGTCTGGAACTCCAGGAGGAAGAGGAACACCAGATGTTGGAGGCGGCATACCAGCCTATGGTGGGGCTGGATCTCTCACAGAGTACGAACGTTCTATGTGGAGATGCAAGCATTGCCAAATTTGGGGCAGCTCAGTCTGGGCTGTCAGGGATGGTCCTCATGGTCCGAAGGTAAGAATTGTGTTCGTGCTATCAGGAGCGGTATGCTGACTTTCCACAAGACACTCTGTAATAACTGTGGTTATATCTATGAGCGAGATCGCAAGCTTCCAAAATGGGCGAAGGATCTGCACAGGACCGATTTATCCACTGCTCAATACCGATAAGCGCAACTGCATCTACTCTGGCGTTGGCGATATCATGACAGGTCTGAAATTTCACAACATCGAATCGGACCTCATATTTCTTTGGCTTGTAATATGTACGGCGTATTTGGAGTCACAGATGGAGGCATATCACGTATCTTACGTGCGATCAATGAACGGCAATGGTGTGGGGATAGAGTGTCGCTATGTATGTGTACGATAGCTAAGCCTCTGTGATCAGCTCGGCTTTCGAAGAATAAAAAGCATTAATCTCACCAAGTTAGGTTATCACATTGCCAAGTAAGTATTCCTCATTAATACCATCGATTGTGATCTGTACAGGCAAAATCCATGACCAAGCAAGATCTTTCCGTGCTCAGGTCCACAGCTAGGTGCAGCCTTTTCCTTCGGCCGCAATGCTATGCAATTTAGAGAGGCTCAACCATAAACAAAGAATGCCAACTAGACGACGTCGACCGTCCAGCATTTTTCCATCCCGAAACGCCGTTCCCTCGACTCCAGCAAAGCCCTAGCAGCATAATCAAGGAAACCAACGTGATCCAGCATCTCGCTATGGACAGCTTGAGCATCGCTCAGTCCACACGCGACCGCTTCGAGTCTCCATCAGCCTCCACGCTTCCCTCCCTCTCGCGCTTCTTGAACGAGCCATTGACTTCGCCATTCTCGCTACTTTTAGCTACTTCATCAGGACCACCAAGTTCCGTAAGCGGCACCTTCGTGATAACGGCAGCAGGGCGAGTCGCCACAGTCGGTGCAAGTCTCTCCATAACAGCGCGCTCGCCCATCAGATTCCTAGAACCGAGGATGGTGAGGGGAGCTTTGACGTTGACTTTGATAGGGCGTGGGCGACCGTCTTCGTCGATCATGGGAACACCTTTGTCGTCGCCGTATGTCAAGCAACGTAGGGCATCGACGACTCCTTGAGCGATAGTCGTAGCGGTAGCGCTAGTATCCATAGCTATGAGGTTTCCGTCGCCGCGGACATTGATGGGAGTGAATATGTTGAGGCGGATGGCTGTGGAGTCTTCGTCGTCTGAGTCGGAGTCTTCATCATCGTCGGCGTTATTGTTGTTGGCGCCAGCGGGTCCCATAGGGAAGCCTTGGTACATTGCTTGGGGCTGGAAGGGCACGGGTACACGATTTGATAAGGGTCCATGGGGGGCTGATCGTGCGTAGGCTCCTGCTCCTCCGCGAGGTAACGCGGCATGACCTCCTCGTCCAGCTGCGGAAGCTTGTGAAGGGGCTCGAGGTGGTGGTGCAGCCATGTTACCTGGACCGTTGCTTGTGGTTGAGGCAGGTGGAAAAGGAGCAGCGAAGCCGCCTTGGCCGAGCATTGGAGCTGGTGGAGGACCAGATGGGTTTACAGGCGCCATTGTATGAAATATATGGAAAGATTGGTCGCTCCGAAGGTGTATGTGGCGGCCGCGTGTAGAGACACAGACTTGTCTTGAGTAGAATCCGAGAGTAGCTGATTTGAAGTTCTTTTTGTACTTGAGAAGTTGAAGAAGAGATTGAAGATCGCAGTGTGTTGCAGTAGAGCAGTACTGGGTTCGAGTTCAATGCAGGAAGACTAGTTGTGGTTCGAGATCGAAGATGAAGGTGAAGGTAGATGGCAATTGGAGGGTAGAGAAACGTCAGTACCTTAAGTAGAAAAGAGAAAAAGAAGAAGCGCGCATCATCATGAGGATAATAGGAAGCGGCACAATAGTAAATAGAATTCGCTTAGCCAAAGCACAATAGGAACGGGAGCGGGGCGCCGGTCAATAAGAAGAAAAACACGCTAAGGGCTTCCTATTGTTCATGACAATAGCAAGCAAAAGATTCACCAGCCCCCTGACTCGGGGGACCCAATCAATGAGCGACTTGCTCTGAGACTATGTTCTATTACTGCAATCAAGGGTTTACCCTGGCAGAGTGATACCTGCCCTAACTTCAGCTTTGCGGCCTTTCGTTTTGTTGGTCTATGGATGTTTGGCTTGGGTGAAGTATCCTTTATACCTTATTGTTCCTGAGGGATGGGAGCTTAACCAGTTCAGGGTTAGTGTACTACAGGGTTGGCATACGTCTCGATTGCTTTCTCGCAAAATGAGATATCTGGTTACAGAGCCCAAGGTAAGTGAAGACAGCCTTCTTGCTTATCTACAGTGAAACTTCGAGTCATGCCACCATTTTATGGGGGTGAGCCAAGTTTACTCAGTGATCGTGACCTGCCATAAAAATAGTACAGGAATGACAAACGAGGAAGACAGATAATAAACCCACGGCACTTGCATGCCGACTTGCAGCATTTGTTGGCGTTATAGTTGGTAAATATTGTACACTTTTGAAGTCTGGACGCGCTTCTAGTTCTAATATGATACGTGTCCCAGTCCCTTGTCACAAACTGGTCACTTGTGACCTGGCAATCCAGTCTACTTCTTCTCAACTGTCTTCTTCACACCCTCGATGAAAGCCTCGACAGCATCTCCTCCACCAAGTGGAACACTGCCGCCACGAACCAATCCTCCATGCTCTAACTTGACACCCAACGCCTCAGCAATGCTTGGCAAGCCACCATCTCGGATTGCCATCGTCAAGCTTCCTAAACTTTGGTGGAATTGAGGACTTCTTAGAACCTTCTTCAAAATGGATTTTTTCTGGCCAATACTAAGAGCTTCGATGGCTGCTGATGCAGATTCAGCACTTGGTTCTACCATTCCGTCGATTGATGCAGCAGATTCCTGGGCGATGAGAAGTATAGTAGGAGGGAGATAGCTAAGAAGGTTGTCGATCTGTGCTGGGGTGGCAGAGTCGATTGTTGGGACTGTGATGGACGTAGGGAGGAGATCCGGTAAAGTTGTATATATTTGACCTTGAGCCTGTTGTTGCATTCCGGCTTGTCCACCTGCCTTCAACGAGTTGAGGAAATTCTGAACGACTGTAGCAGCATCTGTTGGTCCTGAACCGGCACTGATCACAACGTCAGCCCCAGTCCCATGGATAAATTCCACAAAGTTGAACCTCTTGAAATTTCTTCGATATTCATTCAGGTCGTATCAAGCTAGCAGTACATGAACGCCTTTTGGCTCGTTCTCCCATTTTGCCAAACGCCTTGGTCGTAAATGCTTGAGCAATGTGTGTCTTGCGATGAAAATTTGACCTACGCTCGTCCACCATCAGCTCCGCCTTCGCGTGCGCCAGACCCTTCCTCTCTGATATCTCCTCCCGTAGCATCTGGTCCAGCGCCACCGCTGCCCCCTCGGTGGTGTTCTGCTGGGTCGCCGTGGCCTTCAACGTCCTCCATGGTCTCATCGTCATCGTCTCCGCCAGTTCCACCTTGCACTTGTGCGATTTCCTCCGAAACGTTGACTTCATCGCCCTGCAATAGGGTATCAACAATCTGACCAATCTTCAAGTCCCGCGGACTGAACCATGCTGGGTCGCCATTTCGGGCTTGGGGCTTTGATTGCAACCAGAACAGATCTCGGCGTGAAGAAGAAGAGAACTTTAGGGCGAAGATACGGCCGTTTGTCTTGGAGGTAGCTTGCTGAGAGGTCTTGTATTCGTAGGGCTCGAAGTGTCCGTCTGTGGGGAACATAACGAGATCAACGTTGTCTGGATCGGTCATGGGCTTATTTCGTTCGCGCCAGCAGAAGTGGATGAGTTCTACAAAGTCAGAATATACTTCATAAAGCTGGCAAACAACCTACCATCTTCGGAGTAGAGGTAAATATAGCCAGGTGTAGGATCTGGAGTGACTTTGTATGGCTTGCTGGATGTCTATTGAACGTCAGCGGAGCTCGATTTTCCAAGGCTTTGTAGGCACGAACGTCCAGAGCACATCTGCCAGCTTTGAAGGTGATTATGGGTGCGATAGACATCTTGTGGTCGTTTGTGTTTGAGTATTGAAGATGTGATGGTGGAGAGCTTGAAGCTCTACCTTCTGAGCAGGCGGCGCGGGACGCGCATGACGCTAAATGTCTTGGCATTTCTGACGCTTCAGAACCACATGCAGTTTCGTTATTTCGCAAATCCTAAGTTTATTAAACTCATTGAGAATTGGGAATGGAAACTATTTCCACAAGCGATGTCACTCTTAAGATAGGAAGCTCATCGGAAGAGCCATATATCGGATTACTTTCGACAGATATCTCTGCTACGGCGTGTAAACAGTCAATATGTAGTACCAAAAGCTATGCAGGACTAGCGAACACGCCTTCCTACCTAGGAATCTCTACTGTTCATGTATAATCCAGGAGTTCAACTTCATGGTCTGAAATGGAATAAGGCTGGTGCTTCCTCAATCCAGGATGGATCACACTGGTTGCCAAAACAATGAAGCAGCCCAAATCTGCAAGTTGATACTGCTACCATGCAGATATGAAGCCCTGGACCCCTCTCAATATACTATTCGCGGCTGTTCTCTATTGCGCAAAGGTGGTGGAGTTTCTGCCTCTGTACTTGATCTACCGCAACGTAAGTAACAGCTGTGTTCCGGCCGCGGATGCGCCAAACAAGGCTTCAACTCCAATCAAGTCACAGGCTACTGTGGACTGGGCGAGACTTATGTCTAGCAACGGTCAATGATTTGTTATCGATCTCGACAATGTGCTGTGTTTCTTCCTTGAAATATTTTTATATTTTGTTAAGCGAATCAAAACAGATAGACTTGTATCTTTGTCCCTAAGGTGATGTCACAATGGTGTTCGATACAGGCCGGAAGTCCTAGAATTTAGTAATCAAAGTGAAATATCTAGCAATTCCATGACAAAAACTATTTATGTGGTCTCGATACGAATAAGCAGTTGCATGGGCAAGATTTTGATTTTGTGTTGGGAGGGCCATGTCAACAAGACGGTCTTTGGCATTCCTATTTCGGAAAGATAGAATTTGAATAGTACGAGTAGAAAGCAAACCACTATCGTGTCTCCACTGTTCTTGAGAATGGGAGGATCTTGCGAATAAAATCCTAACTTGTCATTGGTGTGGCGACGCGAAAGTGGATGCTGAGCTCGAATCTCAATCATCCCTCTTGCTCCAGAACGAGCCACGAATCAGACATATACATGGATCAGTAGCTGTAAGCTATTGCATTTCCGGATTCTCCAGAATACTCAAAGAGATGAGTGACCTTGTTAGTTACGCAATACTTGAATTATTGAGCAGAGGTAAATATATGATTCTTTCATGATACTACACAAGATCCAAAAAACCAACTAAACCAGCCTTGCTCTTTAGGTTTCTCCGAGACTGCTTTCTTAGACGGGAATGTCGTCTTCTGCTGTGGATCATCGCGGTATCGCTCGTCCTTAACTCGGTCATGTTTTGAAAATGCCGAGACCGAGTTGATAGATAGTGAGAAGTCGCCTTCCTGAGTACCAAAGAAACTGACAGCTTTAGCATTGGATTGCCCAGGAGAGTAACAAATAATATTTACCTGCGCATCATGAAGCTGATTCTTTTGACATGCTTCAAATCCAGTGGCTTGGCATCCTTCTTGTCCCTCCCTCGATATGTAGCTTTAAAGTCATCCCAATAGATATACACCTTCCCACCATCCGACTCGACTTTGAAGTCGTACTCCCAACTGATCGTGCTTTGTTCGCTGCCATTCGAACTTTTTGGCAATAGCTCATCCTTCAAAGTCAAGGTGTATTGCTTCTCGTCCGACTTGGCAATTTCCAGTATCAGCCCTTCATGTTTCGAAAAGTCCCAGTTGCGATCGTCACCAGTTGTGCGTTGTGATGCGAATCCTGCACCACCGAGAGTCTTTATATCGAGGTTGCCGTGGAAGACAGCCGTTGGGGAATGCGGATTGCAAGTGAGTTCTGATATGGAAGAGCCTCCGCGAACTCGGTCGTCAGAGGATGTCCAATCGAGAGGGGACCATGGCCTGCCAACTGATGTTAGTAGGAGCTGCGAGAGACGTCAACTTTTACAACTTACTTATCTCCACCAAATATTGAAATTGTTGAAAGGAGAGAGGCCATGCTGTAGGTAGCTTGGTTTGTTGTGATTGAAGTTTGAAGCGGACAGCAAGAATCGAGAACCTTGTTCTTAAAAGTCTCCAACACAGTGCGAAATCACCTACTGTTCAGCTCTGATATTTGTGGCACCAATAAAATAAGATTGAATTGCCCCAAGATGGTCGCCAGCTTGATACCAGAATTTGGAGGTTAGCTATTGACCTAGGTATTGACTTTCTAGTGGTGACCTCATTAGTTCCTGCCAAGCCCAGAGAAGTCCAACTATGATTTGTCAGCATCCCACGGCAAATGTAGGCACATTGTTGACTTTTGATACTTCCATCCGCTGCCTCTGATAATTTTGAAGATAGCATTGAGCGTAAGTTGATACTCTGCTAATTAGTCAAGATGTTCTTAGTAGAAAATGCGCTAAAGCTCTATCCTTCGTTTCTGTGCATACGGCGAAAGCCCTGTACTTTGGAGAGTTTCGATATTAGCTTGATCAGGATATCAAAACCCGAGAAGGGGCGTCCAATTCTTGAATGACAATGGGGATTTTTTACACAAAGTATTTCTTCTAGAAATTTGCTTATCGGACAGTAGGTAAATAATGGACAGTTCGTGTACCTAGAGTGGGTTTCAACTTGGTCTCTGATGTCTGATAATGGAGGCCTTTCTAGGGGCTTGAACAACAAGCACCTGCCGTGATCAATTCGAGCTTCAAATCAAAGGATGGTGTCAGCTCGCTCGAGCAAGCCTCAAGCATCATTATTTACTATTCATAGATCCTACCCTCCAACCGACGCACAGCTGCTTACCACATGATCTCATCATATCAGCTATTGCTACCTCCAAACCTTCCACCAATGCTACCAAACCCACTCATATCCCTTCTGAAGAATTTTCCAATACTCTTTAAATTGCCCTCAACAGTGGCTTTCGCATCCTCGGTCAGCGGAGATCCAATCCTGTCACCCACGGCTCCAGAACTAGGCGTACCCATCCTCTCGACGCCATCTCTCGCTGCACTAAACAGCTTCTCGCCGAAGCCAGCAGGATCGAACCTGGTTTGAAGATTAGGGATGCCGGATGCTGCACCCAAGGCTGACCCGGTGCCCAGACCTAGACCGCCACTACCAATGCCGCCTGCGTTCATGAGAGGTGTTAGAAGTGGACTCATTGCCACGAGATGTTCGTTGCTCTTCCCATCTCTGTGCATTCCAAACATTTCGACCAGGGAGGGTTGGTCCTGTTTTCTTACTCCCTTGAGCTCGAGGATCTTCCGGAAGTTGGTGTCTGAACGATCTCCGATATGGATGAGGTATGCTTGAACGAGACCTTCTGGCGGATAGGGTCTCACTTGGAGGGTCTTGAGTAGTGGATCTAATCGAGCCATGCTTTGGTTCACACGCTTGACAAATCCAGCTTGAGCAGTAGTGGATGATGAAGCTGCTGTTGTCGAGTGAGAAAGTAACGTGGTAAGACCTTTGGTCAGTACGTATTTGTCGAGTAACATCTACACAATGTCAGTACATGCCATCACCCACTGTATCTCCGAGAACTTCTTACCTGCTCAGCGCCAACCTCAGAAATTGGCCGGCATTGTACAATATTAGCAATGTACGTATTCGCTAGATGCTCGACCAGATTATCGCAGAATGCTCTGGCATACTGAGCTTTGGCAACCATTGGCAAAGTCTCCTCCGCTTGACTGTTGACATGTTTTAGAAGTTCGGCAACGAAAGAGCTCTGGTCTCCCACGCTCTCCATCTTACTCCAATTGGTGTTCCTCATCTCTCGCCAAGAAGCTTCGCAGTTGACTTCCACTCTATGCACTAACGCCAATACAGCTGCGCTCGCAACGCCCATAAATGTATCGCACTGCGAAGACAGATCAACCTTGGGTGCTAGCTCGCTATCTATTCGCTTCTTTAGGTTATCTTCCAATTGTTGAGTATTTGCGTGCCAATAGTCCGCAGTGTTCAAAACTAATATAGTGTTCTCAAGGGTCGCCCCGCCCGGCGATTGAAGGAAATATAGGAGCACCTGTTGAGCATATTCGTCCAGATATTTGGCAAGCGTTTTCGAGAGGTCCAATAGCCTCTCACCCGTGGATAATTTGGCACATTGTGCAAGTGTCGTTTTGTAGAAATGAAAGAGTTCGATCGAAGATGGTATGACGGCTTGTGACGAAAATTCCTCATCATGTGGGAGTAACGGTTGATTTCGATATTTGGGTATCATCGTTGCCAGTTGTTTGTCCTGGGACTCCACCCAGAGACTAAGGTATGGTTCAAAAGCTTCCGAAATCGACCTGTCGAATGTGTGTGGCTTCTCTTCCACCGAACTGAGTGTGTCGATACTTTCTCTGGGCTCGCTGGCAAATCTTTTCTCAAGACTCTGCTCAAAGTCCATGGTCTCTTGCAAACAGCTTAACAAAAGGTTGACGTCTATCTTTCCACCGTCAGGTCGCCGCATACTCCTCTCTAAGATGCCTTTAAAGTCATCTCTTGTGCCCTCACAGAATGCATTTGCCAGAACTTCGTTCACTCTCCATTGTAATGGGAATATGCCAGCATGCTCATCCTCGTATGTTTTCAACATCCTCCGGAACCAGCTGTATCTCCTTCCGATGTTGTCCAGACTTCCAGCTTCGTCATTCCCTCTGAAAACTTGCCGGTATTCTCTCAGCTGTGTATTGACATACCATGTCACCAGCCTAGCCCTAGCATTCTCCCCCAGCGCATCCATGACCAGGCATGCCTCGCTCAGAACGCCCTTCTTTGCCGCCACTTCTCCCTTTGCGAACGAGATTTCAAAGTCCTCACAGACCTGCTCCAGCAGTTCCCTCTGTAATTCCGCCACATTCCGGCTCAAGGTTGCGATCTGATCAATACTCCTGTGGCTATTGAAGTGTCGCATGAGCTGCAACACAGCTTGAAGCAAGCTCGCACATTCCTTGTATTGCCTCGACTTTGCTAGTCCTCTCAATTGTTCGTATGCTGTCGTGAGCATCTGCAGCCGCTTCAGGGCTGTCATGGACAGGGTGAGGTTCCGTTTCGTGCCATCTAGCCGTTTGATATCCGCTGTCATCGATGTAATTGTCTGTTCCGTCTCTATAGCGCGGGTTCGGACAGATTCGATTTTACTGAAAAGCTGGGCCAGCTCCTCTTTCGCAGATTGCATGCGCTGTAAGCTCGACTCGTCGCTCTGTGCTTGGGCAGCCTCGAGGGCGGATATTGAGGTTGAGAGGTCATCTTGGTGTTTCTGCAGGGCCGCCGCTGTGCTACTTATGGAGTCAAGGGTTGAGGGATGAGAAAATATTGTATTCAGATGTTCGATTGGATCATAGTCGACTGGCAGAACAAGAGTCAGTTGGCATTTAGATTCGGATGAAGGGGGGGCAAGTTCATGTATGTTGGCTTACCGGCATCCAGTGAAGACGGCGCTTTTGATGCGCCGTTCATGCTGAACGTTAGCAGATGAATTGATGTGCCAGATGATCTTCTCGAGAAGTACATCAGCAGCGGTTGAGATGGTCAATTGTGGCTGGGTTTTGGTCTTCAATTGAAGTTGTCCTGTGTTGTGTTCACAAGTCCGCATAATTCCGCACAATTTAGTGAAGCTATCGATAAGAGCTGCCCCTTTCTGGGACGCGAGTTTGTCAATAAAGACAGGCGACATTGATCGATGCGGACCATTTAATTCGGAGGATGTTCATAAATTACTACTCATGAGTTTTGCACGATTCAAACATATAATCTATCTTTCTTGACTGGTGAAGTCTCCTCCATCCTGGCAAATGCTAACCGTCCAACCTGAGCCTTTCCATGCTCTACATCACTCACGTCCCCTAATCTCACTTTCATCTCCTTCACCATCCTCGCTTTGTCCATTCCATCCATATTCACTCCTACATCTGGCATACGGATAAAGGGACTTTCCTTGGCCAGGCTGGAAACAAATCCGAGGTAATCTGGAACAATAGTCCTCCTCGAGTAATACACACCCACGATTGCAGCCAATAGCATGACCAAATTGGAAATGAGAAATACAATCAGCCAAGGAAAGAAAGCAAAATAGACTTGCGACTCGTTGGTTTGAGCTGCCGAAACTGTGAAAGCAGCTGTCCGATTTCGAATCATGGCTGTGAGATCCGAAGGGCTGGCGGGGATGAAGCTCGCATTATTGCCTCCCACCAAGTTGTTCTCAATACCCGTAAACGATGCTCCTGTGATGTATGTCGTCGCATTCCACATACTTGAGTATATGTATGCATTTAGTAATTGGCCCAACCGATTTCCGAAGTCCTTTAGTGGCACGCTTTGAAGACGACTCGGGGATCCGTCGCTGCTGAGAGAATTGACGCCTGATATGATGTTCGTTTGGGACAGCGGGTCGTAAAGATAGTTTTGGAACTGGTTGACTGCTCCGAAGCTTGGAGTCGAGTTAGGGAGAAGAGCCGAGACACCCAATGCGACTTCGGGAAAGCTAAGATAGGTAATTTCTGAGGGTAGGTGTGGTAAGACGGATGGTCGCTGGGCAGTAACTTCGCAGTGCTGAGATCCAGAGTCTCTGTCGCAAAAAATGGTGGACTCGACGTAGACTTGTGACGGCGTACAGAAAATGGATGTTGCAGTATCAAAACCAGCCCATTCTTGGAAGGCAATCATGCCTGGTGGAAAGGAGACGTTGGCAAAATCTGAAGGGAGACAATCAGGACAGAACTGAGGAAACACATATGTCGAATCATCAGAAACTCGGACGGCTGTGATATCTTCTCCTTTGTATCCAATAGTCCAAGAAGTGTGGTCCGAAGCATTTTCAAAGCTAACAAATGGACCAACAGTAGAAATAATATCAGTCTTGATGAGTTCCTTTGTTGGTGTCTCCAGGATTGGTGTCGTACTCATGTTGGAACAGGACAATTCTATATACGCAGACTCCATATTCAATGTGGTATTTCCATACTCGAGTCCAAAAATAGGTATTCCAAATAGAGAAGAGTAAACGAGTGAGGTATTTGCTTCCGACAGCTGTACCCAGCCATCCTTGTCTCTAGGAGCGCTCGAAGAGAGACTAGAATAATAGGGTATCTTCACGTTACCCCATATGTCCATGCTGCTCTTTTTCACAGTCGTTGGCGCCAGTAAAGATGACCCAAATAATACAGTAAATCCAGGATACCACTGGTTTTGGAACGGGCCTGCTGGGGCTGAATAGCTTTGTTGCCTTGAATTGAAATAGGTGATATTCGCCTCGGTTGTGGTGAACTTCTCAGGGGTGTATAGAATGTGCAAAATGGCCTGCCCACCCAGAGGCGATAGTGACCAAACAAAGAGAAGACCGAGGCCGATGAGGTTGAAGGATCGGAGTTGTACTTGGGTTACGAAGGTACTTGCAACAGTTCTGCTACCCATCAGTTGCTCCAAAGCTCCGAGGGTCGTGCCTTGCTCCAGTTTCCACGTGGCATATTTGACTGCTGCTCTTCCGGTAATGGCAGCGAAAGAAATGGGAAATAGTGTGGTAGCCTAAAATCTGTCAATCAAGGCTATTAAATCAGTTGGTTGGGAAGACTGACTCCTTTGATGGACTGCTGAAGTATGTCTAGCTCGCGACCTTCCACCACTTTACCGTTCACGGCAATGACGGCTGCTCCAAGTATGAAGAAGGGAATTGGAATCAATATCATAATAACATCGACTGTCGATTCCCACCACCTGTACCCTCCCAAGCCTTTGTGCAGCTTCTGTGGCCGCGATGGCCATGGCTTCGCTTGTAATAAACTCTGTGGGCTGGCCTTGTCTGAATATGGCGAATATTTCTCAGAAGCAGCATAATGATCACCAAACATTGAAATTGTCCTTGATGAAAGCGGGGATATTGGAGATATCATATCGTGAACTGGGAAATCAGTCTCAAGTTTCCTCTGGGTAGTCATGATGAAATATTAGGAAATATTAGAAAGTAACAGACACAATATGAGATCGACCCAAAATTAAGTGACAGTCAGCAACATTGGGGACTTGGGCCTTCAAGAGGTCCTGGGTGATAAAGAAGAAAATCTAGGGGTGAGTGAGAGGGATAACAAAATGAAACCCTGTGGATGGCACACAACTGTTTGAGCCAGTCGAATGGGATTTGTGGCGCAGGGGAGCAGCAAGGACGAGCAGAACCTTGAACCTGATGACATTGCGCCATCTGATGTACTCGTACGAACAAGACTCCTTTCCCCATGGATTAAGAAAACTCAGAAAATTGAGAGTTAAATGGCTCGTTCCTAACTTATGGGATCGAGAAATGATGAACGGCGACCTCAATACACAATGAATGTGAGGATCTTGAAAGCAGGTTCTGCTGTACATTCCTGACGCACGGACGATGTGATATGCTGAGAGTCTGAGACGCCAACTGTATTGTGTACCTGCCATCACATCCTCTTCCCCTGAAAATCTAGAGCAATTAATCCGCCCGCACACCCCACAGCGGGAGACGGGATCTGACGGCATGCATACTATCAGTGAAAGGCCCAAGCTGAAGATTGGACGACAAGGACGGAGACAGGTTGTGTTGAGTCAGGTCAGGAGATTGAGCCCACGGAAAATGCAGCGTCTTGCACAGGCGGTCTCTGAGCACTGCACATGCTCGCAGTCTCGAGTCGTGAGCTCGACTCAGAGGCTTTATCCAATGCTTACCATGTGCTCATGCTCGTCATGGTATGGCGCAGAAGATTGGGTCGATGTTCATTCGAGGAGGAGGGTCGGCGTTGAGGTTAAGAGAAGGTTTGGCCGCAGCGCCTTAGCTGAGATCTCCTGAGGCCACAGCCACAGCCGAACTCACACAGGCTGTGTAACAACCTTTTTCTTCAACTCTTCATTGTTTTCCTCCCCACTGATCTCGTCCTTATCTAAAACATCAACAGCAAAATGAGATTCCTGATTAAGATTCTTTCTCCCAAACCAAAACCGTCCATTTCAACAACTGAGCTTTCGGATCTTTTTAATGCTATTCTGACAAACAATGGTGCTTATCAGAACCAATTTTTCGGAGTCACAGGGCTCATTTCCCAAGTTCACGTGGAACATTGGATCTGATTACCTTATCAACATCGAGGCGGGGAAAATCTTCCCAAGAAGCTATACATTTCGGTTTCGCTGCAAAGCATCGAGAAACATGTTCCAGTGTTTCTAGTTTATCTCATCCGGACACACACCGGACAGCCGAATTCACCGAAACTATGTCTTTGTGACGCTGGCGACCGAACCGAATTCAAAGATTGAAGCTTCGGAGTTTGGGATGGTGGCTTGGTCTTCTCAATTCCGGCTTCATTGGTGATATCGACCTCGGTTGAGCATTACATTGAGCGTCAACACTAACATTGATGTACGTCAGATGGCGTGAGGTTGTGAAGTTTGTCGTTCATATAATGATAGCATGAGATACTTCAGTGGCTGACTTCAATTTTACAATTACCATTTCTTCTCCATTGTTTGGGTTTTCAATTTTTCTCAAGAGCCACTCTTCTCGACCGACAGGAAAGAATATCCAGATCGCGCCTTCAGAATTGACAGCGATTACAAGTTCCTTGCCAGCCGACCTCACCAATGGCTCTTCTTAGTGGCGAAACTGTTTTCATATCACCATGGATTGTACGTGGAGCGATTCTAATTGCACTTGGGACTTTGTACATTATGTACACCCGCGAATTTACGCCCCTACGAAAGCTTCCGGGTCCTTTTGTGGCAAGCATCACCAGGTTCTGGATCGTCAATAAGCAACGGAGTTTCAGACGCTATGATGTCGATATGGAGCTGCACAGGAGATATGGGCCCATCGTCCGAGTGGCACCGAATGAAGTCATGGTATCCAGTCCGAAAGCATTCCGGACCATCTACGGTATCTTCACTTATTCCACGTTTTGATGACAGCCGATTGATGAAATCAGGTGCTGGGAGTGGTTTTAAGAAAGGGGAATGGTATATCGGTGTCAGTGATTGTGGTTGGTCAGGACCTGACAGCCTCGACTTGCTTAGCGAGACGATATGGAAAAATATCGAACGCAGAGACGTGCTCTTGGACCAGTGTATACTGAGAGCTACATGCGAGAAATCGAAAGCAATCTTGACACCGCAATGGCAAAGAATGTTGAGATTATGCGCCAGCGAGCTGGGCAGAGCGTGGATATTGATATATTCCTTAATATGTTTGCTTCTGGTGAGCTTGCTGATGATTAGCTTCCATGTACATCAAGTGCTGATAGTTCTAGATTGTCTATCAATGGCGACATTCTCGAAGGCTAAAGACCTGGTAGAGCTTGGCAAAGCTGATGAGTCAATCTTGTACATCCATAGAGCCTGGAAGTATTGGCATATAGCTGGGTACTTTCCATATCTCCACAGGGTTGTCAGGTGGTGCAATCACGGCACCAGCCCTGCATTGCTAAAGCGCATGGTCAAGCGTCTCTCACCACTTCTGGATGGGGAGGGATAGGACAAGCAAAACATCCATTCTTCCACCTGAACATGCATTCGCCGTAAGAAACACATAGTCCCGTCATGCGATCTCCAAATTGGTCTGACATGTCTTCAGTTCCCAATGGAGCAGATCCATCAACGCATGGCTCTCCGAGACGCCATGAAATCTCCATCTCCCGATGATGAAGCGCCCCCCGACATAGCAGCCAAACTTCTCCAATTGCAAGCCGAGAAAGGACAACTGACCGACAGGTGGATCATGGTTATGTGCATGACAAACTATGGAGCGGGAGTCGAGACAATCGGATTGACAGTCAGTGCCTTTATTAACAATGTCATCGCTTATGGTTGCCAAGAACGCATCCACCAAGAACTCGACTTAGCGAGGAGAGCTGGGAAGTTGAGTAACCCGCCGAAATTACGAGAGATGAAAGAACATTTGCCATATCTGAGTGCTTGTCTCAGCGAGAGTCAGAGATTGCACCCTGGTGTGGGCATGCCTCTTTTGAGAACAGTGCCAGCGGGAGGATGTGAATTAGAGGGGCATTTCTTACCTGCAGGTGTGAGTCTTACCACCTCCGACAAAGAACAAATTTCCCTAATGTTGACCATCACCAGACGTCGGTTGGAATCAATCTTTGGTATTCAGCCGTAGCAAGGAACTCTACGGCGAAGATGCCGAGATCTGGCGACCTGAACGATGGCTTGAGTACAGCCCTGAGAAGCTCAAATATTTGGGTAGAACCCCTCTGACATTGCATGCATGTGTGCTTACTTGGGATCAGAGACATACAACATCACTTTTGGCACCGGAGCTCGATCATGCCCTGGAAAACGTGAGTGATCAATCTCCCCGCCGAAGAAAAGAAGCCGCGACAAGGCGGTCAAATTGCTGACACGCAACAGATCTCGCCCAAGCAATCTACACGAAGATGATTCCTATGCTGTTCTTCGAATTTGAATGGAGCTTCACAAATCCCCACGCTGACAAAGTTTTGCAGTGTACGTTCTCCGTGAGGTTCATTGAACTAATGATGCGGTGGAAGGTCCGGGGGAAATAGTGAAGGAGTCTTGCACAATGACACCCAAGGAATCTTTGTCTCTGCACTGGTCTTTAACTGACGCTGAGTATTTACGCACAATAGAGAAGATGCTCTACATCATCGTTTCATAGCAGCTCTCTAGTGGTGCTATCACATCCGTGTAAAACACCTCTTGAAAGTGGGAGCTCGTCAGATCCAACGAATCAGTGTCAAAGTTGCACCTCAGACATCTCTTGATAGCCTGGAAGTAAGCTGCCTCTTTTTCCTGTGTCCCTGAATCAATGCCGCGGATCAGTCTGTTCAGTTTCTTTTCTTCTGTCTGTCCATACGGAAGTGGATTGCCAAGTTCGTCAAGCTCCGAGGGGTCGTTGGGGATTGTTTCGAGAGGGCGACCGAAATAGAGCTCTACCAGCACAGTTGCCAGTGCGAAAAGTGAGGAATTGCTCCAGGTCCGTAGTCCTAAAAGAAGTAATGCTTGAGCAACTTGGTCAGTCGTGGTATGTTCGGATTTCCGTACGTAAAGCTGGTCCGTTAGAGGTGCTTCCTCGCTCTTCATGAAATAGATGTCGTTTTTGCCCCAAACGCTTTGAAGCCAGGGTGTTCTACAGAGCTGCAAGACTGTAGAGGCGAGGGTGACCGACAGTTTGTATCTCTCCTTGATCCCATAGTTGTAGCGGCACATGCATTTCTCCTGGAGGACTTGTTCGAGGGACATCACGGTCCTCGTCTGCTCTTCGCAGCCGCAAAATATGTGGTGCCGGCACTCTTGGTGATCAAGAAAGCCAATACAGCCGGACTCCTCAGGTGCATTCTCGAGTGCTTTGCATAGAGAAGAAATTTCTGACCCAGCGGTCGGTGAAGGAACTTCCCCAACGCCAGCAAAAGCAACAGAGCCAGCAACCCTGGCATTTCGATTCTTAGTGATCACTTCCGAGTATGAAGCTTTTCATATGGTACTTACCGGGCTTGTGGAATTTCTGAGGGTCGGACTTTAGCCCGTCTCCATGACCACGGCATGGGAGAGCTATTATTGTTCAGGCCCCCTGAAAATGCGAACAAAATAATGAAATTATATGTACTTTCTGCGCCTTGAATGGTTTTATCTCGGGTTTGGAGTTGCAGATGGACAGTATGGCTCGGAGCACAATGACATTGCCATCTGATTGACTGGAACAGACTCTCCGCGTATTGACGAATCGAAGACCAGAACTTTGTGTTGAGCCTACGGCTCCGTTCTTGCCTCGGCGCTGCAAGCACCATGGCATCACCAACAAGGGAACCGATTTTTTCCACGTCGCTTCGAATATCCGCGATAGCCAGAGCATAGTCACCACTCTGTAAACCCAGCATTATTGCCTCGAAAGTCCTTCTGGCGGAACGAGTTTTGCCAAGCACTTTGGTAAAAGCGCTTGGCTTCCCGGTGTGAGCACTGCCCTTCATCCACCGTGGCTGCGACATCTGGTGTTAGCTTTGACAATTAGAGGAATCTAAGGTGACTACCAACGAGAAAATCGTCGTCCAACTGGACTTTCTTTGAGAAATTATCCAGCCTGGCAAACAACCGTAACACCAATTGTTCGTAAATGGCATAATCCTGGCAACCAAGCATTTTTTGGATCTTCGTGTGAAGCTCCGGATCGAACCACTTCCTTCCCTTTGGAAACTTTAAAAGCTCTTCTGCTTCTTCTGAGGGTAACTGCAGTCGCCATAGGAGATTCTCGCAACCTCGTTGAAAGCTGCGTGTTTCGATCTTGAGGTCGAGGATGAGGTTGGCTACGAGAGCCTGATAGCCTAACATGGTCTTTATCGTCTTGATGCCTTCGCCATAGTGTTCGAGGGCTGTTATAACAAGCGGGAGTGCACCGAGCACTACCCCAGCGATTTCGAAACCGGACATGTCGTGTATCAAAGAGAAGAGTGCAAGACTTGTAGGCTACAATACAAGAATGACTGTCGCACGGCCATTCAAGAGTGGATGTCGGAGGCGACACTGTGTGGACAATTAAATCAGTGTAGAGACGATTCGTGCATGGAACATACGCAGACATAAGCACAGAATTATTAAGGTACAGCACAATGTTACGGGGACAGAGGAAGGCTGGAATCTGAAGCTGTACAAAACTTGCGATATTTATCGACGCTGGGGCTGAGATATTCGACTGGGGTCCTCATTCGCGGACTGCTGTCCTCCCCACACTTCTTCACCTGTGTGATCTGACTGCATATATACCTTATATCTTCTCCCTCCCCTCTTCTCGACACCGCTGACACTTCTAACAGGCGCTGCACACACTTTGATAGTATTGCGTCGTGGCAGCTATATCTCACATCGAGAATCTCCGCCTATGCCCCTCGACTGCTTATGAGCCTCGTGAAAACGCCCTGATGGCGCCTTCTACGATTGACACGGAAAGTGCTGTAAGGCTAGACAACACTGATCAAGATGATGCCTTGTTGATGGATAATTCGATCTCAAGCTGTCATCGTCGATGCTTTGAAGACTTTCAACGAGTGCTCATATCACTCGATGCACCTGGCCATTTATTTCAGCACTGCATCTCATCGACAGATGTCTCGAACGAGTTTGATCGATACAAGCTGTGGTGCAGTAATGTCGGAGCTGCTCATGATGGCTCAAATTATCGCTTGTCGTTGGACTACAGACTTCGTGAAGCTCCTTCTCACAAGGAACAGATCAACGAGATCCTCAACACATTAGCGGAGACTGTAAGTATCTTCTTTTGCCTCCGAGCGATACTGAGGATTCATTCAAATCCTTTACCGTGCTGATCTGTCTGTCAAACTTAGCTGGAACGAAGTGAGTTTGATCTTTAGGTCTATATATTCTTACTGACTTCAGTGACTTGCACAAGCTGCTTCGCTGTTAGAAGGGATCGCTCAGCCATTCGAAAGCAAAACTCTTCATGATGATGCGAACCACTTCTTATTCGATCCTGAGCTAAGCTCATCAGATGGAGAAGACGATGATTTGTCGGGACCTGAGGATAAACCTATCTCGGGTCAATCGCAGGAAGACGATGATTTCAGGCGTCGAGTTGTTAACATCAGAGGCACTATCGCCACGAAGATAGCTGTCGAGGATATTGTAAGTGCTCCTTCCCGGGCTTCGATACACCCACAAAGCCTGCACGAGCTACAAAGGCCCATTCCAGAGGTTCCACAGCTGCTCGAAACCATTCGGTTCACGGTAACCTGTCTCTACAGAATACCTATCCGCCGTCCAGCCACACTGGAACGAAGTAAAAAGCTTGCTACCATAAACATTGGCTATTTTGAGCCATTTGATAATGCCTACATCAACGACAGGTGCCCCGCAGCAAGCACAGCCCTGAAGCAGAAGCTCCAGCGAATGATCTCACGTAGGCGACGACTCCTCCTCTACCGCGCTCAACATTACGAGCATATTCAAATCCACCTTCCTCGACGGACCGTAGAAGCACCCAAAGAGCTTAGACCGCTCGATCCGTCGCCCAAAATCATGCAGTTGGAGAATAGACCAGTGGCAAGCGAAAAAAGTAGCAGCAAGCCCAGCCAGTTTTTCTATCGCGACAACATTTAATCCTGTGGATTTTCCGGGGTTTTCTACGGAGCTACAATCTGAAGACCAGATATCTGAGACAGAGTCATTGCCATCTACAAATCCATCTCTGTGGACTGGGAATCAGAAGCTATACATACCACCACGTCCTAAAAAGACAGCCGAGGGCGATTACTTCCTTTGTCCTTACTGTTTCGTGCTTTGCCAGACTAAAAGTGATGAATCTTGGAAGTGGGTTGCAATCTACCCAGAACTTCATCGAATCTTACTTACCATCAGGTTTTAGACGTCATGTGCTCAAAGATCTTGAGCCTTATATCTGCACCTTTGCTAATTGCACTTTGGAGGACCATCAATTTGACGATCGTAATGATTGGTACGAACATGAGCTTCAAAAACACCGTATTGAATGGTGCTGCAACCTAGATGGCCACTTTCCATGCACAAATCCGTCTGACTTTCTGTCACACCTTGAAAATCATCATCCGAGTCTCCAGTTGTCAATGTCCCAGGATACTATTCGACAGTTTCAAAGGCCAGCTCAGAAATCTTCCAAAATATGCCCTCTGTGTTCGAAACCTTCTGAGAAACTTAAGATCCATCTTTCTCGTCATATGGAGCAGATGGCTTTGTATGTCCTGGGAGGGAACAATCAGGAAGATTTAGAACCCGGATCAGAAGCATCGAACAAGGCTCGAAGAGTGGATTCAAGTGCTGATCTAAGTTCAAGCTCAGACGACGAGTTTGACGACTGGAACCCTGCCGAAATGGTGACTCCTGCTGCATTACAGGAAGACATCTTGGCTGAGCCATCAATCGTTCCAGATACCATGGAAACGCCATGGACTATTCCATTTGATCTTATTGGGAGTTTGAGTTTGACTGCTACGCTCATAATATTTTCAAACTTCGCCTCTCGTCTGGTCTTCTCGCGACTTGTTTACCCTGACAGCATTCCTCTCTACCTTACAGGAGATCAAGTTTTCCTCAAGAATGCTGGTAGATCGAAAGACGTCTTATCCGAGTTACATTTGGGTATGGAGGCACAAAACTCTCTTGGTTACCTCACTCCAATTGAACGAGCTTTAGGTGTCGTCAGTGATGAAGCTGTGAAGATTTGTCGAGATCTGGAGCTGGAAGCAACTACTGCTACGGAGGCCTTCCTAAAGCCAAACCTGGGATCCCTGGAGGACCTCAATAATTTCCTGCTGGTAACCACACCGAGACGCTTGTGGGAATTCAGAACAAAGCTCGATAGTTTGAGATTGAAATTGGAAGCGGATGTCCTAGTGCCACTCTCGTAAGATCGCCTGATACCAAGAGTCAAATTAGAGGCTGACGATACCAATTCAAGGGACTTGTTACGTATGCCTAATCGCATACCATTAGATAGCATGAAGCGCAGTGAACATACTGAAGTTGTAACGGTATTCTCCCGTTTGCAAGAAGACGATGCAGGGTCTTTACTTGCAAGATTTCCTGAAGAGGCGTTACCAAACCCCAGAGATGTATCATCAGGTACGTCTCAACTTTGATGAAGTTTTTTTTTTTTTTTTTTTTTTTTTTTTTTGAGAAACCTCTTACTTAATCTAGCAAACATATTGAAGCTCATCTGGTAATAGACAATGGAAGAAAGTACTATCAGGGCTCTGGGAACGTTCTCGAAGAGCATGCGGGAGATAATTCATCGAACATCGCCCTAGCAGATGCCCGTCATACACATACTGTACGAGAATTTATTGCGAGCGCACCAAGGCTAAGCAATAGTACTATGCCGTAAGTTATTACTAGCGAGCTTTTTAATATTTAAATAACCGTATTATATAGCCACAGAAAGCGGCAATACAGCCTAGATGAAAAAGCCGAAGTCAGAGAGATTCGTACACGTAGAGCTTGTGAGGATTGTCGACGGAGGAAAACTAAGGTAAAGCAGAACAGAATATTATTCATTAAAGTTCTAACAGTTATAGTGTAAACACAGGTTAGCCGGATCAGAGTTCTCTTCAAACGTGACATCAGGATCAGGAAGTACTCAGTCAGGAAGTACTCTGAGTGATATCTCGCTCCGAACTGAGAGTGCAGTCTCTGAGCCTCTAGCATTCGCGGCTAGGATCACCTCAGTAGACGGAGGAACCGACTCTTCCAACGATTACGACCTAAATGAAATGGATATAAGAGCCGGAACTGCCGAAAAGAAGTCTTTTATTGAATAGTAGAAAATTCCGCGGGCTTTCCTTCACGGCCGAAGCCTCGTGAGATTATCCAAGGGTCAGCACTATCTGAAGGCAGGTAAATAGACATGCTTTATGCTTTGCTTTGCACACAAGGGCTGTCACTGAACTCAAGGCAAGGTTCTGTGGGGAACGGGCCGAGCCGTCGCCTGCGATCGCATCCGTGCACGTGAAGGTTTTCGTCTGAAGCGAAGTAAATAGACATGCTTTACACATAACGTTCCTACCCCCACTGTTGTTCATTCTCTTGATTGCCATTTTTCATAGATTCTAAGAAGGTGCTGCTCGTTGGTGTAAGAACTAATCTTAACATGGGATGTGCACTTACACGTTCTCAACAGGATGCGAGCACATTAGAGCCACTGCATAATCCGGGCAAATTTTGCAAGTGGTCTTTCTATCTTATCAGTACTTGAATTCAAGAATTTCATTTCATTCACTGCACTACCCAACTCAGCCACAAAAGTTGGACGCGCAACCCGCCTGGAGCTGGCCGCCCATAAGCGACCAAAGACACCAGTTTAAAGTATGCCGCCATCAGCCAACCCTACCCGCATTGCATCTGTTCGTTCCTCGCAGCTTTGGACAGGACATCTCTCCGCACACTGGGTAAATTTATCAGTACTGCATGCTGCGCCAATGGCCCGGCTAAAATCCCATTCCATCCCTTACATCCCACTACATCCCACGTATGTCACATGTACCAAGACATTCTAGACTATGTCAGTACAGTGGGTAGACCACCACGTTGTATGTAGCCACGGCCACGGATCCGACACCCAACAAATCGGACGTACCTGTCAACAGAAACGTGGACTTGCAGGTACCTAGGTATGTAAGCAGGGTGGGTTAGGAGTCCCGACAGTCTGGTTGACGTGCAAGGGTATTGCTTGGCATTCGGTTTACTTTTGGCGTCCCTTGACCTACCCTACGCTGCAGAATTTAGGAAATAAATATAACTAAAATGTCATACTCCCAGTTTTTGAATATGGCAACCCCATAATCACAGGTCTGACTGCAGGATAGACAGATGATGCCATTATCATCAGTAGTCCAAGCATCCTGTTGCCCAGGTACATAACCGGGATGGGAGACATCCGGATCCAATCTCCAACCCAATCGAACTGAACCCATGTCACCTCACCATTCCAACATAAATGTAACTGTGATTGTGATTGTGATTCGACCAATCCGTCGAGTTAGGGACACTGGGATGATTCCGATCTGAGATGTCGAAAACTGGCGGCGACTTGCTCCGCTCCACGTTTTTGATTTCATTGGAGTGAGACCACTGCATAGAAGGACATGAACTGCTTGAATTTTCGGGTTGTAAGGTAAAAATAGACAGTGTGTGCATCTTTATATTCAGCAGTGAATACTCCGTACAACAGTGGTAAAATTGTGCAGAGCAGAAGAAGCGACAGTATCAGCTGGATTGACATCAAACTAGGAAGATCAATAGAACGTGCAGCGGCCTAGCATCCGGCATGCCGAGATTGCGGGGGTGGACTTGAATTTCGCTGAATGTCTCGCCTCAGCTCAGGCCTCAGCAAATGCCAATTGTCTTACTGGCCCATAGGAAATGTGCCTATTTGATTACGAGATCATCGTACGATGCGAGTTCTCCTGCAATATGCTCAATAAAGCGAATTATGAGCGAAATAGCACTCGCGAACTATTATATCATAATATCAGAACCTAACATTATGCTCCAAAAGATAAGTCGAGAGATCCGCCCATAATTTTTCACCACCATTCTTGATCCCCGAGATTCGTTTATTCATGACTTCGTACGGCAGCTTTGCCAGCCGTGGATGCGTTCATGTCTCCTGTTCATTTTGTCGTTTTGATTTTCGTCGTCCTGATGCTTTGCTTTTCTTTACCGCCGTTCCAATGCAATACCTGTTTCCATGCTCTCCGTTGGACTTTTTCATGCACCAGGTCGTACAAATACAAGGATCGTTGATGTCTTCATTTGGCCTAACCACCGTGTAGGGCTTTGAATCCTGCTGCTATCAAGCTTCGAGGTCCTGGAGGAGTATCTGCAGTGCCTGTCCAGTAAAATAACCCCTGTACGTGTCAGAACTCTCCAGCCAGTCTTTCCAACATTCAACTTACCCCAAGGCCCTTGTCCAAGCAGAAGTTCGCTTTTATCTTCACTGTCTCTGGGTTGTCGTACGAAACGAAACCCCCATCACCTCCAGTGGAGAACGCCGCCACGACGCGTGTGTTGACAATTTCCTCAGCATTGTTTCTTGGCAGCTGTTTGTACTCAAACGTTCCTTCTTCTCCACCACAACCATTGTACGCATGGCCAGGACCACTTGCTCCGAGGAATGATCTACCATATACCGGCACGCCCAGAAGAATCTTATTTGCTGGAAAGCCGGTTGAAATGATATAATCTACTGCCGCAGATCCTGATGGCTCTCCAGGATTTCCAGGATAGAGTTGAGCGTGATGGCCAGCTGTGGTTGACCATGAACCTGCGAAGTCGTAGGCCATGATATTGATCAGATCAAGGTAGTCCTGTGCTTTGTAAAGATCGATGTTTTGCAATGCCCACTGTCCAGCTGGCAAAGCTGCTGTCAGGAGGTAACGGTCATCGGGGAGGTGAAGACGAATGGCGGCAAGCAAAGCGAGGAAGTTCGCTCCTTGCTGTGGATCAGATGGATGTTCCCAGTCAACTTGAACAATGTCAGTCGAGAATGTGCAAGCCTTCAAGAATCTTACGATCAATTCCATCAAATCCAGACGCGTCGATCAGTCCTCGTGCAGATCTTCCAAAATTATCCCTCGTTGCAGCACTAGAAGCTACAGCGGCAAAGTTCTGGCTTGCAGCTCCACCGCCGACGGACAAGATCAACTTAAGATAGCCATGCTGTTCCTTCAACCTCATGAAAGATCCTAAGCATCCGGTAGCTCCGTCGACTGGCATCTGCGCATCAGCCCATTCATCGCTCAGCTACCCAAATGGTTAGCTGTGACATGGCCCACTGCATCAAGAACATACGAATATCCCACCATCGGCGGAAACATGAGCGAAGGCGTAGAAGACATGGCTGATGCAGTTATAATTCAAGGTCGCTGGCGTCTCCCCACGATAGACTCGGTAATTTGGATAGTATACCGCATTCTTCCTTGTGAGACTTGCTAAGCTTGCATCCAGTGATGGCTGAGAAGGTCTTCGAGGAGCATTGATCTGCGGCCTTGAAGAAAATGGAATGGCTGGTGGAACTGGGCCGAAGAAGTTTGCCATATCTGAGAGTAGGAGGGAAGTTGTTCGTCTGTCCTGACGAGTCTATGTCCCTAATTTGAAGTGATGCCCGAGCCGAGAAAAGGAGAATCGGGACATGTATATTCGCATGGTATGTTTGTTGACTTTCCTAAAGGGGTATGCAGGTCAAGGTCAGATACTTTACCAACTGGTGGTAAGTAAAGAGGCCCGACAGTTTGTGCTGAGCGGCTGAATACAGAGTTTAATGAAAGAAGCAAGTCGCCACGTTGAGAGGCGGAATGTACGTAGGAGAAGAAGGAAAGACCCGAATGGAGGCTTGCCGGTATTTGAAGTGGGAAAGGCTAATCGACCACCAGCGTTCCGAGCCATCACCCACCTACCCGGCGATCTTTCCAAGGTGTGGCAGCATTCTCTGGTAATATGATGGAGATGGTGGGTCAGAGGGTGTGGAGAGTTCAGATCCCACAGCGAAGAACGAGCCAACGGCGTGTCGACTAGGAGAAGACGCTGCAGGCCGATGTTTCCCAACGCCTTTGGGGCTGGCTGCATACGCCGTGCCTGAACTAAGGAGAGAGAGCGTGTATGCACAATTTCAGCATCAATAATGCTCAGGTCCTCCTCTGTCTTATGGACTTCGATACGGCAAAGGCCAGCTTGTGTTGGACATGGCCGGTTAGTGGCGTGCTGATAGCAAGTCAAAGCCTTGCCAGCGAATCCAGATCCAGGAACGGGTCAGATCAGGAGTAAGGAACCCAAGCTGCGTTTTCGGAGCATATGCTTCAAGCCGTCCCCATCCTCGCTCTCGGCGTTGGAGGATGGGAGAAAAGTGGTAGGGATACAGAGAGTAAGTAAGGTATTTCTGCAGGCAGGGAGACAGTCAGGTATGCATTGTTCATGCGGTGGCATCCTCGCTCGCCTGTTCGTCGGCTAAAGGCTGCAAGGGGAGGGCTATCCAGGACTGTAGTTGGCTAGATCGGCTTCAACTCCAGCGTATGTCGTGAACAGGGCGACTACTTAACAATACACGAAGACGTGCTGACTCGTTGGTCGGCGCAGTGCAGACGCCATGCATCTCTTCTCTAAGTACTATCTACCATGGCTAAGGAATCGCTCCGGAGTCTCGGACAGGGAACTGATCTTTCAGGGAAGCCGAGGATGGGGAAGTTCCTGTGAAAGCGTACAATTCAGTAGTCTGCATCTGACGTGTTTGAAAAGCTAAAGTTAGCTAGCAGTTGGGGGGGGGGGGGGGGGGGGGGGGGGGCGGGGGGGGTGGTTTGAAGGTTGAAATGATATGCATCTTTTCAGGGACGAGCTTTTGTAGCCTCGGAAGCAAACAGTTATTTCTCGTACAACATGAGCTAAGGGCAAATCACACGAGACGAGAAGTAAGACAAGGGTTGCGAACTTGCGAGCGATGGCTGTCTGTATCGTGGAAGAGTAAGAGTGGATTTGCGTTGTTTTGCCCCGCGGTGACCACCAGTGAGTGCTGGACGCCAGCGGGTCAACATGGGCTTCAATGCCCCTCACATCCACCTTTATCTCCATCACACCGCATGTTGTTTCTGTCCAGTGCTCTGGTGAGGGGTGTTATTACGTGCAGGAGAAACATGCTAAGGCTTGAACGACTTTGGTGACTCGCAGGAGGACCTTCGTCATAAGGATCAAGTGAGGGGCTTTTGCTGCCACTGTCTAGCATTTGAAAACTGTCTAAGAGCGTCCGAGCATGAAGTTTGGACAAGACAGGGCTCCGGAAGGAAGGGAACGGGAGATCAATTGAAGATCTTGGTCCTGACAACGGCATGGCTGGCCATGGGAAGGGGTAGGATAGGACGATACTGGACTGTAGAGAAGATACAGGGATGGTCCAGCAGCCCATGAGTAAGTCAGAAAGTCTAAATGGCAAGTATGCGATCATGATGAGGGGTTGAAGAGCTTATTGTACAGCTAGCTTCCTGGGTGGGTGTTCACTGTTCAGCTCAGCAGGCTGGTCAGTGTCCAAAGCTAGCCAGTTCAAGGGAAGAAGGGGCCTGGGCACTCTGCGCAGCGGGCCGGATATTATTATTGCTGAGCCAGCATGGATGGATGGGCATGTCAACTGTCAAGTATAGTATCTAGGCTCTCTAAGGTAGGTAAGGTAGGTAAGGTAGTCGGAGATACAGTGCCATCCGTCATCGCTGGTGAGTGCACGATTACTATTACTACTGTATTATTCTCCACGATCTGCTCCCGTCTCCGCCCAAACTCAAACGGCTTAATAAGTAAGTAAATTATCCAACAGCTGTTAACCTTACAGTAAGGACAGGGGAAACGAAGACGCTACCTTTGCCAGCAGATCAGAACAACAGGAAAACCTCGCACCTATTCCGGAAAGCTCTTTGTTACGAGTATTGCTGAGATATCTATCACATCCCGTCTCTCGCTTCCCCCTCGGCTTGCCTCTTCGGTTCTGCATTGTACACGCTGTACCTGGCAATACCGAACCGTCCCATAAGTTACCATTTCTGTCCTTTCTCATGAGAGGGGCTGGGGCTGGGGTCCAGATAGGAGACATGTGTGTTTTCTACGCATGTTACAATCTTTGAGTATCCCTGGCGCCTCTGTAGGGGCACAAGATCTGCACTTTGCCATGCTTCGGAGCTTTCTTTCATGTCTTTCTTGTGATTGGAGAAGCCCTGATCGGCGATCCATGATACTGTAGGTATCTTCACTCCACTTAGGATGCAGACTTCATGATTGAATGATATTGCTATTGCCCTGCCGTAGACCTTTAATGCGAGAGAATCATCAGTCAATATAACAGGAGAATCGGTCGACGACGGAGGAGTGACCAGAAAATCAATCTTGGACTCCTTCCATCGCAAAGATGCCGCCTTTCGGCTATTCCTGAGAGGAGCTCGGAGCTGTCACTTCACTCACCCAGCCTCCCAGCCAGCCAGCCTTGCGTAGCGAGCAAGCAAAACATCGCTGGCAGTACTCGTAGTTGGTTCTGAACATCAGCAACTCTATCCATCACGCCTCATTGCGCAACAACCACGACTACACCACGCCCTTCCCCCGCATACGCAACCGTTGGTCGGTACACTATCTCTCACCCTAGAGGCAACCAGAACATAAACAACCCAGGTACGGGCTCAAAAGGGAAACGATATCTGGTGACACGTCGACCTCTGCCCTTCGTGACGCCACAATTTCTCCCTGACCTGCAGCGACAAGCATCTACAGACGCGGTGCAGAAAACAAATTTTGTGCCTCACGCAAGCCTGATTCTCGAGAATCCTTGCCACACTTCACGCGCCGGCATTATTCAGCCTGCCAGGCTGCTTTGGAAGCTGTTTCCGACTTCAACTGCAGACACAGCTAAATCCAAGCAACCAGCATGGCCGCCGTCCTGTCTCTCGGCCCAGGGCCAAAGGATCTTGCACGACAGATTCTAGAGCATCAAGCCCCCAAATACAGCTTCTCCTTCTCGCCATTCCTGCTGGAGAACTATCGCCATGGCATCACGCCAGACCGCCCTACGTGCAAGGCCTACCTTCAAGGCCACTGCCCTCTGGGGCCCAAATGCCCTGACAGACACACATCTGCGAACAATAACTCAAATTTCAACAATCTAGTATGCAAGCATTGGCTGCGGGGTCTGTGCAAGAAGGGGGAGAGCTGCGAGTTCTTGCACGAATACAACCTGAGAAAAATGCCCGAGTGTAATTTCTTTGCCAAGAATGGATACTGCTCGAATGGAGGTATGTTCAGTTATTTTTATACACATCTTTACTTTGCTAATTATTAATCATTAGATGAATGTTTATATCTGCATCTCGACCCATCCTCGAAGCTCCCACCCTGCCCCCACTACGAGAAAGGATTTTGCCCCCTCGGACCAATATGCTCACAACGTCATGTTCGCAAGAACCTCTGTGTATTCTACCTAGCTGGATTCTGTCCAGATGGAAAGACATGCAAGAACGCTCATCCTCGCTGGCCGACCGACCTTCCCAAACCCACAGTAAAGGTTGAGAAAGACCCAGAAGAGCTAGCAGAAGAACAGCGCTTACTGATGGAACGAGCTGAGAGAGAGCAAGCAGCTGAACGAGAACGCTACAATGATGGAGAAGGCGGAGGACGAGGTCGAGGAAGATGGCACCATGGTGGAGGAGGTCCGAACTGGGGTGGCGGACGAGGCAGAGGAGGCCAGCAAGGAAGAAGAGGACGAGGCTATCACGGATAAATTCTACCAACATCAAAGAAGAAAACCGCTGGGAAGGATGCAAGCGAGGAAACCCCGCAATCATCTTTGCGGTACACATGAGCTGAGCCATCATATGCACCTAGGCAAAGGGGCATTGCAACACGAGATGGTTTATGCATACAGCTTTAAGATGGGACTACGGGTACTCTTGCGACGACGATGAGATCTGCTTGCTGCTATACAACCAATCAAGCTGCAAACCGACTGCCGTGTTCGATCGGCTTTCATTAAGCCAATCACACAAATCGATCATGCAATGCAATCGATCTTCGCAACCAGAGAAACAATTTGCCCATCACAGTTTGTCGGATTTACTAAGACACGGAGTGGTCTTCCTACCAATCGATCCATTCTTCATTATGGCTCTCTATTCCCATACCAATCGAGCAGAGCACGGGAAGCAAAGGCGTCCTTGGCTGGGTCCTGAAGCTTCGATATGCATATTCCAGGGCTGAGCCGCATGCATGTGGCTGCACACCGTCTATTTCATGTCTCAAAGCTATCATGCACCCCGCTGTTGTAAGCTATGATTAACAGGCTACGGGATTACATTCGGATCGGATTCCGAGAGCGCGATGGAAGGATTGATGCGTTACTTATAGGGTTCGTTGGCGGAGGACTTGGGAATTGAGACTAGAGGACGGCCCGGGGAAACGGATGGAGATGGTCGCAGGTTGATGATGGGAATAGGTAGATGTGGAAGACGGGAATTCATGCTTTACTGCGTGATGAAATTCACTGATTTGGGACGATTGCGCAGACTTGGTGACGTGGTGAAGTGAGTAGATTACATGAAGTGGCTGATGTGAGCTGAAGACGGAAGACTTGGTATTTACGGCTCGCTTGATGAACGGAGAGTTTGCTCCGGGTCATATCCTATCGTACCCTTTCCTATCCGACCATATTCGACACTATGTAGTAGAGATCTCCCAGTCGGTATTCCCAGAACGCCTTTCCATGACATTTCCAATCCATCCTTCTGCCACCAAATCTAAATGCCCTCTCCTCCATCCTCATCATCCCTCTCCCCATGGACAGAGATATACTCACTATCTCCAATCCCCAGCCCACTGATCGGCACTCTTCCCCTTGGTGACTCAAGGCCCCTGTCACTCTCGCTCCCCTCGCTACTCCCAGGCCGAGCCATAATCAAACCTCTCCCAAACCCCCCCTCAACTACACCACCAGAGCCGTACCCATCCACCCTCCTAACACCCATCATCCACGCCACCAGCCCGTTAGGTACCCACCTCCCCACAAATCCATAAAGTCCACTTCCCATCCCAATCCGGATCACGCCTCCTCGCCCTCGAACAATAGCATCGAACACCGCATTGTTCAGCTCCCTCAATGGCGTACCTTTTCCCAATCCAGATCCAGATCCAGATTTCGAGGAAGTCATAGCGACGAAATTCCTCGAGTAAGCCAACCTTGTACTATCATCCCATTTCAGCGTCTCTGCTCTCTGAGCCGCCGGCGAAGATGTGTTGCGAGAATGAGGCGTGAAGGCGCTCAGATCGAAAGTGCCGAGCTGGAGGTGGGTGACTGGGATCTTGAGGGGGGATAATTCGGCTGTTAGGACGGTGGAAAGGGATGTTAAGGCGGAGTTGATGAGTGCTTCGGGGGCGTGGAAGGCGGGCGAGAGAGAGGTGATTATGGAGGGCGTGAGGAGGAGGATTGAGGGTTTTGGTCCTTCTGCTGAAGATGGTGGCGATGGTGAGCCGGAGCTGGAGTGGAAATGCGGGTGTGATAGAGGGAGGGTTTGGAGAAGAGGTAGAAAAGCTTGCAGGGTGAGGATGGGTGTTAGGAGGCGGGTGTTGAGGAGATCGGAGACAGTTGAAGCGGGAAGGGCGGCGATGGGGAGGGACGGGTAGGTTGAGGCTGGGATAAGGATTAGAGACCGGAAGGTTAGGTGGTGGTGTTTTGCGCCTTGGAAAGCGGCGTGGGGGGTTTGGAGGTGTGCTGTGAAGCGGTCGATAGAGGCGCGGGCGCTGAAAGGCTGTTGTTCGTGTTAGCAAAGATCTTGTTGTGTAGAATTTCGGTGATATGGAGTCTTTTGAGAAGATGAAAAGTCAAGATTTGAACTTACATCCACAATATCAATCATCAGAGGTTTGATATCCGGCCTCGACTCATTTTGGACCAGCACTTCCTCTTCAATCGTATTGCATACCACATACACAATAAATCCTCTCCTCTCCAGATCTAACGCAACAGACCTCGTGATAGCCTCAGATGGTGACCCGGCTACAACTACAACCTCCAGTCTCGCGCCATTACTCGCACGCTTCGCTCTGCGCTTCTTGCGGTAATTTGATTTCCGCTTGATGACATGGTATGTAACTCCACCAAGTGCTATCACAATAACGGTCGTCAGGATCTTATTCCTACAGATCCATCGGTGGATTTGCGTGGTGAGAGTACTAGATGAAGCGATGGTTTCGGTGAAAGTTCGTGGTGGTGGTGGTGGAGGTCTAGGACGGGCAGATTCGGGAATCCATTGCGAGGAGGAGAGGGCTTCGCGGAGAGTGTTGGAAACCTTCTCGAGGTGGCGGTCGACGTAATCGGCGACGTCGTTCGAATATCTTTTGATATCGTTGGGGACTGAGGAGAGCTATGTTTTGTCAGCCTTTTACTTCTTAGAGCCTAGGAGCATATTAGATTTTTGCGACATAGCTCAACTTACAATATCTAGGAATGCTTGATCATCAGCAGACATTATGGGCAGTAAAGTGATGGAAATGTGCAGGATGCAGTTTGATGGCGGTGATGTTGAAAGGACCTCGCTGTTGGAGGCGGGGAAGCTCGGACGCTGGCGGAGATGTTCCGCAGTCCTGCCAGTTGCCTCTGCATCCCATTTGTTCACTCGGACTAAGGTCTGTTCTTGATATTGGATTTTCAATCATTTCCCATAAGGCCTTCATTTTCTTCAATGCTATTCAAGTGGACTGCTTATCCATCATGGACAACTTGTGTGGTCTATATCAGGTCTACTCTACGTGTTGAAATTGCCTGAAAAGATGTCCCAACACGTCCCACTATTTGTTTCCAATGTACCTTCCTTGAGCTGCTGACCTTCCTCTTTCCTGGGCACATTACTTCGTTGTTTCAGCGTTTCCTATTTCTTCTGCTATATTCGCTTTCAGCTTTTGTATCCTCTTGAAAATCCATGATGGCAGATGGCAACATACCAAGGCTCCATATTCTGCTGACGCAACAGTTCGAAAGGAATGCCCATGCTTTCGGTCTTCTCGATGCCCTCACTTTCGAATCTCATACTCTTCTTCAAGAAGATGTGCTTGTAACTTTCTCATCCATGTTTCTTGCGTTTGCGCGGAGTACGAACTTGACGTCCCTGATGAGCAGGGAACATTACCCATTGCTTTCGAAGATCAGGAAAAGTCTTCTTCTGGACGGAGCCGATTGACTGCACGCAAGACTATTGGAAATGTACGGATAAGGTACAAGGTAATCCCGTCTGCCAAAGTCCAGTTCAGAACCGATGGCCCGATCCTTGGCTTTCATAGCGAGCAAGGAGGACTTCTTGCTCTGGCTTTGCTGTCGGCCCCAAACTCCCACCAAAAGAGTATCCTAATGTCGTCGAATGGGGTCTCAGGCGAGCTCCAAAGGGTACTCGAACAATATGGACATATGGCGAAGGACCTCGTCTAATTGATCGCGTGGGTTCGGTAAGTATACTTAGAGATTCAGCCAACATGGTTGGTCAAGTCCAAAGTAACCCACCTGCTGCGACAAGTAGTAACATGCCTGTAAACTATGAGCACTACTTGTTTGGCAATTTGCCACCGGATATCAAGGATGACCAAGAGGGTACACGAGTCGTTCCTCTCTGGTGTCCAGATGTTCTTCGAGAGGAGTTAACGATACTGGGGATATCGACCACCCTTTCTTCGCTAATGTTCCCCAAAACGTCAATAATTGTTCGGTCGAGTATACACCATATCGTAGCTTTGTTCGAAACACGAGCAGCTACAAGTACTTCGACGGTAATTCCATTCCACATAGCCACATCTTCAGCTACGATGATCAGATTGGAAACCTAAGGACTATGACTTAGTTCGGTAGATGAGCTACGAAACGTCCCATATCGGGCTTGGGCCTTCAGCTGTGAAGGGCTTCGACTGGCTTTACGACGGTATTAGATACTGTATGTCAATCTACTTTTCATTTCGGTATCAAGGATCACATTCAGAACTGTATTTTCGTATGTCTTGGTGGAACCTACGTTCTTCGTGTCCTCTTCCCGCCACGCTGACGCATTCACTGACGATTTCTTTGTGATGCAGAAGCGACGATAAACACTCTTTGTACAAGGAAATATACCAGCCCACTCATCAATCTACCTACCATTTGGTGATATCCTCAAACTTGCATCAACGGATGCGTACGCGAGAGAGCATGTCAGTGCGAGGGCATGGGCATTTGTAACTGGAGTAGACTTGCGAATCAGACCATTGGCCAAGGACAAGCCGAAGACAATCCGCCCCATTGAACATATAGCCATTATACCTCTAGCGAAATAACAAAGCCCGTGGCTACGCTCGTGGAATCCAAGATTGGTTGCGCTTTCTAACTCCCATCATAGGCGATGAGATACAGCGACGATACGATGAATTCCGCAACGGAAACACCATCTTTTCCCCCCAGAGTCCCTCTATGGTGCCGGGACTCATTATATCAAGCGCATCGACCAGTGTTTTCTTGATTTTGGGTTGGATAGGGAAAGTTTCAGCTTGGGGCTGTCAAAGGATTTGAAGTTGTCCAGCCGGGCTGACATCGCGGGCTTGATGGATGGCGACAAGATTCTATCGTCTCCTCACGAGTGGAGATGTGTCGTCGATGGTAGCATTCAAATGGATCTAGATACTGATAGGAGAGGAATGCGGAGGAAAGTTAGGTACTTGCCCAGGACTTTTGAAATAGCGAGAAGCTGGCAAAGAGTCAAGAGGACTGAGATAGTAGAAGTTACTGAGTAGCCTTTGATAAGAGACCGTAGGGTCAGGGAGAGAGTGGGTTCAGTACCGCAGCCAGATCCAAGTGGAGCAAGAAATAAGGAAAGAACGAAATTGAGAAGCAGTAGAAGTAGAACGAGAACGAGTCACCAGATGAGACAGAAGAGGTGAAAGCGGAACAAAGAATGAGAAGGAGAAGAACATTGTAATGGCGCCTAGTCATAAGATGAAATGTTCGGTTTACTTTATCAGTCTTTGATACCTACCGGCTTTTCCATTGTGGTTCAACAAAATAGCTGCAACCAACAATGCTTGATTCCTGCTCGACAAAACACATTGTCAACGATTCTGAGCTAACATTATGTATGAACCACACAAAAATACTCTGAAAATATGGTATTTGCATTTATTCACGAAGTTAATTTGCCAGATACCTCCTACCATGCTCGGTTTTGGCTGACGTCTTATACATTCCGTAACCGGCTAGTCTCGAAGGCAACACTGGTCCACGTACTGTAAATCTTCAGCCTCGCCTCTTGATTACCTGTTCGATTCAACCGCGATCAACACGGAGCGCCGGCGTTCTAGAGTATTCTAAAGACTCCTTCCGTTGTATTGGAGCTATGATAACTTCATTTATTTATTCCTTCGATACGAATACTTACTACAGCGCCGAGTCGCCCTTCTCCGAATCCTGCAAAGACGACAGCCTTGTGGCAACGAAATCAACATGCCAGAACACGATGCCCTCATTTCGCAGTACTCTCATCTCGCCCAGTTTTCCCGCGAGAAAGAAGCTCTACATTCTCTAAAGAAGATCGCATCTCTAGTTAAGCCACTTATGAGAGCGCGTAACTGGACTGTTGGTACTCTAGCGGAATTCTACCCCGACCAACACAACCTGCTAGGTAGACGCAGACATGTTCTTGTATGCAATACCCGCTAACTTTCATAGGAATCAATCAGAACAGAGGTCAGAAGATATGTCTCCGTCTGCGATACCCTGGCGACAAAAACCAGTTCCTCCCTATGGAGCAGGTGGTTGACACCATGCTCCACGAGTTATCCCATAATGTCCACGGACCGCACGACGCCAAATTCCACGCTCTATGGGACCAACTTCGGAAAGAATACGAGGGCTTGCTATCGAAGGGATATACAGGGGAGGGATTCTTGTCTGATGGTCATAGACTCGGTGGTCGTGGGGTTCCGCGAGACGAGGCACGGCGCATTGCTCGTAATGCTGCAGAGAAGAGACGGATACTCTATTCAGGATCAGGACAGAAGCTAGGTGGGCGGCCAGTTCCAGTTGGTACCGATATCCGACGAGTTATAGTAGATGCTATCGAAAGACGTAACACGGTGTTAAAGGGCTGTGGATCTGGAAACAAGAACGACGATGAGATAAAGATGCTAGCAGACGCTGCTACTCAAAATGGGTCTAAGACGAAAGCTGAAGAAGACGAGGCAAATGACCGAGCGATTGCTCAGGCTCTATGGGATTTGGTACAAGAGGACGAGAAGAAAGAGTATGGAAACTCATACATTCCACCAACACCTGCAAATCCAACGGGCAATGGAGGTGGCGATATCAGTCCTTCGACATCTACGGCTCCAGCTATTAAGAGAGAGGCGCCTTCTCCCCAAGCAAAGCCCAAGACTAAAGCTCCTCCTATTAGACAACATTCGGACCGACCCGTAAGTCGCCTGGTAGCTGAAAGCTCGAAGAAGCCAAAGCCAAAATCGCTAGCTTCAAGAGCAGCTACAGCACCTGTTCCAGCTCCAGCAGCCTCTGGGCCTCGAGTTCCTATCCCCATCCAGTCTTCTGACCCACCGTCTCCTACACCTGTCGCAAGCGGATGGACGTGTCCGATCTGCACACTACACAATCCCGTTACATTCTTGGCCTGTGATGCCTGCACTTCCGAACGACCAGCGGAGATCACGAAGCAGCTGGCAGCAGCAGAGCGAACTAAACAAGCAGATTCTACTACTCAGCGTTTTGGAGTGCAATTGGAAATCTGGACTTGCTCTCAATGCACAACGGTAATGGAACAAAAGTGGTGGACCTGCTCTACTTGCGGAAAACTCAAGAACAGCTCATAAAGTGGCGATTGATGTTATGACTACTTATGATTTACGATCTTACGATGGTGCATGAACTGGCTGGTATGCTTAAAGACATGATACGTGGAGTTAAAGAGGCAACATGGGAGGTGGGCTAACAGCATTTGGCGGCCCAATGCCAAGGGAATATTGGCTGCAATTCTTCTGAAATTGATTCTCCAGGTCTATATTTCCACCTGAACGTCTTGATGGATCTCGTGCAACTCAAATCGCCCGCTTGCTCGAGCTCTTGTACCTGATTCTCGGCGCGCACGTGCTACTCAATTTGGCGGCACGGGGCTGTGCTCATTGTGGATCATTCGCCGCAACACAAGTCAGCCACGTCTTTGTTTTGGTGTTCTTATTCTCCTTGCCTCTCTAGCCTATACTCGTTTTGAGTTGCACCTTAATGCTTCCAGACTAGCCAACACATGCGTGCCATGGGTAATTTCTCTCCATGTTACCCAAGATTGTCCTCTTCGAGCGTTTGTGCACATCTTACCTTTTCTTACAGATCTTTCTACTTCAGTTGTCATTACGTTTTGATATATCAGGAGGCTACTACTCTTAAACAGTTTTATGGTCTCAGGTGGCGTTCTCTAGTCGTCATTTTCTTATGTGGTTCAGGTGTTGCTTTCTCCACCATGACCTTAGACTAGACCAGCATGTGCTCTCTGCGCGAGACAACATGCCAGCTTTTCTTTCTTCTTCCAAATTTGTATATCTATTCATGATATAGTCCTCGCCTTTTAGTCTTTTCAATGCTGCTGTACGATTAGTTTGAACATTTCATACAGGCGACGTTTTCAAACGACTTAGGTACCTATTTACTACCCTACTCTGTTGAAGCCAAGAACCATGGCATCTGCAACAACGAATCCCACTCTCAACATCTCTATCGTCAACCGCACGTCCTTTCAAAGCGTCAACGCCTACGTTACGGGCCTCGCAATCAATAACGGCTACCGCTTCGTCCTCATCCAGTCCGATGGCCACACTCCCTACTATCCCGAATCCCCCTCTTCAACCGGTGCGCCTTTAGCAGCGAACTGCTCTATTGCACTCGGCCCTCCAGGCTCCAGCACGTCCGTAACCATCCCCAGAATTGCTGGTGGCAGAATTTGGTTCTGCATTAACGACACTTTGACATTCCTTCTCAATCCCGGGCCGGGTCTCGTTGAACCCTCAGTTAGCAACCCATCTGACAAAAACTATGGCAAGAATTGGGGCTTCTGTGAATTCACATTCAACGATTTCCAACTCTTTGCAAACATTTCTTACGTGGACTTCGTCAGCATCCCCGTCGCAATGAACCTGAGAAGCGCCTCTGGAGCCAGGCAAAGCGTGACTGGTATCCCACGAGATGGTCTACAGCGTGTATGTGACGGACTCGTGGCTCAGAATGCCAGGGATGGAAAGGGCTGGGACCGACTCATCGTCCGCGGAAAAGACGGAAGTATTTTACGGGCATTGAGCCCCAATACAGCAATGGTGATGGATGGATCTCTATTCCAAGGCTATTATGATGCCTATGTGAATGCCATCTGGGAAAAGTACAAGACCACTGCACTATATGTTGACACGCAAGCTCAATGGGGAACCCTCACCGCAAAAGTCGATGCCAGCACCAACCGTTTAACCTTCCCCTCCATCGGTGCCTTCTCCAAGCCCTCCGCCCGCGACATCTTCTCCTGCTCTACTGGCCCCTTTGCTGGGTACCCGACTAATACGGAGGCGATGGGAAACCTCACTGCTAGACTCGCTGCTGCTCTCAACAGGTCGACACTACTGGAGGATAACATGCAGCCGGAGAGGTCAGCGGCTGCGTATTATACTGGAGGAGGAGGAGTCACGAATCATTACTCGAGGGTGGTTCATGCTGTTAATGGGGATGGCAGGGGTTACGCTTTTCCATACGATGATGTGGGTGCGTCAGGATCGAGTGACTTGGCCGGAGCTGTTTGGGATGGGAATCCGAGTGTATTTGAGGTTGTTCTTGGTGGTTACTAGGTGTGTACGTGGTTTCCAAGCACATGGTTAGGCAGGCGAGACAAATACTGGATGTTTTCTGAGTTGAGGAATAAATATTGCATATGAAATACACATGATATTGTTCTATTCAGCTTCGCCTATGGACATACCCATACCTCAGCAAGAGGTCAAGTGAAAAGTAGATCCATCCAATCTGGACGTGATCACAATACTTCCCAATCTTCATTAGCTCTTGCACAAGAAACGCAGTGGTACAACGTTGCATTTCACACATGCGGGATTCTTTTCGGTCCGTTCCACAACATCTGATCTTCCTTCCCCGCATCTGACCGTACCATGCCACGCATCTCGCAGATGTGTCGGTTGCGCATGTGGGGTTGATCTTCGCCCCTCCCCCTTTTCCATTCCCTGACCTCTCGCTTGCTGTCTCGCTTGCACTGAAACCTGGAGACAGAGACATGGTCAGCGGGTTCGTCCTCGAGACAATTTTCAATTCCACCTTCTGCTTTTAGAGCCTATATGGGCTCGTGCAAGAGGTAATTCCCTTTTTAATCGTTGATTACAAGCACTGGACGTATTCTACAGCGCCACTGAGGAAGCTGCGGAGTGTTACACAAGGCTTAGAAGGGAGACAAGTCCACCGCGGCCATTTTTGGGCTTGGGTGAAGCTTGTCCTGCTCGGTGCAACTGACCCGAAATCTCAGTGAAGCTTAACCCAAGCCACCATCCTGTTAACTCTGGTCAAGCAACTCCGATTTGTCCAACTTCTGCTAAATCCGGCACTAACGGGATGGCGTTCTATGGGGAAAACGTGAAGAAACGCCTATCTCAGCCTGTTCAGGCGTAGCGAACAGTTGTAGTTCATCCATTTTTCGAAGCTCGCTCTCTCGTCCAAACATGTCTGAAAAGCTTCATAATCTGCCCTCGCGAAATGGTGCCTTATTCGGGTAAGATAAAGGATCAAACTCGACCCTCCTCATAAGTTGTAGGCTTCCAAAGGATGAGCTAGGCTGGCCTACCGTATCGTTATGTAGATCCCTCGAGACTTCCCCTGAACTTCACATCATGCGCTCGTTCCAACACGTACCGAAGCTTACACAGATACCAAAGTGTTTCCAGGATATATCTGACCAGACTCGCCATGGCCTTGTTCACTTTTCTATTGCTATTTTAGTTTTATTTTCCCTTGTCATTCTGTCAAACTTCTTACTAATCTTTGCAACTTTATGTACAGTATTTGGAGCTGGTAACGCTCTTGTTAGACAATTCTACACAGCCGGCACGCTATTTGGCGACATTTCAAGTGAGAATACGTGCAAAATTCGGATCGGAACCTCACAATACTGCAAAGATGAAGGCACTCAGAAGTATCCTAGCACTTTCTGCAACCATCCTCGAATTCACTTCGACGTCGACATTCTCTCCTGCACGACCTCCTGCGATCCCGCTTGCAGTCAAATCCCCGTATTTGAACCTTTACCAATTTGCAGGAAGCGACGGAGGAAATGGCGGCTTTTTGGCTGGACAGTGGTCGCAATTCTGGGCGTATGTACGCTTCTCTTTCTGATAAGAAAAGGGGCTGACAAGTTTGGAAGTGGTCAGATTGCAGCTTGGGCAGGAATGATCAAGGTAGATGGAACCTCCTATACGTGGATGGGGAATCCTGGACCTCAAAGCGTCACCCAGAAAGCTTTTGAGTATACTTCAACCCGAAGTGTGTTTACCATGGATGTTGGTGGAAAGGTCGAAATGAATATCACGTTTTTGTCAACTATCACACCAGAAGATCAAAAACGCCAATCTTTGATCTTCTCATATCTAGATGTCGGGGTACAGTCCTTGGATGGAAGTCCACATGATGTTCAGCTTTACACTGACATTTCTGCTGGTAACTTCTGCCATTGTATTAGGGTGATGTCGCACTGACTAGGATCTTAGAATGGGTAGCCGGTGACCACTCTTCAGTTGCACAGTGGGAGTACGACACCACAGGCGACGATATCGCGTATCATCGGGTCTACCGGCAAACCCAGTTGGAATTCAGTGAGAGTAACGACCAAGCCGATTGGGGATACTGGTACTGGGCGACCAAAAACTCCAAAAAGCTCACTTACCAATCTGGCTCTGATGTGGATGTGCGTGGCGCTTTCGAGTCCAACGGGAAACTCGCCAACTCTAAGGATACGAATTATCGACCCATCAATCAAGATTATCCAGTTTTTGGATTTTCAATTGACTTGGGTGCTGTGACTGGATCTGTCAATACGTTGTACACCATAGGTCTTGCCCAAGAGCAAGCGATTCAGTTCGATGGTGCTACTGGCGTCGTTCCGCTTGCTTCGTTATGGACCAGCTATTTCTCAAGTGAGACAGAAGCTGTAAGTAAACATCAACAAATTTGAAGGATCGTAATTCAACGCTGATGTTACAAGCTATCATTCGTCTATAATGATTATAGTACAGCAGCAACTACTGCTGCATCGCTCGACAACAAAATCGCTACAGATTCCATAGCAGCCGGTGGTCACGACTATCTGACGATCACGTCCCTCTCAGCTCGACAGGCACTAGGTGCGATTCAACTTGTTGGAAATTCTACCCAGCAGTATCTTTTCCTGAAGGAGATCAGTTCCGATGGGAATACACAAACAGTGGACGTCATTTTCCCATTCTATCCTATCCTGGTCTACCTCCAGCCATCTCTTGCTAAATTGATGCTTGATCCGTTGTTTGAGAATCAGGAATCCGGGCAATACCCGAACAAATACTCGATGCACGACCTCGGTGCTCATTATCCAAATGCCACCGGTCATCCAGATGGAAAAGACGAGCCTCAACCTCTGGAAGAATGCGGAAATATGCTCATTATGACCTTGGCATATGCTCAGCGCAGCAACGACAACGCGTACCTCTCCCAACACTACGAGATCCTGAAACAGTGGACTCAATATCTCATAGACGAAGCGTTGATTCCAGCTGACCAGATATCAACCGATGATTTTGCTGGGAGTCTTGCAAATCAAACTGATTTGGCTTTGAAAGGCATAATTGGCATTCAAGCTATGGCAGTCATCGCGAACTTGACAGACAACTCGGTGGACGGAGTAAACTACACCAATATTGCACAAGACTACATCACACAGTGGCAAACACTGGGAATTGCTCACGACGCCACTCCACCACACACGACTCTCGCATATGGGATGAACGATACACATGGCTTGCTGTACAACTTGTACGGGGACAGGCTGCTAAATCTAAACTTCGTTCCTCAGAGCGTGTATGATATGCAGAGCACATTTTACTCAACGGTGGAACAGAAATACGGCGTGCCGCTGGATACGAGACACAATTATACTAAAAGTGACTGGGAGATGTGGACTGCTGCTATCGCGTCTGACTCAACGCAAACAATGTTCATCTCAGATTTGGCAAAGTGGATTAATGAGACTCCAACTAACAAGGCTCTGACTGATTGGTATGATGTTCAAACTGGAGAGTGAGTTCCCCTGCTTCATTTGAGGAAGGTCGCTGACGTGAACGTAGCTTTGGGGGCGGATTCACTGCGAGACCGGTTGTTGGAGGACACTTCGCTCTTCTGGCATTGAAGGCGTAATGGTTTGATGTTGACACTGGCTCATGTTGACGAATAATCTGACAATAATATCTATTGATTTAGAGTAATATCAAAACTCTGATAAGAAGACTCAAGTGACTTGCCTTGGATCATTGACCTCACCGCCGTCGTCTCGTCGCCGTCGGCTGCGCATTGGCATCGCAGCCTCGCTCACAATATCCGTCGGTAGTTGTTCAGCCGATATCCAAAAGAATAGCTTGATTTCGCCGTCAACACCCGTGGTTGGGTGAAGCATGTTTCTTGCAGCGCTACCTCAATAACGACTCGCACAACTAACATGTTTAGCAGGTTCAACAAGTTCGCCCAACATGTATGACATTTCAGCAAAACTATTGGATAGCGTCCGAAACAGAGAAGAGACGACTCTGGGCTATCTAGCTTAAAGAGTCAAGAAATTCGCCAATCAGGCAGCGTTCGCATGAGAGAAGAGACGACTCTGGCTGTTCTGAATGTAAAAAGTCACTCAGCAACATTCCAGAAAAACACGACAACGGGAGGCATTTACAGCGGAGAAGAGACGATTCCGCGCCGTTCTGAACGAAAGAGTCAAAAATTCGAAATCCAGCAACAGCAAGCAACAAATTTACGATCTGGTGGTTGGTGGTTTAAAAGTGATTGAAGATTCATGAGTATCTACCCCTCCTCCCAAGAAACATACTTGATCCAACCACTATTCTTTTTTGACTTTTACTTCTTCTACTGTGGGGTTGATTGTTTTTATTTACTTCGCTGTGGCTTTGCCGAAATCGAGGAGCCGAAGCGAGTCATAATGCTTGGCAGCGACAGATCACAGCTCTTAGATCACAGAAATAAGAGATTACTATAACTTTTCAGAATAACAATTAGTGATTCCTATTTATTTCCTTCGCTAAATATTCTCTAAATAAGAATATGATTCAGAGCACTATCGATCCATACTAAAGAAGAGCCTATTCGTTCTTCACTGCACGTAAAGAACATTGCCCTCAAACCAAAGCGAAAATAGCCACCAGAGGCCCAAATATATTGCATAAGCTCTCCAAACCATTTATTCTACTGGCTCCGTTGCCTGGACTTGTTGTAGTAGCTGCAGCTGGTCCGCTCGAAGCCACAATTGAAGTCAGAACAGCACTGGACCTGCTCGTCACTGCCTCCGAAGTCGTTGTACTTTGCGCTTCTGAGCTACCAGTCGGAGTATCCTCATCTACTTCAGAAGAAGTAGAAGATGCAGCCGCCTCTGGCTCTACAGAGGAGCTCGTCGGTGTATCAGGCAGTGTCGAAGAAGACGAAGAGTTCGACGGCACACACCCAGTATTGGCGAGGCAGTTGCAGCCGCCGGCTATGTTGACAGCACAGGTACAGCCTGCATCACAAGGCCAGCTGGTGTCGACACCTGAGCAGGGAATCTTAGGTGCGAAGGGCTCGGGGCAAGCTTTAGGATCAGTGGAAGGCTGGTGCTCTACAGTTAGCAAGTGGTGTTACAGTCGCCGGTTGGTGATTGTCAAGAACTTAAGGAGGGCTGAATGAAATGTAGCACTGGGTCTCACTTACAGGTGCAGCAGCACCACAAGCTGTGCTATCTGATATAGGGCAGCAGGCTTCATTTTCAGTCCCTTGGAACACGCAGAGTGCGTCGAAAGGACAACAGCCGCCTGCACAGCACACTCCAGGCGCGCCGCAACAAGCGGTCACGTCGTTGTCGCATGAGATAGAGCCGGTATAGACGATTTGGTTGCTGCAGTCATGCGTCGAAAATGGTGTCACGGTCTGAGCTATAACAGCATACTGCACGCTCAGCAGAAGGAGGATGGAGTGGATGGCAGGAGTCATTTTCAAAGTCCGGTTGCATTTGAGATTAAAACAGTACGATGTAATGTAAGTTCAAGTACATCTGGCGGGTGTCTGTCTATTATATGGTGCAAGAGATAAGGCTGAGGCTCAACTGATTAACTTGAAAGTTGGGATGATACTCAGCTTCAAGCCACGATGCTTGGCATGGGCGCTCTGCTGAGTTCGGCAGCAAATCAATGCACAAGCTTTGGCGAAATCAGTCCACATAGAGAGGTATGATCGTTCTTAATGTAGCATAAACCAATGAAATTCAATGGGTTGCCCGCGAGTGTGAGCCTAGATACTGGGTGGCGTCGTTAGCAGCTGAGATTGGACCACGAAGATATGCATGTACCACACACACCCTTCTTGATCCAAGCGATTGCGCTGTAAGGAATCGTCGTCAGACAGTCTTCGCTGGCCTTCCTCTGGGGCTGTAAAATCTGATAGCTTCCCGACCCTTGAGAAGACGTCGAGTATTTTCCCACCCGGTTCCGTTTCCTTAGATTCTATGAAGTCCATATCCTCAATTTCGTCGCAGTCAACAAACAGTGGCTGGTCTCTGTTCATGTGCAGCGCTTTCCGGCGATGTAGATATGGTGTGTTGATGCATTTCACTGTCAATACTGGAAAGTGGCTCGTTTGATGAATATTGTAAAGTAGTTGATGGAGTTAAGAATTCCGAGTTGACCTTCTTTCCGGGACCAATTGTGAAATTGTGGAAGGCATTTAGTCGCATAGAGGTTTTGCACCTTGCTTTTCCTTTCCCAATGTTGAGAATTGTGCACGATGTGCGGTAGTTGTCATATCTTGAATTTTGATCGAGTCGATAGTTTCTGAAGTGGTATGGTGCAGTGAAAATGTAGATAAAAGCCCTTGTGAAAGACTGGAAGTGATTACAAAGTTCTTAATGATGAGAGAAGAGTTGAGCGTTACGGGTTTCAGCATCTCAATTTTAGAGAAATAAGATTTGAGCTTGTCTTGCAAGTGAGCCCAGCTTTCCTCCATCACAGTTGATGATGCATCTTCAAATGTGACTCGTGTGCTGTTTATGATGCCTAACGTGTCTCCAGAAAGTCTATGTGGTAGACGATATCACAGAAGTTAGTCAAAGAACTAGTATTAGACTTCGACATCATGAAAGCATCATGACTAGACTGACTGGTGAACAAGCACTTATCTTGGCGTTCACCTCATGGTTCCAAACCGTGCCAAGGAAAGGCTTACAGGCCGACTGAGGCACATAATGAAGAAAGGAGCCAACCAGAATCTCGTCAATATATCGTGATTACAATTAACTTGAGTATAGAACTTCCACCAACTCTTCTAGAACCGAACGGACGGGGTATCAAACGGAAACCACAACTCGAAAAACTCCACGCTGAGAAATGCAAAACACAAATCCAACTATCATCAAACCGTCTCGCAGGCTATGCAGTACAAAAATAGGTACCCTCCAATGCTCATCAATGAAATCTCAACCGCACGATGGAAAACAACATGTTCTGGAGCACATGAACCATAACGACCACACCCGTAGGTAAGAGTTCTGGCCACGTCCCTAGGTCCTGCTTTGCCTCACCCGTCACATCAACATTCCATCCATACCAGAGAATCCGGCGCACCACCCATGCTGCAACTATTTCGCATGCCCATGTTACAATGGAAGCATAGAATGTCAACCCGAAATCATAGGCATCTCCACCAGCTATAGGACTTAAGTCAACGTCCCCAGCTGGCTTCCGATCAAATGCGAAATATGGGTATACGTCTTTGTTGCTCCCATAATGCAACACTAGGATAGATCCGAGAAACGCTAGCATTGAAACATTTTCAGCTGCGGAACGGAGAAAGATATTTCTGGCACAGAACTTCTGATACTCTTGGAGGCTTTGGCCGTTGATGGAGAGGACTGAAATGACGTAGTGGAAGGGCCTCGATATCGTTAAAGGGGCGAGGATGATGAGCAGGCTGGAAGAGAGGACCTGGAGCAGGATGAATTGTTGAGGGGAGCGTAGGCGGGCGTACAAGGCACGGACATAGGTTTGATACGTCAGTAAGAAGTAACTATGCTCTCGTTAGTCTGAGCCCCATGATACAAAGGCAACGAAGCTTACAGCTTGAATATCCAGCCCAAAGGGTAGCTCCCAACTCTCTCACCCTCACTACCTCCCAATATCCAGCCTGTAAGAGCATCAAGTAAATGCACAGTCACTACCCATGTGTAGACATACACAATTGTTTGGAAGGTGTTGTGTGGCAGTGTTCTGAGATATATTTCCGCATATGCTTCTCCCAGGACATATGCCATCATTGCAATATAAAGAGCAGCACAGAACCAAATGAATCGCATAAAACTGGCCGGTAGCCATCGTTTTCTCAGCGCTAAATTTCTGTCTCGGTCACGATTGCTATCTGATGCTAGGGCAACTTCAAGTGGCGCATTTGGATCGAAAATCGACTGTTGGGCTTGCGGTCTCCGAGGACGTTCCCTCCCAGAGAAGGTATCATTATCTCCAGTCCACCAGGATGACGTGAATAATCGCTGCGTATCAGATAACGAAGTCCGAAGTCCAAGATGTCGCTCATGGTTGAGGAGAATACCACATGCCAATATCAGAGGCATACCCATTGTGAAGAAAGTCCAGCATATCCAAGCAGTATTGTGTACTGTGAACTGGCGGAGTTGTGGGAAGTAGTATATTGGAATTGGGGCAGATACCGAGATCGCTGCAATGACGGAAACTGTGAACGGAAATCCTAAACTTTCCGGCCACCTACATATTGTCAGAATATGGACGAAACAACCCGGCATTAGACTTACCAGTTTAGACTGTATATATTGAAGACCTTCGTTATCCACATCAGGGCCGTGAGATTGTAGAATCCGTAGTACACAAATAAGAAGAACCAGAAGTTTATCTCTACCAGTGCTTCTCCGTGACCTGGTGTCTTATGTCCCAGCGCATTAAACATATCGACCTCATCATCATCCGGTAAGTCATATTGCGGAAACGGCAGTGCACACCACGCCACAGCCTGCAAACAATTAGCCTCGATCCTTTCGTCGTCATTCCCAAGGCCAAATCCTGCATTACTTACCAAAAGAGCCGGCAGCACAGCAAGAACAGCCCATCTAGTCCACCACTTATCTACCACTCTCGCTACTACAGCTTGCTTCGGTTCCAGCCAGAGATCCCTCTGCGTCCTCCCCCAGCGCTTCAATGCCCCCATATCCTCTCCATCCACTAAATCTCCTTCATCGCTGTCATTGTCCCCAGCACTGGCAACCCCAAACACAAGGCTATACCGCCTCCCCAACCCTCTGCCACTAGTAAGGCTTCCTAGGAACCCTCCACTGTTGCTTCTCCTCGCTCGTCGCTGTGCATCGGGAACTGCTCGGAATCGTCCTAGTAAAGGAGAGCTTTCGCTGGCGGGAGTGCGAGATTCGGTGCCTTGTTGGAAAGCGAAAAAGGACGGCATTCCAGTCTTGATTTGGATACGCACAGCTATATGTACAGTTGGGCTTTGAGCATTTTGCAGATTTCCGTTGTGGTAGAGCTGCGACTGCTGTGAAGTGACTTGTCTTGGCTGGGATATTGATACTCGGGATAACTTCGGCAATTTCATTATTTCCACGTGAAGATAGGACCATTCTGGAGCCCATTCTCCGGCAGGTCATCAACCGTCTTTTCTTCGCTTCTGCTTTCCCAACGAAGCTCCTCATCCTCAAAGGTTTTATCGTCCATCCAAGGATTTGCATCCAAATTGCACATGAGTTGCATCATATGAATGACCGCCGGAACAGACTTCCTGAGCAGTTTAACTTGCCAATCTCTTCAAATGCCTAGACTCCTTCGGCCTCAAGATGAGCTCTAGTCTCTCTTCACTTTTCTGTGCAAACGGGTGTCTACCCATAACGGAGGAAACCTCCTTGCTTACTTTGTTCTCCAGCAAATCTGCAGCACGCTCAGTGCCACATTAAGACTGAATCCCAGAGATTGGAGGCATAGCGATACTTTCCTTCGTTGACTGTTGCTTAGACCATACTGCCCCTGGCTTCAAATATGCTTGCGGCTTTTGCCATTTCAGTTTATGTTTATTTCAGCTCTGAGTTTTCTGCTTTTCCTTACATTCCAAACATTCTTATCATTCTTATCATTCTGCACTTCAAGAGTCATGGTATCCTTACTTCTCTTTGTTCATCGCCTCGGATACACCCTGGTAACGATGGTCTGGCATTAACGTACAGTTATTCTTCGAGAAGCTTCTCCTTGAAAAGGAGACAATTTGATAGTGTGCTGGCATCTCGCTGCTCACTAAGTTCGCAGGTTAGCTTTCCGGTTGCTTTATGTTCTTTTCTCTTTTCACTGGCTGCAGATCAGTACTTATGTCGCAGCTCCTGATTGGGAACGGAGATCGACCACATAAGACTTTGGTTCTTCGAATACGGCTTTCTTTCATCAACGCTTCCCCTTTTCAGGCAACATCGACTGCCAAAGCAGCGACAAGATTTCCCTGATTTTGTCTTGGAATCGAGATATTGACATTGAGGCCATGTTCACTCTTATGGCTCCTAAATGGAGGGCTGTAACAGTTAGTTGGAAGCAAAACCTTGATGAACATTCCGCTTGCCGTTTCAACACACTGGAGCAAGCCTGGTTCTTGATGAGCACTGTGAAGTTGGCTCGGCACAGTTGCCTCTTACTGCTTGCTGCAGAGAATGGAGCAAGTGACCCTCTCTGATATGACTAATCAGCTCGACGTCGGGAACTGTCTGAACTAACCCTTACCATGGCAACAAGATCCATGAGATAATCAGATATTCTGCATTTATTGAAACCGAATATTTTTCTACGCTTCCCAGATGTCTGCACTAATGCTGAAGTAACGGACCGTCGCATTCTCCAAGCCAACCTACTCCCACTTGTATCTTCTCATACAAGCATCCTTCCGTGTTCATAGGACGGAAGATCCACTTCACATGAACCGATCTTCCAAATAGGTCAAACGACTGGAATGTTTACTGAATCACTACTCGCGGAACCAGGATGCTTGTGTCACCTTACTGTGGTCGTGACGTGGTATGCCAGGTACTGACCGTTGACTTGACGGGTACCTTAAACCGGGGCGAAAAGTTGAAAAGCCTGGACCTCGACTCAACAAATGCTGCATTAAAGTTACAGTACAGCATCGAGATGAGAGGTTTGTTATTAAGCCATTGAATTTCAATCCACGATGGCATCAGACCCGGTTCTAACAACTTGAGAGGCTCAACCATTACACAAAGAGACAGGGATTTTGAAACAGCCAGAAGTGCAAATATTGCAGGCGATTGATTACAGGCAAAGGCATTATTCGCGATTTATCCGCGCCTATGCGAGCATATCCTACTCGGTCGATTCCTACATACAGCAGTAAGCTACGGTCTCGACCGAAGGAGATGTACACGCCTCACAGGTGCCTACGAAACTACCCCTCCATACCTCATCGCCTTATCGATAACGGAATTTATAGTGGGTATGCAACGCGCGATGTCGTGCACTTGCTTCGGACAGCGAGGCATACCCTTGACACTGTCCAGAGCGGCGGCTGTTCAGTCGTTCAGTCCTGGTCCCGACTTGATTACATGGACCTTGTGTATCACTACCCTGATTTTCTGTTCTTGAAATTTCCTCAGTCTCAACGGAAACTGATGGCTTCACTGAACATGTCATTTCTGGTGTCGACTTGTTCGAACGTCTGTCTGTTGACGTCAAAAACAACATTTGGAGGAAGATGCGGTGAACTAGCTCAGATGCAAGGTGAATGCAGCTCGAGCCGCTCGCTTGCAGCATTGTCCCACGCTCTCCCCCAGCTTTAGAGAAGGCCTATGGAAGCTTCTGCGCCGTGAAAGGAAGGAAGAAGCATTTAACGAGGTTGGTGTGAAGCAGGGCAGAAGCACGTTGGTAATACAAGTCTTATCTGTCCCGTAAGGCCAAGGGGAAGCATGAGGAGTTCCCCGGTTCTGATATCTTGACTCGTTTCTAGTAGTAGCGACGTAGAAGAGGGTGTGGTGCCCCCAACCCAAGCTCGCCTAAGATTAAGACCAAAACATGTGAAAAGACGAATCGAATCGATGACTCTTAGGAATTGGCGTCTTAAGCCACAGCGTGGGGCTCCATGCACTGGAAGGAGGGTGTTTGAGGATACTATTGGTTGGACCGGGGAAGTCACCTCATCGGCTTGATGCTTTTTGGGGGTTGGAGAGTTTTATATCCTGGTGAGAAGAGTGATGAGAGATGGATTTGTCTCTGATGTCCGGGATTGAGGGAATAGCTGCGGTCGTAAGTAGGGATTGGGGCGGCGGGAGACTAGAGTTACGTATGTCATCCCCAGGATAGAAACTTATATAACAAATATAGTCACAATGTCTTGTACTCATATCGAATACGATTTGAGGTGGTGGGGTGATTGTTGGGAAGGTGCGACAAGACCTGGCAAACTATGGTACTGTACTGTATCGGAGCAGCGCAGCAGCCGCAAATGCAACCACATCCAGGAAGTGGGGTGAAGATGGGGCAAGGGGAAAAGATCATGTTGCCCGCCATAATAAATGGAACAGAAAGAAGGAAGGGGAAGAAGAGAGACGTGAATAAGGCAATGAGTATGTTGGAATCAGTCTTTGGAGTTATCGAGATAGTCACAATGTCCATAAGCGTTGAGCTGCACTCACTAGTCAGGCCACAAAAAGCTACTACTGTACGGAGTAGTATCAAGAACCCTTCCCTTCCCTTCGCTTCCCTTCGCTTCCCTTCGCTTCCCTTCCCTTCCCGCGTTCCCTTTACTGTAGAGCTGTTTGTAAGGTATGTATCTGAGCAGGCCGGCGGGCCTTCCATGGGAAGGGAAGTCCACCTGCATCCACCAAGCCGTCCCTTCCCTTCCCCTTCCCTTCCCCTCCACCGGCAGCATCCCGACAGTGATACTGTACTACTGTATGTAGAGGACGGTAGCCACTGCTGTGACGCCCCAAACACCCACTCACAGCTTCTTCTTGACCGTGCTACTTGTGTTGTCTCTCCAGATTGGTGTGGCTGGCCTCACCTCCCCTTCCCTTTCCCTGCCCCTGCCCTCCACCACCACCACCATCAGCAAACACCAGCCGTTTCGACGCTGCAGCTGGCTCTGGTGCACTGCTCTAGCTCTGCTTGACTGCTTGACTGCTTGTCTGCTTGTCTGCTCTTGACCACCACCGATTCAACTTCAATTCGACTTGTCTCCTTCAGGCAATATTCACACCTACCTTATTTGCTGTCTCGATCCCCATCCCCTGCCTCCCGGTCTCTGAGCCACTGCCACTTGTAACCTACTCTCGCCAAATCAGAAACAGCCGTCCAGCCCAGGCAGGCCAGGCCAGGCCAGGCCACCCAGCCAGCCAGCCCACGCCCACGCCCACGTCGTCCCGCCCGCATCCCAGAAGTAAAAAAAATCAAAGGCAGCAAGCAAATATCTTACTGCTGCTACTACTACTTACCGACCGGATCATCTCACCTCACGTCGGCCTCTTCCTCTCTCTTCTCTTCTCTTCTTTCTTCACGATGACCTCCCAAACCACCGATACTACCAAGGACAATGCCACGAGACCAGAGTCCCAGTCCGCCTCCTCTCCCTCCCGTACCGCCGAACGTAAGATTTCTGCCCCTCCATCCCACCGGGTTTTTCTTTTTCCAGTGCAGAAACACCAACGAGTAAGAGCAATGCTGACATTCTGTGCTTTTCAGTCGCCAGTACAAAGAAGAAACTGTAAGCATTTCCGGCCGGTGTTAATTTACCGCATATCAATGTTTCCCGAGCAATATGTTCTAAAAAGTTGCTCGGGAGATATATCCAAACACATAATTGACCTTCCCACAGGCACGCAGCTCTTCGAAACTTCCCCGATTTTCCTATAAAAGGAATTGATTTCGTCGACATCCTCCCCCTCTTCGCCGACTTCGAAGTCCATACGCAACTCATCCGCGCCCTCGAGCTCGAGGTCCTGCAATTCAGCAATGGTGTCAAGCCAGACGTCGTAGTCGGCCTCGACGCGCGAGGCTTCCTCTTCGGACCCAGTCTCGCCCTGCGCCTCGGAGCTGGTTTCGCACCTGTTCGAAAGCGTGGAAAGCTACCTGGTCCTACATCCGAGGCTTCGTTCGAGAAGGAATACGGGCAGGATTTCTTCCAGATCCAGGCGGATGCTATCAAGAAGGGGCAGAAGGTGTTGGTGGTTGACGATATCATTGCTACTGGTATGCAGAAATAATCTTATTTACATGCATGGCAAATATTGAAGGAGTGGACACTGGCTAACACATATTACAGGAGGATCTGCCGCCGCAGCCGGTCAACTCGTCCAGCAACTCGGTGGCGACCTTATCGGATTCCTCTTCATCCTCGAACTCGACTTCCTCAAGGGCCACGACAAGCTCCCCGCACCAGTCGTGACCCTCCTCTCGGACGACACGAAATAAATGAACTACGAAAATCTCTGCATTTTATCAATTCATTCACAACGAATCTTCTGGATATATCCCTATTTGGGTGGTTTGTTTGTCTCTCTTTGGCGTTTGGGGGAATCGTGGGCTTGTGGGAACACAATTCGACATAGACAGCATTGCATTTCACATGTTTCGAAAGAGATACAGACGCCGAGGCGGAGGCGGAGAGGTCTGGATGTACAGCGAGCTAGCGAGCGAGCGACGTTTTAATGCTGGGGAATGAATGGACGGATAGGCATGCATGCATACAAACTTCAACGTTTTAGGAGTGCAAGAGTGAGGAATGACCGGTCTGGTGAGGGACAGCTGGGATACGCCAAAATGGTGCATTTGCAAAGAAGCTATTTTGCTCGTTTTTTATCGCTCAGAGCAAGCGAGCAGTCCTCAGACGAATGAAGCAGGACCACAAAAGTTTTTCTCTGCAGCGAGTCCTTTTTTTCCCTTCCATTTTATCTTATCTCCTCTCTTATCAACTGACTCTTACTGCAATGTAATGCAATGACGACATGGGTTGTATAAGTATTTGACAGTCCCACGAGTCAGTATCAGGTCGGCAACTCTATGCATGCATGCATGCGTGCATTCCGTTCTGTTGAGATTTGACACCTGTCAAGTCGGTTGGTAACCGCCATAGCCTCGTCTGGAATTTTCTTTCCTGCTCCTTTTGTTTTGATCTTAAGACGAAAATTTAACAGGCATTGTCAATTTCTGGGTACAGATGAATCTGAGAAGATAAGAAAGAAAGAAAGGAAAGAAAAGAACGAGGCCAGAAAGAGGAGGGGATGTACCTACCCAATAGAGTACCCCGCTACCAGTAAGGTAGGAGGGGTATCCGTGCAGTCACGTGTGTGTATGTATTGCTCTCCGCTTCCGACACCTACCTACGAGCTACCTACCTTGACCTACCTCGCTCTACCTACCTCACCTTGACCTACCTACATCGGTAAGCCCCTCCCTCTTACATACCCAATAAATTCCTCTCTCTGAAGCCGCCTAGTTAGAGAAAGCCTCGCCTCGCCTCGCCTCGCCTCGCTCTACCCAAGAATACCTACTCCATTCATACTTCTGTATCTCCCTACCTATATTTCCTTCCAATTTCGCAATTTCATTTTTGGGAAAGCCCTAAGTAGGTATCTACCTACTTACCTACCTACTTCATCCTGTGATTGGTCGTTTCGGAAGGGCATGCGTTGCTTGCTTGTTGCTTGTTTTTGTGGATTTGCTATGCGGTGTTATGGTATGGAATGGAATGGTATGGTATGGTGTGGTATGGTATGGAATGGAATGTTATGGAATGTTAGGTTTGTCGGATTAGATTAGATCAGATCAGATCAGATCAGATCAGTCTTACATGGTACGTACGTACATGCCTAATTACTTACCTAGGTATGAGTCTTTTTTTCAGACCCCATATTGTTCAAATAGGTACCGGTTTACCTAACCTAGCTATTGCGAATAGGTAGGTAGGTAGGTGGTTGTATATATGGGGAAGTAGGATACCGCGGATTGGGAGATTTTCTGTGTTTTTTTTGGGGGGGTATACGAGGCACGAGGTACGAGGTACGAGTTTAACTGTTGTGGGTAGGGTGATGAGATGAGGAGTACGGATTGGTAGAGTATTGGAGGAGTTGTGGAGTAAGTAGTGAGATGGGGTCGTTGGATTTTGTCCTCAGAGGGTGGATGGAAAGTGCGGAGCTTACCTATCGCTTGGGTATCTGTCTTTCACGCTCCTTTTCGATAGTGGTCATGGAGTCGAAGCGAGAAAGGCTCATGTATATGACATACTCAGTGGTGCACTATTTACATCTTTGAACGTCTCACTCATCTCCAGTCTACCGCTTTCTCACCTTCTCCCTTCAACTGCCGTATTAAACACACCTCTAGCAAGACCCTATAATGAAGCGAACAACGCTGACATTTGAATGTCTCGCTGTCATGTAGGCGGCCTTTGCGCCTCGCTTCAGCGCCGCCGTGCCCTGGAAAAGTGTGTTTTCAGCAGTTGAGGGGAATACTCTCCGAAGGTTGGAGTCTAAATTTGAAAATAAGCATCCGCTCTAAAAGAATATATATATTTTTCGCTATGACCATCTACTTGAATCGTAGCGGTGGTAACATTTTAGAACGAACGCCACCACAGGCGTCCCGAGCCAGACTACAAGAGTAGCGAAATTGTTCTTTTCTCCCCTCGAGACGGAGTAGTGTGCAGAGAAGTGGCCGTGTGGAGGAATGACTGTGCGGAGGTGTGAGTGTGTAGAGGACTGTACTGGCTGCTTGCTGCTATGAACGTGTCGTGCGAGGTGTAGTGCGAGCGAGGCCTTGACAGGTAGGTTGAGCAGATGAGACGAGCTGTGAGCTCGGTGAGGGTGGCTTGAGAGGTTGGGAGAGGAAGGGAATAGAAAGAGGAGAGTATATATGGTGAATATTCTCGTACCAAGGAGGCTGTGTAGAGACAGGATTATGGAAGGATCTATCTGGTGGGCCGTTTGCTTTGGGTTGTTGTTTACAGGATGGAAATTTAGCGAGATGGCCCCTGCACATGCTGTCTTTTGTCTACCTCGGCGTCCGCATAAGAAAGTCTCGTTGAAGCTATGATCACAACTCACATTTCGGAGGTGATGATCAATCTCGAGTACAACGATCAGATCATGAATAATTGATAATCTAGAGAAGAAACACTATTTATATACAAGACAACACCGTCTGTTTCCAGCGACAACACCAGATCTCTCATGCTCTCAAGTCCAATCCAGGTCTCTCAAGGGGCGCCTTGAATGCTCTGGTCTTAGCCTTGATCTCGAACAAATAATCCAACTCCTCATAGGTCTTGGACTTGGTCTCGGGGACGATGAACCACACCAAGACAAATCCGAGAAGACAGAACCCGGCAAAGACGAACCCAATCTTGGCACCGAGATTTGCGGCATCTGCATTGAACATGTATGGGACTGCGATCGTGAAGACGCCACCTCCGAATGCGTTGACCAGGAATCCGATACCTGATGACTTGGCTCGCAGTCTGCTGGATGACACTTCGTTTGCTAGGACGGGCCAGACACTGCCGAGACCGAGGGAAGTGATGCTGCCGACGAGGAGAATGGAGGCTCCGATGTAACTGCATGATGTAGTGTTAGTAAAGACACTTGAAGGACTGAATGTCTAGATGGGAGAACAGTATACGTACGTCAAAGCCTTAGTATCATGCTGATAGAAGCCAGCTGCGCCCATTGTAACAAAGACAATTCCAACTCCCGCAGTACTAGCCAGAGTGAGGAACCGTCTACCCAACCAATTCATAGTGAACCACGAGGTATATATGCAGGCAATCTGGAGCCCAATGCCGATCTGAGACACCTGGAGAGACTTCGTGGGAGACATGCCAGCCATGATGAGGAAGTAGTTGGCATTGGCGAGAAGTGAGACACCAAGGAAGTGCTGCATGGTTGTCATCAGAATGATGATCCAAGTTCTGCGTGAATTTGTTCCCTTGAAGCACTCCGCGTAGGTTGCGCTCTGGGCTGAAGCTGCCGCAGCTCTCTCGTGATCGATAGTTGATTGGATAATGTTCAAGCCTGCTGCGATATCCGACTTCGATCCATAGAGTCTTGTGTATGCCTTCTCTGCCGCCTCACGTTTTGCTTTGGTGAGCAGATATGTTGGACTTTCTGGGAGGATGAAAGCTGTGATGATGGCAAGTCCGGAAAATTCCCCACTGAACAGCGAACGGGACCTGTGGAGATCAGCATCGAAGTCTGTGCCACGGCCTAAGCATATAAACATACCTTGAAGGCGGACGTGTTGATAATTGCAATCCGAGTAAATACCAAGGTCACTGCAATCATTTGACCGACACCCTGCATCAAATTATCAGACTTGATGTTGACTTGACCCATTTTCAAGCACAGGGATATGCGAACTTACCACAACTAAGGCAAAGAATCCAAGAAGTACACCTCGAAGTCTGGGCGGAGCAATTTCGGAAATATATGTTTGGCAGGCGGACATTAAAATACCCATTCCAACGCCAATGATTAACTTCGCGAAGAAGAAAGCCAAACGGCGACCCTCAAGCGAAGCAATATCAGGCGAGGTATAGGCAAGAATCGATCCTGGAATCAAATCAATAAATTTCCAAGGCAGTATTCGTGATGGTGATTACGCGGCTACTTACCAATAGCAGTACTCCAGATTCTGAAACGCATTGCGGCATATGCCATTGAGAAATACGGCATGCACATCATCCTTGACTTGCATTCATTACCCGGTGGTGTGAATTGGCTGGAGATTGGCGAGGCCATTGGCCATGGGGACTGGTTCTACAATGACACAAACCTTGAGCTATCCTACCAGGCTGTCAAAGCTGTCATACAATTCATCCAGTCCTCAGGCCACATCGGATCGTACACTCTTGCGCCCGTAAACGAAGCAGTTGACAGCGCCGACTTGCGAACCTTCGGAACAGATCTGGCTCTCTCCTCAAAAGCAGCAGAATGGCTCCTGAAATACTTCCTGGGAACGATAAAGTTGGTGGAAGCTATCAACCCGAAGATCCCGGTCATGCTACAAGATTCTTTCAGAGGGGAAGCATTCTGGGCACCACAACTTCCTCGATCCGCAAACGTCGTCATCGATACACATTACTACTACTTTGCCGGACGAAGCCTGGACTTGGAGAAAGTCCCTGCCGTGATGGTCGAGGATGCTAGGAGAGCGCCGGGAACAGGGACTTTTCCTGTGTTGATTGGAGAGTGGTCGCTGGAGTTCGAATTCAACAACAAGCTTCAGCTTCGGAAAGAGGTGTTCGATGCGGGAAGATACTTGTTTGACAAGCTTGTTCAAGGTAGTTGTTTTTGGGCTGGCAAGGTGCTTAGTCCTGAGAAGGTTAGTGGCGAAGGGGTGAAGAGGGATTATTGGAGCTATTATCATCTGATCAAGGACCATGTCATCCAGCCCGTCGATCCTAGTTTCAAGTACGAATAGAGTGCTCATCTATCATGAACTGTTCTCAATAGATTATCAAAATCAGCTTCTAAACTACCAGACACCACTTTGAATTGAGTCGAGTGATCTTTGTACACTGTTTACCCATTCGTTGTGTTAAGTGAAACTAAGGGTCTCTTCAAAGACTAAGTTGCAGGATCTGCAGGGCAATTACAGGACAGGAATGGCTCTTTGACCTAGATAGAACTAGCTCTCTCTCAGTTACTGAGTCTAGAAGCACGGCGGCTCTACCCCCACCCTTTATTTCGTTACTATACCTGGTAATGACTGCTGGGTTTGCCTGGAAATCTTACTCCAGATCAAATTATCAGGATATGGGAATTTCAAGCTCGAGGAATTTCGGACGTCGGAAGGTTAGACATCGTATTGCTTAGTAAATCTTCTGTCGAATTGCCAAGATCGTTTTAGTGAACTGCATGCCCACATTTAGTAAGTCAATTCAATACTTAATCGAGCTGCCATGTTGACGCAACGATCAAAGGGTCAATGGAAGCTTTAATGCTGGAGTGTTGCACAAATATGATACATTCCATCACAGCCGGTAAGGAACGCGGCATGTACAAATCAAAGATCTTCATAGATCCTCAGATGTGGGTTTACAGTTGTGGTCTATGGAAAATTATTGAGGTTTTTGATATTTGTGAACAGTACCGAACCGTGATCTAGAATGTTTACTTCGCGCTCGCTTATCCATTACAGCGCTGCTACAGTGATTGCGGTGCTGATCTGTCGCTATTTTCCGGGCCCGCGTCATGTAGATCTGAATTGTGATTCACACAAAGCTATCCGAGCATCAAACTCAATTCTTGGAATGAATCAATGACGACAAATCGAAGTTTTATCCTGTTAGACATATAAGATATGTGGATGTATGCCACTTCAGTAATCGATTTGTTGCGAATCCTCATACCGCAAAGTTCCCTGTCGCCAAGTGTGGAGCCTTGCGCTACGAGGCTGGCTCCATTATCGACACGATCCATGATGAGCTAATATTCGTTCCTGGGGCAGTCAACACCACCACGATGCCATCGCAGCAACATGGCGTCCGAAGCGTCACGGCCATTACTCCTACCACAGAATCGAAAGCTGAGGCATCTCCAAGGTATTTATGTGCGAAACCTAACGCTCTCGCGGCCGCGTGGACGGACAATTGATGATGGAGAGCTCAACAAGACCCCTCAGAAGCTCGAAGCTCTGCGAGCTGGTGCGACACTACACCATTCGCATTCATCTGGAGACTTGAGGCCGCCGAAGTTGAGGAGGAGAAGCTCGAATTGGGTGGGTGCGACGCCTGATTTCCGCCAAAAGAAGCTCGAGGATGTCATCGACAGTCGAATGTCGGATACGTTCTTTACGTTACACTGCAAGGGACAGGAGGATCCGATATACATCAGCGAAGTTGTGGAAAAGGCAATGAATCCTACATTCAGATTTTTTGACCTTTCTTCGTTTGGGCCAGCTACTACAAGGTTGGATACAGTGACGGTGAAAGTCTGGGTCAAGAGGAAGGATTTCACGCCTCTGATTGAGGAGGAGGTCAATCTACAATCGCTGCATTTCGTTGGGGCTTTGAAGAATCACCCATTTCCACCCAATTGTATCCTGTTCCACCTTGTGGACGGGATCTATACAATCGACATAGCTTCCAAGCCTCCGAAACCCAAAACTGCCCAGGCTTTGCCTACCTCCTCCTTCAGCGCACTCATGCGCCTCTCAAATCTCGACGAATCCATACAAGACGCGCTAGCTACACGGGAAGAGTTGACTTCCCAGATCAATGCAATCTTACATTCAGAGCCGAAGGATGATGCGCCACAAGCAGAGGAAGAACTTGCGTTAGCATGTCGATATTTGGCAGCGGAGAAGAAGCTCCTCAAAAGCTCTATAAAGCGACGAGCAGAACTCCAGGCTTCTATAAAGTCTCGTAGCAATGCTATCAAGTCAGGAAACGAGGTCCAGGCAAGGGTGTTGGAGGACATAAACAATGCCCAAGACAAGCTATCGGATTGCCGGGCACTCCTTACCACTGCTACTGCCGACATTCATGGGCAACGACGACGGATATGCGAAGAGCTGCTCAACATATTTCCGATCGAACCGACAACACAACCGCTTCTGTTCACCATCTGTGGTCTGCCGCTCCCGAACTCTTCATTTGAAGATGCAGACGAGGACGTCGTATCTGCAGCTCTAGGATATGTAGCACGATTAGTCGATATGCTACAATACTACCTCGCGATTCCTCTTCCATATCCAATCTCACCGTATGGATCACGATCCATAATACACGACTTGATTTCCATCCTTTCCGACAATCAGCGTACCTTTCCACTCTATACAAAAGGCGCGGTGCGATTTCGCTTCGATTACGGCGTCTTTCTACTCAACAAGAACATCGAATCCTTAGCCGAAAGCCAAGGACTCAAAGTCATGGATATCAGACAAACATTGCCGAATCTGAAATACCTCCTGTACGTCTGTAGCGCTGGGAGTAGCGAGCTACCTGCACGGAAAGCTGGTGGAATACGAGGCTTGTTGACAGGCCGGGGAATGGAGATTGGAAGTCGGAGAGGTAGTGATGACAGTGGTGTTGGAGGAGGACAGGGTGAGGCGGTTAGGAGAGCATTGGAGAATGGGGGAGTGGAGATCAAGGGGCCGCCTTCGATCAAGAAGGCGGGGAATGGGGGTCCTCATCCACATCCCCCTGCTTCATTTGCAGGGAATCATGTCCACAGTCTGAGGACTAGCGGGCTGAGAGAGAATGTTAGTAGGTGACATATCTTAATGATAATAACGACGTTGATTTGGATCATGGAGAGATAAGATTGATAGATATATGCCGAGAAGCAGATATACAATCCTGTCCAAACGTCAGTCAGACCATCGCAAGTAAACAAACCCGTGCAGCCTAACAACTTACCCAAAGACGGCACTTCTGTTATATCCACAATTTATCAGCCTTGTAGACAATCAAAGCACGAATTCTCCTCAACGCTTCGTCACATCTCAGCTCCTACCAATTATACTTTTCTTTCAACTTTGTTTTGTGCGTATCAGTAAGCCTTCCCCACATTCTTCGGCACACATATGGCTTGCACCTTTCAAATTTCTCCGTCCATCAACAACCCTATTTTACCTAAAACCAATGCTCGGTACACAATTTGAATATATTCCAGTGCGATATGCAACAAAGTTCTCGGGTCTCGACACAATTTGGATGCGGCTCTATGATTCAGCCGATTATTTTTGTTTAGAGACCTGTCAACTTCAACGGTAGCTTGGGCAGCAGCAAACTCGAGGATGAAGACTCGGGCGGTGTTCACCTTTTCATTTCGTTTTTATGATTATGTTATTATTTGCTTTTAGTTTTTATCACCCCCAAACTACAATATCAGCCCCATCAACAAGTCATTCCTGCTACTTCTAACCCGAGAAGGGGTTCAAGCAAGACAATGCTTTGGCAAAGTGAAAGAAGCGACCGAGAATGTGAGAAGGCATAGTGGCTCTCCAATCTCAAGAGAAGCCCATTTCAATTATCACAACGATGCAAAATATCCCGTTTAACTATTGAATATGGCTTGAGGATGTGTTCCAAAACGTTCTTATGTAGGAAATCCAGACACTCGGATCGCAGGTCTCTCTCAAGGAAGCACAACACCGAGATGAGTTCAGAATTGCCATGAATTCCCCCTGATAGCCTACCTTTCTCTATGAAAACTTTGGAAATGATGTAACTTTGAAAGACTTCTGTGTAGCAATACAAGTGTTACCTCATAATTGTCATGATGGATAGTCGCGAGCCAGGAGTAGCCACAGGCTGTCTGACTTTGACCTGGACGCCTTGGTTCATGCTTGCAAGCTTGACTTCAAGGTTCTCACATAAGTGGCATATCTTAAATTTAGTTAGATGTCGTTTACGTCCCTTAGATAATGCCTTATCTATAAACCTCTTCATCATATGTCTTTCCTGGCTATCCTCTTAGAGCGCCACAGCCCGCTTTTTTGTCAAGTTTGCCCTGGAATTAGCCAAAGAAGCCATCAACAGCCCTTCCAAGTGGAATACTAGGCGGAGAACTTCTCCTCAAAGAACCTTGATCGAGCCTAAAGAGTTCAAAATAGATAGTAGCATTCTTCATCCTAATAATTTTAGAAGCAAAGATTTCAGACCGACGACGCTCAGATCCCCTAAGTTCGTCTCGGCAACACGGCAACTCTGAAGCCACCACGGTGTATACCCACCAAACTAACTCTCTAGCCAACTCACCATCTACGTAAAACAACCAGACGAATCCTCAATCAGTGCTCTCAGACCTGCGGAAATAGAGAACAGAGACGTTTTTGTTGCATATCGACAAGGTGACACAAGTTTCCTTGGCAGCTGTGGCTTCCTGTTCGTCTCGTTTGGTCCCCTCATTGAGGAGACTAGTAAACCTGTATGGCTATCTCGAGTAGTAATGATTCGGCAGATCGACAAATATCCACTTAATGTTTCCGAGGCATAGAGATACATCAGAATTCTGTTGCACATCTACAAAGTGACACAAGTTTCCTTGGCCGTTATGGCTTCCTGTTCGTCTCGTTCGGTCTCCTCTTCATGGAGACTAGTAAGTTGCATGGCTGTCTCGAGGAGTAGTGATTCGGTAGATCGACAAAGATCCATTAAAATTGTCCCCGGATTAGAAGAGATCAGAATTTTGTTGCATGTCGACAAATGTGACACAAGTTTTCTTGGCCGTTGTGGCTTCCTGCTTTGACACCACTCGGACCGCCAGGAAGGTCTGCACATTAGAAGACTAGTAACTTATCTGACTCGTAATGCTTTTGCCTCTCCAGCGTTCATGGTTCAGTAATTTGTGAATGAATCATTAAAAGTCAGGAGCAAATATCTTGACATTCATTCTCTCCTTGCTGAATTGCAAGATCTGGAAGTTCAAATAATTTTTGGAAATTTCCTCCGTACCGAGCCAAGGAGTTTACCCAAAATGCCAAAGAGAAGGATACACTCCTATTCTTCACTATAAAACATGTCTCACTCAGTAGATATGCAACAAAACAACAAATTTCTCTCGATGCCTCATCAGCTGTTAGTTAGCCCTCGCTGTGACCCCATACACGGAATTCCAAATCTATCGTTCGACCCTGATCCTCGCTAAGAACCATGTCTCACAACATAGATATGCAACAGAGCCTCACATCTCTTTCCAACCCCAGCTCAACTGATGATTAGTTCCCGCTGCATTCCAAAGCGATATGCAACACAATTCTGCTTCCTCTCTTCCCATCTCTCTTCCCTCTGCCGCTCCAATCATCTCCAAAGATCCCCATCATACAAGCGAAAATCAATAGTCCACGGGCACCATTCTCCAACCCTATTTAAGCGCCTACCACCCACCATCGTCATTGTGTCACCATTGCTACTTGCAACAGAAAAGCCTCTTCTCTTCCCTTCCCTCCCTTCCCTACCTCCCCTTCCCGAATCGCCCCTCTTCTTTCCCTCTCCGGCATTCGGTACCCATCAACTTTGCTTCTTTACAGGTATGAAGGGCCGACCCGCGCCTAACTTAGCTCTAGCCCTCCCCCCTATTTCTTTCCAGAAAACCCAGAATCGGCTGATAGCCGAGCCGACCGCAGTTTCCAGAAACCGACTAGAGATCTGACTAAACCGTGTCAAATCAACACTATCGAGACTATACCGAATAGCGGAGATGTATCCGAACCATGCGATCGAACCATCGATCGAACCATGGTCACCTACACATCACTAGGACAGCTAGACCCGAACTCAAAACTCAAGCCGTTAGGTCCCTCGTCTGTGGTCACGTAGATTTCTGGCTATGCCGAGACTATTCTCTCTTAGCACGGCGGCGAGGCTCGGATCATTGGTTGCCACTTTAGGCGGGATGGGGATTTTATGGAGAAAGGGGGGGCTGCTTATGGGTCTGTTCGTGAGGGCCCTGAGGGGGGAAAGGGGGAAAAGGGGGCTTTTGTTGCATTTCGCAAATGTAGGTTTTGGATGGGCGCGTGATGGTCGAGATAGTTTGGCTTTAGGGGAAGCGCGAAGGCTGAGCGTTGTGGAGGTTCCAGCAAGGGATGAAGGGATTGCCGAGGTTGAAGTGGTGCGGGACGAGATGGCCAGACGTGAGGTCATGAGATGGCATGTGTCTCGAGGAATCTAGGCGCCCCTTGTGTTAGGCTTAGGGAGTATTCTTGCGGTACTCGCATTTTGGGACTGCAGACTGTTGTCATCAACTGCGATCAAGTTGCTCTGAATGATAGAGGGGTTGAGAATGGAAAGGAGTTCACTTCAAATGTGAGTCCCTGCTGGATGGAAGTGCTTGCACAAGAGGGAACGAAAGCACAGACATGCAGTGGAAGAGGCAAGCGATGTCAAGAATGAACAATGAATTTTCAAAAAGACTATGTATGAGTAAGGAGAAAGACGCCAGCCGTTGCCATCATTAACATGATCATGGAAACAAGCCAAAACGTGGAATATCTACGACCAGTATCAAGAAGACGATATTCTATCATCCTTCCAGCTAGTCACCTATGCCTTTGACTCCTTGGGATATGGCCATCTCCAGTTGGTGATGTAGACCGGGTCAATACCATGCTCGAACGCCCACGTCTTAGCCGCAATCTGGAGATTAATCAACTTCTCACGCACAGCCGCACCCTTGTTATGTAGCGACGGAATGCGATCAATAGCATCCATTGCCAAACTGTACCTATCAGTTTGATTCCTGATAGCTAGCTCCAGTGGCGTATCGATATTGCCCTTCTCCTTGTACCCACGGACGTGGATGTTGAGCTGGCCAGGTCGCTTGTACGTGAGTCTGTGGATGAGCCATGGGTAGGAGTGGAAGTTGAAGATGATCGGTCTATCATCGGTGAAGACGGCTTTCCATTCTACGTCTGACAGTCCGTGGGGATGGTCAACCTCAGAGATGAGTTTGAAGAGATCGACGACATTGACGAATCGGATCTTAAGTTGAGGAAGGAACTCTCGGAGGAGTGCAGTGGCCGCGAGAGATTCGAGCGTGGGTACGTCGCCGCAGGATGCCATGACGACGTCGGGGTCTTCGTCTTGATCGTTGCTGGCCCAATCCCAGATGCCGAGACCCTTGGTGCAGTGCTCGACTGCCTCATCCATGTCGAGGAATTGGAGATGGTCTTGCTTGTCTGCGACGATAACGTTGACGTAGTTAGTGCTGCGGAGACAATGATCTGTGACGGACAAGAGGGTATTTCCATCGGGTGGGAGATATATACGGACGACCTCAGGACTCTTGTTGGCGACTACATCGAGAAATCCTGGATCTTGATGAGTGAAACCATTGTGATCCTGTCTCCAGACGGTAGCGGTAAGAAGGATATTGAGGGAAGCAATCTTCGCGCGCCACTCGATCTCGTTGCACTTCTCGATCCATTTACAATGTTGGTTGACCATGGAGTCGATGATGTGAATGAAAGGCTCATAGCTGTTGAGGAGACCATGACGTCCAGAGAGAATGTAACCTTCCAACCAACCTTCGCAGGTATGCTCACTCAGCATCTCCATAACGCGACCTTCCATAGCCAAGTTTCCACCATCTTGATCTTCCTCGAAGTACTCGCCCATCCAGACCTTCTTGCCTGCCTTATAGATCTCGCCAAGCTTGTTAGACTCTGACTCATCAGGTGACATGACACGGAAATTCGACATGTTGTTTGCGACGATATCGCGAAGGAACTTGGACATATTCGACATGCTGGGAAGATTCGAGATACCTGGGTTGATATCCTTCAGGGCATACTTCTTGAAATCTGGCATGTCGAGGGGCTTCTTCAAGAGACCACCGTTGCCGACAGGGTTGGCGCTCATACGTGCATTTCCAACTGGTGCCAGCTCCTTCAATTCTGGAATCAGCTTCCCGGCCGAATCGAATGTCTCCTCAGGCTTGTACGACTTCATCCACTGCTCCAAGACCTTGAGATGTGCTGGATTTGAGGCGACATCGGGAATAGGAATTTGATGCGAACGCCAAAAGCCTTCGAGTAACTTCTCGTCAATCTTTCTCGGTCCACTCCATCCCTTAGGACTTCTGAGGACAATCATGGGCCAGCGAGGTCTGAATGCCTTCCCTGAATCCCGAGCTTGCTTCTGGTATTCGCGGATCTCCAGAACACACTTCTCGATTGTGGCAGCCATTGCTTGGTGCATGCTCTCCATGTCGCTGCCCTCAACAAAGTATGGCTTCCAGCCATAACCGATGAACAGCGCTGTAAGCTCCTCGTGGCTGATTCTTGCGAGCAGAGTTGGGTTGTTGATCTTGTATCCATTGAGATGGAGGACTGGGAGGACGGCACCGTCGCAGATTGGGTTGAGGAATTTGGTGCTGTGCCAACTTGTGGCAAGAGGTCCAGTCTCAGCTTCGCCATCTCCAACCATTGTGAGTGTGATCAGATTGGGGTGGTCAAAGACAGTGCCGAATGCGTGGGAGATTGAATAACCGAGCTCACCACCTTCGTGGATACTGCCTGGTGTCTCTGGGGTCGCATGCGAGCCAATTCCACCTGGAAATGAGAATTGCTTGAAGAACTTTCGCATTCCCTCCTCATCCTCGGCCTTGTCTGGGTAGACCTCCGAGTACACACCCTCCATATAGGATTGTGAGAGGATACCTGGAGCTCCATGACCTGGGCCCGAGATGAACAGAACGTCCAAGTCGTACTTCTTGATCAGACGGTTCATATGCATCCAAGTGAACGATTGACCGGCGTCAGATCCCCAATGACCCAGTAATCTTGCCTTGAGATGCTTGATATCCAGAGGCTCTTTGAGAAGAGCATTTTCGCGGAGGTAGAGCATGCCTAAGCAAAGATACATACTGGCGCGGAAGTAGGCATCATATTTGCGGATTTCCTCTGCTGAGAGGGGCTTTCCTTCTACAGTTGAGCGAGCAATTCCGTAAGGAGAAATGCTCTTGACGATAACTTCATCTGCTGCAGATGCCATGATGTTGGCGATTGGTATAGCTGTCCTGATATCGCTTCCACACGAGGTCCTTGATATCGCGGAGTGGAGGTTCGATGACCTTTTTGTTGTATTGTTGGAAGGATCCTCGGTAGTAAAGTAGGATCGACTGAATTATTGTACTGAATTGATGCTGAGTTGGCGCAGCAATTGGGAGTAATTGGGAGTGGAAATGCTCAAGCCTTATAAGTTATTTATTTCATGGAGGGTAACATCAGACACGCATTTTCATCGCCCATCACATGGGGGGGTCGACGCGGCAGCACGGGTAAGCTGTATGAGAGCATGATAGGTTGGCCAAAGGTGGTCTGATTCTTGACGACTCTCTTCCAATTCATACTCGGAGCCTGCCTGCCTTGCAGCGTCAAATCGAAGTTTAGGCCCGTGGTCCATAATCCATGGGGTGATATATGGTATGCAGCAATTCACCGACGAGCCACGAACGTATACACGGCGCTGGCCGGTACGGTACTGATGCGCCGAACCTCATTTCGAAGCGCTGATTGTTGCGTTTGAACTGCAAAATCGCTGGGATTTGTATGCTGGCTGCTTACAGAAAAGAAGTATCTGGGGCGATTGGATTGATGTTCCCCATGCCCACTGGGTCGGGAGGGCTATTTTGATTACTGTCCCTGCTATCCCAGCCACCTTGCAGATCAATAACAGCCTCTCCCTATGGGACAACAAGCATAGCTGAATGTGGAGTTTCTTGTGATCTCGATGATAGATGCAGACGGACTGACTCCGGAGTGGACCCCGTGGAAGGGTTATTGTCGTTGTCGGGGTTTGGCTGCAGGCGTGCAGCAGCACTTTGAATGGGCTGACAATGACGCAGGGAAAACATCGTATGAGATTGTACGACACAGTCAAAAAGCCAGGACTCGTCCTTCAACTTGGAGCAAAATCGAATGTGGTAGACAACAATTATGGCGTGATATCGTACACGCGTACTTCAGTACCTGCAGAAAGTAATGCCGCAGCGCGAGAAAAAGTATCTGGGGGGAATATGGTGTTGAAAAAGGGAAGAGAAGATATCTCGGCAGCATCTGGCCCCTGAATATTGTCGGCTGCGTGCCCGCCGACTCCGAGTCACGTTTCGCCTGGCTGGATTCTACCTACCTATTCCGCGGCTCCAGATCCAGCATACCACCTCAAGCTTTTCGACAAATATCCTGACCGGGCAAGAAGAGTTGCACTTGAAGTATTCCGCGCAAACAGGGCCACAGTCAAAGGCGGGAGTCATATCAGCGTTACACGAAGCCACTGTGAAGGACCCGCTTCGCTTCCCTCGGCTAGATCCTGTTTGATCAAAACACTCACTTATCAAAACCCGAAGAAAACCTCAGTCAACAGTAACTCATCTCGTATTCTTAGGATATTACAATGCCCTGGAGTGTTAGTTGGCGAAAACACACTGGTTTTGGTGGCAGCAAGTATGGTTCAAGGAGCTCTCTGGTCATCTCAACCTCGCTGGCTGTTCTCATAATGGCGACCGGACGGAGTTCTCATCGTCGGGGAGATATGATATATCAGCTTGACTTACATTCTCTGTATGAAAATTCCCCAATTCAGACAAATAAAAACATCTTCCCTATCATTCCAAGGCTTCCGTCACATCATGTCTGTCGATCTTCAACCTTTCATCCCTCGGTAGAGTTCTCATTCCCTGTTAGCAGCATCTATTTCCAATGAATCAAGCTCATGCACTACACCAACGAAGATTTCTTTGAGTCTCTAATCTGCCCTGTTCAGACTCCTGCGATATCGGCCATCGAGTTCTTCAAGTCGTGCCTGCTCATTGGCGTTTACCTCGCCTGGAATGTACAGTGCTGTAAGATACAAGTGTGCCTCTGGGCGTACGGTAGGATCATCGAGTTTCCAGAGCCACATATGAGCCTCAAACCGCGTGTCCAACAGTGGTTCGTCGCTCGTATCATTCACCCAATCTGTGGTTGCGCCATGGTCTTCTGCAAAGACTCTGGGATAAATGATCATCCGCTTTGCCTTCTTTACCTCAAGACTGTCTCTTCCGAAACATATCATCTGTCGGTGTAGAAGCCATTTTGCCAAACCCGAGCTCTCCGCAAATCATCTTGCCCAGCGGCGATCTGAAATGCCTCTTCGATTACCTTGCTCAACCTGCCATCGCAGATGCCGTCTCTCAGTAGCATCATGGTCTTAAGACCTAATAGACCGTATCTTCGGCGTGGCTGATCCGGCAGAATTCGACTAGACTTGAATCCTGTCAATAGTTTGTAGAAATCGAAATGCAAGCTGTGCGGGGAGACCCTGAATCCGTGCATGCAGGTGGGACAATCGCAGTGGATGTTGTACATTTCTCTCAACGATAGACGACGATTAAGCTCTGAAAGTGTGCCGTAGTCACGGGTTATTTCTTCGCCTGCAAGTATGGTCCGGATGATGTGCACACGAGCTTTTTGGGAGCCTTTGTGGAAGGAATAGAAAGCGTTGGGTGTACAGCTGTCTGCGTAACAAGAGGTGAATCAGCATCGTAATGGAATTAAACCCGACTGCTCAATTTGAGAGAACGTCCTCTATTTACCCCAATATGTTACTTACGGTTCATGAGGCTCAATATCCGGAACACAGTCTCCTTGTCATCTTCTGTTCGTACACAGTTGGTCTTGTAGATTCCTAATTCGTGGCACTTGGCATTGGGGAAGTCCGCAAACGCATTTTGGAGGCCCCGAAAGGCCAATCGCCAGTTTACATCAGGGATTGCTCTTATCTGTAAGTTTGAGCAGCAACAGAAGCCCAAATTGTTTCCTATGTCTTTCAACAGAGTGCTTGGCGTGAAGAGTGGCTCATCTTCGAATAGTAGAAACCCAACGGGAAGATCTTGCTTCGCAAACAGCCCTCTACCTTTATCTGGAATGTCCTTTGCTGAGTAGTATGTCGAGAATGGAGGATTGGCCATGTTGAGAGATAATCTTAAACGAGTGATTGATGGCTTTCTGGATATATTCGATTGCGACAGCCTTTGATAACTGATGTTCTGCAAAGAGAGACTCAATAGTTAGCAGTTGTGCCGTGGAGGTGGTTGAGCAACGAGAAATTTTAAAATGTCTCAAGACACTCACTCACTGGAAGTGAAACCGCGTATAAGGTATAAGAATGATGTTTGCCTACGCCTAATGGGATGTTGATAAATACTGAGTGCTGAGGAGTCTTCAACTATCCTTGGAGGGTTGATATCAATGTGGCACTTATCTGATCACAATTTTTCCCTAGACATACAGAGGAAGGTACGAACGAGTCGGCCTCGGGAGAGATGAAGCTCAGATCCCATCTCAACCCAATTCCCGTTACCATCTTTCCACGAGGACGTCCACAGCTGCAGGAAAGAGCGAATCGCTTGGTGGAGCACTCGACTGTGCAAATGTACCAAACCTATATATCTGTATCCTGCCATTATATGTAGCTAGCTTCTGAGAGCTTACAGATATCTCAACACCGGTCCCGAATGTTCTTCAGATAGCCATGGCTTGAATAATCTCTGCTTCAATAATATACCACTCACCAAGGACAAGGCTACTTCTTTGACGACACATCATTCGGTATGGTTCGACGGTCATTTTTGATCCTTTCCAAAGTAGGAACTAAATTTTGAGGAATTTCTGAAGCCGGGGACAAGTGGCGAGCCATGTGTCTTGGTTGAGATGGAGCCGTTTCGTTCGTTCCCGGTCTTTCGTGACTGATAATTTTGCTCCAATTATTCACATTGGTATGGCACATGCTTCGATTATAAAGATGGCTCCATAGCGAACTGTGAGATTTGGTAGTCTGTGTTACCCTGATAGAGCAGCAAAGTGTTACTGGTAGTAACAAGCCGCCAAGGGACCTGGAGCGTGGGGAACGCCGGAGCTGAAAATGGGCCAGCCCCGCCCTCCCATTCAAACGTGACGCTCAACTTCCTCAGCGGGGTGCTCGGGAGAAGAAAAGGTGCTTAGCAAGTAGAAATCAAATGTGCAAGCAATGAAAAGTCACGAATGAACCTGTGTTCAAAATACCTGGAATGATTTTTGGCAGCTATGGGACTCTCTGTAGTCGTTCTCCTTTGGAGCACGTTCAGATTCATTCGGACCCTGCCCACACCACTGAACGGGATAATCCCAGATCTTGAAGATCCAGACAAGCCACTTCAGATTTACCGAATCACAGCCCAGGAAGCGCGGCCCAAACCAGTTTAAAGTTCTCGATGTGGCTGGCAAAACCACCCCTCATTCGACTCCTCATCCGGTTGTTTCTCAGCTCTCAGCCTTCATCCAGCAAAAGCGAATGATGGCTGATCAGCCATGCCATCAACGGCCCATGACTCTGGGTCGGAGCCCTCTCCTTATCTGCTGCCACCCCAAACTCCAACCAACATTTGACGATATATATTCCTTAAGTCCGCATTGTTGCAGACGAAGGCAACGACGATCTGATGCAGACCCATGATTCCGCGCCGCCACGGCGGCAACGACGACGACCCCAGATCTCATGTACCGAATGTCGAAGGCGGAAACAAAAGGCATGCTTTTTCCTGGTCATTGTAGAGCTATTTTGAGGACCTCACTGACTCGGGTTCATGTAGTGTAATCCTAGGAAAGATGGCCCCTGTGCAAACTGTCTACGGCGATACCCGCCAGTGCCGTGCTACGTGCAAGACCTTGACGATCCAAACATTGGATGTGGTGCACCGCAGAAAGTAACCCTCCAGAGTGAGACTACCTTGAGATTCGTCGATCATGGCCCTGGCCCAAGAGATTCTATCTCATCCCCCCTCCATGAATCTCACCCTGCGAATTATCCAGCAATACCGTTAAGTCGTATCCTCCACCCAATCGAGGACCCGTCCCCGTACCATGAAGCCGTTCATGCGATGAAGCAGGAAATCAAGCAATATATCGTTGACGACGTCGAAAAAGTCCACCCAGACTCTGTCGAAAATGGACCACCGTCAGAAAACAAACTGGAATTAGTCCAGAAGAGGCTCAAGTACATGGATCCTGGAATGCAAGAGGCGATGCACAACCGGCTTGAAAGCCCGAGCATGGTTGGTGGTGTTTTATCGATGCTGAATACCTTTAACACTATGCCCGTCAAAACGACTCTCCGAAACACGGAACTGTTCTATTTCTGTGAGTCCTCTTCCTTGACTACATTCCAACTTTATTGGTTGATAATATCTAGTCCATAATTTTGTGGCGCCGACGTTCTGTTCTGTGGATGGAGGCAGCATTCCACCACTCTTCGCCGCAGAGATCTTGCCGTGGATGATGAAATCGCCTTTGATGCCCAATGTAGCGATTCTCATGGCATCTGCAGCTCAAAATCACGCTGGAATGGTTAAAAACTCCGAGACATTAATCATCAAGTCTCATGTTCTGTCTCTTGTGAACAGGTTCATCCAAGAAGACTTCTTCCTGGTTGGAAACCAGGCACTGAGAATCGTCATACACTTGGTTGTATTAGAGGTACGAAAGCAAAATGTTAGATTAAAAAGAACCGACGACTGACGTAATTATCTGAAAGATGTTCTGGGGTAATGCGGAGAATATATGGCCGCATATGGAAGGTATAAAGCAAATGCTGAAGATTCGAGGTGGCCTTGTGGGCATGAATGATCCCTTGAATGCACATGTACTGATCGTGTAAGTGTCCCTTCCAAAGTGTATACTTGTAGCTTCTTACTGAATATCTCAGGACCGATTACGAGCTAGCATGCGCGTTCGAGCGAGAACTCGATCTCCAATCCATGGAGACCGCCATCTCAACCGAGCTTCCCATCCGAGAAAACTACCCCGCCAAGGCTCGATGTCCAGTACTCCCATATCCATCCACCTTCCAGGAGTGTAGAGAAACTCTGAGTCTCAGTATTACTGCTGCGGAGATTTTAGATGATGTGAGGTTCCTCACCACGTCGATCACGTCATGTTTTCTCTCCCCTGAGCTGGAGCCTACCAAGACTTCGAAGATACAGAGTACGGCAGCATGTAAGAAACCTTTCTGAACCCCCACTATATCTGAGAACAAAGTATTGAGATCCTGCAGGGCTACATAAACGCATCGAGGCCATCCCGGCGCTAGAAATCGTCTCCATCACCCCCACCAGCGACATAATAATCGACACCATCCGCCTCTCAGCACTAGTCTACACATCCGCCATCCAAACCCTCACCCCACTCTCTCAAAACTTCCCACCCGACCTCCAAGAACGCATGCACTCGAACATCTCTCTCGTCGGACTCCGCAACTGGAAAGAAATCCCAGGCATCTTCCTCTGGATCTTGTTGGTGGCGACGCCATGCGCGAAGGATGATTATCGGGGCAGGTTCTTGAGGAAGCAGATGGCGTGTACGGGGATGGCGATTGGGCTGGAGGATTTCCTGCTGGGGACGGCGTGTTTGAGGGCGTTTTGGTTGGTGCAGAGGTGGATTGCTAGGGAAGGAGGGGAGGGCTGTCTTGATGTTGAGGGAGAGGCAGAGGCTGAGAATAATGTTGCTTTGCTTGCTTGAGGGAACACGGCGAGGGAACACGGCAAGAAGCAGCACATTGAATGTGAATGTAAAATTGCTAAGTTTTCATGGATTGGAATCCATGGATATCATCAAACCCCCACTCTCTAAGCTCACTTTGCAGCACTGTCTGGGCTACCTGGCCCTTGGAGACCTTTCACAATCACGGAACTCAATAATTAAGCCGTTCAATCCCTATCAGTCTTCATGAATTTGCATGGACTCTGTGTCGGAATGATTGGTGGATGCATTTCTCTGAAGCGGAACCGAACAGGAGCTTGTTTTGTTCTCTGCAATGGTTTGTAAAGAAGTATCCTGTACAGTTTTCCAACCCCCTTTTAGCACATTGGCTTTCTCGACTTTGGAGCTGAGAGTCAATTGCGATTTCGAAATGTATGGTTGATTGGACAGTATGTTGTTCCTTTCCAAGTATCAAACGCCGCGCGGGAACAGGGTTTGAGGGAGCCGTGTGGGGGTCACTTCATGGAGGAAGTGGACGGCTATAAGCCTATGATCAGCGTTCGGCTCGCTTAGTTCGAGGCAACCCATGTAGGCGGAGGAATATCAACTGCTATGGAGGAATGGCTGCAGTTGATGGATCAGCCGTTTAGTTTTATGCCCAGGCTCCATTGTGATCTTGTAGAGCCTGGCCTGCCTTACTTTCTGGACTGACCAATTTTGTTTAAGACGTCGCCAACAAAGAAATCCAGAGAGACGATCAACATGGAGTCTCTTCATCGCCACAAGAGTCCCTGGTCGTATAAGTCACCTTAGAACTATTGATCTAGGAGAATCCATAAAATGGAGACGATCGTAATGAAAGCGTTCATGGCTTGGGCTTTGAGGAGTCGAGCTTCCTGCCAGCTGCTTTCACTGAGGACGACTGAGCCTCGCCAGCTGCATCAGAATGAGCTGTCAACAACGTGACAGTCGCATAATCGTCTCATACCTAGGTACGGAAGGGTACCTGGTGTCTATATGTACCGTACTTAGGGCTTCTACCCACCCACAGACTGAAGCGGAAACAGAAGCGTTACTCTATCCACCAGAAGTACCGACAGCCTTGCCACTGACTTTCTATATTCTTGGCAACCGTCATGGGCCGAAAAAAGCCAAAAGTAAAAAGCACGGAATGGCTTGGGTGTCCGAAGTCCGCATGAGCTTCCAGCACGGTGAGGAATGCCTAAACACGTGGTTTTGACCAAACTTTAAAACTTCCAAGCCCTTGAGACGCATGAAGGTGTGGAATTACACCACCACCCTCAGGGAGCAAAGATGTGGCTGAGACTGCATGCCACGAATGCACGTCGGTGCAATGGGTAGGTGCTCAGCTCCCCTGGGAAGAAATCTGTTTGACAGAGGAAATTGTAACCGACTTACCCTACTTAGGCTAGATCACTTTGCGTGGACACACACATGAAAAGTCTTCATGAACTTAACATGCGAAAAAGCCCCTACAATAGCATAAAATCAATTGTACCCCCTCAACTCCGGTGGCACGAAGAATGGAGAATAATGATACCAGAAAGTTGAGCGTGATACGTATGTTGTACGTAGCGGCTTAGCCCTGGTCTCGGCGTTTTCTGGAGTTACAGTACAGTAACTTACTGTACGGATATACCCTACGGCATATTGACTGGAGCCGCGTTGAGTTACCTTGCCCAGGTACCGACATACAGTACCACAGGTGCCCACTCCGTAGAGCACGTACTGCACTGCACTGCACTGTACTGTAAATTACTGTACAATTCCGTAATCAGATGTAAACTTATCTACTGTAGCTACAGTAGTGGGTCCTCAGATCTTCTCTATTATTAGTCATCCATCCTTGCTGGAAGTCGAATTCGACGAGGCTAGACTCGATTCCCGGCGGCTTATCCCATCCGTTATCCGGCCTTGACATCACATCGAGTACTCGTCGACCCCCTTTGAACTTTCCTCCAGTCTCTACACACCTGGAGCTATCAGTTCCCCAACAGTTTGCATACAATCCAATGATCCCCAATACGCCGTATGGTCTGCGACTCATCAAGTAAGGGGAAAGAGTTAACTAGAAGATGTTCTCGTCATCGCAAGCCGCTGCGCCGCTCAGTTCGGCGCCAGAAACATCAGCACCAGAACCCGCAACCACACCAAATACGCAGTCTGCTGAGCAGAGCCCAGTCGATAGGAGGGCTTCTCACGATACACCCCATGGCTTGAATGCGCGATCTTGTGTAACCTGTAGACGGAGAAAGGTCAAGTGCGACAAGAGAAACCCATGCACGAATTGTGCAAAGGCAGGCAGCGTTTGTGTCTTTCCAGCACCAGGACGAGCCCCTCGCAGACCGAGACAAGGTGGGAAGGTTGTCAGCGAACGCGAGGCAGAGTTGTTGAAGAGGTTGCGAAGATTGGAAGGGGTAGTTGAGGAGTTGAGCGGGCAGGTGGAAATCGAAGCTGTGAAGCATTCTCCATCAAGCGACTCTTCGTTACCTAAAGATGCCGATTCGGGTGACACACTCAGTGGCAAACCGGCTACTGTTCGAGTTGTGGGAATGGATGAGGGACATGGAAACAGAAAGACATGGCTGGCCAGAAGCTTCAGGATCGGAGGCGGCCCTCCAAAGACAGCTTTCAGCGTGGACGAGCTCCAGAGCGGCGTTGGTCGATTGGTTGTGGATGAGGGCAAAAGCCATTATGTTGCATCTCCATTCTGGGCCCAGATAACGGACGAGGTAGACGAAATCCGGGAACTTCTTCACGATCAGGACTTCGATTCAGCGGATTCGGATGTACCGATTGTACCATCCGATACGATTACCGTGCCCAACCACCAGAGTTTTATAATGGGATACAACAGCAGTGATGTTAATCTCAAGGGATTACATCCACTACCATCTCAGATTCCATTTTATTGGCAAACATATCTTGAGAATGTTCATCCTCTGGTAATGATATTACATAAACCTACAATGAACAATGTCATCAAGGAGGTACAAAACAACTTGAACAGTCTAAGCAAGAGCACAGAAGCCTTGATGTTTTCTATATACTTTGCGACCATAACTTCAATGACTGGGGCTGAGGTATGTTTTTTCGTTAATGCTTAGATGTAATCAACTAATAACGATAGGTTCGAACGAATCTTGGTGTCGATAAGGAAGTTTTACTCCGACAGTACCGTTTTGGTGTGGAGCAAGCTCTTGCTCGGGCAGGCTTCCTCAACACCAATGAAATAGTCACTGTACAGGCGCTCGTTATGTTTCTCGTTTGTGTCCGCAGACACGATGACACTCGTTTCGTCTGGACGTTGACAGGCTTGACATTAAGAATCGCGCAATCGTTGGGACTTCATAGGGACGCAGCACAGTTCGGACTCAGCCCGTTCGATACAGAGATGAGGCGGAGACTCTGGTGGCAGGTTTGCGTCCTGGACACAAGGGCATCTGAGGATCATGGATCAGATCCTTCGATCACCGAATTTTCTTACGATACGAAGTTTCCATTGTCAATTGATGATGATGATCTCGACCCTGCGGCAACAGACGCACCGGCTGAGAGGAAGGGTGTTTCTGAGATGACATTCTGCCTCATTCGATACGAGATCTGCAACCTCAGTAGAAGATTGACTTACATACCTCCTGGACCGGTGCCTTGCAAGGTTTCAGGCGAGATGTTGACACTTGAGCAGAAGGAGAAGCTGGTCAGGGATTGTGCCGAACATCTCGAAGCAACATACCTTCGGTATTGCGAGGATGCCGGACCACTCTATTGGGTTGCCGCCACTGTTGCTCGGTTGATCATTGCCAAAATGTTTCTGGTCATCTATCATCCACTCACTCTCCCTGGTAAGCCCAGCAGTCTATCGAACGACATCAAAGACAGACTTTTCATATCATCTATCGAGATCATCGAATATTCAAGAATTTTGGAGTCGGAGGCCACGACGAAGAAGTGGGGATGGCTCTTCCACACCTACATTCAGTGGCATGCTATGGCCTTTATCTTGGGGGAGCTCTGTGTGAGGTCCAACTCGGCAGTCGTGGAGCGCGCATGGCGTGCTGTGGACCTCGTATTCAACGACTGGCCAGAGGCAGCTCACCACGGAAAGAGTGGCATGCTCTGGAAGCCGATGAGAAAACTTTTCGCTAAAGCACGACGGAAGCGCCTGGAGAACGCCAATACTGAAAATATTGATCGCACACACAATGGCCAAGGCATGTCGAGTATCTACCTGGATCGACATCCACCTCCGCAGCCATATTCGATGCCTGGTCCTTGCCCCATGAGTATTCCTCGTGATCGTCAGCTTTCACAGCAAGTCAGTACTACTGGTGCTCCTTCCAATGCAATATTGCCGACAACCAGTGCACCAGAGATGTACCGCAACGACGTTTCAATGCTAGGGCCTCAAGTAGTTGGGATGGGTATGCTTGCCCCCGAACAGGTACAAATGCAAATGCAGCAGATGCAGCAGCAGGATCAAGCTCTATCGCAGCAAGCACCGTGGCTGTTGGACAACAACGCAATGCTTGATCTGGACATGACAGCCGTTGAAGGGGAGATCAACTGGGAAGGATGGGACGATCTCGTGCGAGACTTCCAACTGGAGGCGGACAGCAATCAACAACCAGATATGGCTAGAGGACCGACTTTGGGTGGTAGCGGTATGTGGTGGTGATTGCAACCCGCCATATGACATTCAAGGGTGGAAAGGGGTCGCTTCTAGGCGACAAAAACTGGGACGGAATATACCAACAAAACAGGGAGACATGATAGCAAGGATAGAATATGGCGTTGGTTATACCTAGGATCGAGCAAGTAATTGACATATCTTGGACTGTTTTATCGAATTAGCGGGAACTATTAGTCATTGGAATTGTGTACATTATTTGTTGTTTTGAACACGATCTCGACCATTTCCGTATTTCTAATGGGAGGCAACCAAATGACATTCAATCTCCACTTACAAAAGCTGGACACATCTCTATGCTTCCATTTGTGCTGCATTCTACTCGCACCAAAGTAGAGCCACATTGCAGAGAATCAAGCACACCATAGGTAATCTGAGGGCTTTCAATTTACCCGTGCTCACGTGCCTTCGCCGAGGTTGATGACATTCGTCCCATCAACCGCAGGGATGTAGTTGAAAGCGGCCACTTCTCAGGATTACCAACCTCCTCCACACTCCCCTCCACCACGAGAACGGACATACCTTCTCGAACTTTGTTACTCCCAATTGAACACAAACCATCCACAAGGTTGTGATCTTGCATTGGCCAAGCTCACATGCCTTCCGCCAAATATACTCATCGGTGATGCCATTGCGATGGCGAGCTTTGCTGGGCATGTCCTGGACCGCCCAATCTATGGGTAGCCCAGCGTCAAGATGGATATTATGGGGGATGTTAACCACTTGGCTGGCTGTTGCCAGTGCCATGACGCCGGCAAGGATAGCAGAATTACGACAGGAGACTGTGGATATGTTCTACCATGGGTTCGACAACTACATGAACGTCGCATTCCCCGAGGATGAGGTTAGACTTCCCAAGCATGCGGGTATGGCATTGGTACTGACTCTTTGAAAGCTGCGACCAGTATCCTGCATACCGTTGACTCGAGACTCCCAAAATCCGCGAAATGTCGAACTTAACGACGTCCTGGGCAATTACTCCCTCACTCTAATTGACAGCCTCTCGACCCTCGCCATACTGGCATCTGCCCCTCCGGATCGAGCGGGTACTGGTCCCAAGGCTCTGCGGGACTTCCAGAACGGTGTGGCTTCATTGGTATCACAGTATGGAGATGGTACAAGTGGTGCTGCGGGCCAAGGGCAAAGGGCGCGGGGTTTCGATGTTGACAGCAAAGTCCAAGTTTTCGAGACGGTGATTAGAGGAGTAGGTGGTTTGTTGAGCGCACATCTATTCGCTGCTGGAGAGTTGCCAATCACTGGATACAAGCCTCGACGGGCGTCGGGAGCAAAACGAAAGCTACAGAAGGGGGAGATACCTGCGATCGCGTGGCCGAATGGATTCAAATACAATGGGCAGCTACTTCGACTGGCTTTGGACCTTGCTCAGCGACTCCTACCGGCTTTCTACACAGCTACGGGAATGCCGTACCCGCGTGTGAATCTACGGCATGGAATACCGTTCTATGCGAACTCCCCTTTAAATCAGGATTCCGATCCCGACGACTTCGTCCAGGAAGGTGCCCCGGAGATAACGGAGACTTGCAGCGCAGGGGCTGGCAGTCTGGTTCTGGAATTCACGGTACTGAGCCGGCTAACTGGGGATCCAAGATTCGAGCAACTTGGCAAGCGAGCATTTTGGGCAGTCTGGGCTCGGAGGAGCAACATTGGACTTATTGGAGCTGGCGTTGATGCTGAAAATGGTCATTGGATCGGACCATATGCAGGCATTGGTGCTGGAGCAGACAGCTTTTTTGAGTATGCGTTAAAAACGCATATCTTACTTTCTGGACATGAACAACCGAATTTAACGGTTCCTTTCAAAGAGCCACACCAGTCATGGTTGGATCCAAACACCATCTATAATCCCTTGAGTGTGGAAGAGAATTCTTCAGAGGCATTTCTGGAAGCGTGGCAGGAAGCACACGCTGCGATCAAGAGGCATTTGTATAGTGGAACGCATCATCCTCATTACGTTAATGTTCACCTTACCACGGGATCACCCCAAGCATATTGGATTGATAGCTTGGGCGCATACTATCCTGGCCTGTTGACACTCGCTGGAGAAGTGGAAGAAGCCATCGAGACCAATCTGTTGTACACAGCGCTCTGGACTCGATATTCAGCTTTGCCAGAGAGATGGTCCGTCAGAGATGGTCAGGTCGAAGGTGGGCTAGGCTGGTGGCCGGGACGACCGGAATTCATTGAGTCAAATTATCATCTCTATAGAGCTACTCGGGACCCTTGGTATCTGCATGTTGGCGAGATGGTGCTCGAGGACATCAAGCGACGATGCTGGACGAAATGTGGTTGGTCTGGACTCCAGGACGTCCGAACGGGAGAGAAGAGTGACCGGATGGAAAGCTTCTTCCTTGGCGAGACTGCAAAATATCTCTATCTTCTCTTTGACACTGACCATCCTCTCAATGCGCTCGATGCAGCCTATGTCTTCACCACAGAAGGTCATCCTCTGCTCATTCCAAAAGCCAAGACTGCAAAAGTTGTTAAGCGAAAGGTTCCGTCTACCAAAGCGCTCCAAACTTATGATGCGCTGGATGTGAGAGATACATGTCCAGTGGCCCCGGCGACTCTTCCTCTCACAATATCGGCAACTGCAGCAAGAAGCGACATATTTCACGCTGCGAGTTTGATAGGCTTGCACATGATACCAAACATGCATGCGATCGAAGGCAGCATAAGCTCCAATTTGGTCGATGACCAGCAAGAATCGGGCTCGCAGACGGCAAATTACACATATTATCCTTGGACTTTGCCAACGACACTCATGCCAGTTAATGGAACTTGTGCCAGGCTACCTTTGAAACAAACGTTTAGTATCGAATTTCCAGTCACCACTCCGTTGACAACAGCATCTGCGGCTTCCAATTTCTTGGTTCTTGGACCACAAGGGCTCGTACGTTTAAATGAGGGAATCCTTGTTAAAAGTCTATCGGGTATCAGAATAGGTATGGTTTACGAATCGCCATCTCCTTTCCGGACAATTGATGGGCCTCTTATGGAGTCGTACCGGGTTTCGAGTATTGCCAATATGCCACTTGGTAGAGATGAGCAAATCTTCATCCCCCGCGATGTCATTGGTGAAATGATAGACCCTTCGTTCACACGCATTCGAGATACAATCATGGCAGACATTGTTCTCCAACTTGAGAATCCTGTCGTTGTCAACAACACTGCTACCGGAAGTGTCAAAGAATTCTACAAGTCCGAGACAAACCAAGATAGCTTTGAAGATCGTCCAACAGTCTCCTTCGAAGACTCAAATAGCGGTATCGCTGCTGAATATAGGACTTTGATATCCTCGCTCATTCGCCAAGTTACATCTGCTCTCAAGGATCCTGCGGCGACTCTTCTCCCAGAACCCGAAATTCCGTTGACATATCACCTCACCACTCTGCCAGCAATCTCTCCCACGGGTATGGGCGCAGCACCTTTCATCGAAGTGGCAGACGCACCAAATCCCAACCTTGGGCCGCAAGCCGATACTCTCACCTGGTCAGGAATATACTTTGCTGGAGAATCCTGTCACGGTAAACTCCCTGACGATGCGGCAAAGAAACACAACATCATTGTGATTCGTCGTGGCGGCTGTACATTTTCACAGAAGCTCGCGAATATCCCAAGTTTTGTCCCGTCAGCAAAGAGCCTAAAGCTTGTGATTATGATATCAGGCTCGGAGGACGAGGAAGATGTGGATGGTATGCCAAAAGGAAGCGGAGAACATTTGATCAGACCACTGTTGGATAAGGCGCAGGTTACGCCGAGTGGGTTAGTAAGACACCACCAGATCTCGATGGTCATGGTTGGAGGTGGCGATGCGACTGAGGAATTACTTAGACGCACAAGAAGTGTTGGGTTGAGAAGGAGATACCATGTCGAGAGTCAGGGCATGGTGATTGGAAATATCATCGTGGTGTAGATGGAGAAGGAGGATGTTTGAATGAATGGGTGGTTTTGGAAACGATAGACTTACTTGCATACAGCTGGGATATGGCGTTTGGGTGTTTGCGCGATGTCGGTGAGTAGATACCATGTGTCCATGTGCTACAAATGAAATAAATACGTTGATACAGTTACTCAATCTTGTGCTTGTGAATTGAAATGTGCTTCTGAAATGTCAGATTGACGTACGCAGTATCTTCTTAATCTGTATGACAATCAACTCCGCTTTACCAACTTCTTCCAACATCTTCTCTGTTCTCAAGTCAGTCTTTATCACTTTCCGATATAGAGAGTGCGCGTTTGGTTTTCTGCCCAAAACTGCTTCCTCCCATTGCCTGCTTTGCCATCCTCCCCTACATTCCTACACATCCGCCTTTCTTCTTCTCATTCGCTATCTCCGGCTCTTTGACCTCCTCCTCCTCCTCCACCACACTCTCAGATGTCCACTCACTTCCTCCCCTCGCCGTGAGTCTGGCCTGACAAACATGCTCATTATCAAGAGCATCAACATCCACATCGATTTCCTTCAGATCCCCGCACTCCACGTAGTTGTATCCTTTTTGCAAGGAATCTTGCTTTTCTTTGTGATCATCGCAGAGCATGATTCTCTGCCGAGTGTGTGCGCAGTGTTTGCAGGTTGTGATGGTGGAGGTACACATTTGTGCAATCAGGATGTGGATTGGGTTGGTTGGGCGTGGTTTGATGAGGGTGGTTTGTGAGGGGCTGGGGGCTTGTTGTCTGTTGTTGGGTGGGAAGATGAAATGGGGTCGAGAGAGTGGGTGCTGGTTTATACTAAATGGAGAGAAAGGCTGTGTCAAAAATTGCTCAAAGGAGTGTGTAGAGTCAGGAAATTACTTTGGTTGTCTAGCAAGTACACGTTCTGAAAAGAACGCTCATGTCTTGGAGGTGATGTTTGCTCTGATGCTTCTGCGACTCACGATGCTGATGTGGTGTGGAGATACATGTCTTTATTATCAATATTCAATAAGTAGACCAGTCATAAGCTGATGACTGTTACCATGTCAAAGTTGTTCGCAAGTGATGAAAGAGAGGCTTAGGGATCACCAGTCTCGTCTCAAAACATTGCCACTGGTCCTGAAACTTACTCTTACTATTCTCACTTTGAAAGCTTTGAAGGAGCATTCATGACACCGCTTAACTTTTGCCAGTAAGAAGACAGAGTCAGAAACCTACAGTTTCAGAGCAGTTTGTCTTGTTCGGTCTTTGTGCTTAAATTTGACCTAGCTTTAATCAAACAACCAAGATTCTTCCAAAGGTACTCAAACACCTCTCTATTCATGATGATGTTTTACTGGACCAAAAGATGTGCCAACCACCTCGGTCTCACAAATAGCTACCCGCCGCCCTCCAACCACTTGATGCTGCCGGAACTTGACTCCCCTGCACTGTTTCATCTCACCCAGTTGGAAATTCCAATCCACTGTCTCCCACTCTAACCACTTCCAATAGTCCGCCTAGTATACTTCTCCCCGTTAACGTCTCTGATAGAATCTGGGGTAGAATGTCAGAAATCTTACCAATCTCAGTTGCTGGTAAGATCTTACAACGACTACAACTGTGTCAAATACCAGAGAATCGATGGAGGAAGCCGGGGATGAAATTTGGTTGAGAAAGTACTTGTCGGTGCGCTTGGGACTGGCTCGACCTTGAATTTTGGTGTTATGTCATCAGGCATATGGAAAGGTCCAGAGTTTGGGGTTCTTGCATTAGAGAGGTCAAACATAGTGGAGTGGAAATCTCGCTTAAAATAGGAGGCGGGGTAAACAGACAACAGATGGGTAATGGATCCCAGCTGCTGGCAGAGTGCATGTCTATCATTGGCTTGATTCAAGGAGCTTGCAGAATCTATCAGCTGCATATTCCGCGAATGTTCGCGTTTCTGTGCACATGATATTGGTTGATACATACGATCCCTCTTGATCGGGTCCGCGAATTGTCGCGAAACCATCCTTATTGTTCAGCATGCGATTACAAGCTGTTTTCTCCTATATGAGATACGAAATCCGCTACAGGCATCATTATAGCTCTGAATTCAGAGAAATTTGCTTCAGGAATCTCCTTTTCAGCATCAGTGCCTACACGTCAAACTTCACTGTTCCTTCATCGGAAATGGCCAACCAAATGTCAAACTTTGTCAACTGCAACGATGATCCAGTTATTACTGGGACTGGCAACCCGAAGCCAGTATCTCAGCCCACTGATCCCAGTAAGAACTCTCTTCAAAAAGGTTCGTTTCTCACTGTTGTAGATTACGGAGGATTCAGAGTTGGAGTTTAGTGTTGCGACGATGGAAGGAAACGGACTTCAGTAGGTGACTTTCTCAAATTCTTTTGTGCACTGCTAAGATTTCGAAGTGATCATTATCAGTGGTTCTGCTCCGATCTTCTTGGTAGTGGAGCTTGGAGATGTTTTGAGGGGCCAATAATGGGTTTTGGGAGGTTGATTGGTGCATTATAGCCAGAGATCCATCAAAAGCTTCAGTAGAGTCGTCTCCTGCAAATGGACGATGCTAAGGCCTCTTATCGTAGTTTCTCATAAGTGATCGAATGAGCATCTGGGTGAATCGGTATCCATGAGTCAGCCCACTCCTGGCGGAGCGAAATGTGAGGGGGGTGTAATTCCCAGGAGTGCGTCAAGTTCACAGACCACATCTTGATGGTCTTTCGAGCTCAAAAGAGTTGGTTGCTCATGAAGACTCGTACACCAATTCAAGTCAGATCCTGGAAAATGATGATCAACATTGATGTTGAATGCGGTCTGTTGTCCAGAGATGATTAGCATCTCCGAGCTTGACTGGAGGTTTACATCCTGATTTGCATACAGAGCTGAGCCGTTTGAGAGTGGTTTTAGCCTGGACAACGGAGGGGGTCGCTCTTGGTTTGCAACAAAGTTACTCTAGGATCGATAGTTGAATGAGGAGACCAAGATGCTTGCTCTTCTACTGTGGGGGACGTGGAGCTTGGAACAAGCGAGTACGTATCATTGCTTGTGGCAAAGGGAACGACTGGCCAGAACTGCTGCTTCTTTTGGAACGGTTGTTGATAGTCCGGTACCTCAGTCATATCGAAGACTAGGTCATTCAGATAGGAATCATCATTCTGAAAGCCGTCAGGTGTTTGAAAACTGTCCAAGGCAGAAAGCCAGGTAGACTTGGCGGTGTTTATCTCTTCTATCCAGCTTAGCTGGGATTCTGGTTTTTCTTCCATAGAAAAACACTGGTCTTTGATTTGAACAGTATTCGTAAGTTCGTGGTACGCTTCTCTCAGTGTATCGGAATTGACCCTGTCCCTGTCTTCATTGCAGCTTAAGATTCCATTCCGAACTTTGTGCTGCGTAATCTTTTGAAATAGAGCCACCAAAATTTCACATTGGTCAAACCTAGACCTAGGTCTGGTCGGATCTATAATCCAGAGACAATCAGGATTTTGTTCACGAAGCTGCTGGAGTCACTTACATGGATCGGATGGTGGTGTGGCATCTGGTAGCAAGACATTCCAAGTCTCGTACCACCTATCTTCATCACGCCGCCGCTTCAATTCACCCTTGGGAGCACCTTTCTCTTGAAATGAAGCAGTAATAGCTTTCCACTGAGTGCTGGAAATTCCTTTCCTGGTATACATGGCTGGTCCAACGCATGATTTGCAATGGTCCAACAGCTCTGATCCCTTTTCGCTGACGAAATCCAGGGAGCAATGATCGCAATAGAGAGGGCCATGTACACTCTGCAGGTGATCTCTAACAGATTGTCAGTACATCTACAGTATCATAAAAGCGCATTTCGATCCAAACCACGGCCGAAAGAGTATGAGGTTAGCGTACTTTAGTTGACGTGATCGATCTATTGGAATGTTTGGACATGCACATGTACGATACACCCGGCCCGTATACTTCGAAGGATCATGCTTATGGTATGGACATGCGAAAGTGGTTTCCGGCCTTTGGTCTGTATGCATATTCCTTCGCTTTTTTGAAGCAAACACTGGGGGAGCGCTACTCGACAAGCTGCAGTATCAATTAATATTCTTGCCGATAAACTATTTGATGCTTACCTAGTTTCAAAATGATCTGATACGCCCAGAGTAACATCTTCGATTTCACTGTTTTGGGGTTCGCTTGTGGCCTGGCAGTCTAGCAGCGTGCTGATCTGGCCATTGGCTTCCTCGGATGCGTTGCCTGGATTGTTTTCCAGTGTTACTGAGGAAAGTGGCTTAAACTCCTGAGTGGGAAACTCCTCTCTATTCTTGGAGAATTTTGCCTGCTCAACACCACAGTAGGTACAACGTTCGTGAGAACATCCGGGGCAGCTTATCACGATGTCGATTGACATAGGACCATGCTGTTGGCAATGGCAACAAGACCACAGCCATTCGTAGAAGAAGTTCCTGTCATATCGAATCTCGAAGCCATCATTCTCTGCGCTGACCGGTGTCATGGCGAACGGGATTAGGGGTCTTGTTAATGGCCTTGTAGGTAGACAAATTAGCTTCAAAATGATCACAAAATATAGTCTCACAGACTTACCAGTGAAGACCACAAATTACCTGTATCTCAATACTGGGTCTAGACTAATTGGATGTTCTATTATTCATCGAAGCTTGTCGGGTCTGTATCTGCAGCAAGGAACACGGTGGTTGATGTTGACTTTCTAGGGTCACCTGGTGAAGACTTAGGCGAAATGCTCAGCGTAACGATTCGAAAGGAATAACGATTGATGATTGGCGAAGGAATACAGATACCAGACCAGGCTCGACAGGTTCGGAGTATGATATCGAGCCCCGAGAGTCGTAGGCGGCTCTTTGGAATGAAGTTGTTTCCGGAGCCTTGTCATGACTTCCAGTGTGTGAGGGAGCAATTTACCTTCGAGTTCGACCATGTAAGCTGGGCGGAAGATGGTGTTGCCAAGACGTCTCTCGCGGAAACTCGCAAGACCTGCATTAGATTGATCGCCACGAATGTAGCTGCCACGATTACAGCTGGTGAAGCGGTCCAATAGGTGGAATAATCACGTGTGTATTACAAGCACGTGTCGTAAATACTGAATGCCTAGGTATATCTACCTTAGGTAGGTACCTAGGTACTCTTTGCTGCTTATATTGGTGGGTGCGATGTACGGCCTCGCGCACATTAAGAAGCGATGGAGGCCACCAGAACAACGCAGAAAGAGGGTAGACTCGCAAGACTCGGTTTTGTAAAGGGTATCTATTCTGCAACATGTTTCTAATCCTGACGTCTCCAGAACGGTTGGCTATTATCCGTCGTGCCCAAGTTCTGGAATCCTGCCAATACATCTCTATCAACGTTGACCGCCCAGTCTCGTTGAAATGACTCTTCTCCGCCACATGCAGCCACCACACTGCTCAGTGTCTCCTTGACAAACTCGAATGTATGGATGGTGTGCACCGGGTCCTCAGCACTGTGCAGGCGCCTCCGAACATCTTCAGGACCTTCGTACTCGCTCCCTTCTGAAGCCAGCCATATCAAGTTATCTCCTCCATCGTCACGGCCACCAATCATCTCTGTAATGACGGAAGTCCACATGGCAAAGTAATCTTGTAGGCGAAGGAGGATTACTGGAGTCATTGGAGGTGGAAGCTCAAGGAGACGCGTGAGAGCTAGACAAGACAACTTCTGGCGGTCGATGTTGGCCATACTGTCGAAGTGGCGGAACCATTCTGTACTGAGCCATTCCCAGACCTCATTTGCATTTCCGACAGAACTCATGACGGTGACGAACACTGAAGGATCAGCTAGAGCAATCCGGGCGAGGATGGTGAAATAATCCGTCTCTACGACATCGTCAAGCTTTGGGTATTTTCGACCCGGTCCGGTGGTTTGATGAGCTTCCCAGGCGTCGCGTAGGCCCGCAAACACTTGCTCTGTGTACCCGCTCTCGTGAAGGTCCTTCGCTATCTGGACTACTCCATTGGTGCCGCCAAACTTCTCCGCAGCTCGAATCATATTCTCAATGATAGTGGTGACTAGACCGGCCAGCTCTCTTTTGGTTACACCGAGTAGATTTGTCATATGAGCTATGATCCTCAGTCTTGCTTGATCGCCAAGCATTGCTTCTGGTGCCAGAATTATGTATGCATCTATGATGTTCAGAACACTGCGCAGATTGTCTGACCCAAGTTCGAGGAGAGGGAATGCCGAATCGGCCAACGCGAGAACATCTGGCGTGGCGGGAGACGGCGTTTGAGCCAGAATGACGACCCAAAGGTCAAGAGCTTCTTCCATGAGGTAGACTTGCATCTCCGAGCCAGGCTCAACGGCTCGCTGGATCAATGGCAGAATCATCGAGTGATACCGCTGAGCTGCCTCTTTCATAGCTGTCACCAGTGTTGACATAAGTGTGAGAATTGCCTGCTTCAACAGATGTTCTTCGCCTGAAGCTTCCCACAGACCGGGTAGCATGGATACGATCTGGTCAGCAAAGGGTGATATGTTGCTTTCCATGCGAACGGCAATCATTCTAATCGTGTCAAGAATAGCCATTTTTGTCTCAGTATTCTCGACCTCTTGTATCAATGTCATACACCTCCCTAAAATATCAGGAGCATATGGAAGAAATTTCTCACCATCAAAGCTGAAATCGTCAACAACAGCTTTGAATTGCCTAGCAGCAGTGATGCGGACGACATGATCGTTTGTCTCGTCCTCGGCCTTCAGAAGATGCTGGAAGATTTGGTAGACAAGTGGTCGGTTAGCGTCTGAAATCTTAATCGTAATCCATTGGCCGAGCAAAATGGCAATCCTTCGGCGCAGGACCTTGTATCCGGGTCCGGTCTGTTGTATATCGTTGACCAAGGTCGACGTCAAAAATGAGTCAAAGTCAAAACTTTGATGAACGACTGGAGCAGACAGTCCCATCGCGGTGTAGACTGCGTCCTTCGTGACTACCGTACTTTGACTCGTACCTGCAACAGATTGGAAGAATGATAGCAGAGGGTCCACCAGAAGGTGCTTGAAATTGATGACAAGATCCATGAAGAGCTTTTCAGAGCATGGCCGAACCTCGAACTCCCAGGTATCGCCGCCCCCCTCTTCTCTAATCTCCCACTCGTCCTCATCTTCTTCCCAGGCCTCCAGATCCACTTGACGAAAGACGAAGAACTTCGTGACTATGACACTTGCCATCTGACTAACCAATTGGTCAGTGAGTAAGCGAGATTTGATCAGTGCCACGCCTTCTTGCTGCTCTTGTTTAATCTCGGGAGTCCGGTACTTGAAAGATTGTGCGGGGCTGAAGACCATTTTGCAGCAAGCTCGGAGGATGTTCAGTCCCTTCAAGCAAAGTTTCTCCATGACAGGTCTCTGGTCCTTCGTTTGCTCATCTTTTCGCAACGCTTTAGCACTGAATTCTTGAGACTCCGATCCATAAGAGTCTCCAAATTTAGCCACAAGGCCCCAATATGCTTGAACCAACTCGATAGAGCTGGGTAAAAGAGCGAACGCAGCGGGATGTTGAGTAGACATCTGAGTATGCAGCTTTGAAAATTGTACTAGATGCTTCTCAACCAAGTCTTTAGCTGGGGACACGATGACTGGTGGATCTTGAGTCACCATGCCGAGAAATTGCCCAAACTGTATCTGAGAGTGCTCCCACAATTGCTGGACCTCAGTTGAATGATTAGGATATTCGTAACCAGATATAAGCAATCGTCTGAGGATCTTAATTGCATACAAGCTATTCTCCATAGCGTCCATAGCACCACCTTCGTCCTCGCCACTACCATTCAGAAAAGAAGTCCACATTGTAACCTTCTCTGTGTATATTTCACTCAATAAGAACACAATTTCTGGTGTCGCTGACTGAAGTCGAGTTTGGGAAGTTCGTAGCCGTGCTGTAGATAATTCCTTTACCACCTGGAGCAATATTAACAAGCCCCTCCGCAGATGTAATGGGCTCGATTGGCTTGCGTTCCGTAGGATTTTTATCAGGCTTGTGAGAACATCCGGCCAGTCCTGAGGGTAGTCGATTCGTACGACCTTTGCGACGACTAATGCATTCTGCAGAGCAAGGCTATTCTCCGCCTCTCCAATACCTCCCTCAAGTAGATTCGATCGTATCTGTGCCTTTTCTTCTGCTGAGACGGCATTTGTAGCCGTCTTTCGCCAGTACTTGTCTATACCGTTTTTAAGTTGAATGATCGCAAGGTATCGAATCTCCGAGGGAAGTGACTTGTCGAGATATACTGCCTACGATATGACTGTTAGCTGGGCATTAAAGTAAGGCGACAGAGAGAAGCTTGCCTGCAGTAGAGAATAGTAGCCTCGTTGTGTTTCCCAAGCCTGGAGCTGTTGGGTGCCAGTCTGAATGCTGAGCTGTTGTGAAGATCCTGCAGACTGAAGAGCCAGGTAGACTTGCTGCGGGGAAAGGGGCACAGCCTCCCCAGGCACTTCAATAGCAAATGCCATGGCTGAGGGTATTCCTAGATCTCAAGGTAGTGCGTTGTGTCTGGAAGGTGGTGGATGTTGGAGGGCAAAGCAAGGCTGTGGAAAATCGTCCCGCGTTTCGCTTGCTGGCGGGCGGGCCGCTCATGACGGCGCGATTCAACAGGGGTTGAAGAGGGGAGGGGAAGCGAATGCCAGCCACCTCGTCAAACCATCTCCAAACAAAACACCGGAAAAGAGCCACAGTAGAGTTAAGTTCAAGAAGATTTCAGAGGATGACTTACCCAGAAGTCACTAGATGCCTCCGTTTTGAGGGTCTACCAGGATCAGAGCCTGCTATTGTTGAAAAGAACGTCCTGCCACTTCCAGATAATGAGATCCTTGTCAAAGTTCATGCTGCTTCAATCAATCCATGCGATATTCAATTATGGAGATCCGGATTAGTAGCCGTAGTGGCAGGTGATAAGGGTATGGGGAAGGATTTTTCGGGAACTGTTGTAGCTGTAGGGGAGAAAGTAACAGGTTGGGCGGAGGGTGATGAGATATTCGGATTGCTGTTTCATATTGTAAGTTACAACTCAATATATCTTGAATGTCACTGATATAATTGAGTAGTTTGGTCAAGCTACGTTCAGCGAGTATATAAACGTCAATCCAGCCACTGATCCTGTGGCCAAGAAACCGAATTGTCTTACCCACGACCAAGCAGCAGCCATTCCCTTAGTTGCTCTGACAGCATACGCCTGTCTCGAATGGTTACCAGCTCCCTCGTCTTCTCAAAGAAAGGTTATAATTCGTGGCGCATCGGGTGGCACTGGCTCGTGGCTCGTTCAAAGTGAGTGCGTGCTCAATTCCTCCCAGAGAATCAACCCCTTTTTGTTCCTTGCCACAATTGGTTGACTTGTTGACTGACTAGCGTACAGTTGCTAAAATCGTTTACAATTGTCATGTCACCGCAATCTGTTCCGAGAAGAATACAACATACGTAAAATCCCTTGGTGCCGACTCAGCCTTTGATTACACAGCTGCAAACGTCCCTCAGACACTCATCTCAAGCCTCAAGGACGATGCCAAATACGACCTAATCGTAGATTGTGTCGGTGGCACCGAGCTCATACCCTTCTACGTACGTAATCAATCGCTCTTTACTCTCAAAAGCCAACCCATTCTCTAATTACTACTCTACAGCAACAACTCCTCCACTCTCGTGGGGCCTATCTCAGCATAGTTGGCGATAAAACCGACGTCCGCATAATGGGCGGTCCAATAACCTACTTCACCAATCCCGCTCAAGTTATACGATATATCAAAGGCTATATGTGGGGTCCGAGATACGCCTGCGTATCTTTCGTCGAGAAAAGCGAGTATCTACAGCAAATCGCTAGTCTTGCCGAGCGAGGCGAGCTAGCCGATGTTGAGATCGAGGTGCTGGAGGGTATCTTTGATGAGAGGGAAGCTTGGAGAAAGGCTATCGATGCTATGCACAGTATGCGGGTCAGAGGGAAGGTCGTGCTTGCTATCCCGTAATTGTACGGTGTTGATTGGTGTTACTGTCTGGGTGAATGGAGTTGTGACGCTTGGCTCGGTTATCATCAGTCATCCCAAGATGTTTCCATATGCAGCCGGAGTTTGATACATGATTGTTGGCTTGTTTGGGTCTAAGGGTTATGGTGTGCTGTCAAATCCCGGGACTGGAGGTGCTTGCAGAGGCGACTTCTACACTATGTCAGCTTTCAAGCTCACTTTAATCATGCTCATGACCAGATTACTCCATAATGTTTAATTTCCAAATACCCACATATTCATCCAAGGAGATACATTTACCTGAACTCTAATCACCACCAAGAGCATTCATTCGTAATAAATCTCCCTTCCGAAGCATCCCAACCCCTCTCCCCCATTTCTCCCAACACAGCAGACGCACCCTGGTCATTTCCCTAATCGGTTCACAATCACTCCTCCACCACTATTGCCGTCCACCTGCTATATCCACTCCAGCGTATTGAATGTAACACAAGCGGTCCAAGAGCCTCATTTCGACCGCGGGTACTGGCTTCGGGTATGTAGTGGTTCGGAGCTGACATCTCGTCGTTCCTTAGAACCAATCAGGAGAGAGGCATCGTGTCTCTAGACTCGGCGTTAGTGTGCGGCAGACATGGTGGAGTGGACGGGGAGGATGATGCTGAGTGGGAAGAATTTGTTGGTCGTCAGTGATTGAATCTGGCCTGCGTGATATGTACTTATATATGTGGTTTCCCTTGGATCGGGGACGATTCATCTAGGTCAAGCTTGGTACGTATGTTTACTCAAATTTTCGGGTTCTTGCGATTGTTTTTCAATTTTGTTTCCTTCATTGATCGAACACAGTTCTGTCTTCCTTCAAGTCTATCCGGCTTCTATATACTGCCAAAGCGACAACATGGACATCGAGGAGGAGCCCGCCATCTTTCGCCCAGCTTTTATCCGACCCATTTCCATCCCATTCGTTTATTGTGGAATCAATCGACCCCTTGAATTGGGACTTTTGCCGTTTCTAATCAAACATCTCTTTCATCAAACACTGAACGTCAGGGACCAAAGGGCAGTACCGCCAAACCTCAAGTTAGAATACCATTTATATCCTGCTGTCTCCCTGAGAATGCATTCCATGTCCCGAAATAATCAATTTCGCTCAACTCCTGCCATCCGACATCCATCGGTGTATGGTTCATCATGTTCATCGATGAGGACGAAGGCAGCGCACTTCCATAACCGAAACTAGGAGTATTATTCCTCGTGCTCTGCATGACCGCCGTTCCAGGCTTAGGCATAGCAAACACGTTCCTGGCAATCAACTTCGTCTCCTTTTCGCTCTTGCGAGCCATGGCCCAGACCTCGCCCATAGTCTTCAGACTCCCAAGACCGAGACGTATCCTGTCGCGTGTACGGTACCATTCTGGGCCTGTGAGGATGTACGCGCAGGCGCTGAGATTGGCAAGGGTTGAGAATGTGAGGCCACAGATTCCGAGTGGCGAGTGCGAAAAAATGGAGCATGGGAGGGCGTATAGATTAATGGCTGCTTCAGCTCCTTCGAGGGTCTTCTTCGTGTGCAGCCAGAACGTTCTGTCTTCCTCACCAGTTGACTGAAGTGGATGTGATGGACGAGCACAGGAAGAAATCTCCTCCAGGGGGCAGTGGGTGAGACGCGACAAGGGTCGATGGATGAAAACAAGAAGTCTGGAGATCGTCAGCTTGGAAATGAAAAGGGGGACGGAGGAGAACGTACACTTGGAGCTGGTGTTGGGCGAAGAAGAGAATCTCGTCGAGCTCTTCATTCTTGTCAACGACACCTTGTTTTTCTCGGGGTAGGTGCAACTTCCAGTTGACTAACATGGCGTCTGCATTATTAACTGCAAGTTCTACATCGCCTGGGGGTAGCCTGTCGAAGCCGAGAAGAGAGCCAGAAATTCGAGTCAGGTCTATCAAGTAGGTGAACGACGAGAAGACCGGCTCGTCCTCTAAAAAGTCCCGATTCTCATATTCTTCCAAGGTCCTGGAGCGGGGAATGATCTGGGATGGGTCAGTCTCGAAGCCGAGAGCGATGTCAGTGAAAGAATATACCCCATCATAATCGCACTCCTCGCAAGGGAGCTCGACATTAGACTCGACCGTGTACAACCTGTCAATCGTCAGCGAAGCTCAGAGTTCAAGAAGTAGGATCCGACTGACATGAAGTGTGTAGCGTTCCTGAAAGCCGCAAATTTCGCATCGGTCACGTACATGAACCAGTACGTGCGTCTCCAAGACTCGGCCAATACTGGATCTCTTTCCATGTTCGCGAAGGTTCGAGAATTCATTCGTATCTCAAGCGCGAGATATATGGCTCTGTCTAAGATCACCCGAGACTTGATCATATCATCCTGGGAATGCAGAGCAATAGCAGCCAACAGCAACGCCTGAACGGTGAAGCCGTTCGGTGGCAAATTTGCCATCTCAATCTGATTCATGGAAATTTCCTGTAATTCGGCCGAAGGCATGTCGGATGAATACATCGATCCAATCCATTTCATTACGGGATATAAGAATTTCAATGACTCAGGGTCGGATTGGAGCCGGTTATGGAAGTAGTATCGTGGCAAGAGGAACGGGTGCGCCTTGTGGAATGAGCTGCACAGAGTCAGCTTCAGACCATGAAATTTAGTTTTCGAGAGAGCAATACCTGTAGTAAAAATCCAGCAAGCGCTGGGGAGTTGCTACCTTGCTACTCAGTCTCGAGGACGAGCTCTCAGGGCTGGCAGAACCATCAGACGATGGCGCGGTGTAAGAGTCGTTTGATGAGTTCGCTCTCAGATATGAAAGAGAGTTGACACTTTGCCCACTCGAACTGGCTGGGACTGGGCTCACTTTTTCAGCTTCTCGCATCGAAGCCCTCTTTTTGGGTGCATTTCTGTCTCTCATCCCCCGTCTCGACTTGGCATAAAAGCAAGGCTTGTCATCTTGAAGACAGCGACTGCAGTTTGGCATTTCCGCTCCACATTTGACGTGTCTGCTTCGACACTAGAAAATGTCAGCTCAAGTTTGTAAGATCAAAGTTGTCTTTGGACATACTGGCACACATGCTAGCGAAACTCTTATACCTCCTCGTGCTGGGGGTTCTTGACTCCTTCTTCCGGAAGATGTCTGCAACGTCTCCATCGGGTCCTGTGGTGGTGATCCAATTCCAAAGTCAAAAAATACTGATAGTGGATCCTCGGTATCATTCAAAATAGGGCCTCCTGAACCAATGATTCCTGAAGGGGCATTCATCTTGGCGAAGAGTGGTATCCGTGTTGATAGAAACACTTTGAGTGGCCTCACTCGGCGGACTCTTTACTCGGACGAATGAGGTTTGTTCAGAGAAAACTTTTGACGACAAAGTAGATGATTTATAGGAAGAGGAACTGCTTGGCAACCGAAACATGTGGTGAGAGATGAGCCATGGAGATATACCACTGCTGCATAGAGCTACGGAGAAGGTGGGTCGCTGTCCTCCCCATCATCCACTCAGGAACCCTGCTCCTGCTTGCGGTCAGCACAGCATTCTGTCAGCACAAGGGCTTGAGGTCGAGACCAGCGCTGAATTTCAGAAATAACCTTCTTAGAGCCTACCCGACTGGAATTAACGACCCGTTTTCCCAAGAATCCAAACAGGCCCGAGTCCTTTTGTACCCTTGGCATTTTCAGCCTTAAATCGGCATCGATTAACGCTTGTCCTCTTACACAAACCCTGCAGTATTCCTCAAGAAGCCTTGCATGTTCGGAAAACGAGTATGAGGTATTTGAAGCAACAAGTTTTGCAGACCAAATGCATTTCGGTCACACCGACGTTCGGGTTCGGTTCTTGACTTTGGCAGGATGAAACACCTGCCGAAGATATTCGTCCGACGCCCAGATTTTTTCCAGACTGAACAGTTGACGATGTTTTTCAGAGTTCGTGCGGCGACATTCTAACATCGAGGCAATGACTTCGTCAAATCCCGAAGAGCGGGATCTCGCATGATCAGATGTGGATTGGTGAGGCGGAAGCCATGCCATGTGGGTGACGATCAAGCGAATCCCTGCAATCCCCCATATGAGAGGGGCATTGTAAACCGGGGACTGCCTTGATCGGCTGGAAGCAGTCTTCCAACCACTCTGTAAACACGGTCTAAAATCTTTCAAGTGTGCCCATGCAGCATCTCCGCGGAAGGAGAGTGATAGCAGTGCCGTGAACTCAATCTTTAATTGAACTACCTGCATCTGTGCCGGAATATCCGCAGTTGGGTTCAACGTCGTTGCAATAGCCATATCCTAGTAACACCGTCGTGACTTCATAGTGCAAGCTGAATGCCCGAATTGGTTCATCAAATGAAGACTAATAACGCAACATATTCCATGATGACTTCCGTACGGCCGCGTCAACCAACGCGGTACAGCGCTGCCGACTGAATAAAACTAACTCACTCACTGACGATAACAGCACTAACATACTGGCACACTCAAAGCATTTGACAGGCTTCGGCTCAGCCTCATCTAGCCGCCAGCAATAGACAGTCTCATAGCTAGCGAAAGAGCCGAGTGACACGCTGATCTAAGAGATGAGTACTGGGTCTTCTACGGGCTGATAAGCGCGTCAATAACTTCCCGTGGGCTGGCATACGAACGGTCTATCCAAAATAGGAAAGAAGACCCGGAGGGTTTTTGGGGGTATAGGGTTAGAAATTAGGAGTCGGTCCACCTTTCGCGCTGATGGAAATCGTAGAAACAAGTGCGTAGCATGTATGGGAAAACACTCCATCCAAATTCCAAAGATTATTTCTTTGCCGTCGCTGTTTGATGCATGAGTAAGCATTCGCACCAGACACATTTTAGGATCTTGAAATGATATCAAATTGCGTGGCATGGATGCCACGTTGCCAGAATATGATGTATTTCCAAGCCACAGGTTCCAAATACTAGGAATAAGCGTTGTTGATTCAGATGTCGAATATTCCTTGGCATATCCCGACAACTTGGGGTGTCAAAAAAGACTTCTAACCATTTTGGCTCTCAAGGCAGCAAGATTTCGATCTGACAACATGGCAATTGAGGTCGGCAGATATAAGGAGGCGGTCAGGCCGAACGTAGGCAGTGCTGGTTTGGTAGGGACGAAGTGGTTGCTGCTTAACAAATCCACACAGAATACGAAAACCTGCAAGGATCCACACCGCATCAACAAAGGAGCGAACAGAATCGAGAAGGTAATCCGCCCATTTCGACGTCACTGTCTCTTACCAGTCTCAAAGGTGCATCGAATCAGAACATGCTCATCTGCGTATTCTGCGTATAACACAAATAGCTCAGGACCTGCTGCCGTTCTGGGAAGCATGGCATGACAATCCTTGTATTTAAAGGTAGAGTGAAGTACACCTAGCGAATGAGAAGGGTGCTGGCAGCGGCCGACAGCTCACGGACTTTCTAAAGAGAACTACTCATGTCTGCAAGCTTAATCAGCGCCATCAGGTGCGCACGGAGTAGCATCCTGCTTAAGAAGCGCCCTAATTATCGCCGTCGGCGATGGTGATTAGTGATAGATGGGTATTGCAGGACATGAATGGAGATCGCAAGCAAAAGCAGTGCTGTGAATTGTCAAAATGAATTCTGGAATGAGAGATATGGGGTTGAAAAGGTATGAAGTGGGATGGCAGAGCGAAGCCCCAGCGTTAAGTATTGGCAGAGGGTAATAACCAAGGCATTTAGGCTTCGGCTTCAGTGGTTTCAGCGCGGTCACGTGTACGAGTCAACCCTGGCAGCAGGTAGGTAGAGGGGTAGCGACGATAGCTGAAGCTACGGCATGTATTTAGCATCCTCCAACATCTTCTATGCCCTTCTCAGAAGCGGATATAGCGGCATCAAAGTCCGCTTCCGCTTTACTCGAGGTAGGTACGCATAAGATACTTTGCAGCGACAAAAGACGAGGATGCGTAAGTCCGCTCTAAAACCGCTCTGTTTACGTCCCTCGCTTGGCATGGCATCGAGAAAGCGCATCCTCAGGTATCGAAAAACACAACGAGCAACAGAGATGATTTGACATATGCCATAGCTCTGTTATCTTCTCATGTTTTCTCCTTACGACGATGCCGATAACAGTCCGCAGGAAAAATGGGCATCCTCAAATATCAGATCACGATGCATTCTGATCACATGATCCCATGCCCCTTTTCTTCCAGTTTTTCGGGTCGCTAAGAAACATCCGCGAGCAGTGCATTTCTTAATCTCAAAATCTCTATTCAGGTATCGAAGAGGTATATGAAACACTTATCAAGGCGCTCTTCGTCAATTGATAAATGATCACTTCTTATTCCCTCTCGTCCAAGTTTCTCCCCACTATCCGCAAGGAATCAAATTAATCAATGGAAGCTAGGCAGTTCATTTCGTCAGGTCACGATGCCACGGTGCTTCTCTCGGACTGATTGTAGTGGAGAGAAATCCACCCCCAGGTCCTCCATGATATCCACCTCCATCATCGACCTTCCCCATCCGCACCTCATCCGCTGGACCGCTCGAAAGTCTGTAACTCGATCAATCGCCCGTAGTAAGTCATCATGACCAGCAATCCTTGCGTTGCCTTGCCTCTGACGCCCAGAATGCAGACTGCAGACCTTAAGACTTAATACATCCCACACGCGCTCCTACGAGAGATCCACGCGTATTCGCTTCTCGCCGAGATGTGCCGAGGTCCTCGAGAGAGGACAAGAAATGCGGCTAACAAGATACCAACGCTAAGCTTTGGGGCGCCGGGACCTTGGAAAAGGCTTGCAGCCAACCTGACAGCTTGATCGATCTTGTCGATCCTATCTACGCGGGCCTCTCAGAAGCCCTCAAAGGATTTCCATATACGCCTCGTCCTGGAAAGCCTTACCAACACGCTGGTCGAGCTCTGCTAAGAATCTCATCGTTGATTGACGCTCATCACAGAATGCTTCGATTCCTCAATGAACTGCTCTGATCATCCACTCTTTACCACCAAAGTTTTCAACTGGAAAGCTTGATTACCCCACCAGAAATCAAATTGTTGATTGCCTTGATCAGGTACTAGTAGTTTCAAGTTTCGTCATAAGTCGAGCCTCGACCAACTCTGGAATAGTCCGCCATGTGGTTTCCCTACTTAGATTGATCTAGGTAATCTAACAATGCAATTCGGTCGGATCTTACCTAGATCAGCGGAAGCTATCTCGACTGACCTTGACCATCAAGCTATGCGCACCAGTTAAAATGCGTGCTCATCAACTCTGTTAAGAGCCTCATGCGGACATCTGAGCTTTGGTTCCACAATGATTCCATCAACCCTAAAAGTGTCAGGTCTCCGTGATGGGGACCCCCGCAGGTGCTTCCCCATGTCCCGTATATCCCCAGCTTGAGGTTAGCAGTAAGTGACCTGCATAGCTCCGGGGATACTGTGGACCACGAGAAAAGATATAAAAGGGAGGTAAGCTTCCTTGCGTTTGCTTTTCCAGTCTTGTTTTCTTCATCCTTCTTTCATTTTTCACTTCACTGTATTCCAGGCAAGTGTAGAATAGTTGGCCAAGATGAGCGACCCTATCGTCGATTCCAAGGGGGGGGACTTCCCAGACGCCGAGGTCGAAAAGGCATACTCTCAGCATGAACATGCTTCCGATCTCGATGAGATGGCGAAGGTCTCCGACTTCAAGGCCGACGCCATCGAGGCTGAGAACACGGAGCATAATATGGGTGTGTTGGAGGCAGTGAAAGCATATCCCATGGCTTCCCTTTGGGCTTTTATCATGTCCTGTACCATTGTAAGTTGCCTTCTGCTTTATTGAGTGTCTAGGGAGTGAACGCGGCTAACCTCTTTGGCCTCAGATTATGGAATCATACGATGTCTTCCTCATGAACAATTTCATGGCCCTCCCCAGGTTCAAGGAAGATTTCGGCATACGACATGGTGATGGATGGGTGATTGAGACAAAGTGGCAGTCTGCACTTCAGATTTCTGGACAGGTTAGCATACTCTCTTTCTCTCATAACCTAGGATGCTAGTCAACAAGAGGGTCGACTTGTGGTCAGGAGCTCAGCACTATCTGCTTGACATTGAAACCTGAACAAAGCTAACTTGTAAAACAGCTGGGTGCCTTGATCGGTGTCTTCCTCGCCGGACCTCTAACCAGTAGAATCGGCTACCGCTACGCCACCTTGACCGGCCTCATGGCTTTGAACGCCTTCATTTTCGTGTTCTACTTCGCCAACTCACTTCCCGTCATGTTCGTGGCTCAAATTCTCGAGGGCATCCCATGGGGTATCTTCATCGCAAACGCACCCGCGTACTGCTCTGAGATTGTGCCTTTGAGACTCCGTGCTCCAGCTACTCAAATGCTTCAGATGTTCTGGGCTATTGGAAGTATCATTGTTGGTGGCGTTACCTACCATTACAATGGCACCAATCATGAAGATGCTTACAGGTATGTACTCATACATGTGCCAAGGCTTCGTCTGCTAACAAAATGACTAGAATCCCGATTGCCCTGCAATGGCTCTTCCCAACTCCACTCGCCATCCTCATTTGGTGCGCCCCAGAGTCACCCTGGTGGTTGGTTCGTAAGGGTCGTCTTGAAGAAGCTGCTCATTCAATTGGACGTCTGGGACGCAGATCAAGATTGAAGCCAAAAGAAATTGTTGCTATGATGCGTCGTGTCATCGATCAAGAGTTGTCCCAGAAAGAGCCTAACCACCTTGAGTTGTTCAAGGGCGTTGATCTTTACCGTACTCTGATCGTATGTGGTGTATACGCTGCGCAAAATCTTACTGGTAACCTCATTGCCAATCAAGCCGTGTACTTCTTCGAGCGTGAGTAGCCGTCCTGCCAACTAAGCAACCATACTAATCGTGATACAGAGGCTGGAGTATCAACTAACACCGCGTTCGCATTGGGTCTCATTACATCCGCCCTGCAGATGATCTTCGTCATGCTCTCCTGGATTCTCACCACCTACGCCGGCAGACGTACCATCTACCTCTGGGGCTCCGCAGTTAACACCATTCTTTTGGTAGCCCTTGGTATCGCAGCTTGCTTCGGCATGTCAGATGCTGCTGCCCTTGCGCAAGCATCACTTGGTCTCATTGTCTCCGTTCTATTCACTCTGGGCTCCGCGCCAGCCTCATGGGTTATCATCGGAGAGACGTCCGCAATCCGACTCAGACCTCTTACAACAGGTATGGGCCGAGCCTTATACTATATCGTTGAGATCCCTTGTATCTTCTTGGGAAGTTGGATGTTGAACCCGACGGTATGAGTTCTCCTCCCAAGTCAACAAAATATGTAACATGTGCTAACATGAATACAGGGTGGCAACCTCGGAGGCAAATGTGGCTTCGTCTGGGGCGGAACAGGTCTCTTCTGTTTGATCGTTGCGTACTTCTTTCTGCCAGAGATGAAGAACCGCTCATACCGTGAAATCGACATCTTGTTCAAGCGACGCGTGTCTGCACGCAAGTGGTCCAAGACTGAGGTCGATATCAACTCGGATGAGTAGATGGCTCTACCAGATATATGTTGAGTTAGAGTGGCCTTGAGATACGGATAGCGCTTACATGCTGCTGGCAGCGTTCCTGTTGGTTGTAATCATGAATGGTACAACTTTTGTGAGAAGATTGAAAACTCCCAAAAGAAGATGCCGTTTGAAGGCCAGCGACGATACCCATATAGCAACATAGCTACTCGTGTATGCATTTTCAGTATTTCCAAAGTTCTTAAAACGGTCTACTGTTTACGTTACTATGCCATCTCGTTGAAAGAGCTGGAGCAGAGAGCAGTTATTATTCTGATCCTCAGTCTATACTAGCAGTCAGTTACAGCCATCCATCGTCAGCAAACAATAGTTACAACACAGTACACCACCCTCCCCAAAATCCAGACTTTACAGCTTGATCTAGTTTCTAGATTACCCTGAAAAGCTGCCATCTAGGGTAGACCTCCCAACCCTAGCAGACACGCAAATCGAACACCTCAACCACGAACACACCGCTCGGCACCTCTACAGAAGCGAATGCAGGAACCGCTTGATCCGGCATTTACATCCCGTAGGCAGAGAAAAGGGTATGATTTAGACCCATGATTCGCTGGATGATATCGCTTCGCTCGGTGCTTCTATGGGGAAATAAGGGGAAGGAACTTTCAAGAGCGGTGAGAAAGGCGTAATTGGACAAGTGAGGTCTAGATGGAGGTGTATCTATCCATGTGCGGGGTATGGTGCAGTGAGACTGGGGAGGGAGTTGGTGCGCGGATGGCGGCTAATTGTCTAGAGTGCGGGAAGAAAACCTACTTTATATTGCAGTTGAGAAGATCTAGACTCTTTATTGAGAACTAATATGCTCATATTTAGAAAAACTTGGAGCTTCTCTAGTGAGTAGCTCCATCCCTCGATTAGGAAAGGTGTTATTTCCAGTAGATGAGCTTCGCGGTGCTCGACGCTCCGGACTCAAAAAGCCACATGCGGTGGCATGGCTGTCTGGATCGAATCATTAGGATGGCAAGGAATGCCTTCGCCTATGCGATAAGAGTTCCAACATGATTCCGCGCGTTTATTGCATACTCAGCACGTCTCATGACATCCTCCTTCCTTCAACCTTTCCAGTCGACCCACTCACACGGAACGGACCGACAAATGGAAGTCTACAGCGACTAAGCGAAGCGAGGGGTTCGAAAAAGGAGTAGAAATAGCACATTGAAAAGGGATTCGAACTGCGCAGTAAGGGAGAGAAGGGCAATGGCTACCTCTCGATTGTATTTTTGGTAACCAGCTATCGAATCAGAACGTTTGATTGGTTTTGCAACAGGATAAATCCACAACCCCCAAGTCCCAATCTCCACTTCCTCCAATCAACAAACCTAGGAAACGTCAGCTTCGCTAAAAATAACCTTAAATTTTGCCGTACAGGTGACAGATGCTTGGCTCCTCCCTTGCAGTTTCACTTACACCTTGCTGATAGGCCCAAGGAATTCAACGTCCCTGTCTTGTCAACTTCCATCCAGTTCATTCCTGAATGGCCACTTTGCAGCTCCAAATATCGGGCTGTGCCTCCTGCACAGGTTTGCCGAGTCCCGAGCCGAAGTCAACATGGCAGTTCCACCTCAGAGTCAAGTTCAATACACAAGTCTAAATTAATAGATTCTCAAATCTATAACTTTTTCCTCAAATCTATTACATTTCTCTCACCTCTATTACATTTCTCTTGGATCACGCCTTGGGTACCGTCTCATCCTAGGCGGAACTAGCCACTTCGGCTACTACCGCCCATCAATGCCGTAGGCCACCATATCGAAAGGTTCATCGAAGTATCATCACCACGTTTAAAGGAGTTGATTACTGTGATGAAGATGAATTATAACCACCTCCATAGCTTTGAAGTTGAGACTTCCGGTGGTTCGTAAATGGTAGAGACATTTGTGCATGCGACGGTTTGGGGCAATATCTGAGCTCTTCCGCGTGTTTAAACCAGGTGGGAAGGTAGAAATGCACCATCATGATCACAGTAGTTCAGATACCTTGACAAAACATCGAAGAATGTATGTTGATTAGATCAATAAACGTGCTATACCGTCGAACGCAGTTTTGCCAGGGATGCTGCCTCGCATGTAGAAGGATACGTAAATTTGAGCATGTGGTTTTGAGAGTTAAAAGTGAGTAATTTGAGCCGATTATGAGGATAATTTTATGCTTGAGTTGGCGCTGGCTTGTGAGAGTTTTTGGTTTGGATATTGGGGTGGGGGGTTTTTGAACATGATTGCGGGGTGAGAAGGTTATCTGGGTGGAGGTATGGGAGACTTATCACTGTATCAGTGGAGAAGTCGTTAATCAAGTACCTTGAATTGAGTGTCGGTTTGAAAGAATAAATCATCTTAGTAGAGGATGGTGCAAGAGAGCACAGTTTTCCGAGAGTACCATTTTCGTGTTTCGTTTCCCATGTATCATCATTCTGATTACTCGCAATGTAAAGTTTCTTTGATAGCTTATGTACTCACGTAATCTTTGAAAATGTATATTGAGGTACATGTCATTGACGCAAAAGAACTGCTGTTGTGTGTTGGAATTGCAGCTATGGCTTTTTCACGTGTTCAACGAACTAGGCACATGCCAGCTCCTCTCTGTGGAAGCTAGCCAATAGGAAATGCAAAACTGCTCCAGAGAAAAGCACATCTCGAATGGTGACCCTATAACTACCACCCTAGTAGTCGGCCTGTTCAGGAATATCACTTTGCGGTGATCCACCCGAAAGCGCTTGCACATCACATGAGCTGCAGCGGTTATTGCCAGCCGCCAGCCGTAGACGCAGAGCGCTGCATCCAAGCACTTGGTAGCTGTCAAGGATTCTAAATGCAAATCACCTAATTCGGCCATTATCAGGGTATGTTTCGGAGTTGCGTTCGTTTTCGGCATCATCAACCTGATGTTTTGATTTCGGCTCCAACTTCGCTAAAAGGCTATCATCACTTGAGTACACGGCAGAATACCTTCGAAGATTTCGGCCTTTCTCCATTAATGATGATAGTTCAGCTGCAAAGATACATTCAAAACCTCAGAGAGAAGATGACTTTTCAGCTCAGTGAATATATTCCTCGAATTAGCTCGTGTCTTCAACCCTCCATGAGGTCACCTGACCCTTGACAGAAGTCAACAATAGCCTAAATACCAAAGCGCAAGGACTTTGACTTCACTTGGGGCAGTGCAGTTCACTATTGTGAGCTCTTCAATACTACAGGTTACCATATTTTGGTCTATTTCTATTTGTAGTGACGAATGTGAATAATGTTTACCAACTGCATAGGAGCACAACGTCCCAAACTTCGAACACCCGAAACTAGCACATCCTTGTCTTTCCACCTCTGCATGCTTTTGGTAGGCCGAACCAAACCTCTGTCCTTTTCAAGCTCAAAAACCAGTCACACTATGTCATTTTCATGAACAATTACAAAAGCCCAGCCGCATTGCTGCCTACTTTGAACAGGGCCTCATAGCATGTGTAGGAGCTGCGTAGGAGTCATAATCTCACCGAAATTCCATGGCAAGGCAGATTTACTGATCAGCGACCGCAAAGGAGACCTTTTTATTCTTCAGCTTTTGATTTTCCCCTGCAAAAGTGGCCTCTGACTTGGTCGCAGAAGTGGCCGCTTTTTGGGTCGCGTCCTCACCCCGCTTAAATTCGGCTATGCCGCTAGCTCCATGAGCTGGAAATAGGGGAGACGTTGGAAGCCTGCTTGGGACTTGGCCGTTGATAAACTTTGGTATAGTCTTGGAGGATTCGGGGCTGGCAAGGATAGGGCTGTTTGAGACGTGGTAGGAGTGATGTTTCCCATTGGAGGTTGATTGAAGAACGGACTGGTAGGACTTTTTTCGAACTTGATCATCCCACCCTCAGTTTGGCTTGACTGGAGTTGATGTTCACAGGGCAAGAGGTGCCTATAGATTTGAGTTTGATAATTGATATATAGTGAATGAAGTCATGAGATTATATTAGTGAATGGGGATAGTTGTGGATACACCTCTAAGCATATACAAAAGTCATATAAGAGTGCCACCTCCCAGGACAAACCGGTCCCTGCATTTCCTTCTGGAGGGCTGTAAGATGGCAAAAGATAGCTCAACTAGCACAGTATTTCAATCACAGCAACTAAATAACGGAAACTAGTAGACAACGATTGCTGATGCCAATGAGAGGCTAAAATTGAGTCGCATCCCACTTCACACTGAAGTCAAAGAATCTTGAATTGCAGTCCCAAATTTATGGGAAAGGTAGAGCCGAGTCTTGAAGACTTGATTATCCATTGGTTGATATGTCTCAAATGAGATCTTCAAATTGTATCCATGCTCCGCCATCCCGGGAAGTAGAGCTGGCTCCCAGTGACCAAATCCCTGGCCACCGCGAAGCTAGCTGGACACCAGGTCTTGTAGAGACACAACCCAGCTCGAAGTCATACTTCATGACTCGAAGCTACCTTTCGGGCTCTCTGGCGTTCGTCGCTTTGATGTGCATCTTCTTCCAATCTAATGTCCCAGCGATGCCTTGAGGAGACTAACCCCGCGGCGTCAAAGACAATAGCCACGTCCCGTCGCCAGCAAAAGTATGATGTAGTCGCCTTGGATATGACCCACAGTATTCTGACAGTTTGGTATAGAGTCATTGAAAGTGCGAGAGGCAGCAGCAGGCTATGCTCCCTGTCGCTTCAAAGTCTTCAAAGCTGTCCGAAGAGCCCAGGGGAATTGATTGAGGTGCTCTTGTGTAGAATGGATATCCGCAGAAGAAGAAAGAATAGGAAGGTATTGAGACACGCTCAAAGGTGGGCTCTCGTATTGGTGGAGGATAAGAATTCGATTGCTTCGGGCAAGTGGATTCGAGCGGAGATGATCGTGGTAGTTCTGCGACTTTCGCACATCCTGGTCTGCAAGTCAGTCCCAGTAATATACGGAAGAAGATGGACTACCTGGAGATGGAATTTGACCCAGTAGAACCAGTCCTTGAGGAGGCTTTGCGACCTGTAGCAACGACGTTGGCGATGGTGTCGCCGGAACGGTCGCAGAAAGATGATTTCGAAGGCAAAACGCACTGTCAGGACTTCAACATATTGTCGCTTTGGTACCATCTATGGAGGTTTAATTCAAGTAAAGATCAATATTATAGTCCAAAGATGTGTCTTCCACGAGGATGCCTTGTGTTGGAGAAATCCTCCAACTTTGTCAGCTTTTGTTGGACCGAATAATCGGGAATTGGCTCTGTCCAAGACAGGAACAGAGAAGCGAGAATCAATTAAATCGCTCTGAAAGCGCAGCACGAACATCCCGAATTAGCATAAACAACTATGTTTCTTAATTCGTATGTTACGAAGTGTCAGTTCCCCTTGATTGCGACTGCTCAGCAAAATCATGATGGTCCGTGAGCATTGTTTACTTTCGCATCGCCTACAGGCTTCCCGATAGCAAAAAGGAACAGCGTCAGTGCAATGACCACAACGTTCCAATTTTCACGTTTAATTGTTTCGAGTACAGTATTAAAGTGATACAAATTAAAACGCCAAGTACTGCGAAAGGGAGTCGCCAACATTCCCCACTATCGGTCGCAGAAGCCAGAGCCGTTGTCATGTACGAAATCCAACATCTCGTTGGGCAGCAACCTGCCGACTCTCTCCACGATCCGATAGCTCACCGTTTCACAACAACTGCAAAGAATTCAGGTCCCAGATATCAACATCGTCGTTGGTATCGGCGATCTCATCTCATCTCTTGCAAACTCCAACGAACGTGGCCGTTTGCCCTCATGGTTGTATCGTTAAGATCTCCATCGTGTAGGCTGCAATCCCCATGTTTCCAATTTCTCTACAAGGATTGTATCACTAAACGCAGTCTCATACAAAACATCGTACGCATGACAGCCATCACTGACATTCATCTTTCTTTTCCTATCACAAGCTGCAAGACGATGTGACAAGATTCGACAGCTATCTAAACACCTGCCTCTTCTATCGACATATCCAATTTCTATATCTCTCCCCCCACATCACTATCACCAGACCTTACGTCCTCTTGCCCCAGAATTTGCTTCTTTACCCTGCAAGAACGGAAAGAAGCTCCGAAGCTGGCGTGCCCGCTCACAGCAGGCCGCATCCGCCACCCTCAAATCACTTCTTCACGATCGCTGGGTAGCTGCATTGGTGCATTCCTCGCACCAGCCCAATTCAAAGCACACATTCTGAATTCAGTTTCCATCACCAGAAGCAAGCAAGTATTGGACTGGAAGGAAAGATGGAAACCCCCCACCCCTGCGTGATGCTGGGGAAGCAGCAGCGAAGCGGAACACAAAGTCGACGTCCCCCACCACATGCCCTCAACTTGGATTCCCTCAAGCCACTCAGACTAAGATCAGGCCACCGATCGCATCTGTACGACACCCAAAATCGAGCCGTGCGGGCAGTGGGCATACTGACCGATACCACCTCTCCCAGACGAGGACGGTCTGGATCTGGCGTGGTATCGAGTTCACAACACGATGTGCAATGCCGGAGCTTTCCCCCTCTCCTCTTTGGCTTGTCACAGTCCTGTAATATTAACTTTTACATGGGATCTTGATATGGCTGAGGGATGTCGAAGGCGTTCACAAGGTCAAGTGGTGGTTGTTGATCGGCATGGCTCCCGAATGGACGGCGAATATACCAGAATTTAGAAGACTAGCTAGCGCAAAAGAGTCAGTCACTAAAAAATCTTTCCACAGATGACTTCAGCAACTATGGAAAAGCGGAGAGTTCAAGTGAGTAAGTGAGTGGTGCTTCGGCAAGAGGGAATGGTCAGTGACTTCGAAAACTTAAGAGCAGAACAGCCGTCGGCAATTTAGGCTTCTAGAAACAGCAAGACGACGTTGAGAGTACTCAATGGGCACTCAGATTTAAGCCTATTTGCAAGCTTAAAAAGGGTTGAAGTGGCAGACAGTAGGCTGTACACCTTGTCAGGGTTCAAGAAGTCTGGCAGTCTAAAAATGAATTGCTTTGGAGTGAATGAAGGATCGCTGCGATGTAACACAGTGTTCACCAGAAGAGGTGATTCTGACGTTCAGAAGTCTCTAGGGCTATGTTGATAGGTTTCGGTTCCCCATCCGTACCTTTTCCCTCATGCGAAACACCCTTGCGTGCAGTCAGTCGAGAAGGCAGGAAGGCAGGAAGGCAGATGAACGCCTGCCAACCAGCCATCTAATATCTTCCCGCAGGAGTGACAGCAGGACGCAGGACAAGAAAAGCGGCAGCGAGGACGCAAAGCAGCTAAACCAAGATTTCTAACCAGGCACATGGGATCCAACAGTGGCTTGTGCCGTTTCGTGCGTGCTTTCGATTTGCAGACATTCGAATGCCGAAACGCAACGTATGATAGACGGACGGATTGGTTCTTGGACGGGATAAGTCGATCGGTTTTCGGTCTGTACACCCTGTTCCTTTGTAGGTTCTGTGCCGTACAGATAGATTGAAGCACCGATGAAGGTTCACGCCAAAGCAGATCTACTCTGTACAATTTCCCCAGCATGCTTCGCACAGTGACAAATATGGCGGGTAGGATGAGATATTAGGCGAATGAAGGAAATGTTTCCATGAAGATTTCTCGTCTACTGATTCTTCATCAGGCTCTACCGGAGCACGATGCCGAAAGACGGCTCGAAAGATACAGCTCGGTCTGGCTCTGGCGTTCGTTGCACGGTTGCAGCGACGGCACAAGGGTGACTGACTAGCAATGATGAACGCAGGGGTGCCGTGTCGTCGAAAAAAGATGATGCTTGTCGGTTTCTACTTTCTGTTCTGCGCCTGCATTCCTTTCTGCTTCCTCCACCAGAACCCCGTCATAATCTTCCATCCCTTGCTATGCCATGCTTGCCATGCTCAGTGACACATTTCTACGCACGTATTCGTGCTTGGCGCAACGCAGCAGAGCAGAGAAGAGCGCAGAAGAAGGAAATCCATGCATCCCTATCACCCATGTCGGCATGACCCGAAAAGAAAGATGTATTGGCCGACCTTTGATATAGTCTTCACTATGATATATCCAGTGTTGGTTCGTGATTGGTTGAGAAACGAAGCCTACGTTAAGAGAGTCTCACTTCGACACCGTGCAGCCTGTAGATTTAGAACAGATGACGAAGGGGAGCATAGCTCGAGCTTAAGCTCGGGACCCTCGGTGGTACAAGCCACGACGGGCGACTAAAAAGAAGCATTAATCAACTGGCCAGCAGCGAACGAAAAGTCTGGCATGTCAAAAAATACGGCATGGGCAAGTCTGTTTCGCCCTCGCTCCTCTGGAAAATTATCCCGCTTCCGCACGTATGCCTGCCTGATTTCCCCGTCTCCCCTCCAATCCTCAAAACAGAACAAAGAAAAATAAATCATCTACCATTCCTGGCTGGTCAAAACACCCCTCCCATCCCTTCCTCGACGCCATTGCGGGATAGGCTGCCCAGTCCAGTCTGTGCACCACCCACTCAATGCAATGCACTCCCCGCTGCTCCGCCCGCCTTTTTTCCCTCCTTCCTTGCATGGGGAGATTTTTCAAAAAAAGAACGAAAGTAGAAAGGGGAGGGGCCTGTTATCCCATGTTCTGGAAGGGGGTAGGTACTGTTGTATGGTGCGGTTGCGTGCGGTAGGTGTCAACCCTGTCGACGCCACGCCAACGTATGCCAGGCTAGGGGTACAGCAACAATGATGGAAGGGGAGAAAATAAGCGCCTCCCAGATGTGACTAGATGTGATAAGAGTGGACCCTTGTCAAATGCCAGACTTTATTCTCCATACCGCGTGCCTCAAATTCCCGGTTGATGGGGTGAAGCTGGGGTTGCGACCGTGCAACGAAACTGTCAGTTCGCGGCTTGCTAGGGCTGGTTTTGCCTTGCTGCTCTGTGTTTGGACCTCTGGGGTGCTGGAAGTGAGAAAATTACACGATTCTTCGAAGCTGGTTCTTGATAGTGGTCTGATTTGTGGAGATATGGAGAAGCTTGGCTGGTCAGTGCTGGAAGATCTCCAAATTGCTCCAGGAAACCTGGCTTTAGATATCAATGCATCTAGATTGATTGCTATTCATATCTGTTGAAATGTCTCAAATTCATCTGGATTATTAGGTGAACGTTGATATAGTAAAAGTCAAAGACAAAAGATACCCATACGTGCTTGCTGAAGTGCGAGATACTAAGATGGACACCTTGATAACTGTGTGAGGTTGCCCCAAAAGAAAATTCTACTCTCCGTCTTCCCCATTGACCCAAACAGAAACGCCCAGTCCTGTTTTCCCTTTCCACACCTTCGCTCGACCCGCTCTTTTCCAGCCTCGTTTCGTCGTGCAACAGCTAAGCTAAAACATCCCAAAACTCATACCAGAAGAAGTGAATACACAATAGTAGTTTACCCGAAATTCAAAGGCCACATGCCAAAAAGAAGAAAAGTATTGTTGAAGGATTAAGCTCCTGAAGCCCAACTGCCAATCCGGGATTGTTGCTGTTGTCGCTGATGAAGTGGCTGGTGATTGTGCTGGCCATAGTCTATCTGTTGCTGAATGTGCCGAAATTGTTGTTGTTGAATCTGTAAATGAACACTCGCATCACTGGCAGTTCTGCTCCGAGTGTCATCCATTGTCGTACTGGACAGAGCCGAGATCAGCTGTCCGGAACCTTCTGCAAAAGGGCTGTGGTGGACACTTTCTGCTCCATCAGACCACGACTGTTGATCCAGAGATTGTTGGGTAAAGTCGGATGGTGATGTTCGATGGCGTCTGTAGTCACCGATTTGGGCCATCTCGTACTGAGACATATTGTCTTTGGGTCGCATTTCCTCCCACTGCTTCTGGCAAGCCTCGGCAGACCATTTTGATTTGGCACCGCATCTTTTCATGTCTTTAGAAACAGTCGCCCATTTACCCCCGTTCCTCTCAACAGACGCCTCGAGCGCTCTTATCTGTGGTTCTGTCAGCTCTGTTCCGCCTCTCTGACAAGAAAGAACGAGTGTTAGACACCTTTCGTACCTCAACTTCAGTCCAGCCTTGGAGTTTTTCCACCAATCTCTTCTTCTTCATCTGCAAAGCCGGGGCCTGCATTGGTTTCCCTGGGAAAATCGCATTGAACTTGTCACGGAGTTCAATCCAAGGGATTCCATCGCGGACTGCGAATTGGAGAAGAACTCGCTCTTGGTCCGTGATCTCACGGCCCTCAGCAGCAGCCATGAGCTTCTCGTAAAAGCCGTTTGGTGTTTTGGTTCTTTTAGAGTTGCTCTTCTGTACCTTTGAGGAGAGGCCGTGGCCGATAGGAGCGTAGTCCTGTTGGGTTTCCTGATGAAACGGTCGCGACATCTGGTCAGATTTGGTTGACAATTGACGGCCGCCAGTATTGTATCTTGATGTTGCTGGCTTCAAGCTGGATGGTGTAGGTGCCTGAAGTATCGGAGGACTTGATGGACTTGGTGCAACTCGGATCGGAGTATTGCTCTTCCAGCTGCTCGCACTCAGCGCAGGAGTCTGGTTCCTGGAGTAGTAACCGTTGCTACTGTAGCCACCAGAAGACTGCATGTTTGGGCTGTGGTGAAAGCTTGGAGAAGAGTCTGATGTTTTGGTGGATTGAGCTGGTGCGGAAACTCCGAAATTGCCCCAGTAAGGTGACGAGCAAACATAAGGAGAGCCAGGAGGGAAGAAATGGTCAGACGTGGAGATGTGTAACGCTCCAGATGATTCTTTGTGCTTCATTGGGGGATTGTACTTTGAGTCAAAGTCACTATCCGGACTGTAAATTCCGTAAGATGGTGAGAGTGATCCTGGAGACAACTTGATGTCCGGCTCGCTATTTGAAGGAATGGACTTTGTAGTAAGGGCAGGTGAGCTTGTCATGGAGACAGGAGTAACGAGGGTTGAGCCGTATTGTATGGGCAAGTTGAATGAAGATACCTAAGTAAGGGAGTGAGTTAGATGCGTCGACGTTTCTCGAAAAGATGTTGGTGGAGACGTACACCACTCCGTGCACTGTATGGAGCGTGGTCCTCAGCTTGTGTTCTTCCCAGGTGATTAACAAGATAGCCGTTGTCGTTCTGACAGTACTCCTGCTTGGTCGTTGGCATTTTGCAATGAGGTCGGCTGTTGTGGATTGCAATGAACAAGAAAATAGAGCTGTCCAGAGGATAAGAGATGCACAAAAGACAAGACCTCAGTTTGCACGGGAGGTAGGTTCTCTTACTCAAATGAGAAGCAAGCCACAAAGATGCGTCGATAAAATTATATAGATATTCACCCGGGAGTCTGTCTGCCTGGCGACTATGAAGGTTCAAGGATGTGCTAAAAGAGAGCCTCGCTGCTAGGGCAATGTCGTTTGAGCTGCAGTTTGGCCGGCAAAGGCCTATAAGTTTACCCAGGTCGGGAAGGAGGCACAGCAGGCATGAGCCCCTGCCCTGTCTGGTCCCCAAACAGCAGGCCATTTGGGTGGCAGTAGCAAAAAAGCGGTGCGTCAATTATGGGACATGCAAGGTAGCCGCCCAGTGGATTGGAGGAAGCGATTGTCAATGCACGGCACTTCTGTCTCCTGCCTACACCAGCATGCTCGCTGGCCTAGGAGGCAGCAAGTCGCTAACCTGCTCTGGGCATGCCGGACACTGTATGGATGATCTGGTTCCTGTTGTAAGTATGCGCTGCAGGCGCGTGTTGGCTGGAAAGGCAGCGTAGTGGGGGGGTAAAGCCAGGGCATCGCCATGTAGAGACGATGAAAGGCAAGGGTCGAGCCGGACCGACGGCTGGACTGCCGCATATAACTGACGGCTATGATTCGGCGAGAAGAAGATAAAAACCACGGGCAAGTCTCGACTTCGAGATTCGGCCGGGTGGCGACGGTTGTGAAGGGCAAGAAGGGCGACAATGGGGGCCATCACGCCTGGTGAAAGACGACAAGCAAGCGGAAGGAAACATGTAAGTGCCTTCGGAACAGAAGGTGTGTGTGTGTGGGATTGAAAGTTCATTACAGTGTCGTATCTACAGTACTCCGACCCCTCTCTCCGTGGACTGCTGCCCGCCTGGTCTCGGAGCGGATGATGCGGGATCAGCCCTGTTTTACTGGGATCGCCGGTGAGCTGTCTCGAATTGGTAGGCAAACGGGGGGGAGAGGAGGAGGCCAGACGAGGCGAGATACGAAAAAGGGCGAGGAGGAGAGGAGAGCAAAGGGGGGAGGGGGGGCGTATCGATCGAGCACAGCGCGGAGCAAAGCCAAATGGCCACATCGTTCCCTGTACGACCATTCCTCTTCCTCTGTCTCCTGCCCCATGTAGCTAGGCCGCGTAAAGCGTATGGCGACTGAGAGCGTGTGTCTGGCAGGCTCGCCCCATAGTTCGCGTTTCGGCTGCACCCTGCCCTCGTAGACTCTCCTTGGCCCCCTGTGGCCTGGTGCTGTGTCTCGTAACGTGATTTGGTGGAATGCCCGCCAAGAATCCCGACAGTTTGGGTAGGAGTGGGCACGAGTGGACTTTAGGTGGAGTCCAAAATGGCTTTGGATCCTTGGCTCAACCAGACTGTCGGGACCGGCTAGCAGGGGAGCACAGCAGCCGCAGCGAATCAGCAAAGCTCGGCTGGCATGCGCAGGGTGCTGTATGGAGCGAGCGCAAACGAGATGTCTTGCAACCGCGCGCCTTCATGTGATGTCCTGTGCGTGCGCGGCACAGCGCACCTAACACCACCAGCACCGCCAGCACCCCCCCCTTGGATAGCAATTTAGTCGCAGTCAACACAGCCAACATCCCCACAATTAGCCTGCATGCATCGACATCTTTGACGCGAGAATAGATCCCAATTGCCTCTTGCAGCCAGGTGCTGTTACACTCCCGGGGTGGCATTGGACTGTGTTTGGCTGCTTTGGGACGGACGTGCAGCACAAAAGGTATTTCAAGCGCCAGCTGAACATCAACAGCTCGTCAACAGCTCGTCGGCGATGACTCGCCAGTCGCCTGTTGCGAAGTGACGACAGACAAATGCCGGTACCTTGATCTATCTCATGGCACAGCCGGCCCCCAACCGAGACTGAGAGATCCGCTCCAATTCCATCATATGCCAGGTCCCTATCTCATATCCGATGGCCCCTCCTCATCCCCCTCCCCAATCTTCATAGCATGTTCAGGCTCCTCCGCCACTCGCTTACCCCTGGATGGTTCGCCAAATAGTGCCCAAACCATCACCAATGCCTTTTCATTTTTGCGGGCCAGGTCCGGTCACTGTGACAGGGTTTGAGATTTGTGATGTGTACTGCATGAGTCGACCGGAGCAGTTTCTGATTGCTGCTGCATGCACAGCGCTTTCTCTTCAATATTTACTGTACCAAGAAAGCCCGTCAACGCCTCTGCATCTTGATGGGGATCGCTCCGGTTTCGAAAGGCGAAACGTCCAGGGGACACTGCCGAAATGCGGTATCATGGTCCATGCCGCCCCCAAGCGGTCAGATTTCTCGAAGCGCAACATGTGAACCGTGCTGCGTGCGGGGAAAAGACAACGAAAGAGAAGCGCTCTTTGACGCCGATCTGGGTTGTTGCAAAGCGGCGGCAATCGCATATCGTATCTGGCCAGCCATCGTTCATCTGAAGTGACTTTGACTGGCATCTGCCTGCAAAAAGGATATTTGGTGCGGGACTCAAAGCAAAGAAGTGCTAATGCGGCCATTGATACTCAAATTAGTTCTGCATTGTCACTGGCATTCTATCACTGCCAGCTGATCTGTTCATGCGTCTGGCTTGCACCATCAAGGAGAACCTGAACGGAAGACAACTCCCAGAGTGGGTTACACTCACCCACGTTTTGACTTGCTAACCAATGGCACACACTGGCTGTCGTTGATCGAGACCGTCATCGGCCACTAAGGGAGCACATATGCTGATTGTGGCCCGCCCCTGCAACCTAATTCTAGATCCACAGTGCCAATCAGGAAGCAATGGGCATATCATGTCGCTCCTTGTATGGCAAATTTCAGGTGGCAGGCCTTCATTGGAACTCGGGCTGAGTGACAACGGGTTGGAGAGCGGGACATCCGAGATCTTTGGCTGAGAATCGGCAGCGGATCCAGGATCCTGAATCGAGTCATTCCCCAATCAATGATGGCCGCCAACCGAATATGCTCAGCCACCGCGGGGGCTTTTATGACCTTGCCTGTAGTACAAGATGAGTCTTTCTGATAAGAAAAGCGATGTAAAGGTCCGGTTGGCTGCGGGGAAGTATCATGGAGACTTTAATCTCTCGAGAGTCAAAATTCCTAGTTCAGTTGGGTGAGCTGTCGTGGGTATAGACCTCGCGTGTTCCAAAGAATTCACCATGTTATTAGCTGAATCTGACTCCAATGAGAAACTTTTCCGGATTCCTTGTAGCTGAGCAGTAGCTGAGGGAAAAAGCAAGGACACCTTGGAGGATCGACACACACCCTCCATCCCCAACCCTAGGCGAACGGTAGAGGATGAGTGTTCAGTTTTTCAGGTCGCACAAGCTATTGGACGTCGAAATGCATTCCTCGACTTTTCCTAGCATGGTCTTCGCTTGCTTGTAAGCATCCATCCAGAAACATGAAACCGCGAAGCTGCATCGAAGGAGCGAGGGATTTATGAACATCCCTGAAAGGCGAGTTGTGTTTCTGTTTCCATATCCTCAAGCATCCATGATCAACAAGCAGCACACGAGACCATGACGATGGCCGGTGATTCTGACCCACACCTGCAACAGAGAGTTCCAGCCGATATCTGGCCCCGATAGTCAGGCTGATTCGCATCATGGGGTGGGGCATCAGACTTCAGGAGCGCATCGGCGCTTAACGATCAGGAGAGAATACTCGTCACAGCGAGGAGACCGTGAAGGACACCTAGGTCCAAAGGAGGACCGATATCGTAAGGGCTCCATAAGGTGCGATGGCATGTCTGTGGCGTGGCTCCCATATCCGTGCAGCGGCTCGAACTTGCAGAAAGAATCAGTTATTTGGAAAGACAATGGCAGGGGACAGAGATGAACCTTGGATTGAGGGGTCAGTCAACAGTTTCCCAGTTGCCTGTCCTTCGCTGGCAGAAATGGGGGAGTTTTGGGTCTCCCGCTTTGTCGGCTCTCTGGATTGGCTTTTTTGGGTCTTCGACTCGTTTCGGCCTTGCCACAATCAACTCAGCAAAGGAAGCAACAAGTCTGGGTATTGTCGAATGTATGTCCATGGCATACAACGAAGTTTTTCATACAATGCGATCGATCTCAAGGCGCATCAAAGCCTCTCCTTATTCAATGTTACCCGCCGGTAATAGCTTTACATCAAACCCCCAGCACTGGCGGCAATGTCAACAACAACATCTACGCGCGAGCCTGTCCTGGAGACGCACGAACCACAATGTTGCCGAAGTCACCATACCAATGCTCTCTTGACTTTTCTCATGGAAGCAAAATACAATGTAGATTGAACGTCATTGGCGGATTTCGCACAGTGCGAAAGACGAAATGGTAGCTCAGCGGACGCCTCGTGGAAGATCGCGGGAACTCTGGCTATCGCAAGCTCCAATTAACTTCTCAACGAACGAAATTCCTGCCAGGTTTTCTTCAATATTGATTTATCCAGGACACGCAAATGCAGCTGGGAGCTTTGTCGAAGGAGAGGTGTCTGAATGCGAAACTTTTGTCACTGAGACACGGGTACCCGCAGATTGCACCAGCCTTCACGAAACCACCAATTGATCTCCGAGACTGATCGTCATTTGGCCTTCTCTATGTGCTTCAGAAGTTCAGTCGTTGCGAAGAAAATGGCTCGCAGGTCACAAACGTTCGAGACAAGCCATCGACGTGGCAAGAACAATTGGGGAGGAGGAGTGTAAAAGGGTCATCTGGGATTGAACCTGAGACCTTTCGTCGGTGGAAGCTGAATACATGTATAAATATGTGCTGTGGTACTGCGTGACCAGTAGGCACACCGTTTCCCGGGCCCTCGACGAGACCGCAATCATAACAAGGCCATGTGTGGACCTCCGACCCACCTCACCTTCGGGCTAGAACACCCGTCGGCAGGTAACGTACGGTTGCATGGAACTGAATCATCAGAAAAATATCAAATGGAGGCAAATTTTGTGACGGAATTGTGAGATGTGATAGTCTGTCGTATTGATGGATTCTTGGGAAGGAACAACGAGGTCGACTCAAATTGTCGTGCAATCATTGACCACGACTCCAACACGAAAGACTACCAAAGAATCTGCCACGGATAGAAACGAGAGGGAGACCAAGTCCTGAAAGCGTACGCTTAAACTGTATGCAATGTTTATATGGTCTGCTTGGTGGCCGTCAACCCCACTTGCACCCCGTACCTGGCATCAACAACTTCCCTCAAGAGACTAAAGGAATGATGATTCGACGAATGATTGCCGTCGTACTCGTCACAGGAGCCTGACCTGTGTGTGGAGAAGTCTGATGTTCTGCCAATATGAGTCTCGGCCGGCATCCAGTCTCTTGTCGCAAACTTGAAAAGCCGTCTCGCGCATTGAACACAGAGTCGCGATGAACACGAAGTGGGCTCTGAGTTAGCCTTTCAGTCTCGTCAGACCCTAGAGCGTTGGTCGAGCACCATGGTAAGCGCTCAAGCTCGAGTCCTTGAGAAGGAGAAGGCATCCAGGACGCGCTCACTCTGCTTGAGACGATATCTTTTCTCCAGAGCACTAGAATGAGACCAGCTCTTAGCCAATATGGTGCACTGATTGTGTCAGATCTTCGGCAGATTGGTGCTATCGACGATGACTGGTTGTGTTTTGGACCTCGTAGAAGGTATTGTAAGGTAAGCAGCCAGAGTGGCGGACAATAAGTACTGACACCCTCTTCTTTCACTACAACTACTCGTCACTTCCTCCCACGTTCCTATCTCCACAATTAGTACCTGCAAATTGTCTTTTCCATTGTCTCTCCTGGGGTCGCCAGCTGCGGCGGTCGTCGCAGGAGTCGTACGCATCCATGGGCGGTCAGCGCACAGGGTGGACTCGTCGTTGCTTTAGTTTCTGCCATGTCGTTGATTCCAGTAAATCTTTGGGACGAAGGTTAAATCCAGGTCGAGAGTGTCGTTGAAATATACGTCCTGGAGCACTAGACTAGTGCTGAAGCTAGCAAGTACCTGGCTCACGGACCAACCTTCGGTCAACTACCTCCTTCCCTGATACTCCAAGTGAATATTCCGACGTCCCTAGGTGCTTCCAATCTTTCGAGTTTCCAATATCGGGTCTCCTTCCATCTCAATGTTCAAATATCTTCGTTGTTTTTGGTTCTGTACGTGATCTTGAAATCGAAAGCCAAACCCCTCAACTCCAACTTTACTCACCAGCGCCCAGTCGCGTCTGCGACGCTCCTTTGAGGATGAGACCATGAAGCACGAAAGCGATCCTTTCTTGCTATATACTCAAATTGTTCACAGTAAGCTCGTGTGTACTACGTAAGTGGTCTCATGTATTCCCATCCCATCTCACTACTCCGCCTCCCTTGGCCAAATCCCAGCCACGCCTTCCCTTTTCCCACTCCTGTCAGCCAAACACCATAAACACGTACACTTTCTCACATACTCCCTAATGATCTTTCGTAAAGTCAGTAATGCGTATTTTCCATCTTCTCATCTCCCTCATTGGCAGGTATCATTCCAGGTCAACTCATCTCATCGCATCCCACTTTTCGCAGCCCCAAATCCAAATCCAAATCCAAATCAGATCCAGATCCAGATCCAAACCCAAACCCAAGCCAATTCCTACTTCCTACTTCCTTCTCCCCATCTACCCAGCAACATATATCGGTATGTTTTCTTACCTCCTCTCTTTTCCTTTCCCTTCTCTTCCTTACAAAAGGAAACAACGATAAGCTATCTTACCAATCTATTTATTTCATCGCATTCCAACCCTTCCCACTCTTCTTCAAACCCCAGCCACTTCCTATCCCCTCCTCATTCCAAGATAATACCAGGACAGTACGTAGAGATCTACCCGACTGTCTTCTCTCTATCCCGACCTTCATTCCCACCCTTACATTCCCATACCTCCCATTCCATTCCAGACCTTCCTCTCCACAACCCATACCTCCCATCCCACAATCAACATAGTTCCACACCACACCACTTCCACCTCCACCCACAGCCGACCCCATCCCTCCTCTCCAAACCCAGAATTCCCACACCCTCTTCACAAGCCGGCTTACGTCTAGATACTCCATACCAATACTTTTCACCGTCCAATAGCGTACCACCTCTACCTCAGCAGTCCCTAAAAACGATGCTTAAAATTGAAATACCATCCCAAACCGGCAAATTCATGGTAATTCGATATTTAGCTCTTCCTCCGGACTCAGGACCTCGTATGGGTACAAATGAAGGGGAATCCACTGATTTAACATCAAATAATCCCCCTTCGTGAGATGTAATCTTCAATACCCACGACATCAAAGCTAGCTTGGGATAGACAGAAAAGAAGAAGGAGAAGAGTGCACACTTCATGTAGACCGTAGTAGATTCATTTTTTGACTACCTAGCTACCTATCTTAGCTCACTCAAGCCAGTGTGAGGAGATCCAAGCAATTCTCGCTCTGCTGCTTGCTGGGGTCCATCTTTCCGCATCATTATTTTCTTTTCTTCTTCTCTCCCACCAATTCGCTGCTATTCGATCCATCCATACATCTGTATGTAGGCTCAGCTCATCTCATTCAACAAAGACCGGCAAACTTCAAACGGATATCCACAACCATTACCTCATTTCATATCCACAACAACAACCCAACAACCCATCAATCCACATGACCATCCAACACCGTATTTTGGGGAATCAAGAAACAAACAAGTCAGTAAGAAAAAACTGTAAGATACCCCTCTTGCCACCATTTACCAGAAGGGAAGCCTATGTGCGATCGACCGGTGATGCAATGCAGAGGGATCGAATCCCAGAGAACAGAACAATTTCGTGCCGTCGTAACAGGCCGTGACCGTGACATGAACGCCCACCACCCCTTGTGAGAATATGAAACAGAGAAGAAGAAAAGACGAGATCTGGCGAGTGAGGAGCTGAACAGGGGTGGGAGAAATTGTTGTTATGTGCCGGGTGTGGATTTGCGTATTAGCGAAATGTGCATGTTGAGGTAGTTGAGGTATAGAGAAAGGACGCGAACGTGGCGACTATGGTCAAAGCAGGATTTGCTGAAGCGCTGCGGATACGTCGAGGTCTCAAGGAAGTAGGCGATCAACCCATTCCATTTTGTTCCAATCCCTGAACAGCCGCATACGAATATGGGAAGTCAACCAGACCATCCAGCATCCAATTCAGCGGATCAAAGACCTCGTAATTGCTTTCTCCATAGCCAACACCACCCATCATTCCAGAGGGCAGACCATGCGAGCTAGGTGTTACAGAACCCGCGGCATTGAGGAGCTGATTCTGAAGTTGGTGAGCCGGCGGCATAAGCGTCGCGTCCATGTGTGTAGAGGAAGCAGAGGATTCTGCTGCGCTATCGGGATTAGTGGGATTTTTCATGGCCGCTATTAGACGGGCGTTAGTTTAAAGTGAATTGCGCACCATGGGAAAAGGAAAGGAAATGGGAGTGCTGACCTTCGAGATTACCCCGCCCCTGGGATTGGAATTCTTCACGCCAACGCCAGATGGAATCGAACATTAGCGACATGCTCATGCGGCAACGAACTTTCAGTTGGAGGGTATCGTCAACAACAGCTCTTGGCTCGTGACCGTTGCTGTTGTTGTTCATCTGCTGTTGGCTACGTTGCTCGACTCGGGCACCATTCCACATCTGGACCATGAGCTCGGCAAGTCTCCATGGTAAATCATTGTTGATGATGCTCATGCTTCTGATGACTTGAATAGTGCGATGGAACAGTAAACGTCCTCTGTCGAAATCAATAGACGCCGAGAAGAAGGATCCAAGCAATTTGAGGAGAGTGAAGCAGGCGGCATCGATCATCTGCAAGATGTAGTTAGTAGCATAGCGAAGGATGCTTCCTCGAGGGCTGTCTGGCGAAGGCGCATCAAGTTCCAGGACATAATCCAAGAATTCAACGGTTGCTAGCCACAACCCCATCAGATCGCTGAGGTATCCTGGGGTAGAGCTTGAGTCGAAGAATGCCGAAAGACGTAGATGAAGACCGGCAGCCTTAAGATGCAGCTGCACAACCGGTGAAAGGTCGGCTCTAGAGAGTATCGAGACCCGGAGTTCGCTGAACTCTCGCTTGTAGACACGCGTCAACATTGCTCTGAGCTCATCACCTGCAACTCCTCGAGGATCACTTGCATTACTGTACATTTCCTTCGAAACTTTATCGCAGAATCGCTCAATTTGTAGCCGAGCCTCCAGCTCTGTAGACAAGGTGAATGGTCCATCTTCCCCTGGTCTAACGGCAAGTGTCCAGTCATACAGTGTGGAAGCTGGTTGACCGTAGCCAGTTCCTACACTTTGCGCTACAATATTGCAGACTGCCCAAGTGGTAACTCGGTCATGTAATTGCTCTCTGTTGAGGTCGACAGATACCCTGGAGAAGTCTTGCGTATGGTTAGGTCGGTGAAGTCCAATGCCAGTGGCAGTCTTCATCATGACACCACACAAGATATGTGTAGGGTCTGTAGATGTAGTGCTTGTTGGTAATGGCCAAGTGCAGATCAAGCACAACGCCTTCACAACATAATGGTTGTTTGGAACTTCCCCAACGGTCTGCCAGAGAAGTCTCGATAATGGTCCCGAAACTGACGTCAACAAGCCAGGATCAGCCGTATATCTGCGCGCAGCAACCGCAACAATAGCCCAGAACAGCAGAGGGTGTTGTGAATGGTATGAGTCGGGAGATTGGTGAGGATTCAAGAATGGAAGGTATGGGTGATAGCACATCCAGAAATCATTGAAGAGGTCATTGATAGCCACCTCCGTTAATCCAACATTCTCAATCTCATGAACAATGCGTGGCAACTGGTATGCTCCGCCCTGCTTCAAGTGTAGTAGCGACGACACCGCCTCTTCGGAGCCCATGAAGGATTGATGGTTGCGAGAATACGAGCCGTTCGCAAGGGGCGAATCGATTTCCTCCTCATCTTCGACTATGAACCCTTGTGCTTGCGCGCGGTGTAGGTTACGTCTCAAGCGTTCAATCTGCTTTTCCATCTCAGCATGCTTGCTTCTCTTGCCCACGCGCTTGAAATTCGATTCGATCTTGCACTCGAGCTTCAGTCGATTGCAGCGTGAGCAGACGGTAAATGGGTCTTGAACTACATCGCAGCGCAACTATTGGGACAAGAATGATTAGTCTCTGCTCTTCAAATGTGAGTATCTGCCCTCATCGTTCGTGCGCACGCAATACCGTCTGTCCATCTCTCTTCATAATGACTCACTTTCTGCTGTCGGCATTCATTGCACGCTCTCTTCACGCCCGGCTGTCTGCGTCTCTCTGCCTCTTCTTCATTTTCCTCACCACCGCTCCCAGGACTGCTCTCGAACTCGATACCGCTTCTCTTCCTCTTGTAGCTACCCCCGGTACCTGGACGCACGCTGGTAGTTGGACTGGATGCCCCACCACTCGCAGCGCCAGCTCCTGGACCCCCTTCCATGCGGAGAAGAGAATGGAGCAAAGGACTCGAGTGTTTGCTTGCCGAGGATTGCTTTTGCCGCCGCCAAACGCTTCTCGAAGACCCGGCTGGATGAGTGCTTGCGCTGAGGGTGTCCGGTGTCGCTCGTCTGGTGTTGTGAGAAGCCCGATATCGTTCGTAGGCGGATGCTTTCGAGCCAGGCGGGGTTATGAAAAACTGCCAGCAAAAGCGCTGGGGCTGATAGCCGAGGGTGCGCGGATCAAGCGTGGACGTGAGATGAGAGAAATAGGGAATGAGGAACTGTCCTCGTCAAGACTTGTACCGATATCACAAACCATCCAAGGGACTGTCAAATTATCGGAGATCAAGACCCAAGAAAAATTGATAAATGATGCTTCAATACGATTTTAGCTAGTGACTCAACTCCGTCATCTCTCTCCCATTTCGGCGAGCTCATCAATCATGGCTTCCGAATCTAGGCGACCACTCTACAAAGGGCCACTTCTCGCTCCCAAACGGGAATCATGGAGTCAATCCTACACAGTGAATCCTATATCAAAGGACCACGTTGTAATATGGAGTGGAAAGAGCAATAGAGTCCCTGGTTAGTTGAGATCCGCGATTCGTGACGACCAGGTTGCTCACATTAGACATACCTAGTCATCGAGTTCTCATCAGGAACTGTCCCAATGCCTTTCTTGGATCCGGCGATTATCATGCAGCGTGTCCGAGAACAGAAGGAATGGAAAGCAAAGCAGGATCGAGAGAACATCGTCGAGGGCTCGTCGCAAGGGGGGTGAAGAGATTTGGGAGTCCATTTCAGTATGGCAACGTCACGTGATCATACTCCAGATGCTGGGTTTAGTAATCTCTTGTGCTCATCTTTGAAGGCATCACCATATTCGATCGCCACGCTGCGGCTGGCTGAAGTCAAAATTCATCGTGAGCTTCAAAAGATCAACGAAGCAGTGGTTTGATGATTCCGTGGCGTCTGCAGAATTACATATTCCGACGATCACATGGGGTACTTGTCGATCAACGTCAAGGCCACACCAAACCAAATGTACCCCGCCTTTGTGTTCCGATCTTTTCGATTCGGATTCCACTCTGTTTCTAGCGTCGAATCGTGGCGTTCTCGTGGATGGCATACTTGCTTTCATTCCGAAAGTTCAGTGGTACAGATTCGATAACTCGACAGCCGGGGGACTTTGAGGGACAGAACGAGGGGTCTGTGTAACGACGATGTATCTCACCGCCAAGTTTACGTGCAGATGTACTTATGGATACCTGCTTGCCCCAAATGGCTCGAAACTGGCGCAGTTTCCATCACTTGTGACCGCTGTTGAATTTCTAGATTGCTCGTGAAACTGTTGTCAAATGCCGGCCCCAAACTGCCCCATCTCATCATCTCTGAACTCAAACCTGCGGCATTCACTCCGCGATCCATCCAAACAGTCATATGATGATGCCCATCTCATCCATCATATCGCGGGGACAGAGCGAATTAAAGTATTGTCTAAAAAGTTTTAAGTTGTGCGATCGTCGCTTTTGACAAGCCTCGGCCTGGGGATGCTCAGGATGTATCCGAGACATGAGGGAGGACCCTTCCGGGCGTTCGTAGTGCGGAGATCTCAAGCTTGTGCTTCGGAAACAAGACAGTTCATCTCATCCATTGTTCAAAGCACTAGAAACAAATTCATTCCGAACTCTAGAATGTGGCCTCCAATATTATGATTACCAGATCCTGTAGAGAGGCACACTTTGCATCGGACAAAGGCCCGTGTCGCTAACAGTCAAGGGATAGGCACAGGTTCTGGCTTCATATACCCAAATGGGCGATGTACATCTGAAAGTTGGCAAAGTGGAGCAAATGGCTTTGTTGGCTGACTTGACTCGGACCGTTTCTCTTAGACTTGACTATGTTGAAAGCCGACAAAATGTTGAGAAGGCCCGAGGCTTCTAATCAGCACTTCAGCTGCTGGCCCTCCATCTTGACGGAGAAACGCTAAGAAGGGAAAAATAGCGATGGCTGAAATCCCCTTTCCCCGAAATGTGAATGAATCAAATTCCAACAAGCAACATGTTTTATGACGCTGTTCTGTCGATCCTTTTATCTGGTGATGAGTGCGATAACATCTCCCGAGTCCAGTATTGCTATCGGCAGGGATCAAGGACATAGGATGACAACACAGCACATGGATCGAGGGGTCTGGGTTTCTTCCCCTCCTACTAGTATCAACGCAAAAACTACACACCCCCTTATGCAGACCAGCGAATGAAATGGCCGCATAACCTACAAAGCATCACAAACCAAGAACAAGCACCCAATAACAACAGCGCGGCTGAAAGGGCCCTCGAGGCCCTGCAGGAAACACCGCGGTACCTTGCGATGAACACATGTTCCGGTTGTTACAGTAGAGTTGCTGGCTTGCGGTACGCCAACCAGCGATGCACGCCTCACAGCAAGCCACGCCAGCCACTTGGACCCTGAAAGACGCCGGCGCTGGCACCAAACAAGCATAGACATGTCACTACCATGACCTACGCTGGTGATCATCCGGCAAAGCTCCAGGCTAGCCAGCCTCTCACAGTGCTCAGTCCAACCTCCAGAGCGCCAAGCCCATATGATCCTTATCCCTTATCCAGGTACGATCAGCGGCTTCTGCTGCTCTGCACCACCATTCAGGGTACACGCTCCGGCTCAATGCCCGAGCTTCATCTATGCTTTACGGGGATAGTCCAGGTTTTACAGCTAAAGTATATGCAAGGTAGGTGATCAGATCAGGTAGGTTTGCGTTCTTTGGTAAGGATGGGCCGCTCCTTGGAATCCTACTTAAGCTTGTGGTTGCCCAGGTACCTATTCCGCTTTCTTTTCAGCCTCCTTTAGGACTGACTTGCTTTCACTTTGTACTGAATGCTATACACAACTACACATATCTTCTCATTAAGATACCCATCATCATGGTATTTGTCAAAGCTTTAGCTGTTGCAGCAGCTTGTCTTTCGCTGGTGGATGCGAATCCATTGTAAGTGGTTCCTGGCTAGGAAGGTGCGAGTTTAGTGGCTAACAACTATCAGACGACAGCGAGCCCGTACGTATACCTGAATGGCTTCCAGAAACCCACGATTCTGAATCCTTAGAGTCCATCCTGACATCCCTCCAGTAGGATTTGATTACAACAACAACAAAGTTCGTGGGGTGAATTTAGGAGGTTGGCTCGTCCTCGAGCCATGGATTACACCCTCAATTTTCGAGGAATGGGCAAATGGAGGCGGAGTGGTAGACGAATACACCTTATCCGCAACTCTTGGGAAAGATGAAGCCTCGAGGCGTTTAAACGCACATTGGTCCAGCTGGGTCACAGAAGAAGACTTCGCAGAAATCGCTTCCTTCGGCCTGAACCATGTACGAATCCCAGTCGGATATTGGGCTTTGAACCCACTCCCAGGAGATCCATACGTCCAAGGGCAGTTGCCATATCTTGATCAAGCAATTGTATGGGCTAGAAATCATGGGCTGAAAGTCATGCTTGATTTGCATGGAGCACCTGGGTCTCAGAATGGGCAAGTCCTTATCGTCCATGCTCCACATTCAACTTGCTAACTTCATGCAGTTTCGACAACAGCGGAAGGAGGGGAGATATCCAATGGCAATCAGGAGACAATGTTCCACAGACTGTCCAAGCGATCCGTAACCTCGCGGAACGATATGCCAGCCAATCTGATGTCGTTACGGCCATTCAACTTCTTAACGAGCCAGCAAACTGGGGGAATGACATGGGACAGATCAAGAAATACTGGTACGATGGCTGGGGAACTGTGAGAGAATTAAACCAGGATACGGCCGTTGTAATCCACGACTCTTTCCTCGATCCGCAATCATACTGGAATGGATTCATGAACGCCGAGAGCGGCGTTAACAATGTTATTCTTGGTGCGTCAACACCTCTTTTGTCCTTTACTCCCCTTTACTTCCCAACTCTGCTCTACCAAAGGCTTGAGAAAGTATACTAAATTCTCCACCAGATACGCATATCTACCAAATCTTTACGGACGAACTCATCAGTCTCAAACCCTGCGACCACGTACAAAACGCCTGCTCTAATATCCCCAAGCTATCCGGCACCGATAAATGGACAGTCGTTGGAGAATGGACCGGTGCGCAAACTGACTGCGCGAAATGGCTCAACGGCCTCGGTCGCGGTGCACGCTACGATGGTACATTCGAAGAAGGTAAGGGCTATTATGGCGACTGTCAGACCAAGTACCAAGGCACTGTTGATGGTTTATTGGAAGTCGACAAGATCAATCTTGAATACTACATTGAGGCACAACTGGATGCCTATGAGAGCCATTCTGGCTGGATCTTCTGGGCTTGGAAGACCGAGAGTGCGCCTGAGTGGAACTTCAGGGATCTGACCCGCGCAGGCATCATTCCACAACCCTTGACTGCAAGGAAACACCCAGGTCAATGTCAGACGTCGCAGTGTATGATTCCAGGGAACTAGATCACTCCACCCGGAGAAGGATTTGGGATGAGAGGGGGGTGTGCATATGTACAGTACTCACTTCCGAGATTGGACGTGGAGGATGTGACGAGAGACAGGATTTACGATTTTACGACATACCGATACCCTTTCATTCGCTCAGGGCGTTCATTCGCTGCCTGTATTACTGGGTTGGATTACTTCCGGGTCGATTTTAGATGATATTTGAAATACTTGAGAAAAGCAGGATACTTAGTGTAGTATTATATAGCGACCAGGCTTGTAAATGAAAACATTTTGATATCAGCCAGCAATTTCCTGCAGTGATACCTGTCCTTCCCCTAATCTCTCTTCGTGCACAGACGGAAATCTCACCACCCTTCATTCGCCAAAGGTGTGAAGTAAACAACCTAGTCCCGTTCCAAAAACATTCGTCACTCTCAGAAAAATATGTTTCCCTTTGCCATTTAATGCATAGCGCATTCCGGTAGCTCCGGGTCCAGTTTCCGAGATGAGGCAAAGCTGAAGGATACAGGAGATGACAATAATAGACTGAAAAACGTGCTGGTGGGTTACAACCCCACGTACCCCTTGCTCTTTCCAGTTTAAGTTCAGGGACACATGTAATCAAAAAACTGAAACCAATACCTAGGTATATCTGAAACTAACCCCCTAAGCATTCTCCCCTCTCCCGAAAACCTCCGCAACCGACCCCTCATCAAAATACATAACAGCTCTCAACCCCGCCAGCTTCCACTCCCCATCCGCATCATCAACACCCCTCCTATACAAATGAAACACAACCCCACGTCCATGCCCCCTCGCATCAACCTCCCTCCCATGCCCCCCCCTTTTCACCCTCTCCAGCTTCATACCTCAAATGCGCAGCTCTCAACTGATGAACTCCCCTAACCTCACCCGCACTTCTCACTTCCCATTTCGACCCGCCTATCAAATGCTGAGTCTGAATAAGCGGATTCCCTAGTTTATCTGCACTGCTGAGGAACTCGATGAATTGGGCGGCGGGCATGCCGGTCCATTGGTTGCCGGGCCCCATCGCGCCTGTGTAGTCGACGTCGAGTGTGGGTGCGAGAATTGCGGAGAGGCGGTCCCAGTCTTGGAGGAGAGGAGGGAAGAGGTCAGCTTTTTATTTCTTGATTTATTTTTATTTAAGAGGAGTCAAGGTAAAGGTACGTGTACGTACGTGCCTTGGTGTCGTAGCTATCAGCCCACTCGAAAGCGATTTTGCTCAGGGCGAAATAATCTACGGGTGCATGTCAACAAAGATTGTTCTGAACCGACAATCTACTCGGAAACCTGCCTTGCAATGAAATACTGTCTGTTGCTGGATTTTCCATAGTGTCTGAGAAATGATGAGTTTGTTGTTCTATCTCCTTCTAAGTTGTGGGAAAAGGTGGCTTTTATGCTCTTGCTCTTTTCTCATGATAATTCGTTCATGCAAAGGTCATGATCCCCAGATTTTTAAAGGCATTCTTAGATCATCAAAACTAGACTTGTTATAGTAATGATCACATTCCAAAGGTTCATTTCCTTGATGCTCGTTTGGTAGATATACGAGCTCCCATTAAGTTCATCCGTGCTAGTCAGAGGGGTATTGATTGTAGGTACGAGGTGTAAACGAGGTTTAGTACCTTTCGTACCTTTGCCTGTGTGTGGACATCATTTGCGATTGCTAGCAGCTTCAAGACGCCTCACGAGTTGAACAGTGCATATTCAGCCAAAGCAGTCATTAGGTTTTAATAGAGACAAATGTAATGGCCGGCTTGTTCTGTATGGTATTATTCGTCATGATAATTTATGTTATAAGACGTCTTCCCATGTTTTTCTGCCACCAACCACTTTGTGTAAAGAATGAACCCATCACAGGCTGGTCTTCCGATGTACCCCGCCTCCACGTCCCGACCCAGCTTGCCGGATCATCAAAACGGGACTTTACGGTCTGAGTTCGGGATGTGGGGATGTGGGGAGGTCACTCACTCCTTATGTTGGATCTTTTCAAGATCGATCAGTTCTCTTCGTATGGGTATGATAATGCATGTAAAGTCTCATGTTGAAGATTCAATTCGACGATAAATTCAGAAGACTCTCTACGTAATCATCGGCCTGCAGCGCCTTCAGCGTTTGATTTAACGTCACTGCAAAATTATTTCCTAAGGGAAGGTACCTGTCGGGTATCCCGACTCGGAATTCCCCACTGAATTCGATACGGAAGACAAACTTAAAGCATCCCCAGGCACAGGGGCCTCTCACAACTACCCCTCACTTAGTTCCCACTTAGTCAAGAACTCCACACTTACCTCCAGCACAAATTCAACTCGACTCAAGTCCAGCTCAAACTTAACTTCATATTTTGAACACATCACCAAAATCCCAAAAGAACCACCACAATGTCACCAATAACCTACCCACTTCTCATCAACAATAAGGCTCACTCCACCTCGAGTTCCTTCGCCGTCTCTTCGCCAGCGACAGGAGAAGTCCTACACAACTTCTCATCTGCCTCCACATCCGACATTGATCTTGCTCTTCAAGCCGCCCAGTCCTCCTTTCCAGCATGGAAGCGACTACCCCCACCAAAGAAGCGCGACATCTTCCTCCGCGCCGCTGATTTATTGAGTTCCAGGACCGAGGACATGAAGAAGGCAATGGTGCAGGAAACTGGGGCTGCGGACGCGTGGGCGGCATTTAATTTGAGTGAGTTTGTTTTTTGCTTATGAATTTGGAAAGCTGTTTCGAAAGTTTGATTTGGCGAATTGAGATAGGATATTCAGGGGAAAGAAAACCAGACGAACTAACTCGCCCCAGATCTCACAGCCGACATGCTCCGTGATGTCGCAGGGAGGATATCAAGTATTCAAGGTTCCATCCCCACCACCGCCCAGGAAGGTGTGTCCGCTCTCGTCCTCAAAGAACCTTACGGCGTGACCCTCGCCATTGCTCCCTGGAACGCGCCTTACATCCTCGGCATGCGCTCAATGCTCTACCCATTGGCAGCAGGAAACACCGTCATCTTGAAAGCCACAGAATCGAGTCCCCTCTGCTCAACTCACTTGGTCCAATTGCTGCACGATGCAGGTCTTCCAGCTGGCGTATTGAACCTCGTTGCGCATCGGGTCGAGGATGCGGCGAGCATCACGAAGTATTTGATTGAGAGTCCTGTGATCAAGAAGATCAATTTCACGGGCTCGACGGGCGTGGGTCGTATTATTGCTGAGCTGGCAGGGAGAAATCTTAAGCCTGTTCTTTTGGAACTTGGTGGCAAAGCACCAGCTATTGTTTGCGACGATGCGGATTTGGAACTCGCAGCCAAGGAGTGTGCTGTTGGTGCATTCTTGCATGCCGGTCAGATCTGTATGAGTACGGAGCGGGTCATTGTCTTTGAGAAGGTTCTTGGGGAGTTCGAAACTGCATTCAAGAAAGCTGTTGCAGGGTTCTCGCCAGAGGGAGGACCCAGGCCGGTCTTGATCAATGCGGTCGGCGTGCAGAAAAACACGAAAATGTTAGACGATGCTATTAGCAAAGGAGCTAGAGTTCTTCATGGAGACCCGAAGAATGGCAAGGACGCAACGATGACGCCTGTGGTGGTTGTGGGAACGAAGAAGGATATGGATCTTTATTACACCGAGAGCTTCGGTCCAACGGTCAGTGTAATACCTGTGAAGAGTGAGGAGGAGGCATTGGAATTGGCGAACGATACCGAATATGGACTCAGCTCTGCTGTCTTCACAAAGGATTTAGGGAAGGCGTTGAGAATTGCGAAGGGCATTGAGAGCGGAGCAGTCCATATCAATGGAATGACGGTTCATGACGAAACTGCCTTGCCGCATGGTGGTAAGTTCTGCACTTCATTGTGTCCTTTGAAGCGTTCAAGAACTGCAAATAATACTAACTTCGTGTCTTCACAGGTGTCAAAGCGAGCGGTTATGGCCGCTTTGGAGCCACTGGACTGGAGGAATGGGTGCGAACCAAAACCGTGACATTTGTTGACTGAGATTTGTTACAATTGTTGAGATTATTCTATTGCTACCCGAATCCATCAATATAGAGAAATCCGGTTGATTTTATACCAAGACCATCGTCGTTCACAGAAAATATCGAATCTTGAGATCGTGTTTGAATATTCTCTAGTACATCCCAATTTTCCGAGATAACCAATGATTAGCACTGCCTTTTCTTGGCCGTGATATAACACAAGAAGTAAAAAAAGAGGGAAATTATAAATCATGGCATTTGTACGTGAAAGCTACTTGGCGAGCTTCAACTTGAGGGAAACCACACGAGTCTCGTGAGTCTTGTAAATGTGGACCAGCGACTTTAAGCAGAAGTCGGAGGCAAGAAGACCTGAGGAAACCGAACCAACCATGCTCGTGCCACAACTTTATGCTACACTTTACGCTCTAATTATTAGCCCAAAGCACTGTTGTTTGAACACACTGCATGGTATTCTAATCAGTGGCAAGTGTAGGGAGTTGAGGCAGACTGACCTGGATCAAGCACTCGAGAATCTGCCAAGCATGACGCCACTGATTTGTCCTACTCCCGAATTCTGGGTGCTTTTGCAACTTACTCCAAGTCCCATGTTTCATTAACTTCAATGAAAAATGTCGGGCTATACAAGTACGATGTAAATAAAGCCATCAAACTGTATACGGAAAAAAATCTCACGTAAGTGATTTCACTAGGCGATGACATCAGAAAGCAGTCCATTCTAAGTGGACTGTGCCTCAACCTAAAGCTCAAGACCCGCCTGACATGTCCTCGCAGTTTCTTGATCATCACACCATCTTCCTATCTCGGTATATCAATCAACATTTCATTGGCTGCCCCGTGGGTGCCACATTCTAAAGGCTTGGCTCTCCCGCAATGTGACCCAAGTATTGGGTTAAGTGGCTCAGCCTTGTTGATCTTGGACGTAACGCTCGTCTTACGTAGAGACGCCGAATAGAATGGCATACGAGATACCACTGAGCGATACCTGGTGATTTAATACTTAATAAATCAATCCCGCTTAAAATGAGGCATTTTATTTCCTGACTCCATTTGAATTCGAGCGGGTTGGTTGTTTATTCGGTTGATAACCAGTACTCTCTCCAAATTTAGACAAACGTAAGGAAACACTCAGCACAAATCTTTCAAGTTTCTTGTCATGAAATATTCTGCAACATTCCAACTGCTTGCAGCAGCATCTCTTTTTGGCTCATCTGGAGCACAAAATGATACCCAGCAACCAGGAGACAGCTGTCAAGTAAACACACCCACCCTGAACAACATTCAAGAACATAAGTAACAAACTTAAGGGAATGCAAAGAAACAACGACTGGTTCCCAAACGCCATTTACAATGCCTCAGACTCAGTCTCTGTCCCAGGCTTCAGAGTAAACGACACCTACCCAGAGTCAACTTGGACTTGGACTAGATACGTCAATTGGCACTCGACATTCAATGATCGCCGGGCCATCGCACAAACCATTACTCTTCAGACCGAGTAAATCACCACCATCTCCATGTTCTCGTGTATAAAAGACAACTAACGTGCCTCCTCCTACCAGTCCCATCCAAAACCTCACCGACGCCTCCGCTCTCCCCTACACAGGCTGCGTCGTCGTCTTCAGCGACCTCGGCAGCAACTCCAACTACAAAAACGAAGGCTCGTCCGAAAACGGCTCCTGCAACACCATTCTCACATCCGAATGCCGCACCCACCTCCTCAATACCGTAACCACCAACGCAGCCTCTCTATCCGGCCAAATCTCAGGAAGTCGCAGCAGCTTCTCATGTCTGGAACTCTTCGGCGCCGGCGGGAGTCCGAACAGTGATGGACCATGTGAGGGCCAATGGAGCGAAACGCTCTCGAGCCAGTTCCTTCCGAATAACTTTACTGATCGGACGAATGTTGCTGAGCCAGGCTGTCCGGTGACAAATGTGGGGAACTCGACTCTTGAGGATGGGGTGTTCTTCAGCTGGTTGCAGCCTGGTACGCAGGTTAATAACTTCACATTGTATGATCGTGCGGTGCTGAATGCGTTGCCGGTTTTGACGGTGGCGTGGCTGAAGGCTACGGGTGGTGAGACGGGGAATCAGGTTGTGGTTCAGGGTGAAGGGGGTGCTTGGTTGGATGCGAGGTTGATGTGTATTACAGCGAACCAGACGCAGCCTGGGAGTAGAAACTTGATAGAAGTGGAGAGTGATGAAAGTGGTGCGGTGAAGATGGCTGGTAGTTGGACTTTGATGAGTGCGGTTGCGCTGAGTGTTGCCATTGGATTGGTGATATAGGTAGACTTTGGCGTGGAGATGCCGTGTCATATTGGAAGTTACCTAAATGATATTGAACATCATTCAATTCGACGAGAAGGACCCGATATCATGAGAAACCCACCACAGTGATCACCTTCCCAGGTTATGACTGACCTCATACCCACTTTACTACAATACCTCCTTATGACCAAATTCATTTCCAATCCAAGATGCTGAATATCTATTGCATCATGTAAGAGAGGATATCTGGTCCCGTTGAGCCGGTAACGAGGTCCCGTTGAGCTTCTTCACTGGCTCTATGGAGGACCTGAGGAGCTGAAAAAATTAAGTGAGTACATGACCATTGGCAACGAGGACGATGAAGCTTCGCTCCTTATCTTATTGCCCTACATATATTGACAGGAACAAATACTTCTTTTCTATGGGCCATGCGCTGTTCTTGATCATCAGTAAGAGCCGCGGCTTACTGTTTACATTATTGTTTTGGTCTTGGTTAGCGATGGCAAGCTAAGCGAGAAGTCTGGAAAAGGAGTGAGGCGTAATGAGGATGTCCAGGACGAGGGGACGACAACTTAATCTGATCTCGTTTCGATCTTCGACATGTCATTCTGAGATGCTAGTTTACTTGTTTCCGGATCTCGAATAATCCTGAGCGAGAACTTGCAAATTTCTATTGTGGCCAATCTAAAGACGATCTCATTTATTCGGGATGTAGGTCATCAATCATCGTGGAGACTAAAACGCATTGATGAACGTATTTCATTGAAAATAAGCAATCTATCATTGTAAAACCATCACATTTTGCGCCATCCTGAGAAAATGTGAGAGTAACCATGGGTATCATATAACGCAATTCCTGGGCAAGTAGCCACGCGCCCCAAATTTCAGATCTGCTTTCAGCGCAATTATTGAGCAAAGGAAAGTGCGATAAGTATGTTGCCGAATACAGAGGCAGGAAGAAAATGTTGAACGTAAGGTAGGTCGGTCGATCAGTCGTCCGTGAGATCAATGACAACGTTGCCATCGGCTCCACGAGAAGTTTTGAGAGGTCGTCCACTACCACTACCACTACCGCTAGCCTCGCCTGCCCAGCTTCTCTTTCGTCCTTCTGAGTTATCTTCTGTCTCCGCCTTGATCTCGGCGATTTCTTTCTAGAGAAATCATGTTAGTTTCCGTAGGGTCTCGGTCATGATCATGCCTACCTTCAGATGAGCCAGTCGTGCCTCTGCGCTGATCTTGGCATTGTTACCATTGCTGCTACGAGCACGAAGCGGGGTTGGCACTGGCTCAGGTGATGGTGAGCGAGGGATGATCAACTCGGCCTGAAGGTCCTCTATTGAGGATTAGTCAACACTTCACTAAACAGTTCAAGAGCACAAACCTCGAGAGCGATACTTGAAGACAAAGACGCCGATAGGGTGGTGTGGTCCATCCAGATCCACAGTCTCCTTGGCCGTTCGAGTAACTATTTGTTGCTCTCCATACGACACGCCATGGGAGATAGCCTTGCCTTTCAATGCTTTCTCTGCGACTTCTTCAGGAGGTTTGTGTTGTGCCAAATTGTAGTTTCCAACAACTGGTGGGTTCGAGTCTCTCTGGACAGCTCTGTGAACCGAAACCACAATCTCACCGATACCTGCCAGCGCCTTTGCATCTTTCTTGACACGGCTCGAGTCAGGATCGTCAACTGTCACAACAATTAGTAGTGTACACTTAGCATGAGGCTTTGTGAGACCGACCTTTCTTGATGCTGCTGAATTTCAGGGTTCTGCTAGACAACTGGGTCGGACTGATACGATCGAGTCTTGCAGTGATGAGTTCCATATAATAACCAGAACATCTGCCAAACCAGGCATCCGTGCACGTAGCTTGCGCAATTCCATGACCATCAACGTTTGCCTTGAACGCAAGGCTTTGGCAGTCCATCCTGTATGGATGCTTTAATACAAGCCGAATTCGAAACTCGGCGTTGGTCTTGCACTCGACAAACTTCTGCGATCGTTGTCCTTCCGGCAGATGTGCAAATTTGCTTTGGGTGAAGTCGCCATCGTCATCGTACTCGGGAAGGTCTTGATTGAGGGACTGAATAGTGACCTCGAGGCCAGGAACGGCTGGGAGGATCGCCATTTTGGAGTTGAGGCTGAGAAGAAGGAAAGTCCCCGATGGCTCGAAAAAAGGCACGCAAAAGTCGGTGATACAGGAAAATTGGAAGTAAGAGTGAATAAGAGTGAATAAGAGTGAAAGAATGAGAGATAGGGAGAGATAGGGGGAGAGAGAGGGAGAAAGAGAGAGAGAGCGCGTGTTCAGAAGAACAACATTCTGGGGTCTCCGCCTTGACGAGGCTGAAGATCGGGATGGACCAACAGGGCGGCCGAGGACCCGCTCTTGACTCCATGCCGCCTACGCTAAGCCCTATCTAGCATTAGTGCAAGGCATACCTAGCTCGACTTCAAGAAGTTGAAAATCCAGAATACTTCATCGTCCATAACCCTGACGTACCTAGGAAACTACAGCTCAAAATATGGATTCTGGACGAAAAGCAATGATGGCTGGTCGCGACGCGCCTGCGAGAGACATCACGGCACCACGGCGAGATCAGTCCGCGCGTGTATCGAAACCATCGCGACCACCAGGAAATCGGCCAGCAGACAACCGTTCTCGAAACAATCAAAGCTCCCTCGAAGATGAACAGTCGCGCAAGTGGGTTTCGGAGGAGGACAGCTTTGTGCTCAAGCAGGCGAAGAAGAAGGCCGACATTCGTGTTCGAGAGGGAAGAGCAAAGCCAATCGACTGGTTAGCAGTCATCCTACGAGTGATTGACCCTGATCGCGACCTACTGGATGAAGACGAGGAGGAAGTCCAGCACGATGTGGTTGATCCCGAGGGCGTTTTCGAGGGTCTCAACGATGCACAACTGGTCGACTTGGACAAAGACATCGCATCATACCTGGCGTTGGAGAAAAATAAGAAGAATCTGGACTACTGGAAGACTATGCAAATCATCTGCAATGATCGCCGCCAGAAGTTGAAACCCCTCGGTCCGGAGGAGCGTGCCGTTGGATCTGTTGCCTCAGACGTGGACAAGCTATTGGGTCCCAAGACTTATGAACAATTAGAATCTTTGGAGATTCAAATCAGAGCCAAATTACGGTCAAATGAACCCATCGACGTGGATTACTGGGAGCAATTATTGCGAAGCCTGCTGATTTGGAAAGCAAAGGCGAAGCTCAAAAAGGTCTACCAATCGGTAATCGATAGCCGCTTGGAGACACTACGGAGAGAACAGCAAGACGATGCCGAAGGAGTGCGGTCGAAAATGCAAGATTTACTAGGCGATCCCATCCCGGTCCTTGAAGAAAGTGCAGAGAACCCGACCGCAGGTGCGGATGTCTCACAAATTGTCCGACGACAATCCACTTTCCAGTACTCGTCAAAATATGACCCAGAGCCCCTGTTAAAGCTACATTCGGAAGACAAGTCGAGCGAAGTCTTAGACGAGTCAGCATTTTTACAGAGGATTGCTGCAGAGCGCCGCAAAGTGTTGAAGCTTGGATACGTTCCAATGAGACAGGCCAATAATGAGAAAGGCGCGAGCTCAGCTAGCAAGACAATTACTACATCAACAGTTAAAGTACATCCTCCTGGAACTCAACGATTCTCAACAGCTGTAAACGAAGACTTTTCGCAAGCTACCAAGGCATTGTACGATCGAGAAGTTGCTCGGGGAGTCGATGAGGACGAGGAAATCTTCACGGGAGAGGAAACAGTCGCAACAACTTCGAAGCCACAATGGGCCGACAAATACAGACCAAGAAAACCTCGATACTTCAATCGTGTGCAGATGGGTTACGAGTGGAACAAATACAATCAAACTCATTACGACCATGACAATCCCCCACCAAAAGTTGTTCAAGGATACAAGTTCAACATCTTCTATCCAGACTTGATTAACAAAGCCAAGGCTCCGACGTTCAAGATCTTCAGAGAACATGGTAGAAAGCGCGGCGAGTCTTTCGCTCCAGCTGGTGAAGAGGATACTTGTCTGATTCGATTTGTTGCGGGACCACCATATGAAGATATCGCATTTCGAATCGTGGATAGAGAGTGGGATTACAGCGCGAAGAGGGATCGTGGTTTCCGAAGCAGTTTCGACAAGGTACGCTTATTTCTTTGCTACAAACACTCAGCAAGCGCGCGTGTCAATGATTCCCCAGACACCCCCATGCTGCTCGCACCCTTGACCTGGAAAATAATTATCACACAGGGCATCCTTCAACTACACTTCCAATACAAGAAGGTGAGCATCAATCATGTGCATGTTCTTGTACCTTATTTGCTGACAAGTCATTTAGATTTACTACAGAAAATGATCGATTGTTCAGGAGGTGCCTATGCAGGGAAGGGAAGCACGGATATCGATTTGGGAAGTAGAATTGTCCACTAGGGTCAGAAATACAACTTCTCACTGAAACTTTTATCCTAGATGAAGCTACATGTCATGTGTCGCACAATTCTCCCCTTGCACACCACCGTTTCCCCCGTGGCCGTTGCGTTGCAAGTTTGTGCACCTGGCACCCTCAGTGCAGCGCAGCAGAGAAACCGTGCGTTGACGGAAAGGAGGCGATTCCACCCCGCAATGAGATTCAACGTCCTCCGCCCACGTTGTCAGACTCTAGCCATGACTTCAACTGGTAACTGATAGGAAATATTGACACACTCCCCACATTTCCCCTGGTGTAGCTTGATTGCGGCCAGCCACCTACCTGCCCGCTTCACCCAAGATCCTTGTGAACAGAATTTCATCTTAACCTGCTTGCAGCTTTCTTATCACTCCCCATCCAATCATCAGAAAGCTGCACGCGGAATCAGACCTGGTGTCCAGACGGGTAGGTGACGGCAGCCTCTGAGCCTCCCGTTTCTTCTAGAAGCAAGTTCAACGGATGCCCGATCAGGAAGCGTCTTCTTTGATAGCGTGGCCCTTTTGCACAAGATTCAAGGCTGTTCAGGGCTTACGGTGGAACCAGGAAGCTTTTCTCCTGCTCATACTGATCACCTTCCTTCCACTTCGTTAGTTTAGCGGCATGCACGTAACCATGAGCCGAGCAATGGACACAACATCTGCATCCACAGCAGCTGCATTTCTGCAGCCTCAGTACCTCAGTGAAGCGTTTTCTTCGCTCACAGAAGAGCAACTGATTGCTTCCAGAGCCTCTCCACAGACGGTAGACCATTCCATTCAGTCCTTCTCTCATGTCACTCTCCGCTCAAACGGGGCTTGCACGACAGATCATGAGCTTGTACCCATGCGTTGTCAGCGCAGTCCTGCATGCTTCTCTATGACCTTGTCCTGTCAGAAGCCGCCGGGGTAGGTATGCTTGGTCGGTCTCAAGAGGCGACAGACACACCAAGTCTCCTATCTCATTCATTCGATATCTACATCCGATCTCCTTTGCTATTCCAAGACCTTCAAATTCTCCGACTCGGATATTTACCTCCATTTCCACCCGTCCCCCTCGTCGTACAATAAGAAGTAACAGCAATCCAATATTCTTTGAACGAGATACCACCTCATCCCTTCGCCACATCACAGGCGGGGGACCTGCTGTTGTTCTTTCTTTATCATTACAGTTCCAGTCACAATGAATTCTGGTTCTTACTACCAGCATCGAACCCAGATGCCGTCTGGATTGCCTGAAGACTTCGAGTATGACGAGAGCATTGATGCCCCAGCGCAAGCGTCTCAATCAATGTTCGCCTCCTGTGATGGCCTCCCCCGGACACCGTCTCAGCAACTGATGAGTTCGTCTTCTCTGGCATCTAACATTCTGGGCGAGAACAACAACTTCAATCTTCATCAGCCAATGCCAATGCCAATGTCAATATCCATGGCGAACTCCTCTATGGCGTGGGCAGATCCCAATCAATCTGCCGGAGCTTTCGAGAGTCAAAACAGCAACAATAACAGCTACGGTTATGGCTACTCGCCATCAAACATGGGTGGAAACGAGCACAATGGAACCTTCTTCCGAGGTTATCAACACCAGCAAGAGCAGCTTGAACAGACACCTCGATACATGCCAAACATCTTCAACAACAATAACAATGGCATATCTCCTGACGAGAGCTTCGAGCCTTCATCCTATTTTCTCGATTCCAGCAAACCTGGTATGCAGAACCTGAACAACGGCATGGTCTCTTCATTCAACTACCAACACCTATCGAACACTCGAGATCACCAACGTCTCAGCATTAGTCACAGCCCAGCTCCAAAGCTCGAGCACGACGATGCTATGGACAATAGTCTATCCTTCGGGCGTCCATCTCCATTTGACATGCCGTCGAGCGAGAGTTCAGAAGAAGGCAGCAGCTCCCGCGAGATGACGGCCGTCGAAGTCGACGATCACAATGCTGAAGAGCCATACGCTAAGCTGATCTACCGAGCACTGATGAGCCGTCCCAACCACTCAATGGTCCTCCAAGAGATCTACCAGTGGTTCAGGGAGAATACGCAGAAGGGCAGCGCTGTTACCAAAGGATGGATGAACAGTATCCGTCACAACTTGTCCATGAACGCTGTAAGTCTACTCTCTAATATATTCTGCCTTCTTTCAGAACTGACACTCTCCTCTACCTTCCAGGCCTTCAAGAAGACCGAGCGCAAGACAACTGGTGACGACACCAAGAAGTCTACCGAGTGAGTTCTCGAAGAATTCGCGATCCGAGATGGCGTACAATCAACAACCCGCTATCGCAAAGGTACCGGCGCAAAGAGGTTCACCCGGAACGAGACACCTGCCCACTCTCGCGTCGTCTCAGGTCGCAGAGTAGGCATGTCAGCCAAACAAGTTCAAGCGCAAGCCAAATTACAGCACCAGCAGCGACAAAGAAGCGGTGTTATGATGAAGTCGGGCGACGAGCGAAGAGCCAACCACCCCACGCGGGCAACTCAGCGCCTCGACAACACCAGAAGATCAGAATTCCATCAGCAGACCCGGTCACAGATCTCACAGCGCCAAAGATCTCCCTTGACGCCACCCAGCGCGGGCATCGTCGCCTCTCCCGGCCATGGCCCGTATCCCTTCTCCAAGACCGAGCAAATCGACATGTCGTATGATGACCTGTATCGTTTTGAGGATGTACAAGGAGTCTGTATTGATGACGGAAGTCCCCTCTTCAGAAACGTTCCCGAAGCCCACTTTCAGAGCGGTCGAACCATGCCCAATCATCGCTTCTAAAGATGCTAGCATCCGGGTAACCGGTGAGGGAGGCTGGTTCTTTGTGATGTATCGTGTATAATGGAGGAGGTCTGCCTTTTCGGTACTAGAGGCATATTTCTACTGTTTCTTCATCAAACAAAGCCTCCTGTACAAAGAAATTGGCAGTGATGGCAGAGAATTTTGGTACTTTTGCGTGGAGTAACGACTTTGATGGTTTGCTTGTTGCTGGTTATTCTTGTATCGTATCTGTCGGTGTCTTCGCCGAGTGGGGCCTTGAAGCAGTTCGTGAGCATAAGGTAGCAGACATCCTCTTTTGGACTTGAAGTATGCAGGGTGTAATTGCTTGCTTGATTCGTTCTGAACGTATCCAGCTAGTTTTAAGAAGATCCAGAACGATACCGGCGTTCCACCACAATGTAATATGATATGTCACATCTATCTTGACCTATTCCTATGGAGGTGGCATACCCCCAGCTTTGTAGGTGAGCGTGAAGAGCGTTGTTGAAATGACAGTGGCCTGATCCTTCTGCACCTCGAGGCCTGTGACAGAGCTCGTTCGTACCCACTGCACCAACTCATTTGCAAGCATACAATAGGATAAGCTTGCAATGTGCTCCAATTTGCTCCAGGAAAGTGATTTTAGCTTTTTGACGGGTTGGGAGGCGAGCAGCGGGTTGTCCAGCCCATCAACCAACCTTTGGTCTTCAGATATCAAAGGGGCTTGGAAGTAGCTGTTGAGTTGTTGAACGCGAGGCTGGTGAAGTTTCTCGCTCAGTATCAGACAGACGGGACGTGAAGTAACACAAAGTGCTCTGCAACGGTCCAACGGAACGTTTTCTGAGCTTCCGCTGCACGCCTTCTGCACTGCAATGTTGACAGGTGGGCTACTGGCGGTGATCCCACCTCCACTTCTTCAATAACACTTGGCGTCTAAAGCTCTTGAGTGATCACACGGGTTTGCAAGCCACTACTCCTTTCGGACCAGCATCAGACACTCGGCGTGGGGGACCCCTTGCTCTTCCTTTGTGCAATTCGCACAAGCTTATAAAACCATTATTTCTCATGTATCTTGACGTCGCCTTTTCAACATGTCATCTTTTGTGCTGTACAGTACTCGGCTTCAGCTCTCGCAAATGTTTCCCTATGTCGAAGGGTAACCGAGTATAGACCGGGGCTCATGCAATAAGACCTGAGAGAACGCAGACTGGCCGCTGAAGCCCCCCATTCCCAAGTTTTCGGCGAACCGGCTACCGGATTTCAGATTTGTGTCCCAAGTTGCTGCGTCGTATGAGAGCGAGAACGAGATCGATCGATGAGATCTCGATACTTTGGCGCGAGGTGGCAGTCTTTATATCCAACAAACGGGATCACCTATATAACCCCAGCTTATATTGAGAGCTGGAGATCCGTGGGGAACGTAAACCTAAAAACAACGACTGGCGTCTCGATGGTACAGGCTAGCCTGGGCTGCTGCACGACTTGTACCCTTAGACTTGCCACCATGTGGAAGCCAATAGATATACGGAACAGTCCTAACTCTTACAGACTTGTGCCTCTTTGCTGTGTGAGAGCATGTTAGAGGCAATAAACATGGCAAAAATCAGCAGTCACCTTGATCTTCTGTCGTTCTGTGGGGGTGTGCGAGAGGCTTGCATCCGGGGGTCATGAGCAACATCCGAACACTTCCGCTTATTTCATTCTTTCTCGGAATAGGCTTCCCGGGCTGCATAGCATATCTTGACCGCATGGGACGGGCCGTTCTAGAAAAAGGATATGCCCCTTGATTTCAGACTCAATTCCGGAATCTGTAGTGGCGGATCCACGAACTCGGTCATGGCGTTTGATGTCTCAACAATCGCGCATGTCATCCCTCAGCTCCTGTTGGTTCCCATCGACCTGCTTGAATGAGATACATACATGAATGTGATTAGGTCGGCCAGTCCAAGTCCTACTGCTGCAGTTGAAACCTAATGTGAAGACCTGCGTACGCATTATGAGATGCTACCAGCATTGATGCTGCTGAGCCGCTTCTCTGCCTCAGATTGAAGTCGATGCGTGAAAATAATCAGATTTGTAAGAGATAAAAATGACGGCAAAAGAGCTCCAACTACCTCCATGTCTAAGCTACGAAAGATCAGAACATGGGACAACAACGAGGGCGATCAACACCTGCCAACTTGTTGAGGAGAGATTCCGAGACCTGGCGTAAGTCCTCTAAGAATCCCAAACAGCGGCCAAAATTCGCCTCGACCAATCGATGGAGGCTTTATTGATTAACAGAATTGCAAACATAAGTTTCCGTATACCACTCGGATCTCGAAGTTGGTCGTAATTGCAACAATTAACCGGAATCAGAAACACCAATGTGGAAACTCGAATCTGCCCACTCTACCCAAGCAAACAACAGGCTCGTCAATGAATGTGATTCTCAATATGATTGGCGTTGGGGGTATCAAGTCTGTATAGGAACAGTGAACGCTGTGAATAGGTCATGCGTGCCCTTGGAGTTACACGACAGGTGACGACAACGTGACAGCGAACACAGTAATATCCATATTTGCACTTGCTAGCATAGCTGCTTTCGAGAGGGGGTAAATTTGCCTAGGAATCTGCCCGTAGTGAGTCGTAATGCGATAAAGGAGCTTGAAGGAAAATCGAGAGAGGTTTAATTATCACATGATCAGAAAAAGTTTTTTCGGAAGTCGGCTTCTTGGACTCATCTCGGGATTTTCCGTCCGCGAATTCCGAAGTGAGATTGTAGCCACGGAACGACTTCAATTTATTGAAACTTTACTGATCCCGCTATAAATCTTGTGATGTTTGCTGCAGTCCTTCTACTGTCTCGTATCTAGGTTTAGTTTTGAGGTCCAGCGGGTTGGAATTTCGGCCGGATCTTTCTGGTGAACTTCCACCAATCGTCTGAACTCTTGATATTGATCGACAAGGGCAATACTTCGGGTACCTGAGAACAAATGTCTGGGCGAATCATACCAAGCAAATCAAGCTTTTGATGGGGCTTTCAGTGCGGGGTTTGGGGGACAGCCATGAAGCTTGCATCAAAGTTTCGATGGAGAACCTGGGGGTCATTGATTACCCCCCGAAGATTCGAACAGGGTGGTTGGCTGGAGCTGGAAACAAACCCCAGCATAGATTGTCTATCGCCGTCATGACAAGGTATGGCCTTGCAATCCGGAAAAATGGACAGCTTTCATCCTAATGACCGCTCCACCGGTTCTGCAGTCCCAGTAGAATTACAGATGAACTCAAAGAATAAATTCAGGATGATCCCCAATTCAACCGTTCAGCATCCATCGCCTTCTTTGCTGTTTCCTCTCAGCACGAATTTTGAATCCAGCTCAAGATGCGTCTCCAACTGCCAGCACTCCTCCTCCTTGCATCGACAACTCTGTCGGTCGCAAGTCCAACTTGGCAAGCGTTCCAAGAACGGGCACAGAGCTCTGGAGGGAAGCAAGCTCCTCAGCATACCTCGTCTAGACCAAAAATCTCCTACTATCCGAAAACACCTCACAGGTGCCCACCGTCTCCTCCTTCAAGAAACAGGGTTTGTTATGTCAAGAGCCACAATGATGGCGTCAGTGACGATGCGAAATATGTCATGGATGCTCTGCACTCTTGCAACAATGGTGGCCATGTAGTCTTCAAGGAGGGTGTTAAATATACCATCGGCACCGCTCTTGATCTGACATTTTTGAACCACATTGATATTGGTATGAAACTTCTTCACCTAATAAATCTTCGCAACTAAGTTAAGACACCAGACATCCAATCATATATTCAATTTACCAACGACACAACGTACTGGCAAGCCCATTCATTCCCCTTTGTATTTCAGAACGTCACGTCGTTCTTTAAGCTTGGGGGCAACGACGTCAATATCTATGGAGGCGGAACTATCGATGGAAATGGCCAAGTCTGGTATGATGCTTATGCCGCCAACATCTATACACTGCGTCCCGTTTTGATTGGCATCGATGGACTTAAGAACTCGATCATAAGTGACTTGGTATTAAGATATTCGCCCGAATACTACTTCTTTGTGGCAAACTCTACCAACGTGGTATTTGATGGGATCGACATTGCAGGTGGAAGCAAGTCCAAGAACCTGGCGAAAAACACGGATGGATGGGACACATACAGAAGCTCAGACATTGTCATCCAGAACTCGGTTGTCAATAACGGAGATGGTCAGTAGTATGCCAAAAACATCACTAAATCATGCTAACAATTCAAGATTGCGTTTCATTCAAGCCAAATAGCACAAACATACTAGTGCAGAACATGTTCTGTAATGGATCTCACGGTATCTCAGTTGGCTCCCTTGGCCAGTACGTTGGTGCGTACGATATTGTCGAGAATATCTATGTTTTCAACACATCTCTACACAATTCCACTGTAAGTAAATCTATAAGTGTCGACGGATGCATATTCTGACATGATATAGGACGGAGCACGCATCAAAGTCTGGCCAAATTCCCCAACAGCATTCAGTGGCGATTTACAAGGAGGTGGTGGCGATGGCCGAGTCCACAACATTACTTACGACGGAATGATAATTGATAATGTGGACTACGCTATCGAAGTCGACCAATGCTACGGCCAAAAGAACTTAACTCTCTGCTTGGAATTCCCGTCGCCGTTGACGATCACGGATATCGTTTTCAAGAACTTCCAAGGCAAAACAAGCAGCAAATACCAACCACAGATTGGAACATTTGCGTGTTCTAGCGAGAATGTCTGCAACAATATTGTCGCCTCGAACATCGATGTTCTCAGTCCAATTGGTACCGATCAGGCGTACTGCTTAAACGTGGACCAGACAACTTTGGATGTGGAGTGCACCACAGTCTTCAAGGGCTTCAACTAACGGTTTTGAGATAACGGTACATAATTCAAATGGAACACGATAAACGTGCATCTGCAGATTCGAATCGAAATTGTATGCAAGAATGAGGCACTGTGAATTCCAAAGCGTTGTGAAGTGATGAGCAGATTCAAAACTACAATCTACAAAATTGAGGCAAGCAAGACTATGCAAAAGTGCTAATACGATGTACAGGGCCAACTGGGCACGTAGTCGGTAAGGCAAAGATATGCTTTAAAATGAGTTTTTCAGCGGAAAATATACGAAATCGAAGATTGAATGAACGAGGATGTGGACGATACTGCAAGATGAGAACACTGAAGACGAGATGTGATAAAGAGAGGCCGAGACTATGGGAAAGATCTTGTTCTTCAACCCACAGAAGAAGGTTCATATATGCATTGCATAAACTCGAGAAAAAGAGAGCAGCTATCCTGGGATCAACTGCCAACCGAGGGAAGCGCAGAACGCCATGGTCGAGTTTAGCGAGAACTCGCCTCCACAAATTCGAAGTCAACAAAGAACAATTAATGACTAGAAAAACGGTCAAGTCTAATTTTTATTCCATTGCATCATTATAATCAAATCTTCCACGAGAACTATATAACAAAGTCTTAATACAACGTCATCCACACTTAGTCTTCGAGCGAAATGCCGCTCTTTTCACGAGCCGACGTGATTCCAATCACACAACCGTACTTCGGAACTTGCTACGCCATTCCACGACATTGAAACCTCGCGATTTTTACCCACTCATATGCCTTCTGGATCATGCTATTCGGACCTTTATCAGCATCAAGAAAGGGAAACAAAAATCATGAAGTAACGTGACCAAGTATGGAGTGCGGCCGCTTCGTAGAGTACAAGGCTGCAAAGATCCGCCGCTGCCTGTTCAATAACACACTACCAGCACCAACGCATACCTGCCTTATCGTCCACGACATGTCCATGTATATGTATCGCCCGCCCTGAAATGCAATGGATACGTAGCTGTTAATTAAAGATCTGTCGGTACCCGGTCTCAAGACTCCTCCTGCAGAAGAATCACCGCCGAGTTGAGATTCTGCTCTCACTGTTCCACAGCCTCGCCGCTTGCCCGACGCGTCTCCCATTTCACTCCGAGCACAACACAACAGCAACACCCCCCCTCTTTCAACCAGAACAGTAACGGATACCAGCATGGCGTGGTACGCTCTACCACTATCAGCGTCTGCCGGTGCACATCTGCCGCCCCTCCTTCTTTCAACGGCATTCACTGCCAGCTCGTTTACAGTCCACCTTACAGACCTCACGCATATCTGGAGCGAGACTCTCACCCGGGCCGAGATTGTACAACGCAGCAGAGAGGAGGGGACAAGCATCGATCCCAGCGAGACGGGCCAATTGAAAATATTCCTGGAGAAGATCAAGCTCGGCCTTGCAGGTGGGAAAGGTACAACATTAGCTCTCACTATCAACGGCGATCCGGATCGGCCCTCTCTTGTGCTCAGCGTGTCGGTCAATCTCCCGGGCGGACTTCAACCACTACGATGGCCTGTTCGGCTGTCTGCGGCACCGCAGGCTTTGCTGACGAGTCAGTTGACAATGCCGCTGTTGCAAACGCATCATGTACACATGCAGGAGATGGCTGGGCTCATAGATGTGTTGAAAGATAAGGATCATGTAATACAAAAGCTACTGGACAAGCTAGAGGAACAAGGGATTGAACTGGGTCAGATATTCCCGCAGGCCGCAGGGAAGGTTGGACGTAAAGTGGATCGCAAGAAGGCAGAGGAAAAAGTGAGAGGTATTGCTCGATTTGATGTGGATGCTTGGCGGCAAGGACTCGATTGCGGGCAGCCAGAAGAAAAGTCGAAATTGATTGGAGAGGTATTCTCGTCGCAGACAGACAATGCGAAATCTGAATTTCCTGCAGCCAATGAAGAACAGCAAAGTTGGTGGGAAGACATCAAGGGACTGACAGTCCAGCTCGATTCTGGCAAGATATCGACAAAGGGTCCCTCGAAACCCAACAAATCAACACCTCAACCAACATTAAACAAAGACGAAACACAGCAAGAAGATGATGCCTTCCAAACTCAGTCCACTCCACCTCCTGTTGCTACGAGATCCAAACCACCTCCATCCAAATCAGCTCTGAAGTCCACCAAAATAGGTGACTCTACGGATGAAGACGACGATGATCTTGACGGACCATCTCAAAGCTCTAGAGTCCCCGACAGCTTCCCAGCATCACCACCACCTCCATTCTCCAAACCGACCAAGAAACTCGGTGGCCTCGGCAAGAAAAAAGTTGCTCATCAACACTCTCCGCCAGTTGAGTCTAATGATGACGAAGACGAAAAAGGTTCTGCAGAGGAGACCACATCCCGTGAATCTAGCCCAACAAAGCAGAGAACAACATCTCCAACTCCCGAATCTATTTCAGTGCCCCACCGACCCCAAAAGAAGCTCGGTAAATTACCTGGGGCCAAGAAAGTCGCTCCTCCGGCTGAGCCTGAACCAGAACCAGGTGCTGAGCCACAACATTCTTCAACAGAAGACGATGCAGAACCAGAACAGGAGAAAGGAAAAGAACCATCTCTGTCTCCACCACCCGCCCATTCCTTAAAAGCAAAGAAAGGTAAACTCGGCTCCCTCGGCCGGAAAAAGAACACTGTGGCAGCCTCTACGTCCGCCTCAGTCGACCAAGAAGGAGATCCAGACGCGGAACCAGCATCCACGCCACCCGCAAGCACTCCCCCCGAATCGCACCCTGGCTCAAACGCAACTACACCGAAGCGCAAACTAGGCGGTCTCAGAGGAAGCAAGAAGACCAAGAAGGAAGATGGAGTGAAAGAAGAGGAGAGTAGTCAGCGAGGAAGAGGGAGTTCGCCCGTGGAGAAAGAGGTGACGAAAACGCCGGAGCCGAGAGAGACGTCGTTGGAGAGAGCGGATAGGAAGAGAGCGGAGTTGAAGAGGGAGTTGGAGGAGAAGGCTAAGGCGCCGGTGAAGAAGAAGAGGAAGTTTTGAGGAGGGGAGGGAAGGAAGTTGGATATATACCCTTCATACGATGTGTAATTGAGATGTACGGATTCATCTTGGTTGAAGATCAAGTTACTATAGCATTCTATATCATCAGCGCACTGCCTACGACCAGAACAAAACCCAGATGCAAGACCAAACGCCATTCGCCATGCAGATTGAACCAATGTAACCGCCATAGGGTATATCATCTCTAAACGCCGAATCCCATCTCCACCCATATGTACTCCGAGTCCATATTACCCCTCCTCTCCCGGCGCAACAAGCTTAACACTCTTCTTCCTCTCTAGTCCCCCTATACCCACACCGCGTTCATGGCTACTAAGACCATTAACCCCTAGGGCAACCCTTACCCCCTCCACAGCCTGACTCTGCTTAACTTCTCTCCCATCCCTCCTCACAGGGGTGCCCACCCGCCCAGCACCCCCTCTCCCACCCTGATGTCTCGCGTTCTCTCTGACCAATGCATCCATCTCTCTAGCCCTCACAGCTTTCTTCTCTTCAGCCCTCTGCTCCCTCCAAGATCCAGGTAGACAAGGATGCAGACAACCTTCTAAGGGACAGCACCCATCAGAATACTTCTCTCCTTCTTCGTACTCCGCCCCGGCGTGCCATGCTTGCATACAAGCGCCGTGTCCACCGTGGCCGCAGCCGGGACATAACCACCAGAGTGGAGCTTCGATCTCAATATCGTCTGTCTCGTACTCTGAGGTGTCAGGTAGGTCGCGATGCTGGCAGATCGTACAAGGATCGATAAATTTTCTACAGCGGGGGCATTTCCATACTGATCCGGGGATCAGAGGGTCGTTTTCAAGTGGTTTATTACAGTCTGTACAGTAGAAGCCGATTTTGATGTCTTCTTGTGCCGGTGCAAAGACGGCTGGGTATTGAGGTACGCAAAGATTTCGAAGGAGGGCTGCTTCGGTGAAGAGTTTCATGCTGGTGAGCCGGAGATGGTATTGCCGTAGAATGGCACCGGCTTGTATGCCATCTATTGCGGAGGAGGGGAGCAGGGGACGCAAGAGGAGGACCATGACTGCGGCATTCAGAGCACTGGTTTGTGCTTCAAAGTCGATTGCTCGTTGAGCTAGTACAGTGGGATCGATGGGCTTGATCAGAAACTCGGGGTCGTTTGGCCAAGGAAGAAAGTCGCTCTCGATGATGTTGGGATCTTCTGACATTTTCTCTGATGTGGTAGGACTGATTGGCTCTTCCATTTGATACTGATTCTTGACTGGAGTGGTATCGATACCTCTTGGTGCAGATGCCTCATGCAGTCTAAAAGTTGGGGGCAACGGGGGCGATGATGGACTCTCTGGCAAGCCATTTCTCATATCTCTGTCCTGTTGTGATTCAGGAGTGAGATGTCCCGGAGAGCTTCCATCGGTTGGAGCGTCTGAGTCGATACTCTGACGATGCCTGGGACCAAGGTAATGATCATTTTCCCAATTTGCAACCCTGTCCCTCAGCCTCTGTCGGTCATCCTGGTTTACGCTTTGGCGATCGCTGTCCGAAGACCCCAGGAATTTACTCCCATGGGAGTCGGCGGATGTTGAAAACATCTGAAAACTCTCGGCTGAGTCGTGACGTTGTGGCTGGATCCTAACCGGTTTTTGAGGCGGTTCGTGGTACTCTAATCGCAGCGGAGCTTTTTTGACAGGTGCAGCAAAGTCGATTGTAGGTGAAAAAGAATCCAAGCCGTAGAAATCGTAACCCTCGACGCTAGACGATGAGTGTTGAGGAGGTTGTTTCGCACCAGGTACGGGAATCGGGCTTGGAGTCTTGGGATGAACAGCTTCAGGGAGGACCAGGTCATCGTCGATTACTATGGGAGTGTGCATAGCTTCTCGCCTCTCTTGAACAATGTGATCCCGCACAGGGCGCACCAAGGGTGTAGCAACATTAGATGTACTCTCAATGTCTTCCTGGATCATTGAAATTCCGTGCCGATGCAGAGCACTTTCGTGAGATTGTTGAGGGCGTGGTAACCTCCTAGGTGTTTCTTCTCCTCTGTCCGTTTCAGCCCTTGATTCAGGCGTTGGATCCTGTTCTGGCTCCTCGTTGGAAGGGGCCTTGATTTGGAGTCGTGATTGACGATGGAATTCAGCACGTCTACTTAGCAACAGATTCATCGTGTATGAAAGAAGTCGCCAAGTTTGAGCTAAGCGAAAATATCCAACATTCTCAGCAGTTCGACCGTACGACTCCATGATCATCGTTGCCCGAATATTCGCTGATTGCGAATAAAGTTCAGGGTAGCATTTTTTGTCAAGTCGCATAAGATACCGATTCGTGAAGTATTGGTACATTGTCCGCTTGGCGGTTGAAGGTGCGTGGCCAATAGCCATGACTTGTTGAGGTTTATACGTCCCAGTGATCTTTACTGCTTCATCGAGAGGCATTACTTTATTATCAGCAAATCCAATACTAGTAGGCGGAGTTGTGCTGAGCGACTGGCCACGCCCACTATGCCGTCTTCGATGGCCTTTCTTCAGCCTGGGTCCTAGAAAGCTGCCTACAACATCTTCTTCCGAGTCACTTCGACTAACACTTAGAAGAGGACCACTTCCACTGTGTTTGAAGCCCGGAGAAGATTCAGGGGATGTGATAGAGGGACGAGACCGTTTCGGAACTTGTCGTGCCTCTAGCATCATGAGAACGTCTCCCATGGGAGAAAATGCCAAAGTGGAAAGACTTCGCCGCTCTATGAGTTGGTGCACGAAAGCAACATCGGTTTGGGTGAAATGCCCCTCTTTATCAACACTCCAAAGCAGATCCCGAGAATTCCAAACAAGGGAGGTTGGAGCACTGTTCCACTGTTCAACTTCCTTGAACGGTAAAGCAGATCGTGCAAGGTCCCAGATATGCACCATAGAAGTTTGATTTCTTCCTGGATTCGAGTCGTCATATGCAACAGTGACTTGGGCCGCTCGTTTTCCTTGAGCAGTCGCAGACCAGCAGGCAGGTCGCCAGGACACCCTGGAAACTGGCGCAGGTGTCATAAACGTGTATCTAGGCTTTTGACTTCTGTCTCCCGTCTTTGAGAGATCCCATACATGGCAATATTGGTCTATGCCTCCACTAATCAAATGTCCACCATCTGGATGCCAGGAAATCGAAAAGCATGCGCTTGAATGTGCCGAAAGCTTCAATACAGGCGCTGTGACCTTTCGAATATCCCACTTTTGAATTACACCGGCATCGGTACAGCATGCAAACTCCATTCCATCTGTTGGCGACCATTTCACATCCCGAACAGCCTCGGCATTGCATTTGAAAGTTGCCAGTGCCTTGAAAGTCAAACCGTGTCGACCCTGTTGGAGAGTCTTAAGGTCCCAGCTCCGTACGGTTCCATCGTGACTTGCGGACAGGAGCCAATTGTTTCTGAACGGGCTGATATCGAGTTTGTGAACTTGCCGAGCATGTTCTTGTATGCGCCCAACCTCGAGACCCTCTACTCTTCGATTAAGGTCGTAGACAGTGATCCTTCCGTTCCCACAGGCCGTGATTATGTAGGAGTCCAGGTCGCCCCATGACCACTTAACAGCCCTTATGTTGAGCTGCTCTGGTGTTGCGGCAGATGGATCGTGGCTATTCGCATACGAAATGATAATGGCTCGAAGATCCAACTCCTCGGTGATTGTTGGCCCGTCTATCCTCAAGATCTTAAAAATCTTTGAGCCAGCAACAACAGCCCTCAATCCATCAGGAGACCGGTCAACACAGTTTATCGGGACACCTGCTGAGTAGACGGTATGTTGCGATGCGCTCGGCCTGAGTTGTGGGGAATCAAGGGTGCTCGTATCGACGTTCTCGTTTGGGGTAGAGGTCGCGGTTGGCTGTCGGAGCAGCTTTCTCATAATATTACTCTTCGTATTCATCTTCACAGATGCACCCCGACGTTTCAAGGAGGCATGGTGTTGTTGCGCATGTTGTTCGTTGTTGTCGCTCTAGGTGACTTCAGAGCTCGCTGTTGACCTCGAATTCTGCCCGCTTCACCGCCTTGATTTGAAAAGAAGCTCTCTCATTGGCCTTTCAGGTGCTCACATCAATATCAACAGTGTATTTCATCTCTCGCTTTTTTCTATGCTCTGAATCGGGAGCTGTCTTCAATCTTATCATATCAAATCATGGAACTGCAGCTACCATGCAGATGCTAGATACCCCGCACATGCTTAAACTCACCTCCTTAACTTTCGAGAAACACCCAGACTCTACTTTACCTCAACCTCTCAGCAACCGAAAACTTATAATCAAATGTATGGTTAAATTTTTCACGTCGTACTGCTCTTGATGGTTGATGTATCATACTCCAATGCCAATAACTCACAGAAGACAGCAGCGCCATTCTTGGTATTTCTTTTTCCGCTGAAGCCCTCTTTCAAAGCTAATTGATGCAATTTAAATTGATAGTTGTAGAGTCGGAAGATCAGATTCTCCGTGACATGGTCTCTAGATTGTCGAACATGGGGGCGAAAACAATTTCCACATAAACAGCAACCAGAAACAAGAAAATCATTATCAACAGTCACATGCTCATAAAAAAAAGCCACTTATCTGGTAACCCGATGATATCTCGAGACCATGAGCTACTGGCTGGAGACTTTCAATCTCGATCACTAAGTTCTTCTATCACTAAGTTCTTCTATCGCGAAGCTGTACGACCGAAAGATGGCGAATTGACCGTGGAAGAGAAGACTCGGCCGCTCGGGCTGAGATCTGTTAGGAGAGGTCATAAAAGCGGAGTTAATTCTGGCAGTGATGGTGTTCGCCCAACCATCATGATGTCAATTTTGCAGTAGTATAGTGATATGCTGATAGAATGTATCATGATGCCACATGAACGCTCGTTTTTGAACAGTTCTGGCTCAATCCCATCTGAGGGCAGTCAACAAAACCTCTGGAGTGAGTTTATTGACAATCATATAGGCTTCGCTTAGCTCAGTAGGCAGGTAGTGACAATGAAATGACCTGGTTCCGCTAAAATATAGCTCTGCAACCGCCATAGCTCGTGTGGGCAAGTAACTTGAGCCTCAAGCTGGACGAGTATTGACGTACTAATTTCTCAAATACAGCTATGATATTACCCAATGCTTTGAGACTCACAGCGACCAGTTTTATCGCTGAAATCATAAGCTGATCCCCTGAAGTTTCACGTGAGAGCGACAACTGACGTTGGACGCCCAAAGCCGTCTTACGTCAAAGTCAGCACGGAAGAACAGATCCGGCAGAATCATGTTCATGGTGAAATTTTTTTGGCACGAGGATTACATGAGATTTTCCCACGCGATAAGCAGCGATTATTGGAACCGGAATCTCGACCCTTTCGTATGCACAACCAAGGTATGCCAAGGACTGCATCAAATCCCACATACCAACATCTTCCCCGGCTACGGCACGGCCAATGAGTCACTAGGCGAAATGCCTCGTTCAGCATCTGCAAAGCTTGTCTTTGTCACTGGCTTTTCAAAATTCGGGACTATGACGCATGCGTTAGCTGAGCACTAGACATGTGCTGACTGTTACCTACGTTTCCAGTATTAGACAGTGCACATGAAATATAGATCGAAAACGCGAATAGCTCTGTATATCACATCCAAAGAGTTCACAAGTTTCTTCTCATCTCATCAATGTCCAGAATGTCGACCGCAACAGCTCAACAGCCAGCAACTCTGCAAGCCTCGTTTAGATACTACTCAGCTACCGAGCCCCCGGACTTGAACGACCTATCCGCGTTTTTGGGATCGTCATCCCAAGTGTCGTCTCTCATTCAACCCGTCACCGATCTCCGCAGCTTTCCTGCTCCACTCTCGAGCTACAGCCATGAAACACACGGCTTCCAAATCCTCAATCAAAAGCTCCCGATTGACAGCTCCCATGATTCCGTTCACGATGAGGAAGTCATCAATATGAAATACTACCCCGCTATGGTCTCTGTTCTCAAGAAACAGCTCGGTATTAGAGCTGCTGCTATTGTCAACCACACTCTTCGCGATGTAGCCTCCATTGATATGACCGATGTGGACAATACCAATCCACGATCAAACGAGAAGTCAAGAGGAACACCGCCATTTTTCATCGCGCACTCGGATTACACAGCTGGAGGTGCGAGAAGTCATCTGCGCGCCATGACTCAGGAATGGACTGACCCTAGTCAGAGTCCCGAAGAGAGAGAGCTTTTCTTTCACCTAAAGGACGAAATTCTTGCAGCTGAGGATGCCATCATTGCAAAATCTGGTCTTGGACGTGGTAACGGAGACATGTTGAGGGGGACCGGAGGTCATTGGGACTGGGATGGAAAAGGCTACGATGGCCCTCGCTACGCGATCTTCAGTATCTGGAGACCATGGGAGACTGTGAAGCGTGACCCTCTCGCTCTCATCGCGACGCCAGAATCCGAATTACAGTTCGCTGTTTTGCCACGAACATATAAAGATCGTCCAGGCCATGTGAAAGAGTATTACAGCGATAATCCACTCGTGAGAGTTCCTCCAGCCGAAAGCCCACTTGAGTGGTACTATCTAAGCGATCAGAAGCCGGAAGAGATCTATGCGATCAAGCTTTATGATAGTGAAGCTATGCGGCGGGGTGATGGGAGTATCAGGTCTTTGTGTCCCCACAGTGCTTTCCGCATCGAGGGCACAGAAGATGCTCCTCCACGACGAAGCAGTGAATTGCGAGTTTGGTGCATCTGGTAATCTAAAGGATATCGTCACCCAGAGTTTGATAAATAATACATGCAAATTAATATTTTGTGATCTCTAAGGATAACTATTTCCAGCTGGAGTCCCGTGCTGGCTCCACATTTATGGCATATTCTGAGAGCGAGCGACACGATCAGGTTATGACAGACATTATCATGGTCACGATCTGGAGCATGTTGTTCTAAGTTGGAAGACAAGCCATCAGTCACTCAGTTCATGGTACATTCTAACGGAATTCTCAGTGTTAAAGGGCGAGCTCCGCGCTTGACTGAATACCGAATCTTGACCTGACATAAAGTAAACAACCTACCCTACTCTACAAAGAATAAAGAATAGAATGTCCTTGTCAGGGTAGACAGTTAATTGAACCAGTCACACAAATGTACTTCGTAAATATTAAATTTCGAACTCCCTTTTTGTTCAGTATCGCTTGAGACTTTTTATATGAGTCGTGTGATTAGAGGTTCTTTGATGAAGCGGTTTGGTGGTGGTGTGTTGTTGTGTGTGAAGAACAATTCCATTTCAAGGAGAACAAATGCTGATTATTTAGGAATTCGGAGAAAACAAGCGAGATCTTGATATAGAATCTGGAAGCTGGTCGAAAGCTGAAGAATTCTCAAATGAATTCAGCTGTGATCGATCTGCTGAAAACTTTCGCACTAAACTACTTGAACCTGAAGTTGAACTCTTAGCCCTCGTGAATCACTATGCTAAAAAACACAATTCAAATATCAACTGGACTCCTACTCGTGAGATCAGGCCTTCCTGCTTTTTTGTAAAAAAAACTTACAATTGATTTTCATAGAGGACATCACATCTTTGCACTTTCAGATTGCTCCGATGCACTGAGAACTTGATTATCATACCATCCATCACTCACATGCTCGACTTTTCCAGCAGCTAAAGCTAGGAGAATAGCTTTCCAATGAACCTATAGAGTTTTAACTACGTATGAAATAATTATCTTTTGAGAAAGGCGAAGAATGTACTTGCGTACACAGGTTCAGCTGCCGAGAAGCTTCGTTTATGGAGCTGGATTGAGTTGTCCGATTGCAAATATAATGCTATCGAACGACGACGAGACAATCAAATGCTTGAATCTAGACTACACAATCGTTAATATAAACAATATGAAAGTAATCATGGCTAGAATATCGCAAACACATGTGATTGAAGCTAAGATTTGGTTCAGCTAACCCATGTAAACATTGGGCCCCTCATTAAGCGAGTTCGCCTTATCGGTTGAACTTCGGTTAAGTACGTTTATCCAAAGTGGAGATTATTATCCTGAAGAGTACATGCCAAGGTACTGTGCCTTGCATGTGCTTTCCCCTGATCTGACTTTTATTCACGCCATTTCTTTTGTCTCACTCTTCCTCTTTTCTCTGCGCCGCGAATTCGAGTTTCTCGACCCCGATCGTTGGGTCCACCGTTTACATAAAAACCAACAAACAAGCGAATACGGGTTTACTTACCCACAATGGGACCTGTAAGGCTGATCCGAAACCTTCCTCACCTCCGACGAATCCCCGACCAATCTTCTCTTGCCCAGACAGCTCGAAATGTGGTCAGATTCACGATCCCCAGCTTTCTGGCCAACGACGCCGTCGAACAAGCTTCGGTCCGTTCTCTCGATCCACACATTGCGGCTCAGCGGGCGAGCACGGATTGTCTCGATGGCCTCCGAGGCATCGCAGCATTCGTTGTTATGATCTTCCATTACACACAATATGGCTACCCACGACTCCGCCAAGTCTACGGCTTTGAAGGCAGATACCACCTCGTCCAGCTCCCCATTATCAAACTCCTGTTCAGTGGTGGATTCATGGTGTTCTTATTCTTCGTCATTTCAGGGTACGTGCTATCGGCACGAGTTGTTCGATTGATGGTTCAGGAGAAGCGTGTTGGGATATGGAAAGTTTTGTCGAGCATGACGTTCCGGAGAGTTGTGCGGTTGGGTTTGCCTAGTTTTATCGCGTCGTTTCTCGGTTTCTTATTGCATCGTCTAGGACTCCGAGGGAAGCCATTAAATGGATACCAGCCTGGACTCGTCAACGATACGGTTTTCTACTTCGAGTCACTCTGCAACCTGTTTACATTCTACAATTGGGACCCGTACATGATCTGGCATTTGGATCCTCTTTGGTCCATCGCAGTGGAGTTTCGCTGCTCCATGATTCTGTTCATTGTTTTACTCGGCGTTGCTCATTGTCGGAGGATCCCACGCTTGGTTGTCGAAGGCCTCATACTGGTGGACAATGTTTTACATGATCGCTGGGATATGGCATGTTTCATGTTCGGTCTCATCATTGCTGAAATACACATACACTCCCAAGAAGCAACAGATACGGAAAGAAAGGAAAACAAGAAGTCTTTCCACGATACCTATGAAAGTCTCTCTCGGCAGATTCAGAGCACAGATCTGGTGAAGTCGAGTCTCTGGGCCACCTTTATATTAGGTCTTTACCTAGGATCCGCCCCAACAGAAGGGACATGCGAAACACCAGGCTATCGCACGCTGTGCACCCTAACGCGAAGTTTCCACGAACCATGGAGATACATTGCTCTCCCAGGAAGTTTCTTGGTCATTTTGTCCCTCGTATTCCTGCCTACTCTACAAAAGCCATTGGCGTCGCCTCTAGCACGATATATGGGCCGCTTGGGATACGCAGTATACCTCGTCCACGAGCTGGTCAACATGACGTTGGGTGATCATATCAGGGATATGGGATGGCAAGTATTTGGGAAGGTTGGAATGGGATACCATGTAGGTTTTGCGATGGGATTGTGCTTTTTCGTGGCTCTTTGCGTGTGGTTGGCGGACATGTTTATGAGGGCGGTGGATGTACCAGCAGTGCAGTTCGCCAGGTGGTTAGAGAGGCAGTGTTTCGTAAGATCTTGCGATAACTCTAATGTTCCCATACAAGCTTAAACAGCCTCCAACTTAGAAATTTGACAGTTCCATACACCTGTGTTTGGCAATTGTTTGCAGTGAGTCTCAATGCATTTTTACATCAATGCATGGCGCCACAAAGCCATTTCCTTGCAATCGGATCAGTCTGCTCTGAAAATTAAAGCTACAATATAAAGTGATCACAATCAGCTTTGATTCAGCTTCTTCCTGGTACACTCTTGAATGTTTGTTGGGCAAAAGCACCGTATTCCGCTAGATTAGTTTTGGTTAGCTTATTTCTTTGTCATCATCAACATCCACCCTGACTCTGGACTTTGATGCTGACTTGGTCACCAGTTAGATTCCAACACGCAGATCTACTTTCACTCGCCCTAATGACTTCGCTCGGTATGAAAGAGTCTAAAGCACCCCACCTAATATCTGATGAGGCTATTCCGATGTACGAACATTTGAAGAACAATGAAATCAGATTATTAGAGGTCAAACCTGCGTTCAATGATGAAGAAGAGATGGTTTGTCGTCTTCGGACAGTGTTCCGAGATGCCGCACCAAATTACAAAGCTCTATCGTACTGTTGGGGACCGCCCGAAGAACGAGGAAAGAGGTCAATTGTCTTAGAAATTGCGAGCCAGAGGATTCGATGGCCAGTAACTCCTACTCTGGAGATGGCTCTCCGCAGACTGCGAAATACTGATGGATCCACGTCACTGTTGATCTGGGCAGATGCAGTGTGCATTAATCAAGAAGATGAAGTAGAGAAGGGACAGCAGGTCCAAGAGATGCGTCACGTCTACCAAAATGCCGTGGAAGTGGCTATTTGGCTGGGACCAGCAGACCAGGACAGTGTGCTAGCTTGGAAACTCATGAATGATCTCTTCTCAAGTGATCTAGAGAAATTTCCCCAAGAACCTAGAAGATTGGCACAGTTCAACGAAGCACAGTTCCGCGCATTTCAGAACCTATTTCGAAGAGACTACTTCTGGAGAATTTGGATAGTCCAAGAGATTGCCTGCGCCAGAAAGGCTACCGTCTATTGCGGTGCTGACTCTATGCCTTGGTCGAGGCTGCTATTTCTTTCTGAAACATTGGATAAGGTTCTGGCAAGAGCTCGAGATGAGGGCTACGAGGACGATTCTGCAATCGTGTTTCTGATGATGCGTGGCGGTCCAGGAATCTTAAAGGCAACAACGACCTCTATTGTCTCTTTCTCAGCGGTACACGCACAGCCTCTCTTGGACCTGCTCTGTTCGCATATGATCAAAGGGTCTACAGATCCGAGGGACAAGGTACATGGTCTTGTGGGCATCTCGGCTGACTGGGCAGATTTCGGAAAGATCAGCTACGAGCGTTCTACTAGAGCACTGTTCCTGCATACAGCTCAATATATTATTTCTACGACGCAGAAGCTCAACGTTATATGCATAAAGCAGAATGACGATAATCCCCATAATTTGCCATCGTGGGTAGCCGACTGGGAGCGAAGGAACATATTTCCGAAGTTTGGAGTCAAGCAATTATACATCCGGCAGCCACCTTTCGCCGCGTCCAGAAACGTAAAAGCGTTGTTCAACTTCACTAAAGATAGAGAAGTATTGAACGCCAGAGGGTTCATTGTCGATACCATCGCCACAGTGGCCCAACCGTTTCACGACAATTGGCTTGGGCCTGGGACTCCCGTACCCAGGAGCATCAGAGCCTCTCACGGTCTTAGAGCTTTTCACGGCTGGTGGTCAGTCTTCACCGACAAGATCGGAAAGGAACGTTACGAAGTCTTTCAGAGAGCTTTCTGTGGGGGTGCTTGGGCTCCTCCCGAATCGGAATTTGAACAAGATTTGTCTCTACGCCTGGCATTCTTCTTTGGAATGATTAGAAAGTGTCTGCCCGAACTTCAGATGGACAACGACCTCTTACTAATGTTTCCAGATTTAAAGATAGAGTCGCAGGTCCTCGAAGCACGTCAGTATGCTCTGGTGTTCTCCGCATCGCGGCGAATGCATGGGAAACGGTTCGTGGTTTCAAGTGCGAAGCTTGCTGGACTTGCACCACAGGCAGCCAGAGAGGGCGATAAAATAGTGGTGTTATTTGGATGTGACTTTCCAGTGGTTATGAGAAATATGGGGACATATTGGTTGTTAATTGGGGAGATCTATGTGGATGGAATCATGTATGGTGAAGCTATGGACGATTTGGCATCTGGGAGGTATGTTGAGAATACCTTTGAAATTTGGTAATCGTATAATCTTAAATGCTTTTGGTCAGCTAGTATTTAAACCACTCAAATACCAAATACACCTATTTTCTCCTACACCGGTTCCTTCATCAGTTCACAACGTGTCAACGTGTTCAAGAGAACGTCAAAGTCATGCCTGTTGAAAAATGAGAGAAGAACAGTCAGTATCAAAAACTTGGTATTATGGCTTAAAAGTACGTAAAATTCACTAGAGGAAGCCGGGATCGTTACAAATGGTATCTTGCTGCGAAAGTCTTCACCTACCTGCCAATGGCCATAATGAACAACCCGCTAGTAAGCGAGCCATTGTTGAAACAAGACCTCGCCTATTCCATTGTCATTACTAACTTCTGTTCCTCTATCCAACAGAACAATTAAACAAGGTCTCTTTATTCTGCGGGAATATTTTTACAAAGCCATTGATTTCCAGCAATGAACAAAAGTTCATAGCGGTATATCCGCCTTACCCATATATTTCCCAAGGCTGCTGCAAGAGTACACTGTTTTGAGTCCATAGGCAGACAGAACAAAAAAAACAGCTATCTTTAAATACTAAGTCGTCCAAAATATTGTACTAAACATCGAATATCCAGGTCAAACACTATTTTTCACATACCAGCCAAGACTAAATCAAGGAAACCTCCTCCTTACAAGCTCGCCCACCACGCAAACCAAACCCAAATCTCGCTCAAAATGCTTCCCTCCACCAACTCACCGAACCTAAACATCCTCCCCACAGGATCCTTCCCCACCTGGTGGCCGCCTCTTCCACCTCCATCTACCTCAGCAGCCTCCACCGTTCCCTGTCTCCCTCCATGCACACTAACCCGCGTCCTCTGGCCAGCCTGCGGCTGCAGTTACATCACCCGCGCCATCCACGCATCTCACTGCCCCAACTCCAAACCTCCTTCCTCCTCCCCATCTCGATCCACCCCCATCAGTACTATCAGTACCAGTACTATTACCAGTCCCGATACCAATATCAATACCAATCCCTCAGATCCCTCCACATCCACCCACGACACACGCCCCCTCCCGTGGGGTTGTTCACGCATCACCTCCATCTACGAGATCCGCGACCCGCCAGACCTTGAGCGCGAACGCCAAAGTCAAAGCCAAGATCAAAGCGAAGGCGAAGGCTCCGACAACGACAACTACAACGACAACGACAACACCACCGGCCTCTGCCAACCCTGCGCCTCCCTCCGCCTCATCAACGCCCCGCGGCCCCTCCCCGACTGGGCCACCGACCGCTGGCCCGACGAAAAGTACAACATGGGACGTCTCCTCCCCCACGACATCTCCAGCTCGCGGCTCACCCTCGAAGCCTCCCGGATCCTCAGCACCTTCCAGTCCCGCATCGCTAAGCAGACATCCGCCCGGGAAGCGGAAGTAGCAGCCCGGGAAGAGGAGATTGCTAAGGCGTGGTATGATTTCATCTATGTGCATGGCGGGCCACAGGAGGAGTGTGAGGAGAGGGATGTGCGGTTTGGCGTTGTGGAGGGGGATAGGGTGCATGTGTTTTGGATGGAGAGGGGGTGGAATGTGTGTAGTGGGGGGTTGCCGGGGTATGAGGTGGTGCAGTTGGGGGATCCGGCTTGGATGCTGAAGGGGGGTGGGTGGTATAGTGGGTTTTATTATACGTATGGGGCGCCGCATTTGAGGGTGGAGGGCGGAGGAGGAGGAAGTCGGTGAGCTTTTAATCTTCTTGTTAAGAAGTTAGGGAGGGCGAGATGCTATCTCAAGGCTTCTTTTTGATCTTTCACAAATGTCAAATATCCTTCGTTCATTTTCAGTAGATATCTCCAGTCCAATTCCTTCATATAACAACTCAGTCCTGTATTCCTATTCCTATTCCTATTCCTAAAACCCCAATACCCCTATACCCACCCCTCTGTTATAAGTTTGTACACATCCCGTCTCCTCTCTTCTCATCTCATCTCATCTCATCTCATCCACACCAAATCCCAAAATCTATTTCCCAAACCCAAAACCCAGCCCCAAAAACTCAAATGCGGAGATAAAAGCACTCAAGAAAAAAAAAATAGTTAGTAAAAAGGTATACATACATACAGAATATCCAGCCAGCCGGTCCCCGTGTTTCCAATCATTTCGGTCGTAGATACATAAATACATGCGTGGGAAGTCATGATATTCGCATGCTCGCTCGCTCACTCGCTCTCGCGCCCAATGCGCCTCGCTTAACAACATCAACAACAACATCCACCGTATATGCGCCGCTTAAACCATTTGCCACTCCAACAAGCTGCAGTAGGGTCGACAACAGCGCACATAAACCCCGAGTTCTTTCCCGAGTAATTCATCGATACACCAAAGCCGAGAACTCAGAGCCCTCAGCACCTCCCCACCTCACCTCAAACTCCCACTCCCCTTCTTCGTCTCAAAAACCAGTCCCTTCCGTCCATACATCCTCCTACTCCTCTCCTCGCCCCCGGCATCCAACCACTTCTGCAAGTTCTTACACTGCGAAACATCGAAAGTCTCCAAGATCGTGCATCCCTCGACCACAGCCTCGACACCCACACCTGTGACGCGCACGCAGCCGCGAACGGAGAGTTCTTTGAGTTCGAGGAGATGCAGGCCGATGGAGCGGAGGGAGGAGTCGGACACAGCGGACCCGCAGAAGGCGAGTTTGAGGGAGCGGAGTTGTGGGCAGCCGAGGGAGAGGACTTCGGTGGCGGTGTCGGAGAGGGCGCAGCAGAAGGACTGGAGTATGTAATTAGTATTCGTGCTTAATTATAACAGAGAACAGAACCATCAAGGCTATGGAAAATCGCTCAACTTACCAAATCCAACTCCTTCAGCCCCTTCGCAGCATTTGTCAGATACACAATCGCGTTATCTGTCAAATACGTGCAATCCGCCAGTATGAGCTTCTCCAACTTCGCAAATTTGTAGATACTCCAGTGCTGAAAGCCACCATCCGTGATGGTTGTGCAGCGCGTAAGATCCATGCTCTGGAGTCTCTGATGTGCATGAACGGCTAGGTGGGCCATTGAACGATCAGTCACGTGCTTGCAGTAGCTCAGTGTGAGCTTCTTGAGTTTCGGACAGCCAACCACTGTGCCGACAGGCGGAATTGTGATATTCTGCTGCTTGTACCTTGCAGCATTTTGTTGTTGGGCTGCAGTTGGTTCTGTCACGACCCAGCCAACGATACGTGCGAGGAGGTTATCGCTGACTTTGCGGCAATTGGAAAGATCGATTTCTTCGAGCTCTTTGGCATTGTTGGCCATTTCAAGAACGGCGTTTGCAGTAATGTCCCACACGCTTTTCATCTTCCAGGCATGTACACCAGCTCCACATACGGTTGAGAGCGCGGCGAAGCCTTCATCCGTGATGTGGAAACAATTGCTGATGTCGATATTGAGTGCTCGCTTGCCAACAAACGGACAAATAAAATCGACAAGAGCTTTGTTAGTGACCTTCCGATTGTAAATTGATAGATCAAGATTTTTGCAAACTTTCGGGGAGGTAGTGAGAAGCTTGGACCAATGCAGAGACACCAATCGTAAGCGCATGAGCTGGTAGATATCCGAGTAAGAGAAAATCATGATCAAGATAGCATCTGGCAGTATCCCTCTATTGTACTGACTCGGTCGCCTCTGTACAGTCTTTGGCCGCTTTGGACGGAAATGGGAGTCTGGTGGTGTCGTGGTGTGAGTAGCCTTTGTAGAATTTTGTGTTCTTGACCTCGTTTTTGGACCTTGTTGCGTGTTTGATTCTTCGGTAGGGGTTGTTTCTGGGACAGGGGGGGCGTAAGATCCTCTCCTAGATCTTGCTCTCATGTTATCCATGTCCACACTCAAGAAAGGATCCGGATCTAGCGGTTCCATGATATCTTTGTCTTCAGCGCGACTTGGCTTATGTGGACTGGCAGGTTTTGATGGAGTGAAAGTGACCTTTGGGAGAGAATGTCGGGCAGGAGTTAAGGGTCGATCCTCGATTTCCAAGCTGTTGATCGCAGGAGCATCCGCATCCGTCATCTGAACATCCCCATCTTCATCTGCCTTCCCTATTCTCGTCTTTGCCGTCTCTTCCACCTGTCTCCGTATGTCTGGCGGACATCTTCTCCATAATTCCTCTAGAACTTCGCCACTGATCTGTAAACACTCCACCGTCGTGATTGATCTGACAGTTGCGGTCCTCCTCGGTGCCAATGCTAGACTGGCAACCTCACCAAAGTACTGGCCTTGCTTCAGCCTAGGCCGTATGTAAGAGCCTCTTAATGCCTGGTTGATCATTTGCCCGTGGGTAGTCTCGTGAATTACTTCCGCCTCTCCTCGTACAATAAAATATATTTCGTTCCCAGGTGATCCTTGTAAAATTATGTCAGTAAATGGTGGATATGTTTTCGGCTGGGCGCTCAATCCCAGGAAATGCAGAATCTCCGGAGGTAATGTTGAAAACAGGGGCAGATCCTTGAGGGTCTTCCTGACATTCACGAAACCGCTTCCGAGAGCACTGCCAGCAGCTGGATCCTCAATTGTCTGTGGACTGGGAGATTTCCGCTTCTTGGAATTGAACACAGCGCCTTCTCTAATCACCCCCATTTCTCCCGTAGACACCTCCCCAGGTGCAGCTTCACGAGCGAGCTTGCCACCCCTCGAAGGAAGTGAAGTGGACACCAGCTTCGGGCCAAATCCACTCTCCCTCCTTTTCTTATTTAGAATCGTAAGTCTTTCCTGAGCCTCCTCCATAATGGCTTTTTCCATATCAGGATAATTGGGCAACTCCGTCCTCAGATCCTCCTTCTTCAACACCACCAGAAGACATTTCGTTCTCGCCAATATTGTAGCCGTGCGCGGGACATCCATGAGAATCCCGATTTCTCCAAAGAATGCTCCCGGTCTCAATTCGGCATATGTAGCTTCGCCATCTCGGGATGTAACCGCCACTGCACCCCTCACTAGCCAATACATAGCTTTCGCCTCATCGCCTTCTGTCAAAATTATGTCGTGTGGCGAATGGACCTGGGGTCGCAGGTGCTTGCCGATAGCGGCGAGGAAGGAATCGGGAGCGGATAGGAACAGAGGAAACGAGCGTATGCGATCCACGAGATCGAGTGGCATGTCTGGAATCGTTGAGGCTGTCAGAGGAGACGGTCGTACCGGACGAGTCGGATTCGTCTCGATATTGAAGGATCTGATCAGGGACAACGAGTCTGGAATGGGTGCGCCATTGGTCCTGAATGGAGAGCTGGGCCCTCCTCGATTTCGTCTCATGGTAACTGTATTTATGTTTCGAAGATATGTTCCCCTCCAATTCTCTTATGTATCACACGGCCTACGGCCGTCGTGCCGTTTGGCCTGCCAGATGAAGGGCCAGGTCTGCAGAGGAGGTCGGGAGATGTTGAGGTATGTTTGGTCGGGTATGGCCGTTTGTACAGTCTCGAGGGATTCGTCGTGCGTGAAAGACAGGTTTTTGAAGACCCAATTGCTCCAGCAAGAATATAACGATGATTATACTTTGGAGACGTTGTCTTTGTCCTGCGTGTTTCCAACGCGTTGAAGGGGGGTCGTGCGCGGTGTCTGCGAGAGCGTGTTAGCTACCTTAGTTGTCAGTCAAATAGGGAGCAGCTGCGGGGTCCCTACTGAAAGCTTAGCTTGTTTGTTATCGAGATCGCGCGAGATATTAAATCACTCCCAAGATCCGGCAGAGGGCCAAAGTCGTGCAACAGCGGAGCACCGAAGGATCTGGTGAAGACTCGTCTCCCTTGGGATCTGGTCACAGCAGCAGGAGAGGTCGTAGCAAGCCAGCGCAACGTAGCGGACGGTGAAAGGAGTGGAGAGGGAGTCAGTTAGTCTGGTCTTGTCCGTCCTAGAGAGTGGGCGTGGAGTGTGCACGGAGCGCAGTCAGATCCAGCACAATATACCACGAGACGGACCGCTGTTCGTGCCCAATTATTAATGAGGTCCAGGCTGTCCAGCGCAGGCACAGGGGAAGGGAGGAGACGAGAGAGCCGGGCTCAGGGCTGAACTTTGGCGGCGACGGGAAGGGGGGAGGGAGGAGGGGGGAACGGGGAGAGGAGGGGTCTGATGCACTAATAATAAGGTACGGTAACGAACGAAGGGAAGGATGATTACTACCCTATGACGAGGCGATGAACATGTTTCGGGAGAGGCACAACAAAAAGCAAACAAGAAACGAATGACGGGGTATGGTATGGTATGGTATGGTATGGTATGGGAAGGATAGAGGGGTAGACGAGGGATGTATGATGCGTCGGGTGCACGGAGGGGCTTGAAGATATAATATTATTGCGGACCAGCCAGAGCGGGTGTCACTGTGTGGAGGCTGTTCTGTTCGCACCGTATCGCAGTGCAGTGCAGTGCAGTGCAGTGCGCCGGCAGGATCAGATCAGTCAGGCATTTGGGGGTGGCAGTCCCATCCCATCGCATCCCCCTCTGTTTTTCTCCTTCTGCCCCCATTCATTCATCCATGCATGCATACAGGCCAGTATGCGAGCGAAGCCGTTGCTGTGTTCCTCAGCCCTTCCATTTCCATCAGCACGCTGTTGCCATGCCTCTCCCTCTCCCATGCTCCATGTAACTTATCTCGTTGTCGTGTGCCGCCCGGGATCCAAGCACGATGTCAATGATGTCCAGGGATGCTCGGCTCGCGTACCCAGCTCAGCGCAGCGCATAAGATAGATAAGATTGGCTTCTTCCATCCAGCTTCCACCGCCCTTCCAGAAGTCCTAGAGAAGCCATGTTGGAAGCCTGTCGCCTGTCCTGTGCTCCGTAATCAGCAGCAACTTCCTCGCAATAATATTTGGTCGACGATAATTGACACCGTCATCTATTGCGGCTTGTCTTTTCTAAGTTACTGGTAGCTAGTTTCGCTGGCTCGTGTTTGAAGAGCTCGCATTGACTTGAGAGGACAGACAGAGCTTCGTTTGGCGTGCTCATTGGCTAAGATGGAAATCACGACTCGAGCCTGAGTTGCATCACCACTTTATGGCCGTTTCAACTCTACGCAAGGTGCAGTACTCCCATGTTATGCGAATGAGAGGGGTTAGCTAAGCCCAAACAGCTCACACGAGAATGCTTACTACAGTGTAGTACAGCGCCTCTACTCGACCAGTCAGACAGCATCAATTTCCAGTCCCAGAATGTCATCATGACGATCGTTATTCAACTTACAAAATCGTTTTACAATCTGTGTAACTTGCCGTCTATGTTTGGACATAGCGGCGGCTTTCGTGAAGATAAGGCGGGTCAACTCACTTGCCCGTTTCAGATATCTTATCTCAACTGCATAGGAACGTTCGGAAGGAAGTCAAACTGGAGCTATCACACATCAGGAACCGAATATTTCGAGAAAGCTTGTTCACACGCGGTATGTAAGCTTCTATGCTGGCTGGTAATTTACCAAGATGTATGCAGCTTCGTGGCAAGAACTGCCCGGAAGCTTGAGGTTAATTTGTGGTACAGTGCTTACTGGGCGATGGAGGCCTTTTTCCAGAACTGACTTTGAGGAATTGACACTGATCAGAGATAAAAACTAAAGTCAAATGACAGAAAAAGTTCTGCGGCTCCGTACACATATCTGCACCCTTTAAATTATCCCGACATTACACGCCAGTGCCTAAATATTGCCAGTACCCAGTGAGCTCGCTAAGACCCAGGAACAACGTGCGAGACCTGGGATTAGACTCCCAACCCCACAAGAATTTGATTACTGCTCAGAGACCCTGTTCAGTCCTTATTTGATTTCTCACTGGACAAGAAAGTGTTCTTTTTACTGCAGTGCTACTCTGCTCGGTATCCGTCAAAGCGCAAAACAACCTTTTCTCTCAACAGGTTGAGGTGAAACCAGAAGTCTTCCGCATGAACTAAACACAGTATTTCTGAGTGGAGGGGCAACTATTCAGACGATCAATGGTCAAATACAACCAAAAGATGGCCTTGACCTCCTCTACGGTAATAAATCTGACACCGAAGCAATGCCAAAAGACAAGACAAGACGAGACCAGGCCGGAGAAAGGAAACGAAACCGGTATCACGTGGCACTCGAATCTCACCAAGCCAGGGTCTTCGAGCAGCACGGACGGACTCGACCTGAGTATGTCAACTGTCTACTCACAAACTCATCCATTACAGTTCCATCCCCTGCATCTTCAAAGCCCTGAAAAATCATGCAACCACTGCGTCATACCGCCATGCGCCTACCACAAGGCTGACTGGCTGGCTGGACGGGGATGACATGCAGCTTCCATTCGAGGCTGAGCACCGGGGGGCCAAATCTCACCTAAATATCATCACATCAAATGCATAGCTTGTAGGCGCAGTGATGCCAAATTTTCTCTTTCTCTGTACGCACTTGACCCACTCCGATGTCTCGTACTGAAAAAGTCCCCGAAGTCTGGTATTCGTTTTTGAAGATCACCGATTGTCTTGGCGCGAAAGACAAAGTGTTCCTCGCCTGTGACTTGGCGAGGAGGGGGGGAGACGTGCATATGGATGAGAATGGAGCAACGCCAGAAAAGAATACGGCGAACAGTTAGTGCTCAGACAGTGGAGACTGTTCATACGGAGCGAAGCTGGCATTGTTAGGTCTCCTAATTATCCGGTGGCGGCCAGTGATGACCAAGCCTCTGAGCGGATCTTTGTTTACTTTAAGCGAAGCGACGATTTCGAATTGCCTCTTAACTTAATGCCCTTCCAACCACACAGTCCAAATTTACTGTGTAATAGTCCCTGGAAATACGGCATTCGCCGACTAGAATTCGCCACAGCTAGTCGATCAAGCGATCTGTGCTACATACAATATGTTTAGTTACCCGAGTAGATTCAATGAAAAGTGCAACTGTACTCCAAACCATAATAGTTAAGAGTAGCAACGCAGAAAATGCATCTCTCCCTAATCTTCCAAGTAATTCTCATCAGTCCTTGAACCGTTATCTCCTAAGTCGATTAAACACTCCAATACGCAACAGCATCAAATTCTTCAGCCGTCACCAAGGCCAAAGCCACCAGATCAGCTTCAGCTTTCCATCAAAACATCAATATCTCACCACTTATTCAAAGCTAGACCCCCTCAATGACTTCCATCATCAAAAATTTACATCCCCGAGCATCTCCGCACACAGCATACATCCCTTCTTCATCCCACGCCGCCCTGTCTTCAACTAAAAGCAACACAGCCGGACTTCCTACGTACAATCCAGGGCATCAATAACTCCGCACCCTCTCAAACTCCCTTCTCCGAGTTAACGAAAGATCTCTTCGCTCTAATACGCACCCAGGCCTTGTATACCACGGATGTGGTATCATACGCCGGGGACTGAAATCCGTGTAATTTATATATGTACGCACTTTCCCCTTGCCCTCCTTCCTCTTCTCATCCTCAAATCCCTTCCTCTTTCTCGTCATCCAATTCAAACTCCAACCCCTATTTCTCTTCCTCTCCAACTCCCCTTTCTTCATCGCATCCATCCTAGGTACAATCACAGAATCCATATCTCTTGCCCGCAGTCCCTCAACTTTGATGTACTTCTTGCTATGTGGTTCTTGAACTTGAAAGGGTCGCTCGAATTTTGACATGTGGAAACATAACCAATTGATTGATTCCAAAGAAAAAAGGAAAGTACGCCTTCCATGAGTGTGTATAGTGTCGGAATGACGCGTTCAAGTGGCTTTTAGACTGAGTAAAGAATCGAGAAGAAATGGAAATAGTACATTGTGAAAGGGCTTTTCAAAATTCGGAATTTGTCATTGAAATTGACCAAGTAAACAATTCTTGCGACTGTTAATTGCTGTTTTCAAGCCCCCAAACTTACTCATACAATCTATCATCATTCATCAATCCTGCTATCAATGCTCTCATCTCCACCCTCCTCCACCCTCAACACCTACAAAGCCGGAAAGCTCCTCAGGAAATGACTCGGGCACTCATACCCACCCGGGTTATGATCCAAATACTTCTGATGATACGCCTCCGCATCCCACCACTCGCCCGCCGGCAGAATCTCCGTAACGACCTTCCCCTTCCACCACTTCTCATTAACCAACTTGGTCACCTCCCTCGCTATACTCTCCTGCTCGGAGTTGTGATAGAAGATCCCACTGCGGTACTGCGATCCTCTGTCTGGACCCTGGGCGTTGGATGTCGTCGGGTCGTGCATCTTGTAGAAGAACTCGAGGAGTTGGCGGTACGTTACTTGCGAGGGGTCGAAAGAGACTTGGAGAGCTTCGGCATCTGTTGGTTCAGTTAGTCAATGCCTAGCTCAAATCCACATATCAAATCCACGATCCACATCCAAAACTCCCCACCACACAGGAAAGGAATCAACGAAAAGGGCAAACATACGACCCGTACTCCCCGAGCACACAGCCCTATAACTCGGACTCTTGGTATCCCCCCCAATATACCCAACGCGCGCATCATAGAGTCCCTTCCCCTTGAACTCCTTCCGGAACATGTGCTCGACGCCCCAGAAACATCCTGCTGCGACGGTGGCTAGCTGTGCGCCTTCGGGGGCGGCGACCGGTGCGCTTTCGCCGAGCCCGAGACTGGTGCTCGCGCTGAAGGGGCGGATCAGGCGGTTGATGAAGCCGGGCATGGTGAAAGCCATTAGAAGGGTTGCGAGGAAGAAGAGGAGGATGGTGCGGGGTCGTGGACTGTTGGTGGGAGGCAGATTGGTATCTTTATGTACTGGGGTAGCTTTGTGAAGCTAGTGGTGGTGTTGATCCTGTAGACTCGGTGTGATTACTGAGGTTGAGTGTTGTGCTGGTTGTAGGTATAGACAGAAAGTGTGAAATGGAGGGGGGCGAATTGGAGATGTTTATGAAGCTCTCGATCTTGCTCTCACGTTGCAGGGTCGCTTTCTCGGATGCGCCATCGAGGCGTCATGGAGGGGTTGCAGGGATGGATGGAATGGGCAGAGCTGACAAATGAGAGGGCCGAGGTCATCCTCAGCCACTGTTGATTCCACATTGCGCCATTCCAAATTCTTTTCGTTCTTCACAGCCCTCAATCAGTCTATCACACAACTTGTTAACGCGAGATTCCGAGGTCGAGCGACTGCGATGTGACGATAGAGGCGCAACTGCAATACACAAGTGATGGCTGAGAACAGACAATTTGGAATCTGGCATTCTTGGTCATGTGACCAATGCCTTCTATCGATCTACAGCCTCAATTTCCTTTTACTAGATGCTCTCATTTTGCGTGTTCTGTCAGATATTTTTAAGTTGTGCTAGTCGTGTTTTGCATAGTCTGCTCACAGAGAATTCACGTTCAAGTCACGTCCTTCCTCTTGAGAGGACATCATCCTGTTCCGTTTCTTCTGACCATCTTGGAATCAATGAGAAGTCCCTCGGGAGACCAAGTTATAAGTTTCAATTCTGCCAAAACTTCTCGCATTTACAAGCGAATTGCACGAGAAATTCGCCTTGGTGATTTGCGACATGAAAGGGGGTCAGTCAGTGACTTGACCTGTCTACTAAAAGAAAGTTGAAATTGGATTGAGATGTGAAATCAATCTCCCCTAGTTTTCCAGATATCTTTGATTCGGCTGGGCTGTTGTTGCCCACCTAGGTATGAGTCGATAACAAGCAGACTCTCCATTCCAGTGATCTGGTCGCATGCCACATTCGCATGGACAGTTGCAAGTTTGACAGCGGCCGAGTTTTTCGTAGGCCATTAATGCTTATTATCTAATGTTTGCTTAACATATGTGTCCGTATATGTAACCCTTTTCCAGATTCAAAAAGGGGGTGATGGCCGCCTCCAAATGCAGAGGCATTGAATGTATTGGAGGTAGACATGGAGACTTGAGCAATGCCAGGATGAATCATACTTGTCGCCATGTTCGTTCATCGACATGCAACACGAGCACGGTGCGCTTTTGCGGCCTGTCACAGCGATATGTCTATATATTGGCCAGGGTTTTTATCCATATCCTCCTCCCTTCTTCCCATTCCCGACCCGTCTATTCATAATAGCGATACTTTACTTCATCAGGTTCCTGCAATCCTGCACAACCATACAACAGAGCCAAATTCCCGTCAAATTACATCTAAATCACCATGGACTCTGACCAAAAACAAGTTGGTCCCCCAGGACATCATCACAACGAAGCCTCCGAGGCTACACAGAGCAGCAGCCCCCCCTGCAATGAGCAAATCGTTGCGAAGCATTCCCTAGGCTTCCTCGACTTACCTTACGGTAGGATACGGCCCAGCCCAATTCATCGATTCCTCTTTTCTAACAAGATCCAGACATTAGATTCATCATCTACAAAATTTGCTTCGTTCGGCACATTGGCATTGTCCCAGCAGTCAATCGATATCGTCGCCGGCTTCGTCGCAAGGATAAGCATCTGCCAGATGATGGCCAGGTGTACCGCAAATACTCAGCTTATCGGTACCAATGGGAAGGAAATCCTCAAAGACTGCCCCAATGGAGCACATAAGGCCTACCAACTCGTGACGGTGCGATCGCGGAGGTTGAAGTCTGCAATACCTACTTGGCAACTCCAGAACAACAAGCATTGGTTTCCTTCGCTCCTTTGTCGCCATTGGCCCCCATAACGCCGCTCAATTGAAGTCAATCAACATCACTGGGACTTCCCAAGTCGAGCAGCCCTACTACCGCGGTTTGGGCTTTGCATCAACTCTCCCTGTGTACACTACACCGATGAGCCGAGTATTTCACAATTTGACCAAAATCACCTTGCACAAGAACACTAGGGATGACTCTTGGGGCTGTCGTTATAACCCGAACGATTATGACGAGGACGGCAACTAGATCGAAAGACTTTTACGAAAGACTGATGATGAACGCATCAGCGAGGCAGTGGAGAAGTTAGTCAAAGGCATTCCACAAGTCAAGCAACTACATCTCGGTCGAGAACGGAAACGAGTATGGTTTCAATGTTCAATCCAGTTCTGGTCTCTATGTGGACCAGGAGTGGAGACCTGCGATGAATTGGATCCAATTGGTGGGAGACCGAGCCAAGGGCGGCGACTCTACCACCCAAAACGCCACAATTTCTGATGAGAAAGAGGAAGTGGCAGATTCTTCCAGAACTGGAGACTCCTCATCTGAAAATTTCGTGGAGGCTGCCAGTAGCCAGCAACTTGATCACCTGGCCGATCAGCTTGAATCTATCACATTATGAGAGCACCCTTTATTCCTCTTGAGCCTCTGCTTTTGATTGGATCATAGTTTTGCCAATTCCAAGTCTGAGATTGGTGGGACTTCTCTTGGACCCTAGATTTTGGTGCGCCTTCAGGAATAGGTGGAGAAGTCAATAAATGCGACTCTTAGTATTCATCGTCTTGAGTAACAGCGACCTTGATTTACCTATCATCACGGTAGATGCCCCTGCTTCGCTGCAATCGGCAAAAATCACGTGGTGTTTACATACCATTAGCCGGTACTATATCTCATTCAACCACTTCTAGTCCAATATACTACGATCAAACATACCAAGGCTCCACTTCCTTCAACGGCACCCAATCTCGCGAAGCCAATACAACCCAACACTCCCAACTCGCAGAAGCTTCCTCTAACGCAAGAAGAAGAAGAGACACAGCCAACACCGGTAAAGCGGAACATGGCAGAAATAGTGAGAAGACTACGGTTCTCCCACCACCAAAATCGGCATCAAAGTCCCTGAATCCCTTCGCAAATTTGATTGACGACGATGGGGACGAGCAAGAAGACTAATTTCTTCAGTACTAGTCGGGCCGAGGTCCTCGAACAATTGAAATGCTAGATATCAGAGGTCATGATTTGGAGTGCTTCGATATTTTTAGTTTAGACGGTTTTGGAGCGGAGGTGGGGGACACGTAGCTTGGTGGCAGTTTAGAATACAAATACGTTGCTAACGTGAAATGAAAGTACTCCTCGATAATAGTAAACCCATGGAAAACGCGTGTTACGTTGTGATCGAAGACTCGGGAAATCTTGGTTTGATTGTCGAGTCACAAACTCCTTACTTATCTTATATGTAATAGTTTTCTTTTTCAATTCAATTCGGTTCAACAACTACTGTAATACACTCTGCACAGACGAAGTCCCCACCGCCCTAACCTATGATATGATATGACGACAAACAAACAAACAAGCAAACACCCCTTTCCTCAAGTCGCCCCCCACGCCAAAACTCAGGACGCCGCAAAAAGATACAGGAAAGTCATTATCATCATGCTTGCTTGCTTGCTTGCAGACGCCTGCCTCCATGCAAATGAATGCGATGCGAAACACAAAACCGCAGAAATCAACAACCACAACAACTCCATCCCCCTCAAAGATATTCATACAAGAACCAAAACCACAACCTCAACCACAACATGGCTATCTACTCACTCATCACTCATCTCCATCCGCCCTTACCAACAATACCAGCAACACTCTCCCTAGCCTTCGGCGTACTACCAATGGTGCCATTAAGTCTAACCGCCGCACTAGCCATCGTCCCACTAACCTGACGACCTTCACCAATGGTAGTGCGCCTCATATGGTTCTTGACAACGGGCGCAGTGCGAGGGCTGAGTACACTAGCCGAGAACGACGATTCCTTCTGGCTGTTGACCATCCGTCTGGCATGGCTTGCCGTGAAGAGGTTGTTCTCGTTCGGTGGCGAGCCAGACATGGTCGCTGCTGTTGGGCTCCTGGCGCGTCGGTGGGTTCGAGTGGCGGAGTCGTGGACGTTGGATGCTCTTGAGATGGAGCCGGAGCGCTTTAGTGCTTTGCTGATTTTGGCGCCTTCGATGCGATCGACTTGCCATCCGCTTTCTCCTTCTGATGAAGAGTTATTACCGCTATCCGTAGGCGTGATGCTGTTCTTGGCTGTCTGCATTATGTTAAGTGAAGTACGGTTGATGGCGTTGGATGCAATGATATCACGCAACGGGGATTGATCATTGTCCGACGACGAGAGATTCGTAATAGTGGGAGGTGGAGGGGATCCTTCTGACTTTTTCGACAAGAATCCAGCTTGGAACCGATTGGCCTTGGGCTTGATTTCAAAAGATGGCTCCGGAGCTTGTGGAATTGGGGATGAGCCGAGAGAGTCGTTTGAGACATCCTCGGAAAGGTATGATGGCAATGCCGGCAAAGTTATACTTTGCTCGACCGAAGATACCTCAGGAGTTGATTCTTGCTTCTGTGGGGTTTTCTCGAACTCTGCGAGGGCTCCAGAATCTGTGTCATCTCGCCATCGAACACTGCGCTTCTTGGGAGTGAAAGAGATACCCTTCTTTCCTGCAACAACCTTTCTTCGGCGGGGCGAAGACTTCATTGGTGACGAGAAGACTTGTGGTGCAACTGCAGCCAGAGGTGGCATTGCAATCGGGGCGGCGTTTGTAGGAGCATACGCTGGCTTCTTGCGCTTTGGTGTTCCACGCTTGGTCGGAGGGAAAGCTTCGACTACCTTCAGAGAACCATCTGGCTTGATAACATGCGAAGCTGCAGTAGTGCCTGCTTGGAGCAGACGTTTGAGGACAGTCTTTGCGTGCTGAACGGCATCTTGCTCGCTCATACTGAGGATATCGCTGAGGGAAGAGATCATGTCGAATTGGGCAGACAGCAGGACCTGCATGATTTCCGAATCACCGCCCTTATCTTGCTCATAGACTTCTCTCAAGGCATCTCTGACAGCATTAGCCTTCAAGAGCTCTGCTTCGCGTGCTAAGCTTGCAGCTTCAACTCCATCCGCACCATCGGCATCGGCGAGTAAGCGAACGCTATTCTGAAGCGCAGAGTCGAGCGAGCGTTCCCAGTTGATCTTCTCTAGTCGTTGATGGTAGTGTTGCCTGCTATTTTCAAGCTCAACCAGGATTCCACTAGCCGTCTTTCGCATTGCCACAAGACTTGGTGGCATGTCCTCGTCCTCTCGAGAATCGCAGATGTTATCAAATGCACCTATCCAGGAAGACAACAAGCTGATCCGACGCTCAACTTGACGCAGTTTCTTCATGTTACCAGCCTTCTCTTGCCTCTCCGAAGCCGAATTTTCGAATGCTGCACGAATTCTCATTATTCCCTCTCTGACAATACCATCGCGCTTCTCGCTCTGCTTCTTGAATTTGACAAACGCAGCACCTTCAGAGTCTTTTTGCTGTGCTCGAAGCTCGTTGATCAATGCCATCTGCTCGTCAATCTTCACCAAGAAATCCTTGACGTGTCTATTGACATTGTACACATTCCTCGTAACCTTGGTCTGGATATTCTTTGCACGATTGGCATATCGTAGAGTATTTTGTGTTTCGTCGAAGTGAGCGCTCGACGGACTTACACAGACAATCATGACTGTCTTGCAATTTCCGCCCAGAGAGAATTTGAGGAGTCGAGTAAGCTTCGAGTTCCGGTATGGGACATGATTCTTTTTCCGGGGATCACAAAGCGCGTTGATACAGCTACCAAGTGCAAGAAGAGACTTGTTGATGTTGGCGCCTTCCAGTAATCTCTCTCCACGGTTCTTTGTAGCACTTGCACGTTCACTTCCTGCCAAATCGATGATACTGAGTGTAGCCATGGTATGGGGTTCGTTGACATCCGCATTTCTGTCTTTCTGAGCAAGATTGATCTGGAGAACGGCGTGGGATCGTGATGAGGTGGCGTTTGCTTCTGTTGGCGAAATCGTTCTGTATTCGTTGCCCTTCACGATCATATCCATCACCTCCTGAACATCTTTGGGGTGATGACTGGAGAGACCGGCCACAGAAACAGCTTGATTAGCATCTTCCCGTAACATCAGCCCCTGTTTACTACCTCCAGGTACCAGCAGGTCGCGGATCGTTTCGTTGTAGATTTCAAGGTATGAGAGCGAAACTTCGGTGTGTTTCTCGTCGCTCTTTTCAGCAATCTTCTCGAACAACTCCTGCATGGTCAAGAAGATGATTCCTGGTTGCTGTGCTGTTCCAGTGATCGTGTGTGTTTTCCCGCATCCCGTTGCTCCGTACGCGAAGACCGTGGCGTTGTATCCCTCCATAACACTATCCAATAGGCCTCTTGTAGTAGCTTCGTAGACCTCGCCCTGTGTCGTGTTATCGTCGAAGACTCGATCGAACCCAAAGGTTTGATCTTTTGATCTTTTGCCCATATTTGAAACCATCGATCGGCCGAATTTCTGAATTGGATTATCCTCTGGAGGGTCGAATATTCTGCTACCATCAGTTTCATCCTCTATCTAAAACAAACAAAACATACAAGCATTTATCGTCCAGGACTTTGATCACTGGTCGGATTCCCTTGCCCCCTAATCTTGGTGCGGGAGCTCCAGCAAGAGATCCATCTCCCAGGAACATCGTTCCATCGTCGCATTTCGTTCTACATAGAGTCAGACCATGTCTTGCTATCCTTGGGGATATAGGTGCTTACACTTGCGCCGCTTCTCGAATCGTGAAAGGTCGAACTCGGACTGCTCAAGGTTAGCATTGGGATATATTTCTAGCTTGAGCTACATACCAGCGACCGAAATCGACGACGCTCCTGGGTCTGCGAGAGACATTGTGAATTGTATTTAGTGCTGTCGGTCCACTCCCATCAACAAACGGTTCGTAAACAAGTCGCGCAACCTCTCGGTCTGGTATAGAGTTGAAGCAGAACTACCCGGAAGAAAGCAGATACAGTCTAATGAGCGAAAGAAAGAAGTTGTCGAAATTTTGTCGGCGTCGTCGTGGTTGTCGTGGTTTGCTGCAGATTGTTCGTTGACCATCAGTGACGATGTTTTTGGTATTATTTGGTTTCCGTCAATGTTGCTGTGGAAACCGCGATAGAGCTAGTGCTGTTTGCGGGAAGCGGCCGTCTTGGCGAAAGGAGACATCGGAGCCCTGGTGGCCCCACCAAAACTCCTCCAACTCCCGTTGAACATCGACGCGTCAGTAATCTTATCATTGTTTAGTAGCAAAGTGTTTTCTTTATTCTCTGATTGGCTAGAAGACGCTGGTTATCAGCAATGGTACTTTAGGTCGCTATTATACAGCCTGGCTTGACACCCATTTCATGCTTTCTTTCCATTGTCAGTCCAGCTCATGGGAGGTACCGTGTCCCTGCACAGGACTGCCCAAGCCACCGACTTTCATTATTCTAAAAACATCAGAATCCTCGAAAAGTCTCGTCTCCTCAGTCCAAGTTGGAAGACGGCCTGAAGAGACCTCCAGCATCAAGAATTTACCTGTGTTCAAGAACATCGTCAAGACGAATGGCGCGAGAAACCGATTGTGGATATCATGCTTTTTATTGATACCTAGATTCATGAATACCAGTGTGATTTTCCTCCGCCACCCTTCAACCGATCACCGACCGTTACCACCCATTAGCTATTAGTAGTCATTAATAAAACTATCATACAAAGTCGCAAATGCCAAACACTACTGTTAAAGTCGCATTGAGCGTACCCCACCATGTGCACACTTCGGGTATCCAGTATATCGTTAGTCCTTGCGACGCCAGATCAACCAGCCAAACCATCTAGTGCACCGAAGACGCCCGTCATGAGATCCATAATGCAGACCCGCCAAAGGATTGCAGACTTTTGAAATTCCCGCGATATTCACAAATGCATCGTAACTTTCATCCAGACCCAGGTCCCATTTCCTGGCCTTGGCCCAAGAACGTGCTCTGCGGCCAGCTATTGACCACTCCATTCAGGTTCCCCATCGACTGGTCGAATCCAAGGACGGGCTGCAAACCATTCATATCCGACATCGCAGTTTGAGCACCGTTCACAGCCGCAGCGCTGTCCCGAGCATTAAGAGATATGAGAGCACTTGCACTGTAACGATCTTGAGACTCGACTTGTCCAATGCTGTGGGCCCACTGCTGCCAGGCCTGTGCACCTGGAGGGTTGCCAGATATCGAGCGTTGCCATTGGTCGTTTTGCTGTGTTTGAGCTGGGGCCATTTGGAAGCCTCCGAGAAGAGGTGGCTCATTGCTGGATGGAGGGTAGTTAGCGAAGGGTTGCGAATTGTCGTGGGGTGTGTAAGCAATGGTGGATGGTGTCTCGGCATATGTCGAGTACACTGTCGCGGCAGGGTATGGAGTTGTGTGGTGAGGAACCTGTCCATGAGAAAATTCTGTGGTGCTGAGGCCGTTCGCCGGAGCGTTCTGTTCGAGAGCGTAGCCTGGCATGTTTCCGTAGGCGGAGTCAGAGTCTGATCGCTGAAGCTGCATCTTTGAGTCTGCAGGAGAACTGCTGTTCTGGATGTAGGAAGGGTTTGGAGGAGTGACTCTTCTATCAAGCATTCCTAGAGTGCCCTCAATGACTCCACGCACAGCTTCCTTCAAACTATCGCCAGAACCTTTGAAAAGTTAGACCTAAACCAGACCTCGAGTCGGGATGTACTTACCAAGAAGACGACCAACATCCCCCATGATGTTCAGCCACTTATCCATATCAGCTCTAAGAGCAGCAATCTCTGCCGACGTTGTTGATTTCTTGTCATGCGTTGCGAACAAGGTAGTGGTGATAGCCATAACGTAGACAGCGGCATTGTACCAAGTTGTGTCGAGTGTGTTGTACTGTTGCAATTCCATGACACAGCTCAACATTTGACGGGCGCAATCGTCACAAGCTCGCATACCCTCTGCCTTGAAAGCTTTGTCATCCGTCATTTCCACTGATGGATGTCTGAGCAAGAGGCGGAATTCCAAGTACCACATCTCTGCGTATAGAGCAAAAGGCCGATTTTCGGTTCCAGCTGTTTCTTTGGTGAGTTGAAGATGTGGTGGTAAGTTGTCCCTCCAGGATTGGACTCTGGCTTCCAGTGATTTAACAGTTGTGATGTAACTATCGGGATACCGACGAACTGCATAGATGTTGCTGTAAAGCTCCATGTAGAGTGGCAATATACGCATAGCTACCAAGCCAATCTCATGTGTACAGTTACCTGGGCGTGAAGTGTCGAGGCCGTCTTCGGAAAGTAAATCGTCGTCCATGACTTCCGGGAACTCTACATCATAATCTTCATACCTCAGACTCATTGGACGACCAAGTTTCCCACTGAGTGTGACTTGAATTGCAAGGATGACCCAGAAGGTTCGCTTTCGCATTTCGATGTCTAAAAGATTTGGTCTCGCCTCCACAACCCATCGCTTTGCCGAGAGGTGTAGCCCAAGCTCAATGGCGAGTGACATTGTGTTTTGAGTCAAAATCCAACTGGCACCGGGCTTTGGAAAGTTTCGCAGGTGGAGACAGATCAAAGTCATGGCTTGCACATCTTGAACGGTGTGGCTGCAAGAGAGTTCGTAGAATTTGTTGAGTGAATAATGGTAGTGCATGTTTGACTTCACATTGTAATCATTCTTCACTCGCATGTCATCATTATTTCGGACGGAGAACTGAAACAGCATGATGGCAAATACCATGTGCACCATGACAGTTTCGGCGGTTGTTGGTCGGAAGGTAGGATCATCGTAAAATCGAGCCAACTACAGGAATTAGCCTATATCACGGACGATTACAGAAAACGTACCATTTTCATGTGGGTGTTCTTGTGTAGAAGAGGGGTGTATGGGTTCAAAGCTCGAAAATACCAGCTGGCGTACTCGAAGCCTAGCGAACGTTCCGGGAGTTCGACGTTCGTCACCTTAGGATTGACGTTCAATGCCGTTTGTAGGAACGATTGGTAGGATTTGTTGTACAAGTTTGCCTTCGACTGCTCATCCTTTGGCTCATCCATATCCCAGGAATCGAAATTGGCGATATCGATCTCCATTCCAAGAATGGTCAATGCCGTTCCCTTAATGGCACTCAGATTTGAATTGCCAGCAGATACTCCGAGATACGTGGATCCGCAGGCTCCTGGTGTAGGGACTGGAAGTGGGCGGAAGATGTTGGTCTCTTGTCGAGGACTGCCAGTCAAGTCCTGGGGTGGGTATGAATTCGTAGCATTCCATGTTGGAGCAGGTTGCTGATATTCGTAGCCGGTACCTGCATTTTGATACCCATTTGGAGACTTTATGTTTCCACCGAGTTGTATTACTTGACGTTCTAACTCCTCAATGCGAAGTCGAGAGTTCCGATTTTGTCGCTCGAGTGCATCCGTATATCCTCTTCTGGTCGCAAGCCCGGTGATCCTGTCTGTAGTGACGCATTCCGTTGCATTCTGCTCGCAAGGGCCACATCCCGACTCGCGGGGATCGCATCTGATCTTTCGTACCTGCAACACATGTTAATCTAAGCTCGGGTTCATCGTTGCAAGCCTGTGAGACTCACCTTGCATCTGTCACAAGCCTGTCCGGTTCTGTTCGAGTCCTTTAATTTCTTTAGGACAGCCTTTGAAAATTCCTCGGGACGCTCCGTTCTCATGTGCTTCGCAGGTGAACTATTGACTGGTGAACCATTGCTGCTGTCGTCCTCAGAAGGGCGTTTCTGGGGCATGGTTGGAGTTGAGGTCGCAGCTGCAGCTGCAGCTGCATATGATGCGCCGGCAGAAACCGTGGAAGAAGCCGGCCGGTATTCCAACGAACGGAATTGACTTTCGAAGTAGGGGGATACGCCGTTGGAGTTCACCACGTACGACGAAGTGGTTGGCGCATGCGATTGTGCTTGAGGGTATTGATAGTTGAAGGTCTCTTGGTCTTCTCTGGCGTAGACATAGCTGGGAAGGCCAGCCAGAGGACCTGAACTCATTCTGGCTACCTTACGCTGCTCGAGGGAGCGCTAGTCCAGATTGACGCTAGTCCTCCGTATGAAATGCCACTGGAATGCTTTCGCAATCGGAGCAGCGCAGCGCAGAGCAGAGCAGAGCAGAGATGTAAATGAAAAAAAGTATTGTTCAAAAGTCTGAAAGATATAGTCTGGAATAGAAAGATGATGCATCAAAACATTTCACAAAATACGAGAATGTGTTGCTACCAATCCTCAGCCGGAGGCAGACAGCGGCAAGAGTATCCACGGTCTCTCCAGCCCCAGTCACCTCAAGGACTAAGGGCTAGACTTTACGCATAGGGGTGAGCAGGGCAGGGCCACAGATTCCTAGGCAATCCTTGGTAGGTACCTTTTGTTTTCGACTTGTCTTCTCTGGGTAAAGGACATCTCTGAAAATTACCCAGGGCCCAAGCATCGCCACCGATTCGACTATTCAATAGGATAGGACTCATCTGTGGCGATGCCAGAAGTACGAGGCAGCCAAGAAATCCTGAGAAAATAGCACAACCAGTTAAAAAACAACCATTTAATGATGGCCTCTGCACCTTTCATACCTATCCTATCCCTTACCGGTTTCAGTGCACCTGATGAATAATGTAATGCAGGCAACTTCGCACTGGCCAACGCCATCCATGTATCGAATTACACAGCATCAACGGTGCTCCTCTCCCAACGGTGCTCCTCTCCTTTAGCAGCGGAGATATCCCACATTCCCCGTTCCCAGCGAAGCGACCCCAGTCTCTCGCAGCAGCATGGCATGGATCCTTTGATCATATGGCGCAAGAGCAAAGTAAAATGCCACTCTTGTGCGGTGCATGGCGGTACCCTGGTCCTCTCCATGAACACAAGGATGCTAAGGTTTCTTACCCTTGGCGTCTTCCCAAAGCAGCGCATCTCACTCCGGACAAAACCCATAACACCCTTGGCGAACTCTTCGAACCCTTCGAACCCTTCACATTACAGTATTATTCAGCTGGCTTGTCCTGGCCTGTCCTGGCCTGGCCCTGGCCTGGCCCTGGCCTGTCACCGACAGATCCCGATGGGCGCTAGGGGATCTGCTCACCTCACCGCCAAACATGTCGGATCATCAGCCATGCTATACCATGTCATACCATGCCAGACCATGCCATTATTATGATATGTTTCAATTACCTACCCTACCATTCTGTGTTTCCCGGATCGAATCCGAAGAAGACTACTGTACTCTACTACAGTATTGTTTGCATTGTCAAATTTGCACCCTTGCCATGCCAGCGTTGCATCTGTGTGTTGTCCGGAATCCGGCAGCCAAATAAGCTTCACGTCCACCTTACCTTACCTCACAGTAGATTCGGCACCAGTCGGTAGTTGAGTGCGGAGTCCGGACGGTGCTCCGTAAATTTACAAAAGAACCGTTTCACTTCGCTTCGCTTTAAACCCCCAAGGTTCTCTCCTTAACGTCACAACAAGCTCGAAGGCTAACATAGATTACCTACCTACCATACGAGTACCTACCTTAGGTAGCAGCGAATAATCCGCAGCCAGAGAGGCAACTAGGTAAAAGGCTTCTATTCTCATCTCAGGTTTCATTACGACCTCTATCCTAGCATCGATTGATCCCACGTGGAAAGACCATCCATCGCGCACCCCTTTTCTCAAACTTCTGCAGCCGCACCGCACCGCACCGCACAACACAACACAACACAACACAACAGCACTGGCTGCAACCCATCGGATACCCCAACCAGCCCTCGAAAACAAGCAAATTCGCTGCTCCACTCACAGCCCACAACACTCTTGACTCCATAGGGCTGAACACCCAGTCGTAATTAAATCCATCAGGACCATAGGCGTAACCACTACTCCTTGCCTACCCACCTCCTCTACTACCGTGGTCAATAGGCAGACCGGTCCAGAAGCGTGTCAATAGCCGGCTCAGCCGAATCATTTCACACGCTCTCCCATCATCCTAGTCGGCGCCACTCAGCCCTACAGGGTCCAGCACAAGATGTCGGCGTCGCACTTTCAGACAGTCCATCTTGAACACCTCCCGCCCAACTATGACCTCCACATCGCACTGTACCGGAACGTCACCAACGCCGCTTTTCTGCACTCGCAGCTGCTGGCTGGTAACACGGATTTCGAGTATGCGTTGATTGATGCTAGTGTGGTTTGTCACCCTTTCCTTCCTTCTCCCTCGCACAAAGACTGGAATCCAAGGCAAAACTGTGCGCTGTGATGCCCCGCCAAAATTCTTGGAGGGGTAAATCACGTGATATATACATTGTTCGGTCCAACTTTCATATGCACTTATCCTCCTTTCACACCAGATAAATTCAAACCCTTGAAAGCTCAGAGATTAACAAGAACCCAGATCCTATCTAAAGTTCACATTCTAGCAGCCGCTTATCGCGCCGTCAATGATCTACTAGAAAACAGACTACGGAGCCGCAATGTCCACTCAGAGATCGTGTTCTCACTCTCACCTAACAACAATGTTCGTCACAGCCCCATTTTCCCTAGAGCGGTCTTATTTTGATCACAATGACATCAAGCCCCTTCCTCACTCCATTACACTACATTACTCCTCACTTCTCTCCACTCCTTGATCCCTACTCAGCCCCATCCTCTTCCCCCTTTTCCAACCCCCTCCCTCATCCCCCTCCACCCTTCAATTCCTCCCCCCTAACCACCCTCACCAAATCACCAAATCTCCCAAAAACTCAACTAACCACCCCACCCCCCACCACCAGATCGCCGAATCCTTCCGCCGCTTCGGCATAACACCCAGCACCACAACCCTCCTCATCATCAAACTCTCCACCCCCACCACCTCCTTCCCACTCTCCTCCATCGCCACACACCTCTCCTCCTCCATCAAAGGCGAGAACATCCCCTTCACAGATGAGAATCTAGCAGAGACCGTGGATGAGAAGAGGGTGAGGAAGATTTATAAGCTCAATGCTAGTCATCCAGGAGGTGGTGGTGGAGGAGGTGGTGGAAAGAACGCTCTAAATGGGAGTGGAGAGGTAAATGGGAACGGGAATGGGAATAGGAAGGTAGGAGAAGACCTAAGGAGAGAGTTGGAAGTTGGTGTTTTGGGGGCGATGGCGTTGAGGAGTGTGACGAATTGAAGCTGTTGGCGATGTAGATAGATTGGCCTGTGGGGAGAAAAATAAAAGGCAACACTACAGCGTTGTGACGGACGACAAGGATGAAATGGGAAATGATAGATAAAAAGATAGATGATGAGTTACGAATCCATGAGATGAAATGAAACGGAGGAGGTGCAGTGCAGCCTCTGATCGTACGCGACTTGGCCCTTGCCTTAGGTTGCGAAGATCTGAAGAGATATTGCATGAAGTTTCTGAAGCCAATGTTACCTTTTCTGGTCCTTTGTAATGTCACGAGGATTCTAAAAATAAATTTACTGCTGCATGTTCAAATTTGGTTTTTGCATTTTCTCTAGAATTAAGCTTCTGTCTCTACCATTTGCGCCATCTCCGTTTGTAATGTTCTTCGTACAATCTCTTTATCTTTCACTCTCTTAGCGAAATAGAAGTGGATTCGTCTTTCTGCAACACCCTAACCAACCATGGTTATCCTAGCAAGATGTCTTGCAGATAATGAAGAGAATGGGATGCTAAAAGGAGAGCTGAAGTCAAAATTGTGCAGGCAGAAGAAAGTCCGCTGAAAGGCGTGTGTCGCAAGAAAGGGGTTCGGAGTATAGATCGCAGTGACTTTGGTCTTTTATTTGTCGATTTTGGAAATGGAATAAAACAGAGAATTGTATGAGCGGAGTTTGAGTTGCATGACAGTATTCCGGTGGAAGTCCTCTGGAAGTCGTAAGTGTGGAAAGCATCTGATCTTGGAGAGTAGAGAGTTTCGGTTGGAAAGGAATTTGTCCTTGTCGACAAATGTCAGCTTTGGGTGTATCGCGACAATAATACTTGTTGCGCAGGGAATGAAATGATTGAAGTCGGCCGAACGGACAGAGTTGTCAGACAGGATGGCTCTAGATCCGTGCAATTCTTCGTATGATCGTGGAGACTGAGCCTTTAGTCGCGATATCAAACTACCAGTCTTCAACGGTAGTATCCCATGGGTAGTCATCGTCGCCTTCGATCGTGCTTACTAGGAAGTAGTCTTCAGAGCTGTCTTTGCCAGCTTCCTCTGATAAGCCATGACGGATTGTTAGATCGTTTTGCATGAAGGAGGCCAGGCCCTTCGTAATGAATGAAGAAAAAACTCGTTCGTTTTCAAGCATACCGCGGAGCAGTCTGGGCAGGTAGACATGGCCACTCCCAGAAAACTTCTGTGCTTCCAGGTCGATTGCACGCCTAAAACAAGCCAAAGGACGGCTGCTGAACGCGTCATCTGCTGTATTATGGTCGCCTCTAAGGGGTCCCTCCTCAACCATGGCGTGAATAATAGTATGAAGAAGTCCTGAAAGATCAGATCTGAGCTTATGATAGTGTGACAGAGCCAGTCTGTTGAGCTTGTTGTCGGTCATTTGTTGGAAGACTGGGTTGGAAAAAGGCCCGAGGCAGTATATCAAAGAGTCCTCGAACAAAGCTTTGTGTCTAAGCTCAATAGCTACTGAAAGTAATTCAGAACAAGAATCTCGCAGGTCAACACGAGACAAGCTATGGCTTCTTGCCAATGCCCCATCTAAAGTCCGTGAAACTAGGGGAAGACACATGTAAAATCGAGCCAAGCAGGTCATATTTGACAGATCTTGCACCCTGTCAAGCCTGTATGGCAGCATGTACATAGCCTTCAGAATATTGCGAAACGCACTCGTCTGATAGCATCTCTCGTGCTTGCTCTTGGCCCACTGGGGTCGATTGAGATCGCCAGCCTGTATTCTGTTTGTCAGTTCAATTGGTCATGTTCGCGATTGTATCCAGGAGCCAGGAAACAAGGATTTAATGGCAAAGCAACCTACGTTTGGACCAGCACACACAAGCTGCCAATCTTTTCCATCATCCACGATCTTCGTAACCCAGTCGTATTTGAATCCATCCGAAGATTCGACAGCAATCTTGTCCGCCGAGTCGAGGAACTTGAAGAAGTACTGGGAGTGCATTTTCAAGATTGCTGAGCTGACGTGGAATACTTTGCTAAAGACTGTGAGACGAGTATCAATCTCCATACCTCGAGCTCTGAAGACAGTGGGCTCTGGTGTAGTATCGTTGTGGGTCGCCATGTTGAAGGTGAGGTTCTCGGTTTTACTTGATACTGGTCTTGGTATGGAAGGTCGATCTTCGCAATTTGGTTGGCTCTCGCTGACGAGATTTAATTTCGCACGCGTTAGAGATTGGGTGAGTTCCAAGTGGGTGAGAAATTGTTGTTTGGGTTTGGAGGAAGGAAACGAGGAAGACGGAGAAGGAGTGAAATACACAATGGCTATACCCCTGTAAAAATAGGCGAGGTTAGTTCCTCAACGCGTCAACATCACCTGCTCAGTGTAGGTGGGTGGATATGTTCTGGAACAGTCTATTACTGCGAAGTTATTTTCTGGCATCTCTCACAGCTTGTTAGATATAAAGTCAATGGGAATAGGCAAAAAAGTAGGTAAGCGAAGTGTTTGAGTGGGATGAGGACTTTCAATTTTCACCCTACCGTAACATAGCATGCCTCTGCTAAAGAGAATGCAATATGGTTGCCAGGAGGAATATGGGCATACTAAATTACCTTGATTCTCTTCTCTGTAAGTCTGTATTGCTTCCAAATTTCCACAGCGCATTATGGTGTCGATTTAACGATCTACTAATAACAAAGTAAAGTTGGATTCATCAGCCTTTCACTCCGATATCTCTTGGCACAAGGGCCAAGGACGCCAGGCCATAGAAGCTTTTGCGTAGAATTAGTGATGACTGAGGCTTTCGTGTCTTCCAAAGCACATTCCAACTTGCTCACACGTTGAGAAATTAATTCAATGGTTCCCACAAGGCCGATTATGAAGCCAAAATGTGTCTCTGTCAAGCGCTTATGGCAGAAAGATTTTCTCAACCTCTCAAAACTGAAGTAAACTACCAATCGATCTCAGAGGAATCCCAAGGATAGTCATTTGCCTCTAGCATGTTCAACAAGAAGTGATCCTGGCAATCGTGGACATCCTTGCCGGCTTCGATCAACTCAACATTGCCAATTGAAAGATGTGACCGCAAATCCAAAGCAAAGTTCTCTAGAACAACTTTCTTGGCGATTCCACATCCTCCGCTATACATGATCTCTTCGTACAAGTCTCGGAAAATCTTGGGAACGAGTAGCTTTCCATCATTGGAATCTCTAATTTTCATGCTTAGAGTCATTTCCTTGTTCAACAACGCAAGTACCTCGTCTCGGCTATTTCTGACGTCAGTCACTGGAGCAATTAGGTCGTAATGTCGACTACGGACATGAGCGCTGAGTTTGAAGTACATATGGTCTGCAAGTGTCTTCAGATCCTGGTCTTCGAAGGTCGTATAGATTGGATCGTTGAAGGGTCCGAGGCACCATATCATTGCATCTCCGGAAAGCGCTGCGTGTCTCAGCTCGTCGTAGAAGTGCTTGATGACAGCATAATGCATGCACTTGGGCATGTTAGACCTTTTTTTCGGACTTGCTGGACAACTGTGATGTCGTGGGCAAGGACTTACCCGAACTTGGAGAGCAGCTTTGCCTGCACCATATTCCATTTTGTCGGCGGTTCTAGGCTAGTTAACGCCAACAGAGACAAGCGTTGACTGAATGATGGATACAAGATCATTGAGCGTTGTTTTGCGGAGATGTTGGACTCTGTCACGTGGACATCCTTGCACACACCTTTCCTCAAAGTACCTAGGCAGGTATAGTACTTTGCCAGGTGGGAATGATGTTCTTCAAGACGATGCTATATGCACTCCACGTCAACCCATCTTTGTGACCAACTTGGAGATTTTTCGTTCCCAGGTGGAAGCCTTTCGTCAGTCGTAGGGAAGAGTAGTTGGAAAAGAGGTTGATCACAGTCTCTCGAGAAACTTGATGGTTCAAGACCCTGCAATAAACAACAGGTGGAGTGCCAAAAGTTCCAGTCTTTCGCAGTTTATTCAGATTGTGTCACTTTGAAAATGCAATCCAGGGAGGGCAGCCGGATGGCACGTGATATGTTGTACGCTGACCGCTGCCATGACAAGGCAGGGCCAGCGGGGTTAACAATATCTCACTGGGCCACATGCTTCATGCGACCACTGCAACTCGAATATCAGATATTACACTTCCATTTCAAGCTTAATATACCTAGAGCTTTGTTATCTGCTTCCTGTATCTCCAAGTTAAGTCGCACAAGACATTCTCGCGATCGACGACTTTCCACCATGGCAGAACCTCCAGTAAAAAAGCAAAAGATCAGCAAACCTGTCGTGTTTACCACACCCGGCCACCTACCAGACACGCGTCTCGTTGTCTTCGATCAGGAGTTTCACGTCCATTCAATCCTACTTAAACTTCATTCCGCGTACTTCAGAATGTTCCTCGACTCCCCAGACAAGGCTCCAAAAGCCACGACTGTTCCTACAAGCGCCACAGCTAGAGATCCTTCAACCACTGCTGCCACCTCATTCATCTCGCTCAATGGACTGTCTGGATCCTTCAAATATCATTGGGTCACCAAGATCGATGGTGATGATTCCTCTGGCTGGTACCTCACCGCTGCTAAACCAAACGTAAGATACAGACCTCCTTCAAAGTACCATCACTTATGACACAATACAGACAGATTCTACATCCACAGCTGCCTTCTCAGGTAATCTCTTTCGGGAGATCAAGATGTTCAAGGCAATGCTCTGTGCATTTTACGTCAATCCATATTGTATCAGCAGCTGTTCCGAGCTGTCTATCTTGACAAGACTCGCCGACTTTTACTGTGCTTTACCTATCGTGTCCCGGACTCTTAACATGGCATTCCTCTCAAGTCCAGATCTTATAAATGACCTTCCCAACCATCGATGCGAAGCTATTGAGCTAGCTACAAAGCTGAGAAACAAAATCTTGTTCAGAGAAGCCCTCGTGTGGATCGTGGGCCCTTGGAGTATGCCGATGTACCACACTCTGGAAGATACGAAATTGCGGAAGATTGCCCACAAAGTATACGCAGACATTGCTCTCAAAATAGTCGATATCAATCACAAGCTTCTGGCAGTGATATCGCACGAGGTCAATGTAGTCAAAATGGAAATCGAAGATTCTCCAGTCAAGCGAGCTATGGATCAAGCAATGGATCAAGCAATTACACGGACCAATCGTCGTGGTGATTTTTACATGCCTAGATACTTCAGAGAGTTAGACAAAGCACTGAGAGCTTACAGTATATACCCACTTGAAGAATTGCTTGAAGATGCCATGAATGGCCTTCTCCGCAACAACCTTCTCTTGAATAAAGGCACTCTGAAATCGGGAAAAGCCACGCCTGTGATCCCAGAGGAAGAGAACAATATTGACGACGAAGAAATCCCGGAGGAAGTGAGGCCAGAGACTCGAAGTATGGAAGATCATTTTCTTTGCGCAGAGATTGAGGACGAGGATCTTCCATGGGATGTCAATGAGACAGATTTCTAGACATGATCAGTTCAACTTGGGAAATCTTCGTGCCACTGCTAAGAGCCTTGAATGATAGCACAAAAGTAGAGACTTGATCGATATGATGGTACGAGTACTTACGAGCCTCTCATGGCTCCATGAGATAATGACATTTTCAGGTACTTCTAGACACGCTTCGTCTGTTGGCAAAGGTTGCCGGTTCTGGGTGCCGGAAATCGTGAGCGACTTTTATTTATTGCCAATGTATCGAACGTCAAATGAACATCGGGAAATAATTAAAAGTCACTGAATAGTGCAAATACCCATGCGCCGCAAGTATTGTAGCTCACCTAGAATCGACAATTGCATGAAGCTGTCTACTCGAGCGATCTAATAAGCTACGACAATGAAGATCAAGACAAGCGAGGCAGATCTCATATCAATGAGAGAGCCGGTTGATGTGTCGTGGAAGGGAGCATACTTTACTCTTGGTGCAATCACAATAACTAGCAACAAGCTTACCCTGGTGCCCCATTTTGACTCCCAAGTTCACTCTTCCTGGAGGCTCCCTCTTTCAACATGCTGTTGGTACAATGGAAACTCCCCCGATATGGTGAATCAGGCGATGATTCTTGAGTGGTAGCTTGCTGAAATCATCAGCGAAAAAAAGGCGAGCTACCAAGAGCGTGAAGTGAATGTTGATTTACAGATGTGCTAGCGAGACTAGCGTGACTTCCAACGTCTGCCTCCTTGAATTCCGCCAGAGGCTTCTTTCTACATCTTCCCCTCAGAAAAAAGTTCGAAACCAATTTTCAACAAACCTGAATTCGAAAGCTCCTTACAACACCACTCACTATGGAGCCACCACCATTAAAGAAGCAGAAGACCGATCCCAACACGCCAGTCATCTTCAACACAACCGGCGGCTTGGAGCCAGATATTCTTATTAACATTCTAGGAAGAGACTATCATGTCCATTCCACAATCCTCAAGCTTCACTCAGCATTCTTTGCCGCATTTCTGGACTTCATAGATAAGGACACTGCACGAAGTGGCACCGCCAAGAATACCAAGTCCTCCAAATTCCTGTACGAATGGATTACTAGGGTGGGTAACGACTCTGAAGGGCATGCCAACGGTGGTTGGTTCTTGATTGAGAAACCAAAAATAATCGTGAGTCTCCGCTTTGAACACTGCATTCAATATAATTCTGCTTTTCGATAAACAGTGGTTTGATTATCTCACAATTCTGCGCTTGAATATCTTCAAATCCATGATCTCTTGAGTTTGATGGACAAAGCTAATTTCGTGTACTCGCAGGGTACAAAGAGCCGTTACCACACATACACAGGCGAAATTGACCATCAGTAGAGCTGCTTCGAAAAGCTGCTCTGTGCCATCTACAGCCAATCGTACAATCTGACCACCCTTGCTCAGTTGAAGACTCTGGTGGAACTTGCCGATTATTATCTCTGCCTCCCAATCCTCTCTCAATCAATCAACAATGCACTATTGAACGAATCTTCTGACAAGTCCTTTATATCACATAATCCCTGCCAGGTCATGGCTCTAGCCTCAAAGATCAGACATAAGTTACTCTTCACAGAGGCTCTCATCTTTGTAGCTGGCTTAGTTGAATGGAGCTCGATCCCAGAATTTGAGAGGATGGAAGACAAAAGGATCAAAAAAGCTGCCAGGACAGCCCACAATGCATTAATGGCAAAGATTTTCCACATCCAGCAAGTTCTTGCGGGTATGTTTTCCATTCCCTCCTGGTGACGTCGTTGATCTGGGAGGATCATGCGGACACCAATACCCACGGGTGTTTGACCTCACGGCTCTAAATCCATACTTGAGGTCTTGAGACTAATTTACTTCTCAGATGCAGTTGTGAACGGATTTAGTAGTGAGAAGAAGCAGAACAAGCTCCGAACTTGCATGAGTGACAATATCAGTTCCTCTCTTCCGCAATATTATAGGAATATTCTCTCGGCCGGCCCATGGGACTCGCCCGACCATGAAATCGACTCCAAACTAGAGGATATCCTTGAGAATAAGCTGCCTTTTCCCCCAAAGCTCAATGCCGGGGATGATGGATATGAGGAGAATTTCTTCTGTGTAGAAATAGCAGACGAAGATCTTCCAGTACGTCTCCTTCTTCCCCTTGCATCCTACTACCCACCAGCAAGAATCTCATTTCAAAAACTAATTATAATTATAGTGGGATGTGGAGGAAAGTATCTGGTAATCAGATGAATGTTTTCCATTAGCTGCGAGCTCGAGGCTGGCTGGGGCGCACCGAGGTGTGTGGAGCTTTCTGGTGGCTGGACAGGGATCGACACCAAACATGATGGCTTCACGGGCTTTTAGGCTCTGGAAATGTTGTTAAAGCGTTCCATTTCCTTCTATTACTTAAGAAACGAGCCTGTGCGTTTCTTGCGCGTATTTACGCGAAAAGTCAAGCTCGAAGGAGCGAAACTGCTCAAATAATGAGTTGTTCTAGACGCTAAATTATTTTCTTCCAAAATTGCCTCAAAAAGAATACTTTTTCCTTGATTTTGAATTTCTGGCTTTCAAATCTTGACCAATGTGAAGTCCACAGTGTCCAACAACTCCTCAAACTGCTTAATTGTCGGATCCAAAGACCAGAGTCACCCGACCGCAGCCATCATCTGAATATCTACTTGTGCCTCAAACAGTGAAGCCGTATCTTCTGGCTTCGCATTATCACTAACAAGCAAAAGCTAGTTCTCGTTCGTGCTTGATGCGAGCCAAGACTTGCACCCGCCAGTCATGAAGAAAGCTGCGGAGGTAGTAGTATGCTTTCGCTCCTTTGATCTGCTGAGGCTGGAAGAAGCCTTATACAAGTACATCGATTTCCTTGGGAGCCTCCCCCACTGACTGATGACAATGGAAAGGTCTTGAAGAATGACGTCGCCGTTCAAGGTTGGTTACAGTACTTGTTTTGGAAAGCGAAAAGATTCCAAGCGATGTTTTCCTGCATGGAATAGCCGCCCATATCCCTTAAGAGCGTTACATCTTCTAGTGGCACAGTGAACTTAACAGCAAACATCGCTAAGCCCAGAGGTGCAATCAAGCTGAAGATGTAAGTTACACAAGATCACTTCAATCTTTGAGAAGAGTTGGAGACAATTAGACGGACAGATGAAGCTGCTAATTTCACTTTTCTAAAGTAAGTTCTGTTTACTTCGAGGTTGGTCTATATTTTATGAAGAGCTTTTATTATATGGTCAATATCCGGAGATGCTCATCAATATTTCATAAGTGAGCTTGTGATATCGCTAGCAGCGCCATGTCACCCTGCTCTGTGGGGTATGTAAATCCTTGCCGCGAAGACTAAATAGCTTAGATGCTCACCCCATTTGCGACCTATAAAGTGTAAAAAGTCAGAGTCCATATGAATAAACTCCCCCTGAATTGAGTCAACGCTCCGCCGTCCCTGCTCGCCCCATCAGTCAAGGTCCGAAAATCATATGACCACCAAGTCTGCTGTTTGACGAAATGGCGCCATATCTGCTTTCAGACACGCCTGAAGAGTCTTTCCTGTTGTTCTGACGCGATGGAAATCAGAGATTGAACGTTAGGAAGATCATCCGCTAACTTACGGTCCAGTCACCAGGTGACCTCCCTCAAATCCCACGGAAGCATGCGATCGGGAACGCTGAAGTGCAGGAAGTGATCCTCAAATTCTCCCTCTCCAGACACAGCATCTTTCATCAGCACCAGTCTATTCTGAAGGATCCTTCCCAGCATCTTCTCAATCTCTCCATGGGCCTCGGGATGCTTTCTGGCAGCAGCTGTGAAACACATCCGGAAGAATTTGGGCATGATGATTTTTCCATCTTCGCCGAGACACTTTGGCGCCAAGCCTACCAGATGTTGAATATGCTCAGTTCCGTCGGATACCATGTATTTGGAGTCGGGGGGACAGTTCGCAGCAACTTGGAACAAGTCCAAGTGTAACCTCATGATCTGCAATTCTGTTCTCTTGTATGTTGCATCCGCCATCTTGAAGAGCGTTTGATCTGAAAGATTTTTGTACTGCGGATCGGACCATGGGCCGAGGACATGAATGAAGCACTCTCGGAACAGTGCCTTGTGACGGAGCTTAAACGCTGTTTGAAGAAGGATGGTGGCATCGGTATCCGATGACAGAAGTCCTGGACTGGTATAGAATGGCCCGGTAAGAGAATTAGAAACGACGGGAAGGGCACCGTAATATTCTGCCTGGATTACCATGGAGTTGAGCTCTGCGGCACTAGTGATTTTATACTCTCTGTTGAAGATTGCACAGAGGATGTTGTTGAAAGCCTCCTGTTCCTGAGATCTTTTTCCTCTGAAACCAGTATGGCCCTCATCCTTATTGTAGTTTGAGCTAGAAGTAAGGACCCATCCAACATCTTTATCCAAAGTGGTATACCAGTCACTTTTGAATTGAGGTGAGCTCGAGACCAGCTCCTTGCCATTGCATGGGTCGAACGCTTTCTCAAAGAATGCTGAATTCATCCGCAAAGGCTCTGCACTGACATGGAATTCTTGGTTGAAAACAAAGATGCGAGTATCGGGCTCATTCTTGAGTGTAGTGAAAATAATTGGAGAGCCTGAGTGAGGTGAGCTTATGCATAGCAGGTGTTGTGAACGAGAAAGTGATGAGACATACTTTGAGAGAGCTTTTGCTTTTTTGCTAGTGGAGGTGACATTATCGGGGATGTTCTTATGGTGCAGCTAACGTTCTATTGATTTGATGTTTTTGATGTTAGTTTCTTGAAATAGAGAGCCTGGAGTTGTCTGTCTGGAAGAAATGGGGTAGGGATGGTTGAAGGAAAGCTCGAAATTCAGAACGCGGTACCTATGGTTTAATGTGGTTGGAGCTAGAGTAGCGAAAAATAGTCCGAGGAGTCAGGACATATTCACTAGAATATGGAATTGGAAGGGAGGTAGCAATTCAAAGGTGTGAGGATTCACCATTTGATAATAAATACCAATCGTAGAGAGAGACAATGCCCTGTCGCTGATGTGACATACGAAGCGAAATAACCCAAACTGAATATTCATCTTCTAAGTTTCCGTGTAAGGGCTTGTAAATTTGAAGCTTGATTCTGAAAAGTTTGCATTGGCTCCTTTGATAAGTTGCAGCGTGTGAAACAGAAATTGTTGGTGTTGTGTCTGTGTTTGTTGACATTCTCGCTTCGGTTGCGGGGTTGTTTTGTTCGCTCGCTTGGCTGCTATGGTGGCAGGTGGGCAGGGCAGAACGGCACTGGGACACGAAAATCGAGCTTTGGCACCACCCCAACCAACGGAACTCAGTGGCATTAAATCAGGTGCAGCATAGTTCTACCAGGCTTGAAGGTCTCGAATTCTGTATACACCCAATACTACATGCTTGTCGGTAATAATTGGGAGCCCCGTAACCCCGTTTAAGTCAGGTAGTGCATAGTTATACTTGATTGGTAGTGATTACCTCTGCCGTTGATTGCTCGGTACCTTGGCTGCCTGGTTGGCTAGCGATGTTCCCTCTATGCTCTTCTCCAATCACTTCCGAGATTACCCCTATTGCTGTGAGGCTGTTTTCATGCTAAAGTACCTGCTGGTTATTATCGTCCACTTTCTACACAAATTATCCACATACCTGACTCCAATAAAACCCGTTGATGGTGGTCCCTGGAGTAACTATCATGGGCTCTTTTACAAAGCCACCTTTCATAGATGACTCTTTCTGTCCGAAGTGGCAAGATCTCCCACGATTTGTAGAAACCTGAGTTGTTTATGCAAGATTGCATGTCAGTTGATTGTTCTTGGCAGGGCTGAAAATATTCTAGAGATATGAATCACTCACCTTGAGTGATTTCAATACCCCGTCTTTGCAGAACCAAAACACAGATTCGCTATCGTAATAACTGAGATATATCTCAACGGCATCGATGACTTCTCCACCAGGACCATCAATGGAAAAGTGTATGACCTTGGCGTATTCGGAGGATTTGTATCGCCCCAGCTTGCGGCATTCGATTGGGATGTCCTCAGTATTATAGTGGAACTCGATGCCACACAGTGCACCCTAACGGGTGACAGAAATCCCAGTCAAATAGCGGAGATATATACCTCCGGGTCCTCCAAACGTAGTCCAGCATAGCGGTTGATACCCGGCGGTAGAAGAGTCTCGTGCTGCGAAACAATTATCGTTCAGGTGAAAACCAATTCCGGGGATTTTAGGATACCAAAAAGCGGAATCTCGTAGTGATTTGCTCTCTTCGATCGTCTTCTCGGCAGTACGTGAGACGGACTCTGCAACCGCCAAGCTAACCATCTTACATCCCTATAAGACCATATCAGTAGCGCTCACAGCAATATGACGAGGAAGCCATAAAAACTTAGCTTTGGTCTGCTTACGTCGAAGCCAGCTTTGATGGCTGTTATAGGGTCAGAAACCGCGAGACGCGTCGTTTTCGGTGCCCCGAGCGGACATCCAAACCATTGTGACGTTTGCCTATTGTCGGCAATGCATTCTATGCCTTGTATACCTCTCGATCCTATGGCCAAGTTGAATCCAGCTAGGAATGTAATATTCAGAAAGATCTCTTTTCCTTCTGTCCTGTATCCCAGCTGTATGCTTTCTCCTTGACTGGGGACTAGCCTCATTCCGGCAATGTATTCAGCATCTCCAAGCTGAATGACGGAGAATGCAATGTGAGAAAGTGAACTAGGAAAGGATATATGTTGCTCGCGGAATAGGCGGCAGCCTTCCTCAAAGCCGTGATACGGCCCGGTGTGTAGCTCGGGCCGTAAATCGCCAGTCACCTCTAGCCACCTTAAAGTGACTGTATTAGGACTAGGGGAAGGGAGTTCAGGTGGTTCAACCCATCGCAAATGTAGTGTTCTCCGGACGCATTGAAGCAATTTCCGAACCCTTTCTCGATTTTGCATCCCTTGAGTGCGGTGACCCTTGTTCGTAAGACGATACAGCCTTCTCCAGTCAAGTGCATTGCTCCACTCCTGTGACTCGAAAAGCCAAGAACGGTCAGCATTGGCTTTGAATCTGGAGGCCCAAAACTGTTGGCTGTAAAAGATCGACAGAAACGATCTCGAAGCTTGACGGGTGTTCAGCGCATCCATTGTTGGCAGGTTAGATGCAATCGCCATACGAATCTCTTCAGGAAGCGCAGTAAAATAATCGTCCATCATTGTTACCGGTCCAGAGGAGTTTATAGCCGACGGAGCTTGGAAATCTTGACAGGGGAGTTGCTGGATCTCCGGGACATGGTAGGGATCATTTTTTGCACCTAGGGATAATGCCCAATGATAGTCTCGGTTCACGAAGCGGTCCTCCCAAGGGTAACGGTTTTGATTATCCACGAGGACTAATCCCTCGAAATCGTGACCCCAGCTGATGCCCGTCCCTTCCGATGGAAATGGTAACGACCTGCAAATGTCAAAGAAAGCCCTACAAGGGATCCCCTCGGGGGAATGGGCCTTCTCTAGAAGTGACCAGCAGGCTTCGTGAAAGGGAAAGCCGTAACGACCGTTTTCTGGTTGTTGTCGTATCACTCCAATTTGGTCAAGATTGGGGAAGTCGTATCCGGCGTCGTCCCAGCGAGCGGTGAAGTCTAAGGGGGCTACGAAATCACCACCATCAGGGTCATCGTAAAGGCCAACTCCTGTGACCGCGGTGCACTCTTGACTGGAGTAGACTATTGATCTCAAATTAGCATTTCCAAGGCAGAACGACAGCGACCAGCACTCACGAATACGAAATTGTTTCAACCAAGATACTGGTTCTTCATAGTCACAGATTACGTATCCGCAAATAACGCAGGAGAAGATACGAGGGCTCATGTTGAGGAGACTGATGAAAACTTTCAAGGCAGAATTGACAAAGATATGCAGTTATATCCTGGAGGACTCGCCAATAAGGCTATGTTTAGTCAGCGTGGAAGGTCAAGCAGCAAACTTGTCGCCTACGTTACAGGGGAGCGCGGGACCCAGTACCTATTGAATCTAGACCTTAGAGTTGTTGCGCAGGGAATAATCAAATTACTGTCTGGAGACTATGAACATTTTCCTAGGTACTATTGCCTATTAGTTTTGATTTGACTTTTGTAGGACAGTGTACCCAGGACAGCACTTTCCTTTCACTTCAAGGCAATCGTTAGGTGATCAGATCACATGACATAACAAGACTTAGGCATTCTCTACTAGCAGAATCAATCCCTATTCACAATGGAAAGGATAGATGGAAGGAATTGAATTCTTTTGAATATTGCATATCACTTCAAAATGCTTGGAGCCACCTTAACGGACCCCATATACTACTGTATGCAAAACTCGTAAGAGCGAGTTCACGAGAGCCTAGTGAATTGGACAGCCGACCATAGCATATTGAATGAAGACATCTGCATTGCAAAAGTACACCAGAGCAGAATTGCATGCATATCGTCTCCATGTTCAGGCAAAAGACTAAATACAGGGTGTTGTGTAAGCTCGCTTAGCAGCTGAGGTGGCAGTGCAGAAACCTCCGGCCACAAAACTGAACTTTGGCTCCACCCTAACCAAGTACACTTACCCTCATTAAATGAGCCGTAACATCATCGCACAATTCTCGCGTAGGGGCGAAGGTCGGCTCCCATAATCAGCAAAAAAGTGGCATCCAAAAAGGTACGCCTCGAGAGTGCCGCTTGTCGCCAGAACCTGAAAGTGGCACAATTCACACATCTCCAGACTACCAAAGCAAAAAAGAAGACGATTTTGACAACTGTGGGACTCGAAAAGACCCTCTCCCTTTAAGTGGCAGACACGTCTTTTGGCATCGATCAGTTGTACACCCCTTTCGCATACCCAGGCAACTTAATTCTAACAACATGTGAAGTAGAGTTCCGATAACTGGGCGAGTCAGTAAATGCGCAATTCACATGAACTGAGTTTGCTACTAGACCCTTTTTTTAACAATCGCGCAGAACCTGCATATTCTTCAGATTTGAACATCTAATGGCTACTGCACAAGAAACGTAATTCAGCAAATTTAAAACGATGCCAATCTCTATTTCAGTGTGTAGTCTCTAAAATACAAAGACCTGAACAGCTTCTGTTCAGTAACGCACTTGATGCAGTAAGACCTTGAGTTAAACTAGTCTGAAACACTACAGTCGAAGATCTCATGCTCACCCGGCAACAGTCCAAACTTATTGTAAGGAACCACCTTTCCGAAGAACTCATCACCACGTCCATCGCTTTCACAAGAGTCGTCGTCCTCCGCGGATTTATTGGACTCTCTTCCACTTTGATTCTTGCCGCTCTTGCAACTCTTGCCGCCTTTCTCCAACTTCACCGCCCTGGCTATGATCTTTGGCTCTGTTTTTGAAGATGCCGTCGTCTCCAATTTCCCAGGGTGAACAGCAACTTTCTTGCCCTTGAATCCAACTCCCCCATCGCTCATCTCATCGTCACCGTCACTCAAGTCGATCTCAATTTGGTTCGTTGATGCGTTGTATCTTTCATTATAGCGTTGTGGATCTCCCACCTCAGTACGTCTGAAGTTCTTAATCCCATTTTTAAGGCACTGCTCAGCGTGGAATTTGCGCCTAGCAGCACAGAAGTCCTCTCCCATACTCTTGTCCAGCTTACCTCCAAACCAGATAATGCGAATTGCATTAGAGATAACGGCAATACCACAATCGTCGTAATTGCTTTGGAGTGCGCACTTGACCTTGATGACATTAAAAGTGAGGTCTTCGTTACCAGTGAGCCTCTTGATGTGCGTTCCAATGGTTCGCACACCAGCACGCTCGATTTCTGGGGTCTCCAAAGAGTTGTACACCTTGATTTCAGCTAGCTTGTTACCGAAACTGGGATATAGAGTCGCCACAAGCAATATCCAGTGGCTCATCTGACCTCCAAATGGACAGACAAACCTATATCCTGTTTAGTCGCGCTTTAACATTGTTTACCATGGATTGTACTTACGTAGTAAAGCCAGCGCTGAGCTCCTTCAATGTTTTGCTCGAGTAAGAGTGTGGATCGACCAGATAGACGGGCGGGGGCAATTCTTGCCCACAGCTGATGATAGCGCCTCGGATAGCATCGTCATTGATCCATTGCCCAATCTTGAATCGAGCAAAGGTGCTTTTCGACATCGGAACCGTAATATCATCATTTGACACATTCAAACCCTCTTCAGGGAACACTCTGACCATTAATTCAATGGCATCTTCGCATTTCTTTCTTTCAACCAATGGTGAAGTAGCGTCAATCCCAACTGCCTGGTCGACCACACCCTTCAGATTCAATAGCTCTGCCTTGCTCAGAGATGACAGGAAAGGCGCTGTTGATACGATATCCAATACATCTTTTGCTGTTGTAATCTCTCGCTCTTTTGATGATGAGAGGGTAGGAGAAGTAGCAACAGCCTGTTCGGAAGTGCTAAGGTGCTGAGTGTCTCCAATGGCACTAGACCTTGAAGCTTCCGAGATCTGAGGAGTAGCCATTTTTGCGTAATGTAAGCACGATTGACTGGGTTTCGTCGGAATGATGACTCCTGAGTTGGCGGCGTTGGCGGTCTGGGCAGGTTTTCGCGTTGTTTGGTAGATTGACCCAAATCAACAAACTGCCGTGAGAGAAAACAAAAGTCAGGTCACGAATACCCTTGTCACGTGGATACCAAACACAAGACGCATTTGCATTGATGTGAACTGTTCTGTAATTCATTTCACTTCATTGTTGACGAGTCTAGAAGCATAAATTGTTTGGATGGTACACTCCTGTAAGGTATGGCGACGATCTCAAGAAATAAGCTTTTACTGTGCGCCACATTTCACACACTCATCGTTGTGTTTCATTGTTGTGATATCGATTCTATGTACATTTGTTGCATTTCCCCAATTTCCCTGGGCAGAAAAGGCTACTATTGAAGAACAGCCAGACATAGGCGACGAGAGAATGTCCTTGGCATCGTCCGTCGCCTATGAAAGCAGCAATCTTGGAAATTGGGATGTAGAAAATATGGGAGTTCCAGAGTGTACTCGCAGCTATCAAAGAGATAGACCTAACCACATACTCAATTGCCAGAGTGTGTGAAATTTCCACCACTCCACCGAGTCCATGGTAGTCCGCATTCTGAGCCGCGCGCAGTCAAGAGTAAATTGCAAAGGACTGTCTGTGGAGTGTAAGAGACGCAAAATGGACTATATATTTGATACAGATAGTAAGTTGAGTTAGGTAACGAGAGAGGCAACGTCCAATACTGATAGCCACAGTTTCTCACGGATGCTATTCTCTCTTGTCACCCTTTTTGCTTGTGTCCTTGAGTGCTCCCCTAGTGTCTTTCCTGGTAGCATCATTGCGCTCCTTCACAGTGCCTTTTTGATTCTCCTTCCTAACGCCTTTCAATCTTTCAAGAAGTGGCAACTTGGGTTTCTCGGACTTCTCAGGCTTTTCAGGCGGAGATTCTTGTGAGAGTTCGAAGATGCGCTGCTCTTCTGTAAGCGTTGGGAGCTGCTCTATCTTGAAATTATCAGGCAATTTTGTCAAGTAACGTTGAGCTATACTGTTGACATCGATAAAGGCAGAAGAGTGGTCTGGGACCAGAACTTCCTTGAGTTCCGGATGCGCATCAAGGATTTCCGGAAGCTTACGGTCAAGCCAGAAACCGTTTAGGCTCAGAGATTGGGCAATACCATCGGCGAGGTAAGTACCATCCTCGCTCCGAATTGATTTGTCGAGGTCTGCCAGCATGTCGTCAAGACCGTCTTCATTGTTGTCTGCCGCAGACTTAAAGTCGGCAACTTTCTTGCAAATTGTACTGAGCAAGCTTTGCAAGTATTGTGTGGTAACGAGGGCAGCGTTCAGTTCTTGAAGATTGCGTATAGCAACTGCAGACACAAACTTCACACCACGTCTTGCAGACTTCAATCTCAACTCGATTTTGTCAAGAACTTCGTCCTTATCAAGTACTACACCTTCGAGAGCGGTTGATGCTGTTGCGGGCGACAATTTCGCATTGTCTACATCACCTACGCGGGAGAACTTGAATCTGCTTGCTCCAGATCGGGATCCAGACAACTTGCTTGCGACGCTTCCTTCTCTCTCGTGTTTGACCTCTGTCTTTCCATCATTGGTGCTTTTCTTTAATTCGCCGATATCGTTCTTGGCTGAATCTTCCAGGAGCAGAGGATCAAGTCCGTCCCCGATCTGCTCTGAGTTGCGAGGCTCCAGTCTCGTGGTGTTTTTGTCGGTAACTTTGACTTCGTCACTGCCATAAAAGACGTAATCCTCGCCTCTGTGGTCGATAGCCCAGTATTTACCATCCGGAGAAAGGGCAGGCTTTCCGCGGTGGGCATGATTGGAATTCATCCAGCCACTAGTAATAAAGTTTCCAGGCCATAGTTTGTTTCTATTATTGAGTGAAATGCCACAGTTTAAGACTCGTACGACCGCACGTTCGCCGAGAATGACATTTGCGGGAAGACCGTGGATACCAGCGCTGTCATGAAAAGTGCTCTGCGTAATTTTGGGAACAACGTCGGGATCGTAGAATTTCCACTTGGATGGATCATCTCCGCCATCTCTATCTATCCCAAGCTGCCAACCGGGTATCGTCTTTTGGATTTGTCTCGCGACGGCTGCCTTATTGAGGAGCTTGCTGCTATTGCCACTGCCTTTCGTAATAATCGATTTCCATGTTTCGTCAACAACAGCCTTGGTTTCATCTTTGGAGGGACTGGGGGTAACAGTAGCGTCGTTCGCTTTTGTGGAGGCTTTGCGAATCTTAGGTGGTCGGCTCGATGATCCTCCTGATGCACCTGCTGTTTCGTTGCGTCGACGCTTCTTCTTGCTCGAATCTGGAGCCTTATCCTCCGCTTCATCGTCCTCTTCGCCACTTTCACATCCTTCAACACTCTCCACGACTTCTTTTTCCTTTCCCTTACTTCGAGACTTCTGTGTAGTAGCTGCAGTCTTGGCTAGCTTGACCTTTTTTTCTGCGGCTTTTCTACCCTTCCCACCCCCATGTTTCGACGGAGTTGGAGTAGATACCACCATCTCCTGTTCCTCTTCATCTGTCCCACTCTCTTCGTTCCTTTGACTCGTTGTCTCGCTTTGGCTTCTAGTCTTGGCCTCAGATCTCGCACGTTGGCTCTCGTCGGACTCGCTGTTGCTGGAAGGTGACTGTGGGAGTTTCGCACCCTTTTCGGGCTTGGTCTTGCTGCGACTTGAGCGACCAGTGGTAGCCATGGTCGTGATTTGTGGAGTTGTAGGCGTGGTTGTGTTGCGAAATTCTGGTATGATGTTGTGGCGCGTTTGTTTATGAAGTAGATCGAGACGAAAATCACTAGTTCTACCCAAGTTGAATACTGCGCTATCCTTATCGCTTAGCTTATTCGCTATCGCTATTGATGTTCTTGTCACCTTTCCGAAAAGCTCGGGAGATGAAGTACTTAAGCATGAACATAGCCAACTATCTTCGAAGCCCTCTGTTGTAGGCAAACAGAATGGGAAAGTGTTTGGCGATCGTAGAATTTGCACTCTACAGTTAGTCAATTTAGAGCATAGAATAGAACCTTGGTTCTGTTATCATGACGAGAGCTACCTTACCTTTCAAACCCACCCAGATATGTTTACAAATTCCTTGTTCTTTGCGTCCGCCATAAAGGGTTGCCAAGTCCCTACTTTTAAGGGTATGATTTTGGTACCACTTCTAAGAAACTTAACTACCTGTGTCTCCTATGTAACGAAGAGATTTCAAGTGATATGATGTTAAACATTTCACACTCCTCATGCTGGGGAGAAGAATGATGGAAATAGGATTGTGACCATCGCAGACCCCATATCCCTTCCACCCTCAAACTGCAGGTTTTGTAGGTGCACGATAAAAGTGGATTAACGTGGATGAAGATAGAGTAAAGTGGAAATAAAACCTGAATAGCACAGACAATTTCGAATACGAAGACCTATGAAGTTTGCTTGCTTAAGCTTAGTCTACTACCTTAATCGAGATCCCAAAAAACCTACAGTTTGAGGGTGGAAAGGATAGCATTTGTTCTCGGCGAAGTACGACTTTTATCCGGCTGGCTATATTACTTGCAGATGGAAGTCTTATTTCCAACAATAATCTTTCTGTAACATAATGGTTCTAGCATTCAGCAACGACTCTTGTGAAGTACTGTTATTGGACCTGAAGATTAATCTCCTTGGCATTTTCTTCTAAGTGGCTACTGAAGCGCCGACGTCACATTAGACGCGTTACTGTACAGTACCCAAGGTACCTAGGTTCCTAGGTACACCACTCCCCAGGTCATTCCTGCCCCACAACAAGCGCTTGCCGCACCTAACAACACAACAGAAAGGCACACACAGCATATTTTCCACAAAAATTCTTTTACCACCCCATCAGCTTCTAACAAACATCAATAGTACAACAAGGGATAAGAAAAGCGGCGACACTAGACTTTGCAGAATCACCAAAATTCACGCAAAATTTGCCCACCACTTTCCACGAGAGGACTTACACCCTTGCACATGAAACATATGCGATAACCAGTAGAATACTCCGACCAGGGTACCATGCGGTCGGCGGAACAGAATGAAGAAGAGCAAACACGGAAAGCCGTGGAGCCGATTTCTAGATATGAATGCTCGAATGGCGGGATGTCCGATCCGAGCTTCCTGGGTGCCTACCGAGAAGGCTTGACGAATTGCAGCAGTCTTAGCAATTGCTGGAGCTGGTAGGAGCCGCAAACATTGACTATTGGCGCATCTCGGATCGTATCTGAATAAAGTACTGTACCACGAGGTTACGTTGGATGCCTTGGCGGTAATAGCGTCCTTTACGTCAAGGCTGTGGATTTCGAAGCGGCGCGCCACGGCGAGTACTGCGGTACCATGCGAAAAGACTGTCAATTCCTCCATAACAAGTCTCAGGACTGATCCCGAAGTACTATTCGTGGAATTCTTAACGGCTGCCCAAAGACTTTTCAGCACGCCGTCAAGAGCAATAAACCAGGGAATCGGGTCACTCGTCCCTCCTTCGATGGCTGCTAAAATAAGCATTAAGTCCATATGGAATCTTTCAGCAATTGCTGCTTCTAGCTTCGCTATCTTTTCCATCAGCTGCAAGAGTCTGCGAACATGGTACCAATTGTCTTCTTGTAAAGGCTGAGAGACCTGGCCGAAAAACAATGCCTTAGCATCCAAGTCGTCCATTCCTGCTGGTCTTGCTATTGTAGCGCACATTCGAGCGCATATCTTTTCAAACTTTTCTTTCGCTTCACCCGTCCGAGCATTCATTGTGTTTTCCAAGTTGCGTAAACTTGCGTCAAGCACGTTATCCGCACTTTTCATAGACTGGTGTTCTTTATCTGATAGTATCCGTCCATCCATATAGGATTGTGCTCTTTGGGCTACTGCCGATAGAGAATTTGAATTCGACTTTAGGATGTCTTTGGATATCGATTGCGAGGAAGGGTGCCATCCTTCACTGCCAAGTTCGGAAAGCGAGTAACAAAGCAGAGCTCCTGTTGTCGGCCCTACAAAGCAGTCATAGAACTCGACCTCTGGAAGGTTGTCCAGAAGTGACTGGCTAAGTAGCCTTTGTAGAGGCGGCTGACCAGTACCGCCAAGCCTTACTCCTAAATCAACCGCGTCCAATTCGTCCCCATTTCCGTCAGACTCTGTTGCTGGCTCCGTGGCGAGATTTCCATCATCATCACCTCCCTCAAATATCGCCATCGAGTTAATTACAGCTGCTGGTAGCTTTGGCAGTGATGTCACAATTAAGTCCGAGGATTGCCACTTCCTCAGGAGCTTTATACCTTGCGTTGTGAACTTTTCAAGCAGCGTAGGTGCTGTTTTGGACTGGAGCATCTCAAGCAGTTCATTGCACGCTGGCGTGTCAGGCATCTGAGTGTTCGAGTTCAGAGAAAGCCGCAAGGAAGTTTCTAGATCAGTGACTGCTCTCTCCTGGCGCAAAATCTGTAGCAACATCATTGTTATTGTGTCTGGAGTTTTCACTGGTAGAAGCATTTCAATCGCATTCTTTGTACCGTTGTCATCGCTGTCTTTGGATGACGCGGTGTAAGCGCTAATGGCGGCTCCGACCATTGGTTTCAGAGTTTCTCGTGCCTTTTTGATAATTTCCGCAGTGTGGGGTTGTATGACTGTGAAAGTCTTGTCAAAATCGTCCAAATTGCCTGATTCGTACATTCCCGGCAGGTATATTCCGAGGATCCACAAGGGATTGATGTCATTTTGTGGATTCCAGTGTTGACCAGGTTCAAAGTGTTCGTTGGTCATGGTCCGCTGGAAATCCGTGTCATAGCATAGCGCGACAGATATAGTGGTTTTCCAATCTTGAAGCCCAGATTCTTTCTATTGGGAGTGAGATTTTGTGTGTAGTGAACCGACCTTTGACAACGCTGCTTACCGAGTGCTTCCTCGCCTTGTACTCTTTCATAATCTCTTCTCGAATAAATCTTTGCTGCAGATCTGTTTGCAAATCTATCGGAATTCGCGTGTCCTCTTCAACTGTTGGTTGACTTTGGGAATCTGTAGCAGGTACCTTTGGTGCTTTCGATGATGCTTTTGGTGCCCCCTTCGACGAGGTGGCCCCTCGCGCTGTGTCCGTGCCGTCTTTGCCCATCTTGGATGAGATTGAGAGATGATATCTACGCTGACCAGATAAATTTTGGGATTTCTGTTCTTTAGAGAAGACGGTGCAGTTGTGTAGTTCGTGAAGTTTCGCTTGAGAAATGGTACCTGAATAGGTGCAATTTGTGTTGTTTATCTAGCCGAGACGTACACAACGCGCGCACGCGACTGTAATTCCACGTGGGCTAGGATTTACGGCTTCTCTCTAGTATCTGATTATTTCTCTACTTCGTAGATTGGACTTGCAGAAAAGCTTTCAGCACCTATACCAGAATCCGTACCGCCCACCACGTCGCGAGTCAGAACGTAATTATACCGAACCGCCGAGCAAAGCGAGTCATGGAGAGCCAGTATTCAGGTCCAGAATGGACAACAACAAAGCTGAGAGCGGTGCTTAAAAGCAGGGGTCTCGGTACAAAAGGTGTAAAAGATGTGCTTATTGCGCGCCTTGTCGCCGACGATGAGAAAGACAAGACCGGCGATGGCGATGATCACCAACAGCCTATCGTCTCAGAACACGAGCAATGCGTCATGGAGGGTCAACGATTGAGCAAGATTCACGATAAAGATGGGATCCAATACCAGTACACTGCCGCAATTGAGATTCTTGCAAAGCATTTAGCATGCAACGCCGAGTACATAAAGGTTGCTCGAGGAACTCCTCTTGATCCAACTGTGGTAGCAGTTCATATGAGCAAAGAATTCCTCGCGAATGTTAACATTCCAGGACGGTGGAAACGATTTGAATCGTACAGTGCGTGGACTGGGCACTTTACCAAGGACTTACGTGATCCAATGTTGAGGAGAGCCCAAGAACTCTTCAACAGCCTGCCGCTAGAATTTCGATCCCGTGGTGTCGAAAATGTACTCGCACCTGCATCTGAAGAGTCAACAGAAGCAGACGCCTTGAGGGAGGGGATTTTCTTCTATCACCAAGTTATTGGTAAATTCCTTGAGACAGCAAAGCAATGTGCTCACCAACAATACGTGATAGCGAGATCAGCAACCTTAGACTTCTTGAAAACCTTATCCGCCAATCAGCAGCAAATTTTGCACGAGTTATATTTGCTACAACGTGCGGAGGCTGAATGCAGATCAAAGACAACACATCTTGAAGGAATGGCGATACGCTTGCTAGATGGCCTCTTGGAGGAGACCGGACTGGACGCTTTTAGTACAAATCCCACGATCGTCGCCAAGTCGAACGAAGAAGCCGCTCAAAAGTTGCAGGAATTGTGCGGATTCACCGAGGACCTTGTGTTGCCACAATTCGCAGCCAATCCTATCCACAGAATTGTTGCGAAGCGAACGATGATCGCAAACTTAAATCCTCGAGAGCCTGTCGATACAAATATTTGGGCAACTATAGACCTTGAAACTGTGGACGCTCAGCTCTGTGCAGCGTTGCCTAAAGCATTCGAAGAGATAGACCGGGCTCAATTCATTGCGAACTTCACCCATTTAGTAGCCATTACAGAGAGACCAGCGAGCTTGTACACATCTCAGGGCCGCCGAAAGAAAACGCCAGCGGCACTTCATTCCGACAAGATTCCCGCCATCGACTTACTCAAGGACAATCTATATCATGCTCATAAACTTCTACTGTCATTGCCATCAGATCCAGGTAACAAGAACTGTCCAAACAAAGTGCTGCCTAGCAAGACATGGCTGCGAATGGTGGCTTTGGTAGCGATTTTCTACGGCTGCATTGCAGAACCTGGCTTGTTAGTCAGTGTCAGCAATCAATTATTGAAGGACCTGCTCGCATACTATGGTAAGAAGAGAGATGTATCTGGAAAATCGAATTTCTAATCATGTCTGCAGATATTGATCCTAATTTGTACCTTGACACAATTACCGGCAACTCTGTTGGTCAAGTGCTGAAGATAGAGGATAGTGCCAACGGTACGAACACGTATTGTATCCAAGCAGAAGCCACCGTCTCCCTGGAAGACATGGAAGGGATCCACAAATCACGCCAGACTATCATGGAATTGGCAAGATTTTTCCGAGGTTCTATCATTGTTGCTTACAAAATCACAATGAATACCAACTATTTCGATCGGAGACCCCCAAGGACTCTTGAGGATGCTCGCAGAGGTAAATTTGAAAGCTTGCTTCGGTGGACTAGGAAATGTGCTCTTCCTAGTTGCGACCAACCTCTAGACTTGCCCGCCGAGGGTGGTTATCGCATGCTTTCTGTTGGCGTGAAGGACACTCGGATGGGCTTCCCAGAAGAACGCGAAGAGATTTCTCAGAATAGGCTTGACATTTACTACTGTTTGTATGAATTTGTAGATTCCTTCAACTGGAATCACAATATCGCACCCTTCTTTTTCTTCTTTGCTCATCTTTATCATCCAGGCTGTAAGCCGCAGGTGGGAAAAAGAGCTGTTCACGAATAGCTAGAGTGGCAATGGCTGTTGTTAATACGGTTAGGTTTATTCGCGAATACGAGTAGATAGCTTTTATAGAGTTTGTACTTTTTGTAAATGATATATGTGTTAAGTTTATATTTTATATTAACTCGATAGTTTAATGCTAGATCTATATAGGTAAGCTTATAAGATCAAGTAGCTTTAATATTAAAGTTACTACAAATAACTACTTATGAATCTGTCTTATAATTTTGTACTAATTATAATACACTTAAAACTATAACGATCTAGGGTTTATTAACTAGGTTAAGTGGTTATCTTTTAATCGAGCCGTAGTAAGTTGTAACTCGCTAAACGAGATTACCTCTCTCTCTTTTATCTACTTTTTATCTTAGTTATAAATTACAAGAAAATCTTAATTACTTTTATTTTATTTTATTCTATTAATGTAGTATTTAATTTTTTTTTAATTTCTTCTTATAATATTATATTAGTATTCTATTAAAGGTAAGCGTTACAAAAGCTTAAGTAAGTTATAAAACATAAGAGAGTAAAGTAGTACTTTTAAGTATATAATAAACAGCTACAGTTAAGTAGTATATTAAACGAGTACTAGTAAAAACAAGAGAAAAAAAGACAATATATATATATTATATATAACTGCGCTTATCTATAAAAATATTAGTCTATAAATCAATTTAAGGAGATTAGAGTTTATAACTTAACTTTAAAAAATTAAAGTATCTTTTTCACCTTTAAATAGTATAATTTTTATTATATCTAAAAGCGGGGTTAAGTAACTAAAAGAAGCCTCAAAAGTAGACTAGATCTTTAGAATTTATAAAAGCTACATATTACATTTACTAGCTAAGACTCGCTTTTATTTTATATTCTACTATTACTTTACTATTTAAGTTAAAAATAAAAAAAATAAGAAATTGAGCAAAGTCGTGTTTGAAGCCTGCGACAATCTGGCTTTAGCCGCGGTGCAACAGTTCAGTCCTTGTCCTTGGTGTCTCCTGTGTTTGCGCTGTAGCTCTTGAGGACAGCTTGCAGGGAACCACGGACGATATCACCGATGCAATAAATTACAACCGCGGCAAGTATCACGTTGCGGATGGGTCTGCCTAGACTGGTGATGGAAGGGCCAAGCTCCAAGGTAAACTTGTGAGAAACGAAATGTTTGACTACGACTTCGGATGGAATGAATGCTGCGTCCATAATAATCCTCTTTGTTGTTTGAGATCGAGAGATGTTGGAAGCTTTAAATGTTGACCAATGATGGTCGTAGATAATCCCTGGTAGGGCGGTGTAGAGCAGCAATACATTTTGGCTTCACTTGCTGGCTGCAAGCTCCGAGGTCAGCCAACTACTCACCACAACACACATTACGGCGCAAAGAGATGTCTAGATGGCAGACTTGTACCCTTCGATAGCACAATGTGCGGTAGTAGCAACCGCTTTTAAACTGCTACTATTGCCAGCTTAGTTCGTCTTTTCCCATGTTTCCCAGGAGCCGCCCCACTGATAGCATCACAGCAAGTCTACCGACTTCGAAGTTCATAGGAATTGGCTGGCCATTACCAATAGTCTACCAGTACAGGAATGGTACTATGAAAAGACTTCACAATGGACTCTCGACTACCCCCCATTCTTCGCATATTTCGAATGGATTCTGTCGCAAGGCGCAAAGCTGGCGGACCCAGAAATGCTGAAGGTGTTCAATTTGGGATATGATAGTTGGCAGACGATATACTTCCAAAGAGCGAGCGTTATACTTACGGAGCTGGTTTTGGTCTTCGCGCTTTACCTGTAAGTCTGAAAAGCTGTTCAAGGAAAACAATGCTGACTTACAAGCTTCGTTCAATCATCCCCGCCAGATTCGAAAAGAGCATCCCACGCTGCTGCGCTCTCGATCCTTCTGTCTCCTGGACTCTTGATCATTGACCATATACATTTCCAATACAATGGTTTCATGTATGGCCTCATGATTCTCTCCCTGGTATTGGCCAGGAAGAAGTCAACCACTTTGGCTAGCGGACTACTTTTCGCAACTCTACTCTGCCTAAAGCACATCTACCTCTACTTGGCCCCAGCATATTTCGTCTATCTACTGCGAGCATACTGTCTGGGACCAAAGTCAATCTTCCACATCAAGTTTGGAAACTCATTGAAGCTTGGGACAGGGATAATTGCTATTTTTGGTGCCGCATTTGGGCCATTCGCATATTGGGGCCAAATTTCGCAGTTATTGAGCAGATTGTTTCCATTCTCTAGAGGACTGTGTCATGCATACTGGGCTCCGAATGTTTGGGCGATTTACTCCTTTACCGATCGGATCTTGATCTATGGTACGTCTCGTCTAAAGTCCAGTGATAAAATACTAATTGTATCAGCTGCCCCGTACCTCAAACTGTCCGTCAACCAAGACGCCATCAACAGCGTAACCCGCGGCCTCGTAGGCGACTCCTCCTTCGCTGTCCTCCCCGAGATCACTGCACGCATGACATTCGTCCTAACCCTAATCTTCCAAATCATCCCCCTGATCAAGCTCTTCTTTGACCCAACCTGGGACACCTTCATCGGCGCCGTCACTCTCTGTGGCTACGCATCTTTCCTTTTCGGCTGGCACGTCCACGAAAAAGCCATCCTTCTCGTCATCATTCCATTCTCCCTCATTGCGCTCAAGGATCGCCGGTACCTCGGGGCTTTCCGCCCTCTTGCTGTTGCGGGTCATGTCTCGCTCTTCCCACTTCTTTTCACGGCTGCGGAGTTCCCGATCAAGACCGTTTATACTATCTTCTGGCTTGTGCTCTTCTTACTTGCATTTGATAGATTGGCGCCAGCGAGTAATAAGCCAAGATTCTTCCTTCTGGATCGCTTCAGCTTGGTATATATCGCTGTCAGCATCCCGCTGATCGCGTACTGCAGTCTGTTGCATGGCATTATATGGGGTGAGAAATTGGAGTTTTTACCCTTGATGTTCATGAGTAGCTACTCGGCTGTGGGTGTTGTGGGGAGCTGGCTTGGGTTCTTGGTTGTGTTTTTCACGAGCTAGGTGAAGCATTAAAGATGTCAGGAAATAGAGACAAGAGAATGATACCCTTCATTTGTTCAGTAACCATGTCCCCCTTTCTTAACGACTCTTGCGATCAGTTGACTGTGTACCACTAGTGTACAAAACAAAATCAACTTATCTTCCTGGATTCCAGATTTAAGGTACCCATGATCGTATGTGAACAACATCCAGCCTCTCATGGCATATATCACGCTCTAACATGGCGCCTCACGGCGCATGATCATCTACAACCTCCAATCTTGACACGAGGCACAGAGCCTCTAAGCCAGCATCTATCTTCGAGACAAACTCATTTCTCCTTTGCACTCTCATCCATTCTAGTCTGGTATGGCGTCAGCGACTACATATATTGTACATCTCCAACATCCATCACCATATGAACTTTTACTGTCCCCTCTTAACTCCATACCTCCCTATCCAATGTCAGAGTTCTCTCTACGGTGTCCTTATCCCAATATAATTGCTCTGTACGTATCCTTCATTGGCCCACCGGTTGGTGAGGGGCGCAGCAACCAACCTATGGATATTGCTGGCCAACCGATTATCGAATCAAAATCGTGCATGGAGTAGGTGCAGCTTGATGTGTTGGCAACAAAATCTCGATAAGAAGATGCCTCATGGGAAGGGAGCATTATCTAGGCAGTCCTAGTATCAACATTATACTACTTTCTCACTACTTGAAAATCACCCTCCTCACACTGATAACGTTGGCTATTTACTCATCTCCGATTTCTCGAGACCCTAGCAGTCAGTTAAACTCTACAGACTGCTACGAAGATAACGGCAAATCTGAGACATCCGGTTAGTTGCAAGCAAATGGTGCTGTCACGCTCATGCTGTTTACTGATGTCACAGAAAGTTATGTGTGAGGAACTCATTTTTCGAACCAGACATCGCTGTGGTCATGTGATTGATCAAGCTGGCACCTTGCAGGAGTACGAGAATTGCGGACACTGTGGAACGATGATGCATACTTCTTATCTTGGGCAGACAACAAAGAAGAACCCGTGTGCAGATTGCGTTGAAGATGGACTTTGGGTCAAGCTTGATGGTGTTTGGAAATCGGCTTAGCGCCGAATAAGCCCCTTACTTCTACATTTCTCACCAACCGACGGTACAATTGTAACCACACACCCTGTTGCACTCAACTCCCGAGTTTAGTATCGCAGGCGAGAAACGAATTTAATACGCAGTGATTTTATCTACCTTGACTCTTTTCACATTCTCCATAATATAGCGAAGTCAACGGACGGATAAGAAACATGCCGACCCTTGAGAGGCTGCGCAAAGGAGCCACCGGCATCGTCTACAAAGTAGATTCCACTATCGTCGTGAAGTGTCCAACACCTGAAGGACATGGTGATTTTATCAAGGAAAACCAGATTTTCAACATCCTGGCGCGATATCCACCTTGCCCTGAAATTGTGACTAGTTACCTGCGCCTCGACAACGGCAATTTCCTAGAGTACATGCCAGCATTCTCTCTCTCCGAACGTTTGCAACGCCACCAGGTCAGAGATCCGAAGTCCACGCGAGTCTTATCAGTACGGTGTGTCGAGGCCCTTCCATTGCGCCAGACATGGATGAAAGCAATCGCTGAGGGCGCTGCTTGGCTCGAATCCCTCGGTCTTGCTCACGGTGATCTGAAGCCCGAAAATGTCTTGCTTGATAAACAGAACCGCGTCAAGCTTGCGGATTTCGACTGTGCGAATACCATCGGTTCGGAGTTCGAGGCTTGTATACCTCCGTATGGGCGGCTCCTTGGAAGTGAAGCCGGGTCAGAGGAAGGGACTGCGGGACAGCTTGGAGTTCGTACGGAAACATTCGCGCTTGGCTCCATATTCTACTTTGTCAATTATGGATTTGAGGTTTATGACGACCAAGATTTTGGCGAGGATCATGGACCGGTTGTTGTAAAGTGGCTGCAGACAATGGTGTTTCCGACACTCGGTCGTGATTCTAGGCTGGATTTTATTATTGACGATTGTTGGCATGGTAGATTCGAGTCAGTTGCGGCGCTGTCGAAAGCTATCTCGCAGCAGTGTGGCTTGAAGAACTATTCATCTCAAGCTTCTTCACCGGAGGAATTTGCAGCGCGTCGAGCATATTGTTTACAGCTCATTGAAGAAGGCATTCTTGATAATTTCCCCAAGGTAGACTGAACTCGCAAAGAACGCTGTTTCGGGCCGTTCTTGATTCCGAGACTTGATGACAATTCATCGGGCCTGCTGGAGACAGAATTTGTATAACTAGATAATAGGGCAAGCAGGATAGTATCTAAAGAGCAGAATTCTGTTTATGCTATTCTAATCTGTCCACAAGGTCCAGAGAAGCTATCAATGCTCCTCATGTTTTACGTTTTAGAGATCCTCCAATTGACAGAACTCAGACCCTTCAATAATTTACGACTTTGATGACAAATACCACGCCTCTTCTTAGTCGTCTCCAAAATTCGACTCAATGCGCTTCCAGGGCTAACCATCCATCCGAATTCAAGTAGTCCTGCCTGTCTCATACTCACGCTTAACCTGCCGCTTCCTTGATTTTACTGGAACAAAATTTATCTCTCTACTGAACGTACCCAGTAATGGGCTATTGACCGAACAGGTGAGCATGAGCCGGGTTGCCAGCCACAGAATATCAGAAGCATGAATAAATACACAAATGACAGTGCAGCAGAGCAGCGAAAGCCATTATGAGGAACTTTACTTGTTTTGCCGTAATTACACACAAACTACTGCATACTTTGGCAAAGTATTCCGTGATTAGCCGTCTTTTGTAAAGAGTTACGCCTTTCTTTCCTGTCCTTGCTGGTTAGAAGTTAGAACGAGATCTCAAGACAGGCTAACCGCAACTAATTCTTTCGACCTGCCAAGTGCGATCTTGAAACCCCATAATTCAAAATTAGAGGTGAACAGGATGCAAAGAAAATAGGTAAATACATTTAACATATTGACAATGTTGCAAATCTGGCTATCCTGTATTTCTTGTCAAATGTGGATGAGCATGCGCCAGAGGCCCAGAGCCCTCATGTCTCGATATTGTTGACTTGAAACACAAATATGACTGGAGATCAAGGAGAATATTGGCTCACACAATTAGTACTTTTAGCTGATATTTAGTTTCTGTCCGCCAACATATTCCAAAAGCAAGTCTAAAGTAGAACATATAAGAGAGTGAAGTCCAGGCAATAGCTTTGCCTGAAGTGACAAAGCTGCTAAGCCTGCTATCTATCTCCTTGTTCTCTCTTGGAAGAGCTCGACTAAATGATACCAAACAAGGCCTGTTCAACAATTCATAAATATCTTCGTAAATTTTTCAGGCCCAAAGATCATTATCTCGGATAGATGCAATAGACCGACTAATAGTCGGCGACTAATAGTCGGCGACTATTAATGCTTAGTGCAGTCTGGTGACCATGAAGTCGGCCTCCCTCGAAATCCAGCGAGAGACCAGACATTACTGTACTTATATACCAAAACTGAGGGTGTTGGATGTTTCTCAAGGGCAAGCGGGCCTCGATCGCATCTACAATTTGTTCCGCTGAATATCTTCTAAAGTTCTTTAGGTGGACAATCCATCCAAGAAAAGCGATGCTCTGAATATTTACAAGCACTGGTAAACCTACATAAAGATGCCAGTCAACTACTTACCTAGTTTCTCATAAATCCCAGGGGATGAAGAAGAGAGAGATCAGGTCGGATCCACGCGTTGGGCTTGATCAAGGGTCTTCAACATCACTGCATCAGAATGTGATTCCAAAGTTTTCCTGAGCACACCTTTATGCTGCGGAAAATTGCCAATCAAAACTTCTCGTACGGTGAATACAGCTCTTGAGATGTGTTAACAAATTGAACGTTCACAGTACCGCTTCTGGAATCATCGTCAATCCGGTTTCCGGTCAGCCATTCGGTCCTCTCTATTTGAAACAAAGACTAACACTTCAGCTTTCTCAGACTCAAGCTCAAGCTCCTTATCCGTGGCGATGAAAACTGTCAACTATTATCTGCGAAGTGTCAATTGACTCCAAGGGTCTATCTTCTTACCTTCAAGATGATCGTATCTGTTGTTTTGTTTCTCCCGAACCACTGCACATTCCAACGCACTTTTATATTACACCAACATGACTCTTTTCCACAACAATACAACTACAATTCAGCTCAAAGTGAAACCGGTACATTCACGCCGCACAAGACCGTGAGATGACGGAGTTCTGTATTCACTGCTCCGACTTGCGAGCACACATAAATGCAACCGAACCTTCTCTTGTTCCCTTTTCTATAAGACAAAGCTACCTTTGTTTAGGACACGCCAAGTGCCCATGAGTGAGTCGATTTGGCCCTTCTTGTGATGAATCGCCATTGCAAAAGCGTCCAGTAATGCAGTCTGTGAACCAATTTCTAGAGTCAAACAGATGTCTTTCTCCGACATCCCACCCTGTTTGAAGTTTGGTGGAGAACAGGGAGACTGTTGTCAACATTTCGATTTATTGTCATTTCTCCACTTCAAATTATCCCACCAACCCTCCAGTTTCTCTACCATGTCAATATAGGAATTCAGTTATACTGTCGAAGATTTTCAAAACACCAAGAACTCAAAATGATTACTTTGCTTGTCTATTAAGCAACAGGCCTACCGAACTCAGCGAGATGCGCCGGTGGGCTGTTTTTGAGCTGAGTGTCATTTTTCGGATTGGAACAAGGAGTGCTCGCAGCGTTTTATAGCCATTACTTACGGTTGACCGCCGTTCACAGTTGTAAGTAATTCGTCATCCTATAACTCACCAGCAATCAAGTCGCTCGGGAACGAGCCGCTATATTCATTCCGTCCAGCCCTCAATCATTCACCACACCACCCCATTCCTCTGAAGCCAACCACCACCTTCCCCAATGTTCTTGATCTGCGAGTATAAAACACCACCAATTGGTTGCACCAACCACAGACTCCAAACTCAATACAAGTTGTCGAACGACGAGTAATGTGGAAGATGAGAGGAGTGCTGCTGTCCTGTAGCTTGCATGCACCCACGACACATATCCCGTTTTCGCTTTGGATGGTGTCCTAGCATGTCCAGTGAGCTTTGTAGAATACAAAAGCAATTTAATCGCAACAAGTTGCTAGAATTCTCATCAAAGTCTATAAGATTGTTGTCAACCCAGAATTTTCTGTCAATACTAACAATTCTGCCACTTGCAGCATTCTTTCGTGTTTGTTTACTTTCCGCCTTGGAGCCTCGCTTATTAGTCGCACCTACTGAACTTTCCCCGTAATCCGGATTTGTGGTAAAAGGAACTCATTTTTGGAGATGTCAGGTCGAGGGGTAAAGTAGCCACAATTTCAAAGTACCCGAAAGATATTTCCGTTTCTTGGTTTAGAAGGTCTCATTGCCGTGCGATGACTTGCTTTTATATCACCAGAATTTGCCCTACCTAGCCTGCGCACCAGCCTGGGAAAAATGCTCGTTGAGTCACTAGAACACTGACAAGATTTCTGAGATCACCTACATGGAAAAGATATTCATAACAAAATAGCAAGAAGAAGAGGACAAGAATCAGACTCTGCATCATCTCACTGCTGTCTCAAAAATTGAAGAGTTTAATTGTTGGGTTTTTTTTCTTCATTACAAATTGTCCTTCCCAAAAAAGAACTATAAGGCTTCTATTTCCGCCTTCTGTGCTGTGCGTGACTTATCCTCCCAATCTATGTCTGTGCTATACAATACATACAATTCAACCAACCCCGCTGGTATCGATCCATCTAGTAAACGCCATGCCATGCCAATGACTCATTATGTACAAAACAAAAGAAAATTCAGGTTCGTGATGAAGCATGTTGGTAGAAAAAAGGAAAAGATAGAGGCGTAAATATAATGATGAGGGTGAGGAGGACGAAGGTCGAAGAGAGGGAACGAGGTCTACGAAGCGGTCTTCGTAGCCTTAGTCCTCAACTTCATCAACAGATACACCATCGCATAACTACTACACGCAAACAGCGCCACAATCCCCGCAGCCCTCCACCCATAATAATACTCCGGCAAATTGATCGTCGCCAGGTAATCCGCACCGGTGCGATACACACACACCTTACACCCACTCGTCGCATCCGGATTCGTCAAGTTCGACTTCGCACCCATGCCCTGCATATACCCCTGGAGGTACTCCCCACACGTCTGGCCCGCGCTCGGAGTATCGAACACCGCAAACTCCTGCTCCGTGCATTGCACGTGCTCGGAGAACGTCGTGAAGACAAGGAGGGATCCCATCAGGTAGTTGAACGGGTTGAGGTAGTACATCCAGTATCTCCAGAACGGCGTGATCTGTGCGAATGGCACCAGGACACCGCAGAAGGAGACGAGGGTACCGATGATGACGGGGTTGACGAGCGAGGCGAAGACGGCGTTGGGGGCGTAAGCTGCGACGAATTGGCCGATTCCGGTGTATACGAACTCGTACATGACCATGACGAAGAGGACTGAGGCGGCCTTGCCGCTATCGTTGGAGAAACCAACGGTGTAGTACCAGCAGACGAAGTAGAGGATAGCGCAGAGGACGAGGTATGGTAGCTCAGAGACGATGAGGCCGGTGACGAAGGCGATCCAGGAGTACATCTTTGACTTCTTCTCGCGGGTCTCGTAGATGTCCCGACGGTCGAGGAAGAGGGGTTGAAGCTGGGCAATGACACCGGGTGCGACGAAAATGAAGTTGAAGACTGTGAACAGACGGAGTTGAAGATCTGCGACGCTGTTGCCGATTTGCCAGAATGAGAAACCGTTGAAAAGAGCGGAGCCGATGTGCAGTGCCATCTTGTTGTTTACGTAGTCGGTGTTACGCCACATGGATAAGTTGGCACGAGAGCAGACCAGCTTGATTTGTTCCCAGAGCGGCATGGCGAATTCGAAACCATCTTCCTTGGTACCTGGTTCCTTGGCTGCAGCTTCGGCAATAATGTTGTCGAGTTCCTTGACAGTGCGCTCATGTTCGGGGGACTCAAGCCAGACTTGGTTCCAATCCTTTCCGTGAGAGAGGGAACCGGATACCACGTCGATCATGTGTTCAGCTGGATTAGCATCCTTAGGACAAGGCGCGTCGTAGCGAGCGAAGTACTCCTTGAGGGTTGAGGCGTTTTGTCCAATGTCACCGAAGTACACGGTTTTTCCTCCCTTGGCGAGAAGCAGAAGACTGTCGAATTGCAAGAAGAGTTGGGCGGATGGCTGATGGATGGTAACAAGGACGGCTTGGCCGACATCTGCGAGTTTACGGAGGAAGCGGACGATGTTGAAAGCAGCTTGGCCATCGAGACCAGAAGTTGGCTCGTCAAGGAAGATCAGGATACTGGGCTTAGAAACCAATTCAACACCGATAGTGAGACGCTTGCGTTGCTCGACAGACAGACCAGCACCAGTAGTCCCGATGAGAGTATTCTCAATGTCGTGCATCTCGAGCAAGTCGATGATGGTATCAACATATTGAAGCTTCTTTTCCCTAGGGGTAGTTCTTGGCTGGCGGAGGAGGGCGCTGAATTCAAGGGCTTCTCTGACTGTCGCAAGAGGTTCGTGGACATCGAGCTGTTCGCAGTAACCAGCTGATCGCTGGAAACTGATTGAGAGAGGGCGACCATCAACGAGGACTGAGCCTTTGATCGTTCCATCGGTTTTGCGCTGAGCGAGGACATCGAGGAGAGTAGTCTTTCCGGCACCTGAAGATCCCATAAGAGCTCCCAGCATACCTGGCTTGACCCATCCTTGAACATTATCCAGGAGAACGCGATCGCCGGACGGTGTCTTGACTGTATATGTAAGGTTCTTCCAGGTGAAAACCGAAGTGTTGCGGATGAGTTCATCCTCAACTCTGGTCTGGGATGAGCCGCTCGAGGTAGGTGGGTCGACGGTACGGACAGCTTGTGACTCCTCATCCTCAGTCAGATGCTTCGTCTGCTTAGCTTTCTCGCGAGGAATCAAAAGGAAGCCACTGTTTCCAGATGTTGTCTTCCAGCCATTCGTCGAGACGATAGTGATAATGACAAATAAAACCCACCAAGCCCAAAGGATGCCAAAGTTTCGCCAGATAGTCTCAGGTGAGTATGAAAGAGACGCAAGGTATTCTTCGCCGGTAAGACTCGTCGCGCCTGATGCAGCACCATCAACTCCTGAGCAAGCCTGGAACGCTGCATCCAAGTAGCCAGGACCGTTTGGCACGAGGTTGTTGCCGACGCAGGGGATGATGGTGTTCTTGAACTCGTTCGCTAGAATAGCGGAGAAGCCGTATGCCAGAGGATCTATCCAATAAATCCAGACGAACCAAGGGTGCATCTGTGGTTTCCGGATCATGTAACCAGTGTACATGATGAGTGCCGCAATCATGAATCCAGATACCTTGCTTGCACCATCGAAGGTGGTGAAACCAGCTCCGATAGCGCGGAACAGTGCAGTCATTACCATGGAAGTAGCGAAGACAACGACCCAGAAAGTGAAGAACGAGGCGGCATCCATTTTCAGTCCGACCATGAAATACAAAATAACCGTAAAGACAGAGACTTGACACAAAAGTACAGGTATGTCCGCCGTGATCTGTGCTATACAGAAAGCTGCAGGATGGTACAATGCGAAAGACTTGTGTTTTGCGAGGACAGGGCGACCGGAGAAAGAGTCTGTGACTTCAGACATGGCGAGCAAACTGTTGAACAAGAGGGCAAAAAACAAGGCACCAGATTTGACGAAGAGACCAGCGGAATTATTAGGAGCATTGTAGAACAGAGAACCGGCAATCAAGGCTTGGATGACAGTCGAAGCCTGTTTGATGATAAACGACGCCTTGTCGCCCCACAGAATTTGGTACTGGCGGATGACGGCGGCACGGACCTGAGTGACGAAACTCACAGTCAAAGGTGACTTCTTTGGCAAGCTTTTGTGCTTCTCATGCGAAACACTGATGCGGAAGTCTTCAGTGTTGGTCTTCGCTTCATCAGTTGTCGGGTAGTTGAATTCGCTCTCCATGGATGTCTTCAAGCTGGATTGCAAGTAGCGTTGCTTGATATCTTCTGCAGTGCGCGGGAATGATTTCTCGAATTCAGGCTTAACCATGCGTTCGGAGGGGACGGTGACACCCGTCAAGAAATCTGCAACGTTTGCTCCATCTGCGCAGATGAATCCCAGGCTTTCCATGAATAGCTTCGCTTCCTTTCGTGGACCGTAAAAGATTTGTTTTCCCTCATCCAGAACAAGCACCTTGTCGAACTGGCTGTAAATTCCGTTACCGGCTTGGTAGAGAGTGATGATTGATGCCAGTCCAAATATATCGGTGATGGCTCGGATAGCTTTAGTGTATTGCAAAGCTGTGCTGGCGTCGAGACCACGGGTGGAGTTGTCCCAGCAGAAAACACTGGCTCTGGTTGCGAGTGTCTCGATAATGCTGACACGTTTTCTTTCACCACCAGATACTGTTTACATGTCAGTACTACTCTGGCAATTGAACTCATTCTGTACTAACCTCCTCGTACATATTCATTTCCGACCTTGGTGTCATTGGTATGCGAGATTCCCATAGATTTCAGGAGAAAACTGCGAGTATCTTGTTGAAACTCCTTCTGATTCGACATATTAGATGGCAGATTAGCCGGTACCTAAAGCAGTCAGCAATTCATCCTCTAGATTAATTATTGCACTGTTATGGTTGGACAATTAATTGACTTAAGCGAAGTCCGAAGTGAGATCCAAGGGAGGGACGGGCCGCAGGATGATGACATGACGTACCTTCATTCTCGTCGCAAAGTCGATGGTCTCCCCAACAGTAAGTGATGGGAAGAAAAGTTCCTCCTCGGTGTTGATAACGATTTGGCCTCTGAACTGCTCGGCTTCCTTGTGGTCAAGCGTTCCCCAGTGCACATCGCCTTTAACCTCAGCATACCCTAGACGCTTGTTGGCAAGCATCTTGAGAAGCGATGTGCACCCAGCTCCTGGCCGACCAAGCACTAACAGCATCTCTCCAGGCTTGACACACCCGCTGGAACCCTCAATAATAGTCTTCAGAGGCGCACCACGGCGCGCTTCTTTGAATGCCCTCACTGAGTTGAATTGCGACCCGACATTCTCATTGATTGCAGCGTCCGCTCCGATACCCTTGACTACCAGATTCGTCCAGGTAACGCCCAGTCTCCGACCCTTGACATTGTCCTTCTCTCCCTGCGCGGCGACGGCCTTGATCTCCGGCATCATACTCCAATCCTCTGAAATTGGCTCGGCTTCGTTCTCCTCGTCGGATTCATCGTGGCCTCGATTGCTTCTCTTCCTGGACATATACGATGTGTTGCTGTACGAACGTGATATCTTGGTGCTCCTGATACTCTTGTTCGTCTTCTCTCGAACGATGGGCGCAAAGCCCTCGGCCTCACGTTCAGCCATACTGGCTCTGTTGAATCCTGGTTTTGCAGCCCTCGATTTATTTAAGTTCGAAGGGACTCAAGGGAAACGAAGTGAAATAAAGTGGTGGTAGGGGGGATATTCAAGAAGAAAAGGTGGTTAGTCGATGAATTAAGATTTGGAAACAGGCCACCCCAAGCAGGCTCGGGGACCAGCTAAGTATGTATTATAAAAGGAAAATAAAAAAAACAGTCCCCTACGTACCTACCTACAGTATCACCGCGACCCACCAGAGAAGGCTGAGGATCCGAAGCACGAACCCAAAAGCCTTACAAAGACCCTGCAAAAGCCCCTAAAGCCTGCCTATCCGGACGTACTCTCAGCCTCCGACCGCGGGTTTGGGCCGTCTCGGCCTTGACTTGAAAGCCGAATCGTCGAGCGCCAGATAAGCGAATGCGTTATTGTGGACCTGCGAATGCGTCAATGGCTTGTCTGCCTCGTGTGGCCTCTGCAGGTCCATCTCTGCGGCGCGGGTTGGCGCTGGGACGAGTGTCGTATATTGTGGTGTGGGTTTTGGTTGGTGAGGAAATCTTCCAAGGCGGACATTTTTGACAGCGCATGTCCGGTTGTCAAGACTCGGAGTCGCAGCGATTGGTCGAAACGATATTTATCTTGCTTATGTCAGCAACCAAAACGGACATCGAGCCTCTTCACTGTCCGTCTGTCACACAAAAGTCAATGCATGCTTGTTGACATTCCTGGCTGGGCCTGGGCAGACGACATGTGTTAGGATAAAGTTGTGCTCGTCATCATTTTGACTTTGTTCGAGAAGAAGCAAAAACAAAAACGAGCCGGTTTCCGAATGATTCACATAAGAACCCGTGTATCCAAAGATCTGAATTTCCGATCCACCTTTGTTACAGTACTGTAGTCATGGCAATATGGTTATGTGGTCGTTCCGAATTAAGGTTCAGGCTCTTCTGTATCAAATTTACCTATGTACTCACACTGGTGGTTCTCACAAGCGGCGAATGAACTGTACCTCCGTACTACTCGGTGAAGTAGTAATTGAGGGCCGGGCGGAGAACAAGCGAGAACACTAACTACACTTCACATGAGATAATACGTAAATTTGTAATAACAATTAATCTTCTCTGGGTATGTGAATATACTATAAGTAATTCTCTACACTTTTAATTAAGTTTGATGCGTTTTCGATTAATCGTTGTTGTACTGTTACGATTCTTAGATAGTATGTGTTTTTAACTCGGCCCGCAAAAAATACTTCACCGACTACTGCTTCTCGTAATCGCCTCGCTGTGTTCTATCTTCCGATTTAATGTTTGAAGGCTCCGCTCTTTGCCTTATCATAATGTCCGTCCGATGGCCGAAGTTTTGCGATGCTTTTGCCAAAGACATTGCGGCATCTCGCTCTCAACGGTACGAGCCAAGTCACATGTGCCGACGACATTCTTCTACCGATAGCACGATCCGGTGTCTCAATGTCTCGTCTCTAAACGTTTCGGATTGAATTGTAAATGCAATAGTCTAGCTGTTGGTCTTTGTCGACATTGCTATTCTGTCAAATGTACTGTTCTGTTGACATCTCCCTCTGTTGACATTTTCTCTTCTATTGTTATGACCCTTCTGTTAGCCTATCCACTCTATTGATCCTTCCCTTATCGCCCCACGAGTTCAAGGGTCGTTCGGTCCGATCAAGCTGTCGCTTACTGCATAGGTCCTCTTACTGCATGGCCCTAGCGTTTATTGACAACAACAAGGGCCAGGGAGTGAACCATGACTTCCCGAACTACGAACCTCCGTACACGTCCTCGGCGGACGAAGCAGTGGAAATGAGGACATTAATAATTCAGATAAGGATACAGGTATTGTCATTTTGTCATGGTAGCACGTCAAGTCCTTTCTTCCTACCATGTGTGCACACTTCATTCTCGCTGACCTCAACCCTCCACCCCTACCTCCGTCCCTCCAGACCATGATTCTGCTTATCTCGAAAACCCCTCATCAATTACTTGTGATGTATGAACACTGAAATCAACAGGTTGCATTATCAATCAATATGCAATGGTCCCAGACTCTCCAATCTGTCCTAGATGACAGTCCATAAGCTCGTTACAATAACAATAACTATGATAATGTTCGCTCTTTCGTAATCGCACTCTGCCGGCGTAAGCTTGGAAGGAAACACAAAAATGTATCCTAGAATTACATACCAAGTTCTTAATCCTCCCATCTTATCCAACCATCCAAGGTCGGAGAGATTCGTCTGGCGCTGCAGTCAATATCTAGCGTATGAATACTGATATGTTACATGTGACACTCTCCATCCACCCCTCTGTCTCCTCAAACAGCACCATAGTGCATCTCTCACACAAATAATGGCAGGACCCAGTACTACAATGATCACAACACTGAAGGAAACAAATCTCGATGAAGACGACATCCACTTTCGCTGAAGACATGTATCATTGTATGGGGCAAAGATTAGGATCGCTATTCTCGGAATGGTTGAGGAGGGAATTTGCACTCAATCACTATTGCGAGCTGGGGATGGGTTATTCTATTCTCAAGTCTGAAACTACTGGTATAACCTCCACATTACCATACTTGAGTAAACCATGCCGGAGGTCTGGTTGCAATCGACTTCGCTTGTCTAGACACATTATGGCAAGCTCATATGCTTCAATGACTAAAACCATGGCTTCATTTCAGGACCATGTCCCTTTTGATATAAACAATCTCGCTATGTAATCCTTCGCCATATGGGAATATCCATCCAGAAATATACTCCGTAGAAAAAAGAACCTCCCAACTCCATGCCAGATCAAACCTCCCACCCAACGATTCCTCCCAATTCTCCCACAATATCTACAACCAGCCCCTCTACACCCACCCCCTAAGCAACCTGCACCACCGCCAACCTAGGCCCAACCACCCCCTCCTGCTTCGGCAGCTCCCAAAACCTCTCCACCCTCGGCCCCTTCTCCCCATGACACGGACACCCCGCGACACCAAAATACGCATCCCGCAACTCCTCGCTCCCCTTCCCCTCACACAACCTCTTCAGCTCCTCCTCGGAAAACTTCTTCGGATCCGTAACCCCGATATCGACTTCCTGCCCCTCAAGGACATCCCCTTCCCCAAGCGACGACGCAACACCATTCTCATCCGCAAGCACATCCTCGCCCATGATCCGCGGTTCAGGTACGGGACTATATCTAGGCGGCTGCGCAGCCGCTGAACCGAATCGTACGAGTCCGAGATCTTCGCCTTCTTCGTCGTTATTGTCGTTGTCAATCTCAATATCGTCATCATCCTCCTCCTCACTAGACCCACTCTCCGTATCCTCCTCCAACATAGGCGGCTGCCTTGACGGCAGCGGCGGCGGCGGCGGGCTCCTCTTCCTATCCCTCTCCCTCTCCCTCTCCCTTTCTCTCTCACCCCTCCCACCCGCCTTCCCCGTCTGGAAGCTCACCCTTCTCTGCATCCCATCCTGCCCAGGCCCAGGCCCAGGCCCAGGCACAGGCACAGGCACCGCACCACTGCACACCGCGCGATTATGCTGTCCCATCCCCCCCTCGTCTTCAGGCTCGGAGTCAGAGTCGCTCGAGCCACTGACTTCTATCTCTGCGATGCGCAGGCGCAGCTTGTCGAGGGTGAAGGCGTGGCCGAGGATGAAGCGGAGGTCGCGGTCGGGTCGGTCGGCGGCCATTTGCAGCTTGCAGCGCGCGGTGTGTGCGATTTTGTAGGTTTCGCGGACGGACATTTTGGTGGGCGTATTGAGTTTTTGTTGGTGTCGGTGCGGTGTATGTGTGTGTGCGATGTTTGATGTGTGTGGTGTGAGGTGTGAGGTGTGGTTTCAATTGCTGGAGGGTGGTGGCTGGCTAGATACTGTAGCTACCGGTAGCTAGCTGTTGAGAGAGTTTGAGGTTGAGTTTGTGAGGAGCGGGGTTGATTGATTGCTGCTGCGTTGATCGACCGCGGGGTAAAGTCAGATTAATTGTACCGCAGGACTCGGAAGTTGCTGTGTAGGTTCGATACGTGCGATGTCTGGCGCAACAATTCACTGAATGAAAGAATGAATGCGATCTACGTGAAGTGATCGTGTCTGTAAGTGAAACTTGAGGAGAGGAGAGGAGACAACGCGCACTTCAAGTATGCGCAAGACCGTAAGTTTCTTCAAAAGACCGTTGGGATCAACAGCCGGTGAGTCAGCATTAACCTTTAAGGGCTCAACTTGACAGATTTGCATTGCGCTGCGGGGTCCCACCAACTGCACTGGACTGGTCCAGTCCAGGCCAGTCGCTTGTGTGCCTGAGTTGAGTAATCAACCTTGAAGGGCCATGTTGGGCCCCCTGATTTGTAAGAACCGCCCGCCCAGAGTGTCTGGACTTTGGCGTCCTGGTCTATTATTAATACAGCCGAGACCCCTTTTCACCACATGGAATGTTTAGTGTACTATGCTTTGGAGATGATGCAATTGCACCATCGTGAATCAAATGACCTAGGAGATTATTGCTGTTTTGGGAATTCGGGATCACGAGTTTTCTAGTTTTGACTGCTCACGAATATGGCAATTCTCTGTCAGGGGATGGTTGAGGTATTTATAACTTCGTATTGGCGCTCTGCTAGTTAGTTCCTGCAGACATTTCCAATCAGTTTCTACTGGTATTACTCTTTCCTTGGACAAGGATTGACAGCCATTAGTTCGTCGTCTTTGCTTCGTAGAGAATATTCTCTCAAACAATTTGTCTGTTGGAGACATGAATTGGTAGTTTTTAAATCTGCGAGATTGCAAAACTAAGTCGATAACACTTTTGTTCTGGGCCTTCTTACGATATTTTGTGGACTATCTTCTCACGAAACTCGTCCAGCAAGAGTCGTACCAGGATCTTCCGCTCCTCAAGCCTATTTGATCCATAATAATCAGGACAAACATACGGTTAAACAATTATGAGTTTTCCTTCATTTCTGCACATATTTCAACTTCCCAGTCGCTTTGCCTCTGCACCTCTGCCTTTGTGGTCAACGACATGTTGTTTTCAACCCAACTTAACTGACAGCTTTCCAGTTCAAGAGTTTTTGAGCCCAGTAATCGACTCTAGTACTTCTTTCCGGAATTCGGACATGCCAGGGAGCCTGACTTCAAGCACGAAGACCAACCTGGGACAATTTCAATAACACTTTGGCCCAGAGCTCGTATACAGCCCTCACGTCGAGCGTTACCAGCCAAAACATTCTTTTGACATCTTCCCACTCAAACTCAGTCCTCTCCATAAAGTGCAGAGTTGCTCCATTCTTTTCTATCCTACAAGACCTCACTCCTCTCAGCCTCCGCCGAACCACAAAACCAGGGGTAGCTCCGCTCCACAACACCTAAGCGACAAGCTTACATAAACATTGTTTACGACCTCCTAGGTGACGCAATTGGCTTCTTCGTACACTGCGGTCTGCAACATTTTGTTGGAGACCCTTGACAGAGGAGACACTGCCTCGATTTCACTTATATATGATTGACTTTGTCAGAAAGTGGTAAGATACGCCGGTGGGTTGAAACACTAAGTGTGTCTTGAGACAAGGAATTGGAATCCCGTTGCCGATGATGACTTGATCAATTCTCTCTCTGTTTCCTTATTTCATCTACCTTTGCTGCGTCTGAAATACATTCTCAATCTATGGCTCTTTTCTGTTTTTGACTCCTTACAGTCCTTCATTCAGTATTTCACCATTCCTTAAGTACAGATTCCGGATCCCACCAACTTGGACTTCACAATCTTACCCAAACTCAACAATGCGTCATTCATTTATATATTCCCTCCTTCTCATACCCTCACCAGCACTCACAGCATCTCTACCAACCACAATATCCGTCCACATAACCACAACCCACACAATCCTCCACCCTCGCATCGAAATCACCATCCCACCCATCATAATCCCCAGCATCACAATCTCCGAGTTCAAATACACACACTCGAAGTTCTCTCTCAAATCACTCTCCCTCAACCTCCCAACACCAACATGCGTACAAACCATCGTCCCAGATAAGAAAGGACATGTTCCACCGGGAACTTGCAATGCGTTGTGGAATTACTATCCGAGTTTCGTGGCTGCGGTTGTCACTGCGGGGATATTTGGAGCGATTACTTTGGTGCATATTGCGGAAGCGATATATTTCAAGACGGTAGGTTTTATCCTCAGAAACAATGAAGTGCACTGATATCAAGCAGTCATACAGCTGGGTCATCAGCATGGGTCTCTTCTGGGAAACCATCGGCTTCACCTTCCGCGCCCTCAGCGCAAAACACCAACAATCATCCGGTCTCCTCACCATGTCCCAACTCTCCATCCTCCTCGCACCACTCTGTAAGCCTCCCATCACCATCTTCCCATTCCCAATCATCCAATCCCCAGACTACCAAGCTAACATCCTCCCCCTCCCAGGGATGAACGCCTTCTCCTACCTAATCCTCACCCACATGATCCACTTCTACCACCCCACGCAGCACCTCCTCTCCCTCCGCGCCCCCACCTTCTCCACCCTCTTCATCCCCCTCGACATCCTCTGCTTCATCATCCAACTCATCGGCGGCTCCATGGCCGGTGTCGGCGCCCCACCTCAGCAAATGCAAACCGGTCTCAACATCTACAAAGCCGGTATCGCCCTTCAAGAACTCTTCGTAGTCCTCTTCATCGGTCTTGCGGTGAATTTCCAACTCACGATGCGGCGTCTTGAGCTTGAATACCCTGATGTCTTGCCTATGGAGAAGAGAACCTGGAGGAGGTTGTTGTATGCTGTGTATGCCTCTCTGGTGTTCATCTCTGCTAGGATTGTTTTTAGGCTTGTGGAGTTTAGTCATGGCACGACGGCGGATAATCAGATTCTGAATGTCGAGTGGTATCAGTATGTTTTTGATAGTATACCTATTTTCTTTGCGGGCTTTGTGTTTGTGGTCTGTCATCCAGGGATGTATATGCAGGGGCCAGATTCGGTTATACCGGTTGCGAGGTGGAGGAGGAGGTGTGCGGGGAGGCGACGGGGGAAAGAGAAGGTTGTGGTTGATGATGATGGGTATGATGCCATGTTACTTACGATGAGGGGAGATATTTCGACGGGGAGACGTTGAGATTGAGTTTTGGAAATTTACTTGGTTTTCAAGTAAAGCGTGATCAGGCAAGCTGCAATAGCAGTGTTCCTGGAGGCTGGTATGAGAGGGGATAACCGAGGCAGGAGAATCACGTGTGTAAACAAAGCATCGTTTGAGCGACGGTTGCTTGGCTTCATTATTCTTTATCCTTCAAACAATTGCCCTGATCAGCTTATGCATGTAATCACACGCAAATTTTAAAGTACTGAAAGTGCTCAATAAGAGGTAGGTACCTAATGGGAAACCAGTGAGTTGCTCACGTGTTGCCATTCGATGAGTTTTGGGCCGCCGTACAACAGCTTTTGCACCATCCCAGGATGAACACCAATTCCATGACACCACAAAACCAAAAAATGCGCCTTGGCCTGTCAGCATTCTGACAACCAAACCCAAATGCCACTGCACTTTTCTTCTCTCTCGTTATCTCCGAAGCAAGTATCTCAGGTTTTCAAAGTTGTCAAAAACATGAAATATTTCTGCCAAGTCAGCCAAGATGCTTGTCGCCTTGTTTTCAAAGCTTCATTTATCTCCCGAAGAATAATGAGATTGATCCAGAAGTCGGATGACATACAACAAACTCGCTACCGATAAAGTAAGGTAAACTTCTCGTCAAATCCTTCCAGCGTAGTGGGAATACATGGAGATCTCTCTCGAGCACGCAATGCGCGCTATGCATTCATTTGGATGGCAAGCTGAAAAGTATTTCGGTTTGCCCCTCCTTGCACGTTCAAGAAGCTGATCTTCTACACAAAACTATGCCCTTCCTCCTTCTAGAAGGCTTCTGTTCTTCTTCTTTCCTGTCAATTGTATGATGTGCTTTAGTTCCCACTAGTCAAGTATTCGGGTACTTCTACATCACTTCACCCCCCCACCCCCCCCCCCCCCCCCCCCACTTGCGGCTCTCACCTGTTCATCAACCGTACGTCACTCTTGACGACCATGTCGAACTCACCAGTTCACGACGCCAAAGTCGTCCACCACAGCGACAATGACAAGGATATCGAAGGCAGCAAATCGCCTGCTCTCTATGATCTCAATAACGACCACCGTGTCGTCGCCGACAAACTCGCGCGAAAGCTTTCCGCAAGACAGGTTCAGATGATCGCCATTGGAGGCACCATCGGAACAGGTCTCTTCCTCGGAACAGGAAAATCACTTGCGACTGGTGGGCCGGCATCTATGCTTATTGCCTATGCGATTGTTGGTGCGATCGTGTTGTTGACGATGTTGGCGCTGGGTGAGATGGCTGCGTATGTTCCAATTGCGGGGTCTTTCTGCACGTTTGCGGGTAGATATGTTGATGATTCTCTGGGGTTTGCGTTGACTGTAGGTTTTTTTCTGTACCTGGAATGAGTACCTGAACTGAACACAACTGACTTGTTCATAGTGGAATTATTGGTTTAATGATGCAGTTTCTACAGCTGCTGATTTGGTTGCACTGCAAATTGTTTTTGAGTATTGGGATACCAATTTACCGGGATGGGGACTAAGTCTCATTTTCTGGGTGTTCCTTGTTCTTGCAAACATTATTACTGTTAGAGCTTATGGTGAAGTAAGTAGCATGAAATTTCCACCCGGACGCATTACTGACATGTTTTTAGCTTGAATACTGGCTTAGCTTGTTGAAAGTCGTGACGATTGTCGTAAGTTCTTCTAGTGACATCACAGGTTCAAGAACTGATTGAACTAGATTTTCATCATCCTCGGAATTGCTGTAAATTGCGGCGGCAATACCGAACACAGATACCTAGGAGCAGGTAATTGGTATATCGGTGATGCACCCTTTGTCGGCGGTATTGGAGGCTTCGCATCCGTCTTCGTGACTGCATCATTCGCCTGTAAGTCCACCACTCGATTCTAACTCCTCCTCTAACACTCCATAGATGGCGGCACAGAATCCATCGCAATCACAGCCGGAGAAACCAAGAACCCAACCAAGAATCTCCCCCGTGTAGTCAAGAACGTCTTCTGGCGTATCCTCCTCTTCTACATCCTCTCCGTCCTCATCATCGGTCTCAACGTCCCTTACACTTACCCAAACCTCTCAACCAAGGAATCATCCACCTCCCCATTCACAATCGTCTTCCAAATGGCCGGCGCCAAAGCTGCAGGCTCATTCATCAACGCCGTCATCATGACCTCCGTAATCAGCGCAGGCAACCACGCCCTATTCGCCGGAGCACGTCTCATGTACTCCCTCTCGGTCGATCGCCACGCCCCCATGTTCTTCGCCAAACTGAACCGCAACAAAGTCGCCTGGATAGCCGTCCTAGCTACAAGTGCCATCAGCGGTCTCTGTTTCGGCGCGTCGTTCATCGGCGCCGGCCAACTCTGGACTTGGCTTCAGAACATCGTTGGTGTCTCGAACCAAATCGCATGGACTGCCATAGCAGCTACATCCATCCGTTTCCGCGGCGCCATGGAACGCCAAGGCAAGACTCACCTCCTTCCCTTCAGGAACCTCACGTATCCTTATGGACCTTGGATCTCTCTCGTGCTCAACATCGTCATCATCCTCGTTCAAGGCTGGAGTTCATTCAGTCCTTCTTTCTCAGCGGTCGATTTCGTGAGTTATTATATCGAGATCCCTATCATGATCGTTATGTATTTTGGTTGGAAGATGTGGAAGAGGACGAGGATTGTGAGTTATGAGGGGATGGATCTGGAGACGGATGTTTATGTTGTTGATGAGCATGATTTGGCTGAGAACGAGAAGGAGAAGACTGCGAGGGGGATGGTTGAGCGGGTTATTCGGTGGATATTCTAGGGTGCTGGATCATCGGATGGACATGTTTTATTTGGCGTGTTAAGGGGAATACCTCATCTAGCGACTTTTTCACGTGCTTTTATTCGAACTCTGAATTCTGAAATCCGAATCAGAAATTTGAGACGAGATTGCCATTTCCTCACTTCCACCCCGTCTACACGCGCACTTCTCCAGAAGAGAAACAAGAGTAAAAGGGCAGCAAAAAATTGGCCGGCCTTAAGGGACAGGTATGTTTACTTCTTGAGAAGAGGTAGCCTCGACTTTACTGACAAACTTCACTGAGAAGACCAGGTTCTCTGTTGACAAAACTGCAAAATCTCCTACTCCCAAGTACTAGTCGATTGCAGACAACTAACTACCTCTCAATTATTCTATCTCGTATTCAAAGAATCAGGAGGACATCTTGACCAGAGCTTGATACTACTTCTTACACTCTATAGCAATCTTACCTACCTTATCCGGACAAGCGATCCCTCTCTCTCCTTCCTTCCTCATTAGAGCTTCTTTCCCCGTATACAATTCCCAATCCCCGACCCCCTCGTCACATCCCCACTGCCGATCAGCTAAGGTATCAGCACAGTGTTAGTGCCACAGAGATTAATCAAATATATAGTACGGAGGCAGGCTGGCTTAATGGGGGTTCCGCTGATAGAAGCACATATCTTCCCCAGACTAGCCCAGCACTGCCCAGCCCAGGCCGGCCCAAGCCAGCCCAGGCCTGCAATCTCCATCCCCATCCTTTCTCTGTTCTCTTTCCATCGCAAACCCGTATTAGTGCAGATCAAATGGGCGAGGGACTTCTACTCGCTTCAACAGCTTCACTTCGTTGATCAACCAAGGTGAGGGTCTCTTGACATCCGCTTCTTAGACCAATCAGAATCCAAGGGGCTGCTTTCAATTTCCCCCTCCCACCCAGTCATAATTGCCGCTCCCAAGTTCAAATCTGGTGTAACGAGCGCATAGACATGATCTAAACGATCTACGCTGCGTATCGTGATAATTATTGATGCATATTTTCTCCGCACGATCCTGCCTGTACTTTGTTTCCCATTTGAACTTACCTAGCGCCTGTGGAGATAAACATACAGCTTGTCGGCTTGCCGACTTGTCAATAGTCGACTCATCCTGAGTCTTGAAGCTACTTCGTTGAATATTTGTTTTGTGACGACCAGTTTCGCAGAGTGAGCGGAAGGTTAGAATGGAAGCTGAGATACGAATTTAGGGTCGCTGGGGAGGAGAGGGAGTCGTATGGGGGAGGAACGTCCCAAGCGACCAAAGACTAGTGTTTCAGTAATTTGTAGAGGCGGTCATGAACTAGGGTAGGAGATTGTAATTACTAAGGACTATTGATTGCTTGTTGTCACTGAGATCCCGTTATCGAAGCACATCAGAGGTTCGCGGGGCATTCTGAAGAGCCCTGCTCGAAACGTAGCGAGACTCTCAGCAGAAATATTTTCCTGTCTGGAAAAACGGTCGATACGATCTTAGACAAGCAGAAATCCCAGTTAAAACGCCCCATCTACGTTCAGACTTGACAACTATAATATGCTTGCTGGGGATGCTAATCCCATCAGAGGAGCTACTGTTCATTTCAAGGTGCAGGAGCAGTGAGGCATCACTGCACATTTTCGTCAGGTGGTTGTGGCATATTAGTTGAAAAGCGATCAGCTATTATATTATATCTCCTCGAAGATTCAAGTCATAGGGTTGTTCCGAAGCAGACAATGCCACACCTGGGCATTGACTACCCGTTCAGTATCCTCCTATACTGACTAGCGCTCAATACCGGCGGACTGTATTCCACAAACGGCGTCCACTCCAGCTCCCAAAAGATAGCACCACTCGTCACCCTGTACGCACATTCGCTATCAGTCCACCACTCAAACAATCCTGGTTCAAATTTCAAACGAGAATGAGCTCGAAGAACATAAACCAGAAACTGCATAACGCCCGGCGGGCCTGGATACCCATCGGACAGAGCTGGTCCGCCTGAACTCTTCTGAAGCGCGTCCATGACGGCCGAAATGTTTACTGAGCTAGCTCCTGCCTCTGGTCCAACCGGTTTTGTGATGAGCATGCCATCACCGACGACTTGAGGCATCAAAATTTCCTCGATCCCGAAACGACCGAAAAGAATCACAGTGGCTTTCCGGTTGCTCTTCCGGACAATGGGCTTCGACCCCAACTTCGCGGATCCCCCGTCATCATCCTTGGATATACTGCTTAACATGAACCGGAAGCGATCGTAAGTTGCGATGAGCAGTACGATATTTCGGAAAACACCCAGTTCGGCCGAAAAATACACCGGATCGGGGTTCATGTCTTCCGGTAGTGGTATGTAATCCCCCCCCTTCGATCAAGTTATCCCGGATACGTCTCGCCTTGCCATCTTCGACGAGCCAGTCTGCAAGAGGACCAAATAATCTACCACATTCTTTCCAAACCCATTTTCCAATCGTGCTTTCATCTTCTGCATCAAAATTGTACACAGCAAACTTGCAAAGATACTCGATATCACTTTCTGAGATATCAGTAAGCCATGTCCGGTATCTGGGATAGTGAACACAGTGCTCAATAAACTCCATCCGCCCCTCTTTCTCTGCCAGACAAAATGGTTCATTAAAGGGCTTTTACAAAACAGCTCCTACAAGCATCGATCTGTACGCTGCTTCATGGAATGTGTTCTTCCAGACCTCCCACCCCTGAACATCATCTTTGTCCGGAACATCGGCGGTAGGACAATGATGGACACCGAGGGGGTACAGGAGCTTGTGCTGAAGATACTGGACTAAATGTTGAAGATTATGGACTGCTTTCAATTCGCCAAGATCTGGCTTGTTAAATTCTGTGCCGAGTTCAGAAATTGGAAAGGGATCTGGTGGGAGCTCGCCGCGTCGGTGGGCGGCGAGGACAATTTCCGTTGCTCTTACCCGCATACTTGATTAATTACTTCTTTCTTAAGATTGCAGAGGATCTTACAGTCATTAAAGCATCTTCAAAGCACCTGATAGTCGTCTTGGTGAAGTGATGGATAATTGTGGATGAATTTTCAACCCAGATCATGTGGACATGCCTGCATGTTGATGTCAAAGCGAGGACATCGGCAATTGTCTCGCAATCCAGAAGAATTTGGTCGATAATTTCGGGTGGACCGGTCTTGGGAAAAAACATGCTGAGAGTTAAAAGGTTGCATGCACAGGGGGAGAAGAAAAGGGAGAGCAAGAGAAAACCAGGAATTTGTTGGAAGTAAGTAATGTTGTCTGTGTCGCGAGATTGTTCAGTTCAGGCTTCCAACTGAGAACATTTCGCTTAGCTTCACCAGATGGAGAAATACCAAGGCTGGTATGCATCAAACCAGCAAAACTGCCTTGTCACTACCAAGAAAAAATGTTGAACTCATATAATGATAGGCTTCTACCAATATGTAAATTATTTTTAGGGGCGATATAAGTAACCTTACGGAGAATCGTCTCAGTAGTCTCGGAGTTACAGGGGATGTAACAGGGAGCACATAGCCTGTACTAAGACCCTGTAATTAGGCGAACAACGCTGAAATTTGAATACTGCGTTGTCGTCTAGGCAGCCTTAGCGCCTCGCTTCGGCGCCGTGCCCTACAAAAGTGTGTTTTCGGCAGTTGAAGGGACCCCTTGAGAGCTTCCAGACAGCGGCTGTTTACAGTGAGTGAGAGCCCTAAAGAGCGCCGATAACACAGGCTGCTTACACTACACGCCCTTGTAAGCCTTACCAGCTGGGCATAGCAACTACTACGTGAGGATGTCAGGGAGGTTGCTAGGCTTCTTTAGCGACTGATGCCCTGTAATATTGGGGATTGGAGCCCTGTATGAAGTATAGTGATAAGAAGGCCCAGAAGTACGTTCAACTCTGAATTCAACTCAAGTTGGATAGCATGGCCTCGAACGAATTTAAAGTGATGGACAAGGCGGGGTAGAGTGATGGAGTAAGCGGGCTGGCAGTGGGCGGCTGAAGATTCATGTCAAAAGCTAAGGAGAAGATGGGAAACTATTCGAATGAAACATTATGGTAATCAGCTGCGGTCTTGTGCAAAGCGTTTAATAATTTTGTCTGCGAATTCATCTGGTAATCATTCAAATCAAAGTGGTGAGTAACCTGGTTGGGGTTATTGAACGTGCTGTCCGGGAACATATACTAAGAAATGTAGACACGTAGTCAATGGAATACTAGTCTTTTCACGATGTCAACACCCAGGACATTTTGTATCATTTTAAGTTAAACCGGAAAATCTCCAAAGTAAGCTCCAAAGAACACCACGGCACTGTTCCCCATCTCAAAAACTTAGACTCGAGAAAGTTGCTCTTCGAAGTAACTTTGAGGACACTCCGAGGAGTAGCGCTACAGAACACACCATCGCAGCTACATTCATTCCCCGAGATCTAAGGGAAGACTCTCCCAATCTCTCCACCAGTCCTTCGTCTTCGGCGGCCAAAGAGCCTTGAACGCAGCCACATAAGCCTCCTCTCCGTACCAAAAGTCCTCATCGGTCGTCGCACTCGCCATATTGCTCCATTTTTCTTCACCATGAGCTACAGTGCTCCATCCTGCCATGTCAACCTCATGAACTGTAACCCCACTTGGCCCTTGACTGTCTCTTTTGCACACAAACGAGCGGTTGAACCATATTAAGACGCTCGTGAAGATAGAGTCGTCCCCTGGATAACCCGGTGCCATTTTCCTGACAGGCTGAAGACGAAGATACCTAAGGGTATTTCTACCACCAGCTATCACTTCGAAAATCGATCTCGCCAGCTTCTCGTCTATAGCGCTATTGCTGAACGCTTCTTGCAAATACACCGACGGGATCTTACCCGAGTCACGTGTTTCACCAGCGAATTGCAGCGGATGGGGGCCACTGCTTTCTTCGTCCCAAAACTCGTCGTCTGGCCCGATGCGGAAATCGAGTCTCAGGGCTACATGTTCGAGACGTGGAAACCTACTCAAAGCCTGGTATATAGCTACTTCATGCTTGTCTCCACGCGTGCGATTGATCGAGATATCGAGATGCGTGAGGTGCGGGCTGTTTGCTGCTAGTCTTTCTAAGACTGGAGCGGAAAACGTGGCGAGAAGACTTTCCCGCCTTTCGAGGCCGTACGGTATAGCTAAGGATATCTTGAGCGCGCGGAGACCGGGACCATATTGGCGTGTGATAATGTCGATAGTCGTGGGACCGATGAATCCACTTGCATCTAACCGTTCGAGAGGATTCAAACTCGATAATAGAAGATTGATATCTTCATGTTGTGATAATTCGGTTTCGTCGTCGTCGATACAGGATAAGCTTAACTTTTTCAAACACTTCAGATTGCCCTGTGAAGCCATCGTAGCCAAGGTAATCCCATTACCGCGCTCCCACGACATAAAGAGGGAGCTCAAGCGGGAAAAGTCTGTGTGGTGAGCCCAGTGCTCAATACCGCCTGGCACATACATTGGGAAAACTAAAGTCTGCAGCTTTCCGCGCGAGGACAAGGACGAGCGAGCTGTGACGCCTTTTAGTTTTTGCGATGAATCTACCTGTCCGGGAAAGAAGCCTTTCCATTTTGGTCTCCAGACAGTGTCCTCGAGATGCGAGTCCACCTCCCCAGACCACCCTACTGGAACCATGCATACGTGTTTGAGATTTGGAGCCCCTCCAGCTACCATCTGGACAACGGCTTCTTGGATATAACTCACTTTACCGTCTCGTGTGAACGAGCTCCCGCGGACGGTGATGCTATATAGTGAAGAGAGCGTGCAGAATGTATAGTCCTGCGTAGAAATGGGCTCTGGCGCCTCAGGCGCTTGAACCAGGCTGGGAAGGTAGAAATCGTAGACATGAAGCCTGATTCCCCTCTCCGCAGTGATAGATAATACACCTGGCGGCACATACGAACCCGCTGCCCAAACCAGATCTTGGAGACCGGGAAGTTCACCGATGAAATGGGACAGGGCATCCCAGAATTCGGATGGAGATTTCTGAACACGCCATTTGTTGTCACGCATCTCTTCATGAGAGGGTCGGCAAAAATCATGTACCTGAAAGTATTGGCCATCGTTCCACTCATCGCCTGTCTCTTCATACAGATCTTCCTTTTCTCGGCGCATCCCTGTCCTTATTAGCCTATCTTTACTCGTATCTTCCGCTGTCTCGAATTACGAAATTTTGAGACGGCGAACGTGACTGTGTCGCCCGCCGGCAAGAATATCGTGCCATCGCGTCAGGACGCTCTGCAGGTAGTGTGGATCTCAGATCTTGAGTTCGATCTGAGAATACCGCCGCGTTTCCCTCGCTACAAAGCAGCTTTTACTCGTCAAGCAGAATGCTCGCAGACTCTGTCGTGGGGCTGGCTGGTCATCGAGGTATTCAGAGATGCGCTCCAGTATTATCAGAGGTAGTAGTCCAAGCGGAGACGTCATCCTGATATGATATGAGGTATCTAAGCCAGTTGGTTGTTTGCCGTGATAAAGTTGCACAATTTATAGGAAGAGGGGAGAAGGGGAGGAGAGGCGTGCACGTGTGTGAAAAGTTTCGATACTGTGCCCCAGAACAAACATACCGCAAAACACGTCGCGATTTGCGAACAACTTCAACAATCAAGAGCTCTATAGCTACAATGGCTATTATGATAAAAAGTAGTGCATTTGAAAGTCTTCAATTGTCGCTTTGATTTCCTGTTTTCATACCTAAAAAAGGTTGAGATTTTGTCCTGAAATGCAATTTCAAATAAAACATCTATGTTTTCGAGGTTCTCATGTTCTTTCTTAGACTTCCACTTGCGGTGAACATCTGATTTCTGCCAATCATATCGCGGCTGAGCTTCATAATTAATGCCTTCAACAGAGATTACTACCTACCTGTAAGGTATTCCTGTTGTTAGAGTATATCACGTGCACGCTAAGGGGTATTCTTACCTTATTCTAAGGTAAGATATCCACTGCGTTAGGCAATTATTACTTAGAGGCTAACATTGTCATATTAGTACTAAGTACTAAGGCTACTTACCTTAGGTAGCAGACTCCTTGTTTAACTACCTAGACTCAAATCTTAGAATAGTGAGGTATATTAGTAAGTAAACGAAGTTTTAACTTCGCGTGAGACAAGTCTATTCCAACCTCACCCCATGCCACCACATCCAGTACACATCTAGAATCACAAAGCGCGCCGAATCTCAAAGAACAAAACAACGCCGCAATCAAGCCCGAGAGCGAAATTTCATTCGTCACTCTACTCTCTTCTTGGCTCCAACCCACCACCTGGCATCACTCAAGCTCACTCCACCCTACTTACCCATCAAACAGCCACCTCAGCAAGCCCCTCACAATGGCACCCCCAACACCCAAATCCCTATCCCACATCTCCCTCCTCTACCGCATCTACTTCCTCTACTTCGAGCCCTTCGGCGCCGTCTCAGGAACCTACCTCTGCATCTTCCGCCCCCAGCGCTTCCTCTCGGGTACTCTCCCCCTCCCGGCCTACCTCGCATTCTCATCTCCCTCTCCATCCTCCATCTCCGCACGAACCATCCCCCTCACACCACTCCACACCCTCCTCCTCATCAACATCGCATCCCTGTACCTCCTCTTCGCCGTCACCGAAGGCGTGGTCCTGCGCTTGACGCGCCAGAAGAGTATTTGGTTGGCTGTGATTGTGGGCATGGCGTGTGCGGATGTTGGGCATTTGGGGGCCGTGTGGTGGGTTGAGCCGGGGAGGATGGCTGAATTTGCGGGGTGGAACAGTGATGAGTGGATTAATTATGGGACGTTGATAATGGGGCTTGGGTTGAGGTTGGCCTTTTTGGCGGGGGTGGGGAGGAGATGAGGTGAGATGAGATAAGATTGTGAGGTGAGGAGGAGAGATTGTAAGGGAATGAGGCTGTGAGGCTGTGAAGGAAATTGAAATTTTTGAAGATGGGTTCGGAGGAAACCTGGGATTTGATGACTGGGAGGATGAAGATTGACATAGGAAGGGATGACAGAGGACACTTGTGAAAGATTCTGAACTTTGGAAAGAGAAAATCGAGTTGGACATTTATTTACTCATACATTGAAGACTCCCAATTAATTTCACATTTTACATTTAACTCCTGCAATGCATCCAACTTCCCAGCATTTCTATCAAACTCCAAACTCCACGCCATGCAATCGTAGCAATGCTTATGAGCGCCGGCTTTGCCTTCTCGAAACAAAACCTCTCACCCCTCACTCACAATCCTGAATCCGCCTTCGTCGGCGCTCTCCCATTATACCACTTATCCCACGCCTTACAATTCTCCTTCACCTTCCTCAAATCCATACTCTTCGGAATATCCCTCTTTCTCTCCAAAAACTGCACCGCCAACCCCTCACTGACATGCCACGCAATATGGCAATGCATGAGCCACGCCCCGGGATTATCCGTCTGGAACGCAATAACCAGCCATCCATTCGCCGGCAACATCGCCACATCGCGACGAGTCGGGTTGTCGAAGTTCAAGTCATCGATGTTGTCTGCTGTGAAGAGTGTGGGTTTCGCGGTGCCGTTTACTGGCGCCGGCGCGATGTCTGATGGGTCGGAGATGCCCAGGATGAACATGTCGTGCCCGTGGAGGTGGATGGGATGCGCGACGCCGTTGGAGTTTTGGATTACCCAGAAGGTGTACTCGTTTCTGTGTGGGATCTCGATGATGCCAAGTTCGGGGTTGTGGAGGAAGGAGTTGTCGCCGTCGCTGATGTATTGGAGGGTGGGTTTATCCCAGTTGACGTTGATTGAGTTTCTGAGGATGTTAGTTCCGATCCGATGCAGAGATGGGGAGAACATACCCATTGATAGTCCAGAAGAAGATCTTCTTCTCAGTCTGTTTCAGGCCGACAGTCAAAGTGCTGGTGCCGTTGTAATCATACACTTTCTTAAACTCATGCTTCGGTACACTCTTCTTCAAGACAGGCTCGAGGTCAACTTCATCATCGCAGCCAGCAGTGTAGTTTGCAACTGGCTTCGAAGTAGGAAGAGCAAGCGGAACAGTCTTGTAGTTGAAGATACCCAGGATCTGGCCATTGTTGTCGTTCTCACCGCAGCCCTTCTGGACTTCAGCACGGAACCAATAGTTTGCTGGCTTTTCTGAAGCAGTAAAAATAACATCATATCGTTGTCCGATGGCAATGAACAACCAATCAGTCTCGTATGGGACGATGGGAACGAAGTCGGCTTGGATGACTGTAAACTCATGGGAGTCCAGAGAAACCATGAACGCATTGTCAACAGCAGTGTTGACAAGACGAAGACGGTATTTCTTTCCCGGAATCAAGGTGGTGTTGAAGTAGTGACCGGCTGTCTTGGCAACGTTCATGTTGGCACCATTGATCAAACCATTGCTTGCAGATGGTGGCCCAAATTTGCCGGGGACTGGTGTGGTACCATCGGCAATACGTCCCAGTTTCCACATAGATTCATAGTAGAAATCTGTCAGTGCAACAGGTCCTAGGTCAATATCGTAGTCGGCTGAAGCTGGGCCATTGATCTGCATGGTGCCGACAATGCCATCTCCATATTGGTGGGAGAAGTGGCTGTGATACCAAGTTGTTCCGTACTGCGTTGCTCTAAATGAGTATCTGCGGGTGGCTCCCGGTGGGATTGGGCATTCAGTGACGCCGTTGACACTGCTGAGGTCAATAATTGCTATGGAACGAGGAGCATTGTACCTACCCATCCTCAGTGCTTGAGCCGACTTGCGTAAATCCGTGCCAATGTATGCTGGTGCTGCAGCATGTTAGATGAGATTTTCCCAAATGTCAAATTGACTTACCCATTGTCTTGCATAGAGTTCGTGACATCAATCTCGAGCATATCTCCCCAGTCTAACCTTGTCAGTAGGTCCAAAAGAGAGCAGGTCCAGGTAGCTTACCTGCAGTAATAAGCGGTCCAGGATACTGTCCATTGATCACCAACATCTGTCTTGGCGTACCATCTGGTGCTAGAGTCATGTTGGAGATGTTGAGATCGTAGTGAACTGTCTTTCCAGTTTTGGGCCACCTCTCTTCCGAATCCGTCTCAACGGTGTAATCACCTGTCCAACAACTCCTCGACTTTGGACCATTCTCACAGTTCTTTTGTCCCCACCCTCCATGTTTGCCCCCATGATAATTCCTGTTGTCATTATGTCCCCATCCTACGTCTTTGTGCCACCCATGTCCAGACCCAGACCCAGACCCGGTGTATTGACCTCTTTCTTGAACCATAGATTCTGGAATGACGGATGCAGATCCAAGCCCGAAGACCAAGACGCTAGAGACTAACGACGCGAGCAACATGATGACAATTGCCCTCCAATACGAGGATGCGGGTAAACTATAACCGAACAGAGGATTGTGTGTACAAGCCAACGAAAGATGATTGACGAAGGAAAACAAATAATCGTTATACAATGAGCGAATGTGTATGATCCTTCACATGCAGAAGGGGATCCCAAATCTTTTATATCAGAAGAGATGCATCAAATCGAAGGAACGTTTCACGGGATTTCAACTGCCTGTTGTTGGTACAGAACACGAGATATTTTTACTGGAAGACTCACATCAGACACACAGCCTCTTCTCCACCAAGTCTGTAATACGCTGACTCTCAGACTATTCTCGCGAGGCACAGCACTAGTGAAGGCTGCGGAGCAGTCAACTGAAGACTTGGCTTCACAGGGTACGAGACCTTCGAATAGGCTTCTATTACAAGGTGGATTGATAATAGGCAGGCTCTGGCCGAGAACGAGACCGAGACCGAGAGATGGCTACTTGGGAGGGAAATAAATGAAGCTGGACGCCAGACGAGAAAAGAGTGAGATCCAAATTGGTTTCAACATTTTATCCGTCCCTGGGAATTTGCTACATAAAGTGAAAAACAATGGCAGCATATGGTTCGGAGAAGGTGCCATACAGCCATCTGAGAGATCCCACCGATACGATAATAAAAAGACCCCGGCTCACCTTGCTAACTTAAGGATCCTTCGTGGCAGGGTTGAGATGGGAGAAGGCCGCAGTTGGTCCGAGAGCCTTGGTTCCATTGGAGTGGTTGACAAGCGAACTCGGGAAGCTTAATGTCAGCCCCGATGCACGTATCGGTCAGTTTGAATGATTCGGCCAGGTACTGTACGTACTTTTAATGATACTGGTGGTACCCGAAGAGATCGTCGCATCTCGGACTCTCATCCCAACCTGATTCTTGATGTTGGTAGAGCTCGTACACAAATGGTCCATATTGACGGACGGCATCGCTTCTGTTGTTTTACCATCAACAAAGTTTTTGCTACCTTCAGCTGCTAAACTAGAGTTCGCCTTGTGGCAACGTGATTCCAGGGAATGAATGGCCCATTACGAAGTTAACTAGTTGGGGCGCAATACAGACCGTCGGAATCCTTGGTTAGGTTATTTTAAGGCGCGCGCCTGCGGCTACTGCTGTGCCGCTTATTGGCGGCGCCGTAAACCGGATATTCTGCTGCGTCCTCAAGGTGCAGCAAGAGATTAAATCAGCATACTTCATTTTGGCAGGGCTGTGCAAACCTTGATCTGACCACAGGTCTCCTTCCACGATCTGGTCAAAGTCAACATCAGACGATAAATTGTCTTCTCAGCATTCGGAAATTGGCCAAAGTCGGAGGTCCAATCCAGCAGCTGCGATGATACCAATCCGTTGTGCAACTGCAACCATGCTGTAGATCATCGTTACTGGGCTTTAGATGAGGCTGACTGGGGTGGATTTTCTTGGCCCAGTTTGACAAGAGACAGAGATTTCCGCTGCAAATAGCGATAACGTGAGACCAAGTTTCCCAAGAAGGAACGCTGCTCGGATTTTTAATTTACATCCTGACATGTTCTACGAAGTTGTGTTGTCATGAAATCCGCCTCCGTCCATGATTTGCAGTTGTGGTATCAAAGTTGGTGGTCCAAGGCTAATCATCCAAAGCATGACGCCCGAATCGGGTATCGCCGGATCACTGCGATGAAGATTTTATATACTGTTTGATTTGAGAAGAGGCACCATCGGACGTCCGTGAGATATCTGGATCAGACGAAGATCATCTTTCCACGGCTTCAAGGAGGAAAATTGTGAACAAACGTTCGAATTCGCCGTTATAGACGCTACGGACAAGGTGAATACGGCTTCGTACTTTTCCACAAGAGGAATGTGTCACGAGCTGTCGAAAAGGAAGCAATAGAAAGACAGTGAGCTTAGTGTCGCCTTCGTAAAGATGAGATAAACGTGTGGGACGTTGCGTCCACTATCGCGGGAATTTTCAGCACGTTTTGCGTGTTGCTCCTGCGGCTGTAGCAACTCCAAAGCTCAGCTGCAGCCACCGACCCGAAAAATAGGTATTGGAAGGTCACAACATGGACTTTGTAACATTCTGGAACATCTGGACTTCCGAGACACAACAGAAACGACTTCTAAGAGTAGAAGGCAGAATGACCATGGCCCTTGTAATCCAATTTCAAGTACATTGTACTGATTTCGCAAACGCTTGGAATAAATCAAGTGCTCAATGTCGTGACGACAGCGCTTGGGCGTGGCTGTAATGTGCTACTGTAAGCTTGGAGCTGGAGCATCGAGTTTTCGGAAAATGCGTCAGCTCCAGCATCTGGCAACGAAGACACCACATGGCGCAGAGCTTGAGAGAACCATCCGAGGGGGTAAAGGACAGTGCGTTACACCAGATCCAAAAGGTATGCCGGGATCGTTGCGAAGGACTCTCGAATGCGCTCGTATTCCAACAAACCATCAACCGGTCAGGGCAGCCGTTTATAGTCAGCAAAGTCCTCCGTCAGCAGTCCTTGTGTGGTTTCAGTATTCTTAATGCGCGCGACGGCATGTTGCACGGGGGTTCGAGTAATGTGGCTACTGCTCCCCGTGGCAGAGTGCTTCGCAGCCCAAGATATTCGTTGGCACTCGCAGAAAATATAATAGGATCGGAGGATCGAAGTCAAAGGGCCTGGAGATATTCGGTCCAGATGTCTCAAGCAGGCGCTGTGATGTCGGAGAGTCGCGCTCGTGGTGTTTGGATGTCCACCAACTCAGGCCAGGTCTCTCCCCTATTCCGTCCTGTCCTTTGCTTCTCTTCTCTTCCCTCCACTATTGCTTCATCGTGGCTATATCTAGTGCAGAGCCTAGACAGTTTGATCCCTGTGTGCTGTAATACCGCTTTGTTTTCGCATCGTGTTGCTTGTTGTATCTGTTTGGAAGTCTTGACTTCCCGAACTAAATACGGTGGATGGAAGTACGTGTGATGAGTAAGCAACACTAAAATGCAAAACACCAACTTGTGACGGATGCTCGAGGAAAACGAGTTTTCCAGAGCGAGACGATTTAGTTCAGTACATTCTTCATCAAAAGAAGTTCCTTATGGCGATTTGCGGGGCCTGGATCACAGTGTGGTTACAGTATGCACACGCTGTTATGGTGATTCCTGCCACCACCGTGTAGGCACGGTGTCACACGCTACTACCGCCTCGCTTAAATACAGGCTCTTTCAGGCTTTACAGGCTTGACCTATAGGCTCTACAGGCCTTACTTGTACCTAAAGTACCCTTCGTAGGTAGTTACCTAGGTACCTTTAGGTACTTAGGGAAGAGTCGGATATCCTCCCGCATTAGGATAGAGCTTAGTACCTAGGTACGCTACTCGTACACACTACGCCCACTTGCACAAGCACACACCCTCGCGAGAACTTTTCGTGAATCGATCGAATTTAATATCTATTATATAATAACGTTGAGCTTCTATAAGTGTTAAGTTTTATAAGGATTTGACCCCTCCAAAAATCTCGGATACCTTCGGTACTTTCGTGCTTACTAAGCCTCAGCGTGCGACACGGTGTGCACACGCTCTTACAGTAACCACACTGTGCTAAGAAACCGGGGGGTCGCCATAAGGTTCTCATGGCTCATTATTAATCTCGCCGTAGATTTGATGAGTTTGGGTCACTAAACCCTGTAATACTCAACGTCATAGTGAGTACTCGCTAACATTCCAGGGGCTTCAGCTAAGTGCGGGGTAATTTTCCCCCTGATTTCGGCAAGCCCTGCTGAACGAACGTACAGAGAGAAATCCCCTGAAGCCTCTTGCCAGCCTTAAACATAAATCTGCAAACTCTGGTGCAGTAGTGAGGAAGTAGAATGGAATAATTCATTCCCCAAGGGCAGCTCAAATATTTTATTTTCGTCTTTAGCTCTGCGCTGTCTGTCCAAACTCAAGTATGGCAGTGTTCCAGCTTGTAAACAAACCCCGCCAACTAGGTGCCGGGAATAACCTCAAATGACCTCGGCAACCACTCACGAAAGCAATGAGTCTTGCGATAAGCTAAGATTCAGGTTCGAGATCAAATTGAAATTCAAGTTGTTGAACACACCTCTCGGTGTGACTTTTGCCTTCGCCATTTCGCAGACATGGCTCCATGGGATATTCTCTTCGCCGTCAAAGAGGCCGATCCCGTTGCAAGAATCCAAGCGTTCATCGATGGCTACAAGAAGATCCCTAACTATGAGGTACAAAGCTATCCCAGAAGAGAGATCTCTTTCTCTTATCAAGAATTTATGATATTCTCGATCAATGAAGATCACTAATCGAAACCCAGGGCTTTGACGGTCCCCTCATGAAAGCCATCAAAATCGAATCAGCTTCCCTCACTCAAAACGGCAAAACCTCACCACCAATAGCCAAAACCACCTTCTCCCTACTTGTAACTCCCAATCTCCAAAATCCACGAGGTTTCATGCACGGTGGTGCCCAAGCGCTGTTAGTAGATATGTGCACCACCATGGCAGTAGCTCCGCTGTCGTCTGAGGAATTCTGGCATTTCGGCGGTTTGACGAGGACGCTGAATGTGGTTTGTTTGAAACCTGTGCTAGGCGGGGAGGTTGTGTATGTTGATTGTGAGGTTAAGGGTATTGGAAAGCGATTGGGTGAGTTCCCGTTGCCGATATGCTGAATCTAGGGTTTTGTAGCTAACGCTGGAAGCTCATATTACCTGTACTTTGCGGAATGCCGATGGTGAGATTCTTGCATTGGGTGAGCATGGGAAAGCTGCGATACCGATTTCACAGGCCGCTGGAAGTAAGATATAGATATATTTTGTTCCAATAGATCTAGATTGCATCATCAGATCATGACTTATCTAGACCAGATGGATGCAGGTTCTCGGTTCCCTATAGTGTCACTGGCCTTGCCCGTCTCCTGCTTAAACTTTCATCGTCGTTGGTGCTTAACCAGTCACAGAGTATGGAGTGTGGAGTGTTGAAGAACCGTCATCTCGGTCAGGCTGGATGACATCCTCGAATCTGGAGGAGTAGTGCAACCGGCTGTAAGCGATGTTATCCTTGGCAACCTGATTCAAACATCCTCCTCTCTAGTCCGACCTGACCATCAGCTCAGGTGTGAACCTTTTCTGAAAGAGATGAAGTAGGTAAATTCAAATATGCCTGTATCTGGTATTCCACGATTTTGAGCTGCTTATCCAATATTTCAAGCAGATCCGATGAGGAGTGCGGCACAGCAGCATCCTTCGAAGTCTGGTGCCTAGCTGCAGCCTAATCGCCCAGCTCCTTCATTTATCTTTCTTATTGTATGCACTAATCCATTAAACTTTTAGGATAACCTCAAAATCTTATCATTCATAGTCGAGTATCCTGTTATCAGATCGAGCTATCACAAACTTCCAGCTCCGTTGGCGTTGGATCCAGCATGCACTCAGATGACAGTCTCGAGTTTGTTCTCGTGAACGATGAGGATGTGAACGACTACAATGAAACTGGCATTGCTCCGCAGCCTCCAGATGTCCTTGTCAAGATCCAGGAATGGCTTCAGCCTACAGATTACAACTCCGAATCGAGCGAGTATCACAAGCATCTGAATTCATATCTCCGGGGAACCGGAGAATGGGTCCAAGAAACTGAAGCTTATCAACAATGGCACAGTTCACCTGAAATTGGTTCTCTTTGGCTGAAAGGGACTGCCGGCGCTGGAAAGAGTGTGCTCGCTGCCATGCTTGCCGACAAATTGGCCAAGACCGAGGAAGTTCCAGTGTTGTTCTTCTTCTTTCGACAGATTATCGCCACAAATCACGATCCTCAATCGTTGGTAAGAGATTGGATATCTATGATTCTGAATCATTCTCCATCCCTTCAAGCGACATTATTGCACTTAGTGGATGAGCGTCGGGGCTTGGAAACGATAAGTGCGAGTGAGTTCTGGCAGTACCTGGTCCACGCCCTCGTGTCCATTCCCAAGGTATACTGCATTATTGATGCCTTGGACGAAATGGATATCGACAAACAAGATTTCTTCACAAATATTGTCAACCTCGGCAAACGGAAGCCGTCATCGATCAAGCTTCTAATTACCAGCAGACCGTTGCCTCGAATTGAGGCCGTCCTCAGAACCCCATCAGTACTGCAAATTCGACTTGAACAGCTCAAGGTAGACAAAGATATTGCAGTCTATGTTGACCATCGCTTGCAGCTTGCCAGTGTTGAAGGCGAGTTGAGGGCATCTGTCAAAGAAGCTGTTGGGGGAAAAGCTCAAGGCTCCTTTCTCTATGCCCGTCTAATGATGGACGAACTCCTCGATCACTTGACTCAAATGGTTCCCGACATTAAATACATCGAGCCATCCCTGACATGGCTTCCACTTACACTTGAAGACATGTACAATGGCATGTTAATCGACCACTCTCTCCGATCACGAGTTCCACAGGATCTTCAGCTCACCATTTTGCAATGGGTTACTCACTCACCAAGGCCGCTGCGTCTCCTCGAACTTGCCTTTGTGATTGATCTGCAAAGTGGAAGCAACACGAATAGCAAAGACACAAAGGCAATTGCTCGTGCAGCATGCGGTCCGTTACTAGAAATTCTTGAAGATGAGACTGTCTCCGTCATCCATCATTCTTTCACAGAGTTTCTGATGGACCAGGATAGGAGATCTAGACCAGCTTCGGATGGATATCATCCTCAATTTCCAGTGATTGATTCTGCTACCGCACACAAGTCAATGGCTCTCATTTGCTTGAAGTATCTGGATTCAGGTTGCTTGAATGATTGGGCTCTTATGGAGCGAAAGGTAGACGACGACTTCTATCGACCGAAGAAGCAAGTCCAACAACCAATCATGATGAAACACCCATTCTTGGATTATGCCATGAACAATTTCTATCTCCACGTCTGCAGGCATGGTCTGGATGAGTCGCTTCTTTCCCAACTGGATGCTTTCATGAGGCCTGATAATTATGCCTTTTCAGCCTGTAAGTCTTTTGAACAGTGCCTATTTCCCACAAATCAAATATCTCGGCAGTGCATCACTCCAAAATATTGTTGCGACGTAGGTAAACGAGTTATTGCTAACTATTGATCATCATAGGGGTGGACATGACATGGGACAATACTTACCAACTCGAGAAAATATCTCCACTGCACGTTGCAGCATGGGCAGGAATGGCCGATTACGTGGAACATCTGCTCAATTCAGGTAATGAAAGTAATAGTGGCGATGGTCGACTTCGTACACCGCTGTCTTGGGCCTCAGCTAAAGGCCACACCGAAGTGGTTGCTTCACTCCTCGAATATGTGATAGAGCCTGACGTGGATGATGACCAGGGCCTGAAGCCCTTACATTATGCTGCTCAAGGAAACCACCATAAGATTGTCAAGCTCCTTCTTGACTCTGGTGTCAGTCGTAAGTGTTTCCTATCCATGTCACTGTCTCTCGGACTCTTGAAACATTCTAATACAGGTCCTTAGCCTTGACTGAGAAGACGAAAGATTACAATCGAAGATGCGGCAATTCTCCCTCTAGCATTGGAGAAAGTCCTTTGATGTACGCATGTCAGTCTGGTTCTGTCGAGTCCGTCCGGACAATGATTCCTTTCCTGACCCCAGAGAATCTCAATCAGGCTTTGTGCTGGGCCGCAACGCCTGGCAAAGCGCAAGTGCTGGATCTGCTTTTAGACGTTCCCGGCGTCCAGGTAGATCCTCCCGGTCAGCTCGATACTCCTCTTTTCCTTGCGGCAAAGTGCCTTCATTTCGATGCCATGCGTTCTTTGCTGTCGAAAGGAGCCGATTCAAACAAAATATCAGAGAATGCACATCACATGCAAGGCTACACTATGCATGGAATTCTGGAGAGAGGAAAGACTGGACCATCACCACTCCATGCAGTGTGTGGACTTCATTATCAAAGCTACACACATCAAAATGACGAGGAGAACATGAAGAAGTGCTTTGGCCTCCTGCTCAAATACGGATGCGACATGAACCCTATTGACAAAGAAGGAAAGACACCCCTGCATTACAGCGTAAAGAGCAAGAAGCACTCTTGCATCTCACTACTGCTCTTGAAAAATGGGGCAGACCCAACCAGAAGGGACAAGTCTGGTCATACACCACTCCACCTTCTGGACCTTCACGAAGATTGCGGCCCATTGATCGAGTTAATGACTGCTAAAGGAGCACGTATGAACGACCGTGCGTCCGATGGGAGGACACCTCTCCATTGTATGGTGAGTTCTATCCACGAACTAGAAATCGAGCCTCTACTCCCTCTGGTGGATGATTGGAATGTGGCAGACTCGAATGGGGACACTCCACTGCATGTTCTCCTTTCTCAATCTTACCATCCGGAAGCTGGTCTCCAAGTCCTTCTCAAAGCCGGAGCTGATCTTCACCGCCGGAACAAAAAAGGCGAACTTCCCATTCATGTCGTGAAAGAGCTCATCCCAGGATTTGGTACATCGATCCTTCCTCTACTTCTCGCCGCAGGAGCAAACCTCGAGGCTAAGGACCACAGCGGTGGAACTGTTTTGTCTCGATTAGCTGATACCCACACCTTCAATTTCCAAAAGACCGCTCAGTATTTGGTCGAAATGGGTGCCGACGTCAATTGTTGCGATTTTGAAGGCAACAGCATTCTGCATAGGATCTGCAGGAAGTCTCCGGACGCCACATCAGTAAGCTCATTTCTCTGACTACTATCAGCGAAGCCTCTATAAGACACAAGCCCCGATGATTCTCGACTTCGTTAGAAAGATACTAAAAGTTGAGCTAACATGATGTAGATCAACTTCTTTGTTGAAGCTGGGGTAAACCCGCTCTCTGTCAATCACGCTGGAAACAATCTCTTGCATGAGCTGTTTAATAGCAGTGTTTCGGCAGATAGAATACCTGATATACTGGCGAACTTGCTCAAACTCAAAGTTCTTCCAACAGCTAAGAACAACTCAGGTCAAACGCCTCTCCATATCGTATGCAGCCGAGCCTCTCCTTCCTATGAGTCGAAGGTAAACACCCTAGATCTTGTCCTTCGATCTCCGATCGGAGCAAGCATCGATGCTGAAGATAACAATGGAATTCGTCCTGTGCATCTTGCAGCTGCTACATCTGAGCAACACCTTTGGAAGCTTTTGAATCATGGCGCCGATATCCAGGCAGTAACGTACGAAGGATTGAATCTTCTCCACGTCTCCGCACGAACAAGACAGCCAAATACTGTGGGTCTACTCATCGAAAGGTTGCGAGAAAGTGACGGCCTCAGCCTGTTGAATGCCGTCGACTATAGTGGGAGGACAACTTTACATTATGCATGTCGCTCTGGCAGACCAGAAACTGTCTCACTATTGCTAAATTCTGGCGCGGACGTGAGTATCATGGACAAGGAACTACTGACGCCACTTCACGCCTGTGCCGAGTTCGAAGAAGAGCAAGTCTTATGGTCCACTCATCCCACTGGGTGGACACGAGCCTGTGGGATCCTAATCAACGATAAATCCAGACCAGATCCAGATGGTCAAAACATGTCCTGGAACACCGGTCCATCAATCTGGGAACGAGTCCACCCTGGAAATAAAACAGCAAGAATCCGAGAGATCATTCGTCTATCAATCAAGCACGGTGCAGAAATTGCTTTCTGCGGACAAATCTCGTCTCCAATTGATCTTGCCGTTCGGAGAGGTTGTACCGATATGGTACATGAGCTTCTACCACTCATGGAACCAATCTACGCCAAAGCTAAAGAGGAGACTCGGCAGTATGGAGAATTAGGAACACGCAGGAACCCCAAGTTCCAAGAGAAATATCTTTTCGCCCTCAGCAATGTAACTCTCCGAGAAGAAGATGTGCAAGGCTGTTTGCCAAATATGTCACTTGCCACTAACCTCCTCAGCTTGGGCCACTTGGACGCCCTCAAACAGCTCCCGAGTCTTGGTGTAGACTTCTCTCCAAATACGGACAGGAATTCGGATTTCCTCACGACTTTAGTCAAGTGTGGATATGCAGACTTGTTTCAAGCGATAGGAGACTCTGTGACCACACCAGGTTGGATCAACGGGGTTAATTCTGGCGAGTATGGCAAGTCGCTTGATCCTTATCTGATCACTGCTGTGAACAGCGATCTACCTAACCTGGACATCATAAAGATAGCAGTTGAGAGATTTGGGGCAGATGTCAACATTCAGCCTGAAACTAGAGTATATCACAGCGGCAACACCGATGACAATGTTTTTGGGCCAACTCCTCTCCACATTTTGGCTAGCGCAAGCCGATGGTGGCAAACCGATGCTATGCAATATCTACTGAGCAAAGGTGCAAACACAGAGCTCAAGAACCAACTTGGCCAGTCGGTTCTCAACTATGCTGTCTGTGAAAGCCGTTCCTCTGGAAGCTATCGGAGAACAGAGACGGTCAAAATCCTCCTCGAACATGGCGCAGATCCTAACAGCGTGGACAACGATGGGATGTCTTCTCTGAACAACTCTATGCATGATTTGGAGCTTGTTACTCTGCTCATAAAACATGGCGCTGATGTGACGCTTGGAGTGAAGCCCGTACTGTTTTCAGCAATCACGTCGCTAGACGTGGCTGCAGTCTCGGTCCTTTTGAAAGCCGGCGCAGACTGTAATGCAAAGCAAAGACCTGTCGACAAGCCAAAGCCTGTACAATACCATGGATCCAGGGTTCCTGACGCCGAATCAACTCCACTTCATTTTGCTGCGAGCGCGATTTTCAATACCCTGGAGGATCATCTCGCAGCAAATGAGATCGTCAAATTGCTCTTAGAAAACGGTGCAGATCCATACGCGCGAATCGGTGAGGATAGAACTCTTGTGCATGATATATTCAAGACTGGTGGTATCATTCAGCCGTTCCTGGAGTTTCAGACACTTGACCTTGAGCATAGAGACCGTAACGGCCAAACTGTCCTCCTTGCAGCTTCCCAGTCTCGATGGGGGACACGGGAACCATCTCAGATTACCAGCCGTCTCGGAGACTATAGAACCCATGACGCGAGAATGGCAGAATTGCGAGAACGATATGTAGGAGATCTGTCGGGGTTTCTTTCTGTCTACCAACGAGGTGGAAAAGTGGAAGCAGTAGACAACGCCGGAAACAGCATATTCCATTTCCTCGTGCAATTGGATCCAGTGAACAAATACCAAAATGGATTCAATGCTCTCGCTGAAAAGTGCCAGACGATCATCGACCAACGAAACAAGAAAGGACACACACCTCTGCATATTGCCCTCGCAAAGTCAAACTGGTGGGCTGTCAAGCGACTCATGGATGCAGGTGCAGATCCACTCCTAAAGGATCCGGATGGGAACACACCCCTTCATCATCTCGCATCCACAAAATCCATTCATGCCGAAGACCAACTACAATGGTTTAGCAAACTCCTCGACCTAGGTATTGCTATCGACGAAAGAAACAATCTGGGCGAGACTGCGCTCTTCAAGTACTTCACAGGTCTCCCTGTCGTAACAAGCGAAAGCCAAGAACCATTCTCGTCGTTCTTGAAAGCTGGGGCAAACATGTTTACTATGAACAACGAAGGCGAAACCTTGCTTCATCTCATGGCGAAGAAGGTGAATCATAACAAACGACTTGACATCTACGTCTTCGGCAAGCGCGGTCCAAATGCAGACGGGTTCAAGTTTTTGATGAAAATGGGATTGAATCCTATGACAGAGGATAAAGACCATAGAACCCCACTAGTAGGTTGCCACATTGATATGTATCATGAGCATTGCTGACTCACTTGCAGGATGTTGCTGCGGCTTGCAGTAATAATCTCGTTCTGGACCTCTTCAAGAGAGACAAACCTGCTTCTCCAGAAGTGGTCGTTCAGCAGGATAAATCATTCTCCTTCTTGACAAAATAGAGAATGGTTGAGTGTGAAACGCATGGGCCAGGATTTAGACTGATGTCTTCAAACTAATAAATGCGCCTAGATTCACCAGAAATGTCTGCGCCGCCGAATTCTAGTTGACTTTCCGGCTGCAGATCCTTCATATGGTATGGCAATATTTTCTATGAAAACGACTTATAGTGAGTGACCTTGTTCTCTCACCCAGCAGGTAGTGGAAGCCCCCAGGTGTGGCTTGCCGAAATCCGAGGACGTTTCATTGCACTCTGCTTTCTCCTTGGTTCGAGATTACGATATCTTACCTCATGTCAGAAGGTTACACTTACGTCACACTGCTTCAGACTCCCGGATCATCAAAACACTACACTAAAGTTTGCGGAAGTGCCGGAGCTTTTATTGCATGTGCCCAATCATTCATTTCACACCGTGCCGGGGCTGGAGAATTGCAGCAACACTTGCAAACTGCAATATCTCGCAACCTCAATGGCAATGGCAGTTGAAAACCACATGTTACCCTTGCCCGGCATTAGTAATGCGTACTCTCATGTCGGCAAATGAGTCAATCATCTACCCTTTCCTCGCGGGATGGTTTGTTGTGGGCTTCCAATTGGAGAGGACAGTATGTCCGAAGATCCCGAGTTGCAGTACCACAACAGAACTTACCGACAGCCAACAACAACACTTCTCATGACAATGACACCACCAGACTCGCCGTCGCTGCCGACGATTGGTGTCTGGGCGCCAACAAAACAGTGAGATGCTGTCTATCTTTTCCCGAATAGCATCATCACACGGCCCTCCATGTTGACTCTGCCGCATGTCATCATCTGATTGTGGGGATTTTGCTTGAGGATTCACGACAACATCGCGATGTTCCAATGGGATGTTTTGTTGAGAGGGTTCGAGACTCGTGGAACTGTACATGCATGTCAGCCCTCAAAGTCTTCTCTGTGCTGGTAGAGCGTGTTTGTCAGATTCCGAGGTTTCCATGATGATCTGATATCATCTTCCACTGGTGAAGTGTTGAAAAGTATATAGTAGTTAAAGCCAACCTCTCTTGTTTCTCTCCCATTCTCATTCACATCCTTATCTACAAACTAGCACTCCCATCTACTAACCAACCCAGCGTAAGCCATCAAAATGAACGTCCTCGTCGCTCGTACCAATGATGCTCTCGAAATTAACCCTCCCGTGGGAGACTTCCACCTCGTAACCAACGGATCCGATTGGCTCTGGGCAGTGACTGCCATCTATGCTCTATCCCTCCTTGTTGTCATCGGCCTCACCTACTTCGCCAAGGCTGGCGAGAAGATCTTCCACTACCTATTTACCATCTCCCTCTTCGTGGGAACCATCTCCTACTTCGCCATGGCATCCGATCTTGGGTCTACTCCCGTCAAGACATCCGTCCAAGATGAGGGACTTCGACAGATCTTCTACGTTCGATACATCAACTGGTAAGTTCCCACTACTACCCATAAATACTTCCACTCTAACACTCTCAGGTTCGTCGGCTGGACACCTCTAGTCCTAGCAGTCGGTCTCATCTCCGGCGTCAGCTGGGCCACAATCGTATTCAACATCGCCCTAACCTGGATCTGGGTCTCCTCCTGGCTCTCCGGCGCCCTCGTAGCCACAACCTACAAATGGGGCTTCTTCGTCTTCGGCACATTCGCTTACTTCCTCCTCGCCGCCTCCCTCCTCACCAGCGGCCTCACCACCGCCAAGCGACTCAATATCACCAAGTCCTACCTCAGCATCGCCGGCTACCTCGTCTTCTTCTGGTTCCTGTATCCCATCGCATGGGGTGTCGATGATGGCGGGAATGTCATCAGTGTAACTTCTGGCTTTATCTATATTGGTATCTTGGATCTGTTCACTGCGCCGTTCTTCGCTTTTGCGGTTTTGTTCTTGATTACGAAGTTGGAGTATGGCAGCTTGAATCTGTACTTTACTCAGTATGGACGTGTGGCACCCGCTGAGTATCCTGAGGGACCGGTTGTTGAGAAAGTCGATCCTACTGCCACGCCTGCTGTTGCTGAGCCAGCTCCGGCTGTGACAACCCCTGAAAACACTGTTTAGCTACTGTAAGCGAGGTTGGCCAGAAGTGAGCCACGTTAGGAGAAGGTCAGAGGTAATGATGATGAGGGGATGAGAACCCGATTTGAATGCCAGTTAGTAATTTTTAATAAGGCAGCTCATCGATGCTGTGTCTGAGACGATTGAAGTCATTCTTTTGAGTTTTGGATGTTTAGGAGTAGCGCTGTTTAGCGAGATACCCAAATCAATACAACTTGTACCCACATGTCTCCCTATCATTTCTCAACCAACTTCTGGCACATCCATGTCGCATCGAAGTTGTTCGTCGATATCTACAAAGTAGTCGATTGTTCCTTAGCAATAACTGACAGAATAGCTTCGCAGCTCCCTGCTCAGCCGCCATTTCCCCACATCACACTCGACTGCTGACAAAGTTCACATGTCACAAACGTAGCTAGAAGCTGGCATGCATGCAAAGAGTTTGTTCCTTCACAAGAAAAAAAAAGCCAATCGCTAGCTAGCTAACCATAAATACACCCAATACAGGCATGTGCATCCATCCATCCCTCCATCACCGCTACAACCAAAGCAGCACTGCAGTCATTACTCTGGTATCATATCATATCCATGTCTCAAGACCCAGTCAGTCGGTCCATCCAGTATCAATAGCCAGTAGCAAATATCCATCTCTGCCCCTCCACCTCCATATGATACTCAAACATCCCTCCTCTCATCCCCATTATCAGTAAACAACTGTGAAGACAACTCTCAATCACTCTCATCCATATCAAAAATATCTTTTCCCTTCGCTGCCTTTCCTTTCCCAGCTTTCTTTCCTTTCGCAGCCGGCGCAGTTATCTTTCCTTTAGGTTTCACCGCAGCCTTCACTGCAACAGGACTCTTCGCCTTTGGTTTCGCTCTGGCTTTGGGGACTGCTTTTGCCCTTGTTGATTTCACAGGAGTAGCTGCTGCAGATGATGTAGGAGCGGCTGCTTGTTTGCGACCACTTGAGCGCGATGGGAGGGTCCGTTTGCCGTTCGATGCTGGAGGAGTAGGTTCGACTTCTTCTTCCTCAGGTTCAGGTTCTGGCTCTGGAGAATCTTCCTCCCCCGCTTCGGGTTCTGGAGTAGCCTCCTTCTCCTCTTCGGGCTCTTCGGGTTCCTCTTCTGCTTCCTCGTCCACTTCCATCGCATCTTCATCTTCTGCCTCAGAATCGGTCTCGTGCCGGGCGATTCGAGGCTCAGCGGATCCATCCTTGGTCAAGTACTCCCACTCCGCCACCCCATCCCACATCTCCTTATCATCCTCGCTGTCATCTCGATCAGCATAACTCTTTCGTGCACTAGCAGCACGGCCACTCTTCCTCCTATCGACTGATGAAGGATCTGGTGTGCTGAATACCCCAGCATTTGACTTCCTAGGCTTTGGCGTCTTCTTCTCACGAACCACTTTCTCTTTCTTTGGAGCTGGAACTTTGACTGGTCGAGGCTTTGATTCAGTTTTCACCTTCTTAGCAGGGCGCCCCTCGTGGTCGTCTGATTTCCGTTTCTGCTTGATTCCTGTTAGTTGTGCACAGTTTTATAGGTCGAGGGACAAACCTTCTTCTGTTCCGCCTTCCTAACCAGCCCATCAAGCAGTCTGTCCACATCCTCAGGCAAGTAATTCTTCTCAGCAATCTCCTGAGCAACTGCATGACTTGGTAGAGCACCGAATAGTCCAGCAGGTATGCCCACCTTACCTGGGTATGTCTGCAGGCTCCAGCCCTTCTTTTCTTCCCATTTCTTGATCAGTGTCTGGGCAAGATCGCTGAGTATGTAAATATTGTCTTCATCACCAGGGACGAGGTCTCGCGCTTGCTTGACACGTTCCGCGTACTTGTATGTCAAAGCTAGACTGGGTTCTGATGCGACAGTGGACAAGTAGTAGATGATGTATTTGCCAATGTCGGCCAATTCCGAAGGTTCCGTGCTGAAGTCGGGATGATGTGCCAGAAGATGAAGCAGTCGGGGAAACAGCTGTTCGAAGATCGTGCTCTTCGTATCGCGACACAGTTTGACTCGGGAACGGATCCAAGTCATGATGGAGTTCTTGAAATCAAGGACTGGTTCGAAAGCAGTAATGAACATGATCGTTGTGAACCTGGGTGGGTACTTGCCCTTCACAATGTATTTCTGCAGTTTCTCGACAAATCCGGAACGAACGTTCGCCAAAGAGTCCTGGGCGATAAGCGCAAGTTGGTTAAATTCCACAGGTGAGAGAAGTTCATCAAATATCTTGATCTTACACAGCTTCAACATCTGTTGTGCTGCAAGCAGGCGAAGGCGCGATCTGTGGTGTGCTGGGGTATCATTTTGTTTTGATAACTCTCCCTTCTTGACAATCAATTTGTTCAAAAGCTTGTAGACAGGAACGGCAATGTTCTTCGCGATTTCAGGGTCCTCAGTCGTTCGAAGGCGATTGACCAGAACTTTAATGGCCCAGCTTTTCGCCTGGCATTCCTCGTCCATATCTTCATCAGATTGCCACTGTGGATCATCGTCTGTTTTCGGAGTTCGAGTCTTCAAGAGGATTTGTTGAGTGGTGATATCGATGATCTGGTCATTCAGATCCTCCAGGAGCTTTGGATCGAGGAGGTGCAATTGAGAGACGGCAGCAATTCTTGTCAAGAAGTGATCCTCGCCATACGTCCAGCTATCCAGAGCTTTGTCAACCAGATCTTTCATGTGCATCTCTTTTCTTGCCGGTTCGATTGAATGCAGAATGGTGACGGCGTACTTTGCTACCTTTGCAGGTGTTCCGTACAGCGCGAAATTGATCAAAGTCTGGGTAAACTTTGCAGTTGGATTGATCTCGCTTTTCCCCTCCTTCTTCGATTCCTTGGCGAAAGAAGCCAGAGCTTTCAGAGTATCAACGCTTCCCGCATCATTGACCCGTGTTTTCGATGGGGCCTGTTCTTCCAAAGACTTGCAAAGTTCCTTGACGCTAGCCTTGAAAATTTCGGGGTGCTTGTCTGAAATCTCTTTCATTACACTGCGTGCTGTTGCAGCCAATCCATTCTCATCAGTCCGACCATATTGTAGAATGACTGGTTGATGACTTCGATTGTAAACAAGAGACGCTGAGCGGTAGATAATTGGGATGAGAGTATCAAGGAGGCCAGCTGGTGCATTTGGTGCAGCGTTGATACGTTTTTGGAATTCCTTGATGGCTTTATAGACCGTGTTGAAGTCGCTCTCTGGGGCCATGGCAAACCGGAGCAGCTGGTAGGATCTTCGGTCATGCAGTTTTGCGTACTTGTGCAGTTCTTGTGTCGTTCTCATTGGATCGGGCAGCAGGTTTGCAAACCACTTAATAGTCGTATCGAGTTTGTTCTTGACATCCTTTGCGTCCCCTTCAACGACACCGCCGTTGAACTCCTCGCATCGCTTGAGAAAGAGTTGGAGAACTTGAGAATACGTGGTCCTCCGAGATTGCATAGCGTAGAATGCCTTCTTGGCCTTTTGATCCAATGACTTGACAACCAGGAGGATACGTTCTGTACGGATCTTGTCTGCATCGAATGGCCCGTCCCCATTCATCTGGGTCTGCGAGTCTCCGTTTGCTGCCTTTCCCTTTTTCGCTGGTGGGTAGCTGAGTGGAATCAGCTGCTCGAACATAACGTGGTCGAGAAGCACATTCACTTCCAAATCATTGACATAGAACGAATCAAAGATCTTGGTAGGAATTCCACCTAAGGCGTCTGTCACGCTGTCATTTTCCAGAGCAATCTCGCCCGCAGCAACACCCCAGATTCTGCCAAGAGCAGTCATGGCCTCGGCCCGAACAGAGTGCTTTCGGTCTCTTGCTCGGTCAGCAAGACTACAGAGTACAGACCCAGACTTATTGACAGATCCATTAGGAGCAAGCTTAGACATGATGTCGTAGAAGCTGAATCTGCTCACGGCTCTGACTGCCGCAAGACGGACCTTCTCGTCCGAATCACACAGCTTTTCTCCAAGGCCTTGAACCAAGGCATGTTCTTCATGTGGACTCAGACCAATACCTCCAGCGGAAGTAATGAGAATTCGACCAACTGCCGTTGTCCAAGCAGATCGTATTGCCGAGGATTTGTCGTTTCTTCTGCCCATAAAGCTCTGGTACACACTTGGGTGGGTTTGGACAAATGATTGGGGTGAGATTGGAGTCGTAAGAATGCTGTCCGACACAGGATTCTGTGAATAGTCTTCCAACTTCGCTGGAGGATAAGCAGCTGCATCCATGAGTGGAGGTGGAGGTGGTCCTGCTGCGCCAATTCCGGAAATAATGTCTCCGAGAGTTTCGGTGGCCATGGTTCTCAACTGAGCATTGTCTGTTGACAATTCCGCTTCCAGCTGGGGAATAACATTCTGCAAAACAGCTGGTGATGCCCTCCACAATTCCCGCAAGAGTCTATGCGCCTTGGCAAGTTCTTGCAAATCTGATTCCGTTGGTCCAGCAGGCACATCTTCGTCATCCGAGTCCGCTGCGTCACTAGTTCTTCGGTGTCCATTGAGTTTCGGAGGCGCTCCAGTTGAAACCTCCAATATGACCTCGTTGAAATATTGACTAACATAACGAGCCATCTTCTCTGGACAATGATTGCAAATGCTTTTGGCCATATTGTAGGCTTCCGGGAGCTCTTTCGGCAGCAGTGTCGTCTGTTTTCCGTCCACCTCCTGCTTCCCCTTGCCGCCTCCTGGTGTCGCAGCTCGTAGGAACTGTGCTACTATGATATCTACCACATTCGCAGGCAAGCTTTGCGCCTCATCCACCAAAGTTACCAGCATTTGAGTCATATGGTATTCTACGTCCTTCGCAATGGACTCTCCCGTTGACGCTTTCGTGGACCCCGAGATCATGTCGAAGAAGGAGCTGAACAGGTGGAGGATCAAGGAATCGGAGTTTTGGATGTCGCAAAGGAGAACAATACTCTTGACTTCCGCTAGTGAAACCAAGACATACTTGTGCTGCGCATTGTAGGCGTGGGACGGGTCAGAGAGTGCTGGAAGGATAGAAGTAACGAAGAGCGTGAAAACATCCTATGTACTGTTAGACGCTTTCCCCGCGCAAAGCTTCTATGTCATACCTTGAGCTGAGTAGGTGTAAATGGCGCATCAGGAGCGCAAAGCTTCAGCACATCCACCAAGCAGCAAGCTGCGAATGCGCGTACACCTTTATCCTTATGTCCCAAGAGATTCTGCCCCGCAAGCTCCTTCGCGACCTTGGTGAACGAGTCCTTGTCTATCTCCTCCTGATCCATTTCCCGCAGCTCATTTGCTAGAGTATCCAGTCTCCTCAAGAGATCGCCCGTGGGTATCGGCTTTCCAGCGCGCCATGATAGCGGTTCGTTGAAGGTTAGGCTCACGAGGTCTTGTTCTGGCTCCTCAGACACAGCTTCCGCTCCGCGGCGCGGGGCCATTTCGAATTGAAAACTCCAGTCGCTGTACTGACAGAATGGGAATAATCGCAATGGTGGTAGGAATTGGGCGGTCGGGGGTTTGGTGGGTCGACGTTCTCGAGGAGGTGGCGGTTGGATGTGGTGTTGTCAGCTTCGCGCGTCGCACAAAGTGGTCTCGGTCGAGACGCGTTGTCAAGGTCCCGCTAAGGACTCAACTTCTTGACTTCACTCGTCACCATTCTTGATATTCACATAACATCATTAGACAGCATGGAAATTTTACGGGATATTTCTTTCCTAAAGAAGGAATTTTATCGTTTAGTGAGCAACTATTGTTTCTTTCTGCACACGACCTGCAAGGTAAAGCGTTTATAGCTTGTTAGGTAGGTGACCATAGTCGAAAAGCGCGGCAGGCGCTGAATGCTTCTTGGGCTCAGTAGATGGTTTATTCGCACCTCTTTATATGCTCGTTACTCGCCCCTTTGGACTTTTTGTTCAATTGCTGGTAATGGCTTGTTCATGTTCTTCACGTTATGTTTGGGTACGAGGCGTGCCTGCCTTTGTTTCCTCTTCCAATCCATGCCCCACTCTCATCTTGATGTATAAACATAATTGAGAAGAGCGGCATGGATCAAAATATCGTCGTCGAGCTAGTCTGTGTATCTTATGCATGGTGGGACAGAAGCGTTGAGATGCTAAGTCATGTCGCGAAGACTCTGGACATGAGGCTGATATATGAAGCTATCACGTACCGGCAATAGGTCATCAAGGGCTTTCTGACAAATTCAAATGCCCGATCAAGCATCGTGAGCAGTATGAGAACCAAGTATTGAAGCAGAATTGAGATAGCCCAGATGACGGGATGATTCGACTAGACGGACAGTGCTTCGAGTCATATTTACTTTCAGCATTTTCATACGATTCACAATTGACAAACACTTCATCCTTTCACCACAATTCACTTTCAAATACTTTTCAGCCTCCCGTTTTGGTTGATTCCATAAGTACCTTTCCTTCCTCGTCCATCCCAGTGGGTCCGCCTCCTACCAACACTTCAAGAACACCACACATCCGCAACTCCTTGTTTCCACGTCGTTCTTGGTTACTATCGTTTCTAGTATCTAAGCGGAAGCGAGCGCATTCTTTACATCGCTTGCCCATATTGCAGCTCTCTACAGCGCTGATCCAATTGGCAAACACCACATTCAGCATGAAGCTTCCGGGGAACACGCTCTGGCTGGCAGGATGTGTAGGCACGGCCGTCGGATTTACCGGTCCACAGGAGGATGGTATGTATCCTATTGAGTCTCTTAAATTCTTCTTTAACGTCATCAAAACATAGCATCGATGACTCGACCCCATCACTCATCACTCATATATGCATCAAGTCGCGCCCTCGCTCAGCCACAACTCCTGGCATCCCCTCATATGTACGCTTCCAGTCATACCTTGGCACAAAGACAAGCCACTGTCAGTCCAGCTCTGGCTACAAGTGTCTCTCTTGTTAGCAGCGTTGTCAGTAAATCGACAGCTGTTGCTCCAACAAATATCGTCACTGCCTTAACACCAAGCAAAGACTTGGTTTCCATTTCCAGCATTCCCGCCCCTGATGTTGTCCAAGTTGAGGCTATCACAACGGTTACTTCCTTCCTTGGAGCGTAGGTACTCTTTAATTCCAGTATGTATATTCTAATTGCTAAACAGGTCACCTCCTCCAAAAGCCAGTACGAGATCAACCGGATTTGCCAGTGTAGCCTCGACATCAACTGTGGAAGAAATCGTGACTGTTACTTCCGTGCTTCCCTCGGTGTAAGTTTGCACTCACTCTTCCGTGATATTTTCTAATGACTTCAGCACTTTCCCAGATCCGCAGTCCCAAGTACAAGGCCCAACCTCAGGACCCTCAATTTCCTTTGTGCCAGTCCCGAGCACGACGGCAAAATCTGCTCCAACAACCGCAACGAGACCAAAGACCGTCCTGTCAGCTGCAGCATATAAATATCTAGGCTGCTATGCGGAAGGCCTCAATGTTCGTGCTCTAGGCGATGCTTCTTTCCCTGATGATGGGAATACGATCGAGAGATGCGTTACAGCATGTTACCCATACAAATACGCCGGAGCCGAGTATGGTCGCGAGTGCTGGTGCGGTAATGAGCTGAAGGGCGCCTCGAAAGTCAGCGAATACGATTTCTGCAATATGCCTTGTGCCGGGAATGGAGAACAATACTGTGGCGGTATCGTGGCGTTGAATGTCTACGTTGTAGGAGATGCTCCCTCTGCCTCCTTCATTCCTGTGACTGTGTCTGGAACGGCAATCATGTCCAGAAAGCCGTCTTCGGTCACTGCGACATCAAGCTCTTCTCAAGTCTCCATTTCAAAATCCCCGCAAAGCCAAGCTATCGTCTCGTCGACTTCCTCAAGCGCAGCTGCTTCTACACGATCGGCAAGTACATCGAGCAAAATCAATTCCTCCAAGGCCAGCTCTGACTCTCAATCCTTGACAGCCTCTTCAATTTCTCTCTCGGCTATCGCGTCCAGTTCCTCGAGTAAGATCACGATTATTCTCTCATCGACATTTGTGACATCCACTCAAGCTGTCCCGATTTCTGTCATCGTCGATAATGGAAGCTCGATGACGACTTCACCCTCAGTACGAACCCAAACTCCGTTGGTGTATATGTCCAGCATTTCTTTCTCGAGCTCAACCACTACGCCCAGTTCCACTCCCCTGATCAAACAGAGCCTCTCTACGTCTACAAGGCCATCCGCCAAAGTTATCACGACCAAAGACCCAGTCACCGCTCCAACTACACTCAAAGCGGCCTCAGCCAGTCAAGTCTCATCGGCAATCCCAGTGATTACTACAAACACACAAGCCTTAACCAAACACCCTATACCCACCGCCCTCCCGATACTCAGCCTAAACACATCTTCACCACCGACCACCTCATCAAAATTCAAACCAACCCCAGTACTCCCACCAACAGCCAGCAACACCCCAATCACGATCCTCCCACCTCCAGATACTGGCATCTGTATACCAGCCTTTTGTCCCACAACCTTCACTCTCGATCCCAGTGCAATACCAACCGACGATCCCATCTCAATTCCCGAGTCCTGGAGCGGCATGTGGACAACCGCACCACCACCCCTAACTCTCGCCGAGACCCCAATGTCATCAATCATACTGCCCGCATCTCCTCGGCCGGAACAGACAACTTCAGTTTCAAACCCAGGTCCATCACCGGCAAGCAAGCCAGCAATTTCACCTCCTCAGTCAGGATGTCTTCCCGCCTATTACACACCCGCACCAATAATCGCCACGTCTACAGTCTCTACGACATCCAATACATTAGCCAATTCGACGAGTACACCCCCTTCTTCCAGCCAATGCACCCACGCAACAACATCCACAGCCCACATCTACAGAACCAGCAGCCATCAACTACATTCAAGCGTTGTCACTGTGACCAGCTTCCTGACTCCGATTCCGACCATGCGTGTGCCTTCTCCTGCGGCTTCGATTGCACGAGGAATGGACTTCAAGATATTTGCATTGTTTGCTGGATTATGGGCGGTGTTGATTTTCGTTGGTTAAGCGAGAACCGAGCATTGTTCAACGAGCTTTGTTACTGAATGAGTTACGTCAATTTCGTAGAATGAATGGAGTGACGATCCACGTATCGAGGCTCTACTGTACATTGGATGGCTGCCCGGCTGGCATATTGCTTGATAGTCTGTGAAGACATCTGAAGCAGCGTCAATCACTAGTGCGCGCACACGAATTGGATTGCTTACCATGCCATCCACATCCTGAGTTCATCATTTTGCAGCACGATGGGTAGATAGATAGACGCGAAGATTTCAGATAGACCAAGGCAGAGAATAAATTGCAATCTCTTCATAATTTACATCTGGAACATCACCGTGATTCTAGGTATGCAAATCCAATGTACGTATTTGACAAGGTATCATCTCTCATTCGACTGAGTAGCTACTCCACAAGGAGCGATGGAACGCCCGATCATCCACCTCCGTAAAGGCAATACACTCACCAACCCAAGCACATCCTTCTAGATGAATAGGGTCGTTTACTCCAATGGCAAAGGAAGCATAAAGCAGACCCGAGCAGAGCAGAGCGGAGCGAAGCACACCACCTATTTAAAGCCCAAGCCCCCGCCCACTTCGAACAGTCCCCCAGAAATGACTTGAGCGCGCACGTGCCCTTCGGTGAGGGACTTAATCTCTCTTCCCAAGACGCCAAATGACGATGCCCACCCGCTGATAAATTCCCATTATGAACAGACAGACAGCTGATCGGTCAGCTAAGCGAACGCCGCAACCCTGCAATACGCAAAGAAGTATCAACGGGTCAGGCCCTCGTGATACTGTATACAGTTTGATTTCCTCCCTCCCCTGCATTCTATAATTTCTCCATCTGATTTCGAGCTCAAATCGTTGAACTTCACTTCTGTTCATTTCCCCGGCGGTCCAGGACTCGGCCTCCCAGGCCCTTGTTCCTCAGCCTTCCTCTTCGTCGTCGGCGGCGGCCCATTACTAACACCCGTACTCGCCACACGTTTCCTCTCTTGTTCCTTCTTCTCTCTACTCGCCTCCTCAGCAGCCCTTCTCTTCCACTCATCTCTAATCCCCTTCGCCGCAGCAATGAGATCTTTTTCCGTAACTCTATCCGTGATACTTTCTATCACACTATCCACTGTACTCGTATGATTCGCATTCGTCTTGTCGTCTCGGAACCGCATGAACCGCCACCGCTTCTGTGAATCCATGAAACACTCTACAATCCGGTCATTTAGAGGCTCTCTCCGGGCTTTCATAGATTCCCATTCCTCGTCGTCGAGATACATGGTGTTGTAATATGGATCCTCCTTCCCATCACCTGCATACACGTGCAAATTACAAGTTGGCATGGCATCGTAGTCGAGGTATGGTTTTGTGATCCCTTCAGCCCTATCCTGCTCATCTGGCTGTCTAATTGGGAAATCCAACTGTAGCCTGAAATCGATTGAGTTCTCGAGTTCCGGCTTCCATTTCAGTATATTCTGATCCGTGCCATGCTTGTAATCCGTCATTCGACATGTGAAAATCAAACCATCGTTTCCGTGAGGTAGTGTTGGGAGGATTTGTCGGAACATCATCTCTACTGCATATGAAAACTGCATGGCCTTCAGCTCCACGATGAAATGCATGTATTGCTTCTCCTCTGGGTATTCCTCCAACAAGTGTTTGTACGGATCAAAAATTCGTTCCTTGAAGTATGCGAGCCGTTTATCGAGGGTTCGGTTCATGAGACTATTTCCATCGAGGACCATGCAATCAAACACTAAATATTTTGGTTGTGTTCCTCCTCCTGGCACTTTGTCGAATACCAACTCTCCATCGATCAAGGTATTTGTATGGAATGCTTGTTGGTCGCGAGGAACGGGGAAGTGCAGAGCTCCTGTAGGAATGAACCAGTAATCATTCTTCCGGTCGATGAGGTAGTGGATTTCCCTTCCTTCATGGTCCGTTGTGAGGTATAGAAGATATCGCATTCCATCGGACTTTTCGCAGACGTAGTAGCTGTGTAGAGTTAGGAATGAACATCCGCCTGCTGGGGGGCAACATACTCTTGCTTCGTCAATGCCTCTAGATGTCTGCGAGCAAAACTGACAGGTTGCGCGCCTGGAAAATTGGTGTTCCTTCTGTCTAGTAGATGTGCTACTTCTGAGCGCATGTTATATAGTAGGTCCCCTTCTGCCTTGATTCCAGGCGCATCGAGTGAAGCAACAGGGCCCGTCATTTTGTTCAGAAAGCAGCAGATAGGTTATAGTACATGCAAGAGGTGTCCAAGTACTGGTATTGTATCAAAAGGGAACTGATTCGTGAGAAGAAGGTCCTATGGGGAACAAAGGGTGTTGGTCGTGTTTGTAGGATCGCGATGTAGTTGGGAGCTGCCTGGTGAAATTTCAGCTAGGTTTTAGGGTATTGTTGATCTCTGGAGATGCGCGAGAATCCATTCAGGAGATGCTGCAAGCCACGCAGCCTCAAGAACGTATCGCATTTGTCTGGACGTCGGGGCGCATTGCTTTGGAGGATGTGCCTCTGATCAAGAGAGCAATTTCAAGCCGGGAATGGTCACGTGGATGTGGGATGTGGGGCCGTCCCTGCTGCCTTAACGCTGGCTCCAGGTTGACTTCAGGGTTTTGGGCACCAGGCACTTCATCAATATTGGGCATCATCAACTTTCTTTGCTCTTTTGCAGTAATTGGGATTCTTTGTGAAGCACTTGGGCTACAGTTCAGCTTTCAAACTCTGCTGGATCCGATTTGTGATGCACTTTTGAATAATGTCGTCGCTAATACCACCATCTCCTCCTCCTTTACCAGGTAATCCTCATTGTCAATGCAGTTAATATACCTATTCTGATGAAGTATAGCCTGGGTACTTGCTTTACCTCCTCCAATACCTCCTCCTCCCTATAACATCCCTTCCAGACCAATATTTCCATCCCGCAGACAACGAGTTAATCATCTCCAAGAGCAAAAGAAGCCGCGAGATTCGGTTGTGAAGAAACCAGCAACGACGCACGTAGCATCATCTCTTTCTGGGGAAAAATGGGCCACTAATATAAACAGAATGAAAGATCTAAAGCAATTCCGTTTTCTCGAGCTTCCTCGTGAAATTCGAGTCATGGTATACAAATACCTTGCACCAAATACCAAACCGAGCGAGTGGTGTGGAAAGCCACAGAGGCATGACGGCTCATGCTATCCGGAGATCCTATCAGTATGCCGCGCAATACATGATGAAGTCCTGGACATATTCTACAGTGCATCTGTCTACTCTGAAATTGACATCTCGAACAATGGGATATTCTTCCTCGGAAACCGCTATCTTTTAAGCGACCTCCTGCCATCAACAGTCAGACATGCTCAATCGATATGTGCTCGTATTCAACTGGAGTGGCGACCTGTACGCCAACAAGAATTCAAGAATCGGATCACAGAAATCTTCCCGCCAGACAGTCGTCTGCGGAATCTTCAACTTTACTTCCAAGCCACTAGCCCAGCTTACATCGGACGAGCTGCTACTCCAGATGTCGTCGTGTCTGCACTTGATAACACCTTGTCTCCTCTACAAGGCGTTGCTCATAACCTAGGATCAAAGTTCCATATCGACTTCGAGACACATATACACCAAGGTCGGTTCAGTCTGGGGGTTGACTTGAACGATGTTGTTGGACAATATTTCGACAGATTCGCGTGGAGCGCCCGTCAGATGTGATATTTTGCAGAGATATCGACCATTTATTAAGAGCTATTCGATTGCTGGTATGCCATGAGACCGTCACATCACACGGATAGCTCGGTGTGGTCGAGACCATCGATTCTCTCTATCGCAAGTTATTTAGCAAGGATCCCTTGGATTTCCCTCCGCGCTCCATAGCATACAACCCCGCCTCAGCCTCAAATCCACCATCGATTGTCTCTGTCCACTCCTTAATGAGCATGTGCATGTCTTTTCTCCTCCCGGAATTCAAAAGTAGGTGGTACGCCGCCAAAATCATACTTATGCTCCTCCAAATAATCGACCAAAAACTGGCTATAATCTCTGCGGAGATCCGGTGACTCACTATTGTAGGTGCGAGAACTCTGCATGAACGTGACCTCCTCCAAGCTCGTCAGATTTAAGAATTGGTTCAAGTATTCCTCCCTGTGCAACTCCCCCCAGTCATCATAAAACGACTCCACCTGATCATCATAATCACAGATCCATTCCCGGACCTTGAGGTGCTTGATCATATCCAGCAGCTCCGGATATGCCTCTCCCAGATACCCGAACCACTCGCGGCTCATGATGTGCTTGAGCGATGGCAGTGTGACGTAGGGTGTATCCAGATGCGGATTAAAGCATAATGGAGGGCTACCACCATAATCTCCGCCAAACTTCACCTTATGGCCAAGGAAATCCTCAGGCAAGATGATGACATAGTTCGAGAGAGTCTCACGTCGGCTTTCTCTGTTGACGAAGAGAGTTGCCGGGAGTTGAGCCTTGGCATTGTTACACTTCGTCTCTGCAGCCTTGCCCAGCTTGTGTATTGAATAGCCGGCATGGTGGTGGATCAGCTCAAGCGCGATGCTGACTTCTCGGCCACGGGGGAAGCTCAAATGCCAGATCTTGATTCTCAATTCGGTTGGGAGATTAGGGAAGCAGGTGAAAGTGTCAAGGGGTTCTCCAAGTTGGATGAAGAGCTCCTCGTTGAAATCGGGGAGGTGGCACAGAATGCTGAGAGCTTCGGCGGCTTTGTTGACAGCCATGTTGGCTATGGACTGGAAGGCAGATGTGATGACGTGCTCGCAGAATATCTAAGTCACAATAATTACCGCCCGTTTCCGTGTCTGTGGAGTATTCCCGTACCTTTGGGACCTTTTGGAGCAGGCTGAAAGTAGCCAAAGTGGAGTTCCAAAGTCAAATCGTTGAAAAGGAATGTTGTTTGCTTGACTTGATGCGACAAAAGGGAGATCGATTCCAAATAGGCGTCAATATCTACTTTGGACGAGTTACTTTTTACCGTGGTGCTGCTGAAAAAGTCAGTCGCGGTGTTGAAATTGTTGTTGATAGAGCGAGCCGACGTAGCATTCGAGGCTCCACTTTTCCCGATTAGCGAACTACTCAAATACCACGCGTGGATTGAGGCAGCAATATTGCACCTGATTTGAGTTTAGGTTGCAGCTTCCTTCACTGATCAGATGTTATTTATTATTTGGATTTTACTTTGTTGCTTCCAGTGTTTATTGTTTGTTCTGTTCAATGCAATTGCAGAGCCTAGCGCTTGTTTGCGTGGTTTGTTGATGTCGATGAGTTCCATTCACTTCTCGTTGTCAATAAAGAAGTCAGATAACTTTGTAAGCATGGCAATTGATTAGTATTGCTATGCTCAGCAACTATGTCCTATTCATTCTTCAAAACGAGACGTGCAGGAAATCCCTGCTCTACGTCTTTCCTGACACCTTCAACCAGGGCGATTCCTCTGTTCACCTATGCATAGAGCCATCGAACTCTCTGAGCTGTAAGGTTCGAATGGACTGTAAGACTGTATGATGCTTGCTCTGGATGTATTGCATCCACAGGCCAGGATGATCCTTGTGAAAGGAACATGGTGAATCCAAAAATGGATTGCGCTGCCTATCTTAGCGAGGCGAAAGGCGCTAGCGGTGTTGTGTCGAAAGCGGCAGTTTACGACAGCTTGAAATGAATCCGAATGCTTCACCAGACTTGTCTATTATACAGCAGCGTTTCGTGGACCTACAGATACTGCCGACCGCTTCAGAGCAAAACACCACTCACCTTGCTCAAGAGCATCCGGTCAACCTGATTCAATGTAAAATTTACTAAAATACTTGACCAAGTGAATCGAGTCAACCTAATTCGTTCGAAGTGAAATTGAGAAAACGCCTGCTCAAGTGAATTTCGCCAATTCACGTGATCATGGACCATCACCTGCTCCTCGTAGCTGTATTATAAAGACTCGTAATTGTCACCTCGAACTTCTCAAAACACCAAATCGAAAATCCCAAACTACTACCACCAACAGTCCATACATCTCAATACACCCAAGTCATCATGGACTCTACTCTCAAACCCAGCGGACCTTACTCTCTTCTTCTCGCCGAACTCCCCGATCTCTTCCAAGACCTCTTCTTACAGATAAACGATAGATTCACATGCTTCTCTTCCCTTCCAACCGAAATTCGACTGTCAATTTGGCGATTCGCTTTTCCACGCGGCCGTCTCATGAATATCGATGAACTTGTCATGGCATGGTTCATCGTCATGGATGCAGACAGACGACGAACATGTGGCATCGAGAAAAGCCGTGTACTGCCATCGACCCTTTACGTCAACCAGGAAAGTCGTCAAGAGACCTTTAAGCACTACATCATTGTTTCTCGCCCGGTAGGAAGACTAGCCGGAGTCAAGATCAAGGTTCAAGAACGTCCACTATGCTTCAATCCGAAATTGGACACTATGTTCTTCACTGACAACTACATCATGAACGATCCCAAATGGGAATGGCTACACGAAATTCAAGAGGAATTTCCAGCCTTATTTGATTCGATCGAGGAGGTTCAGATCCGTAATTGCAACCGTGGTTTATCAGGGGTCTGGGAACTTGGGTGCTCAGTCAATTCCGGAGTACTATCGCATGAACTCGCCTTCTTTGTCCAATTTCCAGGTCTCAAAACTGTCAATATCGTCCTCAGTGAGCTTGCTACAGACGGAATTGGACCTTTTCAGATTCAGATCGACCAATATGAGAAGGACCTTGGCCAGGCAATGGTAGCCTTATTCCAGAAGCATGCGCCTCAGAGACTGGTAGCCCCCAAGGTGACTGTCGCGCCATGGAACAAGTTACTCTCCCGCGTTCTCTAGACCTAGTGATGTTGTTGAGCGATCGATAACAGGAATAAGAGATCTTTGCTATCCTTTTATCTGCGGGAATCGATTTGAGTATGAGGGATGAGGCAGGCGTGAAGTATTGGCGGATATGGATTCAAGTGACGTATCTTCACCTTGAAGTCCGGTAGTCAATTAAAAATAAATCTTTTGGCCATCTCTAGAATGCGTAAGTGTGAGAAGCTAATAATAATCTTGTTCTATGTTTGAAAGTCGCCGAATGTGCGCCGAGTTGTGAACTCGGCAATGTCCAGGATTTAGAGTCCCCGCGTTAATTTTGTTGGTGGGGATGTTACGTACCACCTCAAAATTTTGTTCCAGATCGATCTATTGGCAAATTGAAGCTTGAAGTGTAAAACTCCTGGGGATGGTGCTGAACGGTTTTCTGGTATTCAAAATGCACAAGCATTTTGGTGACATCAGGTGTCACACAAGTAAACATCGCTTAAATGCCCTGAAGAAGCTTGATGTAGCGCTCCTGGCTTCCGCGCGTAAGACATTCCTGAACTTCCCGACTCGTCATCAGCCACTATTTCTTCCCATCCCCCGTGTATCAAGATGGAATAACTTTCAGGAAACTTGAATTCAGATCGTATCAATCATCGACAACAACTATCCATTCTAGTCTTCTGCCCAAGATGCGCACCTCCCTGATCCGCGCAGCTGTACCCCTCCGCGCCTCATATCTCCGATCCCCACCTACCACCTCATTCAATCAACCACACGCCCAACAATCGCTTCAATCACAACCACAGCTCTCTCAATATTTCTTTCCAAAGAAAACATTCTCCACCAATCACCATCTTCACGTCCAAAACTCCAGCCCCTCCAAACCACCACTACCACCAAATCCCTCATTCGGCGCCGCCAGTTTCAAAGAACTGGGAGCTACTCGAACCGTCGAAGTCGTCGTGTACATTGCTATCGGCATCATGGGGACTGTAGAGACTTTCACTTGGTCGAAGTTCTTGTGGGCGAAGTTTGGTCCGAAGGATGTCGAGATTGAGGCAAGGCCAGAGAAGTAAAATTTTCTGCGATCCTTGGTTGTACAAGGGAGTCAGTTGTTTCGCGTCTATTATGCAACATTGAGTCTTTGCATTATGAATTTAGAAGCTTTGGAGTTGATGACGACCCGGATTGGGATTCATGGTTCGCTGTTAATACCCCGCTCTGGTTTTTGGGAAGAGGATAATCTCAACTTTTCGATGCAAGGTTCCTGACCGAGGTCAGCACAATTATCACGATCTTGAACGCAGTTTCAAACAATCACCTCCTCAATGTTGGAGACTTCGATTCATCCAGCTGAGATTTATATGCTGTGCTCCTTATTCGAGGAACAAAGGTTTCTATCGCTTCTCCACCCTCGTCAAATACCCCAATACCTTCTCCGCCAAAAACCTCCTCGGCTCAGCTTGATCATCATTGCTGAGAGCATGACTGGCATTAGGAATGACAGCCGTGAACTCCTCATCCCAAACCTTCCCCTTTCCAACCCTCTCACCCCCCTCATCAGCAGCTTTCTGCCACCTCCTCATCAAAGCCTCCTTATCAACATAATCCGGCACACTCTGATCCTTCCCCGAATACAGCACCATCAATTTTCCCCTCAACAGTTTTCTCTCAGCCACCATGCCAAACGTCGTCTTCAAATGCTCATCGCTCAAATCCGAACTGAACAAATCATCCTCCCCTGGCTTCTCAGGACTATCCGGACTACACAGACTCAGAAACCTCCGAAAGCTAACAGGATGTGGATAAATCACACTCGAGAGCCTCAACGGCGCCATGTTGTCTCCATCTTCAGGCTTTGACTCTCTAGCAAGCTTTAACAACTCTTCGTAAATAGCCTGCATTTCCGCTGGAGTCTTCTCTCCAAACCCTTCCTGGCAGATCCAATGGATAGCTTGGCGGTCACTGACGGGCGCTTGCATGATCGCACCGTCCAGCACAGGTCGCTTAACATGCACGAGATCTTTATCGAAGATATATTTTCCTTGGTGAGGATTTTCCCGATGCAGATAATGTAGCACGACTTGACTTCCTGTTGAATGGCCCATGACGACCACCTTCCTCTTCTCATCCGCATTCTTGGCTTGTGACGCTTTATATTCTGAGATATATGATATACACTCCGCGAGCTCATCTGTGTCGCGATCGAGATGACCAGTCCCCCATTGTCCATATGAGGAGGAGAGGTTGAGCGTGAAGAGGGACCAGGGCGTTGGTGAGAGGGCAGTGACGAGATCGCTCATGTAGGATGTCGTTGCAAGGCCATCGCCAAGGCCGCCGATGAAGATTATGGCGTGAGGTTTGGGGACGGAAGATGTGTATTCGAACGTGACGAGGGATTCGGTCTAGGGATGTTAGATTTTGAGATGAGAGGTAGAGGAGAAGGGAACGGTACATAGTGGTGGAGGATTCCTGGGAGGCCGCCTTTGGGCCAGAATTTGGAACCCATTTTGAAAATACTGCAATCTCAGGATACTGGATAGTTCCTAGGAGCAGCAATTGACAATTGTAGAAGATGACCTTCCAATGAGTTGCAGAGAGGCTCAGGCTGTCTGGAGCGATTTGCGGAATCTCAGGCTATGGAGGGGACGTCTAATGACACGAATTCTCTCTCTTGTGCCTAATCTGTTGAACTCTTCAACTTATTTGCTTCTTCTTCAATTACGACTCCCAGTGGCCGAAATCTTGGAATTTCTCCTAAGACCAACAAAATAATCGAATGACGACGGCGATTGTGACAGCTGTAGAGGAACCTAGGTACACAAGCTTGTGCCTGCATGCACATCAACCCCTCCATGCCCGCAGCATTCCATTCCACCCCACCACCGAAATCGGCAAATTCGCCATCTTTCACATGTCCCTTTCGCACTGGAAATTCCCACCTCCCAAAAACAAACACACGAAACATATCCTTGTACATAAGGTACGTAACGTAATAGACACCGGAACTTACGCCAGCACATCGTCCCCACTCCGCTGGTGCCGTTCCGCCCCACCCAGAAGAAAAAAATCAGATAAGATCCGTCACCCGATCAGATTAGATTTTCACCCACCCGAACGAAAACATTGTTCTTAGCGCAGCAAGCGAGCTCGCCATCGCCCCCCAGTTGGAAGGTACGATACAGGACTAGCGTGGGTGTATATAGTCAGAGCCAGAGGTTCCTCATCAATCAACAACCTGTTGCTCCCCCAATTATCTCCCCCCTCCCTATCCCTGTTAATAGGCTGTCGCTGCAGTCAGGGTGTAGGGAACTAGTTTGGATCTGATTAGATTCCGTAGCCCAAACGCCTTTTCTGCCTATGCCGTCCACTTCACTGCATACCTAGGTAAGGCAGCAAGGAAGGGTACGTTTAGAAGGGAGGCATTAAAGCCGAGAATGGCCGGCTGAGGTTCGGAAAAGTGATCTAAGATTTCGATGATTTGTCTAACGCGAATAGGTATCAGTTTGTTGGATTGCATCCTTTCTTTTCGGAGGAGTCAGAGCAGGGAAGTGAGTCGATGCCGGGTCTCGGATCTTGGATCTGGGACTTACGGGCGGCTGGGACTTGGGCTTTGAGAGACTCGTCAGGGTGCTGTGTTTTATCAGATTGACCAGTGACGATGCTATAAGCAGAAGGGGAGTATGAAGATATCGCTGAGAAAATTAGTTGGTGTTGCAAGAAAATACACCTGGAAAAGTCTTGTGGCCCGATGAGGACGGTAATTCGAAGCCCTGAGCGGAGAACTTCAAGACTATATTCTTATCTTGTGAATATTCATTTGCAATCCATTTATATCTAATCATCTCTCTTTCATACTTGAAGAATCTCATTCCGCAACAGTCTGATGCATCACATTCGCCCTGTAACTCTCACTCCTTCCAAGCAACTCTTCGTGGCTCCCACTATCCACACATTTCCCCTCCTCAATTAAGAAAATCACATCCGCTTTCCTAATAGTATGTAGCCGGTGCGCAATCGCAATAACCGTAATCCCCTTTGCTGCCCTACTCAACCCATCCTGCAACAATCTCTCACTCTCCGCATCTAACGCACTTGTCGACTCATCCAGAATCAACAGACTCGGCTTCCTCACCAACGCTCTCGCAATCGACAGTCTCTGCTTCTGCCCCCCAGAGAACTGATTCCCATTAGGTCCGCAGAGAGTGGAGTATCCTTCTGGAAGAGCCATAATCGTATCGTGGATGTTGGCTAGTTTGCAAGCTTCGTCGATAGAGGCGCGACTGACGGCGTGGCCAGGTCGTGCGCCAAGACCGATGTTGAATTCGATGCTGCCTTCGAAGAGGACGCTTTCTTGGGGGACAAGGGCGATATTGTCGCGGAATGTGACGGAGCGTTGTTTGGTAATGTCGACGCCATCGATAAGTATGCCGCCTGAGGATGGAGTGTACAACCTTTCGACGAGGGAAATGATTGTTGATTTTCCTGCCCCACTTGGTCCGACAAGCGCGTAGAACTTGCCTGGTCTTATATCGATTGACAGGCCGTTCAGGACTTTGATATCAGGACGAGCGGGGTATGAGAAATGAACGTCGCGAAGCTGAACACTTGATGCTTGGGTATTTGGTGCGGACAATTGCTTCTCGCCTGTAGCTTCAACATCTGTGATAAGCTTCCCGACATTTCCTTGCATCTTGTCAGATCCTATCTCGATCAAGCTCAGAATCCTAGCCATTGCTGCTCGCGCACTGGACAGTTCAGGTGCGAGGGCAAACATCTGACTCCACAGGAGAGCGCTGACTAGAAGCGAGAATACCACGATCAAGAACTGAGTCTGTGTGTAATTGCCTGAGATGATCTGTTTGGATCCCCACCAGTAGGCGAGAGCATTGACGAGGTTTCCAAGGAAGTACGTAAGTGCTTGCCATAAACTTGCTTGAACTGTGACTCTGAAAGTCTCTTTGCGTGGCCCTCTGAGTGATTTTCGGTACGTCTGTAGTGTCTCTTCTTCCAGAGAGAAAGAAGCGATAGTCTTGATGGATGTGATTGCTTCGACACCGATATCGACTGACTTCGTGTATGCCGTCTCATGTTTCTGTTCAAATTGACCGAGAACTCGAAGTTCCATCAGACCAGCGCCAAGAAGCAGTGGCACCAATGCCAAGCAGACCAATGCTATCCTCCAGGCAATGATGTGTGTCAGTATAATAGCTGCGATGAGGTTGACTGTGATAGAGAAGAGTGTGCCAACGACAGAGCCACTCAGTCCAGCCAATGCATTGCCATCTCTTGTGATATAAGAGAGCAACATCGCAGGAGTTCGACCCTTCGATTGGTGCCATTGAAGATCCTGCTCCATCAACGACCTGAATGAAAGAACACGAACCGAGAAAACAGTCTTCTCTGAAACCCAACCGAAGCCTGCCCAGCTGATCAAATTCGCGAAGAACTCAATAATAGCTAGTACAAAGAACATGAGTCCGTAGAATTCACCCTTGCTTCGGATACTGTCTGCACTCTTGCAAGGGTTCAAAGTTCCGACTGTGTTTCCAAAGATGACTGCTTCGGCAGAGAATGCACCACCGACGGCTGTAGAGCCGAGAAGAGCGATGAAGATCATAATCAGTTGGGGTCGTATGGCAGGTGCGTATCCTTTGACTAGTGACCAGAGGGTTTTGGATGCAGTTTCGGGTTCTTCTTCTTCTTCTTCGGGCTCAATAGCTGCTTCGCTTACTATTAATTCGCTTTTCTCTGCATCCATCGAGAGACTATTTTCGGTATCAATGTCCGTCAACGACTCCACATCAGACTTGCTGATGCCATCCGAGTTTGTCTTTGTAGGATTGGCTCCCATAGTCTGTAATCTGACAAGTTCGGCATATGATCCATTCTTTGCCATCAATGCTGAGTGGGTTCCCTGCTCCAAAATGTGTCCTTTGTGCATGACGATGATGTTGTCTGCGTTGGTGATGGTTGAAAGACGATGCGCAATTGAGATCATGGTTCTGCCACTTGAAATCCCTGCAATTGCTCTTTGAATACGTTGCTCACTTCTCGAGTCGAGAGATGCCGTGGCTTCGTCTAGAATCAGAACTGCGGGGTCCTTGACGAGGGCTCTGGCCAAAGAAACCCGCTGCTTCTGACCACCACTGATCAGTCTTCCACTTGATCCTACAACTGTGCCATATCCATATTGTAATGCAACGATGAAAGCATCTGCATCTGCAAGTGCTGCAGCATTTTGGACCAATTTGACAATTTCGACCACTCCTGGACCAGCGTTTTCAGCTGCCACTTGAAGATCCTGACCTTCTCGGACTGCGCTTGCCAAATCTGCCAAGGAGGACCCAAGAAGTGTTGCCTTCAAATGCGTATGATTAGGATTGCTCGAATTGATCAGCCCATGTGCGATATTTTCCAGCAGCGATCGGTCCAAAAGCGAAGGTTCCTGTTGAACCAAGCTGAGAAAGCTCCTTAAGTCATGAACATTGACATCTTTTAGGTCATGGCCGTCGAATAAAATATGCCCCTCGGTTGGATCATACAATCTCCCAACTAAAGCTGCAATAGTTGATTTTCCACTTCCGGACTGTCCGACAATGGCTGTATGCTTATTGACTGGGATACTGAGATTGATCTTGTCCAGAACCGTGATCTCAGGTCTAGAAGGATAAGTGAATGAGACATCCCTGAACTCAAAACCAGCTTCCGATTGTGTGAGTCGAAGTCCGGATCCGCTTGTGCCGTCGATGGTTGGGACTCGGTCGATATCTCCGGTCAATTTTTGGTACGAAGCAACAGCTGCCACGAACATATGGAGAAATGGGGCGACTTGACTGAGGAGGAGAGAGGCTATCACATGTTAGAATTGTCGCTCGGACGAGTCGCGTAGCTTACCTTCAACCAGGATGAAAATAACTGTGAAAACAGCTCCGACCGTGGTTCCTCCATTATCTCGACGCACTGCAGCCGCAATCTGCTTACTTCCCTGCCAAAAAGCAAGACCATTGGCAGAGTAGGCAACAAAATACAGCACTCCAGATTGTATTCCAACTGCCGTAGCCTTTTTCAGTCCCTCTTGTTCGGAAGCTTTAAGCTCCTTGGAGAATTTCTCTTCCAGTCGAGTATGAGCTCCGAAAGCTTGAACCACAACGATGTTCGAAAGAGCTTCTGAAGCGATGGACGAAGCTGTTGCAGCATAATCTGACATGAGACCGGAGTACTTCTCGATGTAATGACTTCCAACGAATGACATCAGGAAGTATGCTGGGATCAGCGAGATGAGCATTGCTGCCAGCTTCGTATCCTTGATGAAAGCCACAACATAGGCAGTGACAAAGAATGAGAAACTGGACAAACATATTCCGACCTTCTCAGAGGTTCCAGATCGGATTGCTTGAATGTCGGTGTTGAGTCGAGATGCGACTTCTCCAGGAGGCAAATTGTCGAAGAACAATGGTTCCTGACGGAGCAGGTTCTGCAGATAAGTTTCCCTCAGTCTCTGAGCAAGCCGAGCTCCCGTCAGTGTCCAACATAGCAAGTGAGCGTAGATCAGAACGAATTGAGCGATTGCCAGGTACACGATCAGGAGGATTTTGCTGTTGACATCTTTCTGCTCGTCATCTCCAGAACTCGTCTCTGCTTGATCACATGTTGCTGCATTGAAGTCGTCGAGAAGTTGACCGAAAATGATACCGATGATTGGGAAGGGGATTCCAGAGCCAATGGCTGAAACGATAGCTACCAGAAGAGTTCCAATGTCGCGTGGCGATGGATTTCCGGCGAGAAGTAGCTTGGGATAGCCCGCGAGTTGTTTGATGAAGGCCATTGCGGTCGTCCACTTTGGTGTCAACTCGTTCAAACACAGCTCTCAAAATATTGGCGTTGAATGGAGGAAGACTCGAATCCTCACGAACAGGAAAGATCTCCGAAGATTCAGACCAAGCTTCGTCCCAAGGGCCCATCAATGGATTGTACTGCATATCTTTGGCTAGGCAAATGCTTGAGTGGACTTGGTTCTCGCATGGTTCGGTACCATGGTACCGCCTGCATGAATGGATACCTACATCCAAACGCTGTCATTTCAGCTAGACGCTTTACGAAAAGCACCCTTGATCGAACTTCCCTTTGTGATCTTTGGCCGAGATGGTCTTTCGGGTGTCATGCATGCATCATGCAGCAAGCAGCCACCCAACGATGTTGCCATGGGCCCACACTATCCGATCAACATGACGGGATTGGACGAAGGCGAAGAAAATTTTCATCTGATAAGATTAGATAAAATCCTATCCCATCAATAAGTGGGTTTACATTCAGCTGGACTGACCTTCCTGAATTAAAATAGCTGCGCTGCGAGAACGAAGGGTGTGCAAAGAGCAAAGCCACAGGGGTTAACCCGTCCATTGCGATATCGGAAGTCGCTGGATCGATCAGAAGAAGTGGAATTTTGAGGGCTTAAACAATCCCAAGAAAGCTTGCCGCTTTTGATCCTCTTGCTTCAGGCTTGTGAAGTTTGACTGGCCACAGGAACTGGATCGACAGTAAGGTTGGCCTGGCTCAGGATGGTTGTCTGCCGCCCACAGCGCTGGAGCCATGGCCTGAGATTGACTAGGATATTGGGTTGTGGTAGAGATGTGGTCTGGAGCAGGTATTTAGAGACTGTGTATACAGCTGTCTCGGTGGTTGTTGTAGTGACTGCTTGTGTTGCAGACGGGAACAGGGAGAAGACAAACGAGAAGTAGGAGGCAAGATTCGCGTGTCAGGTTCTCAGCTAGATGGACGTGAGAGAAGATGGAGAACATTACTGCTGCAGGTTCAGGTTCTCACAGAGTAAAAGCCGGAGTTAAATCGTTCAAATTTCAAATTAATATCTAAATTGCCATGAATGCAAGCACTTCACTGAAAAACAGAACTCCTCCACATTCGAACAGAAAAATCATCGTTGTCGTAACACGTGACCGTTCTGACTGCACCTGTTCGCGGTGACGCGTCGGGCAAAAATGATCATTTCAATCTCCCCATCACTCACAGCCCTCAACGTCCCCGATTATACGCGCTGTTCTGGCGTAGCTACATCAGTCTGTCCCAAATGTCCCTCAAACACCTTCTCGTTGAGCAGCACGTGGTCTCTCCTTGACGCCAACTCCTCCACCGTCGCGGCGAGCTCATCAAGGCTCGAGTCGACGAACTGGATATCCCTCACACTTCCGACCACCCCAACATAAGTCTTTCCTTCTCGAACAAACGAGACAACCTTCAAAGGATTCGGCGCATCGCCATGAGGATTCAGAATCTCCACTCTCGCTGTGCCGTCCGCGAAAGGCATGGTATCAAAATCCTCAAAGTCCTGATGATGAACGATCGAATCGAAGAATCTGACAACACCTGGCCATTCCGTACATTTCTTTGAGATCTTCTCAAAGCCAAGGAAGTCGTGTGCTGATGATCCGGCACTTTGACTCTGCACGAACTTAAGAAGATCCATGGCTGTCCATCCAGCTTCAAATGTTACTCGGATTGGCGTGAATTGATAGCATGGACCCATCACATTCTCGATATTTGCAAGTTCGACGTTTCTACCGGAGGTGATACCACCGAAGGTTACATCTGGCTTCTGGAGACGTCGAGCAAGAACCAACGACCATGCGGCCGTGAGCAAGTTCGCTGTAGTGATCTCGTCGGGTCGTTGCGAGATGTCGACGGCTTTAGTCTGGAATATGGCCTTATCCGTTGATTGGACTGAAGTTCCCTCGACGACGGATAGTGTTGAATCTGCCAAGAGATTGCGCCAGTACGAGATTGCCTTTGTTTGGACGCCATCATCGCCAATTCGGGCCATGTATGAGGAAAAGGGCTCGGATTCCTCGACCTTACCTCCCCTGTACAACGCCTCCAGATCTCGAAGAACCATTGGCAATGAGTTACCATCATATTGAGCATGCGATAGACCAATGATCAGGCATTCGCTTTCCTGGCCTTCAACATGGAGTATTTTCAAGAATGAAGAGCCGAGCTTGAACTCTGATTCGATCTCGGCCGTGCAAAGCTCGTTAACATACTTTCCAACATCTCCTTGAGTCTGATGTGTGGTCACATGAGAATCCAGATTCTCTATTACGACCTGTAAGAAACACGATTCGTGCTCGATGAAGACGGTGCGCAGAATATCATGGGTCTTGACCAAGTCTTTGCATGCACCGAAGAGTTTCTCTCGATCGATTCCTTTGTCAAGATACAACATTGTGTATTGCATCGACGTACGTGGCGCCTGGACTGTTCCTCTGATATCGAGGGCTTGTGGATCTGTCACTAATAGAACATCTTTGACAACCCATGTCGAATCTGCAAGTTTTGGCCGAACGACCTCGGACAAGAACAGCTCGACATCAGAAATCGGCAGAGTTGAGAATGGCTTGTAGGGCTGGATCTTTTGCTCTGCCACCTGGTTGACTTTCAGAACCTTCGCAGCATCACCGAGACGCATATGGTTGAAGATGTCTGAAACTGATAACGCATGCCCCTGGGTTCGGAGACTGGCCGCCAATTTCATCGCCAGGACGGAATCTCCCCCGAGTCGGAAGAAATTATCCTCGACATCAATCTGTGCCGGATTCATGCCCAGAATATTTGCCCACGCAGTCCGAAGGATATCTTCCGTTGCGGTCAGAATGCTCTCTGCCGTCCTTAGCCAAGCCCTTGTCAATCCGGTAGCCAGCTGCGTAAAAATGTTTTGAGGGATTCTGGAGGCGAGCTGATTGAGCATCGCATGATCAATCGGGCCCTCGTCAAATGGTAGTCTGTTGACCACCACGTAAGATGATGGGACCATGTGCGATGGCAAAGATTTCTCGATGGACTTGTCCAGCTTCTTGATGGCTTCAGCAAGACTGACTGACACCTTGGCCAAGACAATACTCTGCAGACCAGAATCGCAAGTGACTTCGTGCGATGCCGACAAGAGCTCGATCTCTTCGTCGGCTTCGTCGACTCCCTGCCCCTCGATGAATATAATCAAATCTGGGTCCTCTTGTTCTGATGAAGTGGATATGGCTGCGGCAGATCGAACGTTCCCAGGAAGATGTCTCTCCACATGAAATTCAAGACCTGAGATATCCACAGCATTGCCTTGGTTTTGTAGGATGTTCTCCTTGCGACCGACGAAAACCAGACTGCCATCTTCCCGTAACTCGACCATGTCGCCTGTCGACTGGACTTTTCCACTACGACCAGGATATTCTGAGCTTCCAGCCACCAGCCAGTCAGGAGACTCAATGCCTTCACCCGGGATAGCTCCTTCAAACCAAAGCTCGCCCGCACAGCCGATGGGGGACAAGAGTGATAGATTTCGAGGGTCGCATACCCATGGGATGGTTGCTCGTGGATAGAAAGCTCCTGGTTGTACCGATGTATGTGCTTGAAGTTTGGAAGCATTCAGAACTAACGGTGGTGTCTGGTTCCACTGCCAAATTCTGTTCAATTCAGCTTCAGGCAAGAGAGATACCTCGGTTAATTTCCTTGACAAGTCGTTTGACAATTCAGAGCAGGCCACTTCAAGCTGTGCAAGTACTCGCTCCATTTGAGCAAATTCAATCAAACTGCTGTCAAAATTTGCGCAAACTCTCAACCCGCCTTTGCGAATCCCGAAAGCGACCATGAGCGGGTATGGATTGAAATGAAGTGCTTCACGTACAACATCACCATACTCAAACCCAAGCTCACTCCCAGCATACTCTGGTTCTGGCTGGATCACCAACCCTGTTCCTGCCTCAGACGCATGTTGGGCATCTGTGCTGACCTTCCGAATGTTCTGCCATCCCATGTGTTGATATGGAGTACGGGCAAGGATGCTCTGCTGGACAGTCTGTAGATACAATTCGATTGTTGTCGTGCGATGGATGCGAATCCGTACAGGAACAGTTGCGATCAACGGACCTACAATTCCCTCGACTCCAGGTAGTGGGATGTCTCGACCAGTCAAGGTCTCGCCAAACACAACATCATCACTTCCAGAGTATTGTGATGCCACCAGAGCCCAAGCACCACGAATCAGAGTGGCCATGGTGAACGGTGAGCCAGCCACCGTCTCGGGCGATATCTGGTGCTCGAGGAATGAATCCGGCGTCGCTAGATAATCCCTGAATGGAAGTCGTGGAAATTGTGGCCCCACAGCACCATCTAATTCTCGCCGCCAGAAAACCTGCATCGCAACTTCGTCTGTGTCTCGGACATACTTGACAAAATCTTTCATCTGCGCTTGTAATTCGAAGGGCTGATATTGCAAAGCATTGCTCACATTCTTCAGCACCAAAGGCTCCGACCATCCGTCGTAGAGAACGTGATGGACAGTCCAAACCATGTACTGCTTTCCGTTCGAATCGACGATTGCGTATCGAGCTAGATCTTGCCCGAGCTCCATCCTTTCCAAACGGTCATCTTCGAGGTATTTTGGCAGATCAGTCGCAGTTCTCCAGGATACGCTCCCCTTTAGCACCACTTGCCGCAAACCAGGTCCCGAGAGCTGTGCCAAGCGGGTCCGTAGGATGGGACTTGCTACTACGACATCTTCCCATGCTTTCTTCCAAGCGTCGAGGCTGATTGTGTCAGGTATACAGGCTACCCTCTGGGCAATATACGCTTTGCTCGATCGAATAGAAAAGGTGAAGAGAGATTCTTGGGTAGGTGTGCAAGGATAAATATCCTCGACAGCTGATGGTTCTGATCCGCATGCTTGTGCTGCTTCAATGGATGCGCTCTCGACATCTTGAGATACCATGGAGAAGGCTTCAGTTTCTACCTTTTCCTCGGAACTGCTGATCTTGACAGTGCTTGCCATCGCCTCAAGCGTAGGATTGCCAAATGTGCTGGTTACTGAGAGGTCAAGGCCTTGTATTCTGCAGACGGACACTAATTTTATGGCGGTCAGAGACTCGCCACCGAGCGCAAAAAAGTTGTCTTCCAGCCTGATGGTTTCCGGGTCAATCTTCAACACCTCACCCCATCCCTGCCGCAGTCGCTTCTCCAGATCCTTCAATTCCCGGGACGGGGCACTGGAAGAGTCTTGGTCCAGCTGCCGTAAGTCAACCGTCGCGCCAAAAGCCCGTAGCCTTTTCCTGTCTGTCTTTCCTGAGATCAAAACAGGTATGTAATTTGGTGGTATATATGCATTCGGTACCATGTACCTTGGCAAAGTCTCCTTAACGTCTGCATCGGCTTTCGCCAAAGCCAGACGGAGATCCTCAGACAATTCTCCCAGCTTCAGTTCCTCGTTTCCCAGTCCTTTCGTCGATTGAGGTGCGACAAAAGCTACCAAAGTTGGTTGGCCTCCTGTTCCCTGTGGTGTGATGACTTCTGCAATAACATTCACATCAGCGGGAAGCCTCGCTTTGAGTTGACTCTCTATCTCGCTCAGTTCAACACGCTGTCCACGCAATTTCACTTGCGTATCTTGCCTTCCAACAAATACGATATTTCCAGATCCATCTGGATCGTACATGCCGATATCTCCAGACTTGTACAGACGGCCTGTCCGACCCGGGAAACCATCATGGCCAGCAGTAAGCCAGGGTGGGTCATTAATAAATGCAGCTGCAGTCTTTTCGGGATCATTCAAGTACCCTTGTCCAACAATTGGACCCTCAACAAGCAATTCTCCCACAGCTCCGACGGGCATCAACCGGTTGTGGTCATTGGGATCAACGATCCAGATGGCTGCACCATTGCCAGGTCCAATGGAGATATAATATCTGCCAGTTGCAGCACTGCTGTTCACTGTACACCCAATCGTACATTCACAAGGACCATATCCAATAATTATCCTGGTGACCTGACCCCAGAAATTAACATCTCGAGGCGAAGCAGCTTCTCCTCCAAGTCCGAGTCCGCTCAGCGAGGCAATAACATCCGGCTCCAGGATGCGGGCGACCGACGGCGTCAGACCCGCATAGTTGACTCGCATTCTCCGCATCGCTCCATTGATATCGTTTAGACGATCCTCGTCCGATGGGATACACAGACATCCACCATTGCCGAGAGTGAGTAGCATACTGTCGATACTGACATCGAATGCGTAGGATGCGAAATCCAGCACTCTAGATTCTTCCGTGTATCCAACAGCTTTTGCTCTAGGAATCGCACTACTCGTGTACGTCTCATGCGAGATCTTCACACCTTTCGGTGTTCCAGTACTTCCAGAAGTGAAGATGATATACATCAGCGCATCAGATGGGACTTCCTCCAACGCAGGCAGATCCTCATCTTTTTGAAACGCCTCTTCATCAACCACCAGCATTTGACCTTCCGGCAGAATCTCTCTTGCCAAATCCTGTTGCTTCCGCGAACACACAATCATCTGCGCGCCAACCTGATCCCGCATATTCTGCAGCCTCGCAACTGGAAGCGATGGATCCATCATTACCATCGTCGCACCAGCTTTCATGACCGCCAGGACAGCGACGATCGTCCATCGTGATTTCTCGAAGCACACTGGCATGAAATCGTGTAGTTTCACGCCCATTTCGCGCAACCTTCCGGCAGCAATACTCGAGTACCGATCGACTTGAGCATAAGTTAGATCGCCGTCCCACGACGCTATGGCCATTTTGTCTTGATGCGATGTTGCGCGTGAGGAGATCATGGTGTGCATGCACGAGTTGTATGTTGGTGGAAGTGGTGACGTCCAGCTCCATATTGAGGAGAGATCACTCGCTGTTGGAGCGAGAAGTGATGAGATTGTGGCAGCCGGGGAAGATATACAGGCGTTTATTGTATCGACAAATGTGGAGATGTGATGTAATATTGTGAAAGGAAGCATATTATGGGGGTATCGTACGGCTTGGATCTCAAGCATGCCGGCTTGAAAGCGAATCTCAAGTTGCAGGCCCTTCATTCAAGTGAGCAACGTACCACTCATTCGGGGGAATTCGTTCTCACCTCCTTCTCGTCTCCCGCTAATGAAACACTAGTTAGTAGCAACGAAGCATTCTTCGACTCCGCAGTCCTCGGCGCAACATCCTGTATATACCTCGATATCGCGGCACTGGTTTCCTCGACCGTACTTTCCAGCCCTGGCGTCACCTCCTCCATCTTCAAGCATTGCATCACGGTTTCTTGTTCCGCGCCATCTTCGCGGGAGAGGTACGCCCAGTCGAAGTTTACCGTTCCTTCGCGTGTGCGCAGGAGGACGATAAGCCAGGATAGGAGAATGACTTCTTCCCGACAGTTTGTTGGTGTTGGATGGTCGATTGAAGCTGTGAGACTTGGAATCTCAAATATTCTGGTGTTTTGAATGCCGTACTCGTTTTCTGGCCAAGTCACCAGTTCTTCGACTTGAATTGACCCCATCGCAAAAGCGGTACAGTTTGTCAATCTCTTGTCTGTTTACTTCATTTGTTTCGTTTGATCGCTTTCTTCAAGTGACGGTCCCAAATATCAATTCTGATCGCAGGGTATCAATTATATAAACCAACCAGCTATTTTTCATCAGTCAGTCATTTTCTTCTCATTTGCCAACCAAAATACAGGGTGCGCAGCCCAGTTTCCAGATCGACGGTGACAAAAGCAAACGCAGCCAAAGGAATGAACATACCAACCAGCTGTTGCAGAGTATCTATTCGCTCAACACATCTCACAGGACAATCATGAAAGCAGCAAAGTCAAAAGCGGGCAGCTATCTGCTAGCCCTCCTCAAGTAGCCCCTCCATCTCAGCCGTCATCCCCTGCATGAAGAAATGATGCACGGAACGAACGATATCTGACAAGCACCCTCGCTACGATCCGCAGTACCACCTCCCTACCTAGGTAAGTGCCGATCGGTAGCTAGCAACATCCATACTGTACCTTGATAGTGGGGGTGGAATCTGCATCAAGCAGCTGTTAAAGCAGCATTGTGTCGTCAAACTAGCTTGACTATCGAGCTAGACACCCGAGCCGGAGCGGACTCCACTATGATATTGGAGGGGTACGCATAGTAAGTGCTGCATACGCATGTGTCTAGTTAACATGTTTCTGTTCCCTGTCAGTCGAGGAAATCATTGATCTCGATACACATGCTACTTCTCTGCGATTCAGAAGTCCAGAAGCCGAGATCGGGGCGGGTAGAGACGGGGACAATCTCCATGCTCGTTGGACTCCAGAAAGCGCCCGTTCAATAGTTGCCTTGGTCCAAGCAAAAGAAAACACGGTACCACTCATCTTTCGGCAATCATCCAGACTTCAGAAGCCATGGATCATGTGGGGTAAGTAAGTGTCATAAAGCCCTCTTCCAAGATTCCAAGAACTTCCTGGAGCCCGAGGAGCGTTCGCATATCCAGCTGCACAGTCACAGGTGGTGTGGAGCTAGCTCTCACGCAATCATTCTACGACTCGCAGATCAAACGCACACAACGTCTAGCTCAAAAAAACAAATCAAAAACTTAAACCTTGACCTTGATTCCATGATATCCCGAAGTGTAGACGCCGAGTAAAGCGGGCAGATCTCGGCGCACGGGAAGCAAGCGGGATGCGCGAATTTCGGCGGATCTGATAACCTAAAAAAAAATCTAATCAGATTAGATGGCACGGATCGATTGGTTGGCTCCAAGGAAGGGGGTGTGTCCAGCATGCAGCAAGTGGGGAGCTCCGATGCAGAGCCGGTGGATGCTGGGTTATGAACGTAGGGATTGAGGGCTGATGAAAATTCTGCAAAGGAGGGCTGGCTCGGTTGCTTGGCGGAGGATTGAGGAAGTTTGGAGACTTGAGGTGGAAAGGCTGCTCTGGGCAACGGAGCTGATTCGGAAACGGACGAGACCTGACACAAGAAGGAATCTGGACTTCACAATTCAGATATTTTGAACTTTCTTGATGACTGAAGTCTCAATTACCTCGAGACTTCTTTGAGTCACCAAGAGTGTCGGGATCGATGGGAAAGCAGCCTCTAAACTGTTCCTGCAGAGCATCGCTTATCATTTACTACACGGACTCCGATGCCTTCTTGACAGATGCAGACTCAAGGTTCGGTCGTCCCAAAGCATCGCGCAGCCGACGGCTTGCTTCCCAAGTCTTAACCACGATAATACTCTGGACGTGGTCTAACAAACGGTATCCACACCAAACCACATCGAAGTGGACGACGCCCCTGCCCTGTCTGGATGCAGGCGGTTCGAGCGGCATCATCTAATCTTATCAGATGACCCTCCCTTCGGTCCAAGAAAAAAAGCAAAGCTTGTCGGCAACACAAGCTCATCAAAGAGATCCCTTGGGAGAAGATGAGCGGCGCAGAAGCTTGAGTCGTGACAAGCAATCGGGGTCCGTCTATGACCAACTGTCCCAGCATCCAAACTTGTGGACTCTCAAAAGCAAAATGTTCTCTCCACCAACACTTCTCGGCTGAAGTTCCAATCCAAGTCTGGCGCGAAAATATCGAATCTGATTAGATAAAAAGTTTCCTGTTGCTAAATTGCTCCCCCACATCGTTCAATATACCGCCACCAATGGATACCACCGAACGAGCCGTCCCCTACTTTGGTGGCGTGTCCTTCTCGGGCAACCGTTCTCAATCCCTGCAAGGCCTATGAAATACAATTGCGAAAAGCCTCGAAAGCCTCAACACTCTCCAAGAAACCAGTAGAAACTAGACCTCAGTTCAACATCCAGCCCCGTCGAATTCCAAGAGATAGAGAGCTTCAAATCCTTCAAATCTGGTCCCGATCTCGGATGTCAATTCCTTGTTCTCACATGGCTGTGTTGGTATCCGCGGGTATGGACTCGCCATGCAGGCCAGTGGAGCTCGTCCCAATCCTTTCCGATGGGTCTGCTCTCGATCTACTGCGTCTGCGTCGCCAAGTCTAGGGAGTACTAGAAGCTAAGCTCCCCTGCCTTTCCTCAGAGCTTTGCTTCCCTTCACGATCACACAGCATCAACGAAACAGCCATGTCAGCTTCAACCTTCTCGAGATTCAAGCCAGACTTCCTTCGAAAGAAGGAGGAGCTTGCTCCTGTGGATGCGAGCCTACCGGTTGATGACAAGAATCCTGCCACAGATGGTATTGCGCCAGCCCAGGAAGCTGGAAATGATGACCCTGAGAAGGATGTCGTTCCTGCTGAGGATGCGCAACGTGGTGTTCAGCAAGTTGAGGCTGTTACCCTGACTTGGACGAAACCATACCTGATTGCCGTATTTGTCAAGTAAGTTCTCCAATATGCACAAATCTCCAGAACTGACGTCGTGCAGTATGTGGATGTTGTACTTCGTCAACGCCATGCAATCGTCCATTCTGTACAATCTCGTACCTTTCGCAACCAGTGCTTTCGAGGCCCATTCCTTGTTGACGATCATCTATATTGTTTCCAACAGTATGACTGCAGCGATCTACATCCCACTTGCCAAGATGTTGGATATCTGGGGTCGTGCTGAGGGGTTCCTTCTCATGGTCGCATTTGCTACATTGGGAATGATTCTTATGGCTTCCAGTAATGGACTCACCACTTTCTGCGTTGCTCAGGTATTCTTCTCACTCTCAAATCATTTCTTAGCTAATTATCCAGGTTTTCTACTCCATCGGATTCGGAGGTTTGATCTACAGCGTCGATGTCATCACAGCCGATGTGTCCAAGCTCAAGAATCGAGGACTGGCATACGCCTTTACCTCCAGTCCTTACATCATCACGGCCTTTGCTGGCGCCAAGGTCTCAGATGAATTCTACTACAAAGTCAGCTGGAGATGGGGTTTCGGAGCTTTCTCCATCATCCTCCCATTCGTCGCTGCACCGCTCTTCTTCATCTTGAAGCTTCACCTCAAGAAAGCAGAGGCTCATGGTCTTGTTGTTCGTGAACGTAGCGGTCGAACCTTGACTCAGAACATCTGGTTCTACGTCCAGGAGTTTGATGGTAAGTCTCCTTTTCGGTCGAGAAAACTCAACTTACCATCCCAGCCCTCGGAGTCTTTCTCTTCGCCTCCGGATTGACCATCTTCCTGCTCCCATTTACCCTCGCAGACACCGCTCCGCAAGGCTGGAAATCCGGCTACATAATTGCCATGATCGTCGTCGGTTTCGTCCTCCTTGTACTCTTTGGCCTACACGAATCCTTCCTCGCTAAACAGCCTTTCCTCAATGTCCACCTCCTCACAAACCGCACCGTCATCGGCGCCTGTTGCCTCTGCACCACGTATCAAATCTCCTACTACTGCTGGAACTCTTACTTCTCTTCCTTCCTCCAAGTCGTCTCAAACCTCACTCTCGCAGAAGCCGGATACGTAGGCTCCACCTTTGACGTTCTGTCCGGCGCTCTTCTCCTCGGCGTCGGCCTCATCATCCGCAAGACAGGCTACTTCAAATGGCTGCTCTACTTCGCCGTCCCGTTGTACATCTTCGCCCAAGGCCTGATGATTCACTTCCGCAAACCAAACCAATATATCGGCTACGTCGTCATGTGCCAGATCTTCATCTCGGTAGGCGGCGCCATAATCATTATCTGCGAACAACTCGCCGTGCTCGCCGCCTCGGACCATCAGCACGTCGCAGCCGTTCTCGCCCTCCTCTACGTATCAGGCAATATCGGCGGCGCGATCGGCAACTCGATCTGTGGTGCCATCTGGACGAATACGTTCCCCGGTGCGCTGATGCGGTTCTTGCCTGAGGAGGCGCAGGCGGATTTCGATACTATTTATGGGGATCTGGATGCGCAGTTGAGTTATGAGGTGGGGAGTGCGACGAGGATTGGCATCCAGAAGGCGTATGGGTATGCGCAGGAGAAGATGCTGATTGCGGGGACGTGTATTATGGTTCTTGCTTTTGTGTGGGTTTCCTTGATTAGGAATATCAATGTGGCGAAGATTGCGCAGACGAAGGGGACAGTGTTCTAAGGGATTGTTGTTCAGATGGGAGTAGCAAGAACTGCGGGTGGGGTGGGTTGGTCATGATGACTCGGATCCAACGAGATAAATGATCAACAATCGTTCTAATATCTGGTCGTAGCTGCAATTGCTGATGAAAGTTCGAAAAGAGGAACTATCTAAGCCAGATGTACACTATCAGCACTCGTGAGAACCGATTCATTGTAACCTCTTTCTACGTCGTCGCTCTTGTAAATCATGGTAATGCCGATGTACAGAAACACAGCTAAAACATCTCGAATCCAAAATTATCATACTTAGAAACAAAATCTGTAAATCAAATCTAATTAAGACCGATCACAATATGTTCAGTTGACATTCTCGTTAACAAGGGAAGTAGAAAATGTGCGAGTTTGTTGACTGATAAGCGAGAAAATACATGCCTACCAAGCAGAAAACCAGACCTGGCAATCTCTAGTTCCTTCCATATTTGCTTGAAACGCTGGAGGGCTGTGTATTTGGTCGTAACTTTTGTCGCTAGATAAATGGTAGGGCGTCTAACTTTTAGAAATCCAGATATGTGGGGAGGGTGGCGAGTTGCTTGGATAATTTCGTTGCTGAATCGTGAGCGACTTGCCACACGATTGACTGCTCTAAGGCAATAAATGCCAGTGAAACTTGGTAAGGGTTTTCAATTAGATTACTTGCAACAGCTTAAATTTCTAGCAATTAGTTTTTGTGCCATCAGGTCTCCTCCCCAAGACAGTCAATTTACATCAACACCACTATTCTCCATACGAAATACAGCCTAGCTGAACCTCCCTATCTTCTCAAAGCCCCTGTCTCCTCAACCACTCATTAACCATCCCAAACCCCTTCTCAGCACTATAATGCAACTGCCAACAATGCCCAGCATCCGGCACCACCAACCCGTCAAACACCCTCGCCCTCGGAAACAACTCCCTACTCCTCCCCAAATACCCCGTTTCCGGATCTCCACACTCACTCTCTCCCAGCAACCCCCCAAGCAAAATATTTACACCCAGTACATTACAAAAAATCGCATCATGCTGCCCCGTCGCGACAAGCACACTCCCTTCATACTTACTCGCCGTGTTGACACCGAATGCCAAAGTGGCTGCTTCACCAACTGTTATGGTGCCACGATTGGCGAAGTCGTAGTTGAATAGGGAGGAGTTGTATGTGTCTGGAGAGGAGAAGAAGAGAGCGCGGAAACCGGGGAGGGAGGAGATGGAGAGGTAGCCGAGGGGGAGGGATTTGTACTGTGGTTGCGTGAGGGTTAGGGAGGCGGGGAGGATGATGGCGGTGCCGAGGACGGTGGGGATGAGGGTTATGAAGGTGGAGGACCAGCCGGTTAGGATCAGCGAGGTTGGATCGCTGGGGTAAAGGGTTGCGAGGGCATTGCCGACTGTTGGATAATGAGTGTTAGTGGATGGTTTGCAGGCTTTGGAAGATTGGCTTATGTGGAGGAGGGAGGATGGGAAGCAGCAGCTAAGCGGAACGTACTGATTGAGCCGTAGCTGTGACCTACGTAGATGACCTTGGTGAATTTTCTACCTGCCAACGTTGAGGGGACAGTTCCCGCGCGGAGCTTCAAGATGATTTGATGGATGGTCTCGACTTCGATAGGATACCTGTTATTAAGGTCAGTATATCTCTTAGCTTGCAGTTCTCGAGCTAGAATAAGGAAAGACACGTACTGAACAGCCAGAATAGGATCAGGATGTGACGAATCTCCATTCCCCAGGCGGTCAATTGCAAGAGTTGGATATCCATCTTTCGAAGCAGCAGCTACCCACGAATACCGTTCATCAAACCCATCTCCCGTCCAATCTATCACATCAGAGTTAGTCGTCTTCCCTACTTATCTACCTCACTCTGTCAAAGCGGCAGAACTCACAAGCCCTCGTATAAGTCGCCCCATGAACAAGTAACTGCACCGTGTCTTTCCTTCTCTCCACCAACACTTCCGGCTCGCAATACGTGCCCACAATCGTAAATGTGTCTGTGATAAGGGAGTCGAACACCACAGCTCCCAAGGCTCCAACAAGGGACAGGAGAGATGTAGTCGTGAAGTCTGGTGGAAAATGTGCGTTGTGGGCTCTGACTGAGACGGGGATGGAGAGGGTTGTGCAGGTTGGGGAGGCGAGGATGAGGTGGAGGAGGGTGAGGGTGGAGAGAATAGTGGTGAGGAACATATTTGCAGTGAGTGCATTGAAGCCTGAGATTTCTAGGTGTTTTGTATAGAGTTGGGATGAGAAGTGGTAGAAGGAAAGAATGTCAAGGTTAAGGTGATGAAAGGCAAGGTGAATTTGTTGACGTCGGGCTCTCGCGTATTCCTCCATCGTCAAGTCTTACCTGCCGAAGATCGGACGGAGCTCTTACTGAATCTAGCTGAATACAGCATAGTAGTGGAAGTACATTGTACGAAACGAGCGCGAAACCTACGGGAACGTGCTGATAGTCGGGAATTACAGATTTGGTGTCACGGAGGATCTCGCGTGGGTTAGGTTCTGGGACAGAAACGTTGTTGGATGACTATATTGTTGACTTGGTGCTCTGTGGCTGCGGAATCAGAAGTGCAAATTAGATGCAAGTACACTTGTTCCTTCAAACATTCATCAAATCGACTATCCGAGTATGTCTTGTACCACTAGGCAGAAGCAAATACAGATAGAATGGAGGCTTTTCCTGTGGTACCAAGTTTCCGGAACTGGACCCGGTGGCACAAGCAACGATGTCGTCCAGTGATGGGGCAACATGTGTAACGTTAAGGAACTACCGTCCAGCTTTCCTATCTTAGAAATGGATATTCCAGCTTATCAGACATGGCAAACATCAACCCTTGAGTGCAATGGCGTAAGATCTAGTCAAGATTCGAATTTGGCTGGTCGATCTCGGTAACAAGAAGTCTCAATAGACAAGGAGGCTAGTCGCAGAGCTTCTGAACATAGACAGCATCTTGTCTGGGCATCACGATCCGGCGCTACGTTTCAGATGCTGCAATTCGTATGAAATCAAATCCATTGCTAGGAACCATACATCTGCATTCCCACGTCACCTCCTACCTAAATCCATCTACCCGCTTATTCCTCAAAGTCACATTCAAGCCCATACTTCTCTTTAAACTCCTTATTTCTCTCGGCTTTCGCAGCCGCCAACTCCTCTTCTGTGTACGTCTCATACATCCACCATCCCGTCTCGATGGAAAGAGTATCAAGACCAGTCACAGTCTTACCATGCAACTCCTGTCCGCTACTACTGTATTTAGTGGCTACAACTCCAGCCACCATCACACAGTCAGTTTCGTCACCATCGTCGTTCAACTTCACAGGAACAGATGCCCAGCCAGGAGGTACATCGTTCGTTTCAATGCGGTGATATCGAGCATCGTCAAGCCCTAGGACCGGCGTGGGGTCTCCCATACTATGCATCTCGGACTCGTCACCGGGGTTGTGTCCATCTTTGAAGAAAGATCGACCGTCAGCTCCCCAGAAACAAAACGCAGTGATCCAGCCCTGGAGCTATCAGCAAGATTCACGTGCAGGAAGAAGAACCTAGACTCAAATACGACGGGCCCGATCCCCCACCCGAATAATGCGCAATCTTCTGCCAGAAATCCTTTATCTCCTCCGACTCAGGCTCATCAAACGACTTCACAAACCGCGCCAAAACAGGCTTCAACAACCCATACCAAGTCTCCGCCTCCCCACCAAACGTGACCAACCGCTCCGCCTTCTCAGCCAACCTCTCCCAATCCCCCTTCTCCCCAAGCAGCGTCACAGACGGCAGCCCACAACAAACATCACACCCATACGAGAAGAACTTCTGCAGCGTAGCCATCATCATAATCGACGCAACCGCCTGATCCACCTTCGTAGTCGTACCAAAACACGGCAGGATCCACTCCCTCAGACTCGGATCCTTGATATTCTCCGCAATCATCTTGCCCATCTTGAAGCTGAACTTACCCCAATCGACGCCGAACTTTGAACTACCCTTGATATCGGATAGGTCTAGGATCTTGAGCGGTTTCTGCACCCCCGCCCCCGCGTGGTCGACGAACATGCTGCGGAGCTCCTCGGCGTGCGCGTTGATGTAGATGTTGAGCTGGGCGAGGATCGCGATCCAGATGTCGTCGGGTCGGAGGGTGAGGTGGTAGTGTTGGTTGTAGGCGGCGACGGCGCCGTCGACGAAGCCGTTGCGGGAGGTGTAGATGTGGGAGGTGGGTGTGAGGTTGGTGAAGGTGCTTTGGATGATGTGGTTGTTTTTGATTTTGGTGTCGGATACGAGGCCCCGGAGGAGTTCGCGGGTGTTGGACGGGCTGGATTCTAGGCTTGCGGCGTTGGCTCCGTGAAGAGCAGCTTTGATTGTGACTGGCATGCTGGGTTTATCGGTGGTGTCTTGAAGAGGTCAAGAAGTAATTTGATCTTGACTTTCTGAACAGCGCGCTTGTCCCGTGAGTCGGGCAATCACTGCTAGAGTTTCAAGATCAAGAGTTTCGACGCATTTCAATTGGATTTGAAATGAGGACCAAAGGCGGTTTGATGAGATACCGAATAAAGTTGATCTTCTGGAAGCAGGAAAAGAATGACTGATAGTGTCGACTCATATGGAGGACGTTGTTGCCTGAAGTACTCGCTTCCCCCCGCCATCAAGCTGTGCCCCGAATTCGCAGGTGAACACCGCATGCAGGATCCACTGGAAGTTTAAATGACTAATTCAGTGATTCGAAGGGAAGAAAAGAGCATCGGAATGGGGCTACATTGACTTGGTTCTCCATGTGAACCAAATCCGAAGATACTGGCATTGCTTACGAATCAAAACAAGTCCTTGTGATGTTAAGCGAGGCAGAAGTTCCAGGTTGGGGTCTGGGGGTATGTATCTAGTCCCTAACATGAGCTTGAGATTATTCAGCGCCAAGATCACCAAAGCAGGATATCCAGTATCCATAAAGTATCCATAACTACAATAATAACAACATAGCTAAATTCTAGGGACACATACAATCGCTCGCAAGATCGACTTCACACTTTTCGCTTAGACTGGAATTGGAAGCACACTACCTCAGTTCCAGTCCACCCGGGACTTCTACAGCTCGCATCCCTATCGGTGCTTCATTTTCGAATTCAAACTCATCACTGACGATGATCTTCACACCTGCTCTTAACGATCTCCAAAGGCCTTGACACGAACTGACAGCGCATTGTACTCTTCACATTCATACACAACTCCAGCCCTGAATCCTTGAGCTCGGGAGACGAGACGATCGCCACTACCTAGGAGTTCCCTACTGCATAAACCAGACTTGACAGTCGGCATCATCCAATATCTGTCTACCTACAATCAGGCCTTCTAGGTATTGTACAGCAGAACTTCCGCTAGGGATGTACTCGACTTCGCTTCGATCCCGTGAAGGAGCGGCAGGGCCTCGGTCGAACATGTGTAAACACTCGATATGCACCGAGTCGATCTACGCGTTCCTGGGTATAACATCAGGCATAGTCTTGGAGCCTGGGAAGCTCTCTAGTTTCTAGTGATGAGACGGAATCTGCGAGCTTTTCAAGGTAGTTTTGAGGGATTGTGATGAGTTCTTAGGAGGTATGACGGTGAGGTGGAGAGGGGTTCGGTAAGGCGGATTTGTGTGATAATTGTGCAGATTGCACTGGTAAGGAGTTCTTTGTTATCTTAGGAGAGAGGTAAGGCGAAGTGGAGAGGCTGGAAGGGTTTACTTGGAGGAGTTTTATGTCCTTGAACGTCAATTGCGCCTACTAGAATTAACGACGGGGACTTTTTCGACGTCTATCATATGGTACCAAGAGGAGGTTGAGGCGGTTAAGTTATGAGCCACATGGGCTGTCAGCGATATGTCCTGTAATAACATAGGATGACAGGGCAGGAGGTATTACTCGCACCGACTTATCGTACTTTATTCCCCCCCCCCCCCCCCCCCCCCCCCCCCCCCCCTCTATATTTTCTCCTTCTCTTCCTGCCAAAATATACCTACCTATATGCGCCCGATTCCGCAAGCGAATATACCTGTAGCCATTACCTATACCTCAGCTGCCTACTAAGTCAGAAAAGACGAGAGAGCCAGCCAGCCATCCTTACCCTATGCCTTTTTTCCCTTTTTTCCACGCCCGTTTCATAGAAGCCCGCCTTTCTAGAAGGACGTCAGTTTCCGCCGAACCGAACCATCGAACTCGAAACAAACAAACAAACCCCCATCGTGTGAGCTGCAGATCTTCGAAACAAACATCATCGGTTTTATTACCTACCTACCTATATCTGTGAAGATATACCTAGGTACCTCAACTCAATTCAAACCAATAATGCCTCCCCTCCTCAAACCAACCAACCAACCAGATAAGCGACCCCTTCGGTTCGGTTCGGTTCACTAAGCCGAACTCTCTCTCACCCTGCCTCGCCTGCTCGCTCCCCTGGATCGGTTAGAATTGCCTGCCTGCCAGACTCAGGCTCAGGATCCCGTCGCAGACGCTAGTGTTTCAGCGACGCCGATCGGGAAACGCACTGCGTCGATTGAAGATTATTGGGTCAGATTATTATTATTAGAGAGGAGATGGAGATGGTGATGCATGGATGCACGGGCGGGAATGTGAGGTGGCCAATGGGGTTGGTGGGATGGGATGGGATGTGGTGGGATGCAGTGGGGTGGAGGGCTTACTCTATGCGTGGTTTGGTGGTGGTAGGTGGGGATGGAGAGGTACAGTACTACAGTAGAGGCAGAGGGATGAGATGAGATGAGATGAGATGAGATGAGATGAGATGAGTGTGGTGTGTGTGGTGTGGTTTACCCCTTTTGGGCTTTTGGGGGGTTGGAGAGGAGTTGATAAGTGAGGGGGATGAGGATGAGGATGAGGATGAGGATGAGGATGAGAGGGAGGATTGATGAGTGAGGCGATCTGAGGGGGGTTTCTCTTTGTGCCCTGATGGATGAATGATGAAGGGTTGATAAAAGGTGTTGTGGAACTTTCAACTAATGGGGGAAAATGGCGTGTGTGGACCTAGAGGACGTACCTACCTGTTCCACGTCGTAGGGTTCCTACTGCGTACTTCTCCAGCATCCAGTTCGTCAACACGCTCTAACTCCCAACTTCCAACTCCAACTCTTTCTTCACATCTCCCTCGTCTCACGCAGGGTGAAGGCGAAGTAAGTATCAATGCCAACAGAGAACACCCATCTGCAAAGAACTATGGAGGTTATCCCTCCGTAAGTAGATTTACGTAGGCACATAATTCGGAATCTAACACTGCTCTGTGTTTCCGTCTAAACGTAGTGGTGGATACCTTACTTACCTAGGTACCTAGTATCGCATGCATAATACACCAGCACAGCATATCACAGCAGACGGGAGCATCCATCTAATCCAAACATCTAGTTCCATGGGATAGGCTGGCTGCTTACCCCTTTATGCTCTCCCTCTCTGCTCTCGCCGTTCGATTTATTCGCATCGCCTCGGCAAGCTGCCTTACCTACATACCTTCGGTTACTTGCTGTGGTGTGGTGTGGTGTGGTGTGGTGTGGCGTGGTGTCGTCTTGTCTTTGTTCTTTTCTATTTGATACAGGTCCGTCATGCCAACTCGGACCAGTTCGTACCGTACCCGTACGTACCGGAGAGTTCGAGCTCGTTGCAAAAGTTGGGTGCGACCAACCGACCGACTGATAGTTTGGAAGCCGACCACGAGCGTGCAGTGCAGTGCAGTGCATGTTTGCTACTGCTACTGCTATTGTACTCGCGATTACAGTGAGCTGAGCTGCTGATCATGCTGGTGGATACCTTATCCAGAGGACACGACGCAAGGCAGAGCAGAACAGTGCAGAGACGCGCACCGGTTGTGGGGCCAGACAGGACAGGGCAGCAAAAGACAGGACAGGATAGGCATGATAATGTTTATTTTCAGAAACACACCCGGACGTCACTACTACTGGGATGGAGGTCACGACGAACATCCGGGGAGATGGAAATAGATTTTTATTTGTACTGGAAACTGGAGGTGAGTGGGTTTTTCTTTGTAGCAAACTGGAGCCGATTTTTCTTGAAACTGCCAACCGAAGACTTGGGAAAGTTTGTTGTTGTGGTTGGGCTTTGCTTTGCTTTGCTTTGCTTTGCTTTGCTTTGCTTTGCTTTGCTTTGCTTTGTTTGTAAGAGTAGTGGAGTGGACGGGTGAATCTTCCGATTTCTTTCTGTTTTGATCTGGTTCGGAATCCGTCTTCAGGCTTTTTGGGTTTGATTGCGATGTCGATGTCCTGTGCCCGACCGACATCGTACGAGATTAGGACTGCATTTGTACAGTGCCGGGCAAACAGGAAGTCAATTGTCCCAAATGCAACGTAGAGGCGAGGAGAGGAAAAATGTCAAAGTAACGAAATGGGTACAGATGAAACACCGGAAAATACCATCTCGATAACTATGCGATGAGCAATTAATCCCCATCTAGACCTCTATTCTGAAGGGAAGGTCAGTAAGAAGTAGAGTAGACCGACGAAACGTTACGCGCACTCAAACCGTCTAGAGGTATGCCAAGGAGTTGTAGGATATATTCACAACAGATCTGATGATGAGGCTGCTGATTTGAGGCGACGTTGAGTTGTGGACGGGAATTATATGAAACGGCAGTCCAATGTGTGATGTGATGCATGGTTGGCCTGCCCCTTTTTCTTCCTCATGGGATCGAGCCGATTCTATGGATAGATCTCATGTCATCCCATCCCCTCCCATCCATCCAGTCAAGTTGGCCGACTGGGCCGGCTCCATGCAGCTAGATTATGTGGACATTTACCAGGAGGTGATGTTCAAGAATACGTATGTACTTTTGAAAAAGATAATTATATATTTCAAAATTTACCAATGGATCAATTGACGTGGTAATGTTAGAATATAAATAGAGGATAATCAACAGCCGTGCAGTGCAACCAACACACGACCTTTTCAATGCCCAGAGTTATCCCGGGCTTTCGTGGATCTCTTTCCAGCGCTGTCACTCGCCCGCCAGAATATGCCCGGATACTGCTGCGTGAGCGTCGGGTCTTGTGTCCAGGGTCTGTTGGCACATCCTGCCTCTTGAAACACGGCCACGCTAGCCACTAACCCGCCTGGGACGGGGCGAGAGGGAACATCCAGGGCAAGCTTGGACAGGGCAGGGCAGGGCAGGGCAAGGCAGGGAGGGGAGAACAGTTCTGCGGCGAGACGAGAGGGTTAATAGAGACGAGAATAATAGAGCAGAGAGCGAGGTTCCGAGGGCGTGGAACGACTGACCGACTGGAATAATGGACTGAATGGAGATGGAGACGAGAGTTCTTTGTGAGGAGCATCAGTTTAAGTCCAATCCGTCTGGGTTAGAGGAGCGTCGAAAGCCCTAGCCCTGTCTGTCTGTCTGTCTGTCTTTAACCTGTTACCCCCTGTGTAAGGTATTCTAGCTATTCTATTCTTTGCTACCCAGACTCCATACTTTTCCACCCTATTCGCCGCAGGTATCTATCCTAACCCTTACCTCATCCCTTTCTATCCTACGTTCTTCTGCGCGTCCTCTCCTCAGATTCATTCCCACTCTTCCATGTCGACGCCTACAAGTATGTTCGGCCCATGCCTTGTCCTGCCCTGATGCACTGATGCTGTTCACAGCACCATACCTACGCAACACACACAAGCGAAAGCCACCTAACCTAGCCACGCAGCCACGGCCCTAGCCCCCCCGACCCCCCCGACCCGCAAATCCATGATTCGGCCCCTTCCAGGTTCCTCAAACCCTACGCCAGACCTTCATCTACCTTAGGTTCGTACTTCAACACCACACTCTTCCGTCTCCTCTCCTCCACCACCACCACCACCACCGCAACCTCTCCTCCCTACTACCTCCCTTCCTTTCTATCGAATCGACGACCTCGTGATCTCGACCTGCTCGTCAAGCTTCGCTTTCCTGTATTAATGATCGTCGTCTGCATGTTGGCCAGCAAAGCATCAACAGCATCCTCCCCTTTCTGCCTTTCTCGGAAACTTTAATCGCCAGTACTCGAACTCTCAGTCTCCAGCGCACTCCTGCACTCCCTACGGTCGCACCCCATCCCCGTATTCGCATTTCACGATCGTCTGCAGACTCTTCAAAAGAAGTACTTCCTTCACACTGGACAACCGACCCTATCGGCATCATCGCATTCCCTTTCCCTTTTACCTTCCTTCCATTCGATCTTCTCTGCGGCGCCGTCATCGAGTGACCTCAAGCGGCCCTTTTTAATAGATCAGACGCTTCGTCAAAGAATTTTCCAAAACACGAGCCCGCCACACCCCACAATCCTTCCAACGCTTAACAACGCACTCCTGGCAGCTCACGGCTTTCGACCCTCGCATCGATAGATTCGAATTCCCTCCCGTCGAATCCGAAATCTTTTTGTCGTCATTGAATTGACCGACACCTATCCTCGCGATACATTCGAATACACTTCCTACCCCATCTCTCGTGCCAGATTCGAGAGATCTTTGGTGGACGAATAATCTATAATGTCATCTGCAAGATCTGAACACCTTACGCTTGGATACCTCCCTCCGGCTTCTGGGCTCACCCGTTCAAATTCTTCGACTGCCAACAACTCCCCCACAGAACCTTCCAGCGGAAACGCTCTACGATCTCCCTTTGGATTGCCAGGCGGCTTGAATTCTGCAGGGAAGATGGCCAACAACTCGCGATCGGGGGCCGGCTCTCCATCGCACGAATTGGGTGGCAGCGCAAGCCGATTGTTCTCGAAGAGGTAGGCAGATTCGATTGAATTTGGTGGGGTTTTAGCTAACGAGGACAGAGCACGAGAAATTCAGGCACAGGAGGGTCTGCCAGTCAATGTCTGGGGACCTCCAACCAGTGGAAATTCGACTCCTCTTCGTGAGAACATCCCCGAATCGCCTACTGATGGCTTCCCTGATTTCGCACAACTTCCTACACCCGAGAGTCTCCCATCGACTGCGAGAAGAGCAAGAGCTGGCACGGTCCCATCTCGATTCTCTCCTGGTGGTGCTACAAATGGATTGGGACCATTGCCTTCTCTAGCAAAGACCTCTCGACCAACTCCATCGCACAGTCCTTTTCAAACCCCTTCTCCTTCGTCGATCGGTGAAATTCCTGAGCATAACTCTACGGCTAGTAATGCTGCTCTTTTGTCTCGACTCCGTGCTGGATCAATGCCACAACGAAGTCAATTTTCCAACGGTGCTGGACCATTTGGACCTTCGGTTTTCTCTACCAATTGGGCTTCTGGAAGAGAGCGAACCTCTACACTTGCCAGCATTGCGAGTGCCGGCTCTAATCAACCAAGCTCTCCAGCACAATCGTCATTTTCAAGAGAAGGAACTGGAGAGAACGATATGCAGATGCGAACTCTGGATTACCTTGGCCTGGCAGATACCCCACAACCACCTCGAGCTCAATTGGCAAATCCTTTCCTTGCGAATATTGCAGACATTAACAAGAACCGATTCCGATCATACTCGGTGAATGCAAAGGAGAAATATGCCGAGGAGGAAGAGGAGGAGTATGGATCTGGAAATATGACTCCATACGAGGCACAACAAGCTCAATTGCATATGCAACTTGCCGCTACGAATGCTGCTATTCAACAGCACAATCTGGCCGTTCAGGCTTTTGCCAATCAAGCGTCTGTCAACCGACCCAGAGCTAGAACTGCAGGCGTCCTCGAATCTCCAACTTCCCGACTACTGAAGCATTATTACCCATCGGCGTCTCGACTTGACAACAGCATCACTGCTTCGGATCTGGGAATGGCTGAAGCTAGAGAGTATGATGATATCCCAGCTGCTGTAGCTGCCATGTCCCTCGGCAGATCGAACAGCAGAAATGATCACCTCAACCCGGATGATAACTTGGAAGGCCCTACTCGAGCTCTTTGGCTTGGAAGTATCCCACCATCGACTACCGTCTCCACACTCATGGAAATGTTCAAGGCACATGGTCCAATTATCTCGGCTCGTGTTCTTACCCACAAAAACTGCGGTTTCGTCAACTTCGAACGTCTAGAAAGTGCAATGTCTGCGAAGCAATCGATGAATGGTACTGAGATCTTCCCTGGTGCTGGACCTGTACGAATCAATTTCGCAAAGCCTCCCTCTCCTTCTGGTACTCCTGGACCTGATGGAACATTCCCATCACCAAGTCCCGATCCATTCAAGGAGAATGGTGTCAATGGTGATGCTGGTGTTATCTCTAGACCAGGAACTGCTCCATTGACAATCCCAGCTCTTCCGGACATGAAATCGGAGATTCTCAAGATTGTTTCCGAGTTTGGTGCTACCCCAGACGACAAGATCAAAATCACACACAGTCTTGAATCTGCTATCGGATTCAAGGGGTACCAATCCGAGATCCCCGCCATTTCTGAGCCTTCCCACAACAGGATCCATGATGCTCCTAAGCTTCGTGATATCAGAAAGCGGATCGATAACCAAAGCTGGTCACAGGCTGAGATTGAGAATATCGCTACTGAGATGTTACCTGAGATTGCAGAGTTGTCTTCGGATTACCTGGGCAATACTGTTGTTCAGAAGCTGTTTGAACATTGCTCGGATGAGATGAGGGATGCCATGTTGACTGAGATTGCTCCTCATATGGCTGAGATTGGTGTTCATAAGAACGGTACATGGGCTGCACAGAAGATCATTGATGTCTGTAAAACGCCAAAGCAGATGGGCATGATCATCAAGAACCTCCAGCCATACACCGTCCCGCTCTTCCTCGACCAGTATGGAAACTACGTTCTCCAATGCTGCTTGAAGTTTGGATCTCCATTCAACGATTTCATCTTCGAATCCATGCTCAGCCAGATGTGGGAGATTGCCCAAGGAAGATATGGTGCCCGGGCCATGCGAGCTTGTCTTGAAAGCCACCACTCTACTAAGGAACAGCAACGAATGCTTGCCGCTGCCATCGCCCTTCACAGCGTTCAATTGGCTACCAATGCCAATGGTGCTCTTCTCCTCACTTGGTTCTTGGATACCTGCACGTTCCCACAACGCCGAACCGTTCTCGCTCCTCAACTTGTACCAAATCTTGTTCACCTATGTACTCACAAAGTTGCGTATCTTACTGTTCTCAAGGTTATCAACCAGAAGCTTGAGGCCGATGCCAGGGATACTATTCTTCAGGCATTGTTCTTTTCCAAGAACGATGAGACGCTCGAGGCAATTCTTTCGGATCATGCTTGTGGTGCTACACTGATCTTCAAGGTCTTGACCACTCCATTCTTTGATGAATCCATTCGCACGGATGTCGTTGAGAATGTCCGAAACGTTCTCATCAGACTCAAGGCTCAGCCAGCTCAAGGATACAAGAGGTTGATGGATGAAGTTGGACTTTCCACTCGAAATGGAAGCACTGGACCTCGTGAGCCATCCAGTCATTCAAATGATCGCCAAAGACCTGGATCGAATCACAGTCAAGCTCATATCGCTCCACAATACGGAAATCAATTTTTCCCTCAGATGCCACAACCTGGATTTGACATGGGCATGCAGAGAACCGATAGCATGGACTCGAATCTTGGATACCAGTACGGAGTTCAGCCTCAACTGTTCAACCCGACTGTTCAGATTCCTCCCATCAATATTCAGCAACTTCAATACCAGCAATCTCTACTGGCACGAGCGGCTCCTCAGATGAACAACTTCTACCCGTCCATGCAATCTGGTTTCGGATACAGCAGCCCTTCGATTGAGAATTATCGCAACCAGAATCCTATCCAGCCTCCTCAAGCCCAACCAAGTCCAATGCTGAGTGGAACTGCTTTCGGTCCTCCTGGCTTTGGGAATATCGGAATGGGGTACGGGTATGCCGGTATGGGCATGCAGGGAATGGGATACATGCAACAGGAGCAACAAGTCAACTCCAGACGAGGAAGGGTAAGTCTTCTTAGCTGGTAGTTAAGTGAACAATACTGACGGATTAACAGAGATGATTGTGACAAACGCTTGAAATTTTACGGGCATAAAAGGAGTTCGATTTGCTCTGGTCATTCATTTCTTCTTCTTCGGGCTTCAGGTGTTAGTGTTCAATGTGGAAATCTTTCTTTCTGGCTCGGGGATCTTCTTCTGCTTGCAGGATGATTTTCCAATGCTCTACAAAAATAAAGCCATGGATCTGGCTTGGCTCGGCTTGCCTCGACTTGACTGGACTTCGACGTCAACAGCGACGGTGACGGTGATGGTGACGGCAGATAAAAGTACAACTACACTGGGATGTTGGTTGTAGTGTGGATGTGCATGTGCATGTGGATGTGCATGTGGATGTAAGTGTGGATGTGGATAAATATATTCGTGTATACATTTGCGAAGGGAAGGAACTGCTGCTGGACTGGATCAGAATCTTTCAATTTTTTCTTTTCTGTTTTCGCGCCGCGTTTATATGAGTATGTGTGTGTCTGTGTGTGTCCGTGTGTCTGTGTGGATTGAAGGCTTGAAAGATTGAAGGCTTGAAAGATTGAAGGCTTAAAGAATCGGACTGGACCTTGATGCATGGATCTTTGAGAGAGGGAGGTGGAGGTGGAGGTGGAGGTGGAGGTAGATGAGATGAGATGAGATGAGATGGGGAATATTTGTATAGGGTATGTATGGTGAATAGGGATATGGATATGGATATTGCTGGGGATATGGATGGGGATGGGGGAACGTGAGGATGGATGGATGGATGGATGGATGGATGGATGGATGGATGGATGGATGGAAAGCATGAAGGAAGGACAGAAAGCAGGAGGGAAAGGAAAGGAAAGGAAAGGATTAGATAGAAGATAGGAAAGCAGCAATGTGTGAAATAAGAAGACAAAAAAACATGTCATGAATGAATAGATCTCTCTCTCTCTCTCTCTCTCTCTGTCTTCTTCATTGGTGAAAGGAGGGGAGGCTGTGAGCTGTGAGGATAGCTGTGGCTGCTTGCTTGGATTGGATTAAATTGGATTGGTTTTGATTGCTGACCTCTGTCTGCTGAACTTGGTATTGAATCTTCCCAGAGAAACGGACAATCGATTGCTTGCTTCGTCGCTCTGGGAGATTTGTCAATGGGTTTTCAAAGGTACCAACAAACTTAAAGGTTCAGATACGGTACAAAGGAAATCAAATAATCCTTTTCCCTCTCTCTCTCTCAGAGAGTTTTGCTGTTTTGTCTATCAGTGAGTGTGAGTGCGTGTGAGTAAGTGTATGTGTGTGTATGTGTTGAAATCTCCTTCTAGCTCAACACCAAATACAATCAAGGGTAGTGGTGGAAGTGAAGTATTCACGTAGTAAGTAGCTAGCTACTTCTGCCTTCTTTCACTCTCGTAATTATCTCAAGTCCTTCTCAAGTCCTTCTCAAGTCCTACCTGCTTTTGTCTATCTTCCCTATCTTCTCTATCCCCTCACCTGATCAAACCACGAGTTGTACTGCGTAGCGGCTATAAATCTCTCTTTCCTTCCTTCTTCCCTACTCCCTACCGCAAATTCAAAATAGACTAGACAAGACCAAACCAGACAAGCTATTCAATTATTAAGAAGAAAAAGAAAAGAAAAAGTGAATTGTTTCTTGGACCTGTACTTACATTTTAGTGCTTTACTTTTTCAGTCCCGGACCCTGGACCGTGGACGGATGTAATTGAATGTTGGATGTTGGATGTTGGCTGTGGCATGTGGATGTTGAGAAAGAGAAAGAGAAATAGAGATTGTTACTACTGTCATGCAGACGGTGGGCACGGTGGTATGTTAGCTGGTTGGTTGGTTTGCTGGTTTGCTGCCATCAGCGGGCTTTTGGCAATCATGTACTTAACCTTCCCCAGTTCGAAGTTTGCCGTTCACTACGTTGATATAAGTATATAAAAGGCTCTGAATGTTTTACAGGCGGGTTGGATCAGCTTGCTTCAGCAAAGGCGTATGAGTAGTATATTCGGTCTTTCCATGAATATGAACGAGGTCAAAACAGACAGGCGAAGTATTATCTCTTGCAAAAAATTTCGATTGGTATGCAGATGCTTAGGACGTTACACGTACACGGAGATGCTACCCTTACTCAGACTTCCGGAAGAGATGATCTAGCGATTAGTGGCATAATGCTGTTGTCACCAGGTTAGGGTGGCTTCTGAAGCAGCTCTTGTCTTACTGCTGGAATCGAAGCTCGGTGACTACAAGTCGGAAAAGCTCCCAGTGAAGGGTGTATAGTGGAGAAAGTCTATTCGATGGATTGATGTTGTCGATGCCAGAGGTAGACAGATCTATCCCCCTCAACTGCCGTATTAAACACACTTTTTTACAGTAACTGCAAAGCCTGTGTTGAGACCCTGGAATTAAGCGAAGAAACGCTGAGATTTCAATGCTGCGTTGCCGTCCCGGCAGCTTTATCGCCGTGCTCCAGCGCTGTACCCCGGAAAACGTGTTTTCGGCGGTTGAGGGGATAAGCCAAATACGGCACAGAAGTGAATGTCTGAAACACTGGTTTTCTTTTCCATCTTAGGATTAAGTGGTGTAGTAGAGAATCATTGATTATTGCAGGTCACACGGGCACGACTTTCTGTTTGCAGCAGGGTGAAGAAATAGAGATTGCTTTGGAATAACTCGACACCTCCAGGAAGTGTATGAATATATATAAATGCATCGATTATGTGACATATGTAATAATTCTCACAGTTACAATGGTGAATGAACACCAAAGATGTTGAATTACAATGCTTGGGTCGCGTGGTTCAAAGATTGATCGTGGTTCCTTATACCACCATGTTGTCCTTGCCACGGAGAAACAACCAACGTCGCATGTTGTATGCTCGCTTGACTTCAAGCATGATTGAAATTGATCACTGTATATATGTTGACCAGAACTATGCCACTTCGTAGCTCGTCCGCTTCGGAATGCCTTCCGAACAGGAGTTGACGAACTAAGCGAGACGAGTTGTTGTTGTCTTGAACAACATTACAATGCGACATGCTACCGTGTGAATAATTCGCTTACGAGCTTGAAAAAAGTACAAGTTGAGCATCTCTGGAATTTGTGGGTACACTGATCTGTTATACTTCTTCGACATCCTCCTGCTTCGAAATACACCTTTCTGAACCTCATTCACAGGTTCCGAAATAACATTTCCTCCCAACCACATCCAACATCGACAGCACGTAATGTTACCAGCATCAAACCTCATTCTCAAAGCTACACATAATGGCTTGGGATTCTTCATTGTCGAACTCCGCAACTTTTGCAGAAGTAGTCGCGGGAAAGAAGACATCTGCGGCGAACAGGAAGGCAGTCAAGGACCGCGAAGAAGCAGCTGCGAAACAGGCGGCGAAGGAAGCAAAGGAAGCCTTCGAGACACTTGGTAACATGTTCTTGACCAAGCTCCCAAGAGGTAAGATACGCTGGGAGCGGTAAGATACACTTCGCGAGGATCTTGATCGCATTCTAATCATTTATCAGTGATCAAAGACATGATCTACAAGGAGCTTCTCCTTTTCCCGCTGTGATACACGTGGATTAGCGTAGCATACGTAATCGGGCCCTATAAAAGGATAGCCTGAGTATTACAGGGTCTTCTATCTTTAGCTATTAGCTTCTGTTCAATTCAGTATCACCAGCGAGCCTTCAGCTATTCTCCAGTGATCCTTTGTGCCTTGAAGTCACCTCAGCGTGCTACTGATCGTTACCCCCGCTCCCAATCGTGCCCGGATCTATCTACTATGGAAGCGAACGTGACCGTGGGCGCTCCTGGTTTAGAAAGTACTGCAAATATCAGTAGAATAACGGCCAGGAGAAGGACATCAATGTGCACTCCTATTGTGAGCTGGAGAACGGATACGGTCAGAACTTAACACCATTCCAGTACTTCCCTAGTCAAATTGCGGTGATATGGATCATAAATCCAACGCCGGAGCAGAACAAGCTCATTGCAAAAGCCAATAACGAAGCAGAGCTACCCCCCAGCATTGACGAAACAACCGGAATAAAGACCGAGCATAGAGTTTTGATGGGAGACGGTCCAGAAATTCAAATTGTGAATAGGAAAGTTGAAACAGTGACAATGATGATAGGCCTTCCTTTTCTGCGCACATGCAAGCAGATCGAAAAGGAGGGTTTGAAAATCTTGTATGGCGACAACGTATTTGTTTTTGATGCCCCAGGTTTTGCGTCTGGAAGCTATACATGGACTGCATAGGAAAAAGCCAAGTTTTGACAAACGCGATGGCGTGTGCCAGGCCTACCTCATCCAAACGGAAATCTCCAGACCGAAGAAGAAATAGCCAAGGCAATTGATCACCTGTTTAAATAAGGATGGCAGCCAAAATTCCTCTACGAGGACCCATTCTTCCGGTTCTGCAGCGTCGTCGGCCAAATGAAGGTTGCATTGTTGACAAAGATCATGCTTGAAGGTCACTTCAAGACAGTCGATCGTCGCTCATATATCAGCCCAGCTGGCCTCGTGCGACTGCTCCCTCCTTATGCTACGGTGTTGAAAACGTGTGTGTTGATTTATGGAGCCTCTCTCTCCACATGGGAACTGACACTCGCTGGTTATGCATGGGACGTGGATCGATCTTGCCCTTCTACAAGTGACCGGCCAGACTTAACTCGCAGAGATGGCAACGTCAATGGTGTCGAAAAAGACGAGGACACCGTAGAAGACGATTGAACGACTCGTGCGAGAGCTGCCTTCGCTCGCGAAACTTCAGCTTGGCGACTACAAGACACCCATGCCGGCGGGTGACATGAAGTGGGGGAACGCCAGACGATGGACTGAGTACGTGAAAAGGAGAGACAGACTTAACCTGGAAGTAGCTAAGGTTATGGGACCCGTGAAGCGCGATCGTGTTAGAGTGAACAATGAAGGTGGTGCTGGTGAGACAGGACAAAAAATGCGGTCGAGTCTTTTTGACGGCCGAAAGACCCCATTAACCATAATGGCAGATTCCTGATCGTTGCAGCATTTTGGACATTTCAGTACGCGGTTAGGAGCGCTTGGAGATTTTGGGGCGCAGGCTGATTAACAAAACCTTTACATGGGAGCAAAAATAAACGCGATTCATTTCCACCAGCATATGCCCTCCAACTATGACCCCTAGATGACCAATGAAAGCTTCATATGGTGGTAAATTCGGCTTTCAGACGAAAAAAAGAAATAAACTTCCTGAAAGACCGTATCGAACGATGGATGCATGTTATGTACATGACAGAGAGAATTCGTGAGACAGGTACGCAAAGAATCGTCATATCTAGGCAGGCGTATTTATGATAGGTAACGGCCAGAGAAGTCCTTCACTCAGCAAAGTTGCAGATATACTCTGTACGTGATTCGCTCTATTTACATTTATCCGAAAACCCTCTAGCTCGGATCATCAACGACTAATGAGGTAGCTCTCCCTCGGCAGATTCGGCTGTCGTAGCCTCATCCAAGTACCGCAGATCATCTCGCACATCCCGTCACCCCACCGACGCTTTTCATCAGTGGCTTTTCCATATTACTACAGTGAACCACTGCAAATACAGACTTAAACAAAGCCATCTTTGCTTGGTTTGCGGGGAAGTGAGCGTTTAGCGGCGGTAGTTTATCTTGTCAGTCCTTGAGATGCTATTCCCGACGGTTGATGATTGTAACAACTACTTTCAAGCTTGATACCAGCTCGAAGATCGACATCTAGATCCATCTTTAAGTTAAGCATAAGTACGGCAGTCGCCCATCATTTCCTTCTCGGCCTGTCCATCTCATTTTATTGAAACGTCCACTCAACTGCAAAATGTATTCCATCCTATCTGTATTTAGCGCAGCAGTGCTCGTCAAACAAGTATTCTCTGCTCCAGCTCCTCAAAACTTTCCTGGCCAGGTCTCTCCGCAGGATCCCCGATTCACCTACTATCCATTCAAAACACCGCTGACAGGGCCTTGCGATCTGACGACTGGGCCGGACGGAGCCATCTGGTCATCCAATTTCATAACGAACACGATCGGCCGTGTTGACCCTACCACCGGAGCCGTGACTGAATATAAAGTACCTTCTGTGAATGTCACCAACCTACGACTAGGAGATTTAGCAGGAAGAGCGGGATTTTCTTGCGTTATTCAACCAGGCAGTGATGGGTTTCTGTATGCTGCAAGTGGAATAAGGAATGAACTCATCAAGATAAATCCCACCACCAAGGACATCAAAGTCTTCACACCACCCAGCACAGGTGAGCTACCAAGCGTGGTAGGAAATCTGGAGCCTTTCAATGATATGTGGAGAGGGCCCAAAGGAGTAAGGTCTTGTCCCACAACTCGAGAACGATTGCTGATCTAGTCAGATGCTCTACACACAGACAACAGCCAACGTTATATCTTACTTCACATACGATACCGAAAAGTTCATTGACTTTCATCCCCCAACACCACTAGCTGGACCCCTTGGTATCTACGTCGCTTCAGATGGACACGCATGGTTCTGCGAATTCTTCGCCAATAAAGTTGGACGCTTGAATTTCGAAACCGGCGAAATCATCGAGTACAATATTCCCATTCCGCTCACATCCTGCGCTGTCATCCGCGCCGAGACCTCAGATGCAGACGGGACATATGTCTGGTTCACAGCGTTCACTGGTAATTACAATGGTCGAGTCAACATCAAGACCGGAGAGATCAGGGCTTTCCCCAGCACGAGCCTGCTGAGCTTCCCCACTGAGAATACAGTTGATAGTCAGGGCAATGTTTGGTTCAGTACTGCGACGAGGAATTCAGTGAACAAGCTCAATCCCAACACGGGAGCGATCACGAGTGTCAATCAGCCGGGGACGTCGATTGTGGCTCCAATTAGTGTAACACCGGCTGTAGATATTGCTGTGCATTATGGGCCTGGGAATGCGATTTGGTTCACGGAGCTGGCGAACAACAGGATTGGGAGATTTCAGCTGTAAATTGGCATGATGCACAAACACTGGTCTATCTTGTACTTACCCTAATATAATCTTTACTTCGCGTAATGTTAATCTTCTCGGGTTATCCAATTTCTATATCAGATTGAACTCTTGAAGTGACAGCTCCACTGTTTTGCTCCCGCAGGCAGGTAGGTAAGGTAAAAAAATCATCTTATCTTCAACGCTATCACGCGATCTCGCGACTCGAACGAAACCTCCGCACCATGTCTCCCAACAAAAGAATCTATCACGTGGACGACGTCCAAATATAATACGATCATGACGGCCCAGTCAACGCACCCATGTCAACAAAAGGCCCGATCGAATCGCGGGTCACTGAGAGGACCACGAGGATAGAACAAATGGCGGTTGAGTATGACTACCAGGACGAGGAACAAGAAGGTCACTCCACAAAGACTAATAGAGTGAGAGTATAGAGGCCGATCAGAGCTCCGGAGTATCAGAGCAGTCATCACCACTCGACACGCGGAGCAACGACAATGTCGGCAGACGCACAGAAGGGAAAATCGGGAAGAAAACACTCTTCCAGATCGCCATTTCTTAGAATGCGATTCCTCATGTTTCTGTGCCATACCTAGCAAAACGAAACCGCACAGCAAAGTGACCAAAAAATATCTCCGGAATCAATTCTTCAATTTTTAGAGGATGCAACATGAGTTGGGACCTCCTACCTGAGCCACCTGGGCAACTGCCACCGATTCACCCGGAAGCACTCCCAGTTGCGAGAACATCAATCTCAGTCGTAGATCCTCAAGCCCATTCCTCAACCATTTCGCGATATTTATCCACCTCGTTTCCTGGAAATCGCTCTGCCATTCCTCTAACATATTCTCGATCTCCCACTGAGCGGATGTCCCATCCACGGCCGCCCACGCTGACACGAGACAGAACGGGATATACGACGAACCCAGAGGCCGATACTGCCTCGCATCCTGAGCCAAAAGTACCATTTCCGTGGAAACTTTTGCTGCTTCTGCAGAAAGAGTCAGGTCGTTTGGTGAAAAGATTCGAAGAATGTTTCCCATGTTCAATACGATTGAGCCAATCAAGCCGACCATTGCTTGGGTAGCTGTGTATTGTTTAGTGACTGGATACGCCTCCAGAGGTGTTCGAGTAGCTGTGAGAATTTTGGCTGCAGCCATCAGACGCTTTTGTGCCATTTCGTAATCCAGGAGGGATTCTTGATACATAGCTGAAATCTCGACAAGATACAGTTCTGGATCTCGAAAGTATTTCCCGATGCTTGCAAGGCCCGGCAAAGTGATACTGAAAGGCACTTTATTCTCGCCAGAGTTTCTCTGTGGACCGTATTGAGTACCGTGGACATTGTCCAGCTTGGTAAAGAATTCGTCGAGCTGGATTTTGGGGTTTGCTAAACTTTCCATTGCCTTGAAGGTCAGCGATGTTTTGGACTCTACGGGCTGACTTACCACTACGGCACAGATAGTGACTAGCATCTCTACTTCGAAGCTTTCTTTCCATTTGTCGACGGGTGCAGCATTCAGTAAATGCGCCATGACTTCTCCATGGCCTTGCAAGAGATCATCTTTCCTCCCAATCCAGGACTGACCCCGTTAGCCGAGTTCTGTGAAGGGAAAGTACACCCTTACCTGACAGACGTCCATGAGGTAGATTGCACACAAGGTATCGGGGTTGTAGGCTTTGACCGGATCACTCAGATGGAGGCGCAAGGTTGTCAATGCATGACCATACTTCTTCAGCATATCCGGGGAAAGTTGTTTGGTATGCATGTACGGAAAGGATGCAGCCAAAGCACCAACGGAAGCATCAAGAGCATCATTGGTTCCCAGTCGGCGTGGGATATCACTGAGAAAGCCTCCGTAATAAGTCAAGTCATACCTCACATCAAGAATCCCCAAGGTAGAGATGAAATCACTGAGCAGTAGGGTTCTCCCATTGCTAGGTGCTGGGACAAGTGAAGGTGGCTGGGGCTTCGGAACAACCTCCCAGTTGGTAATCTGGTTCTTGAACTTGTACCGCTGTTGGCCACTACCTATGCAGTCAATTTTGAGCCTTGCACATCTGGAGCAGACAGGTTTCAATTGGTCGCACTGCAAAAGCTCAGAATAGTGCCCACCATCTGGAGGGCTGAACAAACCTTCTTCTTTTGCTTTCGACAAGCCTCGCAGCCCCGACTGGATGGAACACCAGGCATGATGAAGCGTGTGACTTGGCTCGATTTAGATGTTGACCGCGCTGTCGATACACAAAGAGGTGGACTTTACCATCCTTATAGTTCAGCAATGGAAAAATTGCCGATTTGCCCCATGCTTAGTTCATATACAAACATCGGCCAGTAAATTCTCACGACATTCTCAAGCAAGGCTGAGGGATCGGCGTTGTGCTTCTTGTGACGCAAGAATCACTTGGCAGGTACTGCCACTGGATCAACATCACAGCCTTTCCTCCTGAGCTGATCTTGGCTGTAAGCATTTCCCCACATATCCAGTCAACTTTTTTGGATTATCTCCGAGTCGGGATAATAAGCGACAGAGCGCAGGATATGTCCTAAAAGGGAATGCAAGTTGTTGAAAATACACGTAAGTTTCAGAAACATCTTGAACATACAGATTATGGCGCAGAAAGTAAGAACGAACTCGGCGCAGCATACAACATGATAGAAAGGGAACAAGTATGAATCGATTCAATATATATTCCTGTCTGAATCCTACCATGGTTGGTCCGCATCTGGACACGAAATCAACAATCGCGATCTACAATCGATGAAAGCCTCCACCAAACTACAGTGTATCATTCAACCGCTCAACAGCGTCTTCATCCAACCAATCCATAAGATCCTAAAACCATTCCTCTGCCATGAGTAAATACATCTCCCGCCTCCTCTCCTCATCCTCCAACGGACCTCCGGCAACCTCAACTTTCTCAATCCGCCCCTCACCTCACCTCCCATCCCACATCGTCGTCCATCCCCTCGGATACCCCGCCGACGTCCCACCAATATTCACAATCGTCACCTCAAAATCAAAACCCAACGTCTCAGTATTCCGCGGCCATCCAATCCCAGAAAACAGAATCGGAGATGCTATCATGCACACCTTCTCCTCGACCATCAATCTTAACCATCGCGGACAGACGGCGACGTTAAGGGAGGGTTCGTTATCGGGGAACTTCACGCTCGTTTCTCCTGCGGGGAAGTTCAAATGGACGGTTAATCAGATCACGGGGAGTGGATGGGAATTGAAAGATGCTGCGGTGATGAAATTGGCGTCGATGAGATCTGCGGGGTTTCCGGGCTCTGGAGAGAGGAAGTTGGAGTTGTTTGTTCCTTGTGATGATCTGTTTCTGGAGTTGATAGTGCTTTCGGCTATCACAGCGAAGACTTCGCAGAAGGATACTGTAGAAGCTGTTGGGGAAGTTGTAGGCGCGGTGGTTGGTGCATAGATCAGAGTTGAAGTTGCTCGGTATTTGAATTTGGGAGGCTGGAGTTGGTATAAATATTTGAACCTGTGTTTCTGTTGAAAACCACATCGAGATTTCCCCAACCCTAGTTTCATGTCTGTGCCTTGCTCCCAGAGCGACAGCCCTGTGGACAAGATTTCCTAGCTTGTCTTGGATAGCCAAGCTGGCTATAACCTACTAAGGAGAGGCACGGAGATCTCAGACTTGCAAAATTCACGTGCGGTATTCAGCTGTTCTAGAGCTTGGGGCAATTTTGATACGAGATGATTGATGCTGGCAACACACCCGATGCGGCACGAGGTAGAGATCAGAAGTATCAGCTTCGTAAATTACGACTGTGCATCTGAGTACAGATCGATATTTTATTTTAAAAACTCAGTATCACATCACAATGTCGATATCAATGCTCGTCCTTGGATGAGCCTATTCGCGTAATTGTTTACATTCTCCACATTTAAGGACTTACTTACCCCGCCATCCTGATCAGCTCCCTCGCCCGGCTCTCAGCAGAACCTGGCGTCAGTCTCATAATTAAAATTCAACTGTCTTTTACCTTCTTTTCTTCAACCTCGAACTGGAAGTCTCATGTCAATGATACGAGAAGGATGCAGGCCTGCTTTCAGTGGGCTGCGGGGTATCTTCACGGGGCTCAGATCGCTAAATGTGCAGGGTATGGGCGACTGAACACCCTGAAGGATGAGTGAGGTTGTGGAATTTCTCATCCATAGCGGCTTGCGTCAGATATGTGAAGCCATTATGAAAACATGTTGCTAAAAGTAAATGGTGCATCCAGACATAGTGCAACGTCGCAGCAAAAAAAGAGGCCCTGTAAGCAGCGCCGAAGACTGCCTTCACGTATGAGCGAGAGATAAAATGATAACGGATTCGAATTTTGTTTCCATACTCCCCACCCCCGAACCAACGCCCATCCAAACCCCGTTATTGCCCCATCCAAATTGCCAATCCAGTGCGCATTACAATTCCGTTTCAACTGTAAATCATTAGCCAAATCCCCAACGACACAAGACGAAGAGAAAAACCTACTCCCAGGCTCCTTCCCCTTCATACTGAACCTCCCCTTAAACCTATGCCCCGCAACCTTCACCTCATCCTTCAGGAACTTCATATGCCTCACTGCCTTGATATTCATCTTGCCCCTCTGCTTGCGATGCAGCTCGTGTTTCGAATGCACCTTATCCTGTTTCTGCCGCCGCTTCTTCAACTCCTCATCCTCAATCTCTGAGTCGGTAAAATCCTCTTGGATATTGAGAGATTCCCGATCATCTGATACGATAGACGAGGGTACCGAGGTGTATTGCTGGAGCTCGGACCCGAACCCTGCCCACTGCTCGTCGGTCGACATCTCGTGGTAGTTGGACACTTCTTGCTCGTAGCCTGGTGCTTCGCGCGGGACTTTGACCGGGTCGGGCTCGTCCTCTGCGTCGGATTCTTGGGACTTGGCTGTTTTCGCATCGCTGCTGGTTCGGGATTTGATAGTGCCGAATTCGGAGATGGTGTCGCCATTCATGCTGGTTCCTGCGGCAGTGACTTTGCCTTCACGAATGAGCTGCTTGACGGTGTCGGGGGTTTCGCGCTTGACGACGCGGGTGCGGTAGCCTTCTGCAACAGTGCAGAGCCAGGACTCGTAGGTCTCGCGTTGGTCGTTGTTCTTGAGCCATTGGAGATGCGTGTCGTCCATTCCCATCTTGAAGCGGACTGTCATCTTAATAGTGCCGACTTTCTCGGCTTTGATCTTGTCCATCTCGATATTGGGAATGTAATTCTGCGTCATCTGCTTCGGCATTGGAGTTTTGTAAATGGGAATGCTGAGAGCGGTTTCTTTGTTGTCGATCAGATCGGTGAGCCAATAGATCGCATATGCAACGGCCTTGCGAGACCCCTTGTTGAAGAATTCCAATCTGATGGGAGATTGGTAGCGACGTCTCACTGGAGCGATGATGCGATGCTTTTGCATGTCTCGATGCGCTTCCTTGACTCGCATCAGATTCCAGGCAGTCCCTCGTGAGTCTTGTTCGATCCAACCTCGAGAGATTGAAGATTTGCCAACATCGGTATGGACTTCAATTCGGGATTTGGACAGGAGACCGCTGCTGTCATCCTCGACCAGCACTTTGTCGCCGAGAACTTCGAACGATCCAAGATCCCAACCAAGCATGTTTCTGGGCAATTGCAAGCCAACAGATCTGAACAGTACCGAGACCATAATTCTGCCATATCCCATTCCGCCGTCAAGCGCAAAGATTCGAGTAACTTGAGATGATGTATGAAGAACCTCGCTCAGCTTTATTGTGATGCAGCCAAGTATGGGATCGTGTTCACGATTGAGACTGTTCCGGCAAGTGATTGTGAAGACAGCATTGCGCCAGTCTCGGACAAACCGTTCCGTTTGAGCATTGAAGATTGGGTTCGACGCATGAACCTTTGTGCGAGTACGGAACACCAGCTCGTCGTCTTGAAGGACTGTGCAGTAAGAAGAAGGAAGCTCGTCGCCTTCCTCATCTGTATTCTCTCCAGTGATCTGTGCGGGTGTCCAGGGTTTGTAACTGCCAAAACTTCCAGACGGCCTTTCCACTTCAAGATTCTCAATTTGATGAATAAGAATCGAGCAGATTCCAGATGGAAGGGATGGATCGGGAGGTGTTGTGGTCACTCCGACCTCTTGTGCAGTGGTAACTGTTCCCTTGTCATCCGCAAACTCGGGACGATCACGGATTTCTGCTGGAACACTGTCATCCTTTCCATCTGTCTTCATGGACTCCTTAAATTGTGCGCGCGGGAAATATCCAATATCCCAGTATAGGTGTCCGGACAATGTCTCGCCTTTGTCATCTTTGAGTTCATCACACCTCTCCACAATATTGTTTGCGTACTCCTTGATCAGATCTCTGAGATCAAACTCGATGTTGCCAACTTTGTCGTCTTTTCCGACAGTATCAGAATCCCAGAGTTCCACGGATAGCTTCTCGCCTGAGGTCAGTTGATCCTGGTACACCAGCAAACACGTTTGCTCGTTCCATGATGGATCGAGTTCTTGCTCGATAATTCTGGTGCAGTAAACGGGCTTTCCAAATTCTGAGAATGCCAACGTGATGAATGGGTCACTCTTGCCGGATTTGTCTTGGGCAGGTATACCTTCAGCACGCTTGAGCTTGACATAGATCAACCCAATAGCATCGGTTTCTTTTTTCACAGCATCCCCTTGCAGAATTTTAGACATGTCCATGATAAGTGACTTGGGAGCGACATAAATATCGAGCGCGGCAGCGATAGAGGAGTTAATGAATCCAGATATTAGTGGCAGATCAAGTACATTGATTCCTTTGGATGTGAGAGGTACAGCGGAGGCATCAATCTTTGGGAGACCCATGAATGTGAAGGTAAGGTTGCGAAGGAATGGCGGGTTGGGTGTTAGTTGGAATCGGAGGCGGACGGTACCGATGATGCCATTGAGTTCGACGAAGATGGGTAGCGGAACGCCAAAAAGACCTTGGACACCAAGGTAAAAGACGACTTCGAGATGCAAATTCTTGGCTTTGCCAATAACTCCTTTTGCTGGAATGGCAGAGTATGCGAATGAAGCCTCCAAATTGTCTAGAAAGTCAGTGGGGCTACTTCCAAATAGTCGCAAAAACTTACAATACTTCATGCTGGGATCGTCTTCTCCCTCCAGCTCACGTTCTTCATGCTTCTTTTCCATTTCTTCTTTGCTGAGTCCTGTGCCACTGGCCATTTGCTTTCCATGCCCCTCTTCTTCGTCTGCAGAAGGTAAAGATCGTAGAGAGAGGATTTTGAAAGGTTGATCCCCAAGGCCGATGGACGAAACTTTGACATTTTGGATCAAAGCAGGTGGAACAGATGCTTGCATAACATCCTCGAGGGTGTCCGCCATTGCCGCAAACATCTCTGGATTGATCAGACCCCAGACAACTCCAATCAACGAGTTCATCCACTCAACAGATTCGGGAACCAAAGACTCGGTAGCTGCAGTGGCTCTCTTTCGTTCGGCATCCCAATTGACTGCATTGGCACTTTCTTGAATGCCACGAAGCCAGAGGTGAATTCCTGAAGATAGTATGACCCCGGCAAATATTGATCCAATCAATCCTTTGATTCCACCACCTAGGAACATCCAGTTCAAGGCACCTAGTCCAACTGTTGCAGCAATTGTAGTGTAGAGGATTGTTCCTTCCAGTGCATAGAATGATTGCTTGAGGTCCGCGATTGGTACTGGATGGTAGATAACTTGGTGGTTCTTCGAATGGTGTAGAAGGTCGGCTGTTTTATCTGGATTTGCCTCAGGAGGAGCGAGATCGTCCAGCACTGTTCTGTAGTCTTCTCCATCTCCTTGTGGTAGGTAAGGCGGCGGGACGCCTGGAATATCTTTTGGTTGTGGGGCACGCTCAGAGTTGATTGCAGCTTTCGGAACAGTGATTCTTGGCCGAGCAATAGCATCTGCGAAATCCCCGTCTACATCTTGAATTACCACCTCGTTCTTCGTAGTCGGGTCGACAACCCGTCTTCGTGATGCTGCCTTTGCTTTCGCAACCTTCTCTGGATCCTTTCCTGCTGCTGCTTTTGATGCATCGGCATTTTGGATGTTGAGTCGTTCTGCAAGCTCTTTCCCGAGCTTTTGGATTGTAGGAACCTAAAGATATTAGAATAGAAGGAGAGACTTGTATGTATTGTCTGCATACCTTGTTCCTTGCAGAATATGGCTTCATCGTTGCAGGTTGAAGGGTGGATGGAGAATGAAGCTTGGAATTGGAAGCTTGGATCACGGCCAAACCTGGACAAGCACTACCGAATGCAAGTCAACAATTGAAAGTAAACAAATGCACGAGAAGAAGACAATTAGACTCTGGGGATGAGAAGTCTCTGCACACAAGCAGATGAACAAGGAGCGGACAGAATTGGTTGCGTGTTGTTGTCGTATCGTATTGTATTGTCTCGTCGATGTTGCGGCTCTCCATGACGTCAAACCGGAGCTTGAGCTCATCCCTGCCGATCACCGCCAGGATTCCAGACGAGCCAAGCTGTGGGGAAACATGACGTCGTCAAGACAAGCTTAAATCATTCCCTTCCATTGCCATGGTCCATGGATGGATGCTCTCCCAGAATGCAGTCGATGATGAATGCCGTGCAATAAGAAAAACGCTGGCGGTTTGGAATTGAACTGCATGAAGTTATTCACAGTTTCGACCTCTTCATTCCTTCGGTCTACAGGTCTTTTCTAGTGCGGATTGTGTTCTCCAGGAGTTCCTGGGCATCTATTGCTGACAGTCGACTTCCCTCTCGAGCTTCTCATCACATCTATTGACAGCTCCAAAATCAACACCATGGCTTCCGGATCGGATCCATACAATACTGGGGCGACAGGAGGCACCATACCTGCTTCCGTCCTTTTGGGGAACAGAGACGATGTGCCAGACATTGGGGATACTCCAAGATATTCCAATGGAGTCGAGAAGTCAACGGATGATTCCACAGATGCATCTGCGGTGAAGTCAACAGGTGGAGTATACAGTACTATGGAAGAGAAACAACCCAAAGACGATGTCACTGGCAGCGGAATCGCCAGAAAGCCATTACCTTCCGAATCCGCAGCCGTCCTCGAATCAACCCCCACGAACACTCAGCGCACTTCAGCTGATACGACTGTTGCAGCGGACAAACCTCTCCCTCCAACTCCAGCAGCCAGCACAGCAAATCTTACAACTACGACAGCTTCTGCCAACACGAACGCTACTTCTCCACCTGCCACGGCAACAAGCAACCTTAATGCCGCACCTGCTACTAGCTCTGCAAATCTGACAGCCAGCAATATCCCCTCTTCCAACGCACCTCAGAGACAAGAAATCCCTCGAAGTATAAGCGGTCGTCCTCAACCAGTCGATCCAACACCCTACGGGCAAGCATACTCCGCTCGAAATCCCCCTCCTACAGTCGAAGGATTCCGCGCGAACGAGAAGAAAAGACAAGAACAATCGAAACAATACTTTTCAGAGGGAGGAAACGAGGACAAGAAGGATGGAAGCAAAGCTGCAGGAGCGTCAGCGGATACAACTGGTCACGAAAGTACAACTAAGGAAGAGGATGGAGCTCGTTCTGGTGCCACTGAAGATGTTCCAATTGGGGCGGAGAAATCGAACGTTCTCTTCCAACCAACTCCAAATGTGGATTTATCGCAAGCCTTTCAAGCAATCCACAAAGACGCCAGGAATGTATCGTATGTTATCTGTGCAGCTGTTGTTATTCTGGATTGGCTGTTCATTGGTGGAGGCTGGAAGGGATTGTTCAAATCACTCTTCCCAGCTGGTGGTGTTGCTGCAGGCGTTTATTTCATTCTTATCAACGTGGGCAAGACTGCCAGCAGTCAAGGTATCCAACAGGCAGAACCAAAGGTGGAAAAGTTGAGGTATGTTCCGGAATCAGTTGAGTGGATGAATAGCCTGGTGGGAACCCTTTGGCATACACTCCAGCAAGAATTCTTCGACGGAATTGCAAGCCAAGTCAACGATACCATTAAACCTCTGATCCCAGAAGGCATCCCAGTCGCTGTCAAGATTGCCAAACTCGGCCATGGAGCTATTCCAGTGCGAGTCTTGTCTATGCGATCGCTCCCAGACTCTGAATTCGGCGAGTTGGTCCCTTCCCATGGTGATCGACGGGATGCATCGCCTGCTGACCGAGCGAAACGGGACAAGGCGATCGAACGGGAACAGGGAGGTGTATTCTACAACCTCGAGATTTCTGTTGCATACCATGAAGCCCCTCTACGACCGCGAACTGATTCCATGCATGTCGATATTGTGGCAATGCTTGGGCCAGTACCACTTCCAATCTTCGTCCAGGTGAAAGAATTTGTTGCGACTATTCGTGTTCGTCTACAGATGCACCCAGACCTACCATTTTTGAAGAATATGACTTTTGCATTAACCGAGAACCCAAAGGTCAACACCGCCGTCTCGCTTGGTGCTCCCTGGGCTTTTGATATCCTCAATCTTCCTCTCATCGACACGACTCTCGTCGCCCAGATCAACGCTGCAGCACAGGATTTCGTTCAGCCTAAGTCTATGAGTCTGGATATGACGGTGTACGTCGGTGGATCAGACCAAAAGGAAGAAACCGAATCCATTGGAGTACTCTTCGTTAAGATCCATCGTGCCCGAAACCTCGCTCGTCAAGATACCAGAGGACCAGGAGCAGATCCATATCTTACCATCGCATTCAGCAAATATGAGAAGCCGATGTACGCTACTCGAATTATCAAAGGTGATCGAAATCCTGTCTGGGAAGAGACTGCAATCATCATGATCAAGGCTGAGCATGTCAAGCGAAATGAGAATGTTCTGCTTCGCCTTTGGGATTCTGATACAACTGGCTCCGATGATGTATCTGGTGTCTGCGAATTCCCATTACACGAGCTAGTCCTGAAGGCAAATGAGATGCAGAAGCGAGAAGACCAATTACAGGGTGACGTCTCTGGAACAGATGCGGAGGGTATTTTGGAATGGGAAATTGGATACTTTCCGCGAGCAGAGTTCCATAAAGCGTTGAGAACTGACGCCAAAGACCCTCGCGATCACCGCGGTGAAAAGATCGAAGTCCCAGAAGAGGAGAAAGAGCAAACTGCGCAGAATACCGTCCCGGATCCAAACCTTCCTTCTGGAATCTTGGGACTGACCATCCATCAATGTATCAATGTTGAGGTCAGCAATCCGAACAAGAAGTCCATGGGATATGTCGAAGTTCAGAAGCAGGACGATGATGGAGAGGATGAAGGAGATGCCGAGAATATCAGCGTCGACTACATCCCCTCGCTATACGTGTCTGCCGATATCAACGACCAGCTGGTTTATCGAACACGAGTCAAGCATATTAGCTCAACCCCAACGTACAACTCCTCGACCGAAACCTACATTCGCGATTGGAGGCTGGCTACTTTAAATCTTTCGGTTTGGGACATAAGGAAGAAAACGGATGATTGTCTCGTTGGTGTCGCATCTGTGAAGTTGTCTGATGTCTTCCACGAATCGTCCTCCGTCGTCAAGTTCTACGATTTGAAGGGTGGTGAAGGCACAGGACGAATTCGAATCAGCATGATCTTCCGATCGATGAAGATGAAGCTTGAGGAATCCCTTCTAGGATATTCTGTGGGATCGTTCGTATTTTCTTCTCCCATCGTCGCCAAGGGCGATATGAATACCAGCAAGCTCAACATCCGAGCCTCTGGATCACGACGAGCAATCAAGACAGGCAGTGCATCCGACGGGGGATACACCTGGACATTGGACAAGCCAAAAAACATCATCCCAGTTAGTCATCGCTACCTGAGCCCGATCGTCATCGAATTCGTCGGCTCAGGCTTAACCGAGAAAATCGGCGGTCCCCTAGGCAAAAGTAAACACTACGCCATCCTCTGGCTCCACAAACTCGTCGACAACAAAGAATCCTCCTACACCCTCCCCATCTACAAAACCAACAACAAAGACCGCCTTCTCCAAAATGTCGTCGACTCCCCAGATGACACAATGACCCTCGATAAGGTCGGCGAGGTGACATTCACGGCTAAGTTCAAGGCTGGTATTGACGAGGCACATGAGGAGTTTCTAGATGGTCATAACCAGTGGTGCACGTTCAAGGCGTGGAAGGCTGCGCATGAGTCGGGTGAGTGAGTGTGAATTATCTGCTGGAAGTGATTCTGCTGACTTGAAATCCTTTGTAGGGCAACGGGGAGAGCAAGCCAATAGGGAGACGAGTGGGTTGGTGGATGATTTGGCGAAAGGAATTACGAAAAGTATGTCAATCAGGGTTTGATTGGTAGGAAAAGGAAGGGAAGGGAAGGGAAGGGGTGGCGTTCTTAGAGCTTGTTTAATGGTGTTCTTGCGCAGTTACATGACCAATGGAAATTTCTTGGAAGTCTGCTGTCCAAGAGAACGTGATATAATCAGCACTCGCCCTTCATAGTGAAGCGCTCTATGCCTGGAGACTCACCAAAGAAATCTGGATGCTGGACCTGGGCACTAAACCAGTTCTTGTCATGGACGTACGATGCATCTCCATTCCTTGCTATTATCAGCAACATTTTTCTCACCTCTGAATCGCTCTGGCTCAAACCTCTGTACCGAAATGGTGAATAGTTGTCATTAATACCGCCACTGAGCATATTGACGGCTTGACTAATGCAGATAATTCATCAACATTGGCCTGGAGGTCCAGAGGGGCATCAGGAACTGTCGAGATATCACAAACCTCCACTCGTGTGATCTGGATCTGGACTTCACTGCCTGCCGAATTGGTGGGCATGACTATCATTCTCTTCGCATGCAAAATGAGGAGATCGACAATTCATAACGGGCCTCTCAATATTTCATCCCCATAATGTACCCAGTCATCAGAGACATTTGGTCTCCATGGGATATCATTAGAGTATCAAAGCATACGGGCCTGAGCCTCTGATGCCAGTTATCTCAAGGTGTCTATGCAAGCCTGTCTCCCATGAAAGTCATCCATCCATTCCCGAAATGCAGAAACCCCGCCACCAACCTAAACATAATACTGAGACCAACCCAGAAAAGGAAAACTCAATGCAGATGTCTTTGTATCGAAAATACATTATATTCAAGGAAGATCATGGGGCAGCGTGTTGTCCTCAGAGCTGGAGATGCCGCTGGCATGCCTGGCAGCCTGTATTGTACCTGGGCATGACTCGGTCGAATTTGTGGAGAAAAGGCTGCCGGCGCGTGGAATATATGTCCTTTTTGCTGCATTGGATGGCTAGAATGTATGTACGCTGTTGTACAGTGTTGTGAAAAATTCTGTCCGATTCTCGGAGGTTTGGTCATCTAGCTTTTGGAGGAGCCTGCGGCGTCGGATGCTTGTTCCTTTGCCTTGGACTTGGAATCGACATTCTCTTCTTCGTACAAATTGTGCAACTCGATGTACTCAATAACAGGAGCAGGAATCAAGTACTGGACGCTCATTTCTCTTCGGAGGAATAGCCGAATTTTGGTGCTCGAAATATCATTTTGAATAAGTTGCTGTTTTCCCGTCAGCTTCTAAATGTTGTCATAATGCGGAGAACTTACTGCAATAACGTAGAGATTCTCTTTCCACGGCTGGAGATTCTGAAGAGCTTCATCGATATCTGTTCCGGTTCTCTCTACCACAAATGCTCCGTATCGTCCCAAGATATGGTCAAGATCTTTGTCAGACCAAACACCAGGAGTTGCTATGTATTGTCAGTTACCATAGCTTTGCATATTTGGAAATCTCCTTATGTGTCGTTTGTGAGCTGTCGGAGATGTGGGGCGATTATCCTTACACATAGTTTGTATCAAGTCCGCGCCTGCCAGCAGGAGGATTCTACACTTCACTCTTGTCCCATCTGGCTTCTCCGCTCCTCCCAATACCTCATTGATCTCATGTTCGAAATGATCCAGCACCTGGGCAGTAGGTACGTACTGAGGCTGTCTGGCTTCCCAAGGATCCACCATAAGCCAGCTTGACTGTTCCGCTCCCAGCTCGCACATTGCGAGTCAACATGGGGTGTTAGCGATAGTTCATGTAGAGCAAATATGTACACACCTGTGTTCCGCGCTTGCCAGGCCAGCCTTCTTGTATGCATCCGAAACGGGTGAAAAGTATCCTCCCATAACCTCAAACTCGGTATTGAATTTGGCAAAGTCGGCACCCAGCTCGAACATCCGCAAGTGTAGGTAGGTGATGGGAGAGAAAGAGCCGCAAGCAATGAGCACGAGAGGTATCTTGTCGCCGTTGGTCTGGGTGAGTCGAAGGCGATTGCGCGGGAATGTATAGTTCTGCAGTGACTGCGCAGAGGCAGGTTGTGTTTGAGGATATGATGCCATCTCGGAAGGTCCTGTCGGAATGTGGTTTTGATTTCTTGCAAGCTGGGAGAGCAGGCTTGCTCTGCGTCGAGAAGGTTGGAATAGGTAGCTAGCGTGGGGGAGTCGGAGGAAAGCCGGTATTTGCGAACGGGATAATCGATTGAATGAAGTAATGCTGCTTGTGGGTATTCGTATGCAAGGAGTCCTTGGTTCCTTTGATACGACGATGATATAATATGATTGACTTTCTTAGTCTACTGTTGGATGTGTTGTTGTCTGCTGCGTAGAAAGAAAGGCAAAGATCAAGATCAAGATCAATCGAAGAGTGGTGCAGGTGGGTGAATTGCGCGGGGCCAGGGCCACCGATGTGAGCACGCTACTCGTACCTAGCAATTGCGAGGTCATATAATACGGTAATCATAGGTAAACCTACCCTACTATTACTACCTTACTTACCTAGGTACCTAGACCTTTTCCGCCTAGTTTTGCAAAAATGGGCGGGGCTGCATCGCACGAAGCTTGTCTGAGGAACAAATACCTGATTGGCATACAGTATTTTTGGCACATCCGATAAGCCGATAAGGCTACAAGAAAGACACTTCTATACATCTTTGTTGATACCACTTCTTATCTATTTCTATTTCTATCTTGCATTGAGCGTTTTTCCATAGAACGGGGACGCTGTCACGTGGAGGCCCATGCGCTTCTTTGCGGCTGTAAGTTACCTCTCAGGTTCTGTGCCTTTACGGCTTTACACACGCCAACACGCTTGCAGAATGATAGCTGCGGACCTACCTACGAATCGTCCACTTTGTTTTGGCTGTAAATGGTTCCCGCGAGATCACAGATTACCCTCTCCGAGGTGACGACTACCGATTGTCAACCTGTCGCGGTTGCCAGACCCGTGAACGCGAGCAATACAGTGAGAAGGCTAAGGGCGGGTTTGTTCAAGGGAGATACGATCGACGAGTATGCCGAGAACACGCTGCAACGATTCGGAGGCAAAGCAGGGGATTTGGACACCAGAAGCACGTGTGAAGTGGTAGGTAACTCGAAAAGAGCAGGAGGAAGAGGGTCGACGCTAGCAAAAGCTCTCCGACGATGAGAATCAGTGGTATCAAGAAGAGAGGCAGTGGGTAATTGAGCAGGACCGCGTGTGGCTTGAGGTCGATATCTTTACAGACGAAATACCCACTTCTCATAGTAGACAGAGAACAAGGCCTGTTTACGCTACACTTAGTGCTCCGTTAGGCCATACGAACCATCAGCCCTCAATTTGAAACAAAGTCAAAATGCAGCTGAGCCTCACGGGATAAATTTTGTTTTATCATGCGAACCTTCTCCAGATTGATCGGTCGAGGTAGAGACGTGGATCTTGCGGCATCGCCGTGGGATTGGGTGAAGAGACATTTCTAGCTTCCATACGAGTAGGCCTATTATTGCACATCTGGATCATTCCAAACACGAGGACTTTAGGACAAATCCAAAAAAGAATTGGCATTGAAGCAAGCTTTTTTATCCCGGAGGCGCGGAGGATCAAACTGACGCGCATCCCGAAAGACACTTCCTTCGTCCTTGCTTCCTGACTATCTTCCGATGCGTGGGTCTCGCTGATTGGGCTATTAGACTTCCACTATCGTCGCACCAATTCATCTCACATGCTTTACATGCCCATTAACCTAACTTTAAGGGTGATATTTGTACTGTATCAATAGCCAACCGACCTTAAGAGGAGTCGACGTCCGGATTCTCGCTGTTTCACACTTATAGTGCGCTTGATATGCAGCAGTGAACGCTTAACACAGAAGGTTCTCTAGTTGTTCCAGAAGGTGCTCACTCTCGGTGTATGAAGTAAATAAAAAAACTCGTCGCCTGGTCCTTTTGAAGAATACGGCACCTTACGAGTCATTTTGTATTTCACGATGCAGGCATCGCTGTTCTCTGTTCTGTTTTGCCTTGTCGCTTTTGCTTTTACTCAGTTCGTCACGTCGCCAGCTGATCTCAAAGCCATACAAGTCCCCGGCGGTATAATTGTGCGCTTCAAAGAAGTTCCAAATGGTGTATGCGAGACCGATGCGGGTGTGAAAAGCTTCGCTGGATATGTGGACGTGAGTCCGACCCAGCACATGTACTTCTGGTAGGTATTGCGGAAGCACATTTTGTTCTACTTTTCAATTGTTGTAATCGAGAGCTGTCAGGAATATGTCTACGAAATTACTGACCCGCGTACAGGATGTTCGAAGCTAGGGAGAATGTTGCATCAGCTCCGTTGATTGTCAGACTGGATGGAGGTCCTGGCGCGTCTTCTATGAATGGCCTATTCAGCGAAATTGGGCCCTGTCGCATTACCGCCGATGGAAAAGTTGTGGATAATCCATATTCATGGACAGCGACCAGTAACGTTATGTTTGTCGACCAGCCTGCAACTGTCGGCTTTTCCTTCACGACTCTAGTCAATGGCACAATAGATCCCCAGACTGCGGAGATTGTTCCTCAGCAATGTACGATGGCGGATCCCTTGGTATGAACTATCTACAAACCCTCAATTGCCAGGGCTCGTCCGAGGACGCATTGTATTCTGTGCTGCAAAGCGCTGACGATTGTGCAGTGTGGAACTTACTCGTCCCCAGACATATCTCTGACGCCGAATTCAACTATTGACGCAGCGAAGGTATTCTACAATGTGATGCAGGGATTCATGGGAGCATTTCCACAGTATGCCGCGAATGGCATCCATATTAATGGCCAATCCTATGGCGGTCATTATGCTCCAGTATTCGCAAACTATATCGCCCAGCAAAATAAACTTAACACCTCAGGCACTGTTCATCTCCCGCTCAAGTCTATTATTATCGAGGATGGTTTCATGGATACACGTGAACAGTTTGCGGCGTACTACAATTACTCCGTCAATCCAGGGAATCCGTATGACCTTGCGCCGTATAACGAGACATTACAGCAGCAGCTCTTCTCTAACATGTTCGGTCCCGGTGGATGTCAAGATCAACAAAAGGCTTGCAACGACAATCCGACTGATGCTGGGTGCAAATCTGCTGAAAACTTCTGTGTCTCCAAGGTGGAAGAATTCTGGGACAACAACGTGGGCAGGTCCGAGAATGATATTCGCCTCATCGCACCAGATCCTTTCCCTCCCACTGATTTCGTGGCATATCTCAACCAAGCAGAAATACAAGCAGCAATTGGTGCCTCAAATAATTTTACGCCAGCATCAGTACAAACGTTTCTGGCTTTCGACTCAACTGGGGACGATAGTCGCACTGGTGAACTTGTCACGCAGTACGTATTTCGAGTCATCTATATTCCTATTCCGCCAGATCTTATCCAGATAATCATATCCCCTGATATGACTGCTAATTCTTGTCCGTTACCTCAGATCCATGCGAGATTTGCTGCAGCAGGGGATCACTGTCGCCCTGTTCACTGGAGATGCAGACTATGATAGCAACATGATTGGAGCTCAGGTATGTTTCTGTTCGGGTTCAGTGTAGTCGAAGATCCGGTTGAAATCAGCTTCATGCTCATTGGCACAAGCTATCTTCAAACTCGAAATCTTCAAATCCTACTTCAAGCGACAGGACTGACCTGGCAAAAATTCTGTAGGCAGTAGCCGCTAATGTCGGCGCAGCGGGCTGGGGAGATGCCGGGTTCGTCAACTTGTCTGCAAATTCCGATGGTCAAATTCCAGGGCAGACAAAGCAAGCTGATGGCTTCTCATTCACTCGTCTTTACTTCGCAGGCCATGCTTCCGTTTTCAACCAGCCCGAAGCCACGCAGAGGATCCAACAGCGAGCTGTGGCCGGCTTGGATATCGCGACGGGGAAGACGGCAATGGCGCTCGGGAGAAACACAACAACAAAGGGGACGAGAGAGAGCACGTTTAGAGAAGGATCTGCTACTGTGCAATTACAGAAGACACCCCCAGACGCCGTGTACGACCCGATAACACACGTACCAGTTCGGTCCAACATTTCTGCGATGGCCCAGAGAACTCTGAGGACAAAATTGGCTGTGGGGGAACTGACACCACACCCATTGGCGGGATTTACTGCAAAGAAGATTCGGAGAATGGTATATGGGAATTGGCAGCGTCCTTGATGTGCAAGGTCGTAAAAAGTGTGAATTTGCATGGCAGTCACTTTGGAAAACTCACCGACGTATTACCGTAATATAACATCCGTATTCGCAGATAAAGGGGCTTGTCGAGATTACTACTTGTTTTTCTATGATCCTTCTCTAGGTCTACTTAATAATAACCACCTTCTTGTATCATGCTGCACTGACGGCCTAATTATAACAGGCGACAATTTGCTTATACACAATCTCGTACGTGTTCGTTGCCTTTTAAGTGATTATTGAAGGTTTGGATACTCGCTAGAAGTGTACAGTGGAAGTACACGTTTGTGGTTCTCTCTACGACAGCCCAATCTATCCCCTGCTATCAACCCTAGACCAAAGTCCTGTTACCGACCCAACCCTATGCATACAAAAAGCGTCTACCTAGTAATGCAGAACGTACCGAGAGATATCCATCTACTCGTCCTTGACACCACCACGGCCGGCCTTCTCTGCGGCGGCAATCGACTTCTTGTCCTGTGCCTGGGCAGCTCCCCCCTGGAGACCGCTCATCAATCCAGCTGGGGCCTTGAAAGGTCGCTTCAGCTCTCCAGTCGCTGGCTGTCCGAACAAGTGGATCTTGATCATGTTGCCCTCGAATGCGCCCTTTAGGGGAATGATGGATTGAATAACGAGTGGGTTGGTGTACTTGAAGTAAAGATGCATGACGCCCATCATTCCAACGCCCATAAGTTGTGCCTTGTAGAGTGCCTTCATTTGGGAGACATCATATGCGTGGACGGTGGTGGTGATGAGCTTTGGCTCCTCGGTGGATCCCATTTGCGGTTGCTCGACATACTTGAGGGTGGTCATATCTAGAGACAGTCAAGTCAGCATTGGTCGGCCTCCGCGTATTCCTCAGTGACGCCACAGCAACGCACCCTTCTTCTTGTTGATCTGAAGATGCACGTAAGCATAGACGGAGGTGATAATAACATTCGATAGGATATAGCCGGCGCGGATCATGTTGAGAACGCTGGGGTCATCCATAGGGATCTTCTTAGAGACTTGCATCATCACCAGGATGATCACCAAGTTGGTGCTACACGGTTATTGTTAGAATGTCTGGAAGAATAGGATAGGAGATTGAGAATAGGATAGGAGATTGAGGGCAAGGGGCGTCGCATACATTTGGGGACTGATGGCCATTGTGTCGGATTCGGGGTATATCAGAGAATGAAGAGTTTGAGGTTGTAATACTGAGTCGAGGTCTGGAATTAATGCGACCAAAAGTTGATGTTAGAGAGCTTGTCTGCGTTCTTTTGGAGTTAAATTCCAGAAATTGAGCACGAACGTAAAAAGAAAGCTGTCCAGAGTCGAGGTCGCCTGCACGTCATGCCTGATTTGGCTAGCGCTTCGCTTGCTACTGTACGGAAGTACAGGCGTTTGGCTCGCTCTAAAACCTGCCCTGCGCGCCTGCCCTGTGCTTCAAGAGCCTTCCAAGTTCCAACTGCCTCGCAGCCTCGCCTGCTAATAGCGGCTCCCATACGGAGTACCTCCGTAGAATGATAGCCTTCTGTGCTTAGAACCCACACAAGTCTACGATTATGGAAGGATGGCATTTCTGTCAAATCAAGGCACATACTGCTCCGATATCATTTGTTTAGTTTGTTCTTATAAATGATAGTAAATTCAGTCTTCGTCGTAGAAAAACTCCGATTTCAAGCCAACAGAAGCCTGTGCCTGAAATAATCAGCCACTCCCCGCGGAGGTGTAGTAGGGCCCTGCCCTGCCCTGCCCTGCCAGCCTGCCACAGCAGTCTCGCTTAGGTATTCTGTCCCTCGGCCCCAGCCCTGGCCCCGGCCCCGGCCCCGGCCCTTATCAAAAACCCTACCGATTACGGAGGGAAGCCTCGTCTCTATTGTTCACTACCGGATAACAAATTTCGAATTTACAAAAAAAAAAAACAGACACACGTCCATGACCTACCCAGAATCAAAGCAGCTATGGCGGCTGTATCCCTTCTTACCGCGATCGATGCGACCTCTCACATCCACCTTGTTGTCGGTTCTAATCCTCTCGCAGTAGCACGATGTGCTAAATCTCTCGAGGTCGGCGCAAAGCCTCTTCTTATCGCCCCCGCAGGCGCAGAGCTACATTATGCCCTACAGAAGAGGATAGACAATGGAGAGATAGAATGGTTGAAGAAGACATTCGAGGACGAGGATCTAATGCGATTAGGAAGAGAAGAGATCAATTCTGTCGTGGATGCTGTTTTTGTTACGCTTTCTCCGAGGGATCCAATGAGTAGGTTAGCTGTAAGTTTAGGAGGACAAAATCACTGATAGGGATAGGTTCACATATATCCAGAATCTGCAAACAAAACCGCATACCTGTCAACGTGGCAGATTGCCCTTCCCTTTGCACATTCAGTCTTCTCAACACACACACCGACGGCCCACTTCAAGTAGGCGTAACAACAAATGGTCACGGCTGTAAACTCTCGTCCAGGATACGAAGAGAAATCGCATCATCTCTCCCTCCAAACCTAGGCGCGGCATGTACAAGACTGGGCAAAATCCGAAGACTCATACAGGAGGAAGATCACCTCACACATCTCGCGCTCATAGGGACACTTGAAGAAGACTCCACAGACCAAACAAGCGCATTCAACGCCCTCGTTACAGAAGCCGACCTCGACGCCGCGAAAAGCAGACGTTTGCGCTGGCTCTCTCAGATCTGCGAATACTGGCCTCTCCGCCGCCTTGCAAACATCACAGACACAGACGTCGATTCAGTCCTGAAATCCTATGCCACGAACCCAAGTACATCCACGCCCCTGCTAGATAGCACACAGCTCGAGAAACGCGGCTGTATCATACTAGCCGGCAGCGGCCCCGGACACCCCGATCTTCTAACCAGAGCAACACACAAAGCTATTCTCAGCGCCGACCTCATCCTCGCCGATAAACTTGTCCCCTCCGGCGTACTCGACCTCATCCCCCGCCGCACACCAGTACATATCGCGCGGAAATTCCCAGGAAACGCCGAGCTTGCGCAGCAAGAACTGCTCTCTCTGGGGCTAACAGGCCTGCAAGCTGGGAAGACAGTTCTGCGACTTAAGCAGGGAGATCCGTACATCTACGGTCGCGGCGGAGAGGAGTTTGAGTTCTTTAGGAAGGAAGGATTTGGAGATCGGGTTTCTGTCTTGCCAGGTATAACAAGCGCGTTGAGTGCGCCGCTGTTTGCGCAGATTCCGGCGACGCAGAGGGGGATTAGTGATCAGGTTTTAATATGTACCGGGACAGGTAGGAAGGGGAAGCCAAGTGTACCGCCTGAGTATGTGGATTCAAGGACAGTTGTTTTTCTCATGGCGTTACATAGGATCTCAAGCCTAGTAGCGGATTTAACGACGTATGATAGTATAGATGCGCAGATTGTGGATAAAGAGGGGGTACTAGATACAAGGAGGGCTTTGTGGCCAACAGAAACGCCGTGTGCGGTTGTTGAAAGGGCGAGTTGTCCAGATCAGAGGGTTATAAGGACAACGTTAGAGTTTGTAGCTGCTGCTATTGAGGAGGAGGGGTCGAGGCCGCCGGGTTTATTAGTAATAGGGAACGCGTGTGAGGCGTTGATTGTAGGAAAGAAAGAGAGAAAATGGGTTGTCGAGGAGGGGTTTAAAGGGTTTGAGGAGTTTGTAGGAACAGCTGGAATCAAGGAGTCGGTTAGTTGCGAGAAAAAAGAGAGTGTAGAAGGAATAGTGTCATGAGGAAGAAATAATAGCTTAATTTATTCTGACGCTTAGACACTCTTTACAGTACACACTTTTGAACACCTTTGAATTGAGCCTTTGATTTTGACGTATATCGATAAACACTTGGTATTTGTTTACCAGTACGATACCAACAGTATAATATTGTCCTCAGTCCCGCGGTCCCCTCTTTGGTAGGCAGACATACCTAGGCGAGCTAGGTACCTCTGTACTTGGTAGGGGTTTTCAATAAGGGCCGGCCAACTGAATAAGCGAGAATACTCCCAAAACCACTCACTTTCAACCTTGATATTACTATCGACTTTAGTTACAAACTGAGTCGACTTGTACGAGTCAGAAGGAGATTCTTTCTGCAGTATCGATCTCTTGCCGAAGGTCCTGTCGACAACCTGAGGCCTCAGCAAGAACCCCACCCAGAAAATCTCCAGCCAATGTTTATCCCGGACCCCAGCCCGGCGCGTATATGCAGATCACCGACCAACCACATCGTCAAGCCCACCTACTGCATCTCACATCCACCGCAATGGACTGCTAGCTTTGTCTTCCCATCACAACTCCAGGCGCTATTCCTGTCCCTCATGCAGGTTCCTGACCCAGCCCGTATCCAGAAGAGTCCATACACATCCCTTCCTGGTGTCTCTATCTTCAAGGTTGTCCAATCGTCGCCCAATGGCCGCCCAAGATGGCTTGTCCCGCCCGCGGGCACCATGTACCAGACCCTCACTCCCTCCTGGTATATCACATACAGCCGCCGCTCTCAGCTCGGAGTCGATCAACTCTATGTTGAATTTGTGTCACAGCACGTTTCGCCCTTTGGTGACGACCGCTATACGTACATATAGCAGACGTTTCAACCTCACGATAGCCAGAGTAACATGATGCAGACAGGGAGGGAGGTAGCGATCAATGCAAAAGCAATCCTGCTCCTCCTCTTCATCTCCCTCCCATCTATAAGTTCTGCGAATATCCTTACCGACATTCCCAAGAACAATCCTCTGAACATCAATTGGGACCCAGCACCAGCACCAGAAGACGGTCCGCCTATTTCAGCACACGCTTCAAGAGACAAGTCTCTTCTCCCAGTCCAGATTGGCGCAATCCTCGGATCATACCTCTTCTGTGTTTGTGTTGTCGGAATAGCACTTCTCTTTATCGGACGCAGACTACGAATTCAGATCCAGACGTCAGTCAGAGTACTTGATATAGAAATGGTAGAACCCGCCTTCCCGCAAACGGCTGCTTTCGAACCCTCTCCAGTCTCGCCTGGCGGACCAGGCGGTGGATCAAGGAACTTCTCGTGGCCTTCACCAGAGAAAGATACGAAAAATCCCTACATCTTCCCTAGTATCAACGAGTCGCCTACGACACCGAACGGTCTTGCAGATCCATACGTTGACACACGGATTGTTGAGGCAGACCGCGAGATGTTACAACGGGACTTGGAAGACATATATGCCCATGTTATGGAGCAGGAGGATGCAAAGGCCAGGGGCGTGATCTTGAAGGAAATGCCTCTTCCCCCGCAATTGCAGAGAGTTGGCCCGGTTCCAACAGGTCCACTACGAACAGATTTGCCTCTAAAGAAGATTGAGAAAGCTCGTCCAGCAACCCTCACTCTAGAGGAAGGAAAGCCGAAATCACACTCGCGAGCCTCTTCTCTGATCTCTTCTCTTAAGTCGCCTAGACGAAAGGGTATTCGGGGAATGCGTATCTCCTCGCCAATCGCCACACCTGTCTCTGCAACATTCCCAGCAAGTGCAGCATCAGACGAAGAACCACTCACGCCCCGCTACTACACACCACCACCACCTCCCCCAGTCCCTAAAGACCAAGTTCCATACACACACTCCCGCGGCCCCTCTAGCGACTCCGCAGCCCGCAGTCTAGCAGAGCAGCTCTCACCATACCGAAACGGCCCACGGCACAGCCCGAACCCGTCCCGAACCTCAGTCCAGAGCCAAAACTCCAACCGAGGAGGTGACCCATCTTCTGCAACCTCAGCAACATCCCAAACCCCCCTCTTCCTCTCCGCCCCCAAACCTCGCCACCTCCAACTCAACTCGCAAGCACAAGCACAACCTTCCAACCCACCCTCCACCAACTCCTCCTCCCGCGCCCTCCCCTTCCGCTCCTTCGAGCCAGCCCTCCAATCCCCGTCATTCGTGCCTACCACAAAGACCACAGTGCTGGAACGCAACATCAAACCGAACGGTCCGCAGACGGGGGGGCTAAAGACGCCGTGGAGCGCTGGTGCGGTGCCATATAGTCCGTACCAGCCCTTCTCGCCGATGATTCCCATCACGCCGCGGCTGGTGACGAAGGAAGAGCGGAAGCAGAAGAAAAAGGAGGAAGGGAGAACGCCGGTGTTGGAGATGATTAAGAGTGAGGATGATCTTTGGGATAGTGGGTACTAGATATGTATGGGTTTATTTTCAGTTGTATATTTTGACGCCCGCTCTGAACACGTGTTTCTCTTCCCTTATTTTGTTCTTAGGGTTTGGAGCTAGGGTGGCGCGAGCATTTGACATTGATTGCATTGATTGCTTTCTTTGTTTGGTTGGTTATTTATTGGATGGGACGGCGGACTCCAACTAAGACTACCTTTGTTGGTAGTTCGTTCGACAAGGTGTTCAGGGGCTTACTGCGAGGGAATAGGTAGCATAGGATTAGAGAACCTTAATGATACTATGATGAATGTGGATTACTACTATACTATTCTAAGTAATTACAGGATGTCAGATATACTGAGAATTTATTCTCTTCTTACTCCGTCTTATAATTAGTCCTGTCTAGCATCTCTTGTATTATGACTAGCATAAGGTGAGAGAGGACCTTAGGTTGACGCCAAGAATAACATGGCCTTAGCAGGTTCAGGTGGGAGAAAGCTTCGATGAGAGCAGAGGTTGTTAGAAAGTGAGTAAGTACACCAACAGATAGCAAGCCGGCTTTCAGCGGGGAGGCGGGATTAGAATACAGAACTGTAGATACAGCACGAGAAACGAGCTTTGCCGAACATTAAAATGAGAAATGCAAGAAGTTGTGTACAGCAGAAGTAAGTGTTCAGGGCATATTAGCGCATCAATCACTCACATTAAAGAGAGTTGCGCTGAACTGCATTCATAATAGAGATAGAGATAGAGCAATGAGTTTTGATTAATTTTGATGTTCATGTGCTATGTACAGTATACTTCAAGTTATCATCCCTCTGTTCGAATTCCCAACGCTATTATCATAAGCGGGGTAGGCTGAGCTGAGCTGAGCTGGTGCTATTTTCTGTTTTAGTGCTTTTCATACATCATGCTTTTGCTCAGCCGAGTTGAAGGAAGCCCTTAGTATTTTGATCGAGACAGTAGATATGTGCAGCTAATATTGATACTTTTCCCAAAGACTTTCAGCACAGCAATATCACAATCAATCATGTTAGCACCTGATTCTACAAAGAAGCGAGACGTGTAATGATGAATGTTACATGATCAACTAACAAACCATCTCTTTCAACCCCGACCAAACCTCCGATCAAAAAGCTTTAACACCCCCATCACACTCGCAGCCTCAACTTCCATCGGTGCCCGACCCGGATGCACAGGAGGAGTAGCATGCAGTCTCCCTAACCAGGTATTCAGCTCATCGCTAGCCTGCTCGAAGTTCTTGTGCGTAGAAAGCGTCTTATACGTATCTGCACACGACAAGCTTGGAGGCGGTTGGGACGGTGCAGCGACAGGGACAGATTTGCAACAGCCTCCTCCGCTACTGTTACCTCCACAGCAGCCATCCGGGACAGAGCCGCTAGATGCGCGGATGGCTGCTAAGGAGCGGCAGAAGAGGCCGGATTTAGGGTCCGATTGGCATTGTTGACATGTCCCGGGGCCGTTGGCGCAGGAGTTTGAGTTGGAATTTGATAGTACGGAGTTGACGGGAGAGTGCATTTGGAGGGGTTGAAGGGAGGGCAGTTTTCGTAATGGACCTTTGACGTCGGTGTCTGACTGTAGGGATGTGACTTCGTTGAGGAGTGGAGCGAGACGATTGTTATTGTTATGGTCTTGATTAGCAGCATTGGATGCGGTAGCAGCTGCTGCTTCGGCACACATGCAATAAGTGCCTTCTTCACAGAAACCACATGATTCTCCTTGAGGACGATGGCTAGTCTGGATGACGACTTCTTGAGACTGAGCTGGCTTGGAAGAGAACTGTGCTGTGAAATCCACTTCAAGCGGCGTTGAGGGTTCCGAGTAACGTTGACGCTTATCAGTGTATGGTTCTGATGGTGAGTGTGGTCTCTTCAACTCTAATTGGGAAATATCACCTGCTCCCTTAATGGTCTCTTCCAAGCACTCGCAGTGAGTATCAGGACTACACTTGCCACATCCGGATGAGTAGATTGCCATAGCTTGTTCAACACAAGAACAATTGCTCGTAGAAGTACATCCACCACATCCGAGATTGGTCTCAGGTTCAGGAGCCACATATTGTTGTGGTTCGGGGACCTTTGGCTTATTATGTCGAAGATGCCGAGGTGGGAGCGGAACAGCATCAGTTCCTGTTGTTCGAGCACCATTGTGAAGGTATGACAACTCCGCAAGAGCAGCCTCCTTCTCCTTCCTTTCATACTCCGCAATTTGATCCAAAGTCTCACATCGGACTCTCCAAGAGTGTATCTCCCCACTGAATCTCTCGATATCCGCCTCAAGCTTTTCAATCTTGCTCCTCAAGTCCGACTCTCGTTTCAATTGATCTTCCTTGACCTCCTCGAGCTGCTCCTCCAGTTCTCCCACCCTTGCAGCACGTCGTTCCCGGAACGCACGTTGAGCAGCTCGATTCTGAGCCTTGCGCTTTGTGGGCGGGGTATCAGTGGCGGGCTTGCGACCAGGCTTCGGACGAGGTGGAATGATCCATTCTTTACGTGTCACTATAGTCGGCGTACCTGCAGCAGGAGCAAGAGAGTTCATGTTGGCAGCATTGTAGTTCTGAATCGCGAGAGATGGAGGGGCTGGTGCGAGGGCCGGGGGAGAGCCTGCGGAGGAGGGGGTTGACACAGCAGGTGACGCCATTTTGTTTAGTGAAGATTCTAGGGCTGAGATATCTTGTGTTCAGTGCGAGGAAGACCGCTTCGAATTCGTCTGAGGCGATTATGGGGTAACCATCAAAGGTTAATGAAGCTGTAAATACTGTTCTGCAGGCCTGTGAGGCGTAAAGAAGTCGGAGTAATGAGGAAGAGGTATAGGGATGCGAAAAGATCTAATCAGATCAGATTAGACAAGAACCGCGCTAAGGAAGACACTAGTGCGTGAGCCGAGATCGGAAGAACAAAAACCCCTCACAAAGCTCAGCAGTGGACTTTTTCACATGAGGGGAAATCAAGTGCACCTTAGGTGGACATTCTGTTGATGTCTTTCTACTTTGTATTGTAGCTACTAATGAACTTTCGTTGTGCCGCCACAGCTTCCTCCACGGAATCGAAGGCTCCTCAGCTTGATATTCGCGCTAATCGAGAGGTCATCACCTGATCCGTGGCTATTTCGCTCACGTGGTAGCTAACGCTAAACCGTGCTACCTTATTACTAATAGTCCATCGGTATTTTGCTAATATTAACACCCCTCTCTTCATACCTAGGTAGGCTATCCATACCTCCAAGCTAGCCAGATATCACTGATCTCGTCTGGTACAGACCAAACTAAGAGCCCCAACAGCATTAGAGATAACGGTAGTTCCTCCCCTGCCTGTCCTGAGAGTCTAAAGTGCATTTGCCCCCCATGGCAGCTCTCAACTCGTCATTATCTACTGGGTCGAGGCGGCAAATCCTCCAGTCCTTCTCGTCACCACAAAATCCACTCGTCCGTCCTAGGTGCGTATATTGCTTTTCTAGGCCGTGGGCATCGAAAACTTCAGGTAAGTAGGATGCACTTTCGTTTTCCCTTTCTACAATGTTTGCTGCAGAAGATGGATTTGTTTTAGCAGGATAAGGAAGGTAAAAAGGGCATTTGGCTTTACTATAAGAGAAGGAAACCTCCGACCTCGGCCAAGTGCGGGATGGGCCTTATGCGTGATGTGTAGTGGGGTCATGCACAACAGATGCGTTGGTTTTTCTCTGTCTATTTTTCGTGTCTTCCTACAAGCTTTAAGGCAAGGAAGAGGAGGGAACTATTTTAATGCTGCATTTTATTTGCTTGGGAATCTGCCGCTTTTCTAATACATATCTTCACTTCTAGTCAACTCCCGGCGAGCTTCTATTGAAAGTCGAAACCTACGACAACAATTCCAATCCCGCGCTATGTCGTCCACTACTGCTCTCCGCAGTTTGAATATTAAGAACATCAACCCGCACGTCGTCGAGGCCAAATACGCTGTTAGGGGAGAACTTGCTGTTCGTTCCGAGGAGTACAGGGCGAAGCTTGCAAAGGGCGACACTAGCCTGCCTTTCGACAAAGTCATTTCTGCGAACATTGGAAACCCCCAGCAGCTGGATCAGAAGCCGATTACTTTCTTCAGACAAGTTTTGAGTCTGCTAGAGAACCCTGTTTTGTTGGAACACGAAGATGTGCTGTTGAATCAGTTGGGGTACAAGACAGATGTTGTGGAAAGAGCGAAGTGGCTATTGAAGACAGTAGGATCTGTCGGTGCATATAGTGCAAGTGCCGGAGCTACAGGAATCAAGGAAAGCGTTGCCAAGTTTATTGAGAGTATGTGGAATTTCCGTCCTTATGTAGCAATGAACTCACAGCTTCACCTTAGGACGAGACGGCTTCCCAGCAGATCCCAAAGACATTTACTTGTCTGCCGGTGCCTCTTCGGGAGTAAATACTCTCTTGCATATTATCTGCGCTTCGCCAAACACTGGAGTCCTTGTTCCCATTCCACAATACCCACTCTACACCGCCTCTCTCTCTGTTCTCAACGCCAAGTGCGTTCCATACTACCTCGACGAGTCGAAAGGTTGGGGAACAGATCTCGAGGCTATCAAGGGCGCATACAAAAAGGCTGTATCAGAGGGGACTGATGTCCGAGCCATTGTTATCATCAACCCTGGAAACCCGACTGGTGCTAGTCTGTCCGCAGACGATGTAAAGGCAGTTATTGACTTCGCAGCCCAAGAGAAGCTTGTGGTAATGGCAGATGAGGTGTACCAAACTAATGTCTTCAAGGGCAAGTTCCACAGCTTCAAGGGTGTTTTGAGGGAGATGCAGAAGGCCGATCCAGAGAAGTACAAAAATGTTGAGCTCGTATCGCTGCACAGTATTTCGAAGGGTATGGTTGGCGAGTGTGGACACCGAGGTGGATATTTCGAGCTCTGTGGCTTCGACCCAGAGGTACAGGAGCAGATCTACAAGTTTGTGTCCATTAGCTTGTGTGCCCCCGTTATCGGACAATGCTTAGTCGAGATGATGGTCAACCCACCTCAAGAAGGCTCGCCAAGTTACGAGCTATACAAGCAGGAGTATGATGGTATCTTCTCTAGTCTCCAGAAGAGAGCAACTGCTTTGTACGAGGCTTTCAAGGAAATGGAAGGTGTTGAGTGCGATGATCCTCAAGTAAGTCTTCTTTCACAATTCTATACTTACGTACTGACACTTGCAGGGATCTATGTACCTCTTCCCTACTATCAAGCTCCCTCCCAAGGCTATTGAAGCCGCTAAGAAGGAAGGGCGTTCACCTGATGAGTTCTACGCTTTCCGTCTCCTCGATGCGACAGGAGTCTGTGTTGTGGCAGGATCCGGCTTTGGCCAGAAAGAGGATACTCTTCATTTCAGAACGACCTTCCTTGCACCAGGTACTGAGTGGGTTGGCAGAATCACAAAGTTCCACAGTGAATTCATAGACGAGTTCAGATAAAGTTGTATAGTAATTGCTTTCTACGGAGGTACAACCTCTGCCACGCCTTCTCGATATGCAATCTACCGTACGCTGCGTGATTTGAGGGCTAGTGAGCAATAGTGTTATTCAATTCTATAATGATAAACAAACCCACCCAGCTTTAGAATTTCTTGAGGCTCGTGATACTACCTGCACACGAGGCTGCAAGGTAGGTCTGTAGGTAAGGTTACCTAGGTAAGAAGAAGCGTCCCCACTCACGTGCATGTGCTTGCGTTCCATGTTCTCTGCATTAGCCAATCAGCAGCCGTATCGAAGCGCTCACGGCGAACATTAAAAATAGCACTCAGATCGTGACAATCGCGGCTCATGCACAGTTGAGCAACTATCACATATCTCCAGCGGCTTTTATCGATTGTGATTGTGACAGTGGTATAACGTGAGCATTTATATATAATAGCTCCGCTCGCAGCTTTCGACAAACTGAGTCGAGGTGCATCGTGACACGGCACGCTCTTCTCATCATGCTGCTTCTGGCGTGTGTCCCGCGGTGAGGGCTTGGTGATAATGGCATGGCAGGACTTCAGAGGGAGAGCCAGTCGGGCTTGGGCTTGCGTCTGAACTTATGGCCACTGTGCAAGTCCACGCGCCGTCGTCTGTCTTCTTAAACACTCGGGCGGTTTGAGCTGTCCTTCACCAGAGCCTCCCGCTGTCGAGGCTGCCACTGCCAGTGTGACATAAATCAGATTATTATTGTCAAAACGGTCTGAAAAGCGAGCAGGGCAGAGCAGAGTTGTGTCAATGCAGATTCATGTGGTCATGGGAGGCTGAATCGAGGCTGCCGGCCGGAGGTTCTCTGACGTTCGGAGTTTGAGGGACGGGATCAAACCTAGCACGAGTCGAAGCGCTGTCTCATCCTCATCCCCTGCACTTTTTTTTCGATCGGATGGCAGCTTGTTCACGGGCTAACGTAGCAAAAGATGGGACCCTTGAGTTCATGCGCTGTCGCAGACGAGGCCGCCACGGCTAGATGATGAGACGGACAGCACGAAGGATGATACGGATGAAGTTTTCAGACTGGATGATGGCACACTGGGAGACCTGGGCGACCTGGGCGAGATGTGATAATGTAATAATGATGATGGACGATGGACGAGGGCAGCGCGGGAAGAAGAGTGCGGCGTGCCAGTGTGTGCCAGTGCCAATGCCAGTGCCACACGATAGCAGGGGTAGAGGATAGAGGATAGAGGGGGAGAGGGAGAGGGAGAGGGAGAGGGAGAGGGAGAGGGAGAGGGGCAAGCGAGGAGGAAAAGAGCTCTATTTACCTAGTCATACACCAATGTATCGTACCTCCGTACCGTACCTACTACGGAGTACTGTGCTGCAGCGGCCGGGAGGGCCATGCTTCCATGCACTGCATGACACCTTTCCTTGCTTGGCCTAAGGCGTAAATAATACTGTAATGCGGCCTGCTCGCACTACTGCACTTCTAACCGCCCCGCCCATGTTGTTCTGCTCACCAATCACAGCCTGTAGACCGCCTCGACTTTTCTCGTTACCGCCAACCACCACCCTCCACCCTCCACCGCTGCATTATTGTCCTGTTCCTTGTGCCTTTTACCAGCGCTCATAGGCTGCTCGCACTGTCTTCTAGATCTATTGGATCTGTTCTCGGAATTATTATTGTTATTGTCCTAACTACTGTAGACCGCCCTTCACGCTGTCCAGCCATTTACGCCTACTTTCGTGACCTGGCCATGTCTTCTCCATCTAGCCTCCAGCAACTCCCTGCTTCTCGAGCTTCTCTCGTCTCCCCCCCTCGTCCCCCCTCGTCTCTCCCCCTCGTCCTCTCCCGTCCTGGCGGCTTCAAGATGCATGCCCAGCATCCTACCATGCCTCCAAGCGGCCACATGCAGGCATCATTCGCCGGTTGCAACCGGACGACCAGTCTCGAATACTGCTAGCTCACTGGACCCCACAGTCCCTGTCTGTCCTTAAACTTGGGATCCCGCTGCATGGCCCATCTGGCAGATCATAACGCATACCCAGATATCCGTAACATCAAACCTCCTCACGACGTCTCATCGTGGAGATCGTACAACTCCTTGCCTTGCTGCTACCCATCATCCCAACTTGACCCGTCCTGAGTACTGACCAGACCAAAACCATCACCTCTCTCCACCACGAATCCTCCGATTCTCATCCGGATCCGACGAGGCCCGTCCAAAGCTTGATACAAACCGCTCCACATGCTCCATTGCAAGCCATAGCCCGGCAGTGCAAATCATCCTTTATTCTGCTCTCTCTGCCTGCCTTGCCTGCCTTCTCCCTGCGCTTCAAGATCCATCGCTCGGATGTCCGCTGTCATAGAAGATCGGATACCCAGTTCATGGTCTGTTCCTCTGGACACGCCCCATCTTAAGCCGCAATCAGGAAGGAGCGCCAGGTCTGATACAGCAATCAAAGCGGATCATACACTCTCGCCCAGTGACTCTGATCCTGGTGCCCAGAGATATAGACTACTGCATCCCCAGAGACTTCGTCGTTTGCAACCAGCGCTGTGCACTCGTCGTTGTCGATAGCATTCTTTCTCGACTTCACTTCACTTTCGTTCCTCCCTGTCCGCCGGTTCGGATCCTTTACCCAACCCACTTACTTCACTTGCTTCATTTATCTTTTTTTCGCCAACCCCGTACGTCCTTTAATCCGTTCGATTCTTTCGCCACGTTCTTTGAGAGGATAGGAGCAGATTTCTTTGGAAAAGGGAAAACCGAACTCGACAAGGGAAAGAAAAGGAACAGTTGGACAACTTGACGGCAAGAAATCTTTAGAAGCAAAATGGGAAAACTCATCAAGAACCACTGGGCTCGATTGATCGTCCTCACAGCAGCTATCTGTAAGAACACCACCCTTTAACATTCAAACCTGTGACATACTAACAGAATATATAGATCAAATAGCAGCCGGTATCCATGGATTCTTCTGGCCCAAGATCTTCTGGGACTTCATGACGAAGAACCTCGACGTAGCAGTGAAGCCTCTCCCGATCTTACAAACGATCAACCTGATTCTCGGCATCGTCCTATTCGCATGGGAATGGCCACTGGGCTTCCTGGCTGGCTCAGCGATGCACAGGAGCATTGAAGCGAGACTTGTTGTCCTGCCACTGGCAGCGCTGTCGGCAGCTCTTATCTACCAAGGGACGAATCCCGCCATCTACTACACGATCGCGATGGGTGTTTACTTTTGGGCATACAGTGAAGGCGAGGTACGTTCCTCTTTTAGTTTAGCTAATCTTTCCTGAACTCTTAAGGAAAGGCAAATAAGTACACAACAAAACTAACAGAAGAATTCCAGACCGTTGTTGCAACTCCATGGTCTCTGCCTCAACGGACCCGTCCAGGAAAGGTCTAAACTGACCATTTACCTGTCCCATCATCGCCTATCTCTTTTTCAGCAAGATTCTTTTCTCTCTAGATCTCAGGTTCTGGTTCATCAACGCTAGAGATCTACCAGACCGAAACTCGCCACTTGACGACCCTATACATACAATCTCCGCATCGAAATCACACAACATCATCAAATCAAATCAAATCCAACAAATCTCTTGCGCCTCTTAGGGAGAGAGAACCCAGTCTCTTCAAGGACTGGCATCAGCGTCGGCGTCTTGCATATTTTTTCCCCTAGTTACATTTTAGTGTTGTATTGTGTTTTGCCCGTTCCGTTCCGTTCCGTTCCGTTTCGTGGCCTTCTCCAGTATCAGTGTCAGTCTCGTGCGTGTACGGTCCTGTTCTCTGGAGAAAGGAGAAATTCAGAGAGAGAGAGAGAGAGAGTGTGTGTGTGTGTGTGTGTGCGCGTGTGTGTGGCTGAATGAATGAATGAATGAAGCAAAGGCATCCACACTCTTGCGCAAATGTGGGTGATTTCGTGAAGAGCTGGCTGGGAGGGGAACTCCTCTGGCCTTTGGCGCGTTCATTTCATTTTTTATAATGAATTAAAAGAATGAAAATGAAAATGGGATGATGATGATGATGATGATGATGATGATGATGAAGATGAAGCATTTTTTTTGGCATGGATGGATGGGTGGGTTTTACTGCGCGTTTCAAATGTGATCGAGCCTGTGAAGATTCATTGGTGACGATGATGTGATTGATTGCTCTAGCCTTGTCGGACATACGTATCGCTCCCCAGCTAAACCAAAAATCCCTCAGATTTTTTTTTTCAAGCTGGGAACTGTAATAGCACGGTTTAGCGTCAGGTAGCACGTGAGCGAAATAACCACGGATCAGGTGATAGGGCAAACGTCAGGCACGTCGGGTCACGTCTCACTATTCAGCTTTCAGTGGGAAAGGGGATCGGGAAGGGGAAATTGGGGAAAGGGGAAATGAAATAGAAAGAAGGTAAGGAGTCAGTCACATGCGTGGTAATAGCTCGATGAATCGTGGATTACCTTACCTTGCCTACTAGGAATTGCTGCATTCTCCGATGTTTTGATATTGATTCGATTAGTCGATCGATCAGTGGTAATACAATAAGTAAGTACCGGGTCTTACTGACCTATGATTGATTTAGCTTAGAGCCGCGGTATGGTTGTTGCTATAGAATATTTAAGACGGGGAGTTTCAAGGTGAAGTTGTGGCCTTTAAGAGGCATATGAGAAGATGAATCGCTCTGTTGATACTTGAGAAGTGAAAATATAGAAGACTTTACCCTGGAAATACTCGGGATTGATAGATAACAAATAAGGCTACGCGTAAAAGCACATCCTAGGTGTTCGGTAATTATCATCGATATCTGACCTGACGTTCCAACTAATCTTTGTCCTCTCTACAAATATCAAGTGATAAGAGTCCCCTGAAAATCAAATTCTACTACAGCTCCATACTAGTTTTCTCTCCCTATGCTTTCTGATTAGGCGTATGATATTGTATTCATAGATAGCAGCTATTTACAGTAACACCCTGCTCGTCTCATTTTTCTGGTTTTTTCTATGGAAAGGGAGATGAATCGTAAACAAAAAACACCAAAGATGCTTATAGAACGCCCGCAGTTATTCATACACCCATCGAATCCTGTATCAACCTATCCTACCCTCTTTGAAAGGTACTCATCACAACCATTTTCCGCTCCAGTATGATTTTCTCGTAGAAAAGCGCTGCTCTTAATGACCCCCTTTTCGGTCCATTCTCCTTGTCCAAATATTTGTTTACTTTAGTCGACATCTTGCTCAGTTTGCTTGCTCTTTGTGGCTTTGGGCGTTGATTTCGACTTGCTAGTAGCCTTCTCATGCTCAGCTGCTGATTTACGGGCTTCGATCTTACGCTCCTCTGCTGCTACCATGTCTGCTCAAACATCAGCCGTGTCCTTGCAAATTCCCAAGAGGAATTCTTTTACAAGGGAGAAAGGTAAGAGAAAAACGTACCCCTCCATAAATCCTCTCCCTCATACGCCTCATGATGAATTCTCTTCTCAATAATATGCTTATGCTCCGGATCATTCGGGTCCAGAATCTTCACCGTCTCCCACCTCCCCTTCCCTTTACTCGCATCCCCAACCTCGAACGCCGCAGTTGCAATCAAAATCGCCAGCGTCAACCCCTGTGCATAAACCCTCGCCTGCACCAACTTTTGCGCCCTCGTTAGATACGGATTCCTGCCTACTAGGCCTAGCGCGACCCCCAAACTCGCCACCCACGACGCTGTCACAATCGGGTATCTGTTCTCACGGCCCCAGTCCTTGAAGCGCTGGAAGGCGGTCTCGGATTCCTTAAGCGCGGCGAGGTCGCTGGAGGCGCGGTCTTTGTATTGGTTCGCGGGGTTACGGGCGGTTTCGAAGGACCGCGAGGAGCGGTCGGCTTGAATTATGGCTAGGAATGTGCCGGAGGAGGTTACGAGGAAGGTTTTCATAGGGAGGGTGAGGGAGCGGAAGGTAGGGAAGCGGTGGTGTGCCGCGAGGACGGTGGTTGTGCCCTGGAGGAGGAGGTTAGCTATGAGACTGGCATTACTGCGGAGGGAGAGGTATTAGTTAGAAATGGGAGGGAGAGAACGTACGACCACGAGACCGAAAAGGCCGCCTTTAATACCGCCTTTGAGAGTTGCATTGTAATGGGCTTCCTCTTCTTCTTTGGTGAGGATCTTCATCTTAGTGATACAGTGGGCGGGTCAAAAATAGCTCTACTGTCTTTATCGAGTGTTTATCCGTATGCTCAATTAGCTCAGTAGCTCTCTTGTTCAGGCGTGCTTGGATGTCTGTTTTGTTGCAAAGCTGTAGCTAAGGCTACTTCGTGGTGAGGAAATCGTATATTGATATCAGTCGTTCGTTTAGCTAGATAAGGTAGTTGCCAAATCACGAGATATCTCCGAGGAGTTTGGTAAGATACTTAAGGTAGGGAGGATCGATTTAAATGCTCAATGACAGAGATGCAAAGTCCTGGCTTCTCTATACTTATGTTTTTCTTCAATTGTCTGACAAAGATATTGTCTCCGAAATAGAAATCCGTCCAAACCCCGAGTAAGCTTGCGGTAGGTAGGTAATTATGGTGCTGGAATTTTTTGTAAGCTCGGTGCATGAAGCAGGCTTGCATGATGTCAATGAGTTGTGGTGTGACGACGTGAATTGATAGAAGCTATCGTCTTTCACTACATGCGCACCGAAAGGCGCCGGATTTTGGTGTCCAAGCTACCGAGGTGTTAATATTAACATTATCACTTGATAGACTCACGTTTCTCCGATCCCGACTTCAGGTCATATCCCGAGCGTTCACCGTTCCCGCAACGGGGGCATAGCGGGCACCGGCAACACCGCGTGCGCGTGCGCGTGCCAGGCATGGGCCAGCTTAGGGTGAGGTGAGTTCAGAATACTGTACCTAGAGAAATATCTGGTTTAGTAGGATAGAAAATTGTATTTTCGTTTAGTTCCTTCTTACTTCTGTTCTTGTTCCTTTAGCTCTTGATTATCAGCTTTAACACGACTTCGGCTAGATAACACAGTCCCTTAGTTCTGTCTGACTCTGACTTAATATCCCTAGGATAGAATCCCTTGTTGTCGATACTTACTGATGAGTTCACAGGTCTCTATAAATGAGGGTACAGGGATATACTAGAATACTGGAAAAACACTACTCCAATCCTAAAATGGATTACTAACTCGCAAATCAACGTAACACCTCTGCTTGCAGTAGAAAACAAAACTGGATATAGTCAGAACCTTACAAGAGTACTCCTAAAGCCGTTCAACCTTCACCTTCCACGTATTAAGCCACTCAAGGTGTGTGAGCTTCTACTGGTCCTCAAAGTATTGCCACTTCTTGAAGGGGTCAAGAACGACAGCGGCGACGTAAGCTAGCGAACTTATCTGTCAAGGCGTAGTAGTCGTTAAGCTTAGACTAGCCAGACTTGATACAGGGTGAGAGAATCAGTCTTCTTTGTAGGTAGTTTTACTAGTCTCGAAGTGATCTAGCACGAACTCTATTGTAGGAAGAACTCGATCCAAAGTACCGCTGTGGCCCTCAGTAAAAAGGATAACGTTATACATAGCTTAGAGGAAGAATCTGATCTTATGGAGCTCTGTAAAATCCTCTGCTGTTAATCGATCGAGAGGCTCAATTGTATCCGGATAGCGAATATAGCTTCTGTAGTGCCTTTTGAACATCCGGATCATCCAAAACATTCACCAGCTTATACATAGAGGTCCACCTTGTGCCATTGTCTCTAGGGAGCATCTTCCCACCTATATTGACCTAATAATCATTCTTCAGAGTACTCCGACTGAATTTGACCGCATAGTTGTAAGCTTTACCAATAGCCCCCTTCTTCCGCCACAGGACAAACTCGAGTTCAGTAAGGGCGTCGGAGGAGTTGTAGTCGTTATTATACTCTGCGAGAGCGTCGCCATATGTTTTAAACAGGAAAGCATCGCCGACAAGGTTAAGTATATAGCCATGGCAATGTAATCGGTGCTCTTCGGGGTCGTAGTCGATTCGTAGTTGATTAAATAGACCTGTAAAGGAAGAAGGGAAGTCAGCTAGGTCAAGAAGTTAGGGGTGCCCAAGAGCCGCAAAAGCGGGACCTAACCGTATATAGAGGGCGGTGAGATACTGCCACCAATCAGAACGCAAGGAAAGAGCCTCAACTTACGCTCCGCAATCCCCCTTATCGCAGAGTTCACTCTTGCATTATCCATTACCCAATAACCTATTCTCTCAGCAACCTCCCACTCTATCAACACATCTAATTGAATGCCTTGCCAGATTCTCACTATCGTGGCTCCCTCGAATTTCTCTGACCGCCAAATGCGCGACGACAAGCTTAGTGTGTTTGTCGACGAAGTGCGCCAGCCAGGCCATGATAGCGAAACCGTTGGTTGAGACTGTTATATTGCAAGAGATGTGAATAAGGACCGCGCCTTTGATATAGCGACCTTCTGTTTGGCCTTCTTTGCGACGAAGTGACGTATAATCCAAGTCTTGATTGTGTTACCGCTAGAGGGAAGCCAGGTTATACGCTATCATAGCTCGGAACTCATCGCTCTTCATAGTAGAGAGGGGAATAGAATTAGAGGTGAACCAGCGGACTAATAGTAACTCAAGGACGTAGGGATTAATTAAATACTCAGCTTTCACTTTAAGAGGCTTTATTCGATGCTTCTTATAACCTCTTGACTTTGCAATAGCATCTATAGGGCTCTTAATAGCTCCGCGAGCACGCTTCTTTCTCTCTTGACGAGGTGAGTCCTTCTCGATATAGTGCTCTCTCTTGAGGTGATAGCTGATAATTCTGGTGCCTCCAGACTCCCTATTGTTACGAATCCCTTAGCGCTACGGTTGGCACCCAGATGCTGATAGTACCATCAGTGGTACTATGGGGGCATTGGTACCGACGAAGGAACAGTGCTATCAATAGGGTAGTACCGACCAGGGAATGATACAGGACAGCGAGTGGTACCGTTGTACACTCACGCTCGGTAGTAATGGTTACCTAGATCACGGTGGACGATAGGTCACGTGATGGATCCCTGGATCCCTGGATCCCTTTGTGGGGGAACGGATCCAAGGATCCAAGGATCCAGTATCCAAGGATCCAGTATCTCAAGGGATCCAAGGAGAACGAAGGTTCTATATAAGACTGGCATGTCTGCCATTAGATAGGAGCTTCGTGCTCAACTTCAAATAGTATTCTGATACTTAGTAACTGTCTTCCCGTCTACGTGATACACCTACCTCTCGATCATCAGAGATCAACTGCAGCCTTCTGTATTTACAGCGAGTAAATACCGGACCGTTACACTTTGAGCACCTTCTCGTCAGAGGTACCGACTCACGAAGACAACATGTCCTCCGTCAAAGGATCGTCGAACGACCACTCGGCTCCCGCCAAGGCCTTCGACCCAAAGAACATACCCAAGATCGCCGCCCCGGATCTCTACAACGGAGACCGATCCAAGCTCAGAGCATACCTCACGCAGGTTAAGCTCTATACGGGCTTCAACGGTCACCAGTTCGCCACGGAGACTGACAAAGTCCTTTGGGCTTCGTCCTTTCTCCGGGGATCTGCCTTCAACTGGATCGAGACCTTCCTCTCGGACTACATTCAGAACCGAACCAAGGATGGGAGAGTCTCCACGGCAATGACCAAGGAATCCCAGAAGATCTTTATGACCTTCGAAGGTTTCGAGCATAGGATCAACCGCGTCTTCGGCGACATTGATCAGAACCGTACCGCCGAACGGAACATCCAGAACCTAAAGCAGGTCGGGTCAGCGACCACGTATACTGCCGCCTTCCAGCAATTCGCGAATCAGACCAGCTGGAATGACGACGCCCTTCGGGCACAGTACTACAAGGGGTTGAAAGACGGAGTGAAAGATGAGATAGCAAGATCGGACGCGCCTACCGACTTGCAAGAACTCATCGAGATGGCTGTCAAGATCGACAACCGAAATTACGAGAGGACACTCGAGAAAAAAGGCCAATACCGCTCCGGAACGCACATGCACCAAGGAAGAGGGGGCAATAACAAGAAACCATTCTACCCTCGGGAAATGGAACTCGATGCGACGTTCCGGAAGCCAAGTCATCAAGGAAAGCCACGCAGCGGCGGGCTATCTAAGAAAGTCATGAGCGAGCGACGAGAGAAGAAGCTATGCTTCGAGTGTGGCCTCCCTGGTCACATGGCCAGCTCTCATCGACAAAAGAAGTCGTGGACAGACAAGAAACATGCCAACGCAATGGGACGTGGCTCTTACAATGAACCAACACGACAACTCGCCGCGACGTATCGACACATGACTACAGACGAGCTCGAGGAGAATCACATCCACACCCAGTTGGGCGATTCTGACGACAGCGAGCGAGATTCCGCGAGCGTCGTGGATCAGCTCGAGCAAACCGTCGTCAGCACGCCCCCTGAGGACTATGTGTATCGAGACAACGACAGCTCTGGGCCAGACGACGACACAGAGCTAATGCCAAGTGACAGCGAGGAGGAGGCCCAGGAACCTGAGTGGACTCCAGAACCGGGGCCACCTCAACCTGAACTCTCAGGACCAGGAGTGGGTGAAACTTGGGAAGTTACCCAAAGAGAAGAGAGCCTGTATCAGGTTAGCTGTAACACTCGCCACTGGACCAATGTAGCCACCGGGGTTACTTATCAGGAACCAGGCCTTGTCGGCTTGGGGGGTCCACCGTGGGGGGCAAGGTACGAAGTAGTCTACCGGGACTATAAGCGTATCGGATGGAGAATGGCCGGCAGCTGGGAAGGACCGACGACCTTTATGCAGCACTTGCCACTCCAGAATACCGTCATTCTTAACACCAGCGCGCCACCAGAGGTGGGCGAGGAATGGGAAATCATGGCTGAGAACCGACATAATAGGACATGGGTCCACGTCAATGATAACGGCCGGTACTATTACGAGATGTACAACCCAGTAACATACACCGAACTCGGAATAGGGCTCGTATACAAGGTCAGCCTAAGCTATGGCAATCGAAGGGTATGGGAAAGTGTCCTCGACCATAGCGTGCATTGGGAATATTTCTGTGTGCGGCAACTTGCCGCCATTGGAGATAAACACCTCACGTTGGAGGTTAAAATCAAGGGAGTCAAGCTTCAGGCGATGGTAGACTCTGGGGCACAAGGGAACTTCATGTCTCCTACTGTTGTGCTCGAACACTACCTGTCAACCGAAGTAAAGGACAAGGGATACCATCTGGTACTGGCGGATGGCAAGATCGCCTCCGATGGACTGATCGAGGTCCAGACCGCTCCAGTCCATATGGGCATCGCCGGACACTCCGAAATAATCCAATTCGACGTCGTCAGGATTGGAAGGCACGACATCATCCTGGGGTTGCCATGGATGGAAAAGCATAATCCTGTTGTCGATTGGCAGACAGGAAAACTTGAGTTTAGTCGTTGCCAAGACTGCTGTTATCCACCGGGAACAGAAGCAGTGAGCATTCGAGAGGTTAGCGCCACCTCCAAGGAAGAGCTCGGACACCAAGACAAGGGTCCACTGATGAAGGATATACCATCAGCATACAAGAAGTTTGCGGCACTGTTCAAAGAAGAACGAGGCATCGAGGCCTTGCCGAAACACCAGGACTACGATCATCGGATCGAGTTAGAACCAGGTACCAAACCGATATTCCAACCACTTAGGGAATATTCGGCGACAGACTTGATGACGATCAAGCAATACATCGATGAAAACCTAGCGAAGGGATTCATCCGAGAGTCCAAATCCCCATGGGGAAGTAACGTCTTATTCGCAGAAAAGAAAGACGGAGGACGACGAATGTGCATCGACTACCGTCGATTGAACGATGCCACAAAGAAGGATCGTTATGCACTACCATTGGCCAAGGAACTGCGGGACAGACTCGTTGGAGCCAAGATTTTCACTCAGCTTGACCTAAGAGGAGCATACAACCTCGTGAGGATGGCTGAGGGTGAAGAAGAGAAAACAGCATTTCGCACTCGTTTCGGTCACTACGAGTACACGGTCATGCCCTTCGGCTTGACTAACGCACCAGCCACATTTCAGCGTCTGATCAACAATGTTTTGCGGCCTTACTTAGACGTAACGTGCATATGCTATTTGGACGACATACTGGTCTACTCCAAATCAGAGGAGCAACATGTGAAGGACGTCACAGCTATTCTCCAGAGGCTGGAGGACGCTTACCTGTTACTCAAACCAGAGAAGTGCAACTTCCACGTGGACGAGGTTGTCTTTCTAGGCTATGTGGTCACCACCGCAGGATTGGCTATGGATCCCAAAAAGATCAAAGCAATCATCGAGTGGACAGGGCCCACGAATGTCAAAGAAGTACAATCATTCCTCGGGTTTGCCAACTTCTACAGGCGATTCATCAAAGACTACTCGAAGATCGCCGGGCCACTCACGGAGTTGACCCACAAGGACAAGGAATTCCACTGGTCCGACAGCGCACGAAAAGCGTTTGAGGCACTCAAAGCGGCTTTCATCGCGGAACCAGTACTCACTTCCTTCACCCCCGACAAAGAAATACGCATAGAGACAGATTCTTCGGACTACGCTATTGGAGCCGTGCTCAGCCAGCCGGGCGAGGACGGAAGATAGCAACCAGTCGCTTACCATTCGCGGAAACTATCCCCAGCAGAACTCAACTATGACATATACGACAAAGAGTTGCTGGCAATTGTGGACGCAGTACGCGAATGGAAGGTCTACCTCGAAGGCGCCGCCCACGAGGTACAGATCCTAACGGACCACAAGAATCTCATTTACTTTACGACTACCAAGGAACTGAACCGACGCCAGGTTCGATGGTATGAAACACTCTCTACTGTAAAACTTCGAATTTCTTATGTCAAGGGAACGGAAAATGCTCGAGCCGACGCTCTGAGCCGGAAACCAGAGTACCTCGCAAACAAAACCCATGAATCCCACACCGTGCTGCGGAAGGATGGCGATTCATTGGTTATCAACAACCGACAGCTGGCCGCGACAGGACAGTTGGTCGCAGAGAAAGTCTGGAAAGGCTACGCCAACGACCCGGTCGTAGCCGAACAGCGACGCCAACTGGGCGAAGGGTTCTCCTTCTCCCCAGAAGGAACTCTCTTGTTCCAGGGACGAATGTATATACCCACTCGGGATCGGGCCGAATTCGTCAAGGACTTCCACGGGCTGCCTGCCCA